TATTTTAAGTAGTAATAATAGGTAGAGGCACAGGAAGAGAGGGCATAATATGTAGGCGATTTTTGGTAGGGTGCGCACGTGCCACAAATCAGACATTGAAGGTCGAAAACCAGATTCGAAAATCGCTTGGTCTTCTGATCCTTACGGCTTTCCGTACATAGCCCTCTTTGGTACGCGCCTCACCAGCCCTCTTCACGTTTGAGCTCTGTTCTTAAACCATCGGTATATACCTGTTCAATGGAGCCAACGCCATAAAAAGACAGCCGCCCCGTTTGCCAAATGCTCAAACGACTATAAAGCAGAGTACAGAAATCTATTATGGTTGGTCCTTAGCCCATGAGCCAGAATCCCTCTGGCCCGAATTCATCCAACATGAAAAAGAGAAAAGTACAGATGGGATACGCCGTAAAGGATTTTTGGTTACAATCGGACTCGATTGCTTGATATGCATCGGATTGTTGGAGCGAGATCATGACGCAGATTTGTTGAGGGAAGTGCAGGGCTGGTAAAAGGCTGTTCTGGAAGGATTCTGGAAACAAAACCCGTTTTGATTAAAAGTAAGATTTTGACTTGTCGAAGACTCGAAGCGAAGCTTTTGGTTACGCTATGTGGCTGGTGTGGGAATTGCGGCAAATGATAAGAGAAATCTCCCATCACATGATTCGGGAAAATACTTAATCGCCGGAGGCCTAAGACTGGTAGTCAGGGAGGTCTTCCCCAAGATTAATACCCCTTCGTACCTTCTCGTGCTCCCTTCTCTTCTTAGAGCGTGGGTTGGGGTCTACCCCTAATATTACAGACTGTAATCTTACCTCTTAGGGTATTAAAAGAAATACGCTCTCTTACGCGCTTTTATATCCCGGGGGGCGGGGGAGATTTCAGAAATCTATCTTACATAGCTTTCTGTCTTTCCTTATAGAGAGATCTTCCTTTTACTCTTTGCATTTGCACCTGCCTGTGCGGCCCCTGGTACCTGGTTTCTGAGTCTCAGTGGCATTTCACGTGTAGGGAAGTCTTTCCCACTTACTAAAAGTAGGATAGCTTCTGCCTGCCCCGCTTAGCAGGCCCTTTTTCATCCTGAACATCAAAGAAGTGCATCTCTGAGTTTTCGTACCCAGCAATCATCACCAAGTGACCCAGCGGTCCCTGCAGCTGGAGTTCGAAGTTTGATCTCCGTTGGAACCAATTATTGCACAATCATCTACGCCAACAAAATCGAGGTCTTGAGTGGGGTGTTAAAATTTGGTCATGCATAATTTCTTGTTGATGGGAAAAGAGACGGAAGTCTCTTGGGTGTCCCTTGACGGGGCATCGCCCCGAGCGGCCATTCCCGCCTTGGCATCCATTTCATCCCAGATTCATGAGCCGGGTCCACGCGTCTGGAGACGGGATGAGCACAAGAAACTTCTTGGGAATCATCAAAATATCTAGCGATTTAGGCCCCACAGAAGGGAATTACCTCAGTGCTTTGCAGGCTCTTGGTTGCCAAATGTTCATCACCCAAATGACATATAGTTAACGTCGTCTCCAATTGTGCTGAGCAATCACTATTAATTCATCCACTGTTGTCGGCGCTGGGGCCGGAAGAGGCCCAGTGGACAGCCCCTCAAACCCAGAACCCGGCGGATTGGTTACGACCCCCCCGGGAACCTTGCGAAAGCGTGCCGCTGCCGAACGCATTTGGTTGTGGACCAAGTTGAACCGAAGAGGATCTGATAAATCGTCACGTCGCTCCCGGCAAATCCGTTCCCCAGCGCTGTCCCCTCTATCGCTCGGTCGAAGTTCCTTCCGCAGCGGCCGCCAGCCAACTGTTGTCACCTGCTTGTGAGACACCGGTTCACTGAGGCAGTCTCTTCAAGACAGCGATAAGTCAAAAACGGAAGATCCAAATCGACACAGCAGTGATGTTGGCCAAGTCAGTCTGCTACGGATACATTGGGAACGCGTGCGACGGCAGCTACTTTTAAGAGCAACGCGGAAACCTCGGCAACCGAGTATAGGAATCGGGATGTATGAATATATTTGGCGTTTGGTGGTTGGTGGTTGGTCGTGGAGCATTTTTGCAGCATGAGCGATTTGGGCCTTGGGATTAATGTTTGGAACATGCATACTAGTGTATTTTTTCTGTGTGAACATAATTTATGGAAGTGACTGATTCTACTTTGTAGTCTTCAGGACAAGAAATAAGACTCAGTGGTAAGGTACCTCAGTATCCCCAACACCATGTGAACCCTTTGAGGTAGGGCGTCTTCAGAAGGGAAGAGTTGATTGGCCCCCTAAACTTCGACGTCATCGAGCGCCCCGCCTCACATGAGCCACACAAACCTGCTTCACCCCCCTTAAACAGATCAAGTGATCTAGATGTGGCTTATATCTTCCTAAAATTTAGAATACCCTTAACAACGATCCATCTCGATTTCCACCCAAAATATCAGAACCCCACTGCTTCAATATGGCGTCAAAATCACTCTCATTCTCAAACCTGGAGCCGGAAGCGCAACAAGAGGAAGAGGAGGGGCAACAACCAAAAACTCCTCGGAAGGTGGACCCACCTTCGCCAAAGATCCTCAAGAAGAAAAAGCCTGTGCCAATTCCAGAGCCAAAAGCGCAACAAGAGAAAGAGGAGGAGGAACATCCAAAAATTCCTCGGAAGGTGGACCCACCTTCACCAAAGATCCTCAAGAAGAAAAAGCCCGCGCCAATTCCAGAACCAGAGCCAGAACCAGCAACACAACCCGAACCACCCCCCAAAACACCCTCCACGCGAGAAAAGCTCCTCTCCGAGCTCTCAGACCACCTGAAACGCGCTGAGCAAGCCGCCGCTCTTGCCTCCGCCTCTCGAGAGTTCGCCCAATCCACTCAAGATGAGGAAGAATCCGCCCACGCTCTCGAAGAAGCGCAAAAGCAAGAAAAGATTGCCGAGAAGGAGATGAAGATTGCGAATCGGTTGCAGAGTGGGGTTTGGCAGGGAGGAGCGGCCGGCGCGGGGATGGGCGCCGGTGTTGGTGCTGGACTCGGGACGCTGGTCGGGAGTGTGGTCGGTGGTGTCGTGGCGATTCCGACGACGGGGTTGGGGCTGCTGGGGGGTGTGGCTGCGGGGGCGGTGCATGGGCCATGGGTCAAGATGCCTGGGGTGGGGAAGAAAGATGGGGAAGAGGTGGAGACTGAGGAGACGGTTGTAGAGGAGGGGGGCCGGAACGGGAAGGGATGATGGGTTGTGTAGGTGATCTGGAATTGTTTTGAATGCATTTTGATTTCTTGCCCTCTTTTGAAGCTTGCTCAGAGTTGAAATTAAACTTTAATTCATCCAGATACAGGAGGGGGGTGTCTGAAGTCAATCCCTTTCCGAAGTTTAGTGAAATAGGGAATTGTCGGATGAGCTGAAATAAGCGAGCGGAGAAGAGGGAAGGGGAAAATGGGAAGTGTTAGTAGGACGCCTTGTGAAGTTATGCGCGAGAATTATAAAGCTTACCGAAAGACAACTATTGCTATTGTAAATGACAAAACAAATGGACTAGGGGGGGTAGCATAGCTAAATTGCATAGTATCTTGTGAACTAGCACATTATCATGAGTATATGAAGTGAGGATATCTAGGTTCATCAGACATTATTCATGCCAGTCTCCAGCAGCAGTCAATAATCAGAGACAAAAGAGAAGCATCCAAAAAACTAGATCTGTTCGTCGTGAAGTCCGTCAACAGCCGTATACAAGTGATCATTTCTCATCCTCCCCAAATATCAGACTCCAACTATGCCAAAGTCTTATGCACTTGTCGTAAATGTTGCTTAAGATGATCTTTCCGTGCAAACCCATTTGGTGCTGCCCAAATGCAAGTTGGAAATCTACAGTGATGTTCCTTTATCCCTGAATGGTTTTTCAGATGTCGGGCGAGCTCGAATTTCCGTGTGTAGGAGCGGGTACATCCGTCAATGTGACAGGCGAAGTTTGCAGAACTAGATTAATCAGATATGACTGTCAAGGAAGAAATGATGAACGTACGCTCGTCGGTTGACATTGGGCCTTGAGATTCGCGATGCCGTTCGAGTTGGTGGCATGTAGACTTGGTGGCTGGAAGATCTTGTCATTTAGACCACGGAAGTTACGACGTGGAATTTGATGTTTGCTTACGGTGTATTGCCGATCATCGGATCTTCTGAAGTTTGAGTTGCGATTGAAGTCATGGACCTTGCGGCAGTGTTGGGAGTGACGGCCAGGGGTGGGGAGTGTGTGGGGTGAGGTTCTTGCTGCCAAAATTCCCAAGAAGGGGCTTGAATCATCGGTTGAGGTAACCAAAAGCCCGTTTTATCGGTAGCGGAGGCTCTGTATGAGGTTTTTAGTTGATTCCGGGCTTGGGAATTGCGAGGATACCTACTCGTCATGGGTAGTTTGCGTAAATGTTGAAGGAGTTGGTGCGGTAGAGTCGAGAGACGTAGAAGTCATCGCATAATTATGGACATTCTCATAATCTGTAACATTTAAAGCACCTTCCCCGATATCAAACGATGGTATATAAAATGACGAGGCTGTATTGGACATCAAACCTCCCATATTGTGCTCGCCAATATGGTGACTCGAATTCCCAGTCTCGTTGCTTGCTCCCTCTCCAGATTGAGAAGGATTAAAATACCCCATGCAGTTGGATGACGACTGAGATCCGAAAGTTTCTGCGACTGGCGTTTCGTCGTAAGGAGAAGTCGGGTGTGAGATTGATGTCTCGCCGTTGTTTCCGGTAATGTTTACAGTTAAGCTAGAGTAGATCTGCTCATCAGGGCACTCCTTGTGCGACATTTCTCCACTCTCCTCACACAACACATTGAAAGATGAGATATCATTATCCTGTCCCATTTGGGTAGGATAGAATAAAGGATAGAAGGACATTGTGCTAGGAACAGGTTTGAAAGCTTGACTTCACAATGGTGACGCAATAATCAGACTCCTGGCATGAGAGAGTGCAAGACGAAGGATCCCTTGGAGACTTGGGTCGTTCTGTTGTCCCGACTGCGGCAGGAAACCTTCAGCGTCTGTGAGGGCTTCTCTTCTCGGTTCGGGAATTGGTCCAAGAGCCACGGCTTTGACACTTGGTAAGTCGGTGATATCCCAGGAACGGTGTTCCTATCCTCTGGATTATTCAGAACTAGACAATTGGAGTGTGTCTTCAAAAATTCCAGGCTTCGGTGTAGTCTAGGCTTGTGGTCTCGTCAGCGGGTGACGGTTTCCTTGAGCAGCCTAGGGCTGACATTGATCCGGGAAGTGTATAGCAAACTCTGTACCCAAGCTAGCGTGCTGTTGTTCCGATAAATATACACTCTTGAAGCAATAACAAGCTTGGTGATCGTTTTGTGAAAATTTCCGCTGCAAGTTGTTTCAACAGGTTACCACCGATGGTCAGGTAGATAAGAGCTATGCAAAGGCTATTGCTCCGTCCCAGTCCTACGGCAGGAAGTGTGTTCTCTGGCGATGTATAACCTACCAGAATCTTGTTGCCTGGGATTTTGACCACAAGACTAGATGGCCATGAGTAAAACTGTGGGGTTGGGGAGTTGCGGTGGCGTATGGGTTGATTACTTTCTATATCGACTCCTTTGGTGCATGCACATCGGTCGGATGGCTTCCTTCTTCGAAACCTCGCGAGGGGATCCGCCTTTGAGGCTTGTTTCCGGGAGACAGAAAACAAAACAGAAAGCAAAGAACAGAAAGAAAATCGCTGTCCAGGAGAAAGAATCCGGTAGCCCTTGGAAGCAAATTCGACAGTCCAAGGGAAGAAAGGCGGAAGTTCAGAAGGGGCCGATGGAACTAGACAGATTGAGAAGTTAGTAATTGCCGCTGGTCAAGATGGAATGGACCCACCGATGCTCATGTAAAAGTCCCCAAACGGATCATGGGGGGACGGGAGGGAATGAAAAACCAGGCAAGGAACTGGGTTTGATCTCGGGTTCAGGAGCCACAAAATCAAAGCCAGGGGAAATCCTCAATGGAAATCGGGAAGCAAGCTCTGGATAGCTTGAGTGAACATCCAAGCCGGCAGGCTTAAAGAAAAAAAGTCGACCCAGCGGCAGCTGAGATCTCCTATGGGTACTAAGGCCACAGCCGAATGGCTTGCTGGAGTCAATTATCGCTAAATACTCAAGGGATGTTGAGAACAAATCCAGGGGCTCCTGATGGGGTGGTAGAAATGAAATCCTTGATGGCCTGAATTCTTTGGTGACCTCCTCGCGGTTTGGTACCGGATGTTAGCCTTAACTGGTACTGACTTCCAAGCTGGGTAGCTTTCCGGAGTGGATGCTGGCGGAGGTTGAGATGAAGGAGGAAGTGGCGAAGGAAATAAGTGTGGTGAAGGGGATAGTTCGGTGCCTAGACCTTGTTGATGACGTCCCGGGGAAGGTGAAGAAGACGCAGGAGAGCAAAGCACGGCGTGTACCTTAAGCACTGGAAGCACCCACACCAAAATCCCGCCCTTTTTTGCCCTTTGCCCTTATCGCACCATCCCCAAGCCACTCGGGCTCTCCTGCAGGCGCTCCAGGCTAGACGAGGTCAGCTCCAGGCCCTCACCGAATCCGCCCAATCGCAGCAGTTTCGGATTTAAAGGGCAAATGTCAGCCCCTGTATCACCAGCTGACAGATGTTGGTTGGGCTGAAATGAATGATTTCTATTGCTCGTGTGCTGCAGATGGACCAAAACACAACGTTGAGCGGACAGAATGCAAAGATTAGGAACGAAGAGGTCTGGATTAATAGATGAGAACGAGCCAAGCATTGTTGAGATTTTGACCCCGAAAAGAAATAGCGACCGTTGACCCCATACCAAAATAAAAACTTGAATCCTGCCTCCCAAGGAGATCTGAGCCCAAGAAATAAAACAAGCCGCGAAATGCAGCAATTGCCCCAATGCCTTCTATCAAGAAGCCCCGTGGACCTGTCTTAGGTGTTGCCTGAGGTGGTCTTTTCTGGAGAATCCGTTCTGGCCCGATCTTCTGCAGTTCGTGAATATGCAAGCGTGTGGTTTGGTACTCGAATGTACTCTTTTATGCCGCCGCATTTCATGAACTCTTTTGTAAGAGCGGTGACAGCCGTCGGTATCACAGATGAATGGACCAGAACTGGAACAATATGTTATCACTTGTTCTGAAGTTCTGAACCGAGTGACTTACGGAGGTATGGTAGCGCCAGGAGTCGTGCTACTTTTCAGGCTGCTCTCCTCGGAGGCGCTGCATCGCTGAGGTCAGAAATATACAATTGAATGTGAAGACAGGGATCCACTTACTTCACTGAATTGAGCAACTGGGATCCAAATTCTTGTAGAGAGTTTGACGGAATCGAAGGTGATCCGCAAGTCCTGAAGACAATGAGTTGGAATGTCTAAGGATAGCTTTCGTAGAATAATCTAAACTCACAGAGGATTTTCAATAGAAAGCACCTCTACTAAGTTTAACCCAGAAGCATAAAACGACCCGTCTATCTCAGTGGACCTATTGAAGTGTGAGCTTAGTCCGACAAAGGAGGCGGCGAACTTACGACGGAGGTGATGGAGTTGATTTCAGATCGAGAGAAAAGTGAGAGTTGTTCAGCTCGCCGCCGCCGACGGATACAGAAGACAAAGCTGAAGCCGCCGGACTCTGAGATATGAGATAATCATCCAAGATGCCAGAGTCTTTCGGAGATTTTTGGTAATCATTTGCGATCGAGACATTTGAATGCGGGGTTGGTGCGTTGCTGCGAGGGTACGATGTGTTTGGAAATCCTCCACCCATTCCAGATCCTTCCAACCACCCCACATTGGGTGCTGACTGAGAATCAACATCGCCTCGTGCATTGATGACAAGCCCTGACTCCCAGCCCTCAAACTGTAAGCCGGCCGTCTCATTCACTTCTTCCAAGAAGTTTGTGTAAGTATATGGTCTAGAGAGCAACGTTCCATTGGCTCGAGCCGGTAAAGGGATAAGACATCAGAAACGAGGAGTACGAGCAGTTGAGCCCCTGAACCACGTAAGCTCTGGTCTGAATAAGGGTTAGCTTACCTTTCTTGGTGACGTCGTGACTGTTCAACTTCTGATGAAACAAAACAGTGCTCAAAGTTAGATATCTCCAACAACATATCTGCTTGTTAGATAGTCCAAGTCAGGTGATTCGGGAACAGCTATGGAGAGAATGGTATGGGAAGGGGTGTCCGGGAAGGGGTGGTCCAGGAAGGGTCAATTTTGGATCCTGGACCTCCGGTCGGAGATCAAAAAGGGCCGGTGTGGGTCATCAAGTGGAAGGATCAAAGGAAATTATCAGGATCAAACTCAACCAACTCATAACCGAGCCCCGTTTCTGATGTCTTATGCCCTATCCTGAGATCAGTGATTTAAGTAAATTGTCAGTTTCTACACCGAGATTGGATGCGATAACATTGGGTGACTCACAGGAGATCGGTATTGCAGAGCGGACAGCACCGGGAAACAAAATGGTTTGCTGTCCGTTCTGCACGGTTGGTCGTCGATGCCATCTTGAGGACGGTCACGGCTCGGCGGGAGCCTATATGCAACACCTTCTGCACAGGTGGTATATGTCTGCGTCTGCGCGGCAGTATTGGGTTTTTTCAGCTCTGTGACAACAAAGTAACCGTTTCCGCCCCCAGGGTTATTAGCCCCTTGGTTGGTACTTTGAATCGAAGGTGTGCTTGAAGAGAGAAAATGAATAGCGGCGACTGGATCTATTTATCGAGATGCGCTGTTACTGTAACCGACCTTGCCCATCCCGCCCTTTCGCTAAAGCCGCCTTCTGCGTTCTGTTACTTGTGCCCATCGAGATGCGCTGTCAATCGGCCTTTCCCATCCCGCCCTCTCGCTAAAGCCCGCCTTCTGCGTTCTGTGTCTTGTGTCTTTTGGCGTACCAACCAGAACGAAGGCCCAAGCCACGGGATCTTAAATCCAATATGATGATCGGGAATCCATTTTCAGGGCTGAAATAGGATAGCGAATCGGAGAAACGTCAGAAAGATCAAAGAGAATCGTTCCAAAAGGGCATTTGCCACATGAACGTTGAAACCATGGAAGGGGTGAAGTCAAACATTGACTGGGACTACCGTAGAAAGATGAAGCGTTAAGGCTACGGTACGTTGGACTCCAGTATTTTGCAGCTATGAAGCCCCGTCGACGCTGGTTGCCCGACCTTGGTGCTTGAATATTCTCAGCCGCGCCCCTCTTGTTGAAATGAAGCTTGATTGTTGTGTTTTCTATGGAAGCTCCGCTTCCTTAAAACTCTGGAAATTACGACTCCACTTAAAGTGGGCCACACAGAGCGCACAGCCCCTGATTTTCAACACCTCTGTCATCTCTCAGTTCCAGCGACAGAGGGAAAGACGATGTGTCGTCACGTCAACTGAACAATCGAACTCCTGTGCTAGAGTCAAGTAAATTCGTTCCTATATTCAACCATTTATCCTTGTACAATCGTGGGTGGCTTCGAGGGCAAAGACGATGTTCGTGACAAATTGGCGTTGCTAGTCAATCCAGAACCGATCCCTTATCCCCCGGAAAGACTATCCATATTCCACCAATTCCCATCAACTTCCTGCCTCTGATGAAAAAAGCTCTCGGCCAAAACCGCCAACTCATCATCGGAATACACCAGTGGACCCATTACCGCAACATCAGACATATCCTCCAGACTCATCTGCACATTCGATCCTTCCGCCATAGTCGCAACAGGAGTCAGGTTCCCGAATTCCTGCCTCTCAACCCGAGTGGGCTCTGGAAGAACAGATGTCTGTGCCATTTCTGTCCTGGATGCAGGGAAATTCGAGTGGAGTAAAGGCCCAAAAAGTCGGCGTGCAGAGTCGGGGACCTCGCTTGAAGATGCGTATTCTAGGACTTCGAAGAATTGACCGAGGTCAATGAGGAGTTTTCTGTTCTGGCGGGTTGGTACATCGCTCGCGACATGTGTTGAAGAGACTGTTTCACTCAGTCCTTGGAGTTTATCTGCCTGTTCAAGTTTGTCAGTGAAGTAGTCGATTCTGTCGAGAGACTATAGCACGTACTATTCGCCCAACATGAGGCCATTGGACGGCAAGACCCCTGATAAATCTCAAGCATTTGGCAAAGCTATCTTGCTTTTCTTTCCTCGTACCGGGGTCATCCACAACACTTCCCTGGAGGTATATAGTGGCTACAATGGCGACGCAATGTCCCAAGAATGGGTCAGTGACTTTGAAACCCTTTGCTTCGAGCATCTCGATGAAATTGATGATCCATGATGTATGCGAGGAGATCAGATCAGACGTATGCTGCAAGAAGATCTCCGGGATAACACACTTCGAATTACGTAGTCGGAGCGATAGTAACAGCGGATGGTTGAGTAAACACAAATTGGTGTGATATAAAAACTGAATAAAAAGCCATGGTCCCCAGTAATCTCGATGTGCATTTAACTCTTCCAACGGCCGCTGGGAGAAGTTGGCGGGCTTAAATCGATGCATCCACGGCATTCGTGTCTCGAATTCCATTTGCTGTGCTAGAATGGTAGAACCATCTGATTGTGAGGACCAAGGAGGGAGGCTGCTTGGTTTCCCGCGCCTCCATGCATATCGAGTGGTCTTGAACCACACCTCACTCAGTTGGATGGCATAAGCCATGATGCCTTGGTCTGAAGACGTCTCCCCATTTACACCCTCACGCCCAGGTTGCTCACTTGGCTGACCAAGATTGAGTGGGTCGCACGGAGTAGCTGGATACCATGGATAGTTGTCTTCAGCAGCAAAGTCAAGTACCGTGAAGTCGGCTCCGTGTAATTTCTTGAGAAGAAATAGGCCCCAGAAACATCGCCGCCGCTCTTCTTTCTCGTGATCTGAGATTGCCACAGGTGCCTCGAATGTCAGTCCAGCATTATGGGCCAGGCTCATAGCCAAACTGGTCTGGACACTTGCACGGCGGGTGAAACCCTCTAAATAGTCATGAGCTAGAAGTCAAATCCGGGAAAGAGCCATACCTGTAAAATCGATGAGGCTTAGGAGACAGAGTGATTGAATGGTAGACAGCTCCACGAGACCATCCATTACTTTCTTCGTGACAAGCACCCTCGCTGCTTCGACGTAATCTGTGACGATTTTTGCTTGGCTCTCGTGGTTCGATCCATCTTCGTTGAATCGCAACGTAAGAGCAAGTAGAGAGAATAAAACTTCAGACTCTCGTTCCCTGAGTCTCTGGACAAACGTGGAGCGGTCGAATAATGGTAGGGGCTGGCAGTCGCAGTACAAGAGGTAATTCTCCCCAGTGCTGAAAATGATATCCCAGGGAGGGAGCGTAGAATTCCTTCTCACTTTTAGAAGAACGATACATAAATGTACGAGAAGGGGACTTACGTATCAGGTGGTCTTGAAATCGATCTCGGCCTTAATTGATGCAAAGGATCTGCGGGTGAGTCGGACAGCTGCTGTGATACGGTGTTGCTCAAGGACGCTTGATTGGCAAGTACCTCAGCGAGTTGAGATTCAACATGCATCAGGCGATCCTCCTATCTTCCTGGTTAAAAAATAAATACGACGGGAAAAGATACAATGGCAGCTGACTTACTAATCTTCCGTCCGTTCTCAACGTTGCGGAATGAGGTTGAGGTGTTGGCGAGGCGCTGGTCGCGACCCTCTCATGTCGTTCATCAGCGTAGTAGCAGTTCTGACGTAGTCGAGTACAATGAGAACAATTCGGCTTCTCTCCAGGGCATCTTGATTTCTTGCGGCTATCAGGTCTAATCAGTAACTGGATACATCCGAGCTATGAGAACGGGGTACAAAGGCTCACCGGCACGGTTCACATGCCTGTCGGACACGTTTGGCGGGGCGCTCCGAAGACATCACGTTCTTGTTTTCTTCCCACCACCATGATTTTCATCCGGATGCATGCTGGTGGCGCTCAATATGAGTATCCCAGGGATGGCGGAAGACGTGTTGTTGGTTTTGTCCATCAAAATTGGAGCCGCTAACTCGCCACAATCTTTGGCAAGGGTACAGTAAAATACTTTCTACTAGGCCATTTTAAGGCAGTACCAAATATTACCCGAGAGTAGGGAGATAAAGGAGGTTCCACTTGATAATCACTAGTTGCGATTTATAGTTTCGGTTCAAAGGGTATAAATTAAACTTGATCTATTGCAGAATCACAAACCAACCCTCAACTCAACCCCAGCTGCCGCAGCCTTCTTCTTCACATCCGCAGGCATATCATACTCGTTCATCTCTTCTATGGTCAACTTCTTATTCTCATCCACCACCTTGTATAAAGGATTTGACGTATTACTTGAGAAGCCAATACGCTCTGTGATGTTTACTCTCGCCCTTGCACTGGCTTCTTGGACACGAGTTGCACGAGGTTTGCGGACTTGCTCATAAACTTGAAGTCCTTTGCTGATGTCTTCAGCGGTGTTTGTGAAAGAATAATCCTTGCTGAAAACAAGACCAAGGGCCGCAGCGTCTTCAATCGCTTGACATGCGCCCTGACTTTGGTCGGGCATCATTGGGTGTGCGGCGTCGCCCATGATACAGGTTGTTCCTGACTGCCAGTGGGGATATGGTTGATGAACAAATAACCGCCAGGGTTTGATATCCGTGGAGTTCTTGAACAATGCCAAAAGGTCTGGGTCCAACGTTCCGAAAGGCTCGAGGAGTTCGTCCACGCCAACCTGGTGACTCCATCCTTCACCAGGATTCTTGGCCTTTTCAACTGGAAAAAAACAGTAGAATGAATGGAGTTGTCCCTCACGACATGGCGAGAAAACAATCTTGTCGATCCCTTGGCCACCCCAGTATTCGATTGATTCGTTTGGAGAATAGTCGTGAAGACCGAGTTTGTGGATATCCTCCGTAGCAATGATGCAGTGAAGACAGTGAGAAGTCGACTGTTTTCTGTCGGGAATGATGCCTAATGTCTGTCGTACTAAAGATCCAATCCCATCGGCTCCAACGATCAAGTCATGCTTAGCTTGCATACCATTTTCGAAACTGATGATGCCTGCTTCATGGTTGATCTCCAAGGCTTTGTGGTTGACCTTGAGAATAGACGGGATGCCTTCTCCAGACTCGCCCACGGCCGTCTCCATCAACATTGCATGCATATCGACTCTGTGGAACATGTTGTAGACCTGTGCCAGCAGTCAGCACAATTCGTAACAATTTGGGCGACCGTAACATACATATCCCCATCTTTCCTTGTAATCCGCAAGATCGTATATGTTCACATCATTACCCGTCTTCCAGTCGTGGGAGATGAGCTTCTTGAGAACCACAGGTTTCCCCTTTGGGATGTCCACGCCCCAACTTTCAAGCCATCTCGTGCCGTTTGCCGCGCAACTAATTGAGGCGCCAACTTCTCCAGCAAAATCTGCTCGCTCGTAGATTGTTACTTTGTGGCCCGCCCTTCGAAGTGAAATCGCAGCGCATAAACCTCCTGTTTCACAAAAGGTGGTTAGTTTAATGGCATTCGAGATTTGGATGGGAGGAGGCCTACCAATTCCGCCTCCAATAATGGCAACGTCCAGCACCCGCCAAGCGTTCTCAACTGATCCCATTTTGGCAGTTTAGATTCGAAGAAGACAAGAAATGACTGAACACTTGTGTAACAGATTGGAGGTAGATGGCAAGACAACTAAAGGGAAATATACAAACCTGCGTGGGGACTATGTACCCACCTTGAATGCACCACCCTTCTCGGACGGACACCTTCGTGGGCCGCGCCCACCTAGAGATAGGATAATGGCGGAGTCCCACGCGTTAGTAGCTGGCAAACTGAATCCGCCTGGCCTCATCATGTTGTGGATGGTGCGGTTGAATGTCCTGTTGGTTGGTGAGAGACGGGTGCCGTCCGAATCTTGGAGGTCCGGAAGAGATCCGTCTCACAAGCCGGTCACGTGCTGGCAGCTTCGCTGACCCGAGAATTCTCCGTTGCAAATTCTCCTTTTGGCCAGCACAAACCTGGAAGGCGGGACGGTGTGGACAGTGGGGCCATGCTCTCCACCGAAGCCTTCTGGAAGCTCCCTGATGCTCCACATGGCTGGCCACTCACGGTTTTTACCCAGTTCTTGAGAGAAGCCCTGAGGAGGGCTTCACCGGAAGATGGCCCAAGACGTCTCGAGTGATCCGGTCAGGAGGGAGCTCATTTGTCATTAACAACTGTCTAGTCCGACAGCAAACACCGAAAGAGTGGACAGCACATCTGATGCGTTAAATTGTCTTGTTTACATTCTTACACTGCATTCGTTTGAATCTCTATCTATGCGGTCCGAAACGCCAATGATGCTCTCTTTCTACAACTATGTATTCTGCTCTCGAATCCTCAAAACGAGGCTGCGTTTTTGGTCTCATCGCGGCTCTGTCTAAGAAATGGGAGCAACTGTGTTCCTCCCGTTCCGTGAAGCTCTTTCTCCGGTGTGATTGACGAGGCAACAGCTAGGTTCCGACCAGTGTCTTCCTTCGGCGCGTATTGCTTCGATGGCCTGATGATATACCGGGCGATGATCTGAATATGGATGTCTCTGAATTTGCGGAGTTCGTTGACTGCAAAATTGTAGGCCTCACCGAGCTCGGGTACGCTTGTCTGGGCAGCAGCAAAGTCTCGGATGCTAGCCATGGATTCTACTCGTTGGAGAAAAGTGCGATGTGATCGCGGCATGTAGTTTCTCATTTCCTGTTATGTTTGTCAGTGGAAGCTCCCCTGGGATTCCGGTGTTCCTACCTGGAAAAACTGGTTCTTGGAACCCGAGTCTTTTGAATCCCAGTGCTCCACCCCAAGGACGACGTCGCAAAACGCGATGAGAGAACTTTGCGCATTACTTCCGCCACTGAATTGTCGCCATTCTCCTTTGCCGTCGCCTTCGTCATAGAAGACCCCATTCGGAAGCCCAGCCACAGCCATGTTTTTGCTTCCAGCCAAAAACGGCCGGATTTTTTGATAGAAGACATCTGGTGCACATTTCTCATTCATCCTTTTCAGTATGGCACCCATTTCCCGAACACAATATCCAAACTTGACAAGTGCTGCTAACACTATGTGGGAATTCTTCGTCCGGACAGCAGCCATCGCGTTCAACATTACTGGGATGATCTCTGCACCATGTGCTTCGATCGCAACAGAGATGAGATAAAACCACTCCTCATCTTCAGTCCCGGTGAATGTATGCAAAACCTTGAGGTTCTCTATCCGACTCAAGTCAGTTTCGGATGAAGGAGCTTTGAAATTCCAGAGGTTGAGTGCCGAATATGTGGCTGTGGGAGGCAGTCCAAGGTACGAGGCTATTTCGAGGAAAGGGACGGAAATTGATGGTGGTAGACGCTGTTCTTGTCAGATGGCAGCTCGATCGAGTCTAAGGATTGCTAATCACCTCTGATGGTCCTCCGCCCTCAGCACTATTCCAGATATACCCGTGCGTGAGAAATGAGAGCACTTGGTATGCTCTTTGCCATTCTCTCAATGTCTGCAAGTGCGAAGTTGACAGCACTGGCAGGTTGTCTACATGGCAAATAAGTGCCTTTCTTTTCAGGAGAGAGGGCAGCCGTTCAATTACATCCTCCCAACTTGAATAATATGGATCGCTCAATCTATGCAGAGGTAGTTCGTCTGGCAAGAAACCATGTCGAGGCGAGACACCGAACTCGGCCATGTCAACATCGATTTGAGTTAACATTCTGAAGGCAGCTAATGACGAATGCGGAGTTCAAGAAAGGGCAGAATTTTTGTTGCTGTTCTTAAAGGAAACTTGTGAGCGAAAGTTGGGAAGTTGTATGGACAACAGGAGATGCTTTTGTGTAAAGTGACACGAGAGTCAGATGATTCTCACGTCAGGCAAATTAATTATGATTTCAAACCTTTCTTGCGGTCCTTCTCTTGGGAAGTCTCTCACGAGATCGGGCTGGCCCGCCCTTTGTCGCTGTTCACGGATCCGGAAGCGGAGGCGGAAAACCTCAAAAAAAATTACGAAAATATCGGGCAAAAAACCTTTCACTAATGCCACTAGATAGTTGCCGATGCATGCCGGTACAATCGAAAGTGTTGAGAGCGGGGTACAAAGTGAGTGAGGTTGTACCCTTTCTTTTCGTCTGCACTATCATCAATATCATTTTCAAGAATCACTGCTTATCATGGGTTCAATCGGAACAGAAGACCTTCAGCGAACTGAGAAGCCGACTTTCCCAGGTGAAGCAAATACTTTAGAATACGCAAAATCACTTGATTCAAAAGATCACTTGCGTTTATTCCGCCAACAATTCAAGATTCCTTCAAAGCCAAACATCAAAGCAACGAAACTCGTCAAGCAAGGTTTGCCCCACTAACCCCTCTTTCACGTGACCATACTGACATTTCCTCCAGAACAATCCGATGACCCATGCATTTATTTCTGTGGTAACTCTTTGGGCCTCCAACCTCGAGCAGTACCAGAATTCATCCAAACCCAGCTCGACACCTGGTCAACGATTGGTGTGCACGGTCACTTTCGCCAGCTAGAAGACTCCCCCCTTTCCCAATGGCAACTACTAGCCGAGCACGCCGCTGCAAGATGCGCACCCATTGTTGGTGCTGCCACCTCAGAAGTAGCAATCATGGGCACCCTCACCATGAATTTGCATCTTCTTATGGCTAGTTTCTATCTTCCAACCGCAACCAAAAACAAGATCATTCTGGACTGGAAAGCGTTCCCCAGTGATCACTTTGCCATCGAGTCTCAGATTCGAGGCCACGGGTATAATCCTGATGACGCAATGACCGTGATTGGGCCGGAGGAAGGAGAGTACGAGGTCTCAACTGAGAGCATTTTGAAAGTCATCGATGAGCACGCTTCTACCGCCGCCTTGATTCTCCTCCCTGGAATCCAGTATTACACTGGACAACTTTTTGACATCAAGACGGTCACTGCATATGCACAATCTAAGGGTTTGATTGTAGGATGGGATCTCGCCCACGCAGCGGGAAATGTACCACTGCAACTCCACGACTGGAACGTCGATTTTGCAGCTTGGTGTACATACAAATACATGAACGCAGGCCCCGGCTCAATCGCAGGGCTCTACGTCCACGAACGACACGGCACCGTCGATTATTCTCAAGATGCACAGAAGCCCGTGTTCAGACATCGGTTGAGTGGGTGGTATGGTGGTGATCAGGCGGGACGGATGAACATGGATAACCGTAAGTCCTTCCCAATGTCTCGTGAGAAATCGGAGTTGATATTGGCTGACTGTATGATAGATTTCCGACCCAGTCCAGGGGCATCAGGATACCAAGTCTCCAACCCCTCAGTAATCGACCTTGCCTCCCTCTGCGGCGCCCTCTCCGTCTTCAACCAAACATCCATGTCCTCCCTCCGCCTCAAATCCGTCTCCATAACCGCCTACCTCGAATTCCTCCTCCTATTTAACACCGACGCCCCTACCCGCGCCTTCCGCATCATCACTCCCAGCAACCATGAAGCGAGGGGTACGCAGTTGAGTGTTCTCTTAAAACCAGGGAGATTAGAGATCTTGATGGAGATGTTGGATGAGGCGGGCATTGTGGTGGATAAGAGGAAGCCGAATGTGATACGTGTGACGCCTGTTCCGTTGTATAATACGTATGAGGAGGTTTGGAGGTTTGTACAGATTTTTAAGAAGGCGTTGGAGAGGTGTGAATGATTAAGTGTGTGGGATAGATATAGATGGTATATAATCAAGATACAGATCTGAATTTTTTCGAGCCTTGGAGGCCAATCCTTGACTATTGGGGATTACTTGAACAGGCAAGGATATTACAGAAAATAAAGTTCATTGTTCCTACACAGGCACATTCGTGGTCGATTTTCGCCTCCTCTCACCTTGCCCACAATTGCAGTCAGCGTCCTGCTAACCCTCTCGAATCCAATCAGTCTTGGCCCCCACGGAGTTCCAGCAGGAGGCTAAACCAGTTGCGCCGCATCCGCGTAGGATTTTTCTTTGTGCCAATCAGAGACAAGACGTTCCCGCTCTTAGTCCTGATTCAGGATGTTGACCGAAGTAACTCCTCGAGGGCTGGAGAATCAGCCGGAACAAGCTATATATTGGGGCTTAGTCCCAGATCTTTATCTGATCTCCAACGACCGCTGAGTGGCGTAGACAACCAAAATAACGCACAAGCCTTTGGCTGCATTAGTTGCATCAGGCGGGTATTCCGAGGTACCGCTAAATGACAAGAAGCACCATGTATCTTCAACCCACGAGCCTCTTATGGTCCTCGGGAACGGAACATCATCCAGCGAGTATGTACCGGGAATGGTTGAAAACCAACAACATGAAGATGTTTCGTTCCTTTCCGGAAATCTGCAGACCGGCGGCCGTCAACTCCTAATTCCCGGTAGATGAATTTACTGGAAGGTTGCCTATCCTTCCGGTAACAACGTTCATTCTTGGAGCCGCTTCTGCTTTAGGCCATCACTTTTTACACAAGACTTGTGGTGGCAGAGAAGTAGGAAACACCTCAGAGCAAGAATGGGTCATTCGCAGTGATACCGCTCTGGTATTCCTGACCAAAACCTTCTCGGTCAGTGCCTTGGCGATGGCATATATGCGCAACATGCACGGCTTACCTTTCGGAAGAAGTTTGTTACAGTACAGGCCATTGATACGGTTCTTACTACGAGCCATAACCTTCTCTCATTCTCAAATGGGGAGATGTATTGGAAAGACAAAACCGCAACCATACTTGCTTTAGTTATATGATAAATGTACTTACACTCCTGAGAAGAACGCTTTGCTCAATATCATATATGATTTTGTCTATCTCCTCGATTCCAACTCCAGCTCCACGATAAGATTCTACGGGATGTCCGAATTCCACGACCCAAGACGCCATCTACTCAGTGATAGGAACCGGTAGGTCATATGCTGCCTTTACACCCGAAGTCGTGACGCCGAAGACGGCGACAAAGAGCCCTTCAGTCGCTTGGACCCTGTTCCAGACCGAATACTTCCGGTGCCAAGCGAGGAGATCTGAATTGGCACGAATCCAGCTTACGGCTCGCCGGTTTTGAATAACAACAAGACCGAGTTCTCGAAGTATAGGTATGTCGTCTGCGCCATCTGCAACACCTCCTACACAGTGGATTTTGACTTCTTTCAAAACCTCCAGACGGTCCGTTTCCAGCACGTCCAACCTATCCAAACAATGGGGCGTCCCGAGCCAAATGCCTCCACGAGTTCATTCGATGGCAAAAGAGATATCAATGAACAGCAGATCAGAGGACAAATTACAACACAGGGATTCATGGCCACATCGACGGGAGCAACCTGGGATACATTGGCAGACGCGGTCGTTGGATACGTACAGGGAGGGTTCGATTTACTCACAATCAACACGAAATTTCTACAAACCAAGTTTGGCCATGGACCTGACTTGGCCATCGGTACTTTCGATCATAATTCTGATATCCAGGTGCCGTACCCGAACTTGACGCTTGAGAACGGCATTGAGGAGCTGTCAAGAAAAGCCACCCTTAGTGTGTTTGCTCAAGGTGATTTGTGGGTCCCCATTCCACCTATCCATTTTATCATCTCTTTCCTCCAATTCCACAACTGATTCTAATGCTACCGGTAGAACTGGCCACACCAACGAAACGGTTTTCTACTCCTCTGAACGCCTCTTCTACACCCACAACTCACACAATCTCCCCATCCTACGGTTGTGCCAGCCTCGTCGCCCTTCGTGGTGTCTCGATGGGCTTCTGGGCTTGCACCCTCCAAGGCACAATTGATAATGCAATTGATAATGCTGCGTTCTCGACAATATTCATGGTAATGAGAAACCTGGAGTTGAGAGATATCGTGGGAAATGAGGGGGATAACGATGTTCATCAAGTTCCGGCTTCGCTGAAGCAGACGAGTCTTAGATTAGGAAGGGTTTTGAGGAAAGGATAAATGGGGATAGGAACGAGAAGGCTTTGAGGGATGTTTTTTATGTTGGAAGCAGCGATTTTTATTGTTGAGATATAAGAACATGATATAATAAAATCATTGAACAATTTCTCTTCTATTGAAAGAACTGCTGCAAATCTTCGAAAATTTCCTGAGCTTGGATCAATAAAACATAATTCGTTCTGCCTGCACCGCCCCGCCACCCCCTGCTAACACAGGGATTTTAGGCACTTTCTCCCTAAACCCCCAGATAAAGCCCCGGATTCTGCAGTTTATAGCGTTCAAAAAGCCTATAAATTTAGGGCTTCATCCGCTATAGATTGGCATGACAAAAATTGCAACAAAACTCGGGGCTTGATCATATTAGTCACGAGCTCACAGCAGATCGGAGGAGTGAATACTACGCTGTGATTAAGAGGAGATTCAAGGTGACGGTTCGATGTGAAACTGGAAAAGGGGTAAATATTTGGCTCGCTTAGCAATTGTGCGCCTTCTTGGCACCTCCCCACTTCTGAGGGATTAATTTTCTATGCCTCACATCTTATTTCTCAACTTTTCAATTCCACCATAGAGACTCATAATCTTATGAGTGTTATCTAAACCCCAAAATGTCCACCCCTTTTAGTCCCCCAAACCACCCCACCTTCCACCCATCCTACTCGCACATCAGCAGCACGCCCCTTCACCCAACTAGCAAACTGATCACGATTGCGGGCCAGATTGGGCGGGACTCTACTACCAACACAACCCCGTCTGAATTTTTGGAACAGGTTGAAATTGCGCTGAAGAATGTGAAAACGTGTCTTGATGCCGTTAGTCCCTTACATCCCCTTTCCCAAGTTCAATGATTTAAAGATCTCTGGGCGGTGGTGGAGGAGAGTGGATGAAGGGTTTTCAAGGGGGCAAAGGAGCGATGAAGAGGCTGATGAGGAATAGGCGGGTGCAAAGAAAACGGATATTGTGATGGTGAGGCAATATATTGTGAGGATTGAAGAGCATGATTATAAGGGGCGGGTTGAGAGATATATGACCTGGATGGGAGATCATACACCGCCTAGTACGTTGATTGGAGTCGCAGGGTTGGCGACGAAGGAGATGCTTTATGAGATTGAGGTTATGGCTGTTGTTAGTGGGTAGTTTGGGGAACGGTGTTTCTGGTAGAGAGCATTGGCGTCCCAACCAGCCATCATTGATAATCACGGCTTGCTCCCCCTATTTCTGCTTCGACATCCGGCATTTGTGGCTGTCCTTGCAGCTTTGAAATTCCAATGACATAACTATATCCTCATTGTGAATGAATAAACAGAGTTTGGTACAATTTGATCCAACAACTTCTTCATCTTTGAAGCAGACGATCTTCCATCATTCCTCAACTGAAGGTCTCAGTGATTTTCGAACTTCAGCACCGTGCTACCTACCCTCTCTCGCGAGTTCGGCTAATCTAATGGCATTGTCGGCACCCTGAGCATCAAGTCCCCACCTGGCCACTTCCTCGCGGTTGCTGGCCAAGTACTCGTTGAAATAGCCCTTAGCAATCTGACTTTCGGAAAGCTTGCGTCAACCTGGAAAAGCTTTGACACTGTATCAACAGTTCCAGCTAGAACCAAACCAATGATGTATGTGACGAAAAGAAATATCGGATATTATCAATGAACTGTCCCAGATCGGTGAAGGTGCTGTTGTTGAAGTGACTGCTTACGAGCTGCGAGAGCCTGAAGAGGTTGGTGAGTTAGGTTGGTGCCGTTGTTCCCCCCCGGCGGACATGAGGTCAGGGCCGCTTCAGCACGTTCAGAAGCCAAGTGGTGAAATCTGGGAACACCGCGAGAAGTGTTAATTAAAATGGAGAAAGTAACATTGCGAGCCTCAAATTCAAAGCTAATTAATCAAAGGATGAACGGGAATGAAAACCATCAGCAAGTGAGGATAGCTTTTGGTTGTGGCTAACACAAGAGCGGGGCCAATCCTCTCTTTATACACGAGTTGGGTGCCAAGTTGCAGCTGGTCTCAGAATCGGTTCATCACTGGTATAAATCACTCGAAACCCTCTTCTGCTGGTGTTTTCGGGGTTGGACAATCGATGGATCCAGTCAACCCGAGAGCGACAAACCCTTTAACTCAGCTGCATGGACCAGGAAAAGAAAAGAGGAGCTTGCAGAACTCGGAAACTGTCGAGCCATGTTGGCACTGAGGTATCAGAAGAGAAGATAATAGATGTCAAGATGTCTGCAGAGCGGAGAAGGGACAGTTGAGTCAGAACAAAAGCGAAAAGGCCCCTCTCCACAACTGCAGGAACTTCCTTGCATCAAAAGTGACATCGCCCAAGACTCGAGGGGGTGTTCCACGTAGGGCGAAGGAACTGTGCTTAAATGGTTATATGACTGGCTCGGGTTTCCCAAAGGCAGCAAATGAATTCTCAGCGAGCTTCCGAGAGAGGAAGGAATATCGGGTATTTAGAGCAAGAGCGGAACGCTCGCTATCGACCAATTGGAGGCACTACCTTAGAAAATGAGGGATTTCAAAGTTCGTGATCGGAAGGAACATTGAACTTGATAGACTTCGTGTAGACGAAAGTGAGTTGTAATTGCAATCATAGATTCGCCAATCCAGCGCCCCTTCCCTCCTCAGAAATGAAAACATAAAGTAAGGACAAACAACAATAAATCATAGCCAATCCGCATTAACTCCTAAAACAAATCCCCGAAACCCCCCTTCTCCTTCTCAAATTGTGATATTATGGACGTGCTTCAAGTGCTGCCTCAAATGATCCCTCCTCCGAAATCCATTTGCACCCGCACGATTGCAGCGTAAGAAGCTACAAGGATGTGGAGGGTTGGTCCCAGAATGCGTTTCTCTGTGGCGCTTCAATTCGGGGTAGCGCTTATACGATCGGGTACAGCCTGGGCTGTTGCAGGAGAAGCGGCCTTGGGAGTTCCTATGGCGGCCTTAGAGGTGAGATGGGAGAGGATCAGAGACTTTGTGACTTACGGTTGAGGGTGGAGAGTAGGGATGCTTTCAGAGTTGCCGTGGGGAAGGCTGTTGGTAGGAGGATCGTGATTCTCGTTGTTGGATCTGAACATGTTTTAGTTTTGGATGTACGAGGAAGCTGAGTTGATTGAAGCAGAAGATGAGGTTGACTGACATTACGTCCTCGCTAGGAGAGGTACTCTCTTGTCGTATGATGCTCGTATAATCCGCACTGCCTCAAGTTAAAATGTATTCCCATGATAGCGCACCGTTCAATTACTCACGGAAAGTCCATAAGATTCGATTCATGGCCCATAGTTTGAGTGCCCGATCTATACAATGGCGGAGTTACTCTAGTAAAAATCAGATAGAGCACGGGAACGAAAGGCAGGTCTTACGAAATGTGTCCGGGGTTCGAGATGAATGAGATGTTCTCGTCCGAGGTAGTGGGAAAAGTGAATGAATCGTTGTCGAAATAGTGAAGATCATCGTTCTCGAAAATGAGGGGCTCATGTCCTGTGAAACCAAAGTTGCCGTTGCTGGGATCGAAGCTGCTTAATTCGAATGAGCGGGGGGTGACTTCTGGAACAAAATTGGATTCCATCGAGTTTGCTGGAGGGATGTGTGTTGGGAGCCAGTTCTGTTGAACATTATTTGAAGATGGAGTTATGGCATCTGACCCTGAACTGCCTCCCGCAGCTGAAATTCTATCTTCAACAGGAGAATCCAACATATACGGGTCAAAGTCCTCTCCATCCATCGAAATATTTTCCTCATTTCCTCCATCTATCGTATTCGAGAAATTTGCGGATGGTCTGAGGAATCGATGCAATGATTCGACCGAGGTAAAGGGCATGAGACATGAAAGTATGAGGAGCATGGGCGGCGGAGCCCCTGCCGAAGGTAAGCGTGCTGTTCTAGAATATGGTGAGAACCTACATGCTTCGTTTATTCCTAGAATTAGTCGTAAGATTGTAGCTTTATAGCAAAAGACAGGGAAAGACTAGTTTTTACTCTTCTGGAAGGAAAAGCGAAATGTCGTGAATAGAGATATAATATGTGAAAGACGTGTAGAGAAATAAGAATCACAGTGAAAAATAACATAGAACGAATAAGACAGTACAGCAGCAAGCAAGAAAAGCTTGAAAAAATAAGAAGGAAAGGTCAGTATTATAAAACTACAGTTGAAGTTGCTCGAGCAAATCCAAACTCCGATGCCGCATGCTTGATCTCACTCTTTCATGTCTCATACCCTATTCTGTAATCACTGGTTAAGTCGATTGTTAGTGACTGGCCACAGACCCGACAGTTCTAGAGCGCATTGCGGAGGACGGACAGGACATACCGAATAGGTTGACTGCAAAGAGGGCAGCTTGCGAAACCCGGCCAGTTGGAAACCACGTCCTCGGAAGTCATGTCCTTGGAAGTCATATCCTCGATTCCGATTGTTGAAATAGCATGCAGGACACCAACTTGGCGTTCCATACTGCCTGTGCAGCCTGGTCAAAGTCTTCCAAATAGTGAGTGAGGGCGATGACAAATCCAAAAAGTGTGGCCGGCAATCCGATTCAAGTGAGTCTTCGAGGTTCTGGACTCTTGGTAAGTTGATGGAATCTTAGGCTCAAGAGATGGGGTCGATCCAGACTGACTCTGTAGTGGACCAGGGTCTTTTCTTTGTCGGTGATGGCACTGGTCCTGCTTATGGCATGTTTGAATGTGATAAAAAAGGCTTCAGCAACTCCTCGCGTGCTGTGCTACAAGAGTACATGAATGATATAATTTCATCCCAGCCTGGGAGTTCCGTTTCTCCTCCCAGCCTGAGAGTTCTGTCTCTCCTCCTTCCTTTCTTCCTTCCTTTAGGGCATTCCTTTGAGCTTTGTGAAAATTCCTCGCAGGGGATTTGCGATTCTAGGGCGTTACAGTAAGGGTATATAGAGTGCAGTCGAAACTCCTGGTCTGGCCTCTGGTCCAGGCGTCAGGGAATTCCTGGTTCGGGCAGGTTTGTGGAGGAGGTTTTGATCTTCCAAAAATCACACCGAACGGTGGGAGCGCGATCCTTAATAACTCAGCCCTCAAGGCTCCGCCCTACGAGCCACACCGAGTGGTCGCCATGCATTTCGTGCTTTGCCGGTCAAATCAAAATGCTGCGGTCGATTGTAGGGCTTTCCGAGCCCTATTGTTGCACGAGCAAGGCTCCGAGAACATGAAAAAGCAGAAAAGCAGAAACCAGGGGAGAAGAACGAGATCGAGAAACGAGCGAGGATGAACGTAGGGCTCAACATGGCCTCTCGCCCTATGAACCGTATTGTAGCCGAGTTGGGATGTGACCGATGGTGGTTAATGACCGTAAAAGTCCGCAGTACTAGGATAGAAATGGTTGATTGGTCTCTTAGCAAGGAGCTCGAATGTTGATTTTAAGATATGCTAATTAACATTAGTAATGCAAATAGGATGACCTTAGTCTTCCTTTCCATCCTCTTCTTCTCTTCCTCTGGCACGGGCCTCTCAACCCTCACCTTCCCCTCTACCACCTGCCCAAACGCACTATGTACCACCTTTTGACCCCCCAACCTCCTCACTCTCCTTCCCAAATTCCCCTTTCCCATCCCTAAAAACCTCCTCGTCAAAAGCCCCACAAACCTCATTCCAGTCCAACCACTGCCCCTTATCCGTCCACACACCACCTTTCCCCCCTCTTAAATCCCACCACTTGTCGCCTCCTCCGGCTGCGGCTTTGGCTGCGATAGGTCCATCGGGAGAGCGGATGTAGAGACGCATTAAGGCGCGGGAGCTCTTGTGGAACCACATGGATTCCCAGAGTTGAGAAATGAGGGATTCTGAGCCGTGGAAGGTGAGGGAGGCGGGGACGGATGAGCCTGGTACAATGACGTTTGTAGCGAGGGAAACATCATTCCAGGTTGCTTGGTCAGAGTCGGTCGTGTCTAAAGCGGTAATGGGTGGGTTAGGGTTAGGAGAGGAGACGGTGTGTTGTGCGTATGGCGGAGGGCTGACTATGAGATCCGGGGTAACGAAATAGGTTTGGCGAAGATGGAAGCTGCTAGTTTGGAAGGAGAGGCGATAATGGAAGGAGGGTTGAAGGTTATGAATCTAATATCCTCAACACTGTTGTTCATGACCTGGAATATTGAGCTCTGATAATCGAGGCCTATTCCGAATTCGTAGTCTTTATCCTGTGGCAGCGTGATGTTTGGTATAATGGAGGTGTGGGATGGTTTCGAGGGAAACGAAGATGGCCAACCCGAACTCTCTTTCCGTGATTCGGGAGCGGCGTAGATTTGGCGGGCTACTTCTTGCTCTCCAAAAATCTTGGAGAAGACATATTGACTGCCGAATGTACAATGTCAGAATTGAAGGAGTTCGGTGGCTTGTTTGTAGATGGGGCGGAGATCGGAGACATGGCCCATGACCATTGAAGAAGCCATGTAGCTCGGGCGATTGTATTTTCCTCCGACATGTTTGTCCGTTTCGTCGCCGTAGATATCTTTTGGTAAAGGGGATTCGGGTACGAAGGCGCAAACAGGTTCACTGGGTTCGTTGGAGCATTCTTTTGCAGCTCCGAAGAGAACTTTTTGAACATACATCGGTTTCGAGACTGTACTGTTCATATCTTTGACAGTTCCGTATTTCTCGACCAGTTTGTTACTGGAGTCCTGCATGCCGTGAAAGAAGCGGCTGATAGTGACTTCAGCGGGAAGTTGGAACAAGTATCTGGCGCTGTATGAGAACGATATTCCACTAAATGCAATGTCACGTACCTTCTTCAACAACCAGTATCAAATCATCATCGTGCGCTTCCCTCCCAAGCAGAAAGTTAAACATATTCTGCAAAATATCTGCTCCAGGTCTTTCATTTCCTCCAGGCAATCCATAGCTAATCAGGGTGGGTGGTGGATAGTTCAAGATGGCAGCTGAAAGCATCGTCTTGCAAAGATTCGCCGTCGGCTTGTTGTACGGTATCAGGGGGTGGAACTTCGGTTTCTTGACGGAGTCTTGACCCATTCCCGCGGATTCCACAACGTCGTCCCATCTCGTAGCCTCGTATCCTTCAATGTGGTGTGCCAACGCATTTGCGACTCTCTCAGGGACGTAACTGCTGAGTGTGGCCGCGGCAAGGTGCAAATCGTCCTGTTTAGCAATAATTATTTTATGGCAACACACTGAGATCTTGGACGACTCACAGCATGTCGTCTTCCTAGCACCAGACACAAAACCGCAAGGACTAGAACTAGACTCAATAGCAGGCTCCGCCGACTCCTACTTGGGCGCCCGATTTTGCTCATAAGGTGACCTGCCACAACCTTTGCGGGCGCATTCCTTGGCTTCTTTGGAATTCCAGCAGTTACCCTAGGTGGAGGGTGGTGATTTTAATGCATGTTGTGGCAATTGTGTTGAAGCTCGGATGGAAATTTTTCTGGGTCAAAGATAGACCTAAGAATTGCGACGAAAAGAGTGCAGACCTGAGCAGGAGAACGGCGAGGTGATGTGCATCTCTACTAGGAGATGACGGAGAGATTTTCTAGATAAAGGAGCTATGAGGGATGAACGAATGTAGAGGAAGGAAGTTTGTAGAGCGCTGTAATGAAAGGAATGTGATGCAAGGAAATTTTTGACCGCCTGGTGGACGTCATTTGCCTAGTCTTAGGGCACGACCTTGAGCGTTGAGTTCGCTCCCCGCAATAATTTGAAGGCAATGCAATATGTCCTTCATGAAACTAGAAACAACAAAAGAGTTGCTCAACTAGAGCTCTTAATCTACCATAGCTCCGGAGTTGCAAATGTGGAGCAGCGCGGGCGTTGAGCCAGAAAGCGGGGCTGGCACCTTGGCATCATGCTCTATCATTAACCTTATCATGACCCTCTTAACTTTTGCAGTTGACTTATAAATCCATACCCCTGGGACCTATTCTCCCCAGAACTGACCTCTACGTCTTCGTGTAATGTTTCAACTCGCTGTCGGAGCCGCGAATCTTGTTCGGCTTCTCGAAGCAAGTCTCTGTGTCTATCCTCAACCATTCTCGCAAGACTTTCGACAAATTTTGTTCTTGCCCTTTCTTCCGCAGTGCCTTTCCAGATTATTGCTAGCTCCTTGAGCTCCTCAACTCGTTTTGCAGCTGCTTCGATTCCGTCAATTGGATCTCCTCCAATCAAGAGGTCTGCGATTTCGTCTCGAAGCTGCTTTGACACCTGCTGGCCCTTCTCTTCTGTGCTGTGCATATCCGATCCAGGCTCTGGCGCAGAAACAGAGAGGAAGGACGATGTGACCGAGACCTCGGAGGGTGGAAAAGTCCATGACATAGCATCGCCAAACGTCTTTATCACCGTTTCCAGTCGAGAGCGGACAAGTGTGAGGGTTCGTAGCTTCAGAATAAAGGGAGGGTCGACGATTGCTGGAGCTTCTTCCCGCATGGGCGTCTTTGGCACCGTGATGGTGGAGGACCGCCTTCGATGTCCATTCGTTTCGACCCGCGGCTGTCTCCGCGTACGTTCTTGATCCAACCCACCGGGCACGAACTTGGCCACATCGTCGTGTAGTCCTTCTGTCAACGCTTCGGATAGCCCCAATGTCTCTCCTCGAAGCACCTCCACTTCGTATGCTAACCTGCTGCCACTTCGCAGAATCTCATCGGTCAACTGGGTTAAGATGCTCGTCAGTCTCGTCGTGTGTGCACTGAGATGCGAGAGAAGAGTTTGGGTTTGCGTAGATAGTTCGGCCAAAGGCACGCTGCCTTTCGCAGGTTGGGAGACATTGGAGGCTTGGAGGGAGGGCAGAGTGGCATTCAGATATTCCGCAGGGTCGAAGGAGGGGTTGAGAAAGGGTTGCAGGGCAGGATCTGCGACGTGTGCTGACTTGGGCTCGAAAGTTATGGCGGCAACTGGACGATTCTGTGGCTGGATCGGCCTCGTAGCGGCACTGCTGTTCTGGCGCCTCCGGGCAGCCTTCGAGTCCCAGGCCATGGCGTTGGAGGTTGACAAGGCCAGGAGACGGAGATGGAGATGGATACAGAAACGGGTCTCGGGGCTGTGGTCCTGGTGGCCTGCGGTTGTTACTATTCCCAGCGCCAACCGGCTGTGGGCGCGCTAAAACTTAGTTGCCGCACTGACAGGGGGTAGCCCTGAAAAGCCGCAGGGATCAGCGGGGGCTTGGAGGGGCATCTTGTGAACGACGCTCGTTCACCGTGTACTGTCGGACCCTCACCACAGCCCTCTCTCGCCGTGTGAGGACTTGGCCACGGCTCCTGAAGCTGCTCCACGTGCCGGTGAATGGAAATTCACTTGAATTGACGGCTTCCCGCTTGGATGTCAGGGCTGGGAGCGGGTGGTGCTGATGCTGTGCGTTTGATTGGCCCCGCTTCGCCTTCGATGCCTAGACAGCAGCCTTGCCCCAAACTTCTGACTCCGACTCACAACCCCACCACAATCTGCCTCTCCATTTCAATTCCAGCTGATGTCCCTCTCTTCGTAGCCAGAGTCGAGGGCTCGACAATTCTTCTTCGTCGCTCTGGTAGCCTCCTCCTCGCCTTTGTCTGCATTCAATTTCAGAAAGATCGGCTTTCGCTGAGGAGCCTCGTCGACGCACCTCTAGAATTCCCATAGATTTACTCAAGGCTGTCCCGATTCGCTACTACCACTACTTCCCCCTCTCGAGAGAGCCTCAGAGGACCAACCCTCATCCTACCACACAACTGCATCACCCAGACCTACCTTCATCACCTTTCAGGCCCAGCGGTGGGCAAAAGCACCCCTCGACAAGATGCCCCGAAAGCAGTTCATTGCCGACGTCCAGGTCGCCGCGGACAAGAACATCTTTGGGATCTCCAGCGTTGTTCGGGGTGACGATGATGGCGAAGTCGTTGCCTGTTTCGTTCCTCCCACGGGGGCTTCCATAGAGATTTCATTATTGGCTCAACCTGGTACGTAGTGCCCGTCTTCTCTTTTATTTCGGTCTTGAATCCAAGGTGTCCAGTATATAGTTCTTACCTTGTACTCATCCCTTGCCTAACTCAGACTCCCCAATCCATTATCACAAGCGGCAGCGAGATTCGCGCTGAAGCTAACTTGTTGCAGATGTCGGTTCGTACCCTTCGGAGAGCATGTTTATGGTCTTCACACAGGCCGATCTTCCCCCAGCTGCTACAGCCGCTCTTGGGACCGTCTCCGATTTTTCTGCTGGCATGCGTCTTCCAGAACTGATTACGACCCTTTCCCAAAAGCTTCATGGTGCTTTTGCTACTGGTTCACGAGAGGCTCCGTATAGTATCGACGATGGATCAGATGTATCAATGGGAGGCGTCAATGGGAATGGCAGCTCCGACGAAGAATCCGACGAAGATCCGTATGCGGCCTACGATAGCGGCCCTGATGACTTCATCCCTGGAGACCCTGGAGCATCCTCGTCCGCTACTTACCACCTCAACGTCGAGGCTGCCAAGAAACTTAATCGACGTATCAGACACGACTTGCGAGCGGCGAAGATGGCCGGCTTTACCGTTGGCGTTTTGACCGGCATGAAGGCCGAGTGTGTGAGCAGTCTGGCCAGCATCTCCATTCGAGTTGCTCAGCTCGGACTTTCAGAGGAGGCCATCCAGGCTTGGGATCTCGAGCCGCAAAAATACATCGTACTTCTTATCCGCTATTCGAGTGGTTACAAGACTTTCGAGGCTGTCATCTCCGAGCCTGCGAAGTCCCACGACATCGCCTTTCGAGTCGGAATTTGCAATAGGTACAAACCAACAATTCTTGAAGCCCTGGCTGCGTTCACCGATGTGACCAAGAATATGGGCAAGGATGATGAGGAAGAAAAGCCAGAGGTCAATGATCAGGCCGGTTTTGCGAATCTATTCATCAGTAGCTCGCTGAACGAATTCATCACTCAACAATTAATCTCCCTCCTAAAGATCCGAAACTCTGTGGGCCTGGGCTGGGATGGAGCAAAGCGCTACTTCAATGATAAGCAAGGAAAATTCGATGAACGCGCCGCCGACCTTCCATCAACCTACTATGAGGAATCGTCCGAGAAGGACAGCACTCTCCCCACTGCGATAGCTGCTGATCATCTTACCGATCATTCAGCCAAGCAGATCTCATTCCCACTGATTGTCGCTCAGTTTGCCATGCGATACTTGGTTCGATGCACAGATTTCTGTCTCGTTTGTCACGACAAGATTGAGGAAGATTTCGAGGCTCTGAAACCCTACGTGTGCAGTAAGCCACTTTGTCTTTACCAGTACATGTCGTTAGGATTTGGGCCAAGCGTCGAGCACGAGATCTTGACTCAGCCATACGTTGTCGACCTGCTTGTAAGCTTCTGCTATGCAAGCGCCTACGTACGTAGCCCATCCTGTATTTGAATCTTCTACAACTAATATGATTGTAGAACCGTCGACTTCGAGAATATCCAACTGGCATGAGTCTAAGCGTCCCTCCAGTGACCAGTTCCGTAACTCGCGCTTTCGCCGCACATTCTTATTACCAACCTCAAGCCAACTCACCAACTGCGAATGAAACACAGGCTGGACTTGATGTGAAGCTTGACCTTAACCGTCAAGAACTTATCTTTGAAGAAGGCCAAACTTGCCCAGTTCAGGCAGGGCATTGGATTGTAGTCAATGTAGCTGGTACATTCACTGCCGCTTGAAGGGATTTTTTTTTTGGACAGTGAAACTGACATGGGATAGGCCGTCCATCAGACCATTACCGTGTTGAGGATACGTCTCTATTCCCGACAATCAAACTGTCTGATCTTCCGGTCACTCGTGTTGGCATGCCTCCTTCCCTGGATACTATGCAAGCAAACATGTTGACAGTTCCTACACCCGCCACGACTCCTCCTCCTCCTGCAATCGTGACTGCGAAGATGTCAGTTTACAACCAGAATTTTGATGACTTAGATGAGATTGGCAAAGCTGAAAGTATTGTGATGCTGCTGGAGACTTTGCCGCCAGTTAAGGAGATGAAGACTTATCTCTTGCAGATGAGCCGTTTCTCGGACCCCAGCCTTAAGACTTGGAAGGACCGTATATCGCCGGCTGCGTTGGGTATGCTGCGTTGGATCATCGCATCAAATCGTTCATGTTTGGTACAGGTAGATAGGTGCCCCGGACAAGATGACACCGAGGTCGTTATGTCCAAAGTCAGACTTGACCAGAGAGTATCGAACGTGACAGACAATTGGGTGCAGTTCCGCTTCGCACAAGGCTCGCCGGACAAGGAGCAGAGATTCCTGAATGCCCTAAGAGCCCAACAAGCAAACTTCGACCCACAATTCCCGTCCATATTCGCCTGGCATGGAAGTCCCCTCCCCAATTGGCATAGCATCATCAGATCGGGATTAGATTTCAAGGAAGTTTCACATGGTAGAGCTTATGGCCACGGGGTGTATCATGCACAGGATCAGGCTGTATCTGTTGGTTATGCTCAGCCAAACCAGGTGAGTTTCCATCCCGTTTAGGAGTTTACGTTGATGCCAATGTATGCATACAGGGCAATTGGCCAGGATCGGCACTTAAGATTACTTCAGCTATGAGCTTGAACGAGATCGTAAATTGCCCTACCCAGTTTGCAAGTGCCAATCCATATCTTGTGGTTCAGCACATCGATTGGATCCAATGCAGATACCTCTTCGTCCAAGTCAGTGCCACAGATGGTGGATTCAACTGTGCTGGGTCAAACACCGTGAGCCAGTAAGTCAGCCCTGCTTTGAAACGTTCTTAATTTACTACACCCTCCAACAAACTAATATCTTGCAGTACTTCCGATCCCTCTATTGAAGTCAAGCAAGATCCGAAATATACAGCAACATCATTACTTCGTAAACCAATCGGTGTTCCTGCATGCGCGGTCAAAGTTTCGAGAGGTTTCCGCATTAGCACGCAAAGCGAGACCCCGTCGAGCAAGAGACGTAAGAACGGATTTTCGGGAAGCAAATCGCCAATGATCGAGATGAGCATCGCTAGTGAGGGTGAGACTCTCTCTGATCTCGAGTTTCTATTTTCTGAAGACGAAACTCCTCCTGCGAATGAGGAAGGTCTATCAAAGGGCAAATTCGTTGCATTGTAAGTTTCCCTTATCTTCGTGAATTTAAGCAACTTCGATTGCTGACAGATGTTAGGCACGGCTCACCCAAGGTAAATCCGAAGTTGACCGACTTTGTCCCGGGCTCCTTAGACCAGTCCAGTCTTCCTATGTTGGAGCCACCGTCTTATGCTACTCCCACAGCCACGAAGACCCTCAACAGAAATCTGCGAGAAGTTCTAGAGATTCAAAAGAAGACGCCTCTCCACGAACTGGGCTGGTACATTGATCAGGAGTTGGTCAGCAATGTCTATCAATGGATTGTTGAGTTGCACTCTTTTGAAGCAAGCCTTCCACTTGCACAGGACATGAAGAAAGCTGGGGTGACCAGCATCGTCCTTGAAATTCGGTTCGGAAAAGACTATCCCTTCAGTCCACCATTTCTACGTGTCATTCGGCCTCGCTTCATGCCTTTCGCTGCTGGTGGGGGCGGCCATGTCACTGCTGGAGGAGCCATGTGTATGGAATTACTTACCAATTCGGGTTGGAGCTCGGTTTCTACGATTGAGAGCGTTCTTCTCCAAGTACGCATGGCAATTATGAACACGGAACCTAAGCCGGCACGCCTTGAACATTGCAGCAAGGCGCATCAGCGGGATTACGGTACCGCCGAAGCTATTGATGCATTTATTCGGGCCTGCCGTGCTCATGGCTGGACTGTTCCTCCTGGATTCCAGGACTTCGCTGGCCCAAGCGGATATTGAGCATATTGGGGTGTTAGTGGCGTGATTGGGAGAGAATAGATCAAGACAGTTGATTCGTTTCTTGATTTAGCAGCGGATTATTGCATGGGTATCTGGCGTTGCCAACGGAGTGAGGATTCGGCGTTTTATTTGGCAGTGCGCACTCACGACGGGATGGCACATTTTCCTCGCATCATTGGGCGTTATGAGCAAGAGAATTGGGGCAGATACCATACCTTGCGAAAAATATCAGTGAGCAAAACAATAGACACAGCAGATGAGAATTTACTGAGTTTGTGATCTCTGAATTAAGTTCGAGGAGGTAAGTATTCGACTGGTATGAGAGAGATCTTAAAAGGTGAAGACTTTTCAAAATTAGTACTCTTTTCAACAACCTTAGTATAGTTTAAATACAAAGATCTGCTTCTTTCCAGATCTTACTTTCTGATCAATCACGTGACTGGAAGATATCTACATAATCTGAATTTGGCTTAGCTTAAAAAAGGCGGTGAATAATTATGCCTAGCGCCGTCATGTGGAGGTGTTCGTCGCATCGCGCACTCTTCACAATACCAGGCCGATCCCATTGTCGCTATTGTCCTCCAGCCTCCAATGTAACGAAGACTATTATTAACGAGATAATAGGGAAGGACTTCCTCTTCTTGCCCAGATTCGAATTTGATTCTGCCTCCCTCCAACTCGACTTTTCCCTTCTCAAGCAACGACCTTCGAAATCGCGAACATCCTCGAGAAAGCTCCCACGTCCTCCCATTCTCCAATACTTCGAACAAGCATTTCCCCCTTCTCCTACACACCTTCTACATCTCATTCGCTGCTCCTGGGTGATCTGCGACCATCATGGCAACCATGATTCCTTCACCGGAGGTTTCCCCAGTCATAGGGGCTTCCCACAGAATCGATCGCCAGCAATCCAACTCCCCACCTCTACAAGAACAACAACTCTCCAAGAGAGACAAACGCCGTAGCAACCTTGCCAACCGTCTTGTCGAAATCACTGCTCAGTTCTCTGACAATCGAGATGTCCACTACCGCAATCAGCTCCAAGCTCTGCAGATCGACATCAACCTCATCGGAGAAGCTGATGCCCACGGTGATATGCCACTTCCTGACAGTCCAGCGGCCATTGATACGTTGGTTCGGGAGAATCTTCAAAAGAATCTGATGAAGGCTATTGGTGTCAATGTTCCCTTGAGAGCTGGTAGAGTTTACGCAGATTTTGCTAAGGAGATCAACGATGCTATGGAGGACAAAGATGCTATGCTGGCTATGCATAAGGTCCGCTGTCTTTACACTTTTTGCTTATATTGAACGCCCCACTAACTGGTCTCAGAGGGATTTCGATGTCAAATTGAGCGAACTCACTGCAGACTACGCATACCGACAGAAATTGGCCAGCAACGAATATCATGCTTTGTCAACCACCCTCCGCGATCGATTGATCAACAGTGTTACAAGCAAGAAGAACCGTTTGGCAAAGGACAATGCATCGCTGGAGCTCGGTGAGAATAGCAACGCTCTGCTACTTCATCCAAGCCAATTCGGTGTCGCAAATCCTGCCAGCCCTGGTGGTCTTATTGGCAAGAGAGCTACGAGACATCGCCGAGACGCAGATGATATACCAAACTTTACAGAAAGCAATAAGCGAAAGCGCAAAGCTCACGACAGTGATGAGTCTCCTGCTCCTACCCGTCAACGCATCGACAATGGGAATAGCACTCCGATCTGGTTTGCAGAACAAAACGCCCTCAAGAACGTGCAGGTTGACTCCGCACTCTACAGCGTCGAGAAGCTGTTCACGGAGAAGGAATTGGCCATGACATACAATGCCGCGGCCTTAGCTGCCCACTCATACATGCAACGTCAAAAGACATCCGAAGAGAACGATTCTCCACCAAACGGCAAGTCCGACTCCAGTTCCGAGAACGGGAAGGCGATTACAGCAGCCGCCGAAGCCGAACCTGAAGATGCAGACTCCCCACCTGGAGGCGCATCAATGGAGCGTCAATACTCTCATGCCACTCGCAGCACTCGAGGCGTAAATTCCTACCTGTCCGGATTTGGCATTGATGCTCTTGGCGACATCAGCTACCCTGGCACATTCGATGCTCTCGTCAAGCAAATCCCCAAGCTACCTCCACCTGGACTTGTATATGGCTCAAAGACTTATAGCAACAAAGACCCAACATCCGCGGGTTTTGCAGCAGGCATGAACGCCGAGGACGCCAACGCAGAATTCGAACTCATCAGGAGGGCGAGAATTTACAACGAGGAGAATGGGTACGGAAAAAATCTGGAGCGTGACGAAGGTGCAAGAAGTCTTCTCGAGGTGGCATCCGACACCAAAAAGCGATACTCGTGGGTCAAGTCCGATAACAAGGACCTGCTGAAGGAGGTCATAAGCAGCGTGAGAGAGGACGCCAACGAGGGCAATGAGCTTACACTTACTCCTGGCGGTGAGCAAATGTCGAGGCAAAACACTGGCGACTCGATGATCAAGACCACCTCGTCTCGAGGGCGGAATTTTAAGGGAAGAAATCCGGCATGAATATGGGGTGTAGGATTACATAGACATTTTCGATCGAACAAGCGTTGTTTGATACCATAGATGGATAATAAATGAACGCTTTAAAAGTTCCTCCTTGGTCGTCAATTGCTTACTGCCGTCTCTCATTGGTCTAGATACATGTGCAAGGCACCATTCATCATTTAGGCTGACCTCTTCCAACCTCGCGAGTGCAAAAGCCACAGTGCTATGATTCGCCGGCCAATGGGTTGCCTATTCCATCAAGAAGGGAAAAGGACGCGGGCTTCAGCCACACCTGCGAACTCGCCCCTTCTTGAGCCTGACACCTCAATGACTAAACTTACATTTCAAAAAAAAAAAAAAAAAAAAACTCGGTTCGTCTGGTTTCACCTCCGCTTCAAACTGACTCCTGTCTTGGGGTGCGCTGTGGCGTAAAGATTTTACCTTTTGCTTCTATATTTCCTCGGGGGAGGGTTGGTTATTGGTAAACTTTTGCAGCGCTTCCTATTTAAGCGAGTACAGAGACCCGTTCTGCCACCTCTGCAAAGCGCTTGATTTGCTGTGTCTTGAACGCGTTGTAAAAGATAGCGTCAAATATACCACAGCATGAAAACCGGCGTGGTAGTACGAGATGCTTCGAATGACGCTTCCACACAAAAGGGGCTGATTTGTCGGGCCCCTATTTGCGATGCCGGCTCGGGCCGGGCTCGCTTGCATGCCTTTCTCTTTTGTCAACCACACCACACACAACCACACACGCCAAGCAATGACGCTATTTGTAAACAAAATGTCTAAATCCGATTGGCCCTATTTACAGACAGAATACATAATCATCCAATTCAAACACGAAAACTAGAAATCAAATCATGCCAAGCCCCCCAGCTCATTTTCCCCATTTATCTTTCTTCACTTACTTGAAAGAAAAGGTAAATGATTGTTCAGGAATTAAAGATGGAGAAGGATCCTCTTCAAACTCCTTTCAAGCTTTCTTCGCACAAGCTCGAACATAGAGTGGTACTCGCGCCAATGACACGCATGCGAGCCTCGGACACCGGGATCGTTCACCCACGAGCAGCAGAATACTACTCTGAACGAACAACGCCAAATTCACTCTTAATCTCAGAAGGGGTCGTGATTCACCCTCGAGGGCGAGGATTCCCTAACACGCCTGGACTGTACAATAACGAACAAGTACAGGCTTGGAAGCCGATAACTCAGGCTGTGAGGGTGAAAGGTGGTGTATTCTTTGCGCAGTTGTGGCAAGCTTCCCTTCCATCCCTCCACTTGATTAAGGAGAGGTTCGAACGTTGACTGACGAGTATGGAACAGGCATGTAGGCCGTGTCGCCGTCCCTTCTCAAACTGGAGGATTTCCTCCTCTATCATCAACCAAAACAGCTTTACCAGACACCCACCCCCTCTTCGGCGAGAAGAACGGCAAAGAGCCATATGTTGAGTCCCAGGCTATGAACGAGGTCGATATCAGAGAAGTGGTCCAGCAGTTTGCAAGTGCTGCAAAGAACGCAATCGAGGCAGGTTTTGATGGCGTTGAGATCCATGGCGCGAATGGATATCTCCTTGATACTTTCGTCCATGATAATATCAACGATCGCAAGGATACTTACGGAGGTTCTCTTGAGAATCGTCTCAGATTTCCGCTGGAGGTTGTAGATGCTGTTGTCGCACAGATTGGTCGAGAGAGGACTGCGATTCGGGTTGCGCCGTTCCATGTGATGCAGCAGACGATGGATAGTGATCGGATCGCAACTTTCAAAAGATATTCGGAAGAGTTGGAGAAGAGAGGCTTGGCATATGTGCATATGGTGGAGCCGAGGTATGACCAGTTTAGCACCGAAGGAGCGTTCTCTGGGCATAGAGATGTTGTTGATCTGGGAGGGAGGACGGGCGGTGATGAGTTCTCGTTGTGGACTTTCAGGAAGATCCTGAACAGTACACCCCTTGTTGGGGCGGGTGGGTGTGATGCGGTGAGTGCGAGAGATGCAATAACGGAAGGTAGGAGTGCTTTCTCAACATTGAGATTCGCTGGCTGATTGTTTCATAGGGAAGGTGGATCTCGTTGCATTCGGCCGACACTTTACTTCAAATCCCGACTTGCCCAAAAGGCTGTTTGAAGGTCTCCCCCTTACGAAGTATCAACGGAATACTTTTTATACGCCCGGAATGAAAGGATATCTTGGTTGGAGTAGAGCAGATGGTTTCTGAGGTACCAGTCTAGCGAAGACAGCAAGAACAGCCAGCACAAACAAACAATCGCCTAGAAATCAATCTAGCCAAATGAGACAGAGATGTGAACAGAAATGATTAATGATAATAGAGTCCATTTTGATTCGGGCTGGACCAATATGCTAGGATCTTTCTGGATATGGTGTGAGAATCAATAAACATATTTGTCAAGCTAGGATGAGGTGAATACGAGGCGCTTGCCTTCAACGGGAATGTAATCAATCACGCAAAGGTAATATGATAAGCGGATCATATGCAAGATCAAGAAACTCATAAAACGTATTTATTACCCTTGCTAATGATCAATAACGCCCCAAATAATCCCCAAATCCAGACTAATCATTTCATGGACCAAACACCAAAGCACGAACCTCAATACTTTCTCTGCCAACCGCTCCTTCCGGGGTTCTTGGGTCCTGGAAGGCAGTATGGGGAACTCTACCTCCAAGCACCTTCGTTCCAGGCTTCCGAGCTTCACTGTCGAAACACTCCAAGAACAATCTCTCATTATTCTTCATTCCGGACAGGTAATGCCACTTCTGGCCTGGATTGTATCTAATACCTGCCGTCTCGCCAGTTCGGTCTGGATATCTGTGTTCGATGGGAATAAGATCTTCATCCCTCAAGGTCGAAGAGCTGGCAAAGCCAAGAGGATTGGCTTGGACTGGGCCATTCAATGGACGCCAAATATTGATAATGCGGTATCTTCCTTGCAAGAGCTTCTCTGCCTCTTTAGGGAGATGATGGTGTACACGCTGTGTGGCAGACTTCACGGTTTGATCGATATGTACCCTTGTTACCGGTGCCCGGGGTGCTCCGGCAGTGGAACGGCGGATGGTGTGATCGAAGATGAAAACCTTATTTGTTCCTGGCACATGATCTAGGATCAGTTTCTGTACTTCGGGATAGTAGTTTTTCTTAATTGACTCATCGTCAACGAAGTCTCGCTCGGCAGATTCAGGGACGTTGGAGACGACTTGAAAGGCGTCCTTGTCAAGCGTGTATTGAGATTCCTCCCCTCGAATATCGCGGATGGGGACCTGGACATCAAAGTTCCCGAAATTCCGTTCTGGATAACGGGCGAGTCAGCAATTTCTCGATTAGGATTGTTTCGGGAGGGGACATTGTCTTGGGAGAATTTCATGAAACAGTCGAAAATAAGAAAGGGCTTCTCCCCCAACACCTACGTGGCTGTCCCTCAGGCGGTTGCTCGACGAAATTGAAAGGAACGGACCCGTCCTCCGGCGGCCTAAAATAGTTCAACGTAACTATGGTATCGCCACGAGGAATGGAGCTGTTGGAATTGCCATTCGTTGAATATGCAGCCTCGGTTCGGGCAGATTGTGAGAGATTGTGAGCCACGGTGGCTTGCAGAGGTTGTGCCGTCGTCATGACGCTACGGTTTTTAAGTTGTGGGAGCCGGGGAGGAGGATGGAAGACCCTTGAGGTTTTGTTGCTGCTGTTATGAACGAGCTGACGCTGGTCTGCTGTCTGTAGACTGAATTGGCTATGGGATGAGGGGAGGTTAGCTCTACGGAGGATTGATGGTAGCAATATATATGTGCACTTGTGCTCGATGGTTGCACTTTGTGAAAGCTTTTGTCAGCTTCACGTCATTTGATTCTTAGAAATCAAAATTGGAGAAGGCGTCGAACGACCACACATCCCCCGCATGCACGCCAGCTCTTCTGCCGAGGGAAGACGAAAATGGCGCCTTCTTTATTTCTGAAAGGGCGCGCCTCGAGCACGCAATTTTGGAGAAACTGGTGAAATGTCTGGCTGATGTCAAGGGTGGGAGAATAATCCCGACCAAGAGTGGCGAGACTTTCCACTTTTATCGCCGAAACTGGTCACGTGGGTCTTCGATAATATGGAGGTCCTTTCTAGATCAAAGGATTTACTTCAAATCCGACTTCTTATATCATTTTCAGAAGGCCGGTGGGCTCTCAAAACAATCTCCCAACCATCTCTCACCAATTCCGGATCCTCCAGCGGCTGCAGAAACCAGTTTGCCATTTCTCCGTTCCCTTTTAGCTGCCATTCAAAAAAGCTACGGTAGCTTTCCCAAATAAGCCACCATTAACGCTGCTGTACGTTCCCATATGTCCAACGGGAAGGTTTAACTTCACTGCGGGTATTTTGGCCAGAAAGTTTTGGTAATCCCTCTCACACTGGCCCCTTGATTTAGTCTGCCGCCTTCGGGAACACTGGACGAAGATGTCCATTACTGTAAGCTATATCCGTGACTCCACTACAGAAGAACCCCACAGGAGCATGTCGAAATTCGTGGTGTTCTCAGCGTGGACCACTGTCGAAGATGGCGGTCAAAGTGACACTCTCATCCAGGCTGGCAGAGTACCCTTGGAGACCGTCGTAAGATTGACCTGCAACTACAAGGCGTGACTTCTCAACATGCTCCCGTTATTCTTGGCCGGCATATTGATATATCCAGTCGATATCATTAGTTATATCAGGGTTTTTTGTGGTACTAAAAATTCCCGCGCGCTGTGCAACTCTGTTTGCGATGAAGTAGCCGTGTAAAGGTATATCTGTCAAGGCTTTGGAGAACCATCCTCCGTAGCCTCTGCAACATCCATTGGCCCATAAGATGACAGGAAGCGTGTACAATGCCGGAAGAGTATGGACATCTTGTTGATAGACGGTGTGCCTTGGGAGGGATGCAATGAATGGATAAGAGGCTTTGTAGGGACCACTGCCACCTCCTGATGTACCGCCAGTCACTCAAATCGTTCCTTTTAGCATTTGGAGGGGGCGCCTCAGGTAATACTTGAAGGTGCCGTGGCAGGACATGTGCCAAAGAGACCAGTTTACTCGGAGCTCATTCCAACTATGCGAGAGTATCCACCACTGCCCTTACTTTGGCTGCCCTGCATGGTGTCTTCATCCGCTGAGCGAGTAGCTTCACGAGCTCTACAGTGGGATCGAAAAGATGGTTTTCTTGTAGAATGATGGAAAGGTCAAACTGTAAAACAAAGATTGTACAGCAACGAAAGAAAATAATCGTCAATGACATGGTGAATAGAAGGGAAAGAAATAATTAGTTACGCTATAACAGAAAATGACGAGGGGAAGAAACCAATGCGTTGGTATGCGATGCTGCGAGGTAATGTCGGTGAGCCTTGTTGGACTGTCGCACGAGAGCTTAGCTGAAACGAACTTGAATGCAAAGAACCAGGCATATCCGTATCTAAGAGAGTGTATGCTTCGGTCACTAAATCAAGAGCACATAGGGAGAATCAACAAATGAAAAGTAAGAAATCTGCGGGGGGACTGAAAGATGGACTAACTGCCTGAGTTGCTGCACGCTGCTCCTACCGGGAAGTACTGTGCTTGGGCATTGGCACACTAATGCCTCGATCGGCCAATAAAGACGTGAATATGTCGTTATGCGAACTCCAGTGCAAGTCCAGACGATCAGATCCGCAAAGTGGAGCCAGGAGAGCAGATGGTTGTCAACTACACGTGACCGGGTGATTTTGCGAGGTGAGCTAAACCGTTCCGAGCCGAAAGTAAACAACATCCCGGGCGGCAGCATATTACCATGCCTCAAACACAACAATTATGAATCCTTCATATCTCGTACAAAATTGAACAGAGCATCGATTAGGCGCCCATCAATTCTCCAACCTTTCCACCTCAGATCACCCAGTACATCAACAAATACAATTCAATCCTCAATGCGATACGAGCAAACATGGACGAAGCTCAGCTGTCCTCGCCGGACCCCCTCAATGACACGCCAACTTTCCACTTACCCGCAAAACCGCGACGGTCCTCAAGAGTCCGACACAGTCTGCCACTTCAAGGTAGCTCTCCAAAGAAGCAGACTTTCGAGCTAGATGTCGGGAACGAGCTCTCACCGCAGAAAATCCGAGTGACTGTTGAAGCCGGGGACTCGGACGCGGAGAATGCATATCCGGATTATATTGAAGGCGGATCTCCCACAAGAGCTCCCACGCCGACGAATTGTAGAAGGGAACGCACTACGACCACAAGAATACCTGTGAAGGGACTTTCGGATTCAGAGGACGAGACACAAGAGCTCGCTACACCGAAACGTGGCAGGGGACGACCGAAAAAGTCTACTGGGACTCCAGTACCGGCGAAGAAGCGCGGACGTGCGGGCACACCGACGCGAAAGGATGGAGGCAGGAGGAAATCGATTGGTGATTTAGTGGATGGAGATGACTCTGATGATGTCAATTTTCAGATTGGCAAGGGAGTTGAGATTGCTAGAGGAAAGGGAAGATCACGGTCGAGGTCGAGGTCTACAAAAGAGACTTCGTGGAAGTCTACGCCAGCTGCCAGACAGACTGAATTCTCGGACAAGCTGATATCGAGTACTACAAGTAAGAAAGGAAGAGGCCGGAGGAAGACCCTGCTACCCGAAGAAGTTGTGGTACTGGAGGACGAAAGCAGCGGACACAATGTTGACAATCAAGAAGCTGAGTTTCCAGAGGCACTGGAAGACGTTGATTCCAATAGCGTGGGCCCTCCATCTATATATTCTACCATTCGATCAACGACCACAGTCGGAGGCTATGAGCCGGACATTACGCTTGCCATATTTGATCCGGGAAATGAAACTCCACACAGAACGGGATGGTCAAGCCCGCGGATTGTCGAAGCCCTGATACCCTCGAGCACGAGGAGAAGGGCCAACAGCTACCCTTCACCCTCAGCATCTCCAGAAAAGCCCCATTTCAGCCAGTATGATGAAGAAAGTGTTGCAATGGCCCCCGCTCCGCTTTCCGATACACGAGAACCTGTGGAGACGGAAAACTACGATAATGACTTCGGAGATGGTCGGTACGAAGAAGAGAACGAAGATGGCGTTGGTGAGCTTCTTGAGTTTGATACAATTCTCGAGAGCGAGGGTTTCAGCATGATATCCGTGGACTCAGTACCTTCTCTCAAAGAACATCACAGCAGCCCCGCAAATCGGCCAGAGATTGATATGTCTAGACCGCTCAGAAATAAGAGCCTACTTTCAATACAGGAAGCAGATGCGGCCAGTCAAAACGATTCCTTCTCGAGTATTCCAGACGACGTTCTCGAGGCAGCTACTCCTGGTAGAAAGGCACAGAACCGAAATCTACTTTCTGTTCAGAACACTAGGGTAAATGATTCCTTCCCGAGTATACCGCCTGAAGTTCTCGAAGCTGCAACTCCAGCCAAAGTATTACAGAAGAGAGATGTTTCGGCAGAGAAAGCAACGCCTACCGAGAATTATGAAGATTCCTTCTCAGCAATTCCGTCCGCGGTCTTGGATGCAGCTACACCTGCCGCCGTTCACCAACCCCGACCAAAATCCGATAGATTGAGTGTGCCTGGTGCACGCCCTAGTGTTTCTCCAGCAAATGAATCAGGCTCAACTGCACCTCGACTACCGACTCCTGAAGAGACTCCTTCCCCACCTGCAAATAATCATGATCCTGCACCAACATCCAAGTCATCATCATCTCGATCTGCAGGGCGGAATTCAGTACAGAATGCTTCTAATGATTCATCCATTGTCCACTCACATATGCCTTCGTCTCCGCCATCTATTGTACCACGCAGATATACGTACACAGCTCATCTTCGTCAACAGCGCCAGCTGAATCCAGATGTTACTCAAACACCATCCATTGTGTTTTCCTCACCGTCTTTACCACCGCCAATACGTGGTGCACGAGGCCAGCCAGCTCTGGCTTTGGCACCAGAACAAAGTCAACGCCCAACACTTTCTCCGACTGTTCGTGCTGGACGTGCTCTGCAACATGTCGTTGTGCCTTCCTCGCCAAGAAGCCGCTCCCAAAGCTTAGGGAGCCCATTTAAAAGCCCAGCAGCTGACAGAAAGTCGCTTTCAAGCGCATTACGGCAATCACGTCCTTCCCCTTTGCAAGAACGACGTGCGGGACCGCTTCCAAGACTTGATTTAAATTGTGAACTGGCTGAAGTTTCTTCTCAGAGATGCCTGTGGAAAGGTTCGAATCCACAAGAGGATCCGTTCAGCAGCCATGGCCTGTCTCAGACGAGGCCGCCTTCTCCCGTAGAGAAGCAGCAATACAGTCTCGACCTTCCGGATCAACACCGTTATTCTGACCCTCGGCTTTCCCGCATTAGATCAGAAGCCGATTCACCCAGAAGTGATGCTATGAGCTGGCAAGCTGAAGAGGAGATTTCTCTGCCCGAGGGGACGACATCCATCTCTAATGTCGCGATACCGGCGGCCAGTTCGCGAGGATGTTTACGGGGGAGTGAATGCAGCAGGAATAGTGCAATGACTTCGGAGCAAAGATATGCTGCAGAGAGAGAGGCAGTGAGACAGCAAATTGTCTCCGCTGATTCTAGTAAGGTCATTGTAATTGACTCAGACGACGATGAGGTGAATGATGATCATGGTCACGAGGATGAAGATTTTGACCTGCTGTTGGAGACATTGAACTCTTCTTCACCAGCAGTTCAACCGCCACAGGAGCCCGTCAAGAATGCTCTCGAAAAGACAAGACGAAGCAAGATACCAAGCCCATGGAGAAAGAACAGTAAAAGACTGGTCTACAGCGATGAATTATCCCGACTTGACTGTCCCATTGCCGGAAGAGTTGCTGTTGTCAAAGGCCTCGCGAAGGACTTAGTGACAGAAATCGCATCTCAACCAGTAACAGTTCGGCGAATTGTGACGCCGATATACAGTGATGAGACAGATCCTGCTGATCTCTCCGGATTCCAAATACCACAGAAGTCAAACTTCAAGCCTCGAGTCCGCGAAAGCAATCTTGATCTTTCCGCACTGCTTGCTTCACCTGAGAAGCCTCTTCCAAAGCTCACTACAAGCTCATGGCAGCCTTCGTTTCAGCAGGATTCTTCTTCGAGCCAAGTGTCCTGCACAGAGAAGCCCAGGGAGATTCCAAAATCATCTGAGGCTGGATCTGGACATGTCACTAGATTTACACCAATTCCTCAAAAGTCTGGTTTCAACCCCCGAGCTCGGGCAGAACTTTCATCCTCGCCCATCAAGCAGACGTCTTTTGCTCCTACCATTTTCGGCGGCCCCATGAAAACCAGCCTGGCTCGTACCCTATCCAGTTTACCACAGCCATCTTCGCCAGTCTCCAGGCCGCTCCACAGTTCATCTCCGAGCAGAACCAACAGTCTCTCTGCTCTGCACACCCCCTCGAATCAACTATCCCCATCAATGTGCAGTGAGGAGTCTCATTCTCCTTCGCTGATTTCAAATGAGGAGAAAGAAAACCAACCCACACAAAACCGAACCCTGAAATGGACCGAATCTCTGCGTCTTCAATCAACCACCGCCCTTGTACAGACCCCACTACCAACAACCTCGCCCACCAAGTCTTGTCTGCGTTCCCCTCTCAAGACTCCCTCCGCCAACTACGACTCTGGGAAGGCAAGTCCAAACAAAGAAGTCACTTTTGTCTCCTCGTCACCCATCCCTAATTCCCCAGTCACCGCGCCTTTGTCCTCAACAAAATGGTCAAAAGACCATTGGCGCCTCCTGGACTCCATCCTCCAGTCATGGAAGCCAGAGAATCAATCACCTGCCTCCTCTTCTGACTCGTCAGGAGAAGGAAGCAGAAGCGAACAACCAAGAAAGAGACGCAATTCAACGAGGGTGATTAGTAAATTGTTGGGCAAGAAGGTGTCAAGTCAAGGCGAGAGCATGCGTTTCGAGCAATGGCATTTGGAGGCTGTGGATGAGTTCCGTGGCTGCGTTCCAGGATGGGAGGAGAAGGTTGTTGCGATGAGAGTGTTTGCTTTGATTGTTGGGGAGGAGAGAAGAGCGTTGGGGTTGGTAGGATCAAGTAGTCAGGATGATTGGCGTAACGAAACCAGGTAAGAAAGTGTGTGCCAAATTGTAAATATGTTTGATCACGGTGGATTTCTTTTTGGATAGCGTGGGATGGTTTTTGGTGAGATTAGCATGTTGAAGTCACCGAAAGAAAGCGTTTTGGATAGCAACGTCCTCCCAGTCATTCATTTGATTTTCATTCCGCCTTGATCTGCGTCTCTAGTATACAGTGCATTTGCGAGTTCCCGCCACGGTCGGAGCTCTCTATTCAAGCATAGAAGCTTGATTGGTATAAAGCACATCCACCACACTGCTCAACTTCTCAATCGTCGCCAATGCGGAGTCGTATCCCTCATCTCTCTCTGTCTCATCGTAGATAATCAAACATCCTGCACCCTGATCCAGAACCCCAATAATCACCTTGTCGAGAATCATCTGACTGAGCTTTCGCTCTACTTGTTGCGTATCGAGTCCGACCATCTTGGCAATATGCTCGATTTCAACGCGGGAGAAGGGCTCGATGACTTTGATAAGGTTCTGCTCGAGCATGGCATCGTAGAGACGGCGGAGATGGTTGCGGATGAAGGGGTCGCTGCCGAGTTCGTGGCGGTAGTCATCAAGGGCTTTCTCGTACTCTTCGAGAGAGCGATTCGAGTGGGCACGAGCGACAGCTTTCATAGCTTCCAGGTTCTTTCCGGCGTATTTCAAGGCTTGCTTAGATGTCATGAGCTGGTTGACGTCGTCGGCGAGGTTGAGCATGATTTTGCAGAGGAGCATATATTGGAGTGATGCAGTTGCTTTCTCGGGCTCATCTTGAGTGTGGTATCCGTCCAGAGCTTCGATGAAATAAGAGAAGGCGGTGTTGAAGTCCTTGTCTTCTGCATGCAGCTTGCCGGATTGCATATCCAGTCCTGCTTGGAGAAGAGGCGGTGTATAGACTGACGCTGCAGATGTTCGAGCGCTGGTCAAAGCAGCGCGACCTTTAGCTACGTTTCCGAGAGCATGATAGACGCGCGATTCGAGGAGTTGGACTTCAACGAGCACAAGCTTGTCATCCAGACGCTTCAATTCTTTCAGCAGACTGTTGATGAGAGTCAGAGCATCGTAGTAGGATGCTTTGGTCATGTAGAGTTGAACGAGACGGGTTTCGAGGTTTTGTCGAAGGAATCCCCGACGTTCTGAGGTGGCCCATTCGATGCACGACTTCGTGACGGAGATTTGGGTATCGGTGGAATCGGGGATCGTATGGAAGAGATCGAGCAGTTGTCGGACTATAGCACTCATAGTCAGCATCTCAGCTTTACGGATGCATTCTTTGTCAATCCATACCAAGCTTTGCTGTCTTTGCTTTCGCAAACGAGGATAACACTGTCCGACTCGTGGTGACCAGATCCACCAGCTCATCTGACTTCCTGATTATCATCAGCAATGCTCAACCGGCCATTTGCCATTCCGCGGCGGCTCACTTTTCATCTCGATACAACTCCCCTAAACTGACCAGCGCGGTCTCATATTCCCGTACAGCGGCGTCTGATGTTACTGAAGGAGGCTTGGAGATTATCTCTTTGTACAGAGCCTCTGCTTTCCTCGGATCTGTTTTCGTTAACCCCTTCGCCTCCTCTATCCTCGCTGAGTTCGCTGGAGCCATCTTGATATGCTGAAGATGGATGTAGTGTTTATGAAGGGGGAAAATGTTTGGGCCCAGGCGGAAGCTTTGGACGCGGCTGCGGACGGCGCTAATTAATCCCTGCAGGAAATTGTTCAGCCTCCCGGAATTTTTTGACGACTGATTTAGCAAAGAACTCATGAAGATGCCACCCAACAACTGACAGCGAAAATGGTAAGCACACTTGGTCTTAAATATTTCTGACTTGAAGCCTAATGAGTATTTGTCTTAGAAAATCAAGGCTCTCTCCAGACCCTCGTCGTCTGCCCAGGCCCCTGGGTCGCATGTCCAAAGACAACCCCGCAATCTTGACCCTTCCCTTCATCCTTTCGAAAGGGCTCGAGAGTATACCAAGGCCCTCAATGCAACCAAAATGGAGCGTATGTTTGCTGCTCCCTTCATTGCCCAGCTTGGAAAAGGTCACGTTGACGGGGTGTATACGCTTGCGAAAGATCCGAATTCACTTCAACGATTCGCCAGTGGGAGCGGTGATGGCATTGTCAAAGTTTGGGATCTGGCAAGTAGAGAGGAAATCTGGAATGCCCAGGCTCATGAGAATGTTGTAAAGGGAATGTCATGGACGAGGGATCAAAAACTACTTACCTGCGCTGCGGACCGAACGATAAAACTATTCGATCCATATAATACACCATCCGGGACAGCGCCGGCAGCAACCTGGCTTGGAACCAATGCATTTACGAGTTTATCTCACCATCGATTAACGAACTCCTTTGCAGCTGCCTCGTCAGTTATCTCGATCTACGATTTGGAAAGGCAGAACGCACCGCCCGAAGTCCTACACTTTCCCACGTCAACCGATACCATAACCTCAGTTCGATTTAATCAAATCGAGACATCGATATTAGCCTCAGCTGCAACTGATCGGTCGATTGTTCTCTACGATCTGCGAACATCGATGCCGGTGAAGAAAACGATTCTGAACTTTGCCTCGAACTCGATATCCTGGAATCCGATGGAAGCTTTCAATTTTGCTGTCGCCTCGGAAGATCATAATATCTACGTCTTCGATATGAGGAAGATGGACAGAGCATTAAATGTTTGCAAGGATCATGTTGCTGCGGTCATGGATGTCGAGTTCTCACCAACCGGGGAAGAACTAGTTAGTGCTTCTTATGATCGCACGGTACGGTTATGGAGCAGGATGAAAGGCCATTCTAGAGATATCTACCATACGAAGAGAATGCAGAGAGTGTTCTCGGTCAAGTTTACGCCGGACTCTAAATTCATTCTCTCGGGAAGTGACGACGGGAACATCAGACTGTGGCGAGCTCAAGCTTCGAACAGAGGAGGAATCAAATCTGCAAAACAACGAACAGCATTGGAGTACAATGAAGCTCTATCAGAAAGATACGCACATATGCCAGAAATTAGACGGATCAAGCGACACAGGCACATTCCCAAGGTGGTCAAGAAGGCTGGCGAGATCAAGGGTGAGGAGCTCAAGGCTATTAAGCGGAGAGAGGAGAACGAGCGGAAACATACGAAGAAGCAACATCAACGGAGGAAGAGTGAAAGAGAGAAGATGGTTCTGGCCTCGGAAAAGTGATTTGTACATGGCGAAATGGGCGGAAAATTGGCGTTGGAGGAATCTTGGCATTTACATGGCGCTAGAGAAGGATTTGTTGTATGGGATACCAGTAAGATGTTTGTAGTTCTGAACACATCTTGATTTCAGCTTCAGTTCATATCGGTGACGATGGCTTCGTGTGATAGCACCCTTATGTTCTGGCAAATATCCCAGGAAGAGACTTCAAGGCTTATGAAGATTAGCCTATCCTAGACTTCTTGAAACCATCCTGGCCTCGCTCATGACGGAATATCAAGTGGTAGATCGATAAATAATACATTGCCTCACTCTCCGCCACGCCATCAGAGCATCCAAGCACTTCAACATCTTCAATGAACTGGGGTATTTATATGAGCGGATATGAAAAATCTTGTGATGAGTAAAGAAACTGCTTTTGTCTGATGACTCTGATCAGAATCCAGTATCATCAGGAAGTTATCAAAGTCATTCAATATGTCTCGTATTCTTACATGGATTCCCAGAGGCTGAAGAGAAAGACAAGGAGGCTATGAGCAAGGTGTAGAAATATTTCAACATCCCGCATGGCGATCCTCTGAATCGAAATAATGTACTGAACCGACTTAGCGCACTGAATCAAATTTCGGCTACATTTGTTGATGCAGTAAATACATTGTTTAGACACGAAGACCTATACATAATGCCTTCTTGATGAATTTTAAAGCAGAAAGCACTCACTCGCATTAATCTTGGATAAGCCAGTATATACCGGCTTCTGTGAGGTCAAGGTGAAGAAGGTGGAGGCATGTGCAATAGTCCCTATGTTGTAAAGGGAAAGGTATACCAGCTTTGTGACTCATGTAACTGCTCAAAAATCGTATCAACACTACAGCAATGAGAAATGGGTGCAAGATGTCCTGACTCATGGCATTAGGTAATGCCTAGGACCTTTGGGTTACGGTGTGAATCAATGTTCCTGTGAAGATAGAACAATGCTTTGCCCTAAGTATTCTCTTACACTCTTCACAACACCCTATCACAGCGCATTTTCCGCTCTTTCCGCCCCCTATCCCGCGTATCGTCGGTCTCCAGGCCTTCCTTAATAAATCAAAATGCCGAATTCAGCGAAAACCAAAACAAAGGCTTTGTAGTTCAATGGGTAGAATACCAACCACATGTTGCTCTTGTAATACTATCGTTAGTTGGGTCTGTCGGGTTTGTTGAGCGTTTGCTTTGCTTGCTTGTTGGGTCTGTCTTACGTTGTGCTAAGTTGGAGATAGAGGTTCGATGCCTTCTGAAGCCAAATGATTTTTTTGTGTCTTTTTAGTTCGGTACGATATTGGAGAGAGACAAATTTTTGGTGTTGAAGAGTTTCTTGAGAGGATGGTGCAAAGCGAGCATCACCTAATATCACTTGTGGATGTGGGCGGCGAATAGTGAGGATATACTTTTTACTATCACTAATAGGGAGCAAGTATACTCTAAGCACAACAGTGTTGCAAGCAATTAAGGTGGCGGCTAGAAGATTTCTGGAAGACAACGTAATGTGTCAAACTCAGGCCTCTAAGTATTCTTTTAAACCTATTTGATTTAGAATTGGATAGAATACCACTTTCACATTGTTGAGGATTAAGGTTTTACTTTCTTCTGCCGGTCTAAATATGTAGATTCACGAAAGAGTAAAGCACCAAGATCAATGATATATATGGGAACTGGCACCTGTGAAATGGGGGGGGGTAGACAGTTTCTAGTGGCAATTAAACAGATAAAAGGCACCAGCAAGCCGGGAATTCTTCGCCACTCTGGGTACCACGATCATTGTGGATGTAGGAGTGGCACGCCAAAGCCAACCATCAGAAAATCTAAAACACCGAAAATGCCTGACAAAACCATGGCCAATATTTCCCAAATGGCTAACACTGGCGGCATATTTCATGTGCTTGTCCCTGAATGTCATAGAGCCTGTGTGACAATGAAAAAGTAAGGCTGGACGTAACAAAGCTTAAACTGGACGACTAATAATCTATTTTCCGACGATGTCCAAAAGAGCATAGGCCTTGACAGCAATAAGCCAAATGACAAGAAATAAGCAAGTCTTCACGAACTCCTCGTACATTGCGCTTCTCAAAATACGGGCTTGGTGACCTGCAACAAGAGCGCAAATGTAAAGTAAGCAATTGTAAAACTGAAGACAGGAAGGAGACCAGCATGACAAGATATGGGCACATGTCTTTGTTAGGTTTTCGCCGTCAAGCAGGATTAGCATGCCTATAAGTACTAAAGTCAGAGGCGAAAGAGTCACGACATTGCCTGAGGGCAACCACGATATGACGGTATGACTATGAGAGGGGAGGATAGAATGTGTCATCAACTCTGACCTCCGGGCAAAATGAAAAGCAATCAAACATATGGCAAAAAGTGGTATCACACCGAAAGCCCAACAAACGCCCATGAAATGCTGAAGATCCCAAACTCCAACCATGAGTCGTCTACCAAACGAAACTGCACCATCAGTTACTCCTCCATTTCTGTATTCTCGCCACCTTGTCTCTCCACTTCCTTCCTAGCTTCAATGGCATTTTCACTCATGGCATGCCGCTCAGCTTCTCCATCCGGCTTTCCCAAGACCTCGGTGATAATCTCACATATCTCCAACTGCAACTCTTCTCCCGGAAATCTTCCCTCCATTTCCTCCACAATTGTGTTCAGGTTTTCCGGTTTGGTAGGTCTCAGGTTGAGAATCATGAGAAATTCAGCCTTAGTGAAATCGTATGGTCGGAGACGTTCGAATAGGGTTCGGATAGTGTGCTCATTGTAGGGGAATGGCTTCGATCCAAGAGGTGAGGGAGCTTCATGGAAATAGTCAAGTAGCTAGAAAATCCCTGTCTCAGCTTGAGACTTCTTACTGCTTTCGGAGGATTCACACCTCTTTGACAACGGTCTCGAGGTTCCCCGGCCTCCTCCCTTGCATTTCTTTCTTCGCATATCTTGCCCGCTGCTCCGTCAAATGCGTGTAGACTTCATAGTTGGTCAGCGTGGCCGACTGGGCTTCGAGGATCTTCATCTTTCGGCAATATATTGCCAGTAGTGACGCGGAATGTCAAGCTTCGAACATCGAGATGTCAAGTCTTTTCTTTCTGCCACCGCCTACTGCACCCCACCAAAATTTTTACGCAAGCCAGGCCGTTTTCGGCCTAGCTAAGTCGTTTTAGCGTCTGGGCTCTGCAAACCTTACTTGCCCTTGAATCTTTTGAAAGGAAACATAAAATTCTGATATCGAACCACCCGCCTCCTCAAATGGACTGCAAACTCCAAGAACAACGTGGCCGCGTTCCCTCATCATAACATCTACTTCCCTCCTCCTTTCATTACCGCCATCCCTCCCCCCGCCCTATATCTCGACCCCTCGTTCTTTGTTGCCGCGGCTCTTTGCCCACTCTCCAATATCCCGCAATCCACCGAAGGATATCTCCAGCCTCAATCACACCATAATCCAGCCTCGTCCCGGCATTCCAGCATGGTTCGTAATATCGTCGTTCTTGGGGGAAACTCCCATCCCGCTCTTGTCGAAATCATCTCCAATACACTCGGCGTCCCTCCCTGCAATCGAATTCTGAGTAAATTTTCCGTCGGAGAAAGCCGCCTCGAGATTCAGGACTCAGTCCGAGGCAAAGATGTCTACATCATCCAGTCTGGAAGTGGTAAGGTCAATGACAATTTCATTGATCTCTGCATTATGATCTCTGCCTGCAAGACAGGATCCGCAAAGCGAGTCACTGCTGTCCTCCCTTTGTTCCCTTACTCTCGACAACCCGACCTTCCCTATAACAAGATTGGTGCTCCCCTTTCGAAGGCTCCTACAGAAGTCAACCGAGGTGACTTCACATTCGAAAGCCGCCCTTCTACTCCTGGCCCCGGCCAGCCCCAGAGTGCTGGTCTCAGCAATGGTAGTGGTATGGAGGGACTACAAAGAAAGCTGGTCAAGACCTCTCTTGAGCAACAAAATGGAAACTCGTACACAAATGGCATTACGCCACCACGGCGATCCGATACGATTGACTCCACGTCATCATTGACGAATGGTCGAGGTCGCGGCAGCTCTTCAGGTTCCCAGACAGGTCCTGCGTTTACCACTCATGATATGGATCCTTCTATGCTTACCAAAGAGGCCAAGAGTGTTTTCCAGGCCAAGCCAGGATATAAACAATGGGTTGCCCAGGCTGGAACGCTTGTGGCAGATCTCTTGACTTGTGCTGGAGCTGATCACATCATCACCATGGATCTCCACGACGCTCAATATCAAGGTTTCTTCGACATTCCAGTGGACAATCTATACGGAAAAGGATTATTGAAACACTATATCCGAACAAAGATTCCTGACTACAAGGATGCCGTTATTGTTAGTCCAGATGCTGGTGGCGCAAAGAGGGCGACAGCAATTGCGGATGACCTGAATATGGAATTCGCATTGATCCACAAGGTAAAACTTCCCTTAATTCTTCACTTGCGCAAACTCATATCCCCTTAGGAACGTCGGCCCACCCGTATCACAGACCGACAAAATGCCACTATGATGCTTGTGGGAGATGTTGCAAAGAGAGTCTGCATACTTGTTGATGACTTGGCCGATACCTCCAATACAATCACCCGCGCTGCAAAGCTGTTAAAGAAAGAGGGTGCAACTCAAGTGTATGCCTTGCTCACCCATGGCGTGTTCAGCGGCGATGCTATTGTCCGAATCAATGCCTCGGCATTGGATAAGGTTGTCGTGACCAACAGCGTTCCTCAGGATGACCATTCCCGTCTGTGTCCCAAGCTGGAAGTTTTGGAGGTCGGCGGACTCTTCGCCGAGGCAATCCGCCGTGTGCATCATGGAGAATCTATCAGTACACTTTTCTTGGCTCAATAAAGCAGAAGCAGGCGTTTCTGGGGAGTCTCGTATGTTCAAGTGGTCAGCATTCATTCTTTGGCGTTCAGGAAATTAATGGGACTTGGCCATCTGGGTCGTGAGCTTCGCGCCTCGCATACCATGTGTCCTTGATACAGTTGCTATACCCACCAACCGCTTTGGCGGATCATACCGACTTCCAATGAATTCTGGAAGACATAGACAAGTCATATTTTGGCTTCCACCGAACGCTTTCCCAAGTGCTGGATATGGCGTGGTCACTTTAGAAAATAAGAGATTTTTTTTGGAGAGTATTGAAATTGGCGTTCAATTGAAAGTGATCTGTGGGTGGTCATGCCGGTTTTCTGTGATGCTGAAGAAGACATTCATTTCAAATCCAAATATCCTCTTTCTGATTTACCATCGATGAAAATTCAATTTACCGTTACGGGTGCTACGAACCTTTCTACCTACCAAGACACATGACGTTCAGGCTCGTGCTCGTATTATATACGATACGGTCTACCAAGGAGCAAGGACAGAAAAGCATCTAAACTACGCTTGTTCGGGCCGCAACTATCATTAGAACATTTGCAGATCTCAAGCTCAGAGAAAAGCTCTAAAACGGCTCACTTCAACAGAAACGGAGGCATGGCAGCAGTCGCTCTTCTCAGCAAGGCTTGCCAGCACGAGTTACGGTATGCTTACTTATGAAATGCACCTTCGTCATAAGCTAGTTTCGGATGACCGAAAATAGAACGACGTCTCGTGGCACTTCTTTCCAAAAGAGCCTCAAGCCACAGCCACAGTCGTTTCTGCCACAAGGTGACAAGAACGGCAGTTGAACAGGAAGGAGCAGACACCTCCTTCCTCCAAGTATCTAAAAACCTTCCTTCTCTCTTCGTTTTCCTTCTTATTCATCAATACATCATCGACCAACAACAGAATTCATCAACTGCTTCATCAACAACACACATTTCATCGATTGCTTCATCAATATAGCACTACTACACACTCTTCACTTTACCGTTGTACCAAACTCTCATCGGACAATCTTGTAAAATGTCCACCAAAGCCGTAATCGTCTCTGCTCTTGTAACAATTGCTGCCGCAATGCCAGGTGCCGCGGCAAAATTGAGCCCTAATTACTTCACCGCGATCTCCAGCCATACTGGCGTCGAAATCGTCCACCTTCGAGAAATCAGTGCAAGCGGCCAGAGATTCTACCTCAATAAGGCAACGAGTTCTTATTGCCCTCAGGTGAAGAACCTTGACTGCTCGAAGTGTATGACTTCTTCCCCATTTCATTGTTCCTTCTCATATTGATGCATTGCAGATGGCAATGCTACCGTCTTTGCATACAACTCAGACGGCACCATGTCGATGAATGTTGCAGTCCCAGGCGGTCAACAAGTCTACGTCGCTTCTGGTGGTGCTTTGGGTTATACCGGTGTACACTCCGCCAACGTTCCACAAGATGCCCAGAGAGCAACCTTCAACTACGCTCCTCAGACATCTGATGGTGGAGTCGGCACTTTGACATTCGATAACCAAGGGTTCGTTGTCTGTCCCACTAAGGATGCGCCTGTCTATCAGGTTTTTGCGTGGACTCCTAAAGATGAGGCCGGCGCATTCAGATGGGACTGTATTGGCATCCGATTTGCATCTGCAAAGTACTCCGGCACCTCTTCTTATCAGTACAATTGAACGATGGCTGATGGAAAGAGGCGTGGGTGATGAGAGGTGAGGAGTATTACATATCGAATGGAGGACAAAGAGAGTGTATGAGTACAAGTTGGGAGCACTAGCATAGCAGGGGAGTATGAAAGCAGACGAGGTTCATTGCATAACTAGAAAGGGGTAGGGATAATTGTATGATAACAGGTGGAGAGCATTGTGTAACGAATGGAGTTAAAGGACTTCCATTCATCATCAACGGTTTAATGTCCCAAAATATCGAAGCGATCAATGCCCAAGCCACACAGCTCACCCATAGACCATCCAATCACATAACCCCACAACCTCCCTCACTTAACCCTCCACCTTCCTTCTTCGTCCCTAACGCTGCTGTCCTACAAATATCCTCAAAAGCTTCATGTACTAACTCACCCGAAACAGCAGAACATTCCATATACCTATCGCAGCGCATCTCCTGAGCGATCCTGTAGCCCTCCTGAGGATAGATAATCCCATTTGGGTCTTCTTCACTTCTCAAGTCTCTCTTGAGCCCCAGTAGAAGCACGGGGAGTTCTTTGACGGAGGTGAACAAGCGGGTCGTCTCTTTTCGCCACTGCGAAGTTCAGCTCAGCATGGAAGCTGCAAGGTAAGGAAAAGAGAGCGTACCACACGCTGAATGTTAATTAAAGAAAGACGAGAGGAGAGGTCATAACAGAGCACTATTACATCGGGCTGTAGTAAAGTCCAGTTTTCTGGACTAGCAGTATCGTAGAACTGGAAGCGGTAGGGACGATTGAAGAATGAGATGTCGAAGATGAAGGGTTGGTCGTTGTCTCGGAGGATTGCTATGGGCTCTTTGGATAAGTGGGAACTTGAGCCTTTGCTTATTCTCCTGTCGATCCATGTGAGCTTAGTTTCAAGCAGTGAAAATCAAAGCAAGGGTGCACACCATGAGGCGGGGTAGTGGTGCATGAAAAGAGTTCACACAGCGAACGGAGGGGGACACATACGATAAAAATGTCGTCTTTCCAACCTCTGTATCTCCTAAGAGTAAGATTGTAACTTCAGGAGGATCAGCCATGCCAACTCATAATCTTCTTCTGATGAAGAAAATAACCCTGCTTGACAATCGAAAAAGGAAGTCTTTATCGTCTATCACGTGGTGATAACAACCTCATCTCAAATTTCGTCCCTGAATTTGAAGAAATGACTCGACAACACTTGGGGTGTGAGTCCACGAGGGCATGCGGCCATTGCTCCCCAAAACATTGAGACGGTTGGAAGTGACACATACAGCAGGAACTCACCTCCATATGTCGAGAAGCCGTCGCTGGATGAAGAATATTGCTGCCAGGAAACAAGCACGCGCTCTTTTGCATTCATCTTCCACCTCGAAAATGGAGAGCAATTCTGGTGAAAAGATGGATTATAGTGCTTGGAGCCAGGAGAATTTAATTCAGCGCGTGACACAGCTTGAAGCTGAGTTGAAGGCTCAGAATCGAAGGTCTCGTTACTCCCCCCTCCTCCATCCCAGTTCCAAATGCTGATGGATACAGCTTAATATCTACACCTCCTCCTCCTGTAGAGAAGAAATCCTGGAAAAAGCCACGCAATGAACGTGTCTTCGACCCCTCAAAATACAACACCCGTCTCATTGCGCTCAAGCTCGCCTACCTCGGGAAACGCTACAACGGATTCGAGCACCACTCCAACCAAACCACTCCTCTTCCTACCATTGAAGAGGAGCTCTGGAAAGCGCTGAATAAAGCGAGGTTGATCTTTCCGCAAAGAGCGAATCCGATGAGTCCTGGGGAGGTGAATTGGGAGGGTTGTGAGTATAGCAAGTGTGGAAGGACTGATAGAGGGGTGAGTGCTTTTGGACAGGTTATTGGGATTCGGGTGAGGAGTAATAGGCCGTTGCCGAAGAAGAAAAAGGGAGCTGTGGCCGAGGGCGCGGAGGAAGTAGAGAAGGGCCCGGCCGCGAACGAATTTAACACTCTCCCTCGAGAGAACGCTGTCGAGATGGCGTCTCCAGCTCTCGCGCCGTCAAGACCTAAATCCAAGGGCCTTCCTTCAGAATCTCTTGGACTTGACGATCCGGATTTGGAAGAGACCCTCAACTTCGACCCTGTTGGGCAGGAAATTCCCTATCCTTCCCTTTTGAACCGTCTCCTGCCTCCAGATATCAGAATCCTAGCCTGGTGCCCAGCACCACCACTCGACTTCTCAGCACGCTTCTCCTGCCGCGAACGCCGCTACCGCTATTTCTTCACGCAGCCAGCCTTCGTACCAACTCCTCACCATCTGGAGCACCCTTCCTCAAATTCCCCAAAAGTGAAAGATGGTTGGCTGGATATAGCTGCTATGAGGGAAGCAGCAAAAATGTTCGAAGGACTACACGATTTCAGGAATTTCTGTAAGATTGATGCTGGGAAGCAGATCAGTAATTTTGAGCGGAGGATGTTCTATGCGGATATTGAGGAAGTGGAGGACTCGACGAATGAGTTGGGTTTTGTTAATGGAACGGAATTTGTCCCTTCCGGAAGTTTGGAAAAGGTATATCCAAAGATTTACACGTTTAACTTGCATGGATCTGCATTTTTGTGGCACCAGGTACGGTGTATGGTTTCTATCTTGTTCTTGGTTGGACAGGGTTTGGAAAAGCCTTCTATTGTCTCGGAGCTTTTGGATGTGGAAAAGAACCCTAGGAGGCCGACGTATGAGATGGCGTCAGATACGCCACTTGTGCTCTGGGATTGCATTTTCCCAAGAGAAGATGATCCGGAGAGGAAGGATGCTATGCAGTGGTTGCATGTTGGTGATGGTCCTGCAGCTGGGGGTGCAAAATATGGAACTACGGGCTTAATGGATGATCTGTGGAAGGTTTGGAGAGAGAGGAAGATTGATGAGATGTTGGCGGCGAGTTTGGTTGATACTGTGTCCAGGCAGGGGAACAGGGTAGAGGAGTTGGAAGCGGGGAATGGGAAGAAAGGGAGCAAAAGTCAGAAGGTATTTGATGGTGGGAATGTCCCGAGGCTGCAGGGTACTTATATTCCTGTGATGAAGAAGCCGGTGATGGATGCCGTGGATGTCATTAATGAGAAGTACGCAGTGCGGAAGGGCTTTGAGAGTGCTGAAGACTTGAAGTTGCAGGGATTTAGGAGGTTAGGTAAATCTTCTGGAGGAGAGACGCCTATCGCTGAAGATGCAGATGAATAGTAGAACCGGATACCCATCAAAGCTAACTTTTCCATAACTTTCATTGACCAGATCATCCGGAACTGCCATTTGCTAAATCGGATATCCCCCATCATCTTTAATATCACGATTTAGGTGGGAGATTTAGTCATCCCTTTTGTCCATATAACGCCATAATTCGTGTAAGCCCTACTCTTTCACCCCGCCTTCTCCTCGGGTTCAAACAAACATCCCCTGACCCCCCTCCAAACAGTCTCCAAAATCTGCCTTCTCGGTAACAACCGCGGGAAAACAACCACGACACTCTCTTCCCCCTCCACCACCACAACCAAATAATACCTCACCTCAAACCCTCGGAAGGCTTCATTAACAAAGATATCCTGGATCTTCTCCGTCGGTATGAATCTTGTCGTTGAGCCAGATAGGAACGTAGATGACGACGAAGAGGTCTGAATTCCTAGGCCGCGAAGAACAAGCAGAGATTCAGTAGTGTGTAGGCGGAGAGAGAGCAGGTAGAGGATTGTGAAGGAGGCGGGGAGTAGAACGATGGGTGGGGTGAGGGTCGCGAGGTGGGTGAAGAGGGCGCCGAGGCGCGAGGTGGTGAGGTTGTAGGCTAGGTACCAGATGAAGGCGTTGGATTGTAGCTGGGGTCGTGAAGAGTAGGGCTCGAGAGGTGTGGAGTAGTCGGAGAGGAGGAACTTGGAATACAGGAGGAGAAGCACACTGAGACCGATTGTGACGCGTAGGAGGATGGTGAGGCCGAGGAGGAGACGTAAGGGGAGTGTAGGAGGGGGCGAGGTCGAGACGGTGTATTCGACCGTTGTGGGAGAGGGCCTCCGAGTACGGAGGTGAGGAGCAACTGTTAGCATGGCTGCTTGCGTGGCTTGGAGGTATGGGGAGGCGTCGACATCGAGGGAGAGGCGACGTCTTGGAGAGGTCGAAATTAAAGCTGTCAGGGGAGCTTATCGATAAGAAAAAGTTTACAGCCTCACGGAAGACAACACTAAGATCCAGATCCAATAGTATCAGAGAGCTCTTCGGATTCAAGCTAGAGTCGAAAGGGGGTTCTTATTGTAGCCTGTTGAGCTGGTATCAGATGTGCCTTTTGAAAACCCTCTCTCCATAACGCCGAACTCATGCAACTCCTCATCCATTTACTCCCCAGTGTCAATCTCCAAATCGATCTGTACGCCATTGCTGACCCCATAATCCTCCAAAGTTAACTGATCCTTGAACGGTCTCTCTCCTTGCCTTTTCAGCAAAATTTCATGCGGTTGTCTCCCAATCCTCGCCGCCACCTGCGCCTTGAACAACTTAATCGGATCTGAAGCCAAGCACGGAATAGCAGCCTTTGTTCCCAGCCTGTCATTAACATGCACAATAATCATAGGCTCTCCATGCGAAGTTTCTGGAGCAGGAGCCGGTGCACGCTCTGGTGGTTTGCTCGTGTCCGCGCTCTTGTCCTCCCCATTCTTCTTAGGCGGTCCAAATTTGTCTGCCACGCCGAACTTGTCTTCCACTGATGCGCCCTTGCTCTCCGGTTGTCGTTCTCGTCGAGGCGACCGTGATCTGTTCCTGTAGCCTCGTTCTAATCTCTTCTCTCCTCCTTCACGGTCATCTTTGCGCTTTTCTTTCCACTTGAAGCCTCCGCTGCCTCTTGGTCTGTCACGGCGGTTTCGATTGTCTCGAATGTGGTCGTTCTCGTCACGTCTCCGAGGCGATCTGCTTCGTCTCCTTGACGGTCCGTCGCGGGCAGGTGGTGGTGAGCGCGATCTTGACTTACGGCCCGCCATGTTGGTTTGATGGTCGAGGTGTGATGGTGGAAGCAAGGCTGCGGCGGCCTTTGAAATTTTGTATTGACTCGCTCTAGCGTGAACTCGGCTCTGGACTGACTCATGATGCCGACCACAACCACGTGTTCGGCTCCCTCGAAGTCGCTTCGAGATCGCTAACCCCTGAACCCCTGAACAACATCATTAGAGCCTCAAAACCGATATCCAAAGGCAAGGTCGATTTACTCACACTAGAGCCATAGGAGGACTTCACAAGACAATTTCGACCAATCCAAATGCTGAAATCCGTTTGAACTATGATGCTCGAACTGGGGAAGGAAAATCTTGAACATGTGCACCAATGGGAATTAAAGTATCGAGATACTAAAGCATGTCTAAAGAGGACAAGAGTTTGTGGTAAAGATACTGTTAGATGATGCTCTCATTGTCTTGGTTCGCTTCTACTTTATCGCATACTCTATTGTTTCTGACACGGCCTCAATTCAAAGAGTTTCATTGCACTTCGCACTACCACTGCCTCTCGCCCTATTCCTCTTTGGGACTTTCGTTGGTAACCTTGGCCCTCACTTTATTCCTCCTTGAAAACTTCCTAAGGGCTTTACAAGGCTTGAAATACACACTAGTGCGCTCAATCTTTCCTCCCCCTCTTACTACAAGTTGGACTATTTAGCGAGGGCCACCCCTGCGGCCGCATCGTGTGCTTGTGGCGACAGCGTTTCTCCTCGGTACACTGAGTTGACAAAGACAACATCTCTCAGCCTAGAACTTGAGCAGCCGGAGAGTGGAAAAGAATCGAATTTTCACGTCTGCAGCATGCGTTGAGGAGCAGGTTGAAGTCTAGATCTCATGCCGGGTCCTACGATTCATGCTTCAATAGTCTCTGCCCACAACTCAGAAGTTTGCAATGCAGCAAACTGTCCGGTTCCACCAGCTTTTATGATGACAAATCCCTTTGGGTCCTGCAAAAAAAGAGAGCCCTTCCTTGGTTTGCCATTCCTACATCCAGAGAATTGTAAAGGAACACAATAAAATTCCGATCTCTGGTTTCATGCTTGTCAATTCAACTGCCTCGACGAAGTCACTCCTCCCAGGCACCATGGAGAGAGTTTATTTTGAGAACTCAAGCTCTCTATTCTGAAATTTGGCTTCGCGAGTTACCCCATCGGCTGATTACCCAACCCCTCTCTCCGCTTCCGCCTTCAAGCGGAGTATTCGTAGTCTCGGCTAGAGTATCCTGAAGACTCCGATGCGGAGCTGAAGCCTTATCGATGCATTTATTCCATCGAGTCTTCTATTCCAGTTCTAGACAACCACAAGCAAAGATATCTCAAGATGCCTCTCAAACGACACGTCATAGAAGTCCAAGGGGGCGCCACTCACATCCGCTTTAGCAGGATCGAGACCCCGCCTTCCTCCTCAGTCATCGATTTCAACGACATGCTCAAGTCTACTACTCCCGAAGTCACACCTAAGGCGCGTGAAGTAGATCGAGAAGGAATGCTTCTTGCAAAGTTCAGAAAGGCAAGCTCTCCTCCCTTCCAAATATCACTCTCAGCCTAACACGAATACAGGCACAAATCGCGATGGTTGACGGAGACCTTAAGCTTTGTCACCGACTATGCATAGAGCTGATCAACTCCGCAAACCTCACCACAGCTTTGAAGATCGAGACCATCCAGGTGATGGCGATGATTGTCCCTTTCGACCAGGGAATGGGTTACCTCGAGGACGCGGCCAGATTAGTCGATAATAAGAGAAAGGAGGAACCGGAAGAGTTGCTTTGGCTCGGATTGGAATTAACAACACGCGACCAAATCTGGAAAATTGCCAAATTCCAAGGCGCGATCAAGTTCCCCCGCGAGGCTATATTCGGCGATCCGCATGTAGCTGCACGCGACAAAAACTTCAAGAGGAGCACAGTATTGACTAAAAAGAGAGTTCAATTCCATGATGAAGCAACTCAGCAACAGATTGGAGATCCTGTGAAGCGAATGGTGCGGGTTCAGGAAGAGATTGCCAAGGTTCAAGTTTACGGACCGAACAGGTATGTGGTATGTGCAAGGTAGACACTCTTGGTCAAGCAGAGCTAACATTTGCAAAAGGCCGATGAGAATATCTAGCTGCCCGAAAACACTCTATCGTGCACCCAGGCTACGCAAATCCATCTTAACCCTCAGACTCAGAGAGGACCTTAAGCCAAAATACGCTTGTTCTCCATGCCCTTGATCATAGAATGGCTTTGTGTGGAGACATACATACCGGGTAGAGGCGTTACTTGTTCTCTTGTCTTTAAGCGATCATCAGAAGTTATTGATCGGAGGCATGCAATGGACATTCGGTGGATGAGAGTTCAGCCATAGGGGAGCGCGCTGTTTACTGCTGTGTAGGATACTGACTATAAATGGATTACGATGCAGTAGACCAAATGATGCCAGATGTTTAACTGGGCTCTGTGTCGCCCTTGGGGCAAGAATGGGAAGAGCAACGCTGGTTGCAGTAATGACAAATCACAGCAATGGCAACACGAGGCAGCCGTGGAAGGACTTGGGATTGGAAACGGGTCATTTGGATTGCGGTTTTTTTTATGTAATGCAAAAGCACCATCCGACGCCTCCGATCATGAATCTGGAAAGAAGTACCCGGACAACCACCGCCTTTACGCCAGATTATGAACACCCAACACGACGCCGCGAAATCTTGAAGAACTTGAAGCATTATGATACAGAATGAAAGTCAGATGACGATCAGTTCTTGCTCTTCTTCTTTTTCTTCTCCAACTTCTCGACGCTGTCTTCGTGTTTCCGCTTCTTGCCACTGCTCTCAGGGGTAATGGGTTCCGCAGCCTTGTCTTTCTTCTGATTTTTAACGACGGCCGGCGTTCCATCCTCGTTGATCTTGATCAGTCCTTTTGCCATCTTCTTCTTATACTTCTTAAGACTAAGACCTGCCGCCTCCGCAAGCCTCACATCGGGGTCTTCGGTGGGCAGAACAGCTGTGGAACCGGAAGCTCGTTTTGTCTCTTGAGCAGCCTTCTGTTGTCGTCGCTCCTCCCGCTCAGCTCGTCTAGCTTCAGCTTCCTTTCGTGATGCTCTCTTCTTTGCTTTCTCATCAGCCTGCGCAAGGCGGCGTTCATGACGTTCCTTCTTGCGTGCTTTCTTGGCTTCGATAGTGTTACCAAGGATCGATGATTGCCAGTTCGATGGTGGAGATGCGGGAGGTTCCGGAGTGTCTTCGGAGACGGTGGAGAGAGTATCTGAATGCGCATCGTTTCCCTTCTTTAAGTTGGCGATAGGCTTTGCTTTTGTGCCGTTCAGGTTTGGAGGTGCAAGACCAAGGCTAGCGCTTCCATCAGCCATCTCGACGTCCTCATCTTCGGAAACTTCTTCGATCAAAGGCTTCTTCACTTCCTCTTCCTTCCTGGCCTTCTTTTCTTTCTTTTCCTTTTTCTCCTTCTTTGGTTTCTTCTCAGAGACGGGTTCGATCGCAGCCGGCTCATCACCAGCAAGTCCATCAGCATCCGGGTTATACTTCCGTGCTTCCTTGACCTCCCACTTGCCTGGCGTAGAGACAACTTTGCCATTTGGTCCGACCGCGACACCTCTTGGTAAGAGAGGCTTTCCCTCGAGACCTCTCAGGTGACGTTCAATCTTGGCTCGTGAAATAACACCTAGGGCGGATCGTTCTTCCTCATCCACATCATCTCCTTTTCCTTCGCCCTGAGCACTCCAGTCTGAAAGAGCATCGACGCGAAGACCAATAGCTGCCTTTGCTGCCAACATACGGGCGATCTTGCCCTTGTTCTTTCCGGTAGCCTGTCCAACAAGAGATGCGTGATAGATGAGGCCATATTTCGGTGTGTCGTGCTTGGTTTTCAAAGCTCGGAACAACGCCTTCTCAGCACCGAGAATTTGAATGGTACTAGCAGGGCTCTTTGCGAGGTTCATGAGCGATCCAGAGTGCGCAATCAATCTAGCTCCGACTAATTCGCCCACCAATTCGGTCAAATTCGGTGCGATTGCAAGCATGCGAGCGGTCAAGTAGCTGGAAAGTTGTTGCCGATATTCTGTGAACCCGACGACTTGCTCGGCCAAAAGCTGAATATTATCCAAATCTTCTTCGGTGATCTCAGTACCCATACTCACTTCCGCTGCAGCCTTCACAGCAGTTTCGATTTCTTCCGGCAAGATTTCTGAGAGGTCTGAATTTGAGCAGTTTGTGCGCATGCCAACCTTCAAGATAACTCGAGCGTATGCCAGATTATCGTTCACGATTTTGCCCATCTCAGGGAAGTGCCATCCATACCATTCCTTCACTCGCATTGCGTATGTGTTCAGCTCCTTGTCCAAGTCATCCAGAAGAGCGATAGCTTGAACTATCATCGTATCGACCTTATCGGGCGAGAACTTGAGCTTGTGTCGTGACAGCGAATGCGATAAGCCCAGGGACATCGTAGAAATGTTTTCGGGGAGCAGTCCGGGGATGAGTGACGGAAGGTGGTCGCGAATCGCACGGTAGATGTCGAAAGTAGTGGAATCGGAAATGGGGTTGAGGGTCAATCCAGGCAGCTTGTTGATTGCAACCCCTAACTTGGGGTCTGCCACTGCTAATGAAGCTTTCTTCTCATCTTTAAGTGTGTCGAGAATCTTAGCTAGCATGGGTGAAACCTTCCCCTCGACGAGAGCCGCAATCTCTTCGAGCGCTGTCGCTGCGCTATCGAACTTCTCGAAATGCTTCAACTTTAAACTGCACAACCGAACACAATTAGAATCCTATATAAAAGCTGAAGGACTGAGAATGAAAGACAATTGAACCTACAGGCCGTTTATTCCCTCCGCTGTTTCGACATCGGCAGAAAGATCTCCTTTCTTGAATATCTTGCTATCTTTGGCTTTGAACAAGGCAAAGCCCGCACTTGTTTCGGTGAGAACGAAGACACCCATTTTGAATTGAGGCTTCTCGTTGCTCTTCCTGAGGTGTTGGTTGTGCAAAGTTTCTCGAGTCGAAGCTTTGCAAAAAAAAAGTTCGCGAGTGGAAGGAGCCATTGGTTCTCTGCTGGAGCTAGCGCCAGACCGTTTTAGCGCCGATTCTCATCACGTGGGATTTCGACTAGGTCTTGAACCTTGAGGCAACGATCAAAGAGCCCAGAGCTTCGACATTCGACAAGATGGAGGGTCTTTTCTTCAATGTCAACAATGGCTACATTGAGGGCATTGTTAGAGGCTATCGTAACGGGCTCCTGACTGGCCAGAATTACAGTAACTTGACGCAGTGCGAGACCATCGATGGTGAGGCTTCTCATTTGTATCTGCTGCGGTGGTTGCTAAGGTCATATCAGATTTGAAGCTCCAACTTGGACCTGCCTACGGCGATTTTCTCGCATCACTTCCGCCTAGTCCTTCTACATCTACACTCGCAGCCAGGACTACTGATAAACTCATCTCAGAGTTTCGATATGTACGGGCGAATGCCGTTGGTTCATTGGCGAAGTTCATGGACTACCTGACCTACGGATACATGATCGATAACGTGGCATTGCTCATCACCGGAACACTTCACGAGCGAGACACCCGCGAGCTGTTGGAGAGGTGCCATCCTCTGGGTTGGTTCGAGACTATGCCAGTACTTTGTGTCGCTACGAATATCGAAGAACTGTACAACAGCGTGCTGATCGAGACGCCGCTGGCACCATACTTCAAGGGAAGCTTGAGTCATCAGGATTTGGACGAACTGAACATTGAGATTGTCCGGAACACCCTGTACAAGAATTATCTCGAGGATTTTCACAGCTTTGTCAACACAGATTCAGAGATGGCAGGCACTCCGACAGCGGAAGTAATGACGGAGATTCTGGAATTCGAGGCAGATCGACGAGCTATCAATATCACACTGAATTCATTCGGTACGGAGCTATCGAAGGCTGATCGAAAGAAGCTCTACCCTAATTTCGGTCGCTTGTACCCCGAAGGATCCTACATGTTATCAAGAGCAGATGATATCGAAGGTGTGAGATTAGCTGTGGATGGCATCAGTGACTACAAGAGCTATTTTGAAGCCACCGGTATGGGCCAGAGCAGCAGTGGAGCAGGAAACATGAGCGGTGGTGCCGGGTCAGATGGCAAGAGTCTGGAAGACATGTTCTACCAGAAGGAGATGGAGATCTCCAAGAATGCTTTCACAAGACAATTCACATTTGCTATTGTCTATGCTTGGGTGAAGCTGCGGGAACAGGTATTTAATGTCGAAGTAGATGTCAAGACAAACGCTAACATTGTCTGTAGGAAATCAGAAACATCACATGGATCGCTGAGTGTATAGCTCAGAACCAGAAGGAGAGGATTGGCAATTACATTAGTGTATTCTAGATGAGGGTGTGTTTAATACTCCGATTATTGCGACCCAGCTCACAGTAGCGCTCGGGTTGTAGTTATGATTAGGCAGGTCGGCGCTGGGAGAACACGGAAATGATTTGCAGAATGTTTCAAGACGTCGTATCCTCTATTGTACAGGCTCTATGTGAGATACATAAATTACAGGCTGATCTCGCCTTGCCAGGTTCCTTCACTCAATCCCAAAGTGTTCACCAGATGCTGCCATCGATCACCACCACGCTCCTTCGACCGTAGATATCTCAGCAACTTTTGTCTCTTGTGTACCATGACCCTCAAATTCCTCTTGTTGATTTTATCCTTCTTTCCACCTTTCATCTCTAGCTGATTTGCCAACACTCTGATCTTCGCCGTCAAAATAGCGATCTGAACCTCCGAGCTTCCAGTGTCTGGTCCAGCTCTCGGTGTCTTCTCAGGGAGCGGTACGCCCCCTAAAGTGCTGGGGTTTGGCTGTAACCGCGGTCTCAATGTCTGGTCCGTATTATGACGCCCAAACGCCTCTACACATCGTCTCACATTCGCTCTCGTCTTATCCTTCTGGCTGGCATTTGCCAGACTGACAATTCTCGCCATAGCAGTCGTAGCTCTTGCATGGGCTTCTTCTTGCTTCTTCTTGGCTGCTGCTTCGAGAACAGGATCGGCTGTGTCTCGAACCTTATCTACAATAGGTTCTGTCAAGGCCTGAGAATGTTTGATTGATGCTTCGAGTTCGGACGGCTTGAGAAAATGATTGAGGAGAATGTTGTCGGCTGTCGTGATTTTGATTCCTTCTGAGCCATCGCTGGTAGAATTCGCATCGATTATCACCATCGAACCTCCCACGTCATCGAATGATTCCAAAAACGGAGTGGTTATGCCCCGGACTGGGTCGCCTAACGCCTTCTTTCTCTCTTCCTGAAGCTCTGCTCGTCGAGATAGATTCGCATCTTTCCTTTGCTTTGCTTGGGCTAAGGCGTATGGATCCTTGTGCTTCCTCCTTTGAGCCAATGTAGCAGCATTGGCTACCGCTGTGATGGGCAGACGAGCATTTGATGAAGGGGGAGCTGGTCGAAAGCATACTGCAACAATCAGTTGGTTTGAGACACCCATTAGAATCCGGGCGGGTTATACTCACAGTTGGACACGCCATAGCGCGACGGAACAGGTATTCGAGGTGGCATTGTTGGTCTGAAGAGGATTGTTTCCCCAACTTTCAATCTTGAAGTCTTTTGGCCCGAAGCTCAATCAGGACTAGCTTCTGGTTGAGAAAATCTTCGGCCTTGCGACTGAGACATCAAGCTGATTAGGGTTCGCTTGTTGGCAAATCGCCGAACTTATTTTCCCACAACGCGAATTTTCAACTTGAAGGTCTACCGCCTCAAAATTCGACAACCATACAACCACCATCTCACAGATTTGACCCTCTTCACAGTCAAATCGCAAAGATGGCTCCTTCCAACCTTCCCGCTATTTTCAATGCTACATCTCAAGATATCGAGATGCTCCTGTCCGCGGGCGCTCACCTCGGGTCCAAGAACTTGCAAGTTCACATGGAACCCTACCTCTGGAAGACTCGCCCTGACGGAATCAATGTCATCAACATTGGCAAGACCTGGTACGTGCAATTTTGAGAGATGTGGAGCTTTTGGCGCAAAATAGGCCGCAGACTGACATATTTACTGCAGGGAGAAGATCGTCCTCGCTGCCCGCATCATCGCAGCTGTCGACAACCCAGCCGACATCTGTGTCATCTCTGCTCGTCCCTATGGCCAGCGCGCTGTCTTAAAGTTCGCCGCACACACCGGTGCCGTCGCCATCGCTGGTCGTTTCACCCCCGGTAACTTCACCAACTACATCACTCGATCCTTCAAGGAACCCCGCCTCATCATCGTCACTGATCCCCGCACCGACGCTCAAGCTATCAAGGAGGCTTCCTACGTCAACATTCCGGTCATTGCTCTCTGCGATACCGACTCCCCAACGGAGTTCGTCGATGTTGCTATCCCAACAAACAACAAGGGTCGCCATGCTATTGGTCTGATCTGGTGGATGTTGGCTCGTGAGGTCCTCCGTCTCCGTGGCTCCATTGCTACCCGGGAAACTGAGTGGGATGTCATGGTCGATCTGTACTTCTACCGTGATCCTGAGGCTGAGGAGAACAAGGAGGCTCTTGAGGAGGCCAAGGGTGTTGATGAGCTCGGTGCTACCGCTGTTGAGACTGGCTTCGTCCAAAGCTCCGACTGGGAAGTTTCGGGAACTGCTGCTACTGCCTTTGCTGGTGCAACCGCAGCTCCTACTACCGGTGCTGGATGGGAGCCTTCCACGGAGGGAGGTGAATGGGGTGGAGCCCCTTCTGGAGAGTGGGGTGCAGCAACTGATGCCGCAAAGCCTACTGAGCAATGGTAAATCCGTCACCATGGGGAGAAAGAAATGGACTATTTGCATCTGGCTGTTTTGCTCGAGGGTCACATTGACGGTACTGATGAAGGAAAGATACCCTACAGCTGTTTTCACAGTTGTAGGGGGAAAGCCTTGTGCCGTCAACTGGAGTTTTCTTAATCGTGCTCCTCCCTTGAACTTCTCAGACTTTGTATCGTAGCATAGCCAAAAAAGCATCAAACGTGGAATAGAGATTTCTGCAGCCATACGCTACGCCTAAATACGGAAATGTGCACCCCATGAAGTTCCATATTCCTTCCAACATTGCAAAGGGCAATGAATGAAGTGGTTTGACAGCAAGTTGCTAGTCCGTCCCATTCACCTAATTCTCCCCTTTTTCGAAATCAGCAACCACAACAAGTTGCAATACAATCATCGACTTTCTCTAGTATTAGGCATTGATCTGGCAGAAAGCTTGATAGAGCTGTTTCCCTTTTCCCTGAGAATTTGTTGAGAAATCTGAATTAGACTCCATTGCTCTCACCTCTCGCTCTAGGATAAAATCTATATCTTCTCAACCAGCTGTGATGGGCCTTGAAATGGTTGCATCTCTGAGCCATTCGAAGTATAACTAACCCATGTCATTTATTCATTTCATGTATATACAAGGAATTGCCTGTTTATTCCTTTAAAGATTGAATTCCGCTGGTCTTAGATGTTGAAGAATTTCAGATATTCATTCAAGATGTATTTATACACCTGAGACGAATCAATGCAGCATTCTTGATTTCAGTAAACGCTTCAGGGTTCAAATGTGCAGAAGCTTTCGAGACTTTTACCCGGTTGGTACGCTTGGATTGCGGTCATGGTCCCCAGAGGTCGATGTCATAAAGTACTTGAGACAGGGAGTCAAGCGAGCTCTTATTTCACTCCAATTATATGTCCTCGAATCAGAATTCGCCAAACTTTCTAATTGGCAACACATATCTCCAGCTTCCATATCCTCAAGCACCCCAACACTGATCTTTTGAACCGCATCCGGGAAGAACCACAAGCACTGCAACAAACATGACGCGTCAAGTAAGATCCAATAACATATTCAAGTAAGTACCAGGTATTCCTAACTCGTAACTAGATCTCGTATATTTTTATTAACTCGGCACCTCCAACAACCACGCCAATCAACAAAGCTCACACAGCGATTGGACAGTACCCAATCTCACATCTGAGGTCACCCAGGAGCGAGCCTGCTTATGTCATATCACACGACCACGGGGTACTTCACGGAGATCTAGAGAGGGAGGTCACGGGGAAGGTGGCTACGGGCGACGGATACGGGGACATGTCTCGCAGCTGCTCGCTGACCATTCCCTGCTTCTAGAGTGGAAATGGAAGAGGAATCTATTCCCAATCGAGGCATATCTCACGCTCCTCCAGGCTACGCAGCCAGTCACATCACCCCCTCCACGAGAATACGATTTGAAAACTCCACTGGAATTACTAAAACAGCTCTCGAGAAAGGCCAGAAGACCACCACCGTGCTACCTAGTCCCAAATGGGAAGAAAATACCCCCAATGCAGCGAGAAACCAGCTAAAAGGAGTAAGAAAGGTCACTGCTTTTCCCCTTTTCTCACGGAAAGCCAACCACACCACCCGCAGATCCACCACCACAGGCACACGCATCTCCCGCCCCGTCCCGAGCGGCCGGCCAGTGCCAGGGGCCAGCATCATGCAGAGGGCACGCACACCATACGGGCACTACTGCAGCCCCGCGCGTGTGAGCGCCGTGCAACCCACGGCCAGCGCAAGAAACATCATCCAATCATAAGTCATAACGTCGTAGCCAGAGACGCGCCCCGGCTGTAAAAGCAGCAGTCGATCGTCGCGGCTGTTTAACCGCGCCGCACGAACACTCAACATACATACAAGGAAACGAAGTGAAAAGGGGGGAGCGTCGGACAAGCGACGACGACAACAGATTGCCGAATTAGGAAATTTTTGAGAACTGCAAGGAAAGGCTAGTATTCTGGCGATGGATACCGCGCACGAGCTTGCTTGTATTCCTTGGGGTGCTTTCGAGACGCTTTTGTCTTCATCGATCTGAATTGACGTCAGCTCGATTCTTGCAGAGAGCGCAGTTTAGGAAATAGCCTTTTAGGGCTGTCGCGAGAAGATGATTCTGGTATCAAAATTAGAGAACTTACGAAACGCGCTTTTGCGACCATTCCAAATCTCTCTTCACCTCTCGCGAGTCTGAGTAGGCTTCTGCGAGTCTAGCTTTTGACCTTTGCAGACGCTGTTGCGCCAATTGCTGCAAATCCCCAAGCTCTCGGGTCTTCGCATTCAGCAATCCAGATCTGCGCGAATTGTCAGAAAAGTGGTGGTGTTGCGAGGGGCGGGAAACTTACGTTTGGGCTTGCATCGCCAAAGTGCGGTCAAGAGGGAGCGGATCGCAAGAGCCGGCAAATCGTTCTTGCATGTACTCTTGCATATCAACGTTGTTCGCGGAAGACTGGCTGTCGTCGTAGCCGCTATAGCCGCTCATGCTTCCGGCGTAACTGCTGGAAGTTGCGGAGTATGCAGAGTTTCCGTATGATGGAGCCATCCCGGAACCTGTAGTGACAGACTCGGGAGCCTCAGGAGGAGAAACGGCATAGCTGTATTGTTGAGGAGTGTGATATTGAGAATATTGAACTTTGTGAGGAACGGCGATGGGGAGGGAGGTGGTCTGGTAGTAGGTTTGTTGGTACGCCATGACGAAGGTGGAGTAGTGTCAAACGACAACGAACTAGTCGGTGACAATGAAGTGCGTGTGTGAAGTTGAAGAGTAGTGTGGTGATGTGCTGGTACAACGTCAAGCAATGGGAAGAGTATGTGTCAAGTGATGTGTAGAAGTGAAGCCTTGTTTGTGAAACAGGTTGTTTGTAGGGAGATGAAGTTTGAGAAGTCGCAAACGGATGGAAAGGAAAGAAGAAGGAAAACTCTCCAGACGGTCCCTCGACTTCCTTTTTATACCCGTTGGGAAGGCCCCTCGCTAAAGGAACTGCCAACCATCGAGGAGCATCGAGGGGGATGTCCTTGACCCCGTCTCTGCGTCTGTCTATCTCGGACCCCGCTCGAAGAGCATGAAGATAAGCTGCTTGGCTTTAGGGTAGCAGACTAGTCCCCCCCATCTCTTGCCCTTGGATCCGCGCTCCCACCCTCTCACGTTTGCTCCGGGCCCTCCAAGCCCGCAGTAGTATGGTCGATGGGGTGATCCCTGGAGTTCTGGCTTACGCAGCGGGAGCGGATTGGTCTGGACCAGAGTTTCTATTGCTCAGAGATAGCCGTCATGCCATTGCATGTGCCGAAGCCGGTCTGGATTGGTGGATATGGGGGAGGGGAGCGTTTTCTCGTAGTATGGATTTTCAAGCATGGCAGGCCTACTCGGCGATTTGATATGGAACAAACGAGCAAGCGCGGGCACCCTGGTCGGGGCCAAAAGCAGCGAGGCCTCGAGCGGGCACGGCTGTATGACATGCTGCTGCGTGGAGGGGGCGACGCTCGCTGCTGGATGGGTAATGGCACTGAGCAGTGTAAGGGAGAGAATGAGTTGTGGTCAGGCTGCAACGCATATAGAAATTCCTGACGAGATGTATGTTGCGTTGGCAATTTTTCGAAAATCAGCCCCTCCAAAATTTCTGGACCCCGGTCCGACAAATCCCCCATGACGACCATTGGATGCGACACAACGACATCTGGGGGCACCACGGAACAACCTCACTGCTGCGTCCCGCGCGTGCTCGATCACCGGACTGTCCCGCTATGCGGACGACAGGGGCAGCCAGAGTGATTGATGTCTCCACGCCGGCGAAAGGGGGAGGGAGAGGGGAGGCCACAGGGAGAACAGAGCAGAACGAGCAGGTTCCCGCCCTCGTCGACCACCATCGGAGGCAGAAGAGCAGCTGAGCCTGGGATGACAACCTGCTGTCTCTGCTCCGATGAAAATCTGCGCCAGGCAGGTCCCCGTTTTGTGCGATCCAACGGTGCGCAAACCCACAGCCGAACACCGCAGGGCTGTGTATGGAATGCAACTGGGCCAATGGGGCTCTTAAGGCGAATGTTGCAGAAGTCCAGAAGAAGGACAGCCAACATGGCCAGCATGTCGAGCATAATGCCGACCAGCAGCTCGGATCAGCCTGCTGCTGCATGGCCAACGAATCCCCATATGCTTCCACAGAGTCAGTTCGTTGCATGAGAGCCGTTACCGTACATTTCGAACATCAGATGCGGATGTCCTATGAGAGCTGCCAATTTACAGCCATATCTTGCCCAATTTAGTCAGGGCACTTCAGATTCGTGTCACTGTCCAAACAATACCGGGTTACTATCTCAGTTTACAGACTTTTCAAGGTAAGGTAATGAATCCTGACATGGAGACGGAACGAGCACATCCTTATTTGACTTTATTCTAGTGTACGCAATGTGTCAGCCCACCGAACGCCTGCCCATTCCCACAGCCTCGGGACATTACTCATGCTTTCTAACCAAAGATCTTCAAGAATCCCCACATCCCCATGCCGCTGAGGACCGGTATCGTCAAGTTGTCATCCCATCCAAAGATGTCAACCACTTCGCTCGCCGAGGCAACAAAGCCCGTCCATAAACTCATTAATCCCAAAGCCCACCCTCCAGAAATGCTTGCCTGAGCCTCGGTCATGCCGACAGCACTCCTGACAGCCGTTGGAAGGGTCAAGGTCCCTGTGAACATAAAAGGGAAGTTGTCGTTATCAACAAATGAACTCATTCGTGGAGCTAGCCAGCCCCAAAAGTAGATCGAGGTGATGACACCCACGAGGAACGCAGCAAGTGAGCCTGCAAGCGACTTTCCGCGTCTGATACGAGGCGTATAGCGTCCATACAACCGTCCAACAGTACTGGCGGCTGTATCACACCAACTAAGGAGGAGGACACCCATCATTCCAACATCCTTAGGGAAGAAGGCGAGTACGATCCAAGCGCCGAGAAGATACCAGATGACCCCGTTCCAACCATCGTACTCAGTTTCCCGCATGAGAGCACCAAGTACGCGAACATAAAATCGGTTGAAGGAAGGATAGGTGTGTCGCAGATAGTCGGCGGTTGCGATTGGCACGAGGGCCGCCATTAGATAAGGAGTGATGGAAGTGGTTTGTACGCCGGAAACATATAGCCAGAGAGAGAAGAATCCGATAGATACGTGCAAGAGCTTTCTTGGTACCTCATGTCGATGTACAAAAGATCGCCATTGTCTGTGAATAGGAATCAAGCCCAGCGGACTCGGGCTTCGACTGATATCCCTCCAACTCCAGCCAAAAGTTCCGCTTGCGCTCGCCGGTGAGAGATGGCCGTTCGTTACGTGTCCGTTACCATTCTCTATAACTGGCTCTTCTGGTATCGTGGAAGGTTTTGTCGTCGCTTTGGCGGCTGGCTTTCGAATTCTCATAGGACTTCGGCTTTTGGACCTCGGCTTCCGCAAGTCGCCGTTCACCTCCCCGTCTTCGTCAATATCATCATCGCCAACTGGTACGGCAGCTTTCTTCTTTGCGGATCTTGTCACTGGGCCGAAGTACCCGTCCTGCTCACTTTCTCGGGCTTCTGAAGGCGTTGGCGAGGGTGAGATGACTCTCGGAGTCGCCGGAATGGGATTTGAAGATGATCGCGACATGGTGAAAGGTGGTAAAGAAGGCATACGAATAGCCCCAGTGAAGAGCCGTCCGATTTCTGTGACTCGAAGGAGCCAGGAGGTTGAGTGGAGATGTTTATCTTTGCGTGAAGCGCGTATTGTTGATACTGAAGGAGAGGGCGGAGAGGAGGCTGTTAGCTCCAGCGGAGGGGATGGAGCAGAGCAGAACTGCGCTGCATCGTTGAAGAAAGGTATGGTGGCTCTCTCTGTGCCGTTGAAGTGGCACACGGAACTTCTGGGGTGGTGATGGTGACGAAAGGTCACGATAAAGACAACTTGGAAATATCTCGGTTCCCTTGCCCCTGTCGTGTGCTGAGTCAAATTGATGTCACATGCGAGAAACACAGAATGTGTGGTGTCAAAACAATGGTGAAAGCACAAGTAAATAACAATTGTACCTAGTGCAGTGCTGGCAGGAGCGGTTCCATCATTTTCAACGAGTCAAAAATAAAAGTGGTATTTCGTGGACCATTCGATGCAGTATGTCAAGACATTTGTCGAAATTCCGAGGTTCCGGATTCCCAGCGCACGCTAAGCGATAGCGATAGCGATAAGGATCTATGCTAGAGAAATTTTGCCAGAACCTTCAACGGCAGAACAAGTGTATGCGCCATGGCTCCCGAGTCAAACAAGAAGAAAGATCCTAGAGCTTGGGACGGTCTGACTCCTCCTTTGGCAGAATGGATCTTAGACGCCATTGCCGCCATGGGGTTTGGGAGAATGACACCCGTCCAAGCCTCAACTATTCCCCTCTTTCTGGGTAACAAAGACGTTGTTGTCGAGGTACGGCTTGTTTATTGGCTCTCGAGTATTTGGCTGACATTTCCAGGCTGTCACTGGTAGCGGAAAGACTTTGGCCTTTTTGATACCCGTTGTGGAAAAGCTATTGCGATTAGAAGAGCCCATCAAAAAACACCATGTTGGCGCAATCATTGTCTCACCAACCCGTGAGCTCGCGACCCAAATACATTCCATTCTTCTCTCTCTCCTCGCCTTTCATGGGCCATCGGCGGAAGCCTTAAAGCCTTTGGAGGAGGACGAGAAGAGAAAGCCATCACCCAACCTCACGGTTGTCCCCCAACTTCTTCTCGGCGGGACAACGACACCGGCGCAAGATCTTAGCAGATTCCTCAAGAATAGCCCAAACCTTCTTATATCTACTCCTGGAAGACTTCTCGAGCTTCTCTCCTCCCCGCATGTTCACTGCCCGCAATCTTCATTCGAAGTGCTTGTTCTGGATGAAGCAGACAGGTTACTGGATCTAGGGTTCAAGGATGATTTACAGCAGATCTTGGGACGTTTGCCAAAACAAAGACGAACAGGACTGTTCAGTGCCAGTGTCAGCGAAGCCGTTGGAGAAATCGTGCGAGTCGGGTTGAGAAATCCGGTCAAGATTGCCGTGAAAGTTAAGAGCGCGACTGGAGATGACAAAAGAACGCCAGCAAGCCTACAAATGTCATACTTAATGACCCCACCAAGTCACAAATTTCCTGCACTCCTCTCACTGCTATCTAAATTAGATCCTACCCCCCAGAAGACGATTGTCTATCTCTCGACTTGTGCGGCGGTCGACTACTTTCAACACATCCTCTCTGCATTACTCCCCGCTCAATTCTCTCTGCTTCCACTTCATGGAAAGCACCCACCCAACATCCGACAGAAAAATTTCTCAAAATATATCACAGCCGTCACCCCAACTATCCTTCTCACGACCGACGTTGCGGCACGAGGTCTCGATATCCCTCAAGTCGATCTTGTCGTCCAAATCGACCCACCTTCCGACCCGAAAGTCTTCCTCCACCGCTGTGGACGAGCAGGTCGAGCAGGTAGAAAAGGCCTGAGTGTGATACTCCTCCAGCCTGGTCGAGAAGAAGACTACATCCCCTTCCTCGAAGTTCGAAAGACACCGATTTCTCTTCTGAAGCATCCCGCAATATCAATCACAGACAACGATGCGAATCTCGTCACTTCCAAAATGCGAGAAGAAGTCCTAGCGGATCGGGCTCTATACGACAAAGGTCAACGAGCTTTCGTGAGCTGGGTGAGGGCTTACTCGAAGCATCAAGCTAGTAGTATCTTTCGAGTTGCTGATCTCGATTGGGCGGAGCTAGGTAATGCTTGGGGCCTTGTCCGCCTCCCTAAGATGCCCGAGTTGAAGAAATGGGATGGCGACAAAACGTTAGGTGTGAAACTAGATATGACAGAGTATGCTTATAAGGATAAAATCAGGGAAAGGGCTAGGAGAGTGGCAATGGCAGAGGAGAAGAATAAGGAGCCGTATGCGCCAAGTGAGGAAGCGCTGAGGAAGAGGAAGGAAAGAGAAGCGTGGAGTCAGAAGCATGAGCAGCAGGATGTCAAAGAAGCTAGGAGGGAGAAGAAGAGGAGAAAGTGGGAGGCTGAGAGATTGGAGAAGATGACTGAGGAAGAAAGAGCCAAAGAAAGGGAGGTTCAGGAGTTGGTTGAGCAAGTTAGAAAAAAAAGGCTGGAGGAAGAAAATGATGAGGAGTTCCGAGGGTTTGATGAGTAGTTGAATACATTGTATGACATCCCGTATAGTGCCACTGCCATGACGTGAGCCCCTTGAGCCAGTAAATGTGAATATATAATTGCATTTGCAAATGTGTTCGTATTCATGCAGCTCATTCTTCAGGCCATCCCTCGACCACCTCTCCTGGGCTGGTTCTCTAACCAAGTCCCAACTGATGGCAAGCCCTTCTCCTTCTCCAACCTCGCCCAAGGATTTTCATTAAACGTGGGATCATAATAATCCTCATACCACTTCTCATTTCTCTCCCCTCGCTCCCTACCTCCTCCCCCACCCCTGCCCCTTCCTCTTCCACCTCTCGAACTCGTACTCGTTGCCTCACTAAACGCCCTTCCTCTTGATGCAACTTGCATGAATTCCGTGTCGCTTGTTGCTGAGAATGCTGGTCGCTGCGGCAAACCAGGCGGGGGAGGCAGCAATGTACTTGTTTCCGTGCTTGCGTCCCCATCTTCAGCATTGGGTTCAGTGCCAATTCTTGCAAGAATTGCGTCAATGCGCGCCTGCATTTCCGCTGCTTCTTTTGGAGAAACCTCGCTGGTGTCGACACAGGGGGGTCTTTCATCCTCTCCCCTCTCTTGTCCAACGTCTGCGGGCGCAGGTAGACTTGTGTCCACATATCTCGGACCTTCTCCCTCCTCCGTATCACCACCATACCCTCCTCTCAATCCCGCTTCAATAGGCGGAGGCAAACTCGTGTCCATATATCTCGGACCCTGCAAATCCTCTTCCTCATCCAAATCAAGCTCAATCTCATCCTCATTGCCCCTCTTCTCTCCCAAAACCCTCATCTTCCCCAACGGCACGTTATTTCCACCACTCCCCGTTCCCTTCTTCCTTCCCCGATCCAATTTCTCTAGTTCTTGTCCTTCGACAAAAGCATCGGTCGTGGGGTTGAACTTTCGCTTTTTCGTGGGAGGCTTTTGGGATCCGAAGGCGGAGAAACCCATGAATGCTGCCATGGCGTTTGCATCTTCATCTTCGGAGATTTCGGGGGAGTTGCGATCGGGTTCCATTGTTCTTGTGGAGGGATTGATTAAGGTATAAAGTTCAAGGAGGCGAGGCGGATTCTCAGCCTCGAGTGCGGCAGCAAGCGCTAGTGTGTATTTTTAGGCGTTTCGAGCTGCCTGTTACTCCTCTTTCAACATCTTTCTTTTGAAGTTTCATCGCGATTTCGCAATCCCTAGTCCGCTTTCCCGCATGGTCGACCACTCTTAAACCCCGATGCCTTTATTTATCGTCATCCATCATTCGTCTGCGGGCCCCCAAAGCCAGTAGCTCCGCTATGTCAGCTTTCTGTTTCATAAGACATGCAGTGTCCTTGGAATGGATCTCTATAAGTTGTTAGCGATTGTGGACTCCCCAAGCTGGGATCCTGCAAGTTTTAAAACTCTAAGTGCTCCCTACTGTCTTTCATCCGATTTCCTCCTCCTTCCCAGTTCTTCCTGCGTCCAATGGCGGCCTTTCAAAGCGAGTTCAACACGGCTTGCACGAAGCCAACAACACCCTATCACTTCGTTGACGGAGGCGATATTAGAGGCATCATGGATATTTTATGGCCGTCAATAGCATCATTATTGCTTTGTACCCATTCAATCCAATATCTTACCGTTCCATACCCAAAACTGTCTAAAAACTGAAGAGAAAGACAATGTTGCTCGTTATTTAGCGTCGCTCGAGAGTCTATGCACACGGTGCTGGCATTGGTTGTGCCAGAAGTCACGGTACGAATATCCCTAGTCGATTACCTTGCGGCTCGAGCGTCGGAGAAGGAAATGGAGAAATGACCTTCAGAAGATGGCACAGAATGGAGTCTTACTCATACTTTTTTTTGCCAATATTGGAGGATTCGTTTTTCGGTATCCTCCCTCGTTGCCACAAGCGGATCGAAGTCTATCAGACTCTACGACTCTTTCTAAAGAAGCGACATCCAATCAATCTGTCAAGCATGCAGGCACAACGGAGCCGATGATCAGCGATCCTGAGTGGCAAACCTTACCCTCGAATCAAAGAACGAAGAATCACAAGTACCCGTTCGGTCCTTCTTCTTGTCCTTGTCAGTATGAAGGCAGAAGTGCAACTTATCAATCTATGTCTCTCGAGAATATTCACGCTCACAACTATCCATTCCGGAACGGAAGATTCAGGATGAATCCTAGTTTTATCAAACCATTCTCGTCGGACACGAACACGAGTCACATCAGTCAAGTCAAGCGTTCTGTGATTCCGCCAATCAAGAATCAGCTGGCCGTATTTTGTTCTACCAATTCATCAAAAAGGTGGATCGCTTTGTTGGGGATTCCTGGGTGCTTGACGCCAAGCAATTGCTAATGGCTCGAGAATTCGGCATCATTAATAGATTGCCTTCTACTTATTCGAACGATTTAAAATACCAAAGCAAGGGCGATGCGCTCCTCAAGTTGACCGCCATGGGTCAAATCATCTACTTAGTATTTGGAACTTCGAATTTCCAACTTCTATCGAACGATTGTTATGGCGAATTGCTTACCCCGTCATTGTTATCCTTCCACTGCCATCCCTCGCGAGTTTCGGGCCTCCTAACCTCCCAGGGAGTTAATCGCTCGCTTCGTGAAGAAGAGGGAGGACAGAAAGACGTTCATACTGAGGCGGCGTTGTTCTTGTCCATTGCGAACGGTTTGGTGATGGTAATGTTTTCGTGTAGTTTGTTTGCCGGTTGTTTATGCTTTGCGAGGTTGTCAGAGCTCTCTTTTATCTTCCACCAGGGGCGTTTTTGACGGCGGATTGGCTCGCTGCGATTCCTCATCTTAGCTAGATATCTCAATTTAGGATATGTCGAATGAATGACTGGTCTTCGTCTTGTGAGCTCTTTCCACTGACTTCCATTATAATATTTGACATTCATGTAAAACACGAAGAGCAGCTACCTAAATACAGCCTCCTTCACGAAATGCTCAATATCTGCTCTCATCTGTCCCTTCGCGTCCTCAGAAGCCCAACACATATCCACAGAATCCATCTGTAACTTCACAATCTCCTCATCCGTGAAGCCCCCCATCATCTTCGACAACCTCAAGTTGTCAACGATCCAATTACTCTCGACATACGCAGGACTATCGCTGCTAACATTAATCAATACACCCGCATCAAACAACCTCCTCACATATCCAAACACATTCTCCTCCTTGTGGTGCCTCACATATGCCCACGGGCAAAGCGTCATCCCAATCCCCTTCGTCTTGATTTTCTCCACCAGCTCCGGAATTTCAGCAGCATCAAGGCCATGATCAATCCTATCAGCTCCGGTCCCACCAAGCTCACAAGCAACTTGACGAATATGCTCATAGGTATCCTTCTGCATGACATCGCAGTGACAAGTAAGTTTAAACCCATCCTTCTTTGCCCTCCGATACACTTCACCAAAGAGCAGAGGAGGCCGATTGTATTCGTTAGAGTCAAGTCCAATACCAACAATCATGTCTTGGTAAGGCAGAGCAAGCTCATAATGCTTCATCGCGTCCTCAGGGGAGAGGTCACGAAGGAAGCACATGATGTAGTTTACCTTTAGCTATTATCATCAGCTCTCCCATCCTATCAACAAACAAGAAACCATTTACTCACGCCTAATTCTACCTCCGCCTCCTTCTTCGCGCTTCCCAAACCCGTCATTAAAGTACCGATCTCAACACCCCGCCTCGTATGCGCCTGCACATCAAACATCGCCTCACAATACACAACGCCCATCTCCTTCGCCCTTCCAAAATATGCAATAGCTAAATCGTGAAAGTCTCTCTCAGTCTGAAGAACCTCCATGCCTCCATAATACGCTTCGAAGAAAGCGCTGAGACCAACGCCCTTGATGCTCCGTGGTTGAAGGAGGTTGTAAGCTTCTTTCAGCTCTTCTAAGGTGTGGAAAGTCTTGTTCAAGCGGAGGGAATGCAATGACATGTCATTGCGTTGGGCGAGCTGCCAGCGAAGTTCTGGGGTTAGGGTGCCTTCTAGGTGCACGTGGAGTTCGAGTTTGGGGATTCTGTTGATAAAATGGTCGTTTGTAGAGCGGATTGAAGCTTTCCAGGCTTGGAGAGTGGCATAGGGGATTGGTGGATCCATTTCAGGTGCTAGTCATTTGCTTGGGCGTAGAGATGAGAATGCGGTGCCTTAGTATGTAGTCTAAGTTTGGTAGAATCGAAGAGTGGGGGTAAATCCAAGGAGAATAGTAGCTGGTCAAAATTAAAGTACAAGACAGTCGAAGTGAGGTTATGGATCTGGTTCTTCGAGTCGAATAGAGAGTTGCAATGAATCGAGTTAGCTTGGGGGCTGGGGAGTTCGGTTCAGGGGGGAGAAAGCTCGGCTCGCTGAAAGTTTACCCCGAACTTGACAAGCGAATGAATAGGGGAAGCTGACTGACTGACCCGGCTAGTGAACTTAGGCTGTTGCCCCACGAATGACGCTGCCACACCGCGGCTTTCTGGCCGCCTTCTCCCTTTTCCATCACACGCGGAAAAGGCAACGGATAATTGTAAGTGCTTGGAGTTTTTCATTTCTCGCCTCATCCATTCAACAAAATTCCCTCTTTCATCTCTTCATCCCTCGTCTATAAAAGTCACCTCTGCTTTCATCCAAAAAGTCACAACTCGCAAGTTGCAATTCCCTTCTCCCTCAAAGGTCTCTCCCCTCGATTCAAGACCCCACTTCCGGCATCGGACACCGGACAGATCCCATCCAAAACCCAGTAAACATCACGAGATCCCAACAGGAACAATAGAAAACAGGAAAATAATGCCTGAGAAAGTCGCCTTTCTCGGCCTCGGAGCCATGGGCTTCGGCATGGCCACAAACCTCATCAAGAAAGGCGTTCAAGTCACCGGCTACGACGTCTGGGCCCCCACTCTCGCCCGCTTCGTCTCGGCCGGTGGCTCCTCGGCTACGACTCCCAAGGAGACGGTCAAGGATATGGAGTTCGTGGTCTTCATGGTTGCTACGGCGGCCCAGATCATCGATGCCATGTTCCACGAGGAGAATGGGGCGCTTTTGAGCTTGAAGAAGGGGACGACGGTTATTCTGTGTAGTACGGGCCCGCCGGAGTATACTCCCAATGTGAGGAAGTTGCTGAACGAGAAGGGGCGGAGTGATGTTTTCTTGGTTGATGCTCCGGTTTCTGGGGGCACGATTCGGGCGGCGAATGGGACGTTGACGATTCTTGCTGCGGGCGAGGAAAGTGCTCTGGGAAAGGCAAAGGGGACGTTGGAGTTGATGGCGGGGAGCAATCTTTATGTTATTCCTGGAGGGTTGGGTGCAGGGACTAAGGTCAAGATGGTGCACCAGGTGCTTGCTGGTATTCACATTTGTATGACGAGTGAGGCGATGGGATTTGCTGCTGCAATGGGCGTGAATACCATGAGAGCTTATGAGGTGTTGAAGGCCGGGGAAGGTATGAGCTGGATGTTCGAGAACCGGGTGCCTCATATGCTTGTGGAGGACAAGACGGTATATTCGGCGTTGAATATCATCGTGAAGGATATGGTGAGTTCAGAGCCATAGTCTTCATTCACGTGCTGACTGGTCTTCCAGGGGATTGTTACTGCTGGCGGAAGAGGTGCTGGCTTCCCCCTTTTCTTGTGTTCAGTTACCGAGCAAGTTCTGGCAAGTGGAGTCAGTGCCGGACTGGGTGCTATTGATGATGCAGCACTCGTTGGCGTTTACCTCCCGGAACATCCAACCCTCGTGCTGAAATTAGCCTCTGCATCGACAACAGCCGAGGAAGACGACAAGAAGCTAAAGATCGTTGTCCAAATCATGGCTGGTGTACATCTTGCAGCAGCAGCAGAGGCCATGTCACTTGGCATCAAAGTCGGCCTGGAGCCGAAGCAGCTCTATGGAATCATTGCCGGGGCAGCAGGAAATAGCTTCATGTTTTCTAATCGAACTCCGCAACTTTTGAGTGGAAAATGGACGTCGCCGAAGACTGTTGATGATGTTATCGCTGAGATGGTAAGTCTTTTTAAGACGATTGTAGGAACGATGCTAATATCAATAGACCGTGTCGATAGAAGAAGCGAATAAGATGAAGTACCCGTTGCACTTGGCAGGGACTGCGTTGCAGCTTTTCGAATTGGCGTCGCTGCGTGGATTGGGGAAAGAGCCGGATGTTGCTGTATCGAGAGTATGGGACGGTGCTGAAGGACCTTTGTTTCCGAAAAGCGCTTAAAACCATAAAGGTTGGATAGTATTGAGTCTGAAAACTGTTGGATTTCTATAGTAAAAGATTTGAGGAACGCTTCGTTGCGTTGCGTTGTATCGACAAAAATCGAAGTGGAATCAGTGATCTAGAAAGGGATTTTGTGCCATAGCATGTAGAAATCCGCCAAATATGAGGCTCCTCATTGCAACCTATCCATCGTGAAGTGCCTCTTCTTAAGCCCTATACTGAACATGTTGCAACTCTGCGACATCAAGTGCTACTACACTCCATTCTCCTTCACGGGCTGCTGGAGCTGATCTTCTGTGAAGCTTCAATGAACCAGCGCCCACCAGTCTTGATGAACATGATTATTCGACTCTTCTGCACACTCCAGGGAGAGTGAGAAGGAGGTATTTGGTAGTTCAACCAACCTGCGGACTTGAACAATTCAAACCTTCTTACCCACATCTCGTCTGTTCATGATAGCCTCTCTACCACTCCTCACAAGGCCATCCCTCCCCGTCACTCACCGTTCGCAGAAAAATTCAACGTCCCCTCCCGCGCTACCCCCCTTTTCTGCATCGATAACCCCGGCACGCGCGATAACTGTGATAAGGATCCCGCTGTCACACAACGCACGAACTTCATTTTAATTTGGATAATCTGTCGCGTGTTGGCCATGTGGACTATTTTTGCCAAGTTGTTTGTGAACGCCGAATGGCACGCTCGGACACCGAAAATGGCTATTTCGGATTTGGAGGCGGAGGTCCAATTGGAATCGGAAGAGAGGGCAAGGAAAATTCTAAGTACCGAAATGGAGGAAAGGGGACGCGCGGAAGTGTTTGTGAGAGGTTCGGAGGAGACGGGGATGCTGTCAGTCACGCACCGACGTGCAGAGGCAGAGGCGTTGGTAATACGATGATGCACTTGGTCGGTTGTAGCTCTGTGGTTTGCTCTGTGGACGAAGTTCGAACATATTTGGGAAGCAGAGCGCCTGAAAGCTTGCGGATTTGGAACGGAATGTTGAACCGTTTGAGGCGTTCAGAAGGTGGTAGAAGAAGGAGATGGGGAACAGGTGGAGCCGTGTTTCGCGGGACGGGTGTGAGCACGGAGCGCGGTGAGACCGTGTGATTGCGAGATGAGGGCCATGTGGTGGAACGGAGATAAGAGATGGGGAACGGGAACGGGATGGGATGGGATTCGGGGCTGTGCCTTCAATGAGGCTGTTTCGGGGGCGCGGGATTGAGGATGTGGTGTTCTTGTCCTACACAGCATGTGCTTGTGGCTTGTAGGAAGGTAATTTTGGGTGTTGTTGAGATCCGAGAAATGATATCACGTTGCTTTGGTTGAGATGACGAAGGGGGGAAGGTACCTTCCCAGAGGAGCTCGCAAGGGTCTCCTCTTCCCCAGAAGTATGGCCTCTGGAAGCTGTCACCTTCTTGATCCGTTCCGTTTCGTGCCTGGAATTGACCTGCTGAGTTCAGTGCGCTTCAACCCGACGAGCCGGTTTGTTGATGCCACGCCGCACTACGGAGCACGGATCTGTCTCCGGCTCTCCCGAATGGTGCCGGCGACGAGTTGGCGACGAATGTGACATGTCGTAGTGGGGGGTGACAGCTTACCAAGTTGCCAGACATAAAGCGAAACATCTCGTTGGGATCTTGGGACCCAAAGTGCGGCAGCGCGGATGATGAACGGCGTCCCGAGGGAACGGTCGGAAAACTGATTTCAAACCCCGAACTCTATGGAGAGAGCTTGCTGGGAGAGGAGACACTCCCGTGACTGAGCTGGGGTCCATTCCGTGTGTCGGGGAGGTTCGTCAGGAGACTCAAATCTAGAAGCTTCCAGTTTGGAGGAGGAGGAGCGGATGAGCGTGGGGGAGATGCACAGTGACGCTTCTGCGGTTTTGGATAATGGGAATTGCTTTTCGATCTTGCAGTGATTGCTTGGGTGCACTTCAAGGTGGGCAATGCATACTGCACGGAAGTTGGGTCCCGAGCAGGGCACAAGTGCGATCGATCATGCTCTTGGAAATGAAGAATTTCCATGCGTCGGAATATGTCTGCATGGCGGGAAGGAAGCCCACCTCAATTTTGTCGGCTGGGACAAGCGGAGCGGGGCGTGGCAGACACGCGATTCCAACTAGAGGCTGAGAGAGGCGCGCTCTTTGGTTCTTCTTTCCGCACAACACGCCAACGTGCTGAATTGGACTTACTGTAACTTCCTCCATATGTTTACGAGTTGAAGTTCAGAATCGACGATGAGATGAAGGGATAGAGGATGAAGGATGAAGATCTCTCGTGCCTCGAGCAAATTATTATTGGCCACATGCTTTTGCGGTCTCCCAACTGTTCACTCCGGCGCTGGGTCTCACGGCCCACGGGGAAGGCTTCCTCTGTCCCGCCGCCCGCCGGCGTGTTTATGCTTGTTCGTGGTCACTGGCCCACTACTGGCCCAGTGAGGAGGGCCGCCCCTGTTCTGTGGCGAGGTTCCGCGTTGTATCTCCGCGTCCAAAGCGCTGGGTTCTGCCGTGAAAACGACTTGCGTGAACCGGCCATGACATCCATGACATCCCACCGATCCCGCTGACATAACCGAGTTTGACCACCCATTGACCAGTCGCTTCTTCTTGCGTTGTGGCAACACTGGCAAGCCATGCGTGTCAAGCTGAGCGAAAAATCACCGGTTGGCTCATGCGCGCTTCTGACCTGCTCTTGGCGTCCGTGGCGGAAAGAGTCCCTCCCACCGCGATACTGGGAATTTGGGGCATCGGGGAGAGGCATCCTTCGTCCTAATTTCCCCCCTGTCGCTGGCCGCTGGCGGCACTTGAGGGCTGGTAAATTACCTTGGGCCTGTTTGTTGGACCAACAGATGAGGAAATTGTGATTGTGATGTCGAGATACTTCTGGCGTCTACTGTAGCTTTCTGTTGGCACGGCGGTGGTAGTCACATCATGAAGGAGTCTCAGAGTGAGGTGTGTCCTCTTGTGCAACCGCGGTGACTTGTGTGCGAAAAGCACGGTGACGACTGACTGACCAGAACAGACCAGGGAGGCATTGGAGGCATTGGAGGCCGCAGCGATAAAGATCTGATGATCTCGTTCGCCCCCCCCTTGCCAATGGTCACAGCGCGAAAAGCATCCCGCCCGTTTGGGCAATTTTTTCAGCAGGGGAGTCAGGGACACTTCTGCTGGCGGGTGCTCACTGCTCACTGCTCAGGATCTGTGTCTGTCTCCCTGAGGCTTTAGCAGTGCTGAGTGGCTGCACGCACAGCTTTTCAATAGTACGAAGTGGTTGGACTGCTCAAATCGAGTCGATCAGTTCAGCTCCTTTTGGAGAGGATGCGCTCCAGCTGAGATGAAATCCGCCATTTGAGATACAGTACGGAGTACCGTACTGTACGAGAAAGGTCGGACTCCGTAGTGGCTGATTGGCTGCCTTGGGATGAGGTCCAGACCAAATCGCTGGCCCGAACGACCCCGCCGGCTGCAATTGCTTCTGCTTGTGCATGCTGGTCTGTCGGTTCCCCCACAGCGTCAACGACCTCATCGGCAGTCAGGCAGAGCAAGACATCCTATGCCTCGGCGGCGTGGCCACGGAGAATGACTCTGGCTTCTGGACTTGCAGAGTGTCGCAAAAATGCTTCCTTTTCATGCCGCAACGGCCCTCGGTCTCTCGGGAGGGAGACTTCCTTCACCGTTGGGCAGTATCTTGTGGATTGTGGTAAATTGATCAATATTCGAGCCCAAAGTCTAGTAAAGACGACCATCGATCGACCAGGCCTTTGACGGGCCGGGATTTGCATTTCCTGCGAAGCCCAGAACGAGCCTTTGTGCGTATGCCCAGGCGGTCACTAGCACAGGGAGCACTCGGTAGTCATAGTTGAGGTCGTAGTTGAGGTCGTAGTCGTCGTCGTTGTCATGTATGTTGCATTGTCTAGCCCCTGCAGTCGGGTTGGCAGCGCGCAGGCATCGAGGACGTCGCGAAAGGGGCGAATCCCCACTCCGCTGCCCGGACAGGCGGCTGCTCCCTCCCTCCCAACTCTCCAATGCCCATGACGCCCAGCAACGAGGCCTGTCCTGCGTGTCCTGCGTGTCCTGCGTGTCCTGCCCTACCCTGCCCTGCCCTGCCCTCTGTCTGCCTTGCAGCTGCACTCTGCACTCCAAAGCAACACCCCCAACCAGGCACTTTCCCTGCCTCTGCCTCTGCCTGTGCTGCCAGAGACCTCCCCTTCTATCGTTCCTTCCACAGACACGCTCGCTCTCTTCTCCCCAACGATCACCGACGGCGTCAATCGGATCGAATCGAATCCGACATCAATGCATTCGCAAAAGGGAAAGGGTCGACGGTGCTGATTGCCGCATTGTTGGAACGAGTGGCAGCAGGATGGAGGCAGAGGCCCCTGTTCAGGCCTCACATTCGGCCAAGAATCGCACGCCAGAGAGCCTGCGGCAGCGTCAACGAGACCGAATGTCGCCGCGGGGCCGCTTTGCAAAGACGACTCGCATTTCCACGACCATCAGAGAGATTGACGGGGCTCCAAAAGGCGGAATCACGCTCGCCCCTGCCCCTCGGTCAAAAACAATCGGGAATCGATCACCGGAGTTGACGAAGAAGAAACAACTCCAGGAGGGGCTGCGCAAGGAGAACAGTATCAACCGCCGGGCGAGAAGAGAGGCAGAGGATCTGAAATTTGACATTACCCCAGACGGCGGCTCTGCTGGACGAGAAGGACGCCAGTTCACCGTTGCCAAGGTTGGAAACAATGGCAAAATATACCTCCGGTAAGGCATGATGCAGGATGATATTTCTATGACAAGGCATGACGTTTGTATAAACATTGGCTAACAAGTGAATAGCCCTACCATCCGCCCTGCAAACCAACGATACCCTCAACCTTCATTTGTGTTTCCCGTCACCCCACCAAGCACCGCTGGACTTGATGCGTTGGTCGCCCGCAACGAAGAAGTAGACAAGACCCCACGAGATAGTCTCTGGACGCCAACACGTTCGCCTTCCTCGACCGCACTTCCCACTCGGGATCACTACTTGCCACAATGCAAAATCCCGTCCCAGAAACCACACCGCCAGCGCGCACACTCGTATTCCACCATCGATGAACAGCAACGACCTGTACGGGACTCCGATGTTGGCGCATTCAGGGTGGTGATAGAGAGGCCTGGAACAGGACCTAAATCTCTCGAAAGTTTCGACGGCATACCGACTCTTGAGGTTCCTATACCTTCGTACAAACTTGGCACGCCGAGGTTCAGTACGCGGGGTACAGCCTTTCTTCGCGGGTCCATGACTACCACCGATGATATGCGCTCGAGTGTCTTCTCAGGCAGAGATAATTCCAGAGATCCAAGCTTCCACCCTTCTGCTCGAATCCTTTCGAGGCGGCACTCTGACGCGTCACCCCAACCGCATTTTCCAGCTATGGCCCCGTCAAGTCCATTCGAGGGTCCCTCGTTGCAGTCACCTGGTATTGCTCGACAACGAGTCGCGATTATCCCTGAGATGTTTGATGCCCTCACCTTCAAACCTGCATGCGATCATCCTTCAGTTGTCCGATACTCGATGAGTCGTGGGATCAGGGCTGCAACTCCGGCGCGTCTAGTCGCTGAGATCACATCACCCACTTTCGTTGACTACGATCTTCTCTCTGACTTCTTCTTGACCTTCCGCTCTTTTCTAGAGACCACTGATCTTCTATACATGCTCATCGCGCGCTTAAAATGGGCTCTTTCCCGTGACGATGAGACGGGGACGGTGGTAAGAGTCAGAACCTTTGTTGCGATCCGACACTGGATCTTGAACTACTTTCTGGATGATTATGTTGTTGACTACGACCTGCGGAAGTCATTCTGTGACCTTCTCAATAATTTTGTCACTGAGTTGTCACAAGATCCTGTCCGGACCAAAGTGCCTCTGAAGATCCTCGGGGAGCTTAAGAAGTGCTGGAGAAGAGTGTGTTCACTGTACTGGGATGGACCTGACTTCGATATTGATCTGGGGGCTGATGTTGCTATCCTTCCCGGAGGTGTTGCCGGATCTCGAAATCCAAGGCTAGACCCAAGCTTTTGGGAAACGCAACCAAATGGGCCACCCAGGCTTGACGGAATCATCGAGCCGGATTTTACCGACCGAGACCCCTCAGCCGCAGACGGCCTTAACTTCTTTGCTGATGTGTCTCGCGCTGGGCACCTAGATTCAGTGGTGGTTCCTCGTGTTCCAACTGTCCACGTTGACAACCTACCAGATGAGCCACCACTTTCTCCTAGTAGTATCGTCAGTGAGGATTTCGTCTCATGTTCGTTTCCTTCCCGTACCCCTCGAGGAGCAGGAGCTGCCCATCCCGTTGGTGCCCATCCAGTCCCCGCGAGCTCAATATACGACCCAGTCCCTCATGTGGCAACGACCCCAAAAGCTCTAACTGGCAAGCGTGTCCGTCCAACGCATGCACACAAGCGCAGTGCCAGTTTTTCGGATTCCTTCAGAGACCAACGAGCGCAGCAATCTGTCCAAAAAGTTATTTATAAAAGTACCGAAATCCTTCTTGCCCTCCCATATGCTGGAAGCCTTGTCAGAGGGAATATGTTCCCCCCTGGGCAAGCATTCGTTGAAGTAATCGCTCCAAGTACTCCAGCTGAGGCAAATCGGGCAACAACATTCTTTCCTGGGCCACCAGCAAATCAGAAAGGCCCTTCCGCGATGTCAGGACCAGGAATGAAAAAGCTGTTGGGCAGTGTTCGTCGAGCTTTGAGCACCAGAACCGGCCCTAGTCCGAATTCTTCACCAACACAAGGCAGCTTTCCCCATATTCCCCCACTTGGTATTCGCGGCGCTACTATCAATCGACTGCCAGGGACAGCTGTTGTCCCCCAGGCTCGTCCTAAGAATACTGGAGCTAAAGCACCGATGCGAATCGATTTACTGGGTGCAGAGGTCGCTGAAGATTTTAAGAAGGCCGTGCGAGAAGACGCTGAAGCCGAGGCTAAGCAGCAAGCAGCAGAAGGACGCAAATCGCATAGGAGTAGTGAGCGCGACCTTGGTCTCCAATACTCCAGCATGCAACCGGACGATACTCTTGAGACATCCCGAAGTGGGAATCGCCGCGCGCCTGTCAGCGAGATGACAACTGGTAGTAAATCTATCGTTATCGTTGACGATACTCTACCTCTAGATCTGCCCTTTATGACCGGTGCGCTGCCGATGAATCCGTCAGTAGACACATTTGCCGACGCCTTCATGCAACCTTCTGGTGGCCCGACTCCCCCTTCAACGCCCCCTGAAGCACCATTAGGAACGCCTCGACGATCGTCACATCTGTTGGGGAACCACACAGGCAAACGGTCGTTTTCGTTTGACGGAACCGTTGAGGGAACCCCGTCCTTGATAGTCGACTCTCGCCCTTCAAGAGAAGATGAATACTCCCCTAGCCATCGACCTCCTGGACGGCTGGCTATGCGCCCGCCAAGAAGCCAGTCCTACAAATCCAAGAGATCCCTATCCTTACGACGATATGCTTCTTATCATAGTGGATTTACGAGACAGAGGAGTGAGCGCAGCTTCGATGCGAGCACGTTCTCCGAAGCCGAAGATGCTGAACGCATGTCACATGTAGAATCTGTACCATTACCACTCCGTGTCCTCCGAAGACGTCCTGGTGGTGACCTGAGAGCCGTTACTAACGTGGGTGATCTGAGCGTCCACCCTCTCCGGAGACCAATGTCAACCGGCTCTTTGACAGCCTACTCTGAATCAGTGCGCAGCTCGTACTTGCTAGGGAACGACTCGACCGACTACGTTGACGTCGGGACCAGCGACTACGATCAGTCGCAGTCAAACGCCAATAACACCTTTTCCCTCGGTGCATTAGCTGAAGCCTCGCCTAAGCCACATGTATCACTGTTCAGCACGCATTCGTCTCAGCCCGTAATGCGCCCCTCGTTTGAGAAGGAAGCTCAAATGCTTGCTCAGATACCTGACGATGCGGACGACGACGGGGGCGTGGAGTCTGCGTTATTGAAATTGGAAGGAAAATACGAGCAGCGACGGTCTGACCTTTCAGGGCAAAGTCAGCCTCGGGATATTCCAAGCCAGTTCAACAGTTTTGGTGCTGCTCCATTTGATGTTAGCACACTGACCCTTGATGACGAAGAGGAAAAGCGAAAGCATCGTCAGAATCACGTTCTGGAAACGCCCATCGTAAAGCCAGGTCCTTCACCTACCGCTTATAGGCCTCTGCAGGTTCAACGTCCGGAAGAATTGCAACCTGCTGTCTATCAACCCAAAGGACTGCAGCCGATAGTCCAATCTCCAGTATCCATAGATTCTTACAACTCCATTCCCCTCCTTGAGAGGGGCTCAACAGACGACGGTCATGAACGCCGCAGCAGAAGAGAGCGAAACTGGTCGGATCATTCAATCCTTGTTGGGGCGAGTAATGAGAGAAAATTGCCTTCTCCAAAATCCTCCCATGCAAACTCCTTCGATTTTATTGAAGAAACAGACAGCATGAAAAAGATCTCGGTCGGTGCCACAAGACCAAGCGTCGACCAATCTTTCTTAGATAGCGACAGTGATGAAAGAAGCGATCTCTCGTCTGAACTCTCGGTGGAGGTCATCTCAAGAACCGAGTATACTGAACATGACTCTGCCAACTCAAGAGGCTTCCCTCCCATTCGACCTGGAACTGTTATCACGGAGGTTGCACTCCCGTCGCATCCATTACGACATCCGCCATCGCCACCAATGACTCTGGTGCAAGCTCTTCAGTTATCACCAAATACAGCAAACATTCCACAAATCCATGCAAGGCAGCTCGAGCAAGCGAAGACACCGATGCCCCCAACGCCTGAGATTACTCCGACTGCGGTTTCTGCCATTGGAGGATTGGGAGGTGATAGAGGTGCATCGCCGTCGATGGACCCGCTCAGATCTCATCGTATTCCGGAGGCATCTCGGAAAACTTCCGTTCATTTGCCATTCACTCTGGCATTTGATTCTCAGGTTCTGGCTCAGCAATTCACTTTGATTGAGAAGGATGCTCTCAATGAGATTGACTGGAAAGATTTGATTGAGATGCGCTGGAAAGATGCTTCTACAGAATCCAGATCATGGGTAGAATTTCTGCGTACTTCTGAACCCCGTGGTGTTGAGGTCGTCATCGCAAGATTCAATCTTATGGTGAAATGGGCAGTTTCGGAAGTCGTCTTGACCCAGGATCTCCGTGAACGAGTTCAATGTATCATCAAGTATATCCACATTGCTGCTCATTGTCGAAAGTATCGCAACTTTGCGACCATGACACAGCTCACTGTGGCGCTTACTTCGAAGGACGTTTCACGTCTGACAAAGACATGGGCATATGTTCCACAAGTCGACATGCAGACGTTAAAGCAACTCGAGGATCTTGTAACTCCCACACACAACTTCCATAATCTGAGAGCAGAGATGGAAGGCTCTGGTGCTGATCAAGGTTGCATCCCGTTTGTCGGCATCTACACTCACGATCTCTTGGTCAATTCGGAGAGACCAAGTCAAATTGCGAGTACGCCAACAACAGAGCCATTGGTTAACTTCGAGCGATGCCGTACTGATGCTACAATCGTCAAGAATCTCCTCAGGCTACTCGAGGCAAGCCAGCTGTACAGATTCTTACCCATCGAAGGAGTTACCGAGAGATGCCTGTGGATGGCAGCATTGTCTGACGAGGAGATTGTGAGATATGGGAAGATAATTCAAGAATGATCGGCCACGCCCCTACAATCAGTGCGCTCATCAACCATATACTCAACATCTTCCAGCTCCGTTCATACCTTTAACGCCTCCACCGACCTCGCAATTTCCTCGGAAACTTCCCACGAGTCCGTTCTCAGACGGGTACTTGTAATAACTTATACTTTGATTTGCTTTTCTTGTGATCAACATGTCGCTTTTAATGTGTGCTACTACGGTCTCTACATTCTCTGTTTGTTTTTATCCTGTTACGGCTTGACGGTCTTGTCTGTCGATGATGCATACGAATTTCTTAGGTTCTCAGCAGGTCCGAGAGGCGAGGACAGAGCATGTTCATTTTCAGAGAGGAGTAGATATTGTGAGAGTGGCTATCACTGGCTGTGTGTCTCGTTGTGTTGGGTGTTAAGGGATACATAATTGCTGGGTTGGTTGAGGGAGTTGTTGATTTTGCATTGCATTGCATGGCTGGCATGGATGGTATACCCGGATTTAGCTATGAGCGTGTGGTGAGGTGGGTGCTTGGAATTGTTACTAGAAGTTAAGAGAGGAGATAGTGGAGAGTGGACTTAAGAAAATGAATAACGGCTTTATGCTGGGATATCTGTGCGGATGCTGTGCTACCATCAATTTGAGACGTCCTACCATGCCGAGGCTTGTCAGCCTGCATATGACCCTTAGACAGGGTCTCGATCAAATATTCTAGATCATTATTTTTGCTCTTGGCAACTAACGGCAATTGATTCATTCCTCTGCTGCTATCTTGAGAGGACTTTTTTTGGTTAGAAAGAACGAGACAATGTTTCACAGTCCCTGGATGTGAAACAAGGGTCTTTGGTGACGTAGATTACTGTTCTATCTCAGCAACTAACCTTGCGCAACATCACACCTCACTTCCACCACGAATATAACTCTCTCTCCCCCTCACAATCTATCCTTCCACGTGGCAATTAATTCACCCAATATCTTAATCGTATATTATGCGCCCACACATTTTAACTTAAAAACTGATGAAACAGTAAACAGCAAACAGTAAAACAGCGAACAGCATGGCAGACCCAGTCCTTACCTCCCCTCTCAACGTCACAACCCCCGAGCCAGCAGGAATCATGGAATTCAAGACAGACGATCTGGAGACTATCAAATCGTCCTCTGTTAGTCCCGACAAAGCCGACACCACTGCCCCAGCAGCTACCCCAGCAGACGACAGCAATCCTGTCTCCTCTTCCTCTCCGACAAAACCAACGAGTTCCATCATCCTACGAAGTCCAAGGAAGTACTCCCTCGCCCCCTCTACGGAATGGCAAGCTCCTCCACTGGAGTGGCTAGAAGGCACCTGGTCGGTAACACACAGCACTTTGCCCATGTGGAGAAAAGCAAAGAACGTGCGCATCACTTATAAAATCCTGCCTCCGTCTTCACCCGACGGCCCAGTGTGTCTCGATGATACGGTCGAGTCGGTGCCCACGGAGAAGACCTGGATGCCGCAGCCGAAAGCGATTCATGGCGTTGATACGCCGGAGGGAGACGGGGCTTGGGCGTGGAGGGGGAAGGGGTTATTGAAGATTGCGAGTAGTAGGTGGGAGGTTTTGGGGTGGGGAGAGCGGGAGGACGAGCGGTGGGTGGTTACGTGGTTTGCGCCGAGTTTATTCACGCCTGCTGGTGTGGATGTTTATTCAAGCCGCAAGGAGGGGGTTAGTGAGGGGTTGTATGGGGATATTGAGGGGGCTTTGCAGGAGCTGGGGGCGAAGGAGGTGGCGGAGTTGTGTAAGAGTGAGATGATGGCTGTTAAGATTGAGTATTAGGGTTTTGGTTTATGATAGAGGAGTAGGAAGAGATTTGATATCCTGAGATTTTGGGAAGAAACGAGAATCAGGTTACTATAATTCTATAATGGTAGCTGTAATTCATTAGTCATGATGCCGGTGGTGCCTATGCCTATGCCTGTGTCTCCTCTCTTCCCCATGTGAGCTTCGACTTGAGTGTCGGTGTCGATGTTTATGCTCCCTCTCTCTGTCACGTCTTCTGGACGAGCTCTCCTCCGTGCCATCCAACGTGAAGCTCTCCAGCTCATGATCTTCGTCTTCATGTCTCCGTTTCCGCTTCTTCCTTTTCTCGGCATCTTTGAGTTCTCTCAGCTCCCTTTCTTTCTCCTCACGCCATAACTTCCTTTCACGTTCCACCTGTCGCACTTGCGCCGCTCCCTTCTTCATAAAAGCCAGCGGATCATTGTCCACAACCCTCTTAGCCTCCCTTTCTCTTCTCCGGGGATCTTCATTTCCCCAGACATCCTTTCCTACCACTTCCTCTTCCTCTGTTACCACCTCTCCACCAGTGGGTTTCGAATACCAAGGGTTTTCTAAACCCTGCTTAAATCCAGCTGCGTTCGAAAACCGCATCGTATATTGATCTTCATATTCCCGTTTCTTCTTCGCGGCCTCCTTCTCCGCCTCGGCATTCTTTTCCACAGGTGGATGAGGGGAAGAGGTAGGGAAAAGAGAGATGTGCCCTTTATGATCTGTTAATGGCGCATTGTTGTCCTTCCGCAGAACCAGTTGAGTCTCAGTGTTCGACGCCGCCGAAGCTTGATCCTCCCGAGCCACGCGGAGCTCGAAATCAGTGTCATTCTCGCCTGCTTTCTTCCTGCGTTTTCGTTCTCGGCCTGAGCCATAGGTATGGTTCTCTCGGCTTTCATGATTGGAAGGAGGCGTGTCTTCGATGGCCAAGGGGGTTGGAATCTCGCCACGGAGGATCTGGATTCGTCGTTCGGCATCCAGCTCTTGCATACGCTGTTCCTCTGCTTCTTCGAGGGCCTTTGCGGCTGCTTCATCGCGCTTCACCTTTGCGATGTTGTCGGCATTGTAGACGTTCCATGATTTCTTGCCTAGGAGGTGGCTGTAGGGACTCAGTGAGGGGTCATCTAAGGAGGTATTGAAATCGAAAGTATTCCAAGGTCGGTAGAAGAATGAAAGCGAGAACCTACAGAGGCATTATTGGCACTTTGTACTGGTGATCCGCAACCTGAAGAAAGAAATCGAGGTCAAGGCTGAGGTCCTCAAGTCGAGGCTGCGATAAGGTTGTGGCTGTGGTCGTGGCGGGGAACCCGGTGGCTGAAAGGGCGAATCCCAGCCCGAAACTCAGCGCTTTGTCGCCGCTGGCTGCTGATGTAAAACCTGCCAGAGACAGCAAACGCAACACAAAAGGAACAGTCCACCGGTGGAACTTCATTTCATTTCGTATTTGCTGGCATTTGCACTTGCAGAAGAAGACAGACAGACAGACTCTTAGAACATATACTGATTCCTGCGGTACTGGATATCTGTTCTTTCTGGGCGAGGAGTCATTGCGAGAGAGGACACTTCTGAAGCTGACGGCAGAACACGAACACCCCGACTTCAAGGCTAGCACAAGGCACCCTCCTTTCGAAGACCTGTTCAGACGTTGAAGGAAACTTTAACTCGGGAAACTCCGCTAAGAAAGCTCATTTTACTCTTCAGTACAACCACACAAGGAAGGGGCGACATGAATATCCGCCAGAACCTCTTTGGCCAGGGGCCTAAAGCAGGCAGGGAAGCTTCGGGTTACGGAAGGCCACCAGCTCCTCCACCACGAGACGACACACCGATGATGGGTGGCTACGATGATGGCAGAGGGGGATATGCCGACCCCAGAGGCAGCTATGGAGCGCCTATGCCACCACCAAGACAAGCCATGCCATCCAGACCAGCGGTTGGAAGACAGGGGCCGACTTCTCCTGCTCGAAGAGTACAGCTGAGAATCGCCAAGGTAGAAGACAAGACACTGGCGAATCAGTACATATTTGGCAACCTGTGAGTGTACTAAAGTGTATTGAGACATTGAACAGAGCTAATTGCGCCAGATGCGCCGTATCACCTCAAGACTTCCCTCCTTCACGAGACGGCTCCGATATCTATATTCTTCTCAACGGCCGGAACGTCGTCACAGCTCGGCCTACAAACTCATTCCCACCAGGATGCATAAGTTTGTCCGACCCCCAGCGAACATGGTGCGACGTTGGAATGATGGACCCTATCATCGCCGAGTCCTATGATCCGTTTGTTCAAGGTCCAAATGTCTACCTAGGAGCTCTGGATGTTGACATAGGATTTGCATCTGTCAAGAAAGTCACAGACGCACCCTATGACCAGGACGTCTTGGCCGATGTCTTCGTCAAGCAATTCGAGAACCAACTCTTTGCTCCCGGACAGAAGCTCATCATGGACTACAAGAACATTCCATTGATTTTCACTGTCAAGACTGTCCAGTTGGTCGACCTCAGCATGGAGAAAAGCTCAGGAAATGCTCCCACAGTTTCGACACCAACTGCAAGGGGTATCTTGACCAGGCATACGCCAATCACGTTCTATAAGGATGCCAAGTCACCGATCAAGCTCAAGGGATCCTCAAAGCGGCCGGCCGCCAACTCAATCATCGCTCCGGATTTTAAATTTGAGAATATGGGCATTGGTGGATTGGATACAGAGTTCGGTGCTATTTTCCGGAGAGCCTTTGCTTCTCGTATCTTCCCACCAGGGTTGATTGAAAAGTTGGGCATTCAGCACGTGAAGGGTATCCTTCTCTACGGTCCTCCAGGTACCGGAAAGACACTCATTGCCCGCCAAATCGGAAAGATGTTGAATTCGCGAGAGCCCAAAGTAATCAATGGTCCCGAAGTACTGAACAAGTATGTCGGTCAGTCAGAAGAAAACATTCGAAAGCTCTTTGCGGATGCCGAGAAAGAGTATAAGGAGAAGGGAGAAGAGAGCGGTCTTCACATCATCATCTTCGACGAGCTAGATGCTGTCTGTAAGCAAAGAGGAAGTGGAGCTGGTGGTGGAACCGGAGTGGGAGACAGTGTTGTCAACCAGCTGTTGTCCAAGCTGGATGGAGTTGACCAACTCAACAATATCCTACTCATTGGAATGACCAACCGTATGGATATGATCGATGATGCACTGCTACGTCCTGGACGTCTTGAGGTGCACATGGAGATTTCCCTGCCAGACGAGCATGGAAGAGCTCAAATTCTGAAGATCCACACCGCGAAGATGCGAGATAACAATGTCATGGAATCAGATGTCAACGTACAGGAGCTGGCCCATTTGACGAAGAACTTCTCGGGAGCAGAGATTGCAGGTCTAGTCAAGTCTGCATCCTCGTTCGCTTTCAACCGTCACGTGAAGGTTGGTACCGTAGCAGGTATCAGCGACGACATTGAGAACATGAAGGTCAATCGTGACGACTTCTTGAAAGCTTTGGAAGAAGTCAAGCCTGCTTTTGGATTCTCAGAAGAGGAGCTCGAGACTGCCATGAGTGCTGGAATTTTGCACTTCAGCCCCTATATCGAGAACATCCTGAAGGATGGCCGCCTCTTCGTCGATTTTGTCCGGACGTCCGAGACCAATTCTTTACTTTCTGTTCTTCTACATGGGCCTCCAGGCTCAGGGAAGACAGCTCTCGCTGCCAAAATCTCGAAGGATTCTGGCTTCCCATTTATAAAGCTCGTCTCGGCTGAGAACATGGTCGGATTCAGCGAAATGGCAAAGATTCAATACCTCAACAAGGTCTTCACAGATGCCTACAAGTCGCCTCAGAATATTGTTGTTGTGGACAATATCGAGCGTATCATCGAATGGGTGCCTATTGGGCCACGCTTCTCAAATCCTGTTCTACAGGCGCTTATGGTACTTCTAACTAAACAGCCACCTACTGTAAGTCAATGTTCCCTTACCTCCTGGGTCAACGCAATGTTCCCATACCGTCTCGAACAATGAAACTAATGTACTGCAGCCACGCCGACTTCTTATAATCGGCACCACGTCACAGCGTTCAGTGCTGCGACAACTGGATCTTTCTCAGATCTTCAACCGTGAGATCGCAGTACCAAACATCAACACCCATGGGGAGTTGGCATCGGTGCTACGAGAAGTCCAAGTCTTCGACAACGAATCAGATTTAGCAGAGTCACTTAATGAGCTTCGAGAGATGACTGGTACTGATCAGGTTGGCGTCGGCATCAAGAAAGTACTGCTTGCCGTGGGAGAAGCAAAGCAGGAAGAAGGCAACGTGGTGGGGAGGTTTGCTGAGGTTATCGCGCAACAAATGCAGGCGAGTAGAGACTAGGTTGAGTGTTCCAAAGGCGCTTTGGACACCAGAACCAGATCGCGTGCAAGTTGTACAATATTAGAATGTACCATTTGGTCGTTGAACAATTCTGGCTGCCCAATCTGTACTCCCCCACTGCTCCCTTGCACATTGAATCTTGAGAGTTTACAGTGATCAACCTTTTTGATGGAACATTGAGGATGGAGGATTGGAGGTCAGCCAGAAACAAGCCAGAAACCATGACATCCGCATGTCAAAAGCAGTTGTACAATATTAGGATGAACCATTTGGTCGTTGAACATCACTGGTTGCTCCGTCAAAGGTGGCTGTATTTTCCCATACTGTCTGTACATCGAGGTTTGCTAATCTACAAATGGAAGGAATATGGAGAAGTCTGCTCAACCAAGTGCTCGAGAACTGAATCGACCAAGCACCCAGGAACAATCCAAACCAATCTTCCACTATAATCTGTACACTGATTGACCTTTACTATTCTACAATGACCAACCGTCATGGAACATTGAGACCTGCTCAACCAAGTGCTCGAGAACTAAATCAACCAAGCGCTTAGGAACTGGATCCAAGCCATACTGCTGACCACCTGTCCAGACAAAAATCCTTACTTTCCGCCATTTGTTTTCATCCCCATCAATATCTTCTCAAAAGCAGCCAGGGTTGCTTCATTGACATCATCTCTCATCGCACCAGAGTATTCGCCAGCTCCGTTCGGTAGCTGGATGTTCATAAGTGGCGCCTTTGGAAGTTTGAGGACCGGGAGATCCGAATCTGGGATACTCATGATATCGTCCCTCACTTGCTGGAGCTGTCTTCTCCTCTCCTCCGAAGTCATCTTTGTCTCATCAAACTCCTTGACCCAAGTTTCCTTCGCGGGAGCCTCGTTTATCGTCTCCTTTACTCCAGTCAAATCCGTGGCTGACTCCTTAGCCGTAGTACCTCTCGCACCATTCTCGTCCGCATTTTCGCGATTCTCCTGGTCTGCTTGCTGTAAGGGTGACATTTGTGTCACGTTTCGAAGGTTGCTGGGCCCGTGGATAAGTGGTCGGGGCTTATTTGCGCTGGCTAACGCCGCAGCCAATGCTGTGCGAGTTGGTGATGGCTGTGGCTGTGGCAGCTGAGCATTACCTGGTCGAGGCTTCGGCGGTGGAGTTTGATCCCACTGCTTCTGTTTGAGAGCAGAATCGGCCTCGCTGACAGTGGTAGTGTTGGTCTGCAATTCATCAGCGTCTATTCCTATTGTTCTAAGACCAAGTGACTGTACCTGAGCATCATCACCATCATCCTCATCATCGTCATCATCGTCACCATCATCCTCATCATCTTCATCGTCGCTTCCACTATCGCTCGGGGCCTTGAATGTACCACTAGGGTTTCCAGCACTGCTCGATGTTGCTGCACTTGTCGAAGAGGGGTCGTAATCCTCCGCAAACTCTCCGATTTTCATGAGGTTTTTGAAGAATGGTCTAATTCGGGGCAGTAACTTCTGCTTCTTTTCCTCGGGAATCTTGTCCCACCTCCTAAGTAGCAGTGCTTTCTCCTTCGCCAGATTCTCTGGATTTTCCATATAATTATCCCACTGCCACTTGTATCGGCCTCTCGTGTCAGGCTCGTGACCGTGGGTAAGCTCAGTGAAGGTCTCTGGATTCTTCCAATCAGGGGGTAATCTAAACCACCAAGCCTCTTCCCCGAACATATTCAAATGTCTGAAATCCGGATCACCTGCCTTGACCATTCGGAATTTCATAGTACGCATTGTTGGATCACGGACCATCCAGTATGGGTCGTTGGGATCGTCGGGGTTACATTTAACTTGGCGTGTTAGGCTGAACACGGAATTGTTTTGAGGTAGCGACCACGAGGACGAGGGTGTTCTGCAAACGTCTGGCTCATCACACGCATTTGAAGTCGACTCGTTCTCGTCATCGACCCGGAAGTGAACCCTACGTGAATTTAGATTTGATTTGGGCTCTGGAGCACTCCGCTGATTGTTCTCGCGGGCCACCCACCCTGCCTCTTCGGCAATTTTGTCCACAACTTTCCACATGTTGGGAGTCATGCCCGTAATGTGAACCGGTTCTCCGGGAGGCTGAAGATTTGTCTTATTTCGCTGCAAGAAAGCCCAGTCCTTCTTGGGGCCTGAACTGATGACTTCAACATCATCATCATCATCATCATCGGCATCGGCATCGACATCAATATCCTCTTCGCTATCATCGGAGTCAGACAATGGGGAGGGGGCTCTGAAGGTCTTGCCATGGCTCAGTTCATTCTTGTCCGAGCTGGCAGTTTCTGCTTCACGTTGTCGCTGCCGCGTAGAAGCTTGCTGGTCATGCAGGCGCTGCATATCAGATGCGGAAGGAGCACCGCGAAGGTGTAAAGGCGTTGATTTGTCGACATGTCGTAGCTGGCGCTCCGTTTGTGGAACACGAGCTGAATTGCTGACTCGTCGTTGATTGGTAACAGTGCCTCGACGCTCTGATTGAGGCTTGGCACGTTGTCTATTCGATCGAGTAGGTGTGGTAAATGACTGAGCGGGCTTATGTGGGTGGGTGAATGTAAACTCTGTCTCATGGCCATTAGTAGTAGCTGCACCGCCAGCTTTTGAAGTGAAGGCGCCAAGGAATTTGAATGGACTAGACACAGCATTCTTGACCGTAGTAAAGACAGACCATGCTCGAGGCTCAGGGGCCTGTTGAGGTGGTGTCTGAATGGGTGTGGTTGGGAGTGTAGGGATTGCCTCATTGGCATCAACTTCACTTGTATTTTCCGACATTGTGTCGTTCCCTTGATCATCATCATCAGGCAGCGCAACAGAGTCGTGGTCTTCAGCTGTTTCGTTCATCTCGCTGTGATGGATTGCAGCTTCGCCATCTGAAGGATTGGGACTTGCTGAACTAGAACGGTCCGAGGCGTCTCGTGGTGAAGGGAGGTCTTGGCGTTGCCGAACCATTTCATTTGAGGGAGCTTGGGGGTTTGCCCACTGCGAAGCAGGTGATGGTGCTGCAGAACGGACTCGAGCCGTCCCCTCGGATTTGGAAGCCTCGAGAAACTCCTCAAATCTCTGGATAGATGGAAGAATGTTTGTCGGGTTGCGTTGTGTCCACTCGTTGATGACACGCGCCGCATCTATGACCGTGACATTTGTTGTTAATATGGGTTCCTCTGTAGAACTGCCAGGGATGTAAAGCGCATCAGGTATGAAAATTCTCCTACGTGGGCGCGAAGCCGGAGGCGTCTCGCCGGGCTTGCGTCTGGTCTGTAAAATGGTTAGTGGATGATGTTGCGAACGCTCTATCGCAGTACTTACAATTCTACGTTGCTTTCCATGACCGGATGGCTCTGCTTCAGGGAGTCTTTCACCCGACCGGACTTTCTCGTAAGCAATTTTTGCCACCCTCAAATCTTCTTTCCATTCCTTGAACTCTTTGTCGTTGTAGCAAGTCTCGTCCTCTTCATGCTCAGAATCTTCGAAGATGTCGATCGGATTCTTCACTAGGACGGTTTTGGTGCCTGGGTGGAGGATGCGGGATCTAGGCTTGCCATAGTTCTTCTGTAAGTATGCCTCTCGCTCGGCAGGATTTGAAGGGATCTTTGCGCCGCCATCGCGTGCTGAACCTTGTACAACACGTGTATCGAGGAGACCTTGTCTCAAGACGGGTGAGCCGTTGGAGGTAGCGGTAGAGCGAATGGTTGGATGAGGGTTCTTCAACGTTGGAAGAGGAGGAGTAGACTCAAACCGGTTGCGCAGTGTTGATCGCTGTTGATCAATACCTTCCGGCTCAAGTCGTCTGTAGCTGCTCTGTGCATCGGTACGTTCGATGACAGGTTGTTGTGGGGTTGATAAAGTAGGCGTGCCATGGATTGCTCGCTGTTCAGCAATCTCGGTTGGTTTCGACTTGGCATCACTGCGCTGAGAAGACTCAACTTGTGCAAGTGCATGCGTTTCAGTAGATTGATTGATGGAAGTCAGTTGTGGGGCGCGTGAAGAGGAATGCTCCGAGATGGCTTCTTCGGTCTGTTCTTCAGCAGGATGAGAAGGTTGTCGAGGTGGTTGAGGAGAGTAGGTATTGATTATGTGAACGTATGAGAACTCCAACTCTTCTTGCGGAAGCTTATTGCGCTTAACGGATCTGTTGTCGCTAGCGTCTTCTTCCTCTGGAACTTCGGGGATCGGAGAACCAGGAACTTGGTTTCTAAGATTGTTTTTGCGCTTTCGAGTAGCGGGTTGAGGGCGATCGGAGGGGTCGGTGTGGTTGACTTTGGCACGCTTGGTGGTTTGTGCATCGACAACATCGCGGTTCTCCGAATCGGCTCGGCTGCGTTTTCCACCGCGCGCGTTGGTTGCTTCAACACCTTGGCGAGTGGAAGAAGCTGATGTAGATCTCGGTCGGCCCGCGCCCTTGCCCTTTGGCTTTGGGTCTTCGGTGTGACCAGTGTGTTCGGAACTGAGAAGCGAAGGGGAAACGGATCGAGAGGATGATCGGGTATTATGGCGACGAGTAGAACGAAGAGGTGCGACGGGTCGGGACTCTACAGCCTCTACTAATTGGGCGAGTGCTTGCTCAGTCTGAAGTCGGGGTGCGGAGGAGGGAGGTTCGAATGTGAATTGAAAGGTAGGTTTTTGAGTTTGGGTTCGTGGTTCAGTCATGGTCGCGACTTCCCCTTCAGAATCGGATGCGTTTTCGACAGTCGCCATCTTGGAGGCTCTAGTAGGCTGCTTGCGGGTTCGAGTTCTCTTCGTAGAGTTCTCGAGGCCTGGTCGAAGACCGCCGGGGCTGGGATTGTTGCGCGTCCCCATGATGTAAACACGGGCGCGCCGGTGCAAGTGATAGCTGTTTTCGCATGCAAGGATGTGTGAAGATGAAGGTACGAGCTTGAATCAAGTGTTGAAGAGCGTTTGAATCAAGGCGCAAGCAGTCGCGATGGTTCGGTCGTGGTTGATGTTGAACGAAAATGGAGGAACAAGGTTGACGACGTTGTCGATCTTTTGATCGTCAGCCAATGAGCGCCAATGCAGGCGCTAAAAAAATCTAAGCCTAAGGCCTGTGCGCGAGGCTTTTGTTCAGCCTCGCCAAATTTTACGGAAGTATGAGTCCGCTTGCTGGACCCCTGGAATTTATCTGGGAAAGCATGCCTGGGAGTGATGAAGCCCTGCTTAAGTTCTTGATGAAGGATCTGAATTCGAAATTGTTTTTGAGAAGTACTTGTATTCGCGCAAATTTTATGAAATTCCTCAGAATCAGCGACTTTGGGCGACGGCCCGACGAAACAACCCGATCGCAGAGACAATACCAATCACAATAGGAAGGGAACAGACAGGTACCTTAAGAAGGCCATCAATGCATTTTCAGTTACTCACATCTTTAAAAAGACCTATGCATTTGTCGCAATGTCCCAAGACGAGGGTGAGTGAATTCTACTTCTCAAACAAATCTGGATGCGCAGTGCTTCAAGGTCTAGAATCGTGTTCTACAGACTTCAAATCGCCCATGAAACACATCTTTAAAATTGCCGTAAGCTGATTCATTGGTACTATAAGCTTCGTTGAAGGACTGAGTGGGTAGACATGCCTGATGCTAGACTTCCTTCTTTGTAATTCCCTGCTCGCATAGATAATGCAGAGATATCAACTGTAACACTCAGACGCTGGCGTAAGAAGACATTTTCTATCTCCTAGAAATCCCAATTTTAGTTGTTCTACGATATATCCGTACGATCTTTTAATTTAGAAATAATAACCTTCTCCCAAGTGTATATCAAGGATTCAAGTCTCACTGGCATCTGCCATGACTGGCTCGAGAGGCCGAAAGGGGTGATACCAAGACCTCGGCCACAGAGAGCTATCTCGGAAATGCAAACGATGTTGTGAAAATGCTGCTAATTGATTATCATGATGCTGGGCGAAGAAACTCTGAGCAACTCTTCATTGCCGTCATGGAAGCTTCAAATCAGACGGTCATCACATCACAACAAAACACCCGGACAAGTATCAAGAGCGAGCCTCCATTAAGAAGCCATATCTAGGTGCACTCACTCTTCTTCACCTCATCTCTCTTCATCTTCTCTCATCTCAATCATCTCCATATTATTGTCTCATCGATAGTCCGTTCGCTCGCACGCATCCTATGCAAATAAACACATTCATCCCGGCCCAGTCCAGTCCGGTCCGGTACAACGCCAGTCTTACACCAAAGAACCACCCATATCATCCAGCCGTGCATTAAAAAAGAAAACCCCTCGCTATGCACGCACGCTCAATCTTTTATTTGCATCAGACCCATACCAGGTCACCCATCCATGCATGAAAATCGATTTCGAAAGGAACTTCTGTGGCAGTCAACGAGACGGGGAACCTAACGAAACCTCGATCTGCTCTGTCCACCAAAGAATAGAAACGTGAAAAACCATGCACTCATACATATTGTACAGCCTTGTAAAGAGGCAAATGGGACCACCACCAACGCCATTGCCGCATAAATGCCTTTACAAGAAGAGAAGAAGCTCAACGCCTGGGTATGCTGAGGAAAAGAGAATAACAAGAAAAACTAAGCGCTCTCCTTGACCAGCTGGGCGGGTGCTGATTCTGTTGGATCCAGAAGATCGCCCATCACGGCGCTGAGAGCTTTGAAATCAACCGGCTTGGTAATGTAGTTGCTGAATCCGGCTTCAATGCACTTGTCGAGAACATCAGCCATGACGTTTGCAGACAGGGCGATGATTGGCATGCGCGGATACAATTCCTTCTTTTCCCATTCGCGGATCTCGCGGCAGGCTTGATACCCATCTTTGTTGGGCATGTGCAGGTCGCACTATTTTCACAGTCAGATAATGCCAACGTAGACAGGGGAATCACTTACCAAAATGAGGGAATAGAAGGAATGATCTTGAGAGAGCACCTTGTCAGTGCATTCGACACCATCCAGCGCCAGCTCAACACCGATTCCGATCTTGCTGAGGAATTTGAGTAGGACCTTCTGATTTGTTGCGTTGTCTTCCACCAAGAGTACCCTGTGGCCTTTATTTCCTAGGCGCTTCGCAATGTCAACGTAATTTTGTCTTTGGGTTGCCACCTGCTGCTGAGCAGTCGAACGATTACGATCAGTGCTGAGGTCTCTTTCCTTCTCCGGGTCGAAGATAATCGCGAAACGTGACGGCTTGACTGGTTTGTAAATGAAGGTAACACGATTGTCTTTAGCAAGCTGATCATAGTCGTAGACAGTTGCCATCTTGATAACCTCTTGGCGTTGAACTGGATCAGATAGGACGATAACTGAGGTTTGGGGTAGGGAAATAGACGCCACGATTTGATCAATCAGAGCAACAATCTCCTCGGCAGATCCAAGATTCAGGACTATGTGGGTAAAGACAACAGGATCATCTCCACCAATCATCTCTCTTGCTTCGTCAACACTTGGAAGTGCTGTGATCTGATGTGGAATGTCCTTTGGCAATGTCATCTCCATATGCTGAGTCGTGGCTTCGCGGCTGTGTGTTTGGGGGCAAATCAGTAAAATGGAGTACATCGGAGGCCGGAATAGCTTCAGATCAGAAGACGAGACACTACTTTCACGAGAAATAGTGGATGCCTGTGCAGAAAGCTGGCCAGCTGGCATGGGGGTTGTTACTGTTGATGTTGACTCGGCTCGAAGCTTGGATTCAAGTGATTCTACCTGCAAGGAAGACGACGCTAGAGGTGAAGAGACGCGATCAGGAAGAGCTAATTTCATTTGGCTTGTATCAGCTCCAACGGCTCGTGCTGCTTCACTGAAGTGCGCAAGACTTTGTGTGATGGAAGAGGCCGACGATCGTTGTGTGGCATGGGACCGCAAGGAATTGACTGATGGATCAGAGCTTCCTGAGGAGACGAGAGTTGGAGAATCGGTAGGTTCGGTCCTGGGACTGTCTCCCAACGGGGAAGGAACCAACTTCCCAGCCAAGATGGGATGCCCAACGAGGTTTTGGACAATACGTGGTGGAGCCTCCATTGAGATTGAAGACCGCACAGACGATCTAGTCGAGGGTACGGCTGGGGTGAGTAGAGGCTCCGGATGATCGTCCGGTGTTGGCAACCAAAACTTCGCGCTGAACGTGAAAGTAGAACCTTTCCCAGGTTCTGCAGTGCCCTCCATCTTGCCGCCATGAAGCTCAACCAGTTGACGAGAAATAACGAGTCCAAGCCCAGTTCCTCCATGAGTGCGAGTGCTGCTGGAGTCGAGCTGACTGAAGGGCTTGAAGATCTGTTCCGCTTCATCTTGGGTGAATCCACGTCCTGTATCAATAATTGAGAATTCAAGCATGACCTCATTCTCTTCCAGGGCTTCCGATTCGTCTTTGAGAAGCCTGCAGGAGCTGAACACCTCTCCTTCCGTGGTAAACTTGATTGCATTGCCAATCACGTTCAGCAGCACTTGGCGTATGCGGAACCTATCGCCTTTTATCATTTCTGGAACGTCCATATCAACAACATAATTGACTTCCAGATGTTTTGTGATTGCGAGGGTCGACACTATTTCATTGACTTCTTCTACCAAAGAGCGTGTGTGGAACCAACCATAAGTCAGCCTCATCATACCTGCGTCTGCTTTTGCAAGATCAAGAATGTCGTTGATGATTCTCAAAAGACCGTCCGCGCTGGAGGAAATGGTGTTGCAGTAATCGATCTGCTCGTCGTTGAGACTGGTATCTTGAAGAAAGTTGATCATGCCGGAGATTCCAATCAGCGGAGTTCGAATTTCGTGTGACATGTTACTCAAGAATTTGCTCTTCGAGTCCATTGCCTCTTTGAGTTTCATCTCCAATAACTTATGGTCGTTGATATCAGCGCAGGCACCAAACCAGGACCCGTCCCCCGTTCCAAGGTTGATATTATCCACCTCAACGCATCGAACGAGATGCCAGCGGTACTCGCCATTCTTAGATCTGAGCCGTACCTCCGTACTGTAGGAGAGCCGCCCTTCGCTATCGGTTTCGACCTTGACAATACCGGTCTTTGCGAGCGCTGCGAGATCAGCTGAAGGGAATTCGTAAACCGATCCACAACTAGAACTATTGCTTCTCGAAAGCGACTGATAGATACCTTTAATGGTATTCTCGGCCGGTGCCTCAGAGACTGTACCAGATTTATCTGAAGATTTGCCGCCTGAAGAGGCGTGAGAAAGATTGCGCGCTGGTTCGGCGGGTTTCTTCGCTCTTGGAACTGGCGGATGATCAATAGGTATTTGACATTTCGCAAGATCTTCAGGATGAACAAAATCCAGAAAGCCTAGTCCAAGAGAATCATTGAAGTCTTGTCCGGTGTATGACAGCCACTGTTGGTTCGCAAAAGTCACGCCTTGATCTTCTGTCGCCGAAAAGATGATCTGAGGGATGAGGTTCGCAAGTTGGCGATGCTTCGCCTCTGAAGCCTCAATCTCCTCTTGTCTGGCAGCTTTCACTTCTGCGATGTGTTGGTCATGGATGTCCATGTGAGTCCCATACCATTGCACAATGACGCCGCGGATATCTCGTAAACCAACAGCTCTAGTATAGAACCAGCGGTAAGTCCCATCAAATCGCTTGAGGCGAACTTGCATGGAGAATTGTTCTCCTGTACGAATTGCATGGCTCCAAGCCTTAAGATACTCCTCTCTTTCCTCGGAGTGGATACTTGCCCATGGATCCTCGTGCAAATCGGTGACACTTTGACCTCGATAGGTCAGGTATCGGCTGTTGACCCACACTATCTCTCCTGTCGGGGGTAGCGCAATGAAAATATGCATCGGTAAAGAATCGAGCATGATACCTTTGACTCGATCTGATGGTGGGGGCATGAAGTCAGGCGGCACCGACAAGGAGCTTGAGTGACTGTGTGATTTGGGGAAAGGAGCACCCTTGGCAAGCGTTACTGAAGTGTTTGGCAGAGATTGGAAGGTTGCACCAAAGTCCGCTCCATAGGAGTGAAGCTGCGTATGATGTCGATCGTGTTTTGCCGGTCCTTGGGAAGAAGCCGTGCGAATTGCAAGTCGCCGGGGAGAAAGGCTTGTCTCGAAATGCTGACGAGAAGGGCTGAGTTCTCTGATATCAGAGGTATCTGGAGCGGTATCTCGGGAGGGGCGTGTATGGGGAAGGCGCGGTTCTTGCTTAGGGGTGGTGTTTGAAGAACGAGATTCCTCTTGTTTTGACTTCTCTCTCGAAACATCATCGCCTTGATCCGTAGCCAGGGAGACTTCCACATCAACAGACCTCTCCTCCGCGTTCCTAGCGCTCCTATGTCCCCTAGTTTCAGCTGGAGATGATTCCTTCGATGTGCGTCGAGCCCCTGTGATACTGCTCGCCGAACCAGTATGTGCTTGACCTAATCCCGGTCTCGTCTTGCTGCTGAAATAGCTTTCACCGGTAATGTAGCCAGGACTTCCCCCGCTTGAGCGCTTGTCTATACTGAGACCGACACTACCTGGATCCCATCCTGGAGTTCCTGCTGGCGATCCTGCTGCGCTTCTTGAAATACCAGAGTAGTCACTTGGACTGGTCATACTACCTCCATTAGATGGCTGACGATCATTCTCATCAACTGGCGAATATGTCGTATTTCCCAAGTTCATCCCGTCCTCCATAGAGCGACTTCCTCCTGGAGCAACAGCACCAAATCCCGTGGTTTGCGGGCCTTTTCGAGACAAGCCAGCGACCTCAGTCTCAAGGTTTGAGAAGTGTCGACAAAGGGAAAATGACGTTGCGAGATGAGGAGCAAGGTGGCTCAGAGAATGCCTGAGAATCGAGGGATACGGAATAGCTGGGCTGAGAATTGAGAGGATAGCAATTGGAGATCCTTTGCCTTTCTTCTCTTGTGTTTCTTTGGTCTTCACTTCATCTGCATCCTTGGGAAGAGTGTCGACTCCTTTACCGCGCCCTGCTACTTTAGATTCCATTGCAGCAGTATCCAAGCGGAAGGCCTGCACTGGCTTTGAAAGGAGTGGGTGAAACAGTGGAACATGTAAGACAGTCCATGATCTATCCGCGCCTAGGGCCGCGAGCTGCGGCGTCTCGGTGTAGTCCTGTGGTGATCTGCGTGGATTGAAAGTCTCTTCGTCAACTGGGGCATTCACAAAAAAGGGATTCTCTTGTGTCTCGTCTCGAACAGCTGGTGACGGTGCAGGAGATTGGGACCATGGCGAAGGTGGAGCTTGTTCATACTCTTCGTAACTGAGAGCTGGAAGAAGCACTTCACCAGCCACACGTGTTGATGTCGGCAGAGTCTTGCCCTTGTCACTCATTTGACTGCGCGATCTACTACCTCTTCTAGCCCTGGTACCAAAGAAGGACGAAATTCGAGAACTGGTGTCGGGAGATTTGTTCTTCTTTGTTTTATCAGTCGGAGGGGTCTTTGACTTCGAGCTTGGGTGCGAAGATTTGATGCTGCCGCCACTCTTCTCGTCTCCAAGATTTCCCACATATGGATAGTCGCGCGTCAGCGTAATTAGTCTTCCACGCTCCAGGACTCTCATAACACCTTTATTGTCTATCAGTGGCTCTGCTTCGTAGTCGAGAGCTTGCAGCACTGGAAACACCCGTCCTTTATCTTCTCGGCTTGCAGACTGCGAGTTTTCCCAGGGGCTTCGGGGCTTCGAGTCTTCGGTTGCCATATGGTCCTGCAGAGACTGCAAGCTGAGTTGTGCATTTTGCAGAGTTGCTGTACGTGGTGGCAGCTCAGGGCGAGCGCTCAAGTAGCTCTTAGCTCTGACCAAGGGAGAAGGTCGTGCAGCTTGGGCCCTGCTTGCTTCCGAACCCGAGGTCGGATCACGCTTTGTGTCCTCGTACGAAGTGAAAGAATGCCTGCTAAGGAGACCAGGTCGCAGAGCGCCGAGCAGCTGTGGCGACGACATCACAAGCGGATAGTCCTCGGCTGGATTTGTGTCCTCGGAATTTGATGTCTCATTCGTGCCAACACTGCTCGGGACCATGCTGCTTCCTCTTGGCAGGTATGTCAAGCTCAATTCGTCTTCCTCTAACATATTGAATGTCGCCTTCTGACCCCATGGCACGTTCTCAACATCTGTGGAATCCGCAGGTACAGAAAGCGTTACTCTCGAAGCGAGGTACAGACTTCTCATTATTTGCACGACAGTGGTCCACCATGCATCAAGACCCGGCTCTGCATTAAGCATCAGAGTTAGTTCGTATGTGTTTGGAGTCTCAAAGTTAGGGTCATGTTGCTCTTGAAAAGTTCCAACAGCCTGAAACCTCAACGTCGATGCAGGAGTCACTGATCCGGACAACACTTGGTCGTGGGGAGCTCCATCGAATGAACCGCCCGCAAAGTTTGCTGGATTAACGGTGGGTGACAAAGCGGTGAATGGACGATGGCCGTAGTTGAACTGGCCGGGAGTTCGCATTGGAGGGAAGGGGTATGAAGGGGTTCTTGCAGCTGTTGGACCCGGGGTAGTCCCACCACGGATAGTCCTCGCTGATTCTGTCGAGGTTGTCTCAAGACCTAACGGAAAGGGGCCGGTAGAGGCTTCGTCCAGTGGGGGTGATGTCTCTTCATGGATAGGAGACACTCTCGACTTGGCCCCTGCAGCCACCGGTCCCTTGATGCCTCGCTCATCCTTCCCACCCAAACGCTTGACCAGATGTTCCCTTTGTTGATTCAGCTGTATTTGCGCGTTCATGGCTGCTCGAAGACGTTCCACTTCCTCAGCTGACGTATCCCTGGACACTTCACCCCAACCATGTTCAGATCGGACCTGTGCTTCCCTCTCTGTTTCCTCCTCAGTCTTCTCTGATAGAACACTGGCAGCCGATGGTTCAGGATTCTCCGATTGCTCCAAGTTCGTGCTCTCAGGGTTGCTACTGTCAAAGGTCCATATTGCCTCTTTATCAATGCCGACTTCAGGGGGTGCTTTTGCACCGAAAGGAGGTTCGGACATTGAGTCTTTAGACCTGCCGTGGGAAGAGGGTCCCGATTTTATTCCATGCTTTGGTGATTTAGCTACAGATTGCTCACTGCTGGAGCGTCGGGAGGTCCCTGGTCGGCGAGAGTGCGTTGAGGATGGCTTGTCCAGAGGCGACTTTGGAGGTGGCATAGCCAGCTCTGGAACACCCCCCGTGCACGATGTCAAGGATGAAAGTCCTCCAGATTGGAGAGTGCCGTGATCGCGATCAGTGTTGCTGGCCTCTGGAACCGCATTCGTAGAGAAGTGTGGTATTGATGTGGTGGTGACTTTTGGTGGTGCGTGTTAAGGAGTTTTGCGGGAATGACGTAGATTCGATCGGTCTTTGTCGAGAAAACACTGAGCCGGTAACGTCGCACAGCTACCCGTGCATCCAAATCACATTCATTCCCCAGGCGCGATAGTCGAGCGAACTCGGGAGAGGCAGAGTCGAAATGGTATGGGGGTTGCAAAATTGGGAAGAGAGAATGTGTTGTTGAAGAGAACAGGGCCAGTTATGGCACCCGCGAGCGAGTCGAGTGGATTCCGTCCAGGAACAAGGCGCGAAACCTGCCCGGGAAGCGTTTAGGGGGCGGAGACAACACAGGCCAGATAGGATTACAGTACTAGATATTTAGGACGACCAGAACATGGTCCTCTTGGCTCTGCTTCTAGTCGACATCTACGAGTCTTCTGGAGCGGGTTTCGTTTCAAGTCCATCGATGAGTCTCTGTGGGGAACATTGTATGTACCGGGTTGCTGCTGCAGCCTGACGGCTTTGCATTTTGAGGATCTCAAATTCTGCCCGTCTCCTACGTCTTTAACACGCCACTTTCAAGCCATCCCAGCTCCTAGGCCTGTGTCTCCTCAATCCGGGAGATTCTGGAATTTGCAGTCTATTTCTGGCGGGAAAGCACTCATTCTCACACCACGAGGCCTGGACCTGGGCAGGGCTCAATCCCAGCTTGTCCGTGGACACTTAATTGCTGCTTCATAGGGGTGCCTTCAAGTTCAAGGTCAGTCTACGGGTACGGGCTTGGATGATTTAGTAGATCTGCTCTTGTCCTTCCCCAGAGGTGCGGAAGCCCAAGCCGGTCCCAGCTTCCTATGCGGCGGCGCAAACCCCAGATCTTTTCCCAATGCGGATAACAAGGAATTGGTTCACGCAGCGAGTGAAATCGAGATTATCGAGTCCCGCACAACGGTCGTGAAATAGTGGCAGACGGGCAAGGGGCCCAGAACGAGCCAACGCTGGAGCCGTGTGATCTGCGCTGCTCAGCTGAGAACAAGAACAACAGCAATTGCTGTACTGCAACTCCTCGAGCCGCCTCGCCAGCGCCTTGCTCTGGGATCCGAGTGAAGGAAGAATTGGTCGAGGGGGCAGGTGCCTTGGCCCGTGGCGCTTGGGACTCTTCGGCGGGCCGCCGTCCGACATCTGCAGAATGACGCAGGTGGCGTACTTCAATCTCAATCTCACTACTGTATGACGCTGTGTTTCACTTCTGCCCAATCAGGCGTGCTTCATTGCCCCTGGCTGTCAGCCCGTCCGTGACGCGTGAACCGGGGCCCTCACGTGTTACCACACACACAGCACACAGACTGGGCTGGGCACCTCACGGAATCGGTCTACTTGTATCTGTCAAGTTTCCTCTCTCTTCCCCTCTCCTCTCCCCTCCCCACGAGGCAGCATTTCAGCAGGTGGGATCGCCAAAATCGAATCCTTCTTCATCCTTCGTCCCGTTTCTCGGCAGGACCGGCTTTGTGTGACCACACCCATCCATCCTCATCCTCATCCTCCCACCGATTCTCTTACTTTCGTGTGAAGCGGGCCAAACAGATGAGGATGGAGAGGTGCAAGAAAGAGCGTCTGTGGATCTGGCCCACTACTGTTCTCCGAGCACGTTCACGAGCATGGCCCCCGAAAGCAAGCCTCACGCGCTTTGGCAAGAGGTCTGAAGCTTGAGTCGCCCTGTGGATTTCTTCGTGTCCCCCTACTACTGTATCACCACGATAAGCCTCCGTGGGCTCCGATGACTGGATCCATACTCAAGGATGACGATAGCCAACACTTGATATTGGGCAGCGAGGCAAGCAGATCCGGCCAGCTTTATGCCTTCCTCAGTGGCATCAACGTGAAGTAAGATAGAAGAACTACTTGTACTTAGGACCAAGATCCTCAAACGGCAAACCTCGTCTGGGAAATCAATACAATTATCTACCTCAGTTACCAGTGCAACTAACACCTTGCAAGCCTCCTTGAATAATATATACCTAGCCCATTGTACTTGTTTTCTCTGGGGAGTGAAAAGTACTCCACAAGAGTTCGCACGCCCAAGAGGTTTCGCTTGTGAGTGGAAAGATCCTCAAAAGCTTGAATATTCTATCTTTCCTGGAGCGAACTTATCTATGTTCGAAACCTTGTTCGAAACCTAGGAAAGATGAATTATTAAGAGAATTTTAAAGGAGCGACTTTTGGCGTTTTTAACTCGAGAAGTCTACCTTTAAATCGTGGATGCACCGGGCGAGACGATCCCTGAGGGAAGCTGCGGGAGGCTGGGGAAAAGGCGGGGGATGCAGGCACAGCCGCCCCCCAAGAGGTAAGAAGCTTCGCTCGCCCGCCCGCTGCACCGCACGATGCTACCCGCCGTCAACATACAACCTTCTCCACTCCCACTTCTGCTCCTTTTCTTCGCTTTTGGCATCCTGGCTTCCAAACGGCTAGGCAGGGATCGCTCAAAGTCGAAATCGAGGACTCGCTCGAAGACTAGATCAAAGTCCAAGTCCCGCTCGCTTTTGGATCAACGACAACAAAGACCAATCTTCGCTCATTTTGTAATTCCATTGGCTGGTCTCCTCAGCGCATTTACAGCTCGACTGTACGATATGGGAGAGACATCCACATCGCAGGCTCCCGAGGTTGATGAGCGAGCACCACTCCTTGGGGGGTCGGAGAATGGACGCAGCACTGAACCGCAAGCTCCGGTGAAGAGAACAAGGAAATGGGCTGTTCGCAATGCAGTCATCATCTTCGTGAGCCTCTTGGTCCTAGCCGTCATCATCGTTCTTTGCACCTTCTTCGCAAGTAAGTCCCATACAGTGTACTGTCCATAAGGCTCCAATCAATCAGGGTTGCCTCACTGAACAATCATTGACTCGGTCCTAGGCTACCAACCCCAGAAACTCTGCTTGACGCCTGCATGTGTTCATGCATCCTCCGAAATTCTCTACAATCTTTCACCTGAATACAAAAATCTGGATCCCTGCGACGATTTCGAAGAATTGGTCTGCGGTGGGTGGGATGAGCGCCATGATCTTCGTCCAGATCAGGGAGATGCATTCACTGGGACAATTATGAGCGAGAACTCGCAAATGCTTCTTCGGCATATATTAGAAGCACCATATCCAGAAGACTCATATGTTTGTGCCAATCGGCTGGAGGCATATTAATCTAAAGCTGACTGTGCTGCAGCATTCGAGCTTTTCCCCAGCGCAGCTTCTTCAGTCCGTCTCCTCGGTCGACCAGCAGAATTTCGATAAATTGAAGGCTGCTTATGATGCATGCATGGATGAAGCAACCATTAAAAAAGCTGGCATCAAACCCTTATTAGAAGTCGTTCACCAAGTTGCTGAGCTCTTTCCCGTCACGGAATCGGCGTTCCACAAAAGGACTCCCCTGCTGGGAAAGAATAAGGAGGACATACCAGACGTATTATTCTATCTCAAAAAGCTCGGTCTTTCGCCCCTCGTCTCTTTAGGCGCTGGTGCTGATGATAAGGACCCTGACGTGGTTGTTATACAAGCCTCCCCGCCTTGGCGAATTGGGTTGCCTGCGAAGAATTACTACGAGGATACAAATATCTTGAAGGAATATAAGGACACCATAGCGCAAGTCCTTGAGGCCGTTCACCCCGATCACAAGCATGAAAATGCAACCTTACATGCTGAGTGGATGCGATCCAATGGCCACGGCCAGATTGCAGCAAGGGGAAACGCGAAAGATTCTGCGAATGAGGTTGTCGAATTCGAGAGACAATTAGCTGCTGCTTCTCCAAATCCTGAAGATGCTCAGGATGTTACGGTCAGTGGATTGAGATGCAAGTACGGAAAATTTTACTGACGTTTTGGTCCAGAAATACTACAATCCCATGAGTTTGAAGGGTGCAGATTCCCTTACTCCACAGATTCAATTAGCGAACATCATCAAGAAGCTTGCTCCTTCGGACTATACCACTGATCGACTCATTGTTGCTTCGCCTAGTTATATGAAGAACTTAACACAGATCCTCTCTAGCACCTCACGCGAAACATTACAAACGTACTTTATCTGGAAAGTCGTTCAAGCTTTTGCATCGGAGATTGAAGCAGATGAGATTAAGCCTTACACCAGATTTTCCAATAAACTTCAAGGCAAGGTAAGCCGCTTGATCCACGGCGAATCAACTCTCAACTCACAATGGCAGGATCCCGACTCTTCTCCAGAGCGATGGAGAACTTGCGTAAGCCACGTGGACGACGGCCTTGGCTGGATCTTAAGCCGGTTCTTTGTCGAAAAGGCGTTTTCGGAAAAGGCAAAGAATTTTGGTGATCAGATTGTCTCTGACATCAAGGAGATGTTCATCCAGAAGTTGAAAAAGACTACCTGGATGGACAAGAGCGTTGTTGAATTGGCTATCGAGAAAGTCCACAAGATTGTCCAAAAGATTGGATATCCAACTAAGGTAAGGAGCGGGTTCACGTTGCTTTGACCAATACTGACGGCCATCAGAGCCCTGATATCATGGATCCACCCAGCCTGCAGCGTTACTATCAAACTGTCAACATTACTCCCTCGACGTTCTTCCAAAATACGCTCTCAATGAGTCGCTTCTCCGTCTCGCTCCAGTGGTCAAGTCTCGGCAAACCAGTTGACCGCAATGAATGGGGCATGACAGTTCCCACAGTCAATGCCTACTACAACCCTCCAGGAAATGAGATTGTCTTTCCCGCCGGTATCATGCAATTTCCGGTCTTCGATGTCAATGTGCCACAATATCTAAGCTATGGTGCGTTTGGCAGTGTATCCGGCCACGAGCTCTCTCATGCATTCGACTCTACTGGCCGTCATTATGACCAGAATGGCAACTACACTGACTGGTGGACCAACAGCACCGTTGAAGGGTTCAAAGAACGGGCACAGTGTTTTGTAGACCAGTACGCCAAATATACTATCCCAGGACCAGACGACAAGCCACTACACGTCAACGGCAAGCTTACCCTCGGTGAGAATATCGCCGACGCTGGAGGTGTCTCTGCCGCATTTGGGGCTTGGCAGAAACGCAGAGCAGAAACTCCGAACCAGGACCTCCCCGGCCTCGAATACTTTACGCAGGACCAACTTTTCTTCGTCAGTTACGCAAATTGGTGGTGTGGCAAGAGCAGAAAGGAAGCAGCGATAAACCGTATCTACACGGATCCGCATGCTCCGAAATGGGCTAGAATTCTCGGCACGATGGCTAATTCGAGGGATTTCAAGGAGAGCTTTAAGTGTAAGGAGAAGGAGCCTGTTTGCGAGCTCTGGTGAACATAGTTTGAGGGTGAATAAGTATTGGATTGTGGATTTATGGATAGGAAGGATAGCGTTGGATGCATTTGCGTATGGATGGAGGGACAAAATGTATGTTTACGCATCGGGGCTTTGTGGATACATTATCCTTTAGGTGTATTGAAATACTGTTAGTATTAGTTTGCGTAGGCCCTTAGACTGTTGCTACAAATTGCAGACCAAAGCAAGTATAGTTTTGAACCATCAATCTTTATAAATCACCGCATTGACAAGAGTGCACAATGTTTTGATCGGTTCTCGGTTCTTCGGTACTTCACTTCCAGCCGTCTCTTCGATCTAGATACAGACCTCACCACCTCCCTGTCCCACTTCCATCCCAACAGACCTCACTCCACATCCGCTTCTTTTCCTTCGCCCCACCGTCACACCTCTAAGCTTGGAACGACCTCGCCATCTTCGCAGCTGTAGCAGTCGCATTCCCAGCCGCGCTCGCCATCTGTACAGGGACACAGCCGCCGAAGGGCCCAGCGCGCGCGTCGTTGTTGCAGCGCACCATGCAGACGCCTTCCATGGCGCCAACCGTTCCTGTGCAGGTTTGTGTTGCGGCGACTTTTGCTGTGAGCGGGAAATCGGTGGCTCTGGCTCTGCTGTTTGAGTTTGTGCCGGGGACGTTGGTTACGACCTGCATGGCGGTCCCTGGAGGTCACGGGTCAATATGCATTCTTGTGATAGTTATGGACATTGTGTAAGGGAAGCTTACACTGTGTTCCGGCTCCGGTGCTGTCGATCATGCATTCGTATGGCCCGGCACCGTCACCGTTGACTTGATGCAGAGTCATCATCACCATTCCGCCAGCGGAGATTTGAGGCATTTGTCCGCCGTTCGCGGCGAGCATTGCCGGGACCTGGGTTGCTGGGTCGTTGGTCCCACCACCGAGAGTCTCACCGCAGGCATCGGCGGCAGCGTTCCTGAAGCGCGTTGAGTCTTGTTGGAAGGGGTTGCGGGTGGCACCATCACGGGGTGTTGTGTCCTCAACTAGGGTCGGGTTAGTAAAGGAAGTGATTGGGAAGCTCGATGTGGTTGACTTACCACCAAGAGCTTGTCCAGTTCCACCTTGGTCTCCTACGGCCTTAATGATTGCACCGTGACCAGCGGCGAGCTGACTTGCAGCCAGACAAACAAGAACAGACTTGAGAAGCATTATGAATGAGAGTGACTACTGGCCGGCAACAGTCGTATTTGAACAAAAAAGAAATCAAATGCTAGAATTAGAGTAATGATTGAGAGGGAGTTTGATTGTGATGCAGAAACAACAGGATGACTTTGTCAATTTATAGTTAACGTTCATCGAAGCTTTTCCAAGAACGAAAAGCTTCACATGGCTGCCCAGCTTGAGGGAGTAGCATCGAAGATACCAAGAGAGGCTGTGAGTATCACAGGCTCAGCTCCTTCTCCTGAGTTCGACTTGGCCACAGGGCGATCGACGAATCTCCGATCACCACCAAGCATCTTGAGCGGCCTTGGTGTTGATCCGAGGCGCCTTTTCCAACGAGTCCAAGAAATAAGCATCACAAGCATCCTCATATGCCAATGACAAGCTTTGGGTCATCCCAAGGGTCTTGTGCATCGACGAAAATCGAAACAATGACAAGAGAAGTGAAACAAACAGCCACACAAAGCAGACGAGATGCTCTGACGCCCAAGCTTCTTTGCGCGGATCTTGGATTTTCCGGTGCTGATTAGGGATTGCGACTGGTGCCCACCGTGTGGAAGTAGAACATTATGGAAGGCTGAAAACATCTCGATTCAAGGATGTGGATTTTCAAACACTTGATGTTCTCAGGTTCACCAGGTTCAGTGAAGACTCGAAAATCGAATGAGGTTGAGCGAGCACAGACTGCCGAAAAAGAAGCCACACACGTGACGCGCTAAGGGGCTAGCGAGGCACACAGAGAAATTAACGAAAAGAAATCCCGTCAACTCCACAGCGACAACTGAACAATCGACACCAACGACAGTCGCCATGAAGTGTGAGTGTGGCCCTTGGAAATGCCAAAGCGCAATTGTTCGGAGGTACTGACTTGATATCTTATAGTCCTCAAGGTCGGCCGTGTTGCCATCATCACCCGAGGCAGATATGCCGGAAAGAAGGTAAATTCTCACCCTCCACGATTGCGCTGGACAAACGAATGGACACTTGGAATAGAACCCGGAAACACTCTCGGTTGGATTGAATGGTCGGGATGCTGATAGAAACCCGTGCAGGTCGTGATCATCCAACCCCAAGACACCGGAAACAAGTCGCACCCATACCCTCACGCACTGGTCGCCGGTATCGAGCGCTACCCATCCCAGATCACTCGCCGTATGTCAAAGACCCGACAAGCCAAGCGAAGCAAGGTCAAGCCGTTCATCAAGGTCATCAACTACAACCACTTGATGCCCACACGTTACACGCTCGAGCTGGAGGGGCTGAAGGGTGTTGTTACGGCCGATACTTTCAAGGAGGTTTCTCAACGAGAGGATGCGAAGAAGACTGTCAAGAAGGCGTTGGAGGAGAGATACACGTCGGGAAAGAACAGATGGTTCTTCACTCCTCTGAGTACGCTTTGGGATTCGAGCCGGCTGCAAGAGGTTTTGCTAACATGAACGCTAGGGTTTTGAACGATTCTTCTCTGTCATCGGGTCTGGACGGGGTGTTATATCATGGCATTAGTCGAATAAACGAGCTAAAGAATGCTGCATTTCACCGCTGGCGCTTTCCACGAATCTTGTGCAGCAAAGAGCGTACAGGGAAAATGGAAAATTCATGAATCATATCCGGATGCATCAAGATATTTGTGATACTTACCTGGGAGCTCCTGTGCGTATGGTCGAGCCAGAAAGGTAGCTGACAAGAATAGATTTGCAGTGTGATATTTTTCAGTTGAGTGGGTACTGCTGACGAACAGCAACTACGTTTCTGGATTCGCAGTGTTGTTGAGAATTATATCAGCAAGGCTGCAGCCCGCACAGTTGGCAACGGAAGAAACATCCGACCCTTTTGTCCGAGTGGAATCACGGGATGTGCTTCTGTCCAGCACAATTAAGCATGTAAGAGTGAGGAAGCTAGCGGATTATTACACACTTAGGTTGATCTTCAAGTTCCAAGTAGTTTGGCAGCAAGTTCTCCCACTTTCAGCGTTCTCAATTTCATTCTCCGGAGGTCCAATGTGCTACAGCGCCAGTCTCTCATGCCAAACGCCAGCCAACTTTCAACTTCAACACCCATTCGACAGTCACTCAACAGCAAGATCACAACAACAAGCCGTCCTCCCTCACCATACTCCCCATACCCGATCCCCTAAACCTCCTTCATCTGACTCCGTCCCTTAACAACCGTACTCAAATCTCCCACCGGCAGTTGCCCAAGGAACGGCAGATCCAAAGTAGCAAACATAATAACCGCCAATAAATACCACCCAAACATTGCTGCCGCAAAGAACGCACCACCCGTCCCCTTCAGCAATATCGCTCCAATAGCCATCCCTTGCGCCGTTGTCCAGAACGCACCAGCAGCCAGGCAGAAACCGAGCGTTGCTGCGATGAAGATCAATACGAAAACGATGTTGGTGCGCAGCGAGCAGATCAGAAAGACGAAGGAGAGCACGCCCATGAAGAGCACATAAAAGCCGAAAGAGGAGGCGAAGGCGGGCGTTTGCTGTTGGGAGCCGTCGGTGGTGTAGGATGATACGGCTGCGTAGAAGGGTTGGAATGTTGAGCCGAATGTTAGGAAGTGTGCTCCGTATCCTGTTGCACCGTCAATACCGTGTTTTGGAGAAGGAAAGGGGGAGGTACCAAAGAAGACTACGGTGGGAAAGGTGTTGCCTAGGAAGAACTCGAGGATCGCTGCGATGATGAGTAGCATGCCGCCGAAGAAGTAGTTTACTCCTCTAGGAATGAAATATCAGCAATCATTCCTGGTAGAGAGTAGACAGGGTTACATACATCGTTGCACTCAAACCGGTTGCGCCTCTCCAGCCCATCAGTTCGGCGGATAGTGGTGACACAGCGATGACGAAGCCGGCGAGTCCTCTGCAATATCTCAGTGTCTATCCAAATGAGACGGAAGAGAAACGAACACAGGTGTAGGATTTCCAAACGTCTTTCTCAAGTCTCCCGCTACTGCGTTCTTGGGCGAGAGGTACAGTTTCTCGAAGACCTCGGGGGAAATGCTCAAGGATTCCGTGTGTTCGAGGCGCTCCTGGGAGCTAGAGCTTCCGGGATTCATCTTGAATTCTTCACCTAGAAGACTCGTGTAAAGGGACAATTATGTTTGGAGTGTTTCCTCACTTATTAATACAGTATATATGATGAAGAGCTCGAGCAGGAATTCGCGTTTGATATTCCCAGTCTGGGGAAGAAGCACTCTTTGAATGTCCCCCGTGCCAGGGAGCTATGATCCATCCATCCCTTTATAGCTAGCAGATCAGTAACTTCACGTAGGCAAATCGGCAAAGATTTCCCTGTCCACACCTCCTAACCTTAACCCCCTCAATACCCAGCCCGGATGCCATCTCGGTAGTCATCTGCCAAGTGCACAAGCTCTCTCCCCTCAATCAAACATACCCGAAGAGGCTTCGGTGACATGGAGACCGAGTTTTAGTGATGTTGGAAGGGGTTGGGATCCGGTCCTAGGTCAAGCGAATCTGGGGATGCGGGGGTCGTGGAGTACTTACCCGTTTGTACCTTCCACAAGTTACCACTGGGGTTCGTGAAAGCGATCTGGCCAACCTAGCGACTTGGCCAAGTATTTTACATAGTAAATTTGTATAGGAGGTACTTCTGACTGGCTAGTCCGTGCATGAAGCTTAGCGAGGAGTACTAATTTGGTGGTGGCCAAGTCGCTAGTATGGCCAGATCGTTTTCACGAACCACCAGTGGTAACTTGGAGAAAGTACGAATGAGTAGGGAGAGACTGTGTGTGCTATCCGTGTTGGTATGCGGAAACGGACCGCAAGGAAGCTATTTTTCGGTAAAAGGGGGAGGGCATGACTCGTGCTTGCTTGGAAGCTCGCCAAATAGAATTAGAACATCGAGATTGAGAAAAACTACAATGAGCTAGAAGAAATGGAACATTCGGATTCGAGCAAGTTTGAGCAATGATCCAGAAGAGATGGAACATTGAGCTACCAAGGACGTGTCAGTCAGCCAGAAGAGCTGAAACGGTGAGATTTTAAAGATAGAAAGAAATCATTGCACGAGATGGCGTTTCATGAACTCCATTGCGCCAATTCATCTATGTACAATGGCCTGAAAGTCATTAGGAAAGTTGCGCCGCAGAATGACCTCGCGGGTGTTAGCAGAACGGTGCTCTCTTTCATGCACCACCCCGTCCAACGCAACGCTGAATCAATTTTTAATTGCTCCTTCACGTCCTCGCCACCCCTTTTGATATCCACCGAGAGTAATCACCGAAACAAGTTGTCCTCCAGATCTAAGTGTTCCATTATGTTGGGAACAATTGGTGTAAATGTTCCATGCTGCATCGGTCCTTTATGATAAGACAGAAAAAAGACTTGGAAAAGGAACGCACTCCAAATTCAGGTCAATGAAAGGAATTCTAGAGGCCGAACGCAGTCATCTGCTCAGTGATTAGACTGTAGCGAGCGCAGATACATCGCTCTGAAGTGTCCCCACCCCTCAAAAACCCACGCCGATGAGGAACCATTGCAATACTGTTCACTGGGGTTTTGCCGGTCGAAGTTTGGCCGTCGTCAAATTCTTGGTGGTTTTCTTTGGTCTTGCAGTAACCCGTTTCTTCGGAATCTTGTCAACAGGAAGCCCGTCACCAGCATAATCGTGCTTGGGAGTCTTCGTGATGGATAGTATGATGAAACTCGGCAAGACCCAATCTGGGTGTTTGTCTTTGTACTTTTTAAACGCCTCAATATCATTTCCCTCTCCCTTGGGGTTTGTGAAGAAATCGTCGAACATGGCGCTCATCTTGTCTCTCACTCCCTTGCTGCCCCATCTTCCACCGCCTCTGCCATTCTTCCCGATAGGCTGTGGTCTGGACAGCGAGTAATATTCTGGATATTTCTCGTCTTCAAATTTGCTATTATCCAGCATGATGATAATTTTCTTTATGCTGGGTAGATCTACCACAAGTCGATAGAAGTTGGTAAACTTGCTCGGCATTCCGGGAATTGGTCTAAGCCGATCCAGGACGCATGCGGGGAAAGCTATGTATTTGATGTTTTTATCTGCGCCACCAATTTTCTTCTTGGACAGCCGTCTCATATAGCTGAGAAAGTTCACGACGGCAGGAATGTTGACGAAGTACAGCGTATCGATGTCGAAGTTGGCCCAAATAGACTTCGGAGAACTGGGAATGGAGGTCTTGCGGTCAAGAATCTGGAGGTGGGACTTGATAAAGCAGTATTTGCGTTTGGCCTCCTTGCGAGACTCTTTGCAAATATGGAGAACCTGAGGAACAGCCCCTGCTGCAAGAATATAGACCTGGACAATATCTCTTTCAGTAACATCGTTGTCCCATTTGGCCCGGATGACTCGGGGTACCATCATCAAGTTCCAGATACGAAGTCGAAGCTCAATTGGGAGCTTGCGGAAGCAATGAAAAGCCTTGGGTGCCATTTTCTGTGAGAGGCTGAGACGATTGGGAAGGATGGAAAATTAATGGAAGGAGTGATTGCTAGTACCTGTAATCTTTTGTACTCAGAGAGCAGAGGCTGAATGTTCCAAGTAGAAGATGGCTTCAAAGTTATGCGCTCGCTGTTGGAGGATAGAAGACTCGGGCGGGTATTGTGATGCTAAAGACCGTCGCAGATGCTCCCTGAGACAGACAGTCAGATGAGAAGGTGAAGAGGGCAACTGCACCTAGATGCGTACCTTTGCTAATTTTAGACGCAGGGTACGGCTCAGAAAGTTGGCAGAGTCAGGTTTGATCTGAATGTGAAACTTTGTTGCGTCTACCACTTCGTATTCTTCAGAAAGTTGGCAGGTGAGAATGACGCAAGTTGCCTGAACCCGGCTGCAAGGACCGAATGTCGTGTTTGAGAGAAACTGCGTTGCCACGTCAAGTCTCGAAACCAGTGTTCTCGAATAAATTGTTGGAAGCGGTCTCAAAGAAGAGCGGTGATCGCAAAGTATGGTGATTTGAAAGCGCAAGATGCTCACAGTCAGTTTGTGGTCGGAGAAGAATAGACACAAAGGTATGTGTAGTTGTGGCTGATAAGAAAGAAGAGGCTGAGAACCAAGGATTCGGAGTCGATGTAGAGGGAAGAGGAGGTGGTGTGTAGGACCTCGTCTGGGAACATTAGATGTGAAGGTATGTTTGCTTGGATCCGATATCGAGGAAGAGTCTTGGAAATGAACGGCAGATAGTCGTACTATTGGAGGGAGATATGAGGTTGATATCCAGGTTGGAGTTGATGGAGAGCGGAGGGTAAGTTGCTTTAGGGCTGATGTCGAAGATAATGTCGAAGACCAAATAAGCAAATACTAGTAGAAGAAAGAGGCACTTCTGGCCAGGTGATCGAGGCTTGAAGGTATGCTTGTGGGTCTTGTATCGTGATGAGGCAACGTTCAAGTAGAAAGGCGATGTCAACAAAGGAAGTGGAAGGTTGATCAAGGCAAATGTGGTGTCGTGGGAAACTGTCTCATGTAGAAAACGATGCGATGTGGACGGGGTAAGGTAAGGGTTTGCACGTGATGTACTCGGGAATGAGGTTATTGTTGTGAAGAGGATATGTTCAGGAGGCGGGGTGCAGATAAAAATAAGCGAGTGGATCAATGCAGATAATCGTTCACTTGATGAGGTGAATCCTGCTTGAGCTGAAGTAGACGGTGATGAAGCAAATCATTTCTTCGAATAGTCTGTCGAAATTGGAAGAGAAAGAAATGAAGCCCAGCCCAAAGATTTGTGCAAAGGTGAACATGTAGGGTTGTGACTGTTCGCTCCTTCCAAGAATCCGGTCCTTGCTGTACAAATCCAGCACAAACCACTTGGTGAGCCAAAGCAGCAACACTTAGGATATTGGAGCCTTGATAATTGTGAAGGGGGGCTTCAATGATTAATAAAGCTTTGATTTCTTCAATTAACTCCCACGCCGTGCATATGACAATCTGAACAGTGCCTCATTTTCTTTCAACCCCATTATCATATCTCTTAATGTCCTGAATGCTCCAAAAAGCCTACGCCGCTTTGTGTACGTGCTATGCCTCGGGGTTGTATTTCTGGTCATCCTTGATCCGAGGATGTGCCCCTATTGCTTCCTTCTAGAAGCATCACCTTACTTTACCAGGCCACTTACTGGCCAAAAGCACCGCTGGCCTTAGGCCCCAGGCCAAGCTTCTGCTTCTTGATCCTTGGAAATACGCCAATGAGCACAAGGGCCGCCGAGATCAGTACAGCCCAGAGCTTGATATCCAGAGTCTGTTTGTTGAAATCCGTTTGCGTGGCTGCTGCAACGGTAGCCAGAAGGAAGGTCAGGACAACGTATCCGCTGATCCGGTGCCACTTGTAAATTGACTTGGCCCTTTCCAAGCTGCCATACAATTGAGGGGTAAAGTACTGGGTAAAACCGACCAATGTCTGGATTCCCAGGAGGATGTAGGTGGTAAGGCCAAGGATGGCATGGGGAGATTCGAAATGAGTGCCATTGTGGTTGAACTTGTTCACTTCAATAACGATCAGGCCTGCCACGAGGAAGTCAAGTCCAAAGTTGTTTAGCCACGCGTGAGCAATTGTTCCTTGTCGTTTCTGCCCTGCGGTGTGCGTAGGTTGGAGGACGAGAATCGACTGTGTGAGAACCAGAATACCAGCGGAGTTGAGGAGAGGATGTGCGGAGAAGAGCATGAGAGGGCTGAGGAAGATGCTGGCCCAGACGGAGGCTGTGAGGAGAACAATGCCGGCTTGGGCAATGACTGCGGTGCCTGGAGAAGAATTAGTCGAAACTCTATAGCTTCCCGATAGATCTGACCAATAATGAGGTTGACATAGAGCGGCCTTCCTTCCTGTTGCGAGGCATCACCAGCTTGACCAAGGAGAGGTTCGTCTTCTCCCAGCCCTTCCTGGGCAACAACATCTGGAATTCCAGCAGCAGAAGCCATAATTGATGCGAGGGCGTAGCTGCTTTTAATGGTTGGTGTTTGCAACTGCTCGTGTGTTGGAGATTGGGGAATCTTAGCAGGGGAACAGATGTTAAATAGGAGGATCAGGTGAAGGTGGTACGTTGTTGCGCACTCCGATTCACCAGTATTCTGAACGCACCCCCGCAAAATTGCACCAGGCAAGCTTCGGCCAATCACAGTGCCGGCATGGTAAGCTGGCCAGCAACCCCACCGATTGCGCAATGCAGAGCAGTGCAACTGGAATAATCACTTTCACGAGGTGAGTGGTGCCTTATTCAGAGCCGATCACGACTTCAGCAGGTCTCCTTTCCATTCTTATTTACTTTGGTCCTCCTTTCCAATCAACACGATTCTGCTAGGCACTAAATCCTCACGGGGCAGCCAAAACTCCAATGAGGGGCTTATCGATATCGGAGGGGACCGATAGGTGCACCAATAATGCATTCTCTATTACTCGATGAGAACTAAAACCTTTCTTTTGTTTTCCCCCTTAAAGGCGAGGATTCCATCGAGGTAGTTTGGACCTCAGACCACTTCCTATACATCTCAAAATGTCTTTCGAATCTGAATATAAGCTTGACAATGTTGCTGCCACGCCGGTTGCGGCAGACAAAATCGATGCAACTTTTCGTTCTTCTACTATAGGTCAGTTATACTCCTTTGTTACACCTTTGTATGTCAGTGAAGGCGGGCAAATTGAGCCATTGGGTTACTCGTGCTTGGTCCGGGAATCGGAATGCCGCAACAGAGAGAGACATTGTGCTTCTTTGTGTACAGGATGATCCAGCAACCCCCACCCTTAACCAAACCACACACGTGATTATGCATCCTGCAACAACTTGTACTGACAGGTACTTAGACTTGATATCCGCAGCATTGGGAGGAAAGGTCCTCTCTTTCTCCGATGAATGGTTTGCAGAAGCTTCCAACCTCCTCACTCCAGCCGCTCCCATCAGACAACCAGGCAAAATGGTCTTCTCAGGAGCTTGGTATGATGGATGGGAGACTCGTCGACACAACACTACCCCCTTCGACTATGTTGTCATTCGACTTGGGGTTGCCTCAGGAATTATTGAGGGTATCGAGGTTGACACTACTTTCTTCTCCGGAAATCACGCTCCAGCCATCTCTGTGGAAGGAGTCTTCAGTTCCAATGACGAGGAAGTTATCGGCTGGAAAGGAGGACGAGGAAATTGGGAACCGATCCTAGGCATTCAAGAATGTGGCCCTTCTCAACGGTTCGGGTGGAAGCTGGCATTTCCTACCAAGAAGGCGTACACCCACGTCCGGCTGAACATGTACCCTGATGGAGGAATTGCAAGGTTCAGATTGTTCGGCCACGCAATCCCTGTCTTTCCAGAGGATAAAGACGCCGTCTTCGACCTTGCTGCGGCTCAGAATGGAGGAGTGGCTATTTCGTGTAGTGACCAACACTTTGGTGTCATTGCAAACTTGATTCTGCCTGGCAGAGGAAAAGATATGGGAGATGGATGGGAGACTTCGAGATCAAGAGGAAAGGATCATGTTGATTGGGCTATTATTCGTCTAGGAGCAAAAGGTACAATTCAGATTCTGATCGTCGACACCGCCTTCTTCCGAGGTAACTTTCCTCAGAAGGTCAAGGTGGAAGCCATCGATCGGAGTGGAGAGGGTGAGCCCGGAGCATTAGCTGATGGGTGGACTGAGATTGTTGAACCGAGCAAATGTGGTCCGGACAAAGAACATGAATTTGACTCGCTAGTGAAGGACAAGCCATTCACACATGTCAAATTGACTATGATACCAGATGGAGGAGTCAAGAGGATCCGGGTCCTTGGGAAAAGGAGCTTGTGAATGAAATCAGTGCACACTCTTGCTCATCTCCTTGCGATGCGATTGCACGTGGGCATTTTCGAGCTGTGATATCAGCTGTGGGGAATCCGGTCATAGTCTAGATCCACTCGACCAACATCTGTATCTTAAGAACCAATGAGTGAGCAAGATAGTGATTTATCAAACTGTGTGTGGAAGAGAAAACATAAAAGTTCATGCGAGATGTAGTCGTAGGTAGATAGAACTGACTTTCGCGCACGGACAATTTCTAACAATGCTCCGAGCCATTTGTACAACACCAGCGTCATCCAGAGGCATGAAAGCAATGACCAAACTGCAGGTTCATTCCGGACTCCACTAAGAGCCCACGGATCCCAGAACTTCCCAGACGGCCTTTGATGAGGCTCAGCAGATAGTCAGGGCTACATGCGGTCCTCCCCTTCCTGCCATGGACGACAATGGCGGGGACATCAGCGGCGGGTTTGGTGACGAGGGGCAGCTCCAGAAAAAGCGACCGAGGGAGTTACCAGACGATCTGCCAAAGTCCCTGGACGACCGGAGGAATGTCCCATCTCATTATACGGCTGAGACTGAGATGTATGATGCCTGGCAAGGTATGAAGAGCTCTTGCTGCTTCGAAACCTATTAATAAAGCCTGCAGGCCAATCTCAATTCTTGACCTCCCCGGTGCTAGCCAAACCCCTCCAGTTCAATAATCTTTCGTTAGACAACAACGAGTATGACGATGATCTTGCAACCCAGAAGATTGGGGATAGTGACACGAGGTTGATGGAGATGCTTGCTGCGCAGGCAGCTCATCGGGATGGCTCGGTTCACGGGGACGAAGACGCAGTTGCTTCAAATGACAAACTATCAGAGGAAGAGAAGAAAGATATTCTGCAGAAAGCTCTAAATATGGCCGCAAGTAATGGAGATGTGGAGAGGATAGAGCGGATCTTGAAAGGGAAAGCAAAAGATTTTGTTGATGTTGATGCGCCCGACGAGGAGGGGACAACTCCTTTGATCTACGCAAGTTGCTTTGTGAGTCGCCAGATCTGGAGAGTTGCTGATCATCTGCTAATGACTTCTGTAGGGTCACGAAACTGTGGTAGCGGCTCTCCTTGATGCTGGAGCGAAAGTCGACAACCAGGATAGGAATCGATGGAGCGCGCTCATGTGGGCCATGACAAACAGACACAAGGGGATCGCAAAGGCATTGCTGGACCATGGTGCTTCTCCCGAAGTCAAGTCATCTTCTGGGAGGACGGCATTCGATTTCGCAGCCCCTGATAGCGAAATATCAGGCTATCTACATGATAGTGGGTACCATATTGGAAGTGTTGGTGTTACGGATGATTTCTACAATCCAGGATTCTCTCAAGACCGTTTTGAGGAGGAAATGGCCGAAAACGAGTTGAGGAGACGTATGATGATGGAGAGTGCTCGAGATTTGGAGGTTGATTTGGGAAATGTGGGCATTGACGATCAACCCGAAGTAAGTTCAAAAGATCTCCTGGAAATCTGTATCCACTGACCAAGTACAGTCGCCTGATGAACTAGAAGAAGAAGCTCAAGAATTTGACTGGAGTCGATGTCTGCACGACCAGATGTTTGTATTCCAAGAAAGCGAACTGGGCCGGATTCTCGACATTATCATTACAAACATGACGCCTCAGCGGTCGCCATCCCAGAAACCTGTCCCTGCCAACATGATTTTTCTCAGCGCACGATATGCCCACTATCATGCGAATCAAGATCTGTTGGCAAAGCTTTTACTCACAGCAATGGACAAGATCAATGATGTCGTTGAGACTCACCAGTGGGACATGACAATCTTAGCCTTTTGGATCTCCAATGCTACGTTGTTGTTGCATTATTTGAAGAAAGATGCTGGGCTAGGGGGATCCACCAGCGAGTTTCAGCTCCAACTTGCCGAACTTATCAACGAGATTTTCATCCTGATCATCCGGGACGCCGAGAGGAGAATGGACAAAGTCCTAGATTCAGCTATGTTGGATCACGAGACTATTCCGGGGTTCGAGGATATCACCTTTCAGAACGAATGGAAGATCTTCAAACGGAAGGCTCATGTAAAAGAGGAACCGGCAGAGAGAAGGTTCCGACCTCCATCTCCTAAAGCAAGGGCCAAGCCATCACCACGAAACGTCACCTCCCTACTCTCGTCAACACTGTTTGTGTTGGATTTATATGATATACACTCTGTTATCACAGCCCAAATTTTGGCTCAATTACTATACTGGCTCGGAGCGGAACTTTTCAACCGCATCATGTCCAACCGGAAATATCTTGCAAGGACCAAGGCTATGCAAATTAGAATGAACATTTCCAGCCTCGAAGACTGGGCCAGAACAAACAATCGGCAGCCGGAGCATTACGAGCATGGTTCCATGACTTCGACGGGCGAGATGACAATTGACGCAGCAAGACGGCATCTTGCACCTGTCATCCAACTGCTACAATGGCTTCAGTGCTTCTCGTCTCTTGGCGCTGATGATCTAGAAGCTCTCGTTGGCACCTTACAGCAGCTTACGCGGCTCACGCCCCAGCAGTTGATACACTCTGTGAAACATTACCGACCGGAAGTCGGAGAAAAGGGGCTTCCGAAGAGTGCCATGAAGTACCTGATCAACCTCCAAAGAGAGGCACAGTTACGAAAGGAACGCCAGCGTACGGAGCGAAGGCAATCGGGGATACCCACTACGCCAACCAAGCAGGGTACAAATGGAAAGGCTCCAGACACTCCTGATTCGAATGGAAAGCCAATTGCGCCAAATACTATGAAACCCCTACCTCCCGACGCGATGCTTGGGGAGGAAGACGATGCTCCTGAACATCTGCTGCTCGATCCAGCTCTTATGCTGCCGTTCTCTTTGCCAACGAGTACAGACATGCTCGTGAGTTATGGGGCAGGGTTTGGTGGTTTGAACCGCGAGCGAGAGAGGAAGTACATACCCACCGTTCCCCCGGAGTTCCTGGCCAAGCTTGACCTGAGCGGCGGTCGAGCACAATCTACATATGAAGAAAAGGATTGGGAGAATGAAGATGTCTAAGATAAGACATGGTTAAGTGAGACCAGGTATCGGCCCGCACAAGAAAGCAAGCATATGGAAGCATGGCGTGGCGTTCTAGGGGCGTCCCAGATTAGTCGGTGTCAATCTTATCATTGGACCCCTCATCAGAAGATTTTAATATTTGCTTGTCGAACGAACTACATGATTTGAACTGCCAAGAAGTAGCGAACCGAGCCTTTGTGACCGTGCTGCTAATGTCAAGATTCGTGCATACAGCATTCATGCGCAACGGATGGGCGAGGTGAATCCAGGATTCAGGGGTTCTCGGGAGCGCCCGCCGTGGAGAACCTCTGAGGCTCGAAAATGGGGGGTGCACGGGAGAAATGCCAACTCACCAAGACACAACGCATCGAGTCACTTGTCACTCGTCCCTCGTCACTCGCAGATTCACTTTTTCTAGAAATATCGTGCCTCTTCCCCTCCCCCATCTCGGCCATGCCGGACAAACTCTCTCCACAACCGTTCTGCGGGCGTTGATTCCTCGCTCCGACGTTGTGAATTCATCTCGATTATCCCGGCAATCTCACGTTCGACCCTGTACCTGCGCTTGGGACTCTCGGACACCCTTGATTCAGCCTTGATTGGCTTTCTGGTGGCGCGCGCTAGCAAATCGAGCAACGCCTCCCGCTAATCAGTGCAACGCTGGAGCAGAAGTATTGTAACAGCGAAATTTCCATCGACTTCCTGGGAAACCTCACCTTGCGCCTTCTACAATTGACAACAGCACACACGGCAGCAAATGCTCGACCCACGCTCCTTCATTCCCACGCTCATTTCAGCAAAGAAGCTATCGAACGCATTCCTCGACCTCGATCACATTTGCGCTCTGCTCGTTTGCTCGACACGATCGCCCACAATCAGCCGGTCCAAGATAGATAGACGCGATAGCGCATCCACATCCGACCACCACGCATTCACCCGAAATCAAGATGGCCCCTGACAAGGAAAAGACTGGAATAGGCTTTGGCGGTCTGCGAACGAAGTCAGTCGCACCACCACAGCAGCAGACACGCACAGATAATGGGATTATAACTCTGAGATACGAGGAAGCTATTCCTGCGAAACCGCCGATTGCAGTCACGGTCGCACCGCCGGCGCGCGCTCCAATCGACATACACCCTGCGCTGAGGAGACCGAAGAGCAGTGTCGCGGAGACCGACGAAAGGAAGAGGGACAGCGGGTTGGCGCCTACGACCTCGAGCAAGGCCCGAGAGGGTTCTGTGACGACGGTGGATGAGAATGTTCTGGGGGTGAAGATGGATTTCGATTCCAGTTTTCAGAGCGCGATTACGCCGCAGTCACCAGTTCCAAGCACGCCCACACCGCAGGTTACGAGACTTGATAGTGTAGGCTCGGGGAGCATTAGTCGGTGGAGGAAGCCAGGGTCGAGGAAGAGTAGCATGCCGAAGACACCTAGGACGCCTACGTCGAAGTCAACACCGGAGGAATTTACCCCTATTAGCACGCCAATCCCAACTGAGAGCCTGATAGATGAGGAATTTTTGGAGTCGCTCTCGTTTTCAAAGAGGGGCAGTATGATGTTGGGAGGAAAGAAAGCGGTCAACGGTCATGTGCGGACACATGGTGGACGAAGGTATGTCTAGTACCAATGGCAAGCAAAGATCGTCGCTAATCGGTCTCAGACAACCCAGTTTCTCTTTGTTAGCTTCGCCATCTATCAAAATATTGTCGGATGATCTTGAGAAGGACTCAAAGAAGGTTAGATCGATGTATGAACAAGGAATTGGTTTGGATTGGGAGGATGGCAAATATGCACCAATGGCTAAGAGAGCAAATGTTGAGGAAGCTTTGGCGGAAGAAGAGCCAGCAGTGTGAGTTGTGTGATAGCTTCTGGCCCACTTCTTACTGACTGGTGTAGATCAAATGGTCACTTACGTCCAAATGGGCATGTAGCGTATCAAAGGCCAGAGACAGCAATGTCTGTCAGGCAAGAGCACGAGCTAGCAGGAGGGATCGAAGACTGGGAAGATATCGACGGTCACGATGTTGACCGATACGGCTTCATAAAGCTGCAAAGGAAGCTTTCAAGGCCTGGTACACCGGAACCAAGGCCGCCTCAACGAGTCTCTACCGTTCTACAACAGGCATCCGAGACACCAAGGAAGCAGCGAGGCTTTACCAGATCTCCTTCTTCTGCAGCAAACTCGACCAGGGGAACCTTCAAGCGAGCCCCCAGTCGCAAAGTCTCTGCAAGATCTTTGAATACTGTTGCTTCAAATAGCTCTCAGAGGAGTACGAGCCGCATTCGAGCCGCTGCAAATCGTCTGCCAGGCAATAGGGACCGGAGGTGGATGGACGAAGCAGGTGATATGCTCACACTACCTCCAGGATTAGCCGACATCGCAGAAGACGAGGAAGGGGGCAGGGCTGTAGAAGGTCTCAAGAAGAAAGAATGGGAACGAGCTGAGAAATGGAGGAAAATGGCCAAAGTTCTGAAGACCGGGAAAGATGGAGAGGGCATGGAATTCGAATTCGATGCCCGAAGTCCCAAGCTCATCGAGAGAACTTGGAAGGGCATTCCTGACAGATGGCGAGCTGCAGCCTGGTACTCTTTCTTGAACACCTCGGCAAAGAGGAGAAAAGATAGTCCATCTGACGAGTCGATCATTCAGGCCTTCCACAAATTACAGGATGCCAGCTCTGCCGATGATGTCCAGATCGACATCGATGTGCCCAGGACGATCAACAGCCATATAATGTTCAGGAAAAGATATCGAGGTGGTCAACGACTCTTATTCCGAGTTCTCCATGCCCTGTCATTATATTTCCCAGTCACCGGTTACGTTCAAGGGATGGCATCCTTAGCAGCAACACTTCTTTGCTATTTCGACGAGGAGAAAACCTTCGTGATGTTGGTACGGATGTGGACGCTCAGAGGGCTTGACAAGCTCTACGAGCCAGGCTTCCCAGGACTAATGGCTGCTCTCGATGAATTCCACAAGCAATGGCTTGACGGCGGTCAAGTATCTAAGAAACTCGTAAGACCCCTTCTCCCATCACCGCCTCTTTCATAACTAACACTCCTAGACCGGGCTTAATATCGAGCCCACCGCCTACGGCACCCGCTGGTACCTCACCCTCTTCAACTACTCCATCCCCTTCCCTGCACAACTCCGCGTCTGGGACATCTTCATGCTCCTCGGGGACTCTGATCCCTCTCTCAAACCAACCAAAGACCGACCCTTCTGCGGCGGCCTCGATGTCCTGCACGCCACTTCTGCGGCGCTCATTGATGGCACTAGGGAGATTCTCCTTGACAGCGATTTCGAGAACGCGATGAAGGTGCTTACAAGCTGGATTCCAGTCAAGGACGAGGAGCTGCTCATGAAGGTTACGAAAGCGGAGTGGAAGTTGCATCGGAGGAAGAGGGTGTGATTTACCTTTATCTTCGGCTTCGACATCGGTTCCTGAATTCATGGACCGGAAATTGGAAGGCTTCTTTCCATAACACCCGCACACGACACTTTCTTTTGTTAGACACACGCATACGGATACGAGTCCCAGACTCGTTCCATTCCTGCATCGTTGCTTCTTTCCTTATGTACCCTGTCTGCTTGCTTGCTACGCAATATACCATCACGCGCGTCTTTACATTTGATTTAGTGTTCGGCTCGGTCCTGGGTGGCTGGGTGGGTGTACGATATGACAGGGTAGAATGATGTCACGACCGCTTTCCCTAAAGAGAAGACTAATTATGGGTGTTGGATGGGGAAGGGACGAAAACATGACGGGATCGGGGATCGAGGCCCGGAGATTGGGGATTGGGGATTGGGGGTTAGAGGGAGGAGTAAATCAGGATGGATGGATATGGAGTACTTGGTTGTATGTATGATAGAAGGTTGGTGAGATGAGGGGAATATATGCCCTCATGTGCGTTTTCTATATTTGTTTGTAGCACTGTGACCTGATTTCTGCTCGAAGGCTCCAAATTTGGAGTCGGAGTCGCTTTGACTTCGGATTTATTCGAGATTGGTTGGAGACAATTTGAGGATGGGTGAGATGGGCGTATGCAGGCGAGTACTCATACATGGACTTGGGTCAAGAGGAAGACAGAAGGCAGCTATCCAGTTATATATCAAGATACTCTATGAGGGTAGGCAGTTTGCGTCCTGAAACGTTGTATAGGCCTTTGTGGCATGCAATCCATAGTCTTGACGCTGAGGTTATGGGGAAGATATCCGGGGTAGAAAGCTGGGTCACTGATTGAGAGTGTGCGACGTCCAGGAAGATGTTGAGAAGATCATGAGAAAGAAGAAGGGTATTGAGGTGCGCTGGACTCGGACCCATTTTGGAGTGAACAAACGGGGTTGGAGTCCATTGTGTGTTTTGTGATGAGGAAGTATGAGGTGAAGGAGATGGCGTGCTTTCCAATTTGCGGCCATCCAGGAAATATTTCTACGGTGAGGCTTGGTTGTTTGGAAGGGGGCTTGGATTAAAAGGACCTGGTAGTTTGGAGGCCGGGCTTTAAAAGGTACCGTGTGATTTGTAGTGAGGCTGGGTGAAGAAGGTCAGAGACTCTTTATTCGCAGGGAGCAAGAGGCAGTTGAAGTGTTTGTGGTGAGGTTAGGATGTTAAAATAAGGCGGGGTTCAAAGAGTTACAAGGACGCGTTCGTCGTAGAAAGGGGGCGTGATTCGAGGTGTGAATCAAAGATCCAGTTGGTTTCACTGGTCATTGGTTGGTTTGGTTTGTACTGACAACCATTGTCAAATGCTATTGGCTTGGGCTGGAGGAGAGCTACGAACATTCCGCCGGAAGTCCGATGGAGGAAGGAGAGTCTGGTGGGAAATAGGGCTGATTCAGACCTGGAGTTGAAATTAAAGTTGAGAACTAGTCAGAATCTTTCGGAAAGCTTTGATCCGTAACCTTTGCATCATTTACTTTCTGACAGCGAGGTTTTTAAAAGCATAAAAATGTCCTGATCTGGGTTCAAAAGCACCTCAGATGATCTTCTTCTTCCTTTCTCTTCTCGATGATGAACAGCTTCGACAATTTGATGACGCTTAAGCAGGTTCTTTTGAAAAAAGTATGTGACATATATGTATCTGAGGGGCCGCGGTGCCAGAAATGGCCGCTACCCTTCATTTTTTTTTTTGAATGGGAACAGATGGAAGTGTAGTCAGCTGCTAGCTCAGTGGAGGAAGGGAGAATAAGGGCAATCTCCTATTCGCGCTTCCCTTGGTGAGGGAGATAATATTGAGGCAAATCTGCCCCTATGAACCAGCGAGAGATATCCAATGTCTCTAGACTTTAATTTTGAACATGGTGAATTATATGAAGAAACCCGGGAATAACTTGTGAAGCTGGGAAAGATCTCGAGGGAAAAGTCGAAAATTACAAGAATTTGCTAACATGACCCCTATTTCCGGTGCATGCTTTATTCCTGTGCATTTAGAAGAGTTTACTGGCGTCTTGTTCGGATGCTCTTTGATTTGCCTCCAGATCTTTGCTTCCTTCCGTCCACATTGATAAAATCTACGAGCAGAGAGAAGGCGCGATTGCCGCAGGAACAAAGCGTGCAGCGCCTGGTCTAGGAACTGACTTCAGAGGCCACATTTTGCCCACGTATATCCAATTGGCCAATACGGCGAATAGGGAGAACAAGTTTTGCCATGAGACGTCGAGACGAGGCACGAGGTACGGGACACACGGCTTGAAACTCAAATTCTCAATTATTGCAAAACGTGGCTTAAAACATTATAGGAAGACTAAGGAGCTTAACCTACTTAAGCACTGCCATGCTACCTCGCTAAGGAGGGTGCGCTAGAGGAAGAGGTCTCGCTGCGAACGCGAGGCAAGGTCATGTGATTTGGCGCGTCTTCCAATTCCAGGTTCCGTTCCATCTTCATCTCTTGCGGACATTCCTCAAATTGCACCACACGACGACCACCATCTGCTTGGCAGTGCGAGCTCATCAAATCACGCAGCCTTGCTGCAGCCGAAGTCACACAGAACTGTGCAGAAACGAACCTGCAAGGACCGCATTGGTGTGGAGGCGGAATTTCGACGAACCGAAAGCCACTTTCTACTTGGACTAGAAGTTATGCCATTTATGCCATCGCTAACCGCAGCCAGGTAAAACCTGCTTCTGCGGCGAAATCGACTTCGGTTGCTGATGACTCGCAAGTTGCAGTCGTTCCGTAGCCTTGAAGGGTTGTGTCAGCGGCTTGAACAAAGTTTGACTAGCGGAGCGAAGCGTCTTGACTCTTGACTCTCAGCTTTTCCATTGCTGTGGCTAAACCAAACTGTGGCCAAGTGGACCCGCAACGGTGGCGCAGGCTGTGGACTGCCGCTTCTGGACGATCAGCGGAGCATCTCGACCTCGACCTCGAGACTCTCACATATCACGGCTGGCGGGGCCGGTGTGGCTGGTGCTGATCAGTGCGGGAGTTTTATCGATAAGGAAGGTGAGGGGGGAAGCTTCGACGGCGTGAGGCATGCTCAGCACGTTGTGATCGAGGACTGGAGGCTCGGGACGCCCGCTGCAGCCGCGGTGCGGGAGAGGGACTCGTCAGCCTTTTTTTTTTGCTGGACAGTTGTCTGCTCCCAAGCGCACCGCGCGGAGAAGAAGCTGCAAGAAAGCTGCAAAGTCCACGGAGTCCGCAACGCCACACCGGTCCTGTCAGGAAGCCAGCTCAAGGTCGGAGTCTCGTTTCCAAGTTCTTTGGAGCAGAGTAGGCAGAGGACGTCGACGGACGTCGACGGACGTACCAGTCCTGGACCCTGCCCTTGTCAGGAGGTCTGCGCTCGCTTGCGATCAGCATGGCGACAGGGATTTTGTCCCCGGAAGGCCTGGGCAGGGCACTCGGATCGTCTCCATCACGCACCCAGCGAGGCAACTGAGACACTTTTCCGAACATGCGGTTGAGGTCTGCTCACTCTAGCCTGTCGAGGATCGGCCTCTGCCTGCTGGAAACCCTGATCTGCCTCGCTCGCGTGAGACTTGACGGCAGGGCGTTTGCGATCGACAGCGAGGCTAGCAGACCCATTGGCTTCGAGCAGTCAAAAATTGAGTGTATTCGCCTTGGGCTGCAATTCGCCGATCTCATGCCGCCGTGAGCGCGTCATTATCAACCGAGACTGGGACTCGGGTATGTCAGCCGAGAGACGAGGACAGAGTCTCTTGCAAGATCCGTCAGCCAGCAAGCCTTCTTTCACCTTGTTTGACTTCTGAAGTCTGTCGGCCTCCCCCCAGAAATACAGAGTACGATATGTGGGGGAAAGTCTCCACTTGGCTTGGCTTGACCGATCAAATTATTCACCGTCAAGAATCGTCGAAAATAGCTTGGGCGGGACTCCAGCCTATTAGGAGCTCTTGCTCTTGTTACTTATCAGCAACAAATCTAGGGACTGATCTGATAAGAATGAATCGTGGAGTTCAGTACGTGGTGGACTTGCATTCATAGTAATGGCCGGGAAGGGAGGTCGGTTTGACCGAGCCGCGTACTGGCCATCGATGATTGTTCCAATTAAGCGAGGCATATTGTCGATCGACCCGGGAGCTGGAAAATATCCCATCCCGAGCATACGTTTCCCTCCGATTGTTGTCTCACTCCATAACCTGCACGTCAGTGCTGATCTTTCCCGAGCCACTGATAAGACTGCGTTTGGCGAGAAAAAGCAGACATGTAAACCACTCAAGGTCCTTGGTTGGCTCGCTGCGGCCCCCCCGTGCCCTGACGTCTTTGGACGATCTTCAGCCGTGTGGCACAGGAGATTTTCGAAGGTCGAATCAGAAGTGATTTATCAGGGTACAATGCTTAACTGAAGCAGCTGTTCAGGGACTACAAACACATCGTCAAAACCCGGTGTTAGCATCCAATCCCCACTACCAGACTGCTGGTTCAGTTTGAGGACTGGCGACTCCGAGAATTTGTGTTCACACAATCGGCGCAAGTTCGTGATACTCGAGGTCAATCCAATGCCAGCGGCCGTTCAAGTTGACTAATCGCCTGAACGCCAAGCACAAAGTCTCGGCTTTTTTGAATTGAGTGACCAGTTCGGCGTGCGGGATATGCGCTGCGTTCTTTCTGCAGAAGCTACGGCAATCGTCTCCCTGTCAGGGCAGGTCCTTACACTTCAACTAGCTCTTGTTCTTTCGATGTCACCGGGCGCTTTCGGCGTGATAGGCACTCACTGAAAGAAGATCAAGGTCTCCTTACATATTAGTTCAGGCTTATGTCTTCGGCAGGCTGGCGTGAGCTGACAGCAATCTTGCACTTTCACAATCTTGTTCCAGAGTCAGAGCTCCTCTAGGCAGACTACCGACCAGACCGGTGGTGGGCGACGAAATAAAGTTTTCCACGCGCCGATTGACGCCGTGGAAGCGCGCCGTTGAACTTCTCGGGGAAAATGTCACCTCAAAGCCTGGGGGGTTGGTGCCTCACCTAGCTGTGCTTGGGTGCACTTAGCCTGTAACTTTTTGCTTACTACTCTACCGACTCACCAGTGCTGCTCGTCTGCATAAGATCATTGAACGGAGCGTCACGATCGTGGCTCGTTGATCCTTAGCGACAATGTCATGAGCGCCTTTGATCAACTTTGCGGTAAGACTTTGTGCTGAAGCTACCAGAACGCTTCTGCTTTTGTAGAAGCGGTTGGGACTATTATGCCATTTATGGAAGAGTACACGGGAATTTGAGACTCGAGGCTTGACCACTACCTGCAGAAGGAATTACTGTACCCACTATGCCGCGCTCCTTCAATCACTGGCCTGCCGGCTGATGACCAAGGAAGCCCCCTCAAAATATCAGGTCGGAAGTGCAGATTGCAGCCAACTCGAATCTCGGAAGGTGCGTTTTGGATTTCAATGCGGCGTCGCAGGGGCACTCTTTCCAAAATGACGGCGGTGACCCGAGGTCCTTCATCTCGCTCAGGACAGGCGTTGGAAACACATACAAAATTTCTCCAGCCACAGCACCAGCCCGCGATTCCCATCCTGGCTGCATGCCACTTTGCCCCAGCATCTTTGACCTCGACGATCAGCGGATCAAGCCTGTGGAACGGAACGGGCGAGATGCAGAGATGGAAGCTGGCAGAACAGATTGCCACCGGTGTTTTGGGCGGCGGAGGACCTTGGTCCAACGGAGCGCAAGCCACTTCACGCCCACATCTCCGGATGTCCCTTTGGTTTCGATCAGTTGAAACTTGGGCGTCCTTATCAGGCCATAGGCCTCCCGATGCCGTTCTACATCCCATGCCATGCCGCACATCAAGGAACCGCACATCCGTTTGGCGACCGCGGGGAGGCCCCAAATCAGCGCCACCGCCAACCAGCACCAGTTTCCGAGCCAAACTCCAGAATTGGAACGTTGAGAAATGGACCCATGTTTGCCAGCGCTGTTGGCTCTCGAGACTCGCAGTATTTATTCCCTGCTGCAGTTCTAAGTTTGGTGCCTACAGTCTCGCAAGCATAGACTATTCCAGTAATAATCTCTGTCCAGAAGCAAGATTCTATTTGTGGGCCGAGCAGAATTTCATCATCCACTCATTGCTTTTCGACTCGGCAGCCAAATTTGGGGTGGCCATGGAGAATTTATTTTAATCTTCGTCGTGACTTGCCAGTCAATCATCTGGTCCTTTCATACCGGAGGAGGTGCTGCTAAGCTGCTTACGTTTCTTCTTATGTTGTCCGGGGGGGGGGGGGCAGTCCAACGAGGCAGGCGACCCAACTGCGGCAGGGTGATTGGGCCGAACAGGGGCCTTCGGCGTGAAGATCCCTTGCGTTTCAAGAATTCTTGAAGGGCAAGGATTTGAGATCGGCCTAGTCCTGAATGGGATTTTACGGTGGGTAGTAGCCCCTTCCCGGAGACGTGCACTGCTGGAGCATGCGAGTGTCAGAACCCTGGCCAGAGCTAAGGATCCCTGCAAACCTTTATTATCCCACTTGGTGCGGGTAAGGTGACGGCGAGCTGCGAGCAACTTGCAACTCACAGACTATTCAGAGTGCAGCGGACTGGCACTGCACTGGCACTAGCACTGGCACTGGCACTGGCACTGGTGCCGGGACTGGCAAAGCGGCAGCAGGCACTGAGGCATATCTCCCATGGTCCCATCTGCTGCTGCTGCTGCTCTTTGCGGCCCGTCTAGCTGCCAGTTTACCCCCTCGGACATACCTATTCGAGCCATCGTGGATGAGGGGTCGGCCTCTCGGCCTGCCTGCTGCCCAATTGCTCCTCGTGGGCCCCGTCGAGTTTTATCATGTCAGCAACATCCACCACTCATCTCAACAGCTCTTCCCTGCCCCGGACACTAGACCCTCCCGCGCCACTCAAGTACAAACTACAAAGCTACTTCCCACCAGAGCTTCAGCCCCAGCCCCCAGGCTTCGGGCCCCAGTCTAGCTCCCCCACCACCCATGCCCACAATTCCAACTACTTCTGCCCGCGTTCTGTCCCATGGCATGGCGAGCCGGCACAACCAGCCATTCTAATCACGCACCTACTATGTGGTCGTTGCCACTGACATTTCGGACGAGGCCCACCTGCAATACCAACGACATGTGGCCCAGATAGTGACGGGTTTGCACCTGACCTTCGCCCTAAGAATACCCCCAGCCTGTCCAAGGAACAGAAGCTAGGTAGCTGCTCATTACAGGTTCGTCTTGAACGGGACCAAAACAAACAGTTCATTAATACTGTCCTCAAAAAGGCATCTCGCCACATTCGGGTTCCCTTCGGAAATATTGCAAGTATGGGTACATGCTTCTATGCTTGTTCGTGGTAATATCGCCCATCCTTGTCTTCCTTCTCTGGCCGTCGAGCATACAGTGCTTTCCTGTCCATATCGACCTGGAAACATCTTCCCTCCTTGATTGTTATTATACCAGCCCTCCGGTTTTCTGGGTGATGGGGTGGAGCTTCTCTGCTGACGCCTCATTCTCTGGACCTGTCCTGTCACATACTGCCGATCTCGATTCTATCCGGCAACTCGACACCTCTAGCATCTTTTCACACACAAACTTTGTCCCGCAAAGAGATCGCCCCTGCAGTTCAAGGAACCGTCCTGGACTAGATCTGGAGGTCTCACTCGCAGCCCTATATGATTAACAGACGCCAATTAGACCCCACTGTTCCACGCACTTCACTGTCATTCCGGGTCTGGGGCCCGTCTGGAGGATTTAATACACAGTCCAGGTAACCTTACTATCCTTCCTATTACGGCGCACGGTACCTCCCTGGAGATGAATCTAAGCCAGTGTGGGGGGGGGTGAAGGCTGTTCTTCATAAAAGTCTCTAGTCCCCACTCGCCTAGCACTACCTCGTACCTCACCTCCTTTCTTTCAAAGGTCACTTCTGCCTCTACTACTTGATGTTTCTCTTCTTTTAGTTTCAAGATATTTCTGTCGAGATGTTGCTCACTATTAAACAGCCAGCACATCACGGTTACAAGTCTTTCCATGACTATACTCCTCCCACACCGCCGTCCACCTCTCGTTTCTCTCCTGCGGTTGCCTCGACGGGACCGTCACTCCCTCCCATACCTGCCACCAACAAATCTCTTCCTCCTCTACCGGCTGCAAAAGCGACTCCACAGCCAATGTCTACACCCCATCGTGGCTTGCCTCCAGTGGCGGCCATGACACTGCCTCAATCCACACAGCAACCACCGCCAATAGGTCAACCGCCCTTAAATCAGCCTATGGGACAGTTGCCTGCTCCACCACAGCAATGGCAAGGGGCAGAAGAATCGATGAGGAATTGGTTGCATGCCAAGGCCGAAGAAGACAAACGAAAGCAGGAGGAAGAGAAGACTCGACAAGAGTCACTTCGACTCGAGCAACGAAAGATCGAGCAAGATATGCTGAGGACGTCATTGAGCGGAGGCATCCCTCCCTACATGATTCCCATGGTTTTTGCTGGTATGGGAGGGGGCAATCTCCCAAATGCCAGCTTAGAATGGGCCCAACACTACATGGCACAAGCTCACCATCTCCAACAACAGCAGCAAATTCAGCAGCAGCAGCAGTTACTTCCCTCGCAGGGTCAAACTTCGCCCGAGCAGGTACAGAGGAGAGATTCTCGAGTCCAGCCATATGGGGGACAGCAGCATCCTGCGCCTATGACTGTTCCATCAACGCCTATCGGGACAGTGAGCTCTCAAACACAAGGAGCTGGCTTTCTACCGAGCTATCCAATGTCACCAGCATCTCGAGCACGCCAACCTGTTCCAGCACAGAGCGCAATTGCCAGGCAGCCTCAAGCGTCTCATTTACCTAGGCTGAATACGGGAGAAATGCATATCCAACCACCCCCACCAGGTCCGAGCATGCAAATACTCCCTGGCCAACCAAGCCATCCGTTGCAGCAATCACAGTCAGCACAGCAGCAGGAACCACAGTCGTCTCCATCAATTTACTTCCACCATTGGCAGCCGCCAACTACGCAAGCAGGCACTTCCGGCACCGCCAATCAGCCCTCAACTCCTTCAGGCAAGCTTTAATGGTTTACTCATATCGAAAGAGCTGCATTTTAATGTTTATCCCAGATCATACTTCATCCCCGAAGAAACGCAAGGCTACGGGACCTCAACAGGCTGCGCCGCCACCAACCTCGCAGCCTCAATATACTTCTCCCCCATTCTCGCAGACTGGTTCGTCTGTCTCGAATACACCCTCGAGCCGACGTCGCGGCCACTCGAGACAAAGAAGCGACATGTCAAGTCGGGGTGTCGACTCTTACGGACGGCCCACGAGTCGCCATCGCCATACGGAGAACACTTTCAGTGTTCAGAGTGGGGCATCACCACAAACTCAAGGTTCGGAGCAGCAAGGGCCGGCGGCAGCAGGAGAGGCACGGCGACGATCGGGGGGCTCGCATCCCGTTTCATCAATGTTGGAGCAGAGCGAGTCGCGGCCATCGTCATATTCGCAGCAAACACAAAGAGACCCTCAGTATTCGGCTGGACCGGAGATGAGGTATGAGGAACGACGTACGACGCCCGAAGAAGACAGTTCAAGACGAGCAGGTGTTGCCAAGCGAGATGATGGGCGAGATTAGAGTTGTTTCAAAGATAGTTGTCGACGATTTGATGCGCCCCTTACAAATATCCTACGCGAGATGAAATGATCGCCAGCGAACATGTTCATCAACAAAAACGAAACGAAACGGCCACGACTAAAACGAGATTCGAACTCCTTCGACAGGTTCAGCCAGCTTCGAGCAATATTTTTTCCAGCTTTTGCAATGTCATCCTGCAACTCCGCATCATGGACGGTTTAGAAGATACCCATTTTTCTGCATTATTATTGCTGGCCACTAATTTCTATTATACTTTCTACAGTTGTTTTAAAAAGAGTTGAAGGGTGTTTATACAATCTGTACATCATTCATTTTCCTGGTGGGCAAGGACCCATTGTATCATATTATCATTTGAACTAGACGCTGGGTCACCCCTCCTGATTGCGCAGATTTGTTCGGGCCGATCGTCTGCAGAGTTCTCGAAGGACGGCAGGCTGGAGGGGGATATTGACATATTGTACATATTGATATTAGTTCCTAGAAACGCGGAAGAAGGATCAGGGCTACTCTGGGATGGGTCAAAGAAGGAAGGAGCCTAAAAAATATGGATTGCATGGGAAGCAAATCAGGAGCGAGCAGTCAGTCTCAGGACAGCCTTCCTGTGGACAGTTGAAAAGGCCGCACAATTCTCGACGAGAAAAGCAATCAAAAAGACAAATTCTCGCGATACCTTCTCCATACTCTGTCGTCGGGAAATCTCCTCATTCTACACGGCGTCCGCGTTACCGGCCGCGCCTCCCTTCCGCCCCAAAATGGAGATTAGCCATGCGCCAAGAGGAGACGATCAAACGTACGCGTTCCCCTCATCCCTGCGAATGGGCCTTATGGAGAACAGAGATCAGATCCTGGGAAATAAGAGCCGCAGTATTGCGGTGATGTTATCAGCACAGACGTTTCACATCGATATGAACCTGAACCCTGCACCCCCATTGTTTACCTTGAAGCCCACGGAGCAACTTTCGAACGAGGAAATACTACTGTAGGAGGTCGGTAAGTTTGACGTGACTGTGGATCATAAGACCTCCTCTGTTAAGGCCTTGATCTACTGTAGAAGGGCGGTTGGAAGTGCTGGGATTGGTGCTTCTGATCTTCATGAAAGATAGGATGAATTGAAACTCATCTGGAAGCGAGGCTTACCGGCTGCAAAACTCGAATCTCGGGACTCGGACTCGGTGGAAAGGCTGGGAATGTGGATATGCTGAATGCAGCCCCCAGCGTCACTTGTTACGACAGCCCGCAACGTGGCATGAGGTGGAAATTCCATGTGTGGGAGTTCCGAATAATGAGTGATGAGGCTTCCTCCCGCAACTAGTTTTTGCTTCAACTGGCGCCGGCTAGGAAAGGCTCGTCGGCCCCCACAATTCTAGAATTGCAGCCTTTCACTCAACGAGACATTGAATCTCCGCCCGTCACTGACGTACTGTGCTATTCCAGGAGCGGCTCGGATAACGGTATGGTACCTTGTCCCTGTTAATCCGGGCCGCCCCAATCGGTGCTACACCACGTTTTAGGACGAGCCATTTCAAGGTAGCTAGATCCCCTCAGGCTGACAACAGCAAGAAATAGCCTCAGTAACTCGTACCGATGTATCTATCCGTGTTTCCATTGTCATTCCAACTTTGGGAATTCTAACCCGTGATGGCGGCAAGACTCAGCGCGGGTTACCGCAGTGGAAAGTAGTCGAGATAGGGAGTAATAACGAGGCTGCAGACGCCACATCTTCAAATCCCAGCCACAAAAACCAAGATGACAACTCCTTCCGAGGATGGATCACATGTTGGTGCTTCATTGACGGGAAGGCAAGGTCAGCTGCGGGAAATTAACATGCAAGCCGATATAGGAATTGCTCATCTTCTCGGTTACGGGATTTAGATTGGTGGGGCAGGGGCGTCGTAGTCCCGATTCGTCGACTTTGCGTTTCAGATAGAATCCTGGTTTGTCTGATTTGTCTCCTTTGGTGTTCCTCTGTTGACATGCTGTGCTCGCTGCAGTCTAGTGTGCAATATGCAACTTGTGCAGCGCATGCAGGTACACCGCCTCGTGATGAGTTAGTCATACATAATTCTTCCAAATGCAGGCTGCTTATCGTTGTGCAACTTTGAGCAGTAGTGCAGCTTGTTTAATATTGCGCCGTGGTGACTGAGCGGGTGTGATGTAATGTGCATAGATACATTGCCGAAGTGTAGAAATGTATTGGATGTAAAGTATACCCATATTAGAAGAAATTCGATGGTGGACGGTTTCGGGGTCCAGGACTTTTTGATAGTAATAGCTCAATTAACTGAGCTGGATCTTCCTGCGCGTGGAAAGATGCGTCTAGAGAGTGTGGGACGAAAGGGGTTCGCATTCTGGAACATGACCATGCTATGTCGAATTTGGGAAGTTTATTTTTGGATGAAGGCGAGGATAAATTGAACCTGGGTCGATTTCTGGGAAGTATAGTTTGGCCGCGATAAGCTTGGAAGGGGTCGAAAGGCGGTCAGTCTTGAGCACGCTCTGATGGAGAAGTTCGTGGGAACGAAGTCAGTATGGCCAGAGAGATCTGGAATTCCAATGCACCATTAGGAAAATGCCAGACGAAAGCAAAACAAGGAACCGTACTGGGGACCACCCACTCTGGAAGAATTCTCACCATGCTGAAACAACTCAGGAACAGAAGTGGGCGGTCAACAAGTTTGTACATGATGCTCGAGAATTACTCGTCCTGAGTGTCAGGGAAATCGAGGACCGAGTAACATTGACCCGCTCAATAAGTCAATATTGAAGACCTATTTCTACCTCCATACACGACTCGGTGTCAAGCAAGAGGCATACGATTCGTAAACAAACATCAACGATGTCCATATGATATGCTTCATACGAACAAAAAGGTTTGGGCGGCCGACAAAGAAGATCCTCCAGACCTCGCTGTTCATGCTAGCGGAGAACTCCTGTTCTGAAACCTACACCCTGGCGAAATGCCCCTGAGAATAATTCAGTACTAACATTTGCCACATCAGTGGGGAAAGAATGGTCACGCGCTTATGCATTAGGCAGACTTACACTGCGTCCGCAGCTTCCTGTTTTGTCTGAACCTTGAAAACTGGATGAACCGCTCTTTCCTTGGAAACACAGAGACACCTGGGGAAGTTCGTCACACGTTCCTCAAAAATCCATGCAAGTTACTGCAGCCCTTCTTCCATGGCACATGTGCGATTGAAATCAGGTACCGAGGGGTTGTGCATCCTGCCCCTCGGGTTCGGTGGTCAGACTGAGGGGTTGTCACAAGACTTAGACATGCTGAACTCAAATACTGAACGAACCGCCCCGAAGGCTGAATGGGACTCGGCTCCGTCACCAGAGGGAGGAAGACTGGTTGTAAGCGAATCACAATTCTGATTCGGGCGAGGGAGGAGCCGAATAGGAAGTGAAAATCGAGGTGGCCAAATGCGTCCTAACGTGAGCCCCAAGAATAGAACAAACCAACAAGTTACATCCATTGATTGAGATTGGTGATGTGGAAACTTTCCCAACATTTCCAACGATGAACTGTTAGAGTTGGCAGGTGAGTGAGGTCGATGGAGGCGGACTTTTAGATCTTGGCCCAAATAATTTATAGTCAAGAAGCTGGGTCAGGAAAGGCTCAAATCCCAACTCTCCATTTGACATCTCCGTTTCCGCTACTTCTATATGACTGCGGAGGGAGATGGCGCTGAAAACAAACAGGCAGGTGGGCATTTGTACAAAAAGTCGATTGGAATGGCCCACTCCCGGGCTATGCGGAACAATTCGATATCAGTAGCTGCCTACAGGCTCCACAACCGAAAGATACATTGACTGAATTAGGAAGCAAAGGCTAGGGCGAGATGATACTTCACTAGTGTTCAAGGGGCTTAGACAAGGTGGATATTTTTTCATCTCATGTAGAAATCCACCCAGGCAACTTTGCTGCAGAATGTTAATGTCCCAAATGCTCCTGGAACATTGAGTGAGAGGTGCAACAAAGATTTGGGGGTCAGATTTACTCTGGAAATTATCTCCGAGGTTTGTATCTGCGTTCTTGTCAGTGATGGATGTATTGAATGAGAATTGAGTGAGTTGAAAGGTGAGAAAGGGGAGAAAGTAAAGCTGCAAAGACGATCCGGAAAGGAAATCGCAGAACAACACAACATATTTTTTGATATTTTGCCTAGTGAAGCGAGGGTCGGCTTAGAGTGTCAGTTTTTGCCTGTCTCTTCTGGTTCTCTCAGGACCGCTTCAAGAGTCATCCAGCTCCAGCACTCCAGAAACCAGGTCCGATGTGATCCGTGAACTAAACAGTATGTGAGCCTGCGGATCAGCACATTTATAAAGGTTAGACACGACTTTGGCCTTGATAATAATGCATTGCTATTCGCACGCAAGCCATAAATGCGCCATTTCTTGCTCAAGTTCATGATTGATCCTTAGCAAACTCGCTGCCGTTGAACTTTCAAGGGTTAACCTTTGAACAGTGTATCTTCAGCAAATGTGACTGTATAAGATTAGCAATAGCACCATCATTTTGGACGAAGGAAAGTCGATCTTGGACGGAAAAGCACCAATATAGAATTAATGGAATGGCATGGTCACGTGATTCGATCCTGGCTTTCTGCTGGGCATCTCAAGTCTCCGAAAGGTTGTTGTCCCAAACCTCAGAGGAGCACCAGCGAAGGATTTGACAGCAAGAGCCACTTGGCTTGAGACGGGCTTATAAAAGAGGATACAGTCTGCACGGCGTAGCATATAGGCTTTTCGCTTCCTGAGCTGGTCAAGACCGTTCCCAAGATTTACTGACTCCATTCTTTGGGTCTTGTGAAACCGTCGGGATATATACCATGAGCGCGTCCATCGCACAACCGCTATCGCTATGATGATGTGATTTGTGAGAAGTCTGTAAGGAGATGGCTCAAAAGGACGCTGCAATTTCAATCCGTTGCAGGTGGTTAGCTCCTACGGTATTGGTTCGCTTATATAATGATCAGCCCCTATCCCGTTTCGAGGCCATATGTCAGCCGCCAAGATAAGCGCGTTAGATCTCAGAGCAGAGTAACCATATTCAACGAATGAGCATGGATTTGCCATTCAGCTCTACCAGTTCTCTGGGGCGAACAAAAAGTCGAGATTGATCACGGGAACCGAAGAATATTGACGGAGTATGGATTAGAAGCTGGGCAGCTTATTGGAGTAAGCCAATACCCCTGCTTTAGCTCCTGTAGGCCTACGGGATTTTCTAGCTCTTCAGTCGGGTTTCTGAAAGCAACTCTTTTACACATCTTATAACCAATATCCATCCCCGCCAGGAATTCTCCAGACTGCCTTGTCCACGACTCGACTATTGAACAACCTCTCCCCCACTTTCAATCTCTTGTCACCAAAGCAAACCAACATAATATTGCTACCAACATCACAAATTTTGGATTCAACCTTGTGAAATGGCGCCTTCAACCGCCATGAGCTACGAATCTGTGGATGTGGTCGTTGTCGGGGCCGGATTGAGTGGGTTGCAAGCGGCTCTTGACGTTCAAAAATCTGGCCTTAGCTGTGTCATACTCGAAGCAAGAGATCGAGTGGGCGGCAAAACCCTCTCTCAGCCTTTAGCCAGTGGGAACGGGGTAGTTGATTTGGGTGCGGCATGGCTCAACGAGGCCACACAGCCAAAAATCTATGCATTGGCGAAAAAATATGGCTACGAAACTGTGGTACAGCCTTTCAAAGGGGACGAAATTGTGGAGGATACAAGCGGGACTATTCACAGGGTCGCCCAGGATCACTTACCTGATGTAAGTTCGTTTTCTGGTACGTTCTCGAAACACTGGACTGACTCCGTATGCCAGCTGCCGGCTGCGACTTTACGAGCTATAGGAATGATTACCAGCATTCTGGAGACAGAAGCTGCCAAATTAGACCTCCGCAACCTTCCAATCTCTGAATTTGACAAGCTCACAGTCAGCGAGTTCCTCAAGAAGGAAGGAGCTAATGAAGATACATACAAGTTCTTTGAAACAACCGTAAAGGGTTTGTTGGGCGTCGATGCCACCGAACTGAGTCTTTTTTTTTACTTGGATTATATCAAGAGCGGGGGAAGTCTTGAAGAGCTTATGTCAGAGAAAAGTGACGGTGCACAATATCAGCGACTTCGTCAAGGCAAGAATCCAATAATGGTCATCCAGTCAGTTAATTCTAATTATCTTCAAAGGAATGCAATCAATCTCCAAAGGGATGGCAGGCGATCTTCAACCGGGATCACTATTCCTAAACAGTCCAGTCTCCCACAACCACCAAGAGAAGAACCCTTCAGCCTGCGTAGTCACGACTCAGAGAGGGAAACAGTTCCGAGCCAAAAAGGTCGTCATTTCGATCCCAACACCGCTCTACAGGACCATCAAATTCTCGCCGGCACTGCCGAAAGCCAAAATGACGTTGGCCGACTCAACCACACTTGGATACTATGCTAAGACCATTCTCATCTATGACAAGCCATGGTGGAGTGAGCTTGGCCTCAGAGGTTCCTTTATCTCATTGATGGGCGCCGTATCCTTTTCATACGATACCTCCGTGGAAGCCGACGCCCAGTATTCCATTACTTGTTTCATTGTAGGCGGTACGGGACGCAAATGGTCTATCCTATCCCCAAGTAAAAGACGCCAGACTGTCTTGGACTAAATCGCAGCAATGGTTGGAGATGAGCATGGACATCGAGTGTATCAGACGGAGGAAATTATCGAGGATGAATGGATCAAAGAGCACTGGAGTCAGGGTGCCCCCAGTCCAGTCATGGGGCCGAACTTGCTGAACAAGTATGCTGACGTGCTGCGAGCTCCCTGTGGCAATCTACATTTTGTGGGAACGGAGACTGCATATGAGTGGAAGGGGTATATGGATGGTGCCGTGAGTGCTGGTGAACGAGGCGCAGGGGAAGTGATCCAGGCTTTAATCAAGTCTGCTGCCGGCCAATCGTGAAGTCGGGCACCAAGAGATACAAGAGGAAAGAGACTAGACAAAAGAACATCGAAAGCACAGTAATGGGCCAACCAAATGTTGGGGAGAATCCCTTCCTATTTCTGACTGTTCCTTATTGACAAGAAATACACACTCGAGTTACATAGGTTCCCAAAAACCTTCGGTCTTCAGGACTTCAGTTCGTGGTCGTGATCACACCTCGACAAGAAAGCCTTTGAGCGCCGTACATGCGTGTTAAGTTGATTTGGGACCTCCGTTCTACAAAGACAATGACAGTGGCTTTCGAGTAGATTGATTTACTCACAAGAGAGATGGTTGCACATGATATTGTTCATAGCTTCTCTGGGGAATATTTGGACGATTTGAAAACACCGGTGTTCAGTCTTCGTGCCGTACATAAATTCACACGGCGTTTCGGCGTTCAAATCAACATACGCAATACTGGGTGCCTTCATATGATTCCCAGCGACGTATATAACTTCCCACCTCTTCCTTCTAGAAACTTATTGCAAGGACCAGATGACTTCCTTTGTAGCATCAATTCATCCAAACATCTCACCACCATGCGAGTCCTCCTCCTTGGAGCGACCGGGAACCTGGGCAGCCGCTGTCTCCCCGCTCTGGTTGCCCACAAGCACGTCGTCACAGTCTTCGTTCGCAATAGCTCCAAACTTCGAGCCATGATGTCCCCCGCACTGCTCGCGGAAGCTAACGCAATTGTAGAGGGGGACGCGACGGACTCTACAGCTCTGGAGAAGGCCATTCTCGACCACGACATCGAAGGCATCATCGACGTAGCCGGAAACATAGTACCACCCTGGAAGGAGTTCCTGCTTCCCAAAATTGCCAGTGCTGTGAGGGACGCAGCTGTTGCAGTTGGGAAGCAGAGAGGGAAGCCGTTGAGAGCATGGATCACATCCCATCTGGGGATTCTGGAGTATCCAGGGACCAGTTATCTCATCCAAGACTTGTATGACATACACTTCCTACTCTGAGAAATTCAATTTGCTGATACATTTTTCACAGCGTGCCAAACTTTGCTAGTTCTCAACACCAGGCAACACGTGATGTTGTTGAAGCAATTCCAACGCATGATTTGAAATGGTCGTTAGTTGCCGTCACGAGGATGGTACCGTTGGATCTTAAGCAAGGTCTCTTTGAGCCACTCAATGCATCACAATCTCATGACCTTCTTGTGGGAGCGACTGCTCCTCCAGCCTGGGAGAGCACATGGTTGGGGAGTGTTCCATTGATTGGACCTCCTCTAAATGCAATCTATGTCTGCCTTGTGTTGTATCCGACGAAATATGAAGCCGTTGCTGATTTTCTGGCTGAAGATTTGGAGAAGGAAAATTCGGAGTGGGTTGGCAAGAAGGTTGGCATGAAGGAGAAGAGCAGAAAAGACATTTGAGGAGTGGCTTGCGCAGAAGGAGTTCGGGTTAATTTTTATTTCTACAACAGTAGTAGGTGACGGAGTAGGACGCAATTGTTCGATACGGCGTGTTCGGGGGAACTGGGGACATTGCCTCATGGGAATCATGGCCCTTGCTGTGACTACTTTATGAACTCTTGCTCAAAGCCTCTCTCTGTCTCGCATACATCGCAGCTTCGAAGGCGGTCGCCAACTCGACGCCCTTTAGATCTACCAAAGGAAGGAGATTACTCCCGTAAAAACCACTGCCAAACAAGTCAGCTCTAGAAACTTAAGACAAGAGAGCAGAAGAATATGAGTGCATAAAATGAGCCAGGCTCCCATCTCCTTGTTAGCCCACTATATCGTATTCGTGAGCCTCCCACAAATCTTTGTCCCAGCTCTCTGTCTCCCCTCAACAGCCTTAAGATTCGGCATCCCACTGAGGCTGAAGCCGATCTCCCTCTAACTTAGCGCAAAGCTAACAAGACCCTCCTTAGCTCTACACTCATACAACGTAACCACATGCTTCTGCCCTTCAGGCTTGAGTTGCGGGCAGAACAGCTCATCGCGCATCTTCTCATTCAGCAGCTTCTCATCACCAGCGACAATGCTATGCAGTACCTTGTGGAAGTCGACTGCGCTTCCGAAGCCACCTGTTCCGCCTTCATTGTCTACCTGGATGGCGTCCATGTCGAAATGGGGGTTTGCGCCCCACTCTAGTTTCCGCGAGGGCCCGTGACGGTTAGGAGTAAGGGGTGGGAACCGCCTTGTCGGATGTTCAGTTCGGGCATGCGGGCTTTCATGTCAGCCCGTTGTTTAAGGTGGAATGTCACGTTGGCGATACCGAGTGGGTCCCGGATGTGCTTTTTCATATACTGCGAAAGGGTCATTCCGTTGACTCTTGCGATCAACATACCCGTACCTCTGGGCCAGCTAGACCATGCCATTTGTGAGACTCCCAGTCAGGATCCGAGACTGGCTTATGGGAATAGTTACATTGTTCGCTAGGCTCGCTAGAGCTTCCATGTTGGATGAAAGGACTGGCTTTTATTCACCGTCTGAGTCCACGCTGGTGGGGGTGTAAGCTGGCTTGAGAGCTGCTTACCTCCTGAATTGCCATGATCCTGGTAAATCCCTCTTCTTGGAACCACCTTCCAATCCGGTAATAAGGGGAGATATCAAGGTTATACATCTGTTCTTTACCTTGGCTTTAGAACTTCACGTAAAGCGTACGTGCTGTAGCTCATACAATTCATTCATCTCACGTCCTCTCTATATCCACATCACCTGGTATCAACACTTCCAGCCAACGTAAAGCACGCCCCAATATATGAAGAACAGTCAATGAATGCATCAATATGCACAAGGAAAATATCAACACACCAACGCCCACGCTGATGAAGGAAACGGTTTCGTGTATGTTCGTCCATCCTTCCGTCCTTGTATACACATGTTCTCCAGAGAGACCGGTCCGTCTCTTTCGCATCAACTATGCATCTCATCTAAACTCCAACTCTCGTATTATCATATGCAAATATCCGAACGCTCGCTGCGATAAATTCATGTGTTTTTGTGCTTCGGCACCGTCGAAGGCTATTATTTATGTACGTCACCCCCTAAGCCCTTAAGCACATCCTTTGCGCTCTCTTCAGCCTCCGTCATTGACAAAGGCTCATTTTCCGACCTCGTCTGCTTTGTCCAAAAATTCGCAGTGACACTTTTCGGAGACTGTTCTTCGTCATGCCGTGGCATCCTGCCGATATTAGTCTTGAAATTGGCATCCGTACTGAATCCATAGTCTTGTTTATGATCTGTTGTCTGTGCCGGCTGGGAAAGAGGAGAAGGGCTCGTAGCACTGCTAACGCTCTCTCTCGGAGTTGTGGGCGTTGCCGTTCCGGACGAGCCGCTCCGGACGGACGGACTGGTAGAGCCGTTCATTTCCTGCAGGACCTTGTCTGCTACACATTTCGCTTCTGCTTGAAGATTCGGGGTCGGGAATGGCTAAGAAGGATTAGCTGCTGAGAGGTGGAGATGAAAGAAGGGTACGAACCTGTTGAATATACTGATCTAATTTCTTCTTCAGCACATTCGAGCGAACTGGCTTCGCAAGGTAATCGTTCATCCCTGACTCCAAGCATTTTTCTCGATCTCCTTGAATAGCAGATGCAGTCATAGCAATGACTAGTGTTCCTCGAACAGCGTCTATCGGATCTCTTCGAAGCAGTTTGGTGGCTTCGTATCCATCCAGGATAGGCATTTGAACATCCATGAGTACGATGTGATACGGTTGACCAGCTTTAGCCTTCTCCCGCAGACCCTCGACGGCTTGCTGGCCGTTCTCATAAGCATCCACATATTTGAACCCAAGCTTCTTCATAAATTGTACAGCGATCTTCTGGTTCACAGGATTATCTTCTGCTATGCAAATACGCAACTGGTCCCTGGGGATATGAGAGAAGTCAGAATATGGAGTATTCGACCGCGCACGCTCAGTCCTGGCATGCTTCACGATTGAATCTTGTTGGTCGACGCCATTCTGAATATCTCCCGCAATTGCTTCTTTGGCTTTGGGAAAGGTGACGGTGAACCAAGCGGTTGTGCCCTCTCCTTCAACACTTTCGAGTTGAATTTTGCCACCCATCATCGACTCGATAAGTGATTTGCAGATGCTGAGGCCGAGACCACTTCCACCATATTTTCGTGCTGTGCTGGCATCTGCCTGGCTGAACGGCTTGAATAATTTCACCAATTGCTGAGGCGGAATACCAATGCCAGTATCCTTGACCCAAAACGTCAGTTTGACTTGTTCACTTGTCTCCCAGTCGGTCCTAGCACCAATGGTGATGGATCCGTTCTCTGTGAATTTAAGACTGTTCGAGACTAGATTGCCCAAGACTTGATGCAACCGCACTGGATCGCCAAAGATGAGGGATTGAGGAAGATTGATGTCTTGTAAGATCTCGACGTTCCTGACATTCTTCTTGTCCCTGTTGCTGTACGAAACAGATCGGACAACCTCCCGCATCATCTCATCCGCTTTGAATGCGACAATGAACAATTCCATCTTGTCGGCTTCCATTTTGGAGAAGTCCAGAATGTCATTAATGACGGTGAGAAGCAGGTCGGCAGAGACACGAATCGAGTCAGCCATCTCAGCTTGATCTTTTGTTAGCTCACTGTCCCTCAACAGCTCAGAATTTCCGATTACTCCATTAAGTGGTGTTCTGAGCTCATGTGAAACATTAGCTAAGAAAATCGACTTTGCTTTGGCAGCTTCCTCGGCGAGCTTGACATTCCGTAGTGCTTCAGCCTTTGCCAGATTGGCTTGTTTCTCGGCGTTCAGAGCCTTTGCAAGCGCCTTCTTTTGAACATCCACCATTGAGTTGTTGAAAGCGGAAACCTTTTCGACTTCCTTTAGCGTCAAGGCATTCGAGTAACTGATACCGATCTGATTAACAAGCAATTGCAAGACGGTGAGGTTTCGATCAGTGAAGGCGTTCGGTTCTCCTTCCAGATATAGAACCCCCAGAAGCGGCTTCACACCGTGGCAAATCGGGATCGCAATAACAGACTTTCCGACGGGATTTCGAGCTGCCCAAGCCTCACTAACATTGCTAAATCGCTCATCGTGGATCAAGTCGGGAAGAAATACCGTCTCTCTGAAGCGAGTGCAGTAAAGGATAACACCTTCAGCCACGAGAGCTGTCTCATTCAGAGGAATTCCTGGGATATGTGCCACCGCTCCTTTCTCAGAATCGCCGCTCGCTGCAATGCTCCAACTGACTGGATCATCTTCTTCGACGACGATAGCGGCTGAAGTTGCCAGGCCACCACAATTCTGAAGAATAATCTCGCACATCGTCTTGAGGAGTTGGTCCACTTGCAATACGCTCGAGATGACCTGCGAGCTCTCTAAGATTGACGTCAAATCCAGCATATCGAGAGCGGGTAAGCCCGAGCCAACATCAGGTCGAGCTGAAGCCCCTTGCCATTGTCCAATGCGATCGCCACGCGTTTCCGTTATAGTAGCTCGAGTCTGTGGGCGTTCTTCGTCCTCGTTACCTTCTAGCGTGGTGTATTGCACGGGAGCCGAATCGCCTGCAAAGTCTGTTTGAGCAAAAGCATCGGCTGTTCGCTCGTTTTTTGTCGGTCCTTGCAATAGAAGACTGTGTTCCTGTTCGATATATTCAGCAACACCTGGAATCTCTGGTCAGTATTACTCCATTAGGAAGTTGCAATGTTGCAAAACTCGGGGAGCATATAGGAGCACAAACAAACTCGAGAATATACATACCGGTAGCACCGAGATTTCGGTAAAGGGATAGAGCTTCTCGCAGTGACCCCTTAGCTGCTCGCCTCGAGCCGGTCCGCAAGAAGAATCCAGCCAGGAGATAATTTCCGAGCGCCTCTTCGAACACGAAATCATGAGCCGCAGCATGATCCAAACTCTTCTCGTAGGAAGCCATCGCCCCACCATGATCAGCCTCCATCTCAGAGATCTGGGCAGCGAGCAACTCCGACCAACAAAGATAATTGATATCGCTAACAGCTTGCCAGTCAACGATCTTTTTCCGCAGTTCTTTCATCTGAGATGTAACTTGTGCAACGTCGTTGAGAAGCTCGTTTTCCGATGGGCCAAATCTGACATTCGAATGGCGGTTGTCATTTTCGGGTTGGGCTCGTCTCAGTGGATTTTGGAGTTTATCCCACATCAAGCCAGCCAGAGACAAGCCGTGCATGAACATGGTAAATCGGGTATTGCGAGCCGACCAAATGTTATCGATGTTCTCAAGACAAGTCGATCCGATCTCGATAGCTCTCTGGTAATGGCCGTATAAGAATAAGGGAGCAATCTCAATCCCCTCATAAAACAAGAGCGGTCGATCGCTGTTCCTTAAGGAGCTCCTCAGCCAAGCTTTGTACACCTCAGAATTGTGTGAATCGTCACTCATGATCCCCAAAGGATCTCTTGTAAAGGTCTTGCCTTGTAGCGCACGACACACTTGGCGGACAGCGATGCCCATGGTCCCACCACGCGTATCAAGCTGCCAATCTTGAATTTCCTCGATTCCAAAATGAAGAAAAGATTCCAGTTCATTGAGGTTTTCGCTGGCAAAGAATTTGAGATTCCCTAACAAGCCAAAGGTCAATATTGTTGTGATTCTGTTCCCAGTCTGAATGGCATATTCGACGGCTCCTTCCAATTGTGCTACCGACTCTTGCAGGTTGTTCGAAAGATGTCCAATGAAGAGGGAATATGTCGTGCTGCCACGGCCCATTGTATACGGATCCCTCCACCTCGCCATGATTGCCAGTGACAGATTCCCCATTTCAGTAGCGAATTTGATCATGGTAAATCTGGTAATGGCGATCAATGCGAGGTGGAGGTACGCCATTCCGGACTGAGGGAAGTTGCCGCAAGTAAGCTGGGTATTGACCATGACCAATGACATTTGATAGAAGGTCAGCCTGTCCGTCCAGAATGCCGCGCTTATAGTCTCAACTAAAACTGCTCCCACTGCTGCAAGATTAGAGTCTTTTGCCATGGTTCTTTTGATGAGATCATTCCGGTCGATGGACTGAATTTTGATGATCAGGCGTTCGAACTCAGCGTCACATTTCTCAAAGCTAGGCTCGTCCTCCACATCCACACCCAGTCCTGCCAGACACTGCTTTAAGGCTTTGAATGCAGATTGAGAATCGCCCTCTTGTGCGTAGATTCTGGACTGCAAGACCCAAGCAGGAGCCTTTTCGACAGCTGTTCTGGCATTGGAGAAGACGGATGATAGAAGTCGCTTAGCTTCCGAATATGATCCCATGTACAGGTAGCACTCGGCCGCTCTGGTATAGAACTGTAGAGTCTCGTCGTAATACACGTCAATTTCGCCATCTTTCCAGGGATTGTCTTGCAGCAGCGCGAAACAACTTGTGTAATATCTTGCAGCCGTCGACCTCGCTCCACTCTCCGTGGCGGACGTCGCGCAATCGAAAAGCAATTTCCTAAATGACTGCCTATGCTTAACACGCTCTCTGATGATCTCTACACATTCGGAGATATGCACTGCAGTGGTTGATCGACTCCGTTCTTCGGAAATATAATATTTCATGAGTGTTTGGGCGATGATGAAATGCATCTTCGGTCCATTGCACTCGCGAAGAGAGGAAGCGGCTTGCATGTACCGATCATGGGCGAATCTAAATCGATCGTCGTCTTCCGTGGCCACAATAACGTATGCTTGGATGGCAGCTTGAAGACCCTCTACGATATCTTGTTGTGAATGGGACAGCGAGTACGGCTGGCTGAGCTCCTTATGAGGAGTAGAATCGTCGTAATCGAATTCTCCACTTAGAAGTCTCTGCACCAACTCGAAACTGAAACTCGAGCCAATTAGAGAAGCCCAAGCAAGAATTGATCGTGAAGGAGCTGGCAGTTCGTTCAAGCGGCTCGTGACGAACTCATGGTTCAGTATATCCGTATAGCTGGATGTTTCGAAGCGTTTGAAGACCTTGTCGAGGTCATAACACCAGCGGCTCTCTCTGTAATCGTAATATATGCACTGCTTTCGATGGCAAGTATCTAACATCTCTCTCATATAGAATGGGTTGCCAGCACTTTTTGAATGGATGACAGCGGCCAGGGGGATTACCTCCGGCTTTGGCCGCGAGAGGGTTGCCGCGACGTAATCGATCATGTCCTCTTCTGTCAGAGGTTTTAGTGTGACGCGAGTGATACCCACGCCTGCGGATTTGATATACTCTGCCTAAAATTAGCATGGCCAGGCACCAAGGAATTAGGGGGGCGCAAACTGATACCCTCTGTCTGGGGCGGGTCAATGATGCCTCTTATCCGCTCTGGAAGCACCTCATCCGGCCTGTAAGTCACTATTATAATCATCTTCAGGTACCGGAAGAGTTAGCCATTGCTCGACAAAGGTTGTTCCCGAGCATTGGGACAATGCCTCCCGCGATCATTAAGACTCCTTCAAATGGGAAAGGGATTTCCGCCCACTACATACCTTCATTCTAGCAGCCACGATCTGGGTGATCAAATCTAATGACTCGTCATCCGCAAATTGCAAATCGTCCAAGCAAAAGCAGATGAATTTATGCTGTGTGAAGACACGCAGAACGTCCAAGAAGGTGTTCATCAATCGCATCGATTTTGTGGCAGTTCCAGCACGGAGGAAATCTTGAGAACTTTGAGCACCGAGAGATAGACTGTACAGGCTGTTATGTGAGCTCGAAGGGGATGAGTCTCGTTTCTTGGTTTCTGCCCGCAGGCTTTTGTTGTAGACCTGAGATAACGAGCTGGAGTGACCCAGCTTTTGAGAAGTGCTCATTGCACCTAGTAAAAATTCTGGAAGGCCTAAAACTCTGTGGAGAAGTGGCCAAGCGGGCCGAACAAATTGCTTGAGCATGTGGTGGAATGCTGTGTTGGTGTTACTTTCGGAGAAAACTTGCTTAAAGAGACTCGAGAGGAGTTTGAGGACCGGACCAAATGGAGTCTTCTTTGCCTGATCAAATTTGGAGGATGCGAAATATCCTCTGCGGCGGGCTTCAACTTGAACCGATTGAACAAGGCAACTCTTCCCTAAGCCTGCAGTACCTGAGATACTGACCACCTCGCATCGACCTTTCCTTTTAAACTTCTGACTATTTCGATGGCTTGTCAGGCTTCCCACCCCTTCAGAGCTTGGCGACTTCTGTGCTGTGTCTGAATTTATGCCGGAATTCAGGCTGTCTGTTACACTTTTCGAATCTAGGGATAGCGAATTGTTCTTCTCCCAAGGTTTCAACACACTGTTGTGGCGAGAAAGCCCATCTTGGCTATCCATAGAATTGTGTTGTGAATTCGGTCCTGAACGCATTTGACTTGAGCCACTTTTGTAAGAATTCTTGGGCTCTACAGACAAGCCTCCACTCATAGAATTTGATCGCCCGTCAGCGGAACTGGTGTTATCTCCTTCGCTTGAATTATCTCCTCCAATCGCCTGCTCCAAAAGTTCCAGAGATATGCTCGATCCAGAAGAAATGCTCCCTATATCTTGCTTCTGGCCGATGATATGCCGTTTCGCGACCTTGTCGATGATTTTGACAACCTCGTCGTGCTCCTTGGACCTGCCCATCATCACATTTGGTAGGATAAAAAATGAGGAAACATCCTTGGTGGCAATCTGCCAATGCTTCAGAGTTGCTGAATCTCCAACGCCCAGAAGCCTCCTAACCTCTGTCAGGTCATACCGGAGCCCACTCGCAGAATGGTATCGATCACCAATGATCTTCGCTGTCATTTTCTGAATAATTCTTCCTATGACATCAGGAATGTCCATTCTCATGCTCGACACTGACGGCAGCCGTTTGCCCAACACTGCCTGAATAATATCCATTGGTGTTTCGCCATCGAAAGCAGGCTGCTGGGTTAGCATGACCCAGAAGAGAATCCCCAGAGAGTAGATATCTGTCCGACTATCAGGCTCCGCAGGCATACGACCTGTTTGTTCTGGGCTCATGTATGAGAGCTTGGTCTTGGCACCGATTTCTTTAGAAAGTGTAGACCATCCAGTGGAAGTCAGGCCATGTTCGAAAGTTCGTAATCCAGAGCCAAAGTTGATCAATCTAACGCCACCAGTCTCTGCATTCATGTGGAAAGCATCCCCTCTGATCTCGCCATGCACGATCCTTTGGCCATGATGGAGGATTTCGAGGCATTCGGAGGCACCGATGGCGAAGTCAAGAAAAGTCTGTAGAGGAACCTGTTCTTTGGGGACGAACTCCTCCCGGAAAGCCTCGAATTCATCATTCTTGTCCCCCGCCTTCCTGCCTTTATACCAAGCTGGTCCGTAGTCGATAACCCTCGGGAGGTAGTTGGGGCCCGGATGGGCGAAAATGCAGACGACAATTGGGCCCTTATCCCCTTGCTGACTTGGTAAGCGCGTGAGATCTATCGGCCTGATGATATGGTTTCCCTCCGGATCGACTTTCTTGATCAAATTTTTGCAGATGTGGTATGCCCGTTCTTCCCGCAGAGCATGTGCGGATACCCGCGCAACAACGTTGATCGCCCTCGGCTCGATAACCTCTTCTTGGGAATCGTGAGACCCGCTGGCTTCACTTCCGCTCTCACTGACTGCTTTTCGATATCCGATGTGGTTTTGACCCTCGGGGCGTGGGCTGTTGCGTTCCGAATCGGTTCTTGAGAGATTCCCATTACTCGAATTATGCACAACGTCTTTCGTCCCATACACTTGCCTATTATCTCTCAGCAACGTAAGAATCAGAGGAGATGGAAGGGAGAGCTTGCCAGTTGTCGTAAGAAGAGTGAAAGGGAGGTTCCGACTCGTCAAAGGTGTAGCCAGCTATGTGTCGCAATCTCTCGTAGAGCCGTGGCGGAGGATCCAACATCTCATCCCCCAGCGCGACCGTACCGCCATCCATACCTGCTGCTTCTGTCGGGATCTCAAGTCATCTCTTTCGTCTCATTCTTCTCTTTGAGTCACATCAAGGGTTCATACGGCTGTCGACACGCCTAATATGTGCTTTAGGTGGATACAGTGCTCTCCGCGCTGGCGAGCAAAAGGGAGTTCTCACCCATGCAACGGATGATTGGTTGTACCCGCAATCGACGATTTCAAGGCGGTCCTTGGCGCGCTCTCTACGTCATTTTGTTTAGACAGGGGTAGAAGGAACGCTCCGGTGAAGAAAAACCAAAACGGCCTAGAAAGCACACATTCTGGGGCACTTCAGAGGATGAAGATACAAATACAGAGCGACTTTGATTCGATACCCAGGAAAGTCGTCACTTCTGTGCCTGCACACTGTTGCTATATTTATTTGAGAGAACATGGCTCGGGTGGGAAAGTTGGCAATGACGAAATGGTGTCGCACTTCGGGCAGCCGCCACAAAACGTGGGCCGATCAAATTTTCAAAATTCTGCGTATAAAAAAAGAAATACTGCACCGGTCTACAACGGCGATTCGTGCGACTTGACAGATGGAAAGCAAACATTAATGTGGCAAAAGTTTGTCCACTGTCTTCCAAGGTTCGCAATTCTTGACAGCTGGTAAGCCAATCTGGGGGAAAGAACGCATTCTATTTTCTATGCGCAGGTAAATAACGGTCAGCAGTCCTTCAAGTCCGCCTTTTGGTGTTCGCCATGCAGTGTTCAGCTATGAAAAGCTCACAAATGGATATATCCTAGCAAAACACCAGCAAGTTCCCAGACTCTCTTCAGGTTCGACAGATGCTCAAGATTCCCCTTATACGCGCTGAAATTGCGACAACAATCACACTTTTGCTCCAAGCAAAAAATGCGCATGCAAATCTAATACTCTAGAAAACAACCACCTTCCAACTTGGAAATCGAAGTCGAAGCACTCTCTACTTGACACTCTTGGACGACTTTCTATTGTGGGAGCTGGAATGAGCCTTGGACGATGCTCTCTCCCGAGTAGGCAGAGTGCCGTTGGTTCCGTTGGTGAGTCCCGCCTTATTTGCCTCGATGTCAACAATCTTGGCATCACCAGCGGCATCAGCCTTGTCGGTGGCTTTGTTGCGGAAGACATGGTTTCCCTCGATAAGTCGTCGCTCCTCATTCTTGCGGCCGTTGACGAAGTCGGGATAGTTGAGAGTAAGCTCAACCGCACCGTTCACAATGTAATCCGCGGCCTCAACGCCAAGCATGAATGAACTATCACCTTATTAGCACTGTGATCTGAGAATTTGTTACGAGAGCCAAGAGCGAGAAAAAGTCATACTGATCCTGATTGCCTTTTGCTGGTGTTAGCATTGCTCAGGCTGGAAATGTAGGGGGGGGGGGGGAAAACTTGCCGACTTCATATCTCCAGCTTCCGAATCGTCCACGAGAGTAAATGTCCATAGTTTGGAGTTTGGGGAGGAGCTCCTTGAGAACACCTTCACGCTCGAGGGAGGGAGTTGGGTACCCGTGATCTAATCGTCGAATTAGTTTGGCAATTTCGTGATCTAGAAGAGCTATCTCATGAACTGGGGAGCCAAGCTCCAAGGACAAAGACGCATGCAAGCTCCCGTGAAGCCCCCGAGCTCTCAAACAAAAGAACAGCACTTTGGTATGGAAATAAGCTTACCGAAGCGACGGTGATAGGTAGAGACGATCTCATCCTCAGGCTTGATCATCTCAGTGTTGATGAGACCTTGAATGCAATCCTTGAGGAGGTTGGCATGGTCCACAGGCTTCATTGAAGACTCAGAAACTTCCAACATGATGGACCAGTACGGGCCTTCCCTTGGCTCACTAGACTTGGCCTTGCTGCCATCTGCATGATATTGAGTTGCGAGCTTGACAGACTTCTCTGGCTGGTTGTATGGAGAGTAATTGGAGAAGATGGTCGCACGGTAAAAGGGGCAGTCATCTTCTGGGAAGTAGAGCTAAGTGTGGGTTAGAGCAGCCGTCCAAATCATTACAAGCGACTTACCCAGCATTTGTCTCCGATTCTTTCGGGGCGCTCTCCTCGAATACCGACGCCAATGACGTGAGTAGAAGAGTAGAAAAGACCCTTGCTTAAGCTGATGAGCTCCTTGTCTTCCATCTGTTCCACGAGCTGGTCCACAGCCATGGTAGTGATTAACTTCTTGTATCCGATAGTCTTCCCGCTCTTCAAGGTAACGGTGTGAGCCTCAGCATTGACCTTTGAGACCTCACCCTGCTTTCCAAAGCGGGTCTTCTTCTTAGGCAAAGTGTTCGCAACGGCAATCCAGATACCGCCAGTTCCGTCCCGGGCAGGGAATCGGAAGGTAGCATTAGGACCCCAGTTTCCGGCGGTTTTGTTGAGAATGACATTCTTCACACAGGTCTTGACATCTGGTGCGGCAACACGCTCTCCAAGCCAGGCACATTGCATCTGTATCGTTTTAGCAAACGCTGAAGCAAAATATTACTTGGCGCATACCTTCGTAGTTGGGACTGCCCAAACCTTATAGTTGTATGGTCTCATGAACAGGTCGGCAATTCCAGTTCCCATCATTCGGACAATCCATTCATCAAAGTTCGTCGGCTTTGTGTGTGCGGTGCGTGCTTCCAATGCAGCATCGATCATGCCGTCAATGCACTTGACTTGGTCCTCCTTTGGTAGGACGGAGACGTTGTTCTGGAATGGGTATGGGACCCAAAGATTTTTGCAGCGCACGTAGGAAATACGCTCGTGGGTATACCAGTCTTCGGCCTTGGGCAATGCTTCGTCGATACAGTCATCGAAGTACTTGTAGTGGGAGAAGATGACATGGCCACCAACATCGTAGAGCTGCGCCGCAAGGGATTAGACTCTATCTTCACAATTGGAGAGTGGCAGACTCACGAAGCCTTCAGGAGTGACATCTGTGGAGGCAAGACCACCGGGTGTCTCGTTTGAATCGATGATCATCCATGATGGTCCATCCTAACATCGTCAATGTCCTATCTGGCATCAGCGGTGTGAGGAAAACTTACAATCTGGTTGAGGCGCTTCGCAGCACCAAGGCCTGTAGGGCCAGCGCCAATGACGAGGACGTCGACTTGCCTGTAATATAATGTCAGTGGGGATGGAACTTTGAAGCGTAGTAGCACTGTCGTGGTTGCCCGGGGGGGGGGGACGTACTCGTCTGCTGGAGCCATCTTCTATTGTCCTTCAGCGGGGTTGAGAAGCGACCAGAATTCGAAATTTCTGAAGCAGGGATGTGACGCAGATAGAAATCTAGGTTCTGTGGGATTTATGAAGATTGTGGACTCAGGACCGTAAAGGCGCAGAAAAGGCGGCAGCAGCGAAGGGTTGTCGAGGAAGGGCAACTCGAAATTATTTTAGAAATGTTCGAGGGGGGCAACCAAGGGACGACCAGACAGGGGTCGGTCTCCTATTCGAGAAGTAAAGTTTGGCTTGGCGGTGCTAAGCGAACAGGCGATGTGCCGTGTAGGAGAAATGCAAGAAATTGCACCAATCTTGGATTAGCCACATGTACCACACCCCCCTTATCCATTGGCTCCGAGGGACTTCAGCCCCCTTGATATCGAGTTCTGGATCTCGTCTTGAAAATTCGAGGGCAGAGACACGAATGTTACGAATGTCACGAATGTCACCTCGTTTCCGAGCGAGTCTGCAAACTCCGCCAAAAGCAAGCTGAAGTATTCGAGGCCCACCGGTCCCGTAGTGCTGACCGGCAATCCGTATCTAACCCCGTAAACAAGGCCACCCTGCTCGCAAGCTGCTGCAGCCTGGATCGTGGATGTGCATGATGGCGGGAGGTGGTGCGAGAATTCTTGGCACCCGTTGATATCTAGAAGTAACACGAATAATAAGAACAATTGATGGAAACGCCGATGCAACATCCCGCACGCTCTCTGCGGTGCCTTGGGCATCTCAGGAATAGTTGGCCCGGCAAGTGACGGGTCCCACCACGCAAATGAGGTAATTCGAGGATAAGTGGGATGGATGCGTGTTCTCAGCCTCCTCCAGCCTCTGCTTTTCAAGAACGGTTTGCAAATGCAGCTCTCCAGCATATCTGTTTCAACGGGCTCTTCTCCGCAATTCTGGTGACTAATACAGAAATATCGAGCTCGTTTGCCTCACGCAAAATCCTCCGATTGCACAATGTTCGATCACAAAGTGCCCGTCTCGATATCTCGGCGAGGCAATGATTACCAACATGGATGCTTGACCTAAACTCCACCTCTAAATGACACAATCAAATCCAAGCCGGGCGGGACCAATTCTTATTTTACTGACTACTGTGAACTTTGAGGATAATTTGAGGATACATACCTATAACAATGTACTTAACTAGTGCCAACAAAGTCGGTCTGATGCTTGGTTTTCCCAATGTTGGCTTGCGTGGTGGGGTTCGTTGTGCCAGATCGTCCTCAAGACTCGGTGGGACTGCCAAACTCAAGCTCCCGCGTCTAAACCTTTTCCATACTTAGAACGAACGTGAAACCGATCTGCGCGACCCGAATTTGCAACGGGTGGATACAGTAGGGGACACTCCATGCACAGCATGTCAGCATCTCGCTATCAGAATTTTGCACCACGATGATGACGCCAACGTCTGCCAGGACTCCGAATATCAGACGATTAGAGAACTCCTTTGGCGGGAATAGACATCGGATTTCAGTAGCAATGTGATACCGAGGGCGAGCATTGCCAGATCTGCCGTTGAAGATGAAATGGGTCCGTAGCGATTTGATTGAACGGGTTTCATTCTGACCCCCTGAGCATGATGATAGATAGGGGTTCCGCTGAGAGAGTTTCTCATTGCGCGTAAGGCGTGGGCTTGGAGCTGGCTCGCCGCAATTTTAGTGGCAAGCCGAGCGAGTGGGCGTCCCTTCTATAAGCAGATTAGCCTGGTTACTTGTTACGAGTTAGGAGACGGACAGCCACCGTCGCCCGGCCGCCTCCCCTAGGGTTCCTCAACCTCTCTTTTCTCTCTCGGCCTTCTCACCTCAGCTCAATCACAAACCGACCATCGCTCCCCCCCGCGTTATTCTTTCGGAAGTCGACGCAGACGATAGACATCGCAACGAGCCATCTTCGTCGTCCAGTCGTTACATCCTCTTGCTCTTGAGCTCAAGCGCGCTCCTTGACTGCGATCGCGTGTCCTCAACAGCCGCCAAGAATAGCAAACGTCTTCACACCACTTATCGCGAAAATGAGCGAGGAAAAGGTTCGAGTTTCGGGCGAGTCCCCGCGGGCTGCAGACACTCCCATTCTGCCAACGGTCAATCCAGCCGTAGAGAAGAATGAGGCCCAGCAAGCATCAAAGGGGCTGCTTCCTCCCTGGATCTATGTAGTGTCAGTCCCCAACATTTGTACCGCAACCACCTAGGCGGCTCCTAATACTGTACACAGGGTCTGGATTTCCCTTTCGTCCAGCGTCATCCTGTTCAACAAATACATCTTATCGTCTCTGAACTTCCGTATGTCGTAGCCCGACCCAGTTGATCCCCGAGCCTTACTGACGATACTGAAGATTACCCCATCATCCTCACATCATGGCATCTTGTGTTTGCAACAGTATGCACCCAACTCATGGCACGCTTCACAACGCTTTTGGATGAACGGAAAAAGGTGAAGATGACTGGCCGAGTATACCTCCGCGCAATTGTACCAATTGGAGCCGCGTTCAGTTTGAGCTTGATCTGCGGAAATTTGACCTACTTGTACTTGAGTGTGTCGTTCATTCAAATGATCAAGGTAAATTTCACATCACACCTATCCAAATTCATTCCAGCTACTGACGTTGTACCAGGCCTTCACCCCCGTTGCAGTTCTGGTTGTTGGTTGGATTCTACAAGTGGAAAAGGTCGACCTCAGAAAGTTGGGAAATGTCGCCCTGATTGTCATTGGTGTCGCCATTGCCTCGTTCGGTGAAATTGATTTCGTCCTGATCGGCTTCCTATACCAGCTGGGAGGAATTGTTTTCGAGGCAACCAGACTCTGCCTTGTTCAAAAGTTGCTGAATGGCGAAGAGTTCAAAATGAACCCCCTGGTTTCTTTGTATTACTTCGCCCCCGTCTGCGCTGCTATGAACGTCCTCATTGCTCTTGTCTGGGAGGTTCCTAAATGCACGATGGCCGAGGTCTATCAAGTCGGTCTCTGGGTTTTCTTGGCCAATGCATTTGTTGCATTTGCACTTAACGTCTCTGTTGTCTTCTTGGTAAGAAACACACACTCCCTTTCCCTTTCCGCAATATTAACATCATTTCAGATCGGTAGAACTTCTGGCCTCGTCCTTACCCTCTGCGGTGTCCTTAAGGATATCATGCTCGTCGCCTTCTCCATACTTGTTTGGGGAACCCCAATGTCCCGCCTCCAGGCCTTTGGTTACAGCGTCGCAATCATCGGCATGCTGTACTACAAGCTTGGTCAAAAGGAACTCAAGCCATACATCGCCGAGGCCGGCCGCCGCTGGTCCGAATTTGGTGCCAATCGCCCCGTCCTGCGAAAGCTCCTCGTCACCGGTGCCGTCTTCACTACCCTTATCCTCGTCCTCGGCAGCCTGGCACCAACATACGCTCCTGAGTACGACCCAAGCTCCTATCTCAAGAACACGCTTGGCACCTCATAAATCCTCTAGACGAACGACATCGAATGCTCGCAGAATTGCACCTTTTCTCAACTGCGAACGAAGGCGGGTTGGAGTTTTCTACTTGTTTGTAATCCTAGCCACCACCGCACAGGATAAGCACGACAAGCAATTCTGTTTCGCTTGTCAATGGCATTGTTCTAAGCTTCGCCGTACATAATTCGATTTCTACTTTGTGTTCCGTTCATTCTCCTTCGTGGCTCAAACCTGGTTGAATTGAGCTTACTTGGCTTGGGTCGTTGTGCAGCATAGAGTGCGGAGAGCTTTTCTTGTGTGTACGTATAGATTTACTAGTAAGGCGTCCGAAGTGAGGGTTTCTGGCTTTGTCTTTGCGAGCCCTTCATAAAGGGAGGGGAGGTGGGACCAATAGAAAAGCAATATGATAAGATGAAGAATATTTCTGTTCCTCGCTTGTCCTCGTGACGACTGTCGGTTAGGGGGGGAGGCGGGTATGGGGGGCAAGGGGACCTGGTCAGTGATGCGGCCTCCAAGGTAGTTCCTTACAAGGGACATGAATAGCGCAGGGTGGACGACGTGCAACAAACCGGTCCTTCGGGGAATCTACCGCGGACTTAGATGCATGAGATCTCATTCTACCAGAAAGTTTGGGTCATTGAAGTGATGTGGAACTTTTTTTACCCTCACTTAACAACCACAATGTACCAAACCTTCCTGGAACATTAGACATTAAAACATTAGACGCGATGTGCAACCTAGCTCGATCCTCGGATTCACTAAACATTGTTGACCATCGAACCTCGGAATATTCACTTAGCGTCACATTGAGGGAATGTCGTTGAGCCAGAGTGTTTGGAACATTACAAGTAGAATGATGGGCGATAGAGACTTAAGATTTTGTCGATTCACTTTGCCACTTCCAGGACAGTTCCAATGTACAAGAGCTTCTGGAATATTCGAGGGATGTGCGGCAAAGAGCTCAAAACGATGATTTACTCGCGGGCAGGGGAGAGGGCAGATGAAGGGGGGTGACTTGCTGTCGACTCGGCGATCTCATTGCACCAGAAAACTTGGGACATTGAATACGGTGTGCAACAAAACATGGGAGCCGATTCACTCTCGACTTCGAGGACAATTTCAAGGTACCGAAACTTTCCGTGCATCGAGTAATCATCCAATTCGAGGTTCACTCACAACATGACACTGTGCTTCAAGTCAAGTTTATCTATTGAATTGTATTACAAAATTCCAAATAACAAAGATGTCCAAAAAGTCTGGACACTGAAGAACCCAACTCAGTCATCACTAGTCAAATCCAGAACCTCAACCTGCGAGTATCTGTAAACATTACTCCGGCGCTGGAATTTCTCCTCGTCAACTCCTTCCCAGAATGTACCGTCTGTGCTCTCCCGCACCATGGTGTATTTCTTTGGCTTTGGCTTTGGCTTCGGTGGGCTTGCCATCTCGCCTCTCTCGCCAGTCTCGATTGCCGGGACAGCTCTGGAAGCAGGAGAGGAGGCGAGGTCAATGACTTCTGCTTCTTTTGCTCTTGCAGGGACCAAAACGAAAGTGCTAGGCAATGTTGGAAGCCAATCCTTCGCTCTCGGAAGATCAAGTAAATCAGCTGCAGACTTGTCACAAGAAGCCAACTCAAACTGAAAAGGGTCCTCTACCTTCTGGCTAACAGAAGTCCGGAAGGACTGCCACCTTTCGATCTCCTTTTCATAAATGTGAGATCCCAAGTCAGTGAAGTCTAGCTTCTGAGCTACAGATTCAGGCCCCGGCGGTTCTGATATGCTTCTCCTACATGCCGAGCCTCGTCTTTCAGATAAATCTGGTGAGATCTCCTTTTTCGGCGAGGGGCGATCGATGTCTTTGGTGTTCTTAGTTGGTGTTCCAAATTCTTCTGTGGAGGTGTGAGAACCACGGGTGAGGCGGATTGTGGGTGGGAGTTCTGGTTCGGCATCGTAGTCTAATGGCGGAGTAGGAGAGTGTTGGTGTTTTCTTGGCGACGAGGGGGATTCCAGACCTGATGGCGCCGACGAAGCGGGCACAGGAGGGCTTGAGTCAATGTAGATGGCGGTCCGCTTGAATTTCAGTGGGCTGCCGGATTCTGGATGTTGGCTGATGGGTTTGTGAACTCCGGGGTTGGATTGTGGAGATGAGGCGGCTATTGTCCAGGGGTTCGTGTTGGGAGCTGGCTTCTGTGAAATTGCCTTCTTACTTCTGGTCGACTTTGTCGCTGTAGACTTGGTGGGGGCGGCGTGGGTACCAGAACCAGCTGATGATCTTGTAGCTCTCAAGGTAGCTTTCAGGGTCCTACTTGATGTTGTTGTGGGAGCTAGTTGCGAATACGAGGGCTTCTCCAGAGTAGGAGCCAGATAGACTGGACGCAAAGCAGGCTGACTGGATGGAAGAACTTTTTCAGATGATTTGAAAGGGCCTGCATGCTCGTTTTCCTTTCCACTTTCATCGACAGATTTTGTAACCTTGACGAATCGATCCACGGCGCCTTTCGGCATCCCATCCTTCTTCTTCGTAGCTGCTTTCTTGGCAGCGGCTTTCGCTTTGATGAACTTTCTTGGATCCCGAAGGGACTCTTCGTAATCCTCCACTTTCAAGGGTATTCCAACCTTTGCAAGGCTCTCTGGTATCCATGTTTTATCTGGTTGGGTGGGGTCATAGACAGAAGCAGCTCTTTTGGTCGGACTTGTTGATCTGGATCTCGACGCTGCATCCTCTGACACATACTCCTCTATCTGATCATCATCGTTGACTGGTGCAAGACCGTCCCTTCCATAGTCTCCGCTATCGTCCTCTTCGGCATCCAAATCTAGCCCCATAATCTCAGCTGGGTGGTAGATCACCCTCAATTCGGATATTCCATCTGTGCTGAAATGGTTCCTCTTGCCGCAAATAACTCGAACCAGTTCCATCTCGTTCATGGCTGTCAGCACAACATCTCCGTACTCAGAATCTCTCCGACCACTACGGCTACGAAGTTTTTGTACCAGTATCGCGGGAGCTAGACCTCGAATAAACTTTTTGGCTCCGTTTTTGTGAACCCAATCGAAAGCCTCCGCAACGAAAAGTCGAAGGCCTGGAACATCAACTTCGCCGTCCCATCCGATCTCTTCCTTCAGCTTTTGGATTTTGGAAGCAGAGGAGACAACAGGGTGCGTGTAGTATCCAAGTACCTCCTTGTTTGGGAAATCATCTGGAATTCTCAAGGTCTTGTGCTTGACCCTAAAATGCTTGCTCTCGTTCGTCTTAATTTCATGGGCCAAATTATCACGCCAAGCTTCCAACCCGTCGGCATCTGATCTCGAAATTTTGCATAGAGACTTCCCGTAGCCCGCCCTGGCAGCCTCGCAGGCTACCTTGATGCCACAACCAGGTATACCTTCCGTGATATAGTCACCACCGCTCATGAGAGCTATCAAGATCATTCCTTCTCTGTCAAGTGCCGCTTTACCTTCTTTAGTCGCCTTCGCATCATAGACGGATACATGGGTTGGGGATTTATTGCCTCTGGAACCTTCAGGAGACCAATTGCGAAGGGTTCGTCCACAGCCAAACATGAGAGTGTCGACATCTTCGCTGAGGACGGCGTCCACAATCCTTTCCCTCTGTAACAAGGCACATTCAGCTTCCGCTTCTCCAGGGGCCATGTAGAAGGGAAAGCCGAATAACTTTAATAATTGTTTTGTCAACAAATTTGGTACCATTGCCCCATGTTGGCCAGTACGCTTGTTGCGCTTGAAGGGGGGCTTATGCGGTCCATCAAAGATGAACAATGGTTGTATTGATGTTGAAAGGAGGCGAAGAAGGCGATAATAGAAAGTCCGGATTGCCGGGTTGGATCCTCCTTGGCCGGCCTGGGTCTGAAATTGCCAGATTGAGACATCGATTGCAACCCTGAGAGGTCGCCCAGTCTGCTCAAACTTCTCAATAGATAGCTTGGACAAGGCAACTCTTTCTCCTGGCCCAATCTCTCCGTAGATGCTGGGGATGTGAATGAGCACTGGGTCTTGAGAAATGCAGGTGGAAACATTTACCCTTTGATACCCATGATGTCAACATCCAAAACTACTTGCCAGTAGCCAACGCACTATGCGCAGACGGAGAACAGATTCATCTCTATGCACTGTTATTAGCGATCCAAAGTGATAGAAAGTAAAGTATGCAGTGTCGAGAGCAATGCACATAAATCGATTGAAGTTCGACGTTCACCATCGGGTATTTACTTAAGAAAGACTAGCGTCGGCAGGGAAACGAGGGTTTACCGACTCAAGCTGGACCTCCAAAATCATGCATATGGCACGCCAGCTACCATAATCCGGTTCTGAGGATATCTGGAGCTCAGAGACTGCTGCTCTCGAGCAGATGTAGCAACATGTCAGCTCCTAGCGGTCCTGCACATCGCAGTGTAGCTAATATTCGGTCTCCCGCTTCGGGCAACCCAGGAGCACCAGCAAGCCCCCACACCCCTGTACGAACTATCTCCTCTACATTTGGATCACCATCTTCTCTACGCGCCGAAGAAGACATTGTTATTCTAGAGCTCGGAAGCCGTTATCTCAGAGCTGGATTTGCTGGAGATGCTGTCCCAAAAGCCGCAATTGATTTTGGCCCAGAAGAGCAGAGAAGAGCTGGTGATTATAGCAGGTGGGAGGTGGGTTATGTGAGGGGACGAAGAGAGGAGAAATCATGGGGAGAGGCACATGAGCTTTGGAGACCAGATCTGAGGGCTCTGGATTTGGGATTGGTTGGGGATAAGATTGACCGAGCTATTCGAGACGCCTTCACAAAGTCAGTAAGTGCGGGATGCGATTATGGACAGAATTCTAACCGATTTTCTCATAGATACTTGCTTATCGATTCTCGACCGAGACGAATGAGTCTAGTGATACCTTCTGCGCTCCCTCTTCCTCTTCTCTCGGCGGTCCTCGATACTTTATTCACGAATTTCCAACCACCCACCATCTCTTTGATGTCAGCGCCTGTGTTGGCAACGGTGGCGGCTGGGCTTCGTTCAGCTCTAATCGTGGATATTGGATGGGCGGAGACGATTGTGACGGCTGTATACGAATTTCGGGAGGTACAATGCACTCGTTCAGTGAGAGCAACAAAAATGTTCGGGGAAGCAATGTTCAAATTGCTTGCGGATGATATTGATCCTACAAGACCGAAACGTGAATCTGCCGACAAGCGAGCCGATGCGGACAGGAGACATTTGCCTAGCTTTGATGAATGCGAGGAGATAGCAATTCGAATGGCGTGGTGTAAACTCGGAAAGCGTGTTGAAGCCAGGAAATTTTCCCGAGGATTGACGCCCGTCAAGGAAGAGGATGAGCTGAAGGCTAGCATGAGATCACTAGATATCGGTGGAGGTCCGGACTCTGGCTCAATGGTTTCAATACCGCTAAGTTCAACCGATCCTCCTCAATCACTCCTCCTTCCGTTCTCGAAACTTGCGGAGCCATGTGAGAGTGCTCTTTTTGCAGCGGGCACATTGGCGGAGGATCTAGATGATGAGGAATTACCGCTTCATCTCCTGGTATATCGGAGTTTGCTTCAGCTGCCAGTAGATGTACGATCTATCTGTATGTCACGGATCGTGTTTATTGGAGGAGGATCGCTTATTCCTGGCTTGAGGAAGCGTGTCCTGGATGAGGTGGCAAGTCTCATCGATGAGCGGAATTGGGATCCAGTGAAAGGAAAAGCAGTGGACCAATATCGGAGCAATCCCAAGCTACAACGGACGAAGCCAAGGCAACCTGGTCCAACGGAAATATTAGAAGAGCAAGGGGTCATGGAGACACCAACTCCTTCAGCAGCCCTCATAGAGCAAGAGTATGATCCTATAGAAGAGCAATTAAAGAAGGAAGCTGCCAAAGGGAAGCCGCCTGTAGAGTCTGGTCATTTGAGAGCTGTGGGCTCCCTGGGAGCCTGGTCTGGAGGCAGTCTACTCTCACAGATGAAAGTTCCGGCGATCTCGATCGTCGAACGAGAACAATGGCTTCAACACGGAGCTGCAGGTGCTTCAAAAGCCACTGATATTAATGTCGTTACTGCCCATCGACAAAGCATGGGAGCGGGTGCATTTAAATCAGGAGATCGATCTAGCTTTACCTTGGGATTGTGGGGATGAAAAATAAATAGAGCCTGAAAGCTTTCCAACTGAAGGCACTGGCAGCCCTTTGCTAGTTGGTCGAATGCTTGTACACCAAAGATGCCCCTGAATTCAAAAGATACATTTTCAAATTGTTTTTCCCCTCTTAACACGTGATCACCAAAGTTCAATTCTATGGGAGCCCCATCTGCAGGTTGAAAAACATTGTAAAAGTAAAGGAACCACCTTCTAATTGGCCTGAAGCTCACTTCCTGAATCTCTCAGATAACTTCGGGTATTTAGGGGCTGCGGAAAATGGTGGTCTGATGTCCTTGCTCGGCCTTGCTCAAAAGCTCACGGGTTCCGCAGCCTCGATGCAAGTTTTAATGACCGCTAATTCACGACAAGATGACAACACCACAACTGTCCTTCAAATGCCTACAATGCCATCTGCGCGCCATTCCAAGGGCCCCGCGGCGCTTGTATCATGCCTCCGCATATCTCCTGGCTGATCTTCCAAGGCCTACGGTCGCACCGAAGATCTCAATTGACATCAAGCACATCCGCCAAAATGCAGCTCTCTATGAGCAAAACTGCCTGGAGCGCAACTACAAAACCCAATCCACCTACCCTGCAAGAATAAACGCGCTCCTTGAGCAATGGCACATCCACCAGCGCGAAGCCCGTGGTTTAAGAGAGCGGAACAATCGGCTGAAGCTGCAGCTCGCAATTCCTACTACACTTCGAGACGAGGATTCCGACGAGGCGCTGGGCCTGAAGGATATGACAAAGGAGCAATTGATCGACGAGGCCCGAGCACTGAAAGAGAAGATATCCTCAATTGAAGAGAAGGAGTCTGCTGTTCAGTCCGAAATCGATTCTCTCGCAGCAGCAATCCCAAATCTCACGAGCAAGGAAACGCCCAGAGGCAATGAGCCAAAGGTGGTTGGCTACATCAACGAACATCCCGAACCAGACCCTTCTTCTTCCGATCGAGTCTGGCGGTCACATGTACATATTGGCAGCGAATTGAATCTTCTCGACTTCGCAGGCGCGGCTACGACAAGTGGATGGGGATGGTATTTCCTACTCAACGAAGCTGCACAACTTGAACAGGCATTGGTACAATATGCGCTCAGCGTAGCCCGGAAACACGGCTGGGGAATGGCGAGCCCACCCAGTATGGTATATAGCCACATCGCAGCAGCGTGTGGATTTCAACCGCGAGATCAGAATGGCGAGCAGCAGATTTACAACATCCAGCAGAATCCCAATGACGTGGGGAGGAAACCAGAGCTGAGTCTTGCGGGGACGGCGGAGATACCGCTTGCTGGGATGAAAGCGAATACTACCCTCGAAGAGTCGGATTTACCGTTGAAGCGTGTCGGTGTCTCTCGTTGCTTTCGGGCTGAGGCTGGTGCAAGAGGGGTTGATACGAAAGGTTTATACCGTGTTCATGAGTTTACGAAAGTCGAGATGTTTGCCTGGACAATGAATTCTACGGAAGCCTCTACTGCAGTCTTTGATGAGATCCTATCTATTCAAACCGAGATCTTGCAATCGCTAGGACTGCACTGCAGAATCCTAGAGATGTCTAGTACGGATCTGGGAGCATCTGCAACGCGGAAACGCGATATTGAGGCTTTCTTTCCGGCCAGGCCAAAGGATGATGGGTGGGGAGAAGTCACGTCTGTGAGCACATGCTCAGATTACCAGAGTCGAAGGCTGGCTACAAAAGTCGATGTCCGGAATCTCGGGGGCAAGATTGCCTTCCCTTATACCGTGAATGGTACTGCTTTGGCTGTCCCGAGGGTTTTAGCGGCGATTTTGGAGAACGGGTGGAATGAGAGGAATCTGGAAGTCAAGATACCCGAAGTGTTATGGCCGTGGATGGATGGGATGAAAGTCATTAAGCAGAAGGAAAGGCTGCGGTAAATAATGTCTTATGTGAAAATTTCTGTATATTTCTGGCCCGGAGAAGTTGTATATACACACACAACGCTGCTATGCTCCAATTCCAACTCTTCTCCAGAGACTTCGAACTACCAAGGTCCTGAAAGTAAATCTCAATTCACATAAATACAACAGATGAAACCGACAGGCGCCGTAGAGACGTTCGATTTGATCATTTGAACCTCGAATATTCTTTGAACAAGATTTCCTATCCTGTCGGTAACATTCTCCATCATCTTAACACGGTGGGACAGTCACTTCTCAACAGGCAATACAGCACAAAACATGAGTTAAGGAAGAAATTTCAGTAATCAATTCGCTAAAACGCTATTCATTCAAGTCATAATTCCCACACTCGCTCTCTCCTCATCCATCTCACCAATCCAATCTCCGGTCCAGCCTCCAAATACTTACAAGAATCGACAAAAGCCTCCTATAAAAAGCAATGACTACACTAAACAGCCTGTCCAGCCTCTTCATACAACACCACCAGCCCATGTTCATGCTCAGCTTCTGTCTCCTCGCCAGAATGTTCGCCCTCACCGTCGCCATCTATACTACCGGTCCACTCCGTACCTTCATCGATACTCTCGCTCACACCGGTGCCCGTACTCGTTAAGATCGTGGTGCCTCTGCTGCTTCTCCTCATAGTCTCGCCCTCGCTTTCTTCCCCGTTGCTACCCTCGTCATCGTCTTCCTCACTTTCTTTCAAAGCAAGGTTCTCCTTGTTTAAGTCGCCGTACTTCCGGTTGAGCGATCCGCCCCAACTTGACTTCCTCAGAGCACCAGCACCACCAGGAGTTTTGACGCTATGGCTACGCTTGAAGTTACCTGTCGGAATATTATGCGTAATTTGGTTCAAGGAGAGGATACGTCTGGATGCTCCCGCAGGATTGACGATTGGGACACTGACCACAGCACGGTTGCCACCCATCGCCATGCTGACCGCGCTTTGTGTAGTGTAGGAAGCTCTCGACGTAGCACTAGAGACGATCGATCCGGTTGTCGAGGTAGCATGGCTTGGGACTCGCTTTCGATCCATGGCGTCCCGCCCCTTGTTGGACTTCGAAATGAGAAGAGCTCGAGAATGATCGATCACTCCTTCCAGAATGCGGCGCTCAAGGCCCTCGGCTCGTGCTTCCATGGCATGGAGTTCCTCACGTCTGATTCGTAAGGCAGTCTCGAGACTGGAAACATCTGCGGAGAGGCGCATCTTCTGATGTGCTAGGTCTTCTTGCTCTGCTTTGAGAATTGCGACAGACTCCTTCAAATTGTCTTCCTCTTCACGCAGGCCTACAACGGTGGCCTCAACTTGCTCCTTCTGAGCAATTCGCTTTTCAAGGGCAATCGTAGCAGCTTCAACAGCCTTTTCCTTGTCTTCGTGGTCATTGGCAATGCGTTGAGTTTGAGCCGACACAAAATTGGAGACCTCTGCCGCAGTCTGCATAACCTGTTGGTGTATCTTGTCAAGCATTTCCAATTGGGCAAAGGACTTCCCAGCAGCGTGCATGTGATCCACGAGTTTGTCCAGCTTTTCGTGGACCGGGCTGTCGTCGTATTTCTCGGGAGGTGGAGGTGCTTCTTGGAGCAATGGCGTCTCAACAGGTGCAGGCCTCTCGGCGATTTTCTCTTGAAGGGCTGTAGTAGAAGATTTAGAGTGCTCATAGTGCTGTCCAACGATGAGAAGCACGTCCTTGATGGATTCGAGGATCTTGGGATTATATTCCGTGACATGATTCTGAACACCCTCAATGGCATGGATTGTCTTGAAGACTTGTTCTCGGGTGAGTTGATGCTCAGCTTTGGCGTCGGCATGAGTCTCTTCAACTCTCGTGAAGGTATCCTCAACCCTGTTGAATACGGTCTTTGAAGCTTCATCCATCTTATCAACCGAGTCGGTCAGAGTCGTACCTAGAGTATCGATGAGGATCTTCAGCTCTTCGGCCACGGCTTTGGTGCCTAATAGCGCAGCTTCGGTTTCGAGATTCTTCTCATCTCCCAGTTTCGCCTTTGCTTCCGCCGAGAGTTGTGCTTCATCGTATTTGCTCATCAGCTCGCTGAATTTCTCATCAAGCTTGGAATCGAATTTGTCCCAAGTCTGCTGGAATTTCTCATCCGATTCGAGTTTCGAACCAACCACTCCAGCATTGGATTTCTCAAATTCGCTCTTCATTGTCTCGAACATTTCCTTGATATCATCAGTAATGTTTGCATTCTGGCTGATGGTTTCTCCAAGACTCTCGAGGAATTTCCCCAAGGCTTCGACGCTGGTAGCTCCTTCATCAAGCTTCTCCTTAATGGCATCTTTGAATTCTTCAAGGAAGGTCTTGATCTCAGTGACACGTTCACTAACTCCGACCGTCTCTGCTTGGCGTTCTTCGAATGCTTTGGCATTGGTTTCCGCATGAGTTTCGATGCGGCCCTTGAATTCTTTCATCAATTCTCCCAGATTCTTGACATCCTCTTTCGAAGCCAGATCTGCCAGGTCGGACGACACCATCTGCTCAATAGTCGTCTTTACATCGAGACACACCGCCTCAACGGCTTCAACATCCGTCTTCGTCACCTTTTCAAGATCCTCAGAGTCCTTGAGTGCGCGTTCCTTAAGCTCTTCGAGACCTCCAAGAATGTCGCGTACCAAGACCTCAATGACATTGACATCGTCGCGCTTGGTGACATCCTCCAGATGCGCTGTTAGGTCTTTCACAGAATCCCGAGTCTCTGAAACTAAGAGCTCCATGGTATCGAGATGTTCCTTTCTGTCCAGGTCCTCACTCTCCATGTCATCGAGCTTGGCTTTGGTATTTCGAAGGAGCGTCTCTATGGCCTCCATGTCCTCTCTCTTGACCCCATCCTCATCCCCTGACCTGTCTTGGCTCGACATCCCTGAGACCGACTCTTGGACATTACGGAGCATTTCCTCAACGTCGGCAAGATCATGGCGTGATAAGGATCCAGGAGCAGGTTGTGGGGGAGGGGGCGGTATCGATTCTAGGGCCTCAACTTTGATCCGAAGCTGCGTAATCAAAACCTCCAAGTTATCGATGTCATTTCGTTTCAAGCCCTCGGCGGCAATAACAGCTTTATCACTAATCTCTGCCACAGCTTGTTCTCCGTGCCCGTTTTCTCGCAGTCTGTCGATATCAGCTCGGACTCCTTCAAGACCAGCCTTGAGAGTGTCCAAGATTTCATAGCTGACAGTCATATCAACAGGCTTGTTACCGATCCTCTCAACTTCGATGCGAAGACCTGTGAGTCCGTCGTGGAGAGCATCAAGTATTTCGCCAGTGCCAGAGAGAACGCTCTCACCGCCGTCACGGGGTCTCTCAATATCTGCGCGGAGACTTTCGAGACCTGTTCTGAAAGCCTCGAGAATCTCATCGTTGCCAGCGGTTGGGACGCTGCGGACGAGAGAAGAACCCATCGCCTCCCTGAGATGCTCCAGCTCGCCTTGAATGGCCTCAAGTGAACGGGTTGACCCCTTGGAGACTGCCATCTCTATTTCGGCAGTAAAAGAATCGAAGCACTCACGCATGCTTTCCATGAGCTCATCTTTGACGTTAAGATCAGCGGCACGATCGACGTAGCTTTCCATGTCGTTTCGAAGCTTTTCCAATCCATCCTTGGTTGCATCCAGTACTTGCTCTGTATCCCGTCCCAGAGCCGACACATTTTGCTTCGCTTCGTCAGAGACAGCCTTGAACTCCGCATGCAGAGAGTCGTAGATTTCGTGCAATTTATCCATGATTTGCTCTGCGTAGGGATCCATAGGTGGTGCCTCTCTGAAACCCTCTTTGACTGCGTCGAAGAGGTCGTCTCGTGTCAAGCCTCCGCTAACATCTCGGCTTAAAGCGGTAGTGTTGGCAGCAAAGTCGAATCCATGTAGTCCCTCTTTGACAGCAAGCAGCATATCATCTCGGGTGATTTCTGGTTCTCTAGGTTCTGGCGCAGGGGCGGCCGGAAACTCAAATTCCTCCAAGCACTCTCTAACTGCATCAAGAATCTCATCGCGTGAGAGACTTGCCTCCGTCTCAACTTTAGGAGGAGAGAAATGCTTCAATCCTTCTACCACTGCTGCAAATACCTCTTCGCGTGACGCTGCTCCAAGTCCTCGGGAATGGTCCTGTGGAGCGTACTCTTGGATTCCTTCCTTTAAGCATGTCAGGAGCTCTTCTCGTTCTAGACCGAAATGTTGCAGTTCGATATCTGGCTTGTAGTTCTCCCAAGCCTCCTTCACTGCTTCGATAATATCCTCCTTCTCCACGACAGGGCTTCGTGATTGTTGTGGTTCCTCATTTAAAGCCGCTCTCACGGCATTGTAAATTTCTTGATAGTCAACAGTGTTGCGTGATACTATAGAAGATGAAGATTGTCGTCGATGTTCGCGGAGAACACGATCCATATGGTGCTTCAGCTCCTCAAGTCCATCTTGGACAACCCGAGCCACATGCTCCTTTTCGGCACCAACATCTCTTGCAGGGGAGTCCTTCTTGCTGGACTGCTCTAATTTCCGACCAATCTCCCGACCCATGCCCAAGACTTCACCTCGAAGCTCTCGAACTAAAGCCTTCACTTCTGCTGTGAGCCCTCCTCCTTGGGCTACGCTATCCTTGATTGTACGGATGATCTTCAGGATATCCTCATTGAGAACATCCGCCCCACGGGTTGCTTCGGCGCCTCTAACATTCTCCTTGTTCGCTCCGACCGCGAGGAGGGCCTCAACTCGTTGCATCATGGGACCAGATCTTGCTTGGTCGAAATCAAGCTCCAATCTGGGGGGCTCACCGAAGCTGAAATTGCGAGGTCTATTTCCGGCCATACCACTCCCATTACCACTACCAAGCGGGACAATAGCCTGTAAGTTATTGTTTCTGATCTGCTGAAGTAGATCATCAAGCTTCTGCGCAGTAGAACTTCCATCTCGAGCAAGGCGATCTGCAACTTCTGTCAGACGAGAAACAAGCTGGTTCTGGCCTTCCTTGGTGCCCATCTCTCGAAGGATCTTTTCCAGTAGGGCAAGACTAGCAGCACCATCTGGATTACAACACATTGGGCTAACCATCGATTCTCTATCCAGGGAGGCCGAAAAGCTGTTAGGGCTTGGAATCCGTGGAAGGGAGAATGGTTTAATAGCTCTTGATCCAGGGGAGCTGTGGGGTTTGTTCTCTAAGAAAAGTGGCCCGGGTCCGTAGATGCTTGATTGTCGAGAACCAGCTTCCGAGATGTTGTTAACAAGTTCTCGAAGTGTCTTCCGGATATCTTCATCCCGAGAATTTGTGGCCTCCTTCAGACTGACAAGATCGGTTGCGTTGTCCTTGCTTCTCCTGCTAAGTTGGGCCATTTCTCGTTGCAAACCCGTGGCAATGCTCGTGAGGCTGAGGATCTGGGTGGAAATTGCGTGGAAGGTCTGTGGAGTGCGAACCAGCGCAGTAGATTCATTAGTCACGTTAGAGAGTGGTTCATCCATGTCCCTGTTGGCCATAGTCTGTAATGCCAACATTGTAGCTGATTGAGGTGGTGTATTCTCGCCGAGTATACTCTGAGGTGGTCTTCGAAGCGACGGTCTCATGGAGGGCGTGTCTCGAGTTGGAGTTTCCCTACCAGAAGTTGGGGTAGCGGAGCGATTCGAGTCCCTCTCTGGTGACTTCTCTGGTGACCGCAATTCCAATTGGAACTCTTTGTTTGTATGTGGTGTTGATGGCCGACCTGCACTCTTCTCTGGTGATCTGGGTGAACTGAAAGAACCTCCCTCCAACAAATTGCTCAAATCTCTCACGTTTCCAGTTTGAAGTGATTGCATACGCTTGTGAGCAGCGCCCTTAATTAGAGACCGTTCGGGGGAAGTTTCGATGCGCTTGGAAACTGCATTTGTGACGTAGCCACTTTCTCGGGCTTTTTCGGTCAAGGCAGCGTGTGCGGATTGTATCGCACTCGAGGTATTGGGTCGTGAGGTTACAATGGGGGAGGATGGATTCATAGGTAGTGGAGGAGGTGCGCGTTCCGGATCAGAGCTGTCCCACCTGTGAAGCTTGCCATTAGCACAAGTCCTAGCCTGTAAACAGATCGACTTACATAGGCACAATTGCTCGTCCCCCATCTGTTGAAGCAGATTGATGATGTCTCAATTGTCTCTCGCTATCACGCCGTGATTCATGCAAGGCGTCTCGTTCTGTCGAAGGCATACTGATCGAGTGAAGTCGCGAGGAATGAAGTCTGGAATGTTGACGCGCAGGACGTCTGCGGAGGTTCAGACCATGCGAATATAGTTGAAGAGGTGGAAAGAGCTCAGGCCACAATGATAGAAAACTCCAAGATACTTAGAGGTCTTTGGGTCAAGGGTTGGTAATGCCGTTTTGATATCAAGCAGGGTTTGTGATAGTTGCCAGCTCGGTGTTTATTTTGGCGTGTTTACTTCCGGTTGCGGCAGTCGCGACGAGGCGCCCGGCGAAAATAACCTCCGACCCCTTCCCCTTTTCTGTTTCAACCCCACGACATCAACGTAGCATAAAATCGTCATTGAAAATGCTAAGGATATATTTGTGAGATAGGACAGACTACGAGAAAGTCAACAATGTAGGCGCCTATATCAACATTTCAATAATTAGGAAAATAGTGATGGGAGAGGCAGTTTGGAGAACGGTATTGTAGAGCTCATAAGTTCCTAATTTTTTTCGGTTCTGTCCACTCATGCGGGTTACTTTCATTGTGTAGAAAAGGAAGGACCAGAGCTTTTACGGTAGCAATTCCTGTTAAGCTTCTGGAAAAGTATTTTGATCACCAATGTAGGCAGATCTGAGCTTTTATGTCGAGTCGTAGCAAAGGATTCAGAAACACGGATTACAAACGCTAAAGAACTACACGACACCAGAGACCTCCAAATGCCTATGTCCAAACTCCAAACTGACTCAAAAACGGTGGGTATCCTCATCGCTCTTTGTTCAATACATCCTCCCTATGATTCATCAGGGTAGTAACAAAGGAAAATATCATGACGTCGTGGGGAAAATGTTGCTATGGGCCATCCTTCTAATCTTCCAAACTGTGCTGTTCCTCCATAAGCTGACCGAAGCCTTTCTTGTCGTCCTGCGAGGGCGGCTTATTCGCTCCAGGGGAAATCTCGCTCGTCAACTCGAGTGCACACCAGGTAACTTGAGTTGGAACCTTCGCCCGACAGACTGCTCCTCATTAATGGCCGTACGATTTCCCTAGCCATGCTCTTCACCTCTTCCAGCCTCTTCTCAAATTTCTTCAGGCTCTCCCGAGAGTAGATCTCTGGACTCAGCTTCAAGAATTTCTTGCAATCGTCATGGTTTAGATAGTTGGATGGCGTAGTGCCTAGGATTCGGTAGATGCGTCCCAAATTCGTGCTCACTGTTTGGGGAGATGATGAGACGGATGATGTAGGGAGTGGCGAAAATTGCTGAATTGTTTGGTTGGTGTGGTGCGTAGTGGTAACTATGACAGTATTGTTTCGAGAATGATGACCATTTCGAGATTGTGGCATTTGAGGCACTTGAGGTAGTGGTGGTGGTGAGGTATGCTCTGCTAGCCATTGCCGGAATACCGACACAACAAGCCAATCCAAATAAGAATTCTGTGGCGTGACTCTTTCTCCCCTCGAATTCAGGAGATTGAGGCGGAACAGTCGCCCTTCAATCTTGCCCACTAGATCTGCGAGATCCTCGACTTTGTCTTCAATAATCTCAATAACAGAAGTAGGTAGCTGATGACGAATGTGTCGTTCTCCAACAGGCCACGCACCAACAACGTGGATGAGGGCCTCCTGAAAGATCATTTTAGATTGTGAAAGATATCCGAGTTTTAGGTACGAGGAAGGGTATTTTGCAATTTGTTTCCAAAGTCGAGATTGGAATTGCAAAAGGTGGTGATCGACTCGTGGGCCAACGACAGCGAGTGCATCATATAGGTCCGCTAAGGTGAGAAGTGATTTGCATTGTAAGTAGGCGGTTGCGATGTCGATTGGGTCGAGAGCTGGTGGATAATTGTAGAAGATTTTGAAGAGATTATCGTAATCATTGAGAAGGTCTTGCTCTTCTTGAGTCAGCTGAGGGGCAGATGGCCCATGTGAGGAGGGAGGAAGGCTGAGGTTCGCCACGGATCGGAAAAATGAGGGGTTCGACGAGGGAGGTTTGTTGCGAACTGGGGGTGGTCGGATATCGGCCGAACCAAATAAAGAGACTTGGTTGTTTTCCTTTTGTACCAACATAGGAATATCGTCATTACTCGCGCCTGTGTCGAGCTCATACCTCCATCTCTTCTTCACTTCTCGACCATCTCTACTCCTCGCTGACTCATTGCCCGAGTCCTCCCCCATTCTTGACAATTCTGCTCCGCCATCTGAAGGTCCTGCCCGCGACCATTCTTGACTTGTGCTGGCTTCGAAGAACCCAGAACATTGCGTGAGAATGAGACGGTGCAGAAGGTAGCGATTCGTTTCGGAGCCAGCCTTCACGAGTATTTCGACGTCGCCAGTGTGACTGAACACCGGGAATTCGTTCTGCGGAATAAATGATGCACCTCCAGCATGGGATCTGCCATGCCGTCGATGTCTCGAGGATCTCGAAACTACGGATGAGGGCCCTCGAAGGGCAAGAGCCTGGGAAGGCTCTACCTGCGAGACCATTTTCGTTGAACCTTGGAATTACTGTCGACCATGAGTTATTTGTACCGAGCGTGGGCAGAACGTAGGGAAAACGTGGGAAATGAGCTTACTTATTTAATATGCCATCTTCGCGCAAAGGTGATGAAAAGCTTGCGCGAGGGCTGAAATTAGTATATACTCCCGTACCTTCCTTCTTCCACGGCGCACACGCGAGGCTTCCTTCTTATCACCACCACCTCTACTTGTCCCCTAACTTCTGTCTCAGACCAAGTACACTCTGTCTCTCGGCGACTCCTTCACACTCACGAAACGCGTCGAACTATCGCAACAACAAAGCCAGCAACACAAAGGGTGGACTTCCCCTTGAAGTTGCAGGCTCACACAATCGCGCTCACGCACCAGCCGTGCTGTGGCGACGATCACAAGCAAGGTCTGAGCATGCCTCCTGTGGCCCAATACTTGTGCATAGCCTAGCAAAGTGCCCCCCTCTTGCACCGAATCAATCCATGGGAAGCTGCAGCTGCATGCATGTCTTGGTCGAGTTGGCCAGTCTTCTGCGGGCAAGAGGGCGACTTGAGTTCTGCTGTGGATTTGACTGGCCTCCAGCGAGTGCGGCTTGCCAAGAGTATGGTTTTTAGTGGCCAGCATCGGCCCAATCGAAGGTCGTGGCCGGGAGCCAGGATTTTGTATGCTGAACAGTCTTGCATAACTCGTGCACTATTCTGCACACAGTCGAGCAGCTGAGCTGACCGAGATCACTGGACGTTGGGCTCACATGATCCATCGCTCAACTTCATCGGAAATGTTCGATATATTCTCATTTGATTTCGGCCGACGTCGCTGATGCCAGCGAGTGGCCCTAGAGCATAAGATCCCACCGAACCCTCTATCCTTTTTGTTTTACAATGTATGCCATGCCCATTTCTAGCTACCCACCGTCGTCCCAATGCAAAAAGGCAATCCCACCAAGCCGAACTCCGATCCATCCATCCATTTTAAGATCCCCCAAATATCGCACAAAATAGCAACTAGCTCATGTCCATCTCCACTTCCATGGTGTGGCCAGTGAGGCTTTGACTTTCGTGAAGAGTCCCCCCTTCAATCCCATTTATCATGTGCTCTCCGTTGATCATCGGCTGAAGTTCGTTGTTCATAGCATGTCCATTCATTCCATCCATCACCATCTCTCCGTTGGTCGTCGGCTGAAGTCCAACGTCAATCTTAGGAGTTGAGCTGGCCTCCATAATGACATCTCCCTCGAAGATTGGTACGGGTCCTCTGAGGTTGACCCATGTATTCTCTAAACTTGTGTTCACAAGCCGACCTTGTCTCAAATCCTCCCCAAATAAGAAGTATCCTTCATTCGATTCAACAAGATAGCTTGCCAAGCCCTTGCTCTGAAGCCGTATCTTTGCGTCGGTTATTGGGAAGTGGTTTTCGATGAACTTTGTCCAGCCTCGAGCGGCAGCTTGAATGTCTTCGTCGGCCGTGTTGACAGATGACCAGCCAATTCCCAGATGTCGGGTGAAGTCGTCGACAGTTGGCTCAGCGTGGCCGTTCGTCCGCTCGGGCGAGCCTGGCGACACCAGCGTTCCGTTGCTCAGGACCTCTTCCGAGATTGACGGAGTCGAGCTCAAATGCAGTCTCTGACTCTTGGATGCGCGCAAGATGGGTCGCTCAGGAACCGACGCAGCTATTGCAGCCGCAGCAGCCTTTGTCTTCTCTTGTTCTGCTTTCTCTTCGGCCCACGTTCCTGTCTGACTGCCGGCTTCGATGATGCACCCCTTGCGGTTCGGCTTTATCAATGTCATTCCTTCGCCATATTCCCACTCCTCTTCATTCTCTGGCTCGGGCTGAACGACTGGAGGTTGGACAGGGAAGTAATCGTCTTCGAGATTCGATCCTGCCTCGTCGCGTGAACGTTTTCGGCCGGCGGCTGAGGTAGGAGTTGCGCTTGCGGGTGTGGGATTCGACCAAGAAGATGTTAAAGGTGATTGATGGGCGCCGTTGGTGAAGGGTGAGGTGAATTGTGGGCGGTTCGAGGCCATATTGAAGGAAGGCTGTGGTGGGAGGTGAGGCGGCAAGACAAGAACAGGTGAAGAGGATGAAAAGGGTTGATCGAAGTATCTCATGGTTGAAGGTGAGGTATGTTGACAACAGGCGTTGAGAAACGAGGCAAGTGAATGCCTCAATTGAAGGTGAAGATGAACGGAAAAGAGTGGGACAGCGGTGTAGGAAGGGATGATACTTATGGGAAGTGTGGAAGAAAGAAAGGAAAGCTGAGGGAGCGGAATCAGCAGCAGCAGAAAGGCTGCTTGGTTGACTGGGAGGCGGAAAGCTCCATGCAGTGTGTGATTCGCTGCCGCTGCTCGACGGTTGGTCTTGGTTGCGCAACATAAGAGCTAGGCCCGGACGAGGCTAGGCCAATAGTGCTCCACATCGAAAGCAGACGCACGTCGCTGATTTGCTGGCATAATTCTGCCGCACCGGGAAACCCTTGCTTTTCGTCTGAGCTCCTGCCTCCCCCGCTGTCTCAAAAATCCAAGGCTGGCATGGCATCGATTCTTGCCGAGAGGGGGCGCATGACCAGATCCGCCTGAATTGTTCATGTGCCGGATGGAGTCACGTGTGCGGTGTATCGCAAATGCTAACATACAGCTCCCAGACTACCTGGAGAAGAGACTACGAGAAAAATTTATGCAGTGAAGCATTCTGCAATCAGCAAAAGCCCGGTTGTCCATGTTGTATCACGTGGCATTTTCACGTGATATTGTCACATGCGTAGATCGTGCGGTAGCTCTATGCTCAATGCCTAGCTCCCAAACCTTAGAAGCTAGTACATACTTCCCTTGAACAGACGTTGCTCTCTGCATACCGGCTATGCAAAAATGGAGCTAACTGGTATGTTCACGTGCTTTACCGCTGCCTGAATGCCTACTAGGTAGCTTACGAAATTAACTTTTCCCATGTCAGCCAGTGACGGTAACCAGGCTCAGCCTTCGCGTGACCCTCGCCGCCTGCCACGCAACAGAGCCAGAAATTGTGACCGAGAACTTCTCCCCTCCTCTCGAGTAAAGAAACTGTTCAACAATAATTGCAATTATGGCTTCTGTCACGTCTCTTGATAGTGATATGCGCAAATTGCGCCTCGACAGATACACTCCGCAAGCCGCGAACGAAGTGCGAACTTTCATCGAAGAATCCCTTGGAGAGCGCTTGGATGGAGGGGACCTGCTCGCAAGCTTGAAGGATGGAGTCGCGCTGTGCAAGTATGACTTACCTTCTCTATGCATCGTTTCCTTCTCCTGTGTACATGCTAACAAATATATCTTCTTTCAGACTCGTCAATCTTGCAGTACCAAACACTCTCCGATTCAAAACCAGGGCTGTGATGCCTTTCGTTCAGATGGAAAACATCGCCATGTTCCTGAACGCATGTTCGAGCCCGCCGTTTAATTTGCAATCGCACGACACATTCCTCACTGTTGACCTCTACGAATCCAAAGACCCGGCGCAAGTACTACAATGCCTTGGCGCATTCAGCAGAGCAGCCCATCGAATAAACCCTTCAAGGTTTCCCGAACCAATAGGTGGGAAGTCGCGCGGCTTGAGCCCACAAAGGACCGGCACGCCAACCGTAGGCGGAGGCAGTTACGGAAACCGGGGTCGAGGCGTCAGCAATGCCAGTAACACCTCTTCAGCATATAACCCAGGCTCGAGACCGGTTCTAACGCCTACGAAGACTGGCGATTCAAATAGTGGAAGATGGAGTCCCACCAAACCAACCTCACCCGGCGTCAGCAGTTGGAGCAAAAAGTCCGATGAAGGAGCCACCGCACCAGCATGGAACATCGCGCAATACGGATACATGGGGGGAGCTAGTCAGGGCAATCTGGGGGTCTCATTCGGGGGTAGACGGCAAATCACGAGTGCTGGTCCACACGTTCCAAATATGGCGGAGAAGGAGAAGAAACGCAAGGAGGAAGAAGAACGCTTGCGGATCCAAGCCGAAGAGGACGAGCGCAGGCGGCAGGAAGATCAAGAAGCTGAGGAAGAGCGAGCGCGGATTGCTGAGGAGCAGAAATGGGCCGAGGAGACGAGAAAGCTGAGAGAAAGGGAGCGACAAAAGGCCGAGGAAGAGAAGCGAAAATGGGAAGAAGAAGAGCGAGCGTGGCGGCTGGAAGAAGAAAGACGGCAGAGAGAAGAGCAGGAGGCTGAAGCCAAGCTTCAAGAAGAGCGGAAGAGGGCTCGAGGTAGTAGTGATGCTCGATTACGCGGACAATTCTTGAGCCAGTATCAAGCAGAGAATGGTGTGTCTAGGGGCAACAGCAGCAACGATGGCCCGGAATCCAATCGTATCAAAGAACTCGAACGAGAACTCGAATTAGCTCGGGAGCGCGAAGCTGAATATGAGAGAGAACGACAGGCGAAGATCAAGCAGCGAAGTCGTCAAAACATAGAAGATCACGACCTCTCTGTTCGAGTCAAGGAAGAGAGCGCAAAAGTACGTTCTCGTTCACGAAGTCGACCTCGAGCACCATCCCGCAAGAACAGCGATGAAGTCTGGAGGGAAGACGAAAGAGAATATCTCCGTAAGCAATACAATGCCCACCACTCCAGCGAACCAAACCCATCCCGCACCTCACAACCACAACCTTCGAAATCACCTCGTCCACTCCCTGATCCAGCCCCTCCAGTCCGCCTGGTGAAGAACAATACTGGGCCATCATCAAGGCCTCTCCCAGACCCCAATAACTACTCAGCATCACCACAATCTCAGGTCCCTAGTCAAACCCGAACAGACCGCTATCTCTCATCGAACCCTCCTCCCCAACAAGCACAAGCACGTACAACGTACTCCAACGAAATCGGCGGCTTCGACAGCGCAGCTGAACGCGATGCCGAAGATCGTCGTCGTATGGTTTCACAGCAGAAGACTAAGGCTGGCGGCTGGGCATCAAAATCTTTGCTGGAACGAGAGATGGAGCTGGAGAGGCAACGGCAGAAGGAATGGGAAGAGAGCCAGAAAGAGATCAAGGCTAAGGTTCCGAGAGGCGATGGCGTGGATGGTATCGGTGGTGGGATTGGTGGGAAGTGGGATGTGAATCAGTGGACTGGGTATACTGGCGGTGATGGGCAGAATAGGGGGTCGCAAGGAATTGGCTCGGGGAGAAGGCAGATTGTTGGGCCGAGACCGCCGCCTCCGGGTCGTTAGTGGATAGGTGGTGGTGGTGGTGCAAAACGTGCTGGGCATGGAGTTTTGGTTATGTGGGGAATAGGTTAGATTAGGGGTAATGGCATTGGGTGGGGTTTGATCCAGCGTTGGGATTTTTTATGCAGGCAGAACGAGATATGATCGGATGAATTGATGAGCATTTTGTGTTGTCTTGTCTTCACCTTTGGTGTGTCTTTCATGCTTGGCGCAGATGTCTTCTTTGTGTCAAAGACTTTGAGCACGTGGTTCCAATTTTGCATTGCGCTCAAAGTCCACTTTGCTTTTGTCACGGATGTGATAGGAGGTCAAGTGAACCACTTAAGTGAATGTGAGAGTCAAGTATGCCTCAGATGCGTCTTGCAAAACATAACAATCAGAGTTGAAAGCTTTAGGAGTGAAGCGAATTGGCAGGCCATGAGATAAGCTTATGCCTGAGACAAAGAAGAGACTAAGCTGTGAGTGGTCGGTTTATAGATATAGATATAGCGGAAAGTACGAAGTGTAACGACACTTTGTCAGTTGATGTGAGAAGGGTACTAAGAGAAGGCTAGGCTATCATTGGCCTGCAAGAAGTGTAGCTTGGATGGGAGATTTTCAACGAAACTAGGTGGTTTAGAGACTAAGAGAATACTAGGGGTTTATCGACCAGTAAAGATGCGTAACGAAAAGGTCAATGTGCAACGAAGGCTTTGAAAAGTTAGGTGAATTGCAAAGGGGGTGAAAGGGGCTGCATAGGTGGGTATGTTTAGCAATGGGAAGTCTCAAAGGGGAAATAGGGCGACGGGCAAGGGACAGCCGTCTTGCAACGAAACTCTGAAAGCAGAAGAGAATGAACAGAAGAGAATGAACAGAAGAGAATGAACGCTAATGCTAAGTGAGTTGTGCAACAAAAGCTTTGCATTGTCGAGTGAATTTCCAAGCGGAACCCATATTTACCCTATTTGAACATATGTTGTGCAACAAAGTGTTTGGCACAAAGTGGCGAATGTTTGAAGTAGCCACTAAACAACTGTGGGAAGCCTCTCAGTCCAAGTCAAGCTTGTGGCCAGTGTCCTTGAACCCGTTGACGCCGACTGAAGCCTCCTTCTCAACCATCACTGACCCTTCTCCAGTGAGCCTCCTATTCTGACAGCGTCCTAGCCATTGAGCTTGCGCCTCGATTCGTGGTTTCGCCGTTTGCTGTTTGCTCACAGCTTTCGTATCAAGAGGTGTAGTTAGCTAAGTTGGATGGCTCAGCTGGGAATTTGGAAATAGTCTTAAGGCCGGGTTGTTGATGAGATTGGAATGTGTGTTTCTTCCGAGTCGTGTGGTGGTTGGTATGGCTCGGCGGCATAGCACGAGGTACAGCAAATATAATGGGAATGGAATTGGGCTCGAAAACATGTTTTGTGGTTTGGTCCAAAAACCCGAAGAAGAATGACTTGCTCTCGAGGTCGAAGAGCCAGATAGGAGATGGACAAATTGGATTAACAAGTTTGGGAAGTCTGGACATTGCGAAAGATAAGTTTCTTGAGATTCTGCGGAGAATATGTGCTGCCGCTAATGAGACAATACTTGTACATCCTCTAGGAATAGTTCATGGGGAGCTCTTCCTGCTTAGAAACAACGTTCCACTTGAAGACCGTGAGGGCAGAATGCCAAGTGTACAAACGGAGAGCGCAGCATGCACTAGCCTCGATATCATAACAGGCAGAAAGCAAAGTGTACAAAAGGGACGGAGGCTGATGTCAACAGCACAAGATGCTGCTTGGTCCAGCAAAGGACGCTTATCGATGGGCAAGGAGTGTTGGACTACAAAGATAAGGGATTCTAAGATGTATGGTTTGAAGTGCAAGAACAAGAAAGCTAAACGAAGAAAGGGATGACAGAGGGCCGAAGACGGGCCGTTCCAACGCAACCGAGGATGATTGGAAGGAGCCAAGCAACAGTTCGTTGATCCGACTGTGACTTTCCGATCTTTTGCAACCTTCCGGATCTGTAGGCAGACCAACGATTGCAAAGCCTTCTGTTCTGGAAGATGTTTCGTACCTCGAAACGTGGTTTCTGCCCCGCCTTGTCAGGGGAAGGAGCCCGGGATCCGATTTTGTGGATTGAGACTCGAGGCTCAGTATGGGGAGAACTCAGCCCCAGGATGATTTTTACACTTCAGGGGTGGAGGAAGGTCCTGGCCCTATCACGCATCTAACCCCCTGGCCACACGTTCTAGGACCTTTCTCACCAATCAGTTGACTTCGTGGGGTACGACCCGCAGATAGAGAAACGTCCCGTCTTCCTCGGCCATCGAGACGCATACAAGGGATTTGAAGAAGGTTTTACTGGATTCCCGAAACATTTACCTGATGACTGCGTCGTGTCTCGTAGAGACGAGCTTCAAAAGCAAGGACGAATGGGAGAGTAGGGTGGGTTGGCTGTGGCGTCGACTAGGCCAAATATGGCGAGGGGGAGATCACTTTTGCTACTGGCGGCACCTGGCCAATCCTGAAGGCCTGTATGCTGACTCCACAAACTCAGCCGTGAGCGTCAGAAGGTCGCAACCACGTTTTCAGCTGGACGACATGTCAACAGTCGTCAACGAGCCAGGCTCCGTTGCAGTGGTATCAACCCAGCCATAGTCCTCTCCACGCTTCGATCGCTCGTTTCTTCCACTTTACTAGGATCCTCGCTTCATTGCTTCCGCCTCGTCCTTGCAATAGACACCAGGCTGCGATTGAAAGCGGGGCCACCGCGTCTTGCGCAACTAGACAAAGACGTACAAATGGCCACCACTACTCCTTCTGCATCATCACGTTCAGGGCGAGCGTCTGTTGACGCTTCAAGCAGCAGCTCAAGCCCCGCCGCACAAGCAACGAAGACAGGACGCCCGAATCAATGGAGTGCTTCAAGGCAGAGGAAGCTGGCACGGCTATACCTGTATAGCATCCTGCCTCCGAATGAAATCCGGCAAGCGTTGGAAGAGAAAGTCGACAGCTGGAAATGGATGCCAGGGTAAATCGTTGTGCAGCAGCTTAAATTTGCATAAACTAACCATCTACAGAAAAGAGTCTACTACCAAAGTTGTCCACTCACTTCTGGACAAGGATCCAAGATGGCTGAGGCCCAAAAACAGAGAAGAGATGGATGCCAGGATAAAGGGCTTGTCAGACTCAACGCAACAGCGCAAAAACTTGCGAAGATTCTCCCCGAAGTCCTACGGGACCACACTCGGCCCACTGACAGAAACCCCTGGTAACGAGGCTTTCCCCACGCCTGATTCCTCCGACTTCATTGAGGACATTGAAAACACCTCAGTTCCGGAACTTAACATGATCTCAACCAACGAATTTAGCCAAACACCCCTTCAGGATTTGTTGGCGTGGGCACCACAAGAACCTATTGCAGTATTTCCAGGTCCCTCTGCTGCTTCCTTCTATCATTCGCAGCACACCGGCAAAGCCTCCGTGTACACAAGTTCTATTAAAGAACCATCCATCGCGGCTTACACCCCACAGTCTCTTGGGTCCGAGGATCCTTTTGCTGCGTATATGCAAAGCACGACTCAAGTCGGCGTAGTGAACGAACAGAGCGAGTCCGCTGAATTTAATACAGAGGATATAAAACGACGTCTTTCTCAATACTCGGATGGATATCTTCAAAACATAGTCCGGCTACTTGAAGCCTTCTCGATCTCGGACGCCTCAGGTGCTACGACTTCGCAACTCACTCCCTCCCTAGATGATGCATCGACAACGTGTGCGAGCACTGTACGACCTGCATCTTCCACTGTCACCTCGTCCGGGAACGGAAGGGGGAGGATCACATTACCCAGTGCATTCCTATTTCTTGATCGTTATGTCAGTCGACAGGGCGTTTGCTTGCCTGGGTTGCGATCCCACGATTCCGGAACCTGCTGGTGTCTTGAGGATTTGGATCCTAAGAGTCCACTCTGGGTTAGTAGGACTGGATTATCGAACCCACGTATTAACGATCCTCCTCAAAGTTTGAAGCACTTAGATCTTCGGTTCCGGGACATCTTTGGAAATACGGTGCTTCATATGCTTGCCTGTCGTGGTGCCGACATAAATATTATCTTCAAAGCACTGAAGCAAGGAGCAGATCCGAATGCTAAGAATTCGGCGGGACAGACCTTTGCCCACCTTTTCAGCCGGCGATTTCTGCGTACACTGTCTGAAGACAAAATGGTCTTGGTGTCTGTGCTGCCAAAGTTAGCCTTGTTTGATTTCAGATTTCACGACTGTGATCTCTTTGGCCGAAGTTTCTTCCATGTACTCACACTTGAAGCAAATGATGTCAAAGACAACGCCCTGCAGGGCCTGACATGGCTCGATAGGCAGAATCGACCTGCAAGAGATGCTTTCGGCTGGACCTCAGCCATCGATCCAACCACACAGGCCGGGACAACTGCTCCTGCCCAACGAACCTACACCTTGGCAGAACTCGCCAAGTATCCTCACCTGAGTTCTGGTGAAGGAAGTCCCGAGGAAGACTTTTCCGAATCTGCTGATCCCAATTTTTTGATCTTCAAGCATGCACGGCTACTTGAGACAGCACGTCTAGCAATCGACGTTCCCGATATCGAAGATACACAAGGTCGCAATGGCCTTCAGTGTCTAGCGGAAGCCTCTCTCTCCCTCGGCGACGATGAGGAAATATCGCCGGCCAATAATAAACGTAAGCGCGATCAGTCTGACCCCGATCCCGCAAAGACGAGGCTAGCATTCCGTTATGAGCTTGTCCAGAAAATGATAGAAGTGGGAGTTGATGTCAACAACTATGACAAGAAGGGGAATATTGTGCTCATGGCCTTCATCACTCATCTCCAGGATGGTGAAGACGACAAGACTCTCACCCGGCTCCTCAACTATATCATCCAGAACGACGCAAATATACATTGGCGAAATCGTGACGGGGAAAGTGCTTTACACATCGCCGTACGACTGGGCCGCAAAGTTGCCACCAGAGTTCTCCTGATAAACGGCGCCAACGTTCATGCTAGGGACACTGATGCCAAAGGTATATTGGCTGTAGGGGAAGCGCATTATCTCAAGGCGAAAAAAGATCCGCCGTTATATGCTTCGATCATGGCTTGTATGGCTCTTTGCATACAATACGGAGCTGTGGCAAGGCCAACTTTGGTTCAGGAATGGTCGATAAAAGAGAGGAAGGGTCAATAATACTCCAGAATGTGATCTAAAGCAGATAAAAGTGTCGTCGCTGGCCTCTCTCAAACAGCTAGAGTAGGACAGCTTTTTGGTGAGTTCAGAAAATCTCTCACGAAAATCAGGAACAACGTCATAACAAGTGTTCAACGGTCCCCCTCTGCTCATTCTATCTTATACTGACGGCAAAATAGAACAAGCTTGGTTGTAAGGTTACTTATAACCACGGGCACAAGCATTAGCTTTTTCGAACTTGACGAGAGGGTGGTTCGCTTTGCCTCCATAACCTTTTTAGACTTCCAACGCCGTCAGGATCCAGATTGATCCTTCGATATGCCAACTTGACTTCTGTTCGTCCTGGCCAATACTAGCTTCTTTGTCCAATGTACAGAAAGGAAGCAGTACAATACCTTCTTCGAAAGGTAGTATATCTCTCGAACCAATGTACGAGAAGAACTGGTACAAGGCCCGTTTCGGGGAGCAGCATGTCTCTCAACCCAATGTTCGTCACAGTTAAGAACAATCCTGTCGAATGGGGGGCTTTTGGTGAAAGTGGGATATCTTTCAGCGCAGAGAAACAGGAAATCATAGGGGCAAAGAAGTGTGGTTCGTTGAGGTAATCTTAGTGACTGCGGATGATAAAAGCGAGGCAAAGTGGAATAAATACAAAACGTCACAGCCATAATCCAATGAGTTACAATTTGTTCTCGCTCCTTTTGGATCTCCTGAGCAATTCCAGAAGCCTCGAAGGCTTCGTACTCGGGAATACAGCAACATCTAACAATATCAGGCTTCAACACTCGAATCTACAGATTGCATAGATACTCAAGAGCGGACATCTGAACATCTGGTGCGAGCGTTTGAAGGGCCTCAATATCCATACCTTATGTGTGTTCTCGGCCACAAGGAATAGACAATTCTATCGTGGTCGTGCAGCCGCAGCCGGACCTCGTGTTTGAGGAAAGAATGGGGACGAGCCAATAGCGGGTGCAAATATCTTCAGTTTTCGAGAGCCATACTCATACGGCAGCAACTTACGACTACTATTCGGATACGAATCGAAGTTTCTTTCAACAACCGATGCGCGTCTTCGTCGTAACAGTCCCGACGACAAGATCAGACAAACAGCGCTCGCATGTGTTTCCGATCTGCGATGAGCAAACTTTTTCGATCTTCTAGAACATGTTTTCTTGAGCCTCATGGAAACACCATTTTGGCTTGCGGATATTGAGAAGAAGACTTCGCATCGCATCAACTGAGATTTGGGGAAAGTGGTGAAACATCTTCTGAAATTTTTCATTCGTCTGGTGTTTGAAACGAAATATTCGCGACTTGAATCAACGAATGGCAGTTCGCATCGGATCATCGGATCAGCAAATCAGTAGAAAAATAGCTTGAGAAGTGACAGATTGGCAAGGGCACTGCTGTAAGTCTGACTAGCTTTTTAAAGAGAATGTTTGTTTCAAGTGCGGCTCTCAGTGACGATGCAAAAAAGTGTTTGGCTTTATCTTGCGGGGACAGACAAGCTTTCACAAGCCAGGAACGAAAATGCTCCGAGATGTTGGGTTACAGACGAAGGAAGTTGAGATTGATGAAAATATATTGATATCACTGACGAGAGTCTAGACTTCTACAATGGGTGGGCATCTGGTGTGAGAATTTTGGTCTTTGAGGTTGGCAATCAAAATCTGTTTCCAAATACTCTGCACACTTGATTCATGAAGAAAGAATAGACGAGTAGTAATAAAAGTTCGTAAATCGTTGAGTAATAAAATCTGGATATTCGAAGAATAGAGTATTGTACAAGAGTCGAGTGAGATCCGTCAATCTGACATTCCAATCTGGACCTCCCAATAACCCGGACCAGCCGTAAACCCATCCCATTATCACCCAGTGACAAGTTCAGGATCCACCCCTCGCTGCCACTAAACAAAGCCGTTTTTAACATCCACACATTACTCTAAAGCATCTTATTCTCCCCACCCCCCGGGCTCCTCACCCTCCCCATCCACGCCGAGCTTCTAGGCGGCCTCCTCGGCCTCATTCCCGTCTCCGGACTCGCACTCCCATCACTCCCCCCACCACTCAGCTTCCGCACCCTAAATGCGTAAACCAATAACTCACTATCCCCTGAATCGATCGGATCCCCGACCAAATCATGCTTCAGCTTCAGATCAAAGATCGCCTGTCGAACCTGCTCGCGTGTAGCATTCGTTCGATCTGGCGATATATCCTGCCATCTCCCAGGAGAAATCGGGAAGCCATTAATATCCCCATTTCCATACCCTTTTGATTGGGATATTTCCTGAGCAGAGCCGTACGACATGCGCATCTTGACATCGACATCCTGGAACAGCCCTTCCTTGTCATCCTCCTTCGGGACGGAATATTGTCCGGGACCGGTGCAGCCATTCGGGATGTGGAACCGCAGGTCAAAACGAGCGGCAGCGAAGAGGACCACGACGAAGATCTCGAGCATAAATCCGGTTAGGTAGAAGATCGTTTTCGTGTCGACTTGTCCGGGGTCGTTTATTGGGTGCGATTGTGCAGCGGCGATGAGCCGCACTACGGCGCCGATGAAGAGTGTGGCGGACGAGTAGACTAGCATTACGAGTTTTGTTCTGAATCTCCCCGTGCCGAATTTCTCGATGGGGGTCGGCGATGGGAGGACGGCGAAGGTGGAGAGGGTTAGGAGCGGGAAAACACAGAGGAAGAGGTTCCAGGATGAGCCGAAGAAGAGCAGGTCCTTGGTTGCTTTTGCGCCGGACGCGGTGGTTACGAAGAAGGAGGCGGTTAGGACTGCGATATTGAAGATTATAAAGAAAGGGACGGAGACCAGGAGGAGCGTGAAGAAAGTGCTCGTTGCGGGATGCCAGAATATTTTGGGATGGATGGCACGCAGGATCCGCTGAGTTAGGACTAGGTTGATGGCGAATATTACGCTCACACTTAGAATTGTTAGTGTGTTGTTTTGGGAGAGCGAAGGAGGCGCTTACCCTGCGTTCTCGAAGATAAGTGCAGCGAGGACGACGCTGTTGTTCATGGAGCGGAAAGCCCAAACGATTCTCATCGTTGTCGTGACTGTCCGTACCATGCAGAAATCAAAGAATAGATCTGAGAGGATGAACTTGTGACCTCGCTTGGAATTGATGTTGTAGATCGTCATGTGCGTCGCGGCTCCTATGAGGAAGAGGACCAAGAAGACAACTGTGATCGGTACGTCCAGCTTTGCTGTTGGGATGCCTCCCAGAATTGCGTCTGGAGGTGCAAACGGTCCACGACCAACTCGTTTCATGGTTTCAATTTGGGCCGGTATGAGCGCTGGTTCTGCGAGGGCAGCGGCAGCTGCAGCTGCACTTCCTTTTGCTGACAAAAGTGAAGCAGTTCGACTTGCGGCTGAGCTAATTGTCGAGCTCGGCATATTCCCAGTTGCTAGACCATTTGGTTGAGAGGCTTGTACTGAAGCCACTGAAGCCCAGGTTGGCGATGAGACTGCCTGCACGGAGACGGCGGGAGTCACGATCGGAGTGGGTTCTGTGAAGATGGTGGCTGTAATTATTGTAGTCACCGATATAGTAGGTGGTTCCGTGTTTGCTAAGGGTACTGCTGAAGCGAGTGCCGGCGTAAGAGTTTCTATTGATACCGCCGTTACTGTGAGAGTGCTTGGAGGAATAATAGATGTGGATCTGAACGTAGAAGTCGCACCTGGGACAAGGCGGGTGGTCGAAAGCACAGCAGCCAGCGAAGACGTATGTGAACCCATTTTCGAGATACCTCCAAGAACTGAAGATCTCCTCCAGGGAGTTTGGTGCAAGAACTTGACAATCTCAAAGAATGAGAATCATATTTTACCTTTGTTTCGGTTCATCTGGATTTGGCTCCACGATCTCATCGGAGCCTGGCTAGGCCGAATGCCACCATACTTTACGTCCTGTCACGAACACCTCGCATCACGTCTCAAAGGCAACGAACGGCACGTGCATCGCAAGAGAATCTTGAGAGCTGCCACAACTCTGTGGCAGTCCCGTGACTTGTTCGCAAGAAATATGAGATGATGGAGAACCTTGTAACTCTGTGACAGATCTCGTGACTTCCTCGCAAATAAACATCGGATGCTGCACAATTTTGTGCACACCTTGAAAAGATATTCGCAGTGACCGAGACCACACTTGATTCAGACAGCACTATTGTTTCAAGGAAATACCAAACTTTGCAAGAGACTGCGTATATCCTCAGTACCGAGTGTGTCCCGTTTTTTCGCTTCCGTTGTTCTGGTCAAATCTAGCAGCGCCGAGAGAATGGAGGGCGGCGTGATCCTTTTCTGTTGAATCTTCTGCATAGTTTCAATAGTTTCACCTGCGTTGTGAGGTGTTTTTTTTCGTGATTAGAAGGCTTGCATTTTGAAGATCTTCAAGACGCCAATGCAGCCCCGGACAGTATGGGGAGGCCCGGAGAAAGGACAAGCGCAGAAGTCTTGACACTAATCTCTCGGCGGGCCAGCCGACTTGCCAGAAAGCAGTTTGATCTCCATAGGGACATTTCTCTTCGCTACTGCCTTTCCGTGCAGTCTCAGGACCGGGAAGATGAAACTCTTGGGGGTGGTAACCTGATTGCCTTCTCCAAAGGCGGAGGCCGGAGCGCAACCAGGACTCGGCGACTTGGGAACGATCTTCTGGAAACTATGGCACTAGATCTCTCCAGTTGAGGGATTTTCCGCCATGCACTGTCCGCCCTCCTGACCCGGGAATGGACGAGGGGGCTTCAAGTTTTCGGTCTTGGGAGTTAGAAATCGGGTTCAGATAGCCCTGCTGCCTTATATTGAGACAAACGTCAAAGGATCTCGCTAGATCTCGTATTCATATCGTAGGTGCTTGAGAATATACACTACAAATGAGTGCGAATGACGTTGTGTAAGTCTTCCTTCTGGACAAACACAGGGGATGTACGTGCACAGTGCACACGAGAGGCTTAATGTGTGCCAAGCCTGATCGCCAACAACTGTTCCCTCCACAACTAGGGAGATGTCCGGGGATTTAGCACAGCAGCTGCATTATCTTGATGTCAGGCTAGGCGGTTTGAGCCTCGGGGCTTTACAAGCACCACAAACGTCCCTTAATTGGAATTTGACTTGCACTTGCATCTAGAGACTCACAAACTGCTTAGCATGGACCTTGAATCGCTCTTTGCCTGCCGCTCACCTACGGAGTAATGTCGGCTGACTCGGCCCTTTAGTTGGGGGAGGCGGGGAGGCGGGGAGGCTCAAGTGTCGAGCTTGGGATTTGACAAAGCAGGCCGCCCTCACCTCCGAATGCTGAGATCTGCAGCCAGCATAGAACGGGCAGGATCTTGGCTGCAGTGAACACGCAGTCGACGATGATGGGTGAGCGCACGAGACAACGGGAAGCCCGGGATGCACAATCTGGCGGTTCTGGGAAGAACGGTCACTAGATTCGGCCTGGTTTTGCGCGAACCGGGGTCGTGGGGTGCGGAAGTCACGATTCTCGCGCGCTGAGGCAGATGCTATCCATTCCGGCTGGATGTGTTTCATCGAATCGACCGAGGACGTCGAAGCATCGGATGTTGACACGATGCTTATCAGACCAAAGGCAAAGAAGGCAAAGGACGGGAGATGCCAGGGGGGCAAGCTGACGGCAGGAGTTTGACATCGTAGCTGGCTGGAGGGAGTGATGTGACGTGATGGTATGGTGAGAGCGACAGTCCGCACCGGAAGTCCGTTAGGGGGTGTCCTCTACCGCAGTCCAAACAACGGGAACACGGTGGCGCTGATTGGATGTCTCAGCAAGAAAAGGAGTGGCGAAAGGGGCGCCTCCTAGCGCGCTTCGGCAAAGGAGTTGATCCGGGTATGGCCAGCACAGGGAATTAGACACTTGGACAACTTTATTCCAACCGCGACTCCACCACAACTCACTCCCTGCCTCCTGTTCCCCCCCCCCCTCACCGCCCGCAACCTCACGCTATGCTCACGGTGCGATCTCCGCTGCCTCGAAACGCATCTGAAATCATCCATGAGAGGCCCGGCCGGGTGCTGCACGGCGCGGCGATGACATGTGCCAATTCGGCGAACCTGCTCCTGCTCCTGCTCCCCTGGCCAGTGTCCGCCGGCGATCCTGGCATCGTCCAGTCTGTGCCGTCTTCCTCAGCATCCATGCAATGCTCGCCGGCGTGTCGCATCGCATGGCGTCCCAGAACGCGAAGAAAGTAGGTGCAGACCAAGAATCTTGTTCTGTTTCTGCCAGACCGAAGGGTTCCGTCTTATCTTCTCATTGGCTTTTATTCTTCGTATCCGTCCTAGCCTAGGAGCTCCTTGCTGCGCATCACTATCACGGACATGCAATCGCTCTTCATCAGGAAAGCGCCGCTGGCTTAGTCTGCTATCAGTTCGAATGCGGCACATCTGTGCCATCCAGCATGAACTCTCCGCTCCACATCTAAATGTTGATCTCAGTTGTGGGATAGATTTGCAGATCTCTTACCCTCGCACGTGAGACCAGAGGTCCAGAGCCTCCTTGTCTACAATGACTAGTCTGTTTTGAGCCATCATTGCGACCATCACTGTGTATTCTTCGTATTGTAATTGACCTGATACCCAGGCCCGCAGTGGCGGCCTAAATTTGGACAGCGGCGGGCCGATGGATCCATCAGGAATGCTTTGACGGGAGTTTGGTAATTACTGAAATCATCCGAGTCGAGTGTCACCATCGACCGGATGTTCACTGCAGGTGCTCTTTGTTCCTTGCAAGCCCTATATATGCCAAGTGTCCTCCTATTGATTTTCAAACTCTGATTATCTTCTGGCATCTTTATCCCAAAGTTTCCTTGTGCCTTTTACTTTTAATCTTGGTCTTTCAGTTGAGCTATACGTCATCAACATGGACGTTATACTCTTTGGTGACCAGACCGTCGACCCAAAGCAGTTCCTAACCAAGCTCCTGCGTCGAAAAGGCTCTCCTCTTTTATCCTCATTTCTAGAACAAGTGCAAGTCGCACTCCAAATAGAAATATCAGTCCTGCCCGCAACATGTCGCAAGAACTTGCCGGCATTCTCCAACCTAGCAGAGCTCGTGGAGAGATACCATGCTGCAGAGCAACCCAACATCGCGATTGAAAGCACCCTCACATGCCTGGCGCAACTAACTCACTTTATTGGGTAAGTGAACCAAGTCTGGGAATGTAACTTGGGCTAATAGATTCATTTCTGCAGATACTACGAGGATTTCCCACTCGAATACCCGCAGGCTCCGACCACACATATTCTGGGAGTATGTACCGGCCTACTCGCAGCCTCTGCTGTTGCATCAAGCCGTTCGTTGACCTCCCTCATTCCCCTCGCTGTTCAAACCCTCCGCATCGCTTTCCGTCTCGGCTCGAGAGTAGCAACTGTCGGACACCAGGTTGAGTCTCAAACGAGTAGACCTCAGTCGTGGTCGACCATAGCCTTTGGGATAAGCTCTGAAGATGCTGAAATTGCTCTTTTAGAGTTCAACGAGAACCATGTAGGTTACATGAATGCGTTTGGGAACAAAGTACTCATGACTCTAGGGCCTTTCACACTCGAATCAACTCTACATTAGCGCAGAAAGTTCCATGTCAGTCACGGTCAGTGGATCACCATCTATGCGACAGCTACTCTTCGGCACATCGCTGCCGTTCCAGAATCTCCAAAGTCGAGAAATTCCAATCCGAGGACCGTATCATGCACGCCACTTGTTCAGCCAATCAGATGTCGATAAGATCATTGACACGGATATTGCTCACCATCTCAACAAATATTCTTCAATACACCGGTTAGTGGGATTGTCATCTTCCACGGCCCCCACGTCTACTGTTGAGCTCTTCCAGCAGGCTGTGATGGAGGTTCTAACTCGACCCGTTCAATGGGAGACGGCCGTCAAAAATTGCGTTTCCGACATCCGGTCATCTGCTGTATCTGGCGTCCGCGTCTTGGCGATGGGTCCTACAGCCCTGTCGAACAGCCTCATTTCTGCCCTCAAGGTTGGGGGTGGCCTCCAAATATCCCTAGAAGATGGCGTTTCGTGGTTCACCCAGAACAGAATTCCCAAGAGTGTCAGTGGTGACCTCAGAAATTCCAAGATCGCTATCGTCGGTATGGCTGGGCGCTTTCCCAACGCTGCAGATCATGAGGCATACTGGAAATTGCTCGAACAAGGACTTGATGTCCATCGAGAAGTTTGTCTCTTCCTCCCCTACACAAACCGCAATGCTGACCCGCCTAGATTCCTCAGGATAGGTTTGATGCTCAAGCGCATTGTGATCCTACTGGAAAGGGTAGAAACAAGAGTCACACTCCATTCGGGTGTTTCATAGACAAACCAGGATTGTTCGATCCTAGATTTTTCAACATGTCCCCACGAGAAGCCACGCAAACCGACCCAATGCAGCGATTGGCACTATCAACAGCATACGAGGCCATGGAGATGTCTGGATTTGTGACGGATCGAACTCCATCAACGAAGAGACACCGCATCGGCACTTATTATGGACAGACTAGCGACGACTGGAGAGAAATCAATGCGGCACAAGACATTGATACCTACTTTGTAAGTACTTCCTTCTTGGTAAGGAGTGTAACTAACCAGTCGCAGATTACTGGTGGTGTCAGAGCCTTTGGCCCCGGTAGAATCAACTACCACTTCGGGTTTAGCGGGCCGTCTTTCAGCATCGACACAGCGTGCTCGAGCAGCTTTGCGGCAATTCATTTGGCCTGCACATCTTTGAGAGCTGGAGATTGCGACACTGTTTTCACTGGTGGCATGAACGTCCTGACGAACCCTGACATTTTCTCTGGTCTTTCTAAAGGCCAGTTCCTATCGAAGACTGGGTCTTGTAAAACTTATGACGATGGTGCTGACGGGTACTGCCGAGGTGACGGAGTCGTTACTCTAATCTTGAAGAGGCTGGATGATGCTATCCTCGACAAAGACCCAATTCTTGGTGTCATCAATGGCATTGCAACGAATCACAGCGCGGACGCAGTGTCGATCACTCATCCTCATGCTGGTGCTCAGAAGTTCTTGTTCCAGAAGGTCATGGACGAGGCAGAGGTCGATGTTCGGTCGGTCAATTATGTCGAAATGCATGGGACCGGAACTCAGGCAGGAGATGGAGTTGAGATGGATTCGGTCTCCACCATCTTCGCTCCTCCGCTAAACAGCAAAGTCAAGCGCCGCCCGGATCAACCACTCTATGTTGGCTCCGTCAAAGCCAACATTGGTCACGGCGAGGCCGTCTCGGGAGCATGTGCTCTGGTGAAGGTCCTAATGATGTTCCAGAAAAACATGATTCCACCACACTGTGGTATCAAGACGAAGATCAACCAAACATTCCCCACAGATCTGAAAGACCGACACCTCAACATGGCATTCAAGCCAACTCCATTTTTACGACCTGCAGATTCAACCCGATACGTGTTCATCAACAATTTCAGTGCAGCCGGAGGAAATACGGCAATGCTCCTCGAGGATGCCCCACAGAAGACCCCCTTGAAGCCAGACAGCCGCTCAAGTCACGTGATAACAGTGACAGCGAAGTCTCTCTCTTCCTTCAAAGGGAACGTCAAGCGACTTCTGGTGTGGGCCAAGGACTTGTCAGATTCAAGTCTTCCCAGCGTGGCATACACTACAACAGCACGAAGAGCACACTACCAGTATCGACTGGCGTTCGAAGCAAGGAACATGCAGCAAGTTCGCGAGACGCTCAACTCCTTTGCCGAGGTCTCGCGGCAACCCATCTCGAGCAATAAGAAACCGAAAGTGGCATTTGCTTTTACCGGACAAGGCTCCCATTACATTGGAATGGGCAAGCAGCTTTTCAAGGATGTTGCCCAGTTCCATCAAGATCTTGAGGATTACGACCAAATTGCTTGCAACCATGGTTTCCCTTCATTTATTGGTCTTATCGACGGTACGGTTCAAGACCTCACAGATGTCTCTCCAGTTGTAACCCAGCTTGCCATCGCATGCAGCGAAATGGCTCTGGCACAATTATGGAAGTCTTGGGGGCTCACACCTGCAGTGGTGATTGGTCACTCACTGGGAGAATATGCTGCACTGCAAATTGCTGGTGTTCTTTCGGCTCTCGACACTATCCTTCTCGTGGGCCGTCGTGCGCAACTGTTGGTTGCGAACTGCGCTGTGGGAACTCACGGAATGCTGGCCGTGCGTGCCAGCTTTTCCACTGTGGAATCCCTCATCTCTCACATCCCAGTCGAGAAAGCCTGCATCAATGGACCAGAAGAACTCGTCTTCTCTGGAACCGTGGATCATATCGAGCAACTGAGGGAGACGTTGGCAACGAACGGCTTCAAAGCCACGAAGCTCAATGTGCCATATGCTTTCCACTCAGCACAAGTTGACACAATCCTGGACGAATTCAAGGCTGCTGCAAAGTCCGCCGTTTTCCACGCTCCGCAGATTCCTGTTATTTCCACGTACACTGGATCCGTTGTCAAGGAGTCAAACATCTTTGGCCCCGAATATCTTTCTCGTCATTGCAGAGAGAGTGTCAACTTCCTGGGTGGTGTGACCTCAGCAATGCAGAGTGGAATTGTTGATGAGCAGACTGTGTGGCTCGAGATCGGGCCTCATCCAGTGTGCTCCAACATGATCAAGAGCATTCTTGGGAAAGAGACAACCGCTGTTGCATGCCTGAACCGGAATGATGATCCCTGGAAGACGATCGCTTGCAGTCTGTCGACGCTCTTCAACGTGGGTGTTGACATTGATTGGTCGGAATACCATCACACCTTCAGTGATTCGCACGAAGTCTTATCGATGCCATCTTATGCCTATGACGACAAGGTCTACTGGATTGACTACAAGGAGAACTGGACTCTGACGAAGGGCCAGAAAGTGGTACAAGAAGAAGTCAAGCCTAGCCTCTCAACTACCTCTGTACAAAAGATCATTCGGGAAAACATTGATGCCGATACTGCTCTTGTGGTGGCTGAGTCGGATCTCGCTGAGCCTTTGCTACGAAAAGTCATCGAAGGTCATCTGGTCAACGGTGTTGGCCTCTGCCCCTCGACTCTCTACGCCGACATGGCTCTTACGCTCTGCGATTATGCATACCGAACCGCGAGACCCCAGGGTGGCAAGCCATTTGTCAACGTCGGCAACATGGAGACACACAAACCTCTCGTTTTGAATCTCGAAGGAAGCTCTCCCAGCCAACTTGTCCAAATCGAGGCCAAGCTCGATTTCACCAAAGGGCGGGGTGTCATCAACTACCGAACTGTGACTCCTGATGGGAAGCTCGTGGACCAGGCAAAATGCGATGTCACCTACGAAGACTCTGCAGCATGGACATCAGAATGGGAGAGGCGAAAATTCCTCGTCCAAACTCGAGTCGACATGCTGAAGGCTGGCGGGAAAGGCATCCACCAAATCCAAAGGGGCCTTGCTTATAAGTTGTTTTCTGCCCTTGTTCAGTACGATGATAAATTCCGAGGCATGGAAGAGGTCATCATGCACAGCGATGGTCTGGAAGCAACCTCCAAAGTGGTTTTCCAGGCAACCAGCAAGGACGGAAATTTCTTCTTGAGTCCATACTTCATCGACAGTCTTTGCCACATTACCGGATTCATTATGAATGCCAACGATGCTGTGGACTCCAAGAAAAACATATACATTTCGCATGGCTGGGAATCTCTTCGTTTTGCTAAGAACATTGACCAGGACAAGCAGTATAGGTCTTACGTCAAGATGCAACATGTTCCTGGCGGAGGAAAGATGGTTGCTGGTGATGTGTATGTCTTCGATGAGGCAGAGGAGATCGTTGCAGTTGCCGGTGGTGTGAAGTTCCAGTGTGTCCCCAAAGCACTTTTAGATACTCTCCTGTCTAGCAAGAAAGCAACTCCTCGTCCATCACCGGTTCCAGCAACTCAAGTCAAGCAACAGAGGACTTTGCAAACAACCACTAAAGCACGCACGTCGCAGCTCACAAGCAAGGGACCAATTGAGTTGGAAGTCACCAAGAAGGCCAAGAAAGTATCAACCCGGGTCGACACTCAGATGACTGGCAATCTCACATCTAAGGCGCTTCTCATCATTGCAAACGAAGTTGGATGTGAGATCTCCGAACTTGCTGACCCAATTGCACTTTCCGACCTCGGAATTGACTCGCTCATGTCCCTCAGCATTTCAGGGAGGTTCCGCGAAGAGCTTGAACTCGAGTTCCAAAGCTCAGTCTTCAACGAGATGGAAACAATTGGCCAACTCAAAAGCTTCATGCGAAAGTTCGAGACTGTCTCTGAATCGCCTGCCACTTCTGGTTACTCCACTCCAGAGATGATGAACAGCGACGCCAGCGATTATTCCGAATGCGAATCTGAGCTTCCGGAACCTGAAGATCCAGTGGTTCAAGACTTGGGTGAGACCGGTGCGGATAGCGATCTTGTCCACATTATCCGATCAACCATCGCAGAAGAGATGGGTGTTGAGCTCGAAGAGATCTCAGACAACACCGACCTGTCAACTATGGGCATGGACTCTCTGATGAGTCTGAGCATTCTCGGAGCATTGAGAGAGAAGACAGGTCTCACGATGCATTCTGATCTCCTTGTTGAGAATACTTCGATCGAGATGATCGAGACTTCCCTAGGTTTACGAACTGTTAAGACACGAACAACAGCCAAGAAAGGATCGAGCATCGAGGCAAAGGTTTCCGTCACAACACTCAAGCCTGCTGAAACATGCTCCAGATCCGCATACCCACCTGCAACATCAGTTCTCCTGCAAGGCAACCCGAAAACTGCAACCCGCACCCTCTTCATCCTTCCAGATGGCTCCGGCTCCGCAACATCTTACACCACGATTCCAGACATTGCAGCTTCGTCCCTCAAAGTCTACGGCCTAAACTGCCCATTCATGACCAAGCCTGAGCAATTTACCATCGGTGTCCCTGGAGTCACCCAAATCTACATGACCGAGATCCAACGCCGACAACCCAAAGGCCCGTACCTCCTCGCAGGATGGTCAGCCGGTGGAGTCCTCGCCTACGAAATGACCCGCCAACTCATCGCCAAAGGCGAAAAAGTCGAGAAGCTCGTCCTCCTCGACTCCCCCTCCCCAGTCGGCTTGGAAGCCCTACCCCCAATGTTCCACCAATACTGCAAAGAAATCGGGCTCCTCGGCACCGACTCCACGATAAAGCTTCCCGAGTGGCTGCTTCCGCACTTCGCTGCCACTGTCCGCGAACTCACGAATTACTCTGAGAGTCTCGGCGATGCGAGTCAGATTGACGTGAGCCAGATGCCGACTACGGTCTGCATCTGGGCGCGTGATGGCATTGTGCACAAGGAGACGGACAAGAGGCCAGACTGGGACCCGAGTGTCAGGATGCCAAACTCGATGCACTGGCTTGTTAACAACCGGTCGAATTTGGGACCTTGCGGATGGGAGAAGTTGGTGGGGAATAATGTCAAGTGCCTCAGTATCCCTGGGAACCATTTCACGATGATGAGAGCGCCTTTGGTGAGTTCCTTTTCCTCCCCTGCCATTTCCCGAAATCCCACTAACTTTGTTCTCTAGACCAACGATCTCGCTGCTTGTATGAAAGAGGGCCTGGAACTCTAGATGGAACAGGCCTGAAGGGCTATGATTGATGATCTTTTCACTTTTGTTAATTCTCATTTGCTTTTTATTTCTATATTCTGGGTTTAGATTTGGATTTCTCGCTTTTGTAGCGCAGCGGCATCTGCAAGGCATGGCAACGGCATTGAATCTTATACACACACCCTCCTTAGAGTAATTTGTAGTATCGTGTATTCGTATTCCAGAGGTACTTGGCTGACGTTTGAGAATTTGGTTTTCATAGCAAAATAGATTGGAATTTTTTATATATCCACGCTGCTTTCCTCGTCTCGTGACTCTGATTCATTTCCTCCTGACCTTAATTCATAATTTGTGAATTGATGAATTGTGAATTGATGAATTCTGAACTGCGATGTGCAAATTGCAAATTGATGCCGAGAGATGCGTTTTACGGACGTCCGACGGAGTCCGGTAAGCGAGAGCGAGGGATATAAATAAATAGAGGCTCGCTCGGTTAATCCCGCCGCCGGATCGACGGGCATAGCGCTTGGGGGGCGGGCTTTACAGGGTACACGCACTAAGGTTTTAATGATCTGCTACAGGGCCGAGATTGGGATGCCTGGGGGAATCCGCAGATCTTTTTGAGGCCATGTCGCGGGCTGATGAGACGGCTATCATAATTTAAAAGGAGCGAGGGAGGGAAAACCGGTGATTCGTCAGTGTCCGAGGAGCCGCTCAGTGCGAGAAGGTGAGGAGGTGGAGGCGTCCGAAAGGGGTGAAGGGCAGGGGGTGAATTTAGGTTACGAATTGGGGAAGTTTACATATTTTGAGGCGAGTTTAGAATGTATTGATATAACGACTTTTGTAAGTTTTGCTGCTGGGTATTTTCCAAGCCTTGAAATTGAGGTTAGAGTTTTGTGAAAGAGGACAAGAAACAGGAACTCGTCACACGAAAGAAATGGCAGCTACTGATAGAGGCGAGATAAGTTTGTTGGAATTGTCTCCATAGTTTCTGTGGTCTGGAGAGGAATTTTGAATCTCAACTTGCACCTTCACCCCATTTAACGGCCTCACGGTCATCATCACGGGTCCTTAACCTCAACTTCATAACTCTGAAACTCTTCAATCTTCCTTGGAATCCTCTCAAAGGCATCTTCGGTGAGAGAATCTTCGAAGGCGTTCTTTGAAGAATTAATGAGATGGCGGTTTGCCCGCTAGGGTCTTTTCGGATCCGTGTTCTGTTCTGACAGCAAAGATGGCCTTACTGCCAGCATGCGTGATTCCCAGTCTCCTCTTCAGCCTCCTTTGAATTTTTGTACATGTATGTTATGGAGTGGAAGTTAAATCTCCGACTAAAGCAACACTAAGTTTGACGTACATAAGTTTTTGACGCACATACTTGGAGTCTTGGCTCATAGGAGGATTTTTGTGGAGATGGTCAATCATTTAATCCGTACGCAGCCGGAAGATAAATTACCCAAAACTAAATTACTTCAACTTGGATATCTAGCGTTTCAATCAACACGAGAGCAGTTTTGCCGCATCGGACTGGTTGACGGAGCGATGCGAAGAATTCTCGCAATCCCGTGTCGAAATGCACGATCCAAGGCACGTCTTTGATGCGCGATCTGATGCGCGCTGTATCGCGATGCGATGCACGGACATATCTTCATGAAGATAGCGCTTGCGGCGAACACGAGAACAGCTATCCAATAAAATATGAAACTTAACGACCCACAACGTCCCACGAAGTTTACCAAAGTCCTGAGTCCGAAACAGGGGAGTGTTGAAGCGGGAGCCAAGACTGATCGGCAACCATAAAATGTGGGCACTAGCCTTGCATTGGACATTCGGAGCGATGTTCCCACGAAGAAATATGGCCAGACCGTGTAAATACAGATGCCACAATTCGGAGGACCAGGAAGGCAGTTCGCTCGGCTTCAGCATCGGTGCGCGAGGCACCCAGGGGAAGTGTTGAGGGAAGACCGAAGACCGAACATAGGTAGGACGCTTTCTAGTTTGCAATATAAAGCATAAGAAGGCCCTCCTCTTCTTCGGACTTCACTTGACATCTCGATTTCTCAGCTTCATTATACCCCCAACCACACCTTTTTCATAATCCAATCACTTCACAATGGGCTCCATCGAACCAACAAAGCAATCAGGCTTCGGGTCTCTTGAAGGGAAAGTGGCACTTGTCACTGGATCCGGAAGAGGCATTGGCCGTGGAATTGCCCTTGAGCTTGCCAAACGTGGTGCATCAGTCGTCATCAACTACGCCAACTCCTCAAAACCAGCGCAAGAGGCAGTCAAAGACATCGAAAGCACCGGAAGTAAGGCTGTCGCAATTCAAGGAGACATGACCAAAGTAGCGGAGGTCCGACGGGTATTCAAGGACGCCATCGATCATTTTGGACGACTGGATATCGTGATGTCCAATTCTGGTACCGAAAGCTTCAAAAAGGAGGAGGATGTTACAGAGGAGGATTATGACAAGGTCTTTGCGCTGAACACAAGAGCCCAGTTCTTTGTCGCTCAAGAAGCGTTGAAGACACTGCAGCACGGCGGCAGGATTATCCTCATGTCATCGGTAGCTGCACAAAGTAAGTTCCCTCGAAGGGGTTTCCTTTCCAAGAATATCAGATCGAGAACGGTATCAATCCAGGCTATCCTGATATCAAGAATGAATTTGATGGCAAGCCTCGATCACGTGCTGATCACATGATTCAGTGTCCGGAGTACCAAACCATGCTCTCTATGCTGGTAGCAAGGCCGCAGTAGAGGGTTTCGTTCGTTCCTTTTCGGTCGACTGTGGGGCCAAGAGGATTACAGTGAATGGGATCGCGCCCGGTGGCGTCAAGACTGATATGTTTGATGAGTGAGTTGACACCAATGACTGTCTGCTTTGCCTATGGACTGACTCCGTTTCAGAAATTCATGGCACTATGTCCCTGGAGGATTCAAAGGAATGCCCATAGAAACGATCGAGGCAGGACTTGCAAACATGTGCCCGTTGAAGAGAGTTGCTGTTCCAGCAGACATCGGGCGAGTGGTAGCGTTTTTGGCAAGCTCGGAAGGCGAGTGGATCAATGGTATGTCTATTGTCCCACTGTCCAATGACACATGAGTGATGCTGACTCCGTGCAGGCCAAATCATCAAGCTCAGTGGTGGCTCCGTTGCGTAGAGGAGGAGAAGCTTCTGGGTGCTGACATGGTTCAGTGTGGGACGGCATGCAATGTGGGAGTCGGGCCGCGGGAGGGCAAGCCGGTTGGGGATGCGGGGAGATGCATGACAGGAGCACGGAAATCACCCACACACCACAGGAACTGATGATGTGCGATACTGTAACTGCAAGCATGATCTCCAGTCCCCACTGCTCTGCACTGCGCTGCTTACCGCATGAATGTTTGATACTGTACGTACCGTATTAGTAGTTGTCAAGGTTTCCCTCAAATCTCGGCAGTTGTTCCCATTGCGGAGAATATGCGGACAGTAAGCACCCGTAGCGGAACTGGTGGAAGCCACGCCGCTCCTTTCCCTGACGACCCCTGAATCAAAGTGGGGATTGTACTGTGTATTTTCAATCTTTGGTTTCTTTGGTTTCTTTGAAGTTTTGTTCTCCTCTTTGCACGGCAGTTTACTTCACGGGTTGGCCACGTGACCAATACAGGATGCTCCGCTTCACGGAAGTTTCGTCTTCATCTTGTCCCCGCCTCCCATCCATCGTCCATTGACACGCACTTGCGCGCAGCGCTCGTCAGTGTCACTTGTGTCATCGCTGCAGACAAGCAACCTCCACAGACGCAAGATACCAGGCTTGACCTTGCATTCATGGTTGACGACTCGAAGGCGAGCATGTGATTTGGCCGTTGGAAGAGGGGCGGGGCTGTCCTGTGTTTAGGGCTTGTTTTGACGCAGGTCTCAGACCTCTTCTTGACACCTTGTTTCTTGCAGTGCTCCTTGTGCACACGAAAAAGTTCCCTGACCTGCCCCACAATCGTACTCGTGGTCGCATTCTGGATCGTCCAATTCGTTCCAGTAATGCCTTTTCGGCCTTGTTTCTCCGCGCAAGGCGTTAAGAATCTCAAAATAGGATAGATGTCTTGCTTTCCCAACTTTCTATATTAAACCGTTTTATCGCCATCTGTGTTTTCTACTCGGTGGCTGGTGTCGTGATACTGCTTGGAAAGGATAACCCTGCTTCATCCAAGGTCGGGGGATAACCCCTCCTCAACACAGGTTCAATACCCTTCTATATGGTTCGTTGCCACACCACTTTAGGCTTCCGGACGTTTCAATCCATCCCCTTTCAATCGAGCAAACCTGCTCCCGCCGTTCCGCCAAACCACTAGCGAAGCATTTTCTTTGGAACTCAGCATAGCCTCTCGAATTCGTATTCAAATGATTCCCACATTCCCTGCGCCATTTAAGTTCGAGCTCAACCGGGAGCGGACATAAGAGCATTGGCTTTATCCTACACCTTCGCAAGCTATCCCTCTGTCGAGTGTCTTTTCCACTTGAAGAACGTCCAATCGCAACATCAACCCAGCTTCCCAATAATATCCGGTAGAAATATGGTCAACACAGGCAAACCATCAAGAGGGTGTTATATGTGCCGTGCGAGTATGCTGTCCCATTTCCTACCACGGTGGAACTTGCTGATGAATACCCAGGGCGAATTAAGGTAATTGATTCCTCAGCAATTGAGATCGTCTGCTCGATCAAATTTCCACTTCTGTGGGCACCCGAGATGGGCATTTGACTGACCATAAATAGTGCGATGAAGGGAAGCCTGGATGTATGCGATGCCAGAAGTCGAAGAGGGTGTGCCCTGGATATCGGGATGCGTTCGAGCTCAAGTTGCGAGATGAGAGTAAATCTACGAAGAAGAAGCACAACCGGAGGCTGAATCAGACTCAATACCCAGTACTTCACGATGTCGTCAATCAAGCAGAGATCTACCAAGACTCGTTCCTTGATCCAGCTCTATTCTATCCTGCTGCAGCTTCCAGTTCTCGTATCTCCCACTCGCGGAACAGTTCCTCATCGTCAAATTCATCGCAAGACTCTTTTAGAAGCCCAGAAGAGGACGTTAGCAGCGTTGTTTCGTCTTTCACCCACCATCTTACAATCCGAGGGCATATGACGACTCCCCTCAACCAGCAAGCGGCATGTTTCTTTCTGGCCAATTTTGTCCTGGTCCCAAAGGCAGGCACTATGAGAGGTTATTTCGACTTTACGTTACCACTTTTGAAACAAAGGGATCCATCTCAGGGTCTCTTACTCGCATTTTCCGCTGTTTCCCTCGCAGCTTTGGGCACCCGACCGAATTCAAAGGCTCTACTTCCAAAGGCCGATCTATGGTACCTGAATGCTTTAAAGGAGATCAACTCAGCTTTAAGAGATCCCAGACTGGCTTCAAGTGATTCGATACTCGTTTCTGTGATGTTGATGGCTACTTTCGAGGTGAGACCGCGGATCTCGCACAGCAGAAAGCAGTTGACTAATCGAACCATAGCAACTAACCCCCTCAAGATTGAAGATCGGAGGATGGGCCTCCCACATCGACGGAGCTGTTGCAGTAATCAAGTCTCGTGGAAGCGAGCCGCATAAGTGGCAGTCAAAAATTGCCCGTGAAATTTTCATTTCGGTCAGAGCTCACATGGTAACTCTCCTGCTTTCCCTTTCCCTGAGCTCATTATGACTTACTTGGAAAGACCATCCATTGTATAGCAAATTCAAAAGCGGCAGACCCAAATGTAGATTGGATGGCTATCGAAGCAGACGACCCTGTCGTCCAAACTTTTGCGGCTGCCAATCTCAAAATGGCCGCTCTGCGAGCAGACACTGATAAAACCACAACACTAAAAGTTCACTCCGCCGAGAACACGGAAATAGTAAAGAAACTATTACAAAGAGCGCAAGTTCTCGATCAGGAATACTTGGACTGGATCAAGGCCCTTCCAGCCGGTTGGGAGATCAAGACTGTCGCCTGGGTTGATAGCGCCGTCCAAAATCTCTCAACATCGCTTGTGCATCCGGGTAGAGTGGATGCTTATGGGGAGCTGTGGATGGCATACAAATACAACATCGTCCGGTCTTGTCGGTTATTTATCTATTCCACCATTCTTCGCTGCGTCGCCTGGCTAGGAAACTCGCATGACTATCGACTCACGCCTGAATACACCACAGCCGCCCGAATCTGCCGTCAACTCGTCGAAGATATAGTCGCCAGCGTCCCTTACTTCTTTGGCTGGAACAGCGAAAATGATGTAACAATGAAAGCCAGGGCCAACTTTGCCTGTGGTTCTAGCGACGATCCCAGCGTCAAGCCGCTGTCAGGTATTTTTGTCATGTGGCCACTCTTCACCGCTGCAGCTTCGGATTTTGCTTCGCCTTCACAACGAATTTTCCTCCGCGGGAGACTGAAACATATAGCTGAGACCATGGGTATTGCTCAAGCTCTCATTCTATCCGAGGTACTTACACAAATACACCCGTCAGAATTCAACTAACAGAAATGAGTTCAAGCTCCCACTCGTCCACCCCTCTCTCTATATCATGCGAGAACGAGCGAATCTCATGCCCACAGCCTGTCAATCCGACGATACGACCGTCACAATCACAGAAGCAGAGGCAACGGCCACAGTCACTCTCGCTCCTGCCCCTCCTCAACAACAAAATGGGTGGCTACCACGCAGCTTCGGATTCGGAGAAAATGGATTCTTCCAGAACGCCGTGGCAATAAAACAACATGTGCAAGAGTACCTCGAAGGGTACGAGCTGACCGGCTTCTAGCCCTCCCCACACATCGGCCAACTTCACAATTTAATGTATTTTTCTATCTTTTATGTCATGTCATTCATTAGCGTTTTGCCTTCGGAGTAGAGGGCTTGATGGTTAGATAGACTCCGTGCAACTGGACGGTCATTTACAACCCATTTGAAGGCATACGCAAGCACAGGAGTTTAGTAATTTTCCATGACTTATGATTCACGATTGTGCGTTAATGGGTCACGGAACGAGCGAAAGACTGCTGGCAGTCTATCTCATAATTTGTCCCCGTAGGATTGAAATCAAGCAGTGTCGGTCTCTCATGTCCGCTCAAGGGAGCTCGCTTTATCAACAAACAAACAAAAAATTCCACACCTTTACCAAAAATTAGCAAAACTTGAGGCTCTGCGGGGGACCCCTTAGAAAACCCGTCGAGCGGATTTTTCAAATCGTTCCACCCTTAAGGTCGTGTATTGAGGTGGGTTTTCGGCCGTCGATCGGGAAATATTTTATCGTGTAGCTTAAGCACTCGTCCAGACCTATCGATCCTCACTTTGAGTTTGTAAAGCTTAAGTGCCAACCCCGGCCCACACTTAGCTCCTTCTCAAAGCTTGTTGTGCAGGCAAATCGGAGCGAGCACGTGATTATTAGATGCTCCTTCGTTTGGGCTCAAGCATTGTATTGTGAATGGCTAGAAGAGTTTGTTACAATTGCGACTTGTGAAAAATACTACCAACGATAGCTAAAAGAGATAGATGACCTCAAAGACTTAGCTTGCGCTTGGTTGCATTTTTCATGCGCTGGGGTCACTTCGAAACAACCCCCTTTGCTCCGTCCCGCTTAGTTGCAGGAGGTGAGGAACTTCGGTCTTTCTGTGTTTGTTGAACAAAGAGAATGATTGCTCCATAGTCAAACTGAACTTACTAGCAGAGAAATCCAAATAGAGATATAAACAATGTTCTCACCGGTCCTGAGAATCCTCTTTCCACTATCACCGCCATTCATCACAAATCCTCAGTCTGATCAGCGATCCCTTCTCAGACCGAGTCAACATTCCACCGGAACCAAATTTCGACGAAGTTCACAAGGTTCCACAATGCCAGATTTATGCTACTACCCATGCCTCTTGGGCATTGCCTCGCCCACCAACAGTGCCCGTGAATGGCTACAAAAGTGGCACGATGAGCACGACGTCACCTTCGACCCAGACCTCAAGTTCGAGATCGCCTGGGACGGACGTTGGATCAACGACAGCAATGCAGAAGAACTTGAGTCGGACTTGGTCAACCGGGGATGCAATTTAGCAAGTAGCAAGCGGATTGCCAAGGATCTGACGGCCATGAAGGGCGCGCCGAAAAGGGCGCATATGGGCGAGGGAGAGATAATTCAGGAGATCTCCTATGTGGGTGATGAACAGCATACCCACTGCGTGGCTCAGTGGTGGTTCCGGGGTGTTTCGTGTGCTTTGGCAGTCACAGTGCTCGTATTCCTCTTAATTTTCATGGAATTGGATCAGGCTGTCCAACAACTTCACGACTGCCGTAGGGAACTTTGAGCTTGGAATATGTGGCTCCATGAGGGAGATACCGATTGCTTGTTCCTTCTCTCGCACCTTTAGCATACGTCGGTCTGGAAAATTGGGATTGTACGAGTCGTCGAGAATCAATGTAGAACACATTTAGGGCATTGAAGTAGAGCTCAACAGCCATCCTAGCATTGAGCAATTCTTTGTAGACACTTCACAATCTTGTAGTCGCCTCAGTCCCATTTCCGTTCACTGAGAAAAATTACTGAGGGTCCTGAATCCAGTCGAACAATCTCTGACTAGGAATCAAATTAAAATCGAAACCAACCGTGTTCGCTGCTGCAAGTGATGCTATACAATATCACTGCTCTTTGTAATATTCTTGGAGCCCAAAGCTTTGCCAATAATTATTTATTTTGTACCAAATGCTAAATAGATGCTTGGAAGATATCTTTGGGATTAACTGTTCCGGCGCCTTGATTATGAGCAGTCCATGCTATCATACAATGGTCATGCCTTCCTTCATTTTGCCAGGTATCAACGAGAGCCGGTGATTTTATATCGGGCTCAGTAGCCAGAGTAGAATAATGAGTTGATGCGCTAGGGGATTGCAGCTACGTTGAGGCTCGCGGCATATCCACAAGGTGCGCTGGTAAATTCTGACCTCGAGATTGACTTTTGGATGTAGATGCGAAGCTAGGTATATTTTGGGGAGAATAGTTGATAAACGAACCCAAGTCAGAGCATTCTGGACCTGATCGCTGCAAGTCACTGTCTTGGGAGTCTAGCTCGCAAGCAGACAGCTGTTGTGCACGCTAATCAACGCCCTGGAAATAATAGTCTTGAGGGTTGGGAAATCCCCCACTATGACCGGCTGCGGTTGTGCATACCGATCATTGTCCTGGAAATAAGAAGGATCTTCCATATACTTGCGGAACTCCTGATCAAGCTCTTGGTAATAATCGGATTTCTCGTGACATGCTAACAGGTGTGCGAACTCGCTATAATCCATGGTAGAATTAGATAGATTTCCGGCCTCAATTTCAATACCGGGGGAGCGTGGCTGAAGGCTGCCAGAACTATAGTCTGGACGCATACTCTGGACAGACTTTATGGTGCCTTGGGCATAGGATAGCTGCTAATTAGCTTGCCACTGGTCAGAAAGCCTAACCGCCGCATTATCCTGTCGAGCGTCAACAGTCTCTACAGGCATCTCAGATGGTGTCACGGCCTGGACAAGCTGTGGAAGTGGAAATGTGTGTGTTTTGGTATAAATATGTAAGAATGATGGAGCCCTAATGGCGGTAAAGAAACTATATATATGCCTGTGCGTAGCACGTGACAGATGGGTCCTCCGAGGGGAGGTCACCGGGTTTTGATGATTTGCGATCATTAGAGAATTGAAATAGCTTCTCGAAGGGATAATCTAATAATTCGTGATACGGGATTGTCTCGATCACTAGCCATTCTGATGGGAGCCCACTTGCAACTATACCTGGAAGAAGGAAGGACAGATTGCTGATCTGCTCCTTTAACCCTGGATGACATAAGTGAATATAGTCGACGACATCTTGATCCTGACCCTTCCGGAGTGTACAAAGACTAATAATTAGCGAACCAGAGTAACAAGATCCATCCGCACCTGGGAAGCAAGAACCTACCTCGTTTCTGTTACCTCCATAAGAAGTACGACTAGGATGGGGAGGCCGTAGTACTGAGACATTCTCCATAGCGGCTCCCCCAACCGTATCTAATACTCGAATGTTTTTCCTGCTCTCTTACGCGTCTCTTCCTCGCTCACCTGCTGACCTTTCTGACCACTTACCTTCCCGCTTCTCTTCCCCTTCCTATCCTTCTTGCTCTTATACTTGGTCATGTGGGGGAAGAGGAGGTTAACAAATCTCTCCTTAACAGATTATCGCCGCCCTTTTTTGGGCGCAGCTTTCTCAGCTTCAACTTCCTCCATATACTTGGGTGTTAGTTCCACCAGGTGTACTCTCCTTGAGACTTGGAGTACTATTTTGAGAATCTCGAGAGACTTTTCTTTCTCCCACACATCTTCAATTATGAATTTGAGCTGCTTCAGCAGTCGATCTCTGGTTGGGATCTCGTCCGGCCCTCCACTTCGTTCCAAGGCATCCTGATCGGGCCTAACATCAATAGATGTAACCGGGTGGCGTGCCTTATAGCAGAAACGCTGACAATCTTCGAGGACCTCTATACTCTTACCTGGATGGTCTGTCCCGGATGGCCATTTGTCCCAGGACAAATGGCCCAGGACAGATTCAAGTCTAGGGCTACTCACCCAGCACACTCAGCACACCAGGACCTCCCCAGCCACAGGAACGGTGTCCCACCTGACCACCTATGATAGGACAATTACCCTAGGCTTTATGCACGTGATAAGTCAAATGCTTGAAGGAGTAAAGTTTCAGGGCATTTCAGGGCATAGAGATCTGTCCATACGACACTCAGTAGTTCAGTCAATGCATTCAGTCCTCGAACCTGTCAAAACAAATCCATCGTCCTACTAGCCACGATGTTATCTTGAGCATGATGGGTTGGCAGCCGCAGGATTCGAACCTACTAGCACATGCTGTCTTCCTCTACTCTGGTCACGATAAGTGTATACACAGCATGTCACGTGCTGCGCACAGGCATATATATAGCTTCTTCACCGCCCTTAGGGCACGATCATTCATACATATTTATACCAAAACACACACATTTCCACTTCCACAGCTTGTCCAGGCCGTGACACAGCAGGTGCTCACCAGAGAGGCAGTGCCGGCTACCTCCCCAGCCGCCTTTAATATAATATACATTTGAGCTCCGGGAGTAAATAGCATTAGATTCTTATTAGCCTAATATAACACTGAACATACCTCGCCTGTGACGGCGCTGGCTAGGGGGATGGCTGTCACATGACTAGTTTCACCTAGCTAGCCGGCGTTTCAGTGGTTTTAGCTAGTATTCCCTCCTTTTATCCCCTTTCCTTCTCTCTCTCTCTCTTCTTCTTCTCTTTAGCTTAGTATTTTCAATACATGAGATTCTTGGATCTTTGAGCCCTGGCCATTGCCTCGATCCCGCCGTTACAGGATTGGTCTGGTTCAGTGTGTCAAAGAACTACTCATGCTATCATACTACTCATGAATATTCATGAGTAGCATGAGTAGAATATGAGTAGCGTAATGTCCTAAAAATTTGAGTAGAGTAGAGTATATACTCATGAGTAGTATGAGTATGAGTAGCCGTCACGTGACAATAATAAACTAAGGTTTATTTAATAATAATTAAATAATAAAGATATTTATTAAGTAGCCCCAGTAAAGGTAAGCTAGGGCTTGTATAAGACTAGCTAAATATTAATTTTCTATAATAATAAACTAGTTATGCTTCTTAGAATCTTGATTTCCCCCTGACCTTTGGCTCGCTTACTAAGCAATGCCATTGCCTAATTGGGTAGAAACTTGGCGCTAGATGGGAGGCTTACCTAATTAGGCTAGCCTGTCACGTGCAACTGTCACGTGGGTACCTACTCACACTACTCATACTACTCATGAGTAGCTTGAGTAGAGTATGAGTAGGACCCACTACTCTACTCTACTCTACTCATTTGACACACTGGTCTGATTTAATCGTGTTATTTGCCGGTGATGTGACGGCGGGATCGAGGCAATGGCCAGGGCTCAAAGATCCAAGAATCTCATGTATTGAAAATACTAAGCTAAAGAGAAGAAGAAGAGAGAGAGAGAGAAGGAAAGGGGATAAAAGGAGGGAATACTAGCTAAAACCACTGAAACGCCGGCTAGCTAGGTGAAACTAGTCATGTGACAGCCACCCCCCTTTGGCCCCAGCCAGCGCCGTCACAAATCCACTAAATAGACGCAAATCTTTTACGTAGGTCAAAAACTTGCTGCATAAACTAAATACGCCAATATTTGCATCCAGATCAATAATCCGGTCCCCACTCCCCCGAATACCCACACAACTATCCAACATTGACCTGCACGCAATTGTCTGCGAGAAGAGTAAGTCACATATACTGCGCTGCTCTAGCCAGGCGTACGTCTGAACAGATTTCCCTGTCTGTGAATTCGCATTGACGGAAAGTCGGCAATGTTTGTTCACGCCTCCGTTTAGAACCCATAGCTCGAGAGTTGTCCCTATGAAGCCTGCCCCCCATAGTGGAGTTGCCTATTTACACTGTTTACTTGCACCTGGACAGCGCTGCATCTCAATATCCCCAGGAAGGACGAAGGATTTTGGTCTAAATATCTCAGAAAGTTGAAATGGATGACTCTCACAATGATTGCTCCCGAGTACACATTTTGGGTTGCCAGCGGACAGCGAAGTGTTGCCATAAAGAGTCTGATACAGCTACGGAAATACGATTCTTGGGACTGGACTACCACCCACGCCTTTTATGCCGCTATGGGTGGATTTGTGCTGGTCGACAAGGAAGCCCCGGACGCTCGTTTTCCAATATCGGTGGAGGAGGTGATACAGCTTCTTGAAGATAAACAAATTCCTCCGGATGGCGTGGGACTTCTTCAACATCTTCGCCAAGAAGATATTGAAGATAGGAGTAAGGCGAATTCATTTGCGAAGGGACTTGCTTGCGTTCAATTTGTCTGTCTAGGTCTTCAATGCAGTGCCAGAGCAGCTCAGCACCTGCCATTCACGCTGCTTGAGCTGGTGACCGTGGCTGAAGCTATCGTTACAATCGGCACATATATCATGTGGTGGAACAAGCCCTTTGACGTAACCTCGACTATTGAACTCCATATTTCAAGTGCTTCCACCTTGGCCTCTTCAATTTGCAACCCTGTCAAGTTCAGGTACAACCACTATCTCCATTGGGGACCGATAGGTCCCGTCGATGCTTCCGTCCACCGGATTCGAAACGGTTTCCGCATTGCCAGCGACCCTGAAGACTGGATCCAAGGTCAAGAAAATACCAACGAGAGTCATTCTATCATTGCATCTCATAGCAGTCCGGTTATTTCGAATGATGGCCGTCCTAGCCAGGAAGGTGTCAGCGAAAACCCTGATGTTCTTGATGTTCTGCCTCTTGACCAACGAGCGATGATGACACCGGCGAATCGCCAGCATCAGCCCCAATCAATGGAAGAACATGATATAGATCGTTCTACCATACCCCTTCAAACGCTCTCTATGTTTGGCACGTCGACCGCGGTGGAAAAGTCAATTCCCGCACTGACTAAAGAGGAACAAATGGACACGGAAGCCCATCCCTCAACGCCCCCAGTATCGAATATATTTCGACGCAGAGAAGCTTCCTCCGTCTCAGGGACTCCGAATCAAGATCAAAATATCGACACAGAGAGCCAGTCTAGCCGGGGAACGCCTTCAGAGCCAGTTTCTTTCCGACACGGTTTGCTTCAAGATTGGAAAGGGACTTTTGAAGTAACCGCTCCCTTCTTTGAAGCGGGCTTTCTTGCTGTCGGCTTTGGGGCACTGCACACTGCTGCGTGGAATTTCAACTTTCCTACTTTAGTAGAACGGAATCTGTGGAGAATCTCGAGCTTAATCTTGGCGACTAGTCTTCCTATATATTTTCTCTGTTGGATTTTCATTATGGCGAGTGAAGAGAAAGACTCTCCTCAAAAGCCTGCTATATTGCGATGGATTGCGATTTTGATTGGTGGGGTATATATTCTAGCCCGTATATATACTCTAGCAGAATGCCTAGTGAGTCTTCGAAGGCAACCTCTTAGGGTATATGAAACTACTAAGTGGACTTTGTATTTTCCACATTTCTAAAACGAAACTCGTTATTTATATTATTAATTTTCTAGGCTAAGACCTTTTTTTTTTAAGTTTAAGTTTATTAAATCTTAAAATCTTTATTTTTTAGGGTTCTTTTTATTTTATAATAAAGTTATGGTAGGATTTTCGCTGGTTGAAAAGCGCAACTCTCTCTCGGTCACATGATTTTTCCGCCCTTGTCTACGACGGCTTGGGTTGCTGGCCCAAGTCCCAGCACAGATGCCCAGTGACGCCTCTTGCCAAATGATTTAGTCGTACATTGCAACTGAGATGCCGTAGTCGGTGAGCGGAGGGGATAGCGGAAGCAAGTAGGCGTGTGGAATGCCAAGCCCACCGCGCAGAGCGATGAGTGAAACTCCGCCTGACTTGAGCTCACCATAGATTTCGTAGGCTACCTCACCTTGGAGCGCCTGACGGGAATTTTGAATGGAGCTTTGCCTGTCTTGGTCGGCTTTGGATACGGCCGTTCCTGGCTAGGCGGCTTGGGATATATTACAGAGTCTGGGAGATCCATGGTGAAACGTGCGTTGGCCTATTGTCAAAGTGAAATAAAAGATACGAGCATGGCGAGAGACAAAGATAGAACTGACGAGGCCGTGTCCTAGAGAGCCATGGGTCCAGAAATATAATGCTGCCAATAGTGGGGCGATATGAGCTAGTGTTGAAGGGCGTGCAGAAAGATGCATTCTCGACCTAACGCATTTAATACATTTTACGCTCTCTGAGTTTTCAACCTTGGAAAGCGCTTTCGAAGTCGCCGCAAAATGTGATTAGTTTAGTGCTAGTCAAGCAGAGTATAAGTAGCATCTTTATCACTACCACGTGCTTACCCTCCACGTATGATATCACTATGGGGATGACTGTAATGAAATTTTGAGGCGTAGCAAGAACATGGGGGGTTGTAGGGGAAGTCGTCAAATTTAGCGATCCGCCAAAAAGGGAGTGGGAGTCGAAGAATAAACAGTGAATGGAACAATTGACTGAATGAGCTGTGAACCGAACAATAGCGCGAAACAAGAAAACACAATAAAAAACAAATTTATAAAAGCGCAAAACTTTTACAACAGCGAAATGCAAAATCAAGTCAACGCCTTCACTTCCTCAAATCTATCCATCTATTGTTTCCAATAACCAAACTCCTCCAACAACCAACATTACAAATCAACACAAACGACTCCTCGTCAGCATAACCCCAAAGACACAGCATCAACATGGCGCTCCCCTTCAACCGCATCCCTCCCCGCCGCCCGCCACTCCCCACACCCGCCTCTCCCCTATCCCGCCGTAGCACGGCGCCAGAAATCCAACTCTGGATCCAGCGCTGGCAATTCCACCGCGCCACCGCCGTGCCACTTACCACTCTCTCCCTCATAACCTGGACCGGCTCCCACCTCCTCGATCTCTCTGCCAAGAAACTCTCGTCCGACCTGGTCTCACGGGGTTTCCATTCCGCTGAAGCGCAAGTCCTGGTGGCTGATATATTGGAGGCGATGGGTAGAGTCGGTGATCTGAGTGACTGGAATTTCTATTGCTGGGTCGAGCCGGTTAGGACATGGATTGGACGGGTTATGACCTTGGCGGGAGCTGCCGGGCTTATGTGGTGGGGGACGAGGATCTCGGAACTGCCTGAAGCACAGTGAGGGAAAGGAGATGGTGGATAGCGGACGAGAAGATACAGATGTCCTTGATTATCATGTAGCTGGAGCTATTGAACGCATCCCCGGTCTGATATCAAGATTTGATTCTGTCCGGAAATACTCTCGTTAGCTTAGGAATACAGCTTCGTGGACAATACACATGCCTGAAGAATCAACATCTTTCCATATGAATCTCGTGAACGCACCTGTGAACTTTTATATGATGTCCAAAAATCTCCTTGCCTTTGGAACTGCTGAGTTCGAAATTCCAGTGACGAACGTGAGCCCACTCCTCGCTGCTGATATGCTGCAGACAGCCGTTTCGTCCCTCAGACGCTCGGAAGAAATTGTTTGACTAGAGAGTGTTGGGTTCTCCAGACATTCATCTGACTGGAGAAAGACGACGGAATGTTCGTTAATTCAGTCAATCCAAGCTCCTGGCACTTTAGGGCCTCGCTACAGTAGCCCTTGAGCTCTAGCGAGCTTCGTTGCCTTCTTGTGCCAGCGTCGTTCGAATCGATCTTCGGCGAGTTGGACAAGCCCGGCGAGTTTTTTATCCCACGATCTGACCTTTGCTTCTTCCATATCGAAAGCCCACTTGGGGTATAAGAATGGCCAGTTACTAAACAGTTCGGGGCGGGTTGGATACCAATAAATAACGTTATGGTAGCTCGGTCCGAAGTTTTTGAACTCTTCCAGCACTTCAAATGTTTTCCCGTTCGCATCTATGAACCAATCCCAGGAAATGGATGGCGTCTCCTCCGATACGACCAAACGCCGAGCACGGAAATCTGTGCTCCAATTTCCTTCCAACATTGGTAATGATTTAGATGGGTCAAAATAGAAGCAGTACTCAGTTCTCAGATATTCCACCACGTCTAGCCGCAATTCTGTCAGGATATCAAGCCATGCCAGGCCGAAAGACTTGGACTCAAAGGGAGTGTCGGCTCTATTCATGAGATCATCGAGTATTGTAATTCCTTTTTTGGACCCTCGTTGAAGATTACTTCCCAAGCGTATCAGGTGAAAAATGATCGACTTCCACTGGGGACATTGAAAGGGGAGAGACTCCACAAACTTTTTTACAGCTATTACCAGTGGGGGGCATACACAATCATTGATATTTTCTTCGGTGAGCCATTCGTGAACTATCCTAGTGAATAAGTCCACAGGAATTTCCACGAAAGTGCTTGTAAAGAGTCCAGCTGAGAAGTCGGTGGAGTCTAAATTGCGCATATGGCAAGAAATGATATCGTACGTTTTTTCAACATCTTTGGCCGCCTTCAAGCGATTTTTGTTCGGAATGCGTGGATGAGTGGTCCATACAGGACTGAGATTCAGTTAGGCCAAACACAAAGAAATATCTCGCAATGCCTCACTCACCCGCGGTTAGTCTCTTGAGCTGTAAGGCCAACTTCGATGAGAAATTGGCAGATTTCAGCCCGGTTATACGATGCTGAGCGCTACATTAACGTTAGACAGCTCCCAGGAAAGCTTTTATAAAGGCTTGGGGTGATCTCACGTGCAGTAACGTTGTACCATAACTGTTAACACAGGACGGGGAAATTTGTTGGTTGCTAAGAAGCTTCTGAATCCCTTTAAGATCTCCGCACTCGCACATCTCCCACACCGGATGGTTGAGCGGGAGAACAGGATATGTCCTAAGAGATCTTTCAATGTGCCCACAAGTGTTGAGGTACCGGAAGTCGAAAGCATATGACAAGAATGATGGCATGAAAGTCCAGGTGGTTTCGTTTGCGTAAGCGGTCATGGGAGAGGGTTCCTCTTCGTCCCCAAAAGTTGAATCACTGATTTTTCTTCTAATGTACAGCTTTCCAAAGAGTCCGGAATACGAGGAAAACGCATATGACTGTCTTTTTGAAAGTTTGAACCCAGCCTTCCTTTTCTTGCTCTGGATGCTGACTTCAGCGGTGGCGGAAACCCCGTGGTCAGCGTCAGTGCCGGAATCATTTCTTGAGTGGAGCAGTTCTCTGCTGATAGTTGTTGTCATCTGGTTTGTAGCCGTGACAAGTTCCAGTACATGACCAATTCTTTGGGAGTGATGATCATTGCTTTGGGAGTGAACAATACTTCATTCATTAGCAAAGTAAGACTAGATAGAGTGGTTAGGGGGAAGCAACTCACGTCAGATTCGTCGTCATCGCTAAGTTCAGCAAGTTGATAGCATCACGTAGCTGGCTCTCAAACTCCTCGATTTCTCTCCTCTTGCAAGCCAGCCTAAAGGACCCAAACGTCCTAGTAGTCTTGTTCGTCGCAGTGGCACTTTTCTTCGCAGCTTCCACAACACCCTCCAGCATCTGCAGCTTGCTCTCGCAAGTCCTCATCGCCCTCAAAATACTCCCGGACACGTCGATCTCCGCTTGTGCAGTGTGTTCCTGCTGTCGTTCAACAAGCGCCCCGATATTCTCCAGGATCAACTCAAGCTGCTCCAACAAATCAATCAACCTCCTCAGCTCCTTCGGCGCCTCGGATACGTCTCGTAAGAATCGCCGGATCTCGCGCACAGAGTCCACGAGCTGGATGGCGAGGGACACGACGGCGATGCCGCTCGCGGCTGCGCTAAGCCCATCCATTTCCTAGGCCGCGATGATACCGTGTGAAGAGTGCCAGAAATAGATGTATACGCCTGTGCGCTGTTCTCACGAGGCTGTCGCAGATGAAGGAAGAAGGAAGGAAGGAAGGAAGGAAGGAAAGGTCGTGGGGTTAGATAAGAAGGCGCAGCCTTGCTGCGTTTAGTCAGGACGGGGAACCAATCGACGCATCAGCTGCGAAACATGAGAACGCGCTGAAGTCTGCCTTGACTGGGAGCCCATACTGGTTTGAGATTGAGATACCCCTCCGTACTGATTGGATCGTCAGATTTAAAGGGATTTGCGCATCGAACATCAATCCGAGTACACGGACTCAACATCCTCCCTCATCGCCTCTGCAACCCTGTAAACGCAAGACAACATGGAAAGAGTCAACTCATGGCCTTCCCCTAGCACCTTCCTCCTCACCCCCAAAACATCTCCATACAATTTTGATGCCTCTGCATACTCACCTCTATCCTCGCACAATCTCGCAAGCTGATTCTTACTAGCCAACGTACTCGTATGCTCAGTACCCAGTACCCGCTCCCTCGCCTCCAGCGTTGATCTACTCAACGCCTCCGCTTCCTCATCTTCACCCACACATTCAAGCACAGAGACTAGATTCGCTTGCGTCGTCAGCGTCCATGGGTGTTCTGATCCTATCGTCCTTTTCTCAATTTCAAGAAGCTGGTGGTAAAGTTCTCGAGCTTCGTCATGTTTCCCCTGATCACGCAGAACGCCAGCGAGGTTGTGGGTCCCGGTTAGAGTATGCGGATGCTCAGCGCCTGAAATTTCTCGACGCATGGCTATGATCGTCCTATGGATTGCCTCGGCTTTGACGTATTGTTTCTGTCCACAAAGTGCTCTTGCGATGCCGTGCATGCTGTTGAGTGCATGTGGATGATGTGCTCCGAGAATTCGCGTTTCGATGAGGAATTTGGAGGCGTATTCTGTTTCCATGTCTATGAATTTCTTTTGTCCGCCGAGTGAGATAGCGAGGTTGTGCATGCTGTCCAAAGTCTTCGGGTGCTCTACTCCAAGTGTCTCCCTTCTTATCGCCAGAACCTCCCGATGGATCTTCTCTGCCTTATCATGATGACCTTCGAAGGAGAGCACGATGCCCAAATTCTCCTTGGCTTTGGTAAGGACAGGATCTTTTGGACCAAGGGTTTGTTGACCGATTTCCAAAGCTGCCCGAGCCAGGCCAATAGCTTGGTGATGAAGCCCCAGGTCCATTTTTGCCAGTGCCAGCAAGCCCATACAGAGGAGCGTTTCGAGACTCTTGGGTCCTCCGGTATTTGAAAATGCTTTGAGTGCGCCGTCGAGCAGTTGGTCAGCCTCTGCATATCGGCCCTGGCGTCGAAGAATACGACTTAGAGCCTCCAATGCACCGAAAGTACTCGGATGCTTGTTTCCGAAGCGCTGCCGATGAAGTCGCACGACACGCTGGAGGAGGACCCGAGACCACTCGTATCTTCCTTGATCTTCAACCGTTCCTGCTAGCTCAATCAAAGAGTCTAGGTTTTCTAGGGCTGTGCTCTCAGACTCGGTATCTGATGTTACTTCTTGTCGCTTCCTGGTATTGCTGGGCTGTCTGCTCTGTGCTTTGTCTTGGACGGAAGTTAGGTGTGTCACTGAAGAAGTTGACCTGCCGTCCGTTCTTGCAGCTGCCGAGAAGTCAAAAAATTCCCTCATTGCTGTCAAGTCTCCTGTGGATGCTTTGGATTTAGATTGATCCTCAAAGGAGATTCTAGATATTGTGAATATAGAACCAAGCCGACTGTTGCAACTCATATCTGTGCCCTCCCCAGGTTGTGCGGGACCAATTGGAGTAACGTTGCTCTTTTCATGGATAGACTTTGCTGCGGATGAAGAGTTTTCCGGCATTGCAGAGGTGGTTGCCGATTTAGTCTGGCCTGGGCGGCCATTTAACGAAGAGGCCATTCTCTCTTCTGAAGAGACACTGCTGGGCCTTTCTGAGTTGAGGGTATAATAACTGATCACCGACGGAGTTGCTATCGTCATCAGCTACGGAACATGTTGGTAATATGGCCTGAAGTACTTACGAGATATTTGATAATGACCGTCCGGAATATCATGATCCTTAATAAACCGACTTATCTTTCTCGGGTCCACTCGTCTCTTCCTGACAAAGAAAGCGGTATTTTTGCCTTCTTCCATCTTTCTCTTCTTGTCCATTCCAATGATGATCATCATTTCGTTGCTCTTGACTTTCTTCTCCAACCCCCATTGGCGTATCCGAGCCTTGTACTGCCTATCTCTACAAATGTATGAATTAGACGAAGCCATCCTGAAGGCGACTGATTTGGGGAACACACGTTGCGACGAATGAATACTTCGTCTTCATGATCTGGACCACATCCTTGAGTGGTATATTTTCACCGGCATAGAGCCTCGTAATTTCAGATCTCTGAGCTTCCCATTCTTGCGACGTATAGCCGCGAGGCTGGCCGCCCAGGCTAGGCACTGCAGTGTTCAATGTCAAGACTTGACTCATTATGAATACGCAGAAAGCAGATTTTCGGACAGAAATAAATAGGGGAATGCAAAGCGATCCTCAACAGATAGAATACAAGCAAAGAGATTTGAAACGAGGGACGTTGAATTGAGGTAAGGAAAGAAAACCTCTGGAGCCTCGCTGACGGTCTGACCGGCTATGCTTTGGTTGGCGGCAACAAAAGGACTTTGCATGAGAATCGAGGCGGCACATCTCGACTCTCGATCTGTGAGTGGCTGCCACTCACGGCAGGATCGCAGGCTTGACCTTTTGTTATCGAATCACGACAGATCACATTCCCAATGTTTCAGACTCGGCGACTCGTGGCATGGCGAATGCTAAGCTCGAGCGACGAGAGAAGAAGGCTCTCTTCAAGATTAGGTGGCGATCCACCAACTTTGGCGGAACGAGGTGGGATGCTATGATGGTCGATGAGAGAAGAGTGATGAGAATGAGGAAGGGAAATTTCAACTCACGCCATGTTGTGACGTCAGCGTCACATGACCTGGCCCTAGCGTGGCACCCTGTACTTAGCTCGAGCTCCCCGCTCCTCTCTTCTTTTCTCTCTTTAGACGTTTACATATACACCCAAATAGAGCTGATTGCCTTCAGGTCTTCCGCTCCGGGTCGTGATACGCCACGAGCCGAGATGATCACGTGCCAATGTCTCTTCCAATATCAATCAAGATTGAGAGACAAAGCACCTTAAAACCCCATTTTGTTGAAGAATGGATTGAAACTTTCTTACTTTTTATAAAGGCCACCAAGCCCTTATGAAGCACTAGCCCTAATACCCCTCTACTTTGCTGATGATAGAGATTTGGCATGATATCGGAGCTCCGTCGCCCAAAATCTTCACTATCATTCCATTAAATAAGACGCAAATAAGTGTTTATATATAATATTTGGGCAGACCGACACAAGGCAAAGCCTGCTATAAAAGAATCGAAGCCGGAGCCGGAGCTTCAAACCACGAAGCAAGTACGAAGGCGAGCGACATATAGTATTCGCCCAATAGCCTAAGCCAGGGCGGGCGCAATTTTGACCCTCGCAATATAGAAATTCTCATAATTCCCCCTTACATCTAATTACTGTAAAAATTTCGCGAAAGTTAGATCTGCTTCTTTTCTATTATGCAAACGACCTTTTGAAGAGTTTCGGGCATTCCCGTTGAGATTTGGCGTAATTTTTTCTAAACCTAGCGATTTTGGTATGCCCAGCCAACCTGCCCAAATCACTCAACTGCCCAAAAAATAGTTTTACTATAACCACACCACAACCACATCCCAAAATGAAGAAAATAAGTTAATATTCGTGATCTACGACCTCACTTTAGTCATTCCACAGATTTTCAGAATTCTCTGAGCCCTTTGAAAAATTTCCAAAATTTTGCTTGGGCGGTTGAGTGATTTGGGCGGTTCTACTGGCAGCTGGACGGTTTTCAACGCCGCGCGCCTTCGTATGCAAATGCTTCGACCAGGCTACAGCGAGTTGAGAATAAGGGACCTAACTACCAGATACAGGTAATATTAGACAGAGATGAATTCAAGGCATAGCTATTTATTTGATAAAGCGCGAAGAGTCAGGGAATCAAAGAAAAAACAGGCACATCACATGTTCTCCCTTATCACATCACGTGCAATCGAACCCCTTTACCGCTCCCCCCTCCTGCCTTCCCGACGAAAACAACCTTATCTGCCACCGCGTATCAACCACCAACTAAGTCCCTCTCCAAGCCCGGACCCTGGGACCCCCACAGCCCTTCACCTAGAAAACCACACGATTATCACACCACCAGCGCCAGCCCCTTTCCTCATTCCCTACCGAAGAGCTGCAAGCCAGCAAAGCCTCCAGTCCTCTCCTCACCTTCCCTTTCCCGTCCCAGAAATTCTCCGTCCACACACGCACCCGCTCAGCCCCAGAACCCTACCCCGCACCTCCAACATTCCGCCCTCCTCTTTCTTCCCTCGCCGAGTTGTCCAGCAAGCGGCCCGCGCTGACCTTGCTCATCCCAAGAACCCCACAAAAACGAATAAAAGGGCGGCAAAAAGCAAAAAATGAAGGAATACCGAGTAGCAGAGGGGGCGCTGAAACCGATCGGCCCGGCCTGAACGCCCCGCCCGGCTTCGGTCAGGGCCCGTGCCGCTTTTTTCGGGACCCTCTCTGCTCCGAGGGACCGGTGTGGAGGGCAATTCGTCGAGATCGAGATCGAAAGGATTGAGAGCGAGGGAAGGATTTGGGGGATGGAAAGAAGAGCCGCAGACGAGAATGCGTGTGAGACGGAGGAGAGACTAGCGCTGTAGATCGCGGTGGAGGAGTCCGTATGTGGAGCTTGGGAGGCTCGGTAGAATGGAGAAAACCTCCCGGGCTCGAGCTGAGGGCGGAGGCATGAAGAAAGCTCGAGAGGGAGAGAAAGTGGAGTTCATGTCGGTGTCAAGCTGTCGCGCCTCTCGTCCCACTGAATTGGGGTCCACACCACAGTGGCGATCATGCGATCATGTTTGATTGCCAGCAGCGCGTGTGATACACTTTCAGAGCCTCGGTGGTGAAAGAGATCTCGAATTTGCCTTTAGGGTTCCTTCGGTTCGATTTGCCCGTCCTGGATAGCCCTGGCTGAGTCCGAGCCAAAACCTGGGGTTTGTGTGCTTTTTTTTAAGCTTGTACCACTGTAGTGGTACAACTTTGCTCAGGTTGTAGGACCTCGGGATTGCGTGCTTTTCCATGTAACAGTGGTACGGGTGAAGCAAGTACCTGTACATCTGAAAAGTACCGAGGGTGGTACTTATTTGCCATCGCCAGGTACCTGCTCGAAGCAGAGAGCTTATTCAGTCTATGTCCACCGGTTACACAGCATACGCTCTGAGACCTTCTTGTTGTCCAGGCACGCGAGCCCGGCTAGATGATGCGCCTCTGCTTGCTTGTTATCGGCAACATGTAAGACAGGTTTCATCTTATCTGCAGCGAGAGTACCATGGGCGTATCCACTCGAACACCGGGGTCTCCGATTTGACCTCAGTCCCAAAACCAGCGAGATATAGCTATCTGCTTGAGGATAATGATGAAACTGGGTCAGCAGCGGCTGTGAGGCTGCAAAGAGAGTAAAAGAGCAAGAGAATGACATGGAACAAGTAAGACAGGCGCGGTGAGACTGCCCAAGAGGGAAAAAGCTGGAAGCAAGCAAATTAAAAGTGAACACATTTCAAGGCAAACACTGAGGGATTCAAGTTTCCGGAGCGGAAAAATGGTTCGCAGAGTAGGTGTTGCTCCTGAGTTTCCACCCTGACTCGGATCAGCACCCGATCATCTCACGGGCCTGTAGAAGGCTGCAGCTCGATAGTGCAGCGGGCCGCAAAAATAGATGGTTGGTAAGATCTTGCGGTGTCTTCAGGGTGTTTGGGGAGAGGAGGGGTAGGTGGGAGGGGTGTGATCGCTGGGACATTGAAAGTGACGCTGAAGAAGTGATCTATCAGATTTGGCGTGCATTCCAAGGCCGGAAACTCGACTGTTGCAGTCACTTGCGTGGCATTGCATGAAAAGTGAGGCGGTGTTCTATTTGGGAAGATCGTGATGGCGGATTCTGAATGAGGGGTAACTGTATCCATCTCGGCCTTGTTTGGGAGGGTATGGCTTGTTGACAGAAACTCGCATGCAGTCATGGGCGGAACAGGCAACGTGCAGGCAGACTCGGGCCGGAGCGCAAGCCTTCTTTTGGGAAGGACATCATGTTGCAGGCAAAGGAGAGGCTCCTTCAGGAGTGACTGACTTCACATGAAATGTCCTTCGCGCGGTACGCGATCTCGTCGTACAAGGGCGGGGTCAGGGTCCTGCTGTGTGAATTTCGATCCGGTACGACGGTGACACAGAGCCTCAAGAATTTGAGGAAGGATAACGCGGGGAGGCACTGCTCTCTCTTGGGAATGCAAGTCCTCTGAAGGATCGTTTTGAGAGCAGGTGCGTTCATCCGCAGTCACTGACTTATTACGCTTATGTCAGACCAACAGAGCGTTGGGGCGCCTCCGCATCGTCAACGAATAGCTGGTGCAGCCGTACCAACAGATCGATGATGGCCCGCAGCAGGAGATGGACGCCAGGGTCAGCTGGTGTGGAATGATGGAATCCTTTGATTCCCCTCTTGATTCTGCTCTCACCAACTTTCATTAGCTGTTTTGTCATATCCGTATCCGTAGCCTCGCTGGTCGAACTCTGTTACCGAGCTCCTTTGTGATTTTGTCAGGTCAACCTTCGTCTTTAATCTATCTCGGCGGTGGGGGCGAAAGGAGCACTTCTGGGGGGGGGGGCTGGCGGAAATTAATGGAGACTCGGATAAGGATCTGACAGCAACCCCACATTCTATTTCCGTGCTGGTGGTGGTTCTGAGGTTGATTGAGCGATAACGCGATAACGAATGACCTGCGTGCGTCTGAGCGTGTGAAACACCACATGGTCGCAAGGGTCCCGAGCTTCCAGAAAGATCCTGCCCCTGCGAGGAAGGGCCGCCCTGCTCCACCGCCTGCACGGGTCACCAAAACGGTCGGGATGGAGGCCAAACGAGAAGCGATAATAGTTGCCGACGGCGAAGTTCTGCCGCGGGATGCTTGCTGCACCGCTGCTTCTGCTTCTGCTGCTGCTGAGGAGCTGGCGACTTGCTACCAGAATAATGTGTCATGCAGTTAAAAGTAATCCTATGAGCCGGGATTCCAGGTTGGCAGGCTTGGCAAGGCAAGACTGTACGCAATTAAGTACGATCCCTCAACGGAGCGCGGGGTTGGAGACCTGTTTTCTCTGGCACTGCGGCAGAAACAATCAAGTAATGTGGAGTTTCGTTGCAGATGATTGAGCCTGAGAGGACTTACAAGGACGCGTACTCGATCGCAGCACGATGTGCAGCTATTTGTTGCAGCGGACGGGGGGGGGTTGTTCATGGTTCTGGAGAGGATCGCTGGAGGGACCAGCAATGAGATGATGAGCAAAGCAGGCTGTCGCAGGCTCGCAACGGCGTATCAGGCATTGCACTCGCACTCGCACCTCACACTCTCTGACCAAGCCCGGTCCATGATCCTCTCGAGGCGTGGATGGGGGCAAATCGGGGCACAAGATGCCGCCGTGTAGTCGTCAGAATCGAATCATTTATTACGCGGAAGCAGGACGGAAGCGGGCAGCCTGGGGAGAGTCTGGGGGAGATCCATTGCCAATTGTCAATTGCCAGCGGCATCGTGTGCGTTGGATGGATGGATGGATGGATGGATGGATGATGGTGATGATGATGATGACCTTGCATCACGGCCTGCCTCAAATCACAGCGTGTTTGAAAGCGCTGCTGAGTGCTGGACCGCGCTGGTGCTCCGTCGATTCCCGAGCCAGCGTCACTCCCCACACATTGGCGCCTGCAGGCCAGGAGGCCGCCAAAGGTAATTTAGACGAGGGTGAGGAGTGGATTCCAACGGCGTGGGATCCTATCCGTTGCAGTCCAGTACTACTGGTGTGCGGGAGAAAGGAAACAATACTGTCCAGGAGCCCCAGCACCACGGTCGCTGAAGCAGCGTCAATATCCCGCTCGCCGTCCAGCTGATCCTCGCTAGGGCCAATAGGGGGGCCGCTGGGGCAAGGAGACTCCCTCTTAACTCCCCGAAGGCGAAGGGCTGGTCGTCTTGCTGTTCCCGCCATTCCGGATGGAATCCTCTTCGGGGTTGGGCAGGTTGGGCAGATTCAGGAACATGAAACCTGCCAACCCACCGCGATCGGCCTGAGCCTTGAAAAGGGGGAAGATGGGCAGGATGGGGAAGGATAGGCGGGATGGGCAGGAGGGCAAGAGATGAACGTAAATTAAATTTACCGTACGGCGGGGGCCACGACCAACCAACGTTGCAGCGGTGAGATCGAGCGCTGGACACGGAGGAAAGGGCCAGCTACCGTAGCTGTGCGAAGAGCGGACGAGATGACTAGAGAGTCTCACCCAGGGATGCTCATGTCGTCCTCCGCCAGGTTTCCCCTCGCAGCAGCAGCACTGACTGAAGCCGAGTGCGACGATGGGTGCACAGCGCAGAGCGCATCGTGGGGAGTCATCGTCTGTTGGTGGCTGGTTTGGTGCAGAGCCGTGCCGCTTTACGAAGCCTGTCCTGGCAAGACTGGCAAGACTGGCGATGGCCAGGGGTCGTGCGACATGGGTGATGGAAGGTATGGAAGGGCCCGAAGGGGAAAAGGGAGGGAAGGGAATGATGACGCTTCGGCTTCGCTCAGCGCTAAGGCTGCGGCTTGGTTCCTGACCAGAATGGCAGAATCGCATCCCCATCCCATTATTCCACTCCACTCCACTTTCTGCCTGCCAGCGCTGCAAGGCCATCGAGATACGAGATTTCTGCACCTCGACGGGTACCACTCCAGTCCCACCAGAGTCCCACCACAGTCCCACCACAGTACCACGCCCGCACACCCAGCCTTGCACGGTTGCACGGTTGCACTGCTTGCTTTCTTGCTACAGGAACCGGAACCCCGAGCCTCGAAATCGTCCCTCGAACTGTTCAAACGGCATGCTTGTGGGAGGTTTGCGCGCGCCGAAGCAATATAATCACCACAGCAGAACTTCAGGCGGTGGGGGATGGATGGATGGATGGGTGGACGTTTAAACTCCCAGCCGCCTGAGACAGACCCCGTGATTCTCTTCCCTCCCTCCCTCCCTCCCGAGGGACTGGACACTCTCACAGCTGTGGCATTCGCGTGCCGACGATAACGCAGATCTCTTGCATCCCATCCCTGCGGCGGTCAGGGATGCGGAGCATGACGCGGTCCAACTCCAGCGCCTGGCATGCCTCTGGTGCTTTTTCGGTCGACGGCTGCCAAGCCCCAGCGTCAAGTTGCCTCCTACGGCCGTCCGAGGTAACGTGCTGCCCCAATACGACACGAAAGGCTTCAGAGCCATGACGCCCAGCTGGAGAGCTGGCCTGAGGGGCAGCCGTGATGGGCCTGCCGGCGGTGAGAACGTCTGCCTGCGGACGATTGGATGTGGCCGGGTGGGAATTCGTGATCAGGTACGCGCCCCTGTCCAAAAAGCTGTCATGAGACCAAAGATCGCAGCAGCAGCAGCAGCAGCAGCAGCAGCAGCAGCGCAAACAACGACGAGCGTCGAGCACGAGCATGAGCAGCGGTGAAAAGAGAAGCAGGCAAGCTGGCTGGCAAGCAGGCAAGCAAGAGGAGGAGAGGCCGCGGGGCCAGATCCAGCCACTCACCGCAGGCGCGGGGGGCCTCATGTAGAAGCGACTGCTTCCAGAAATAATCCTTCATAACAGCCCGCCATGCCAGCCATACCATGCTCTGTTCCGCTCTGCTCTGCTCTGCTCTGCCATGACATGCCTTGCCCTGCCTTGACCTGGGCTGGCCTTGCGTGAAAAGTCGCTTGCAGACTGACTGGCTGACCGGCAGTCCCCGACTGCACTTATTTGCACCCTCCTGCGTCCACCTCGGGATGGCCTTATAACTGCTGCGCGCTGCTGCTCAATCCCAAGGCTGTCGAACCTCGAAGCCTCAAAGCCTCAACGCCTTGAAGGATCCCAGACATTTGCCTCCGCCCTCCCCCCCATGCGACAGACTTTTCCAATTGAAAAATATCCATCCTCCCCAGCATCTCCCCATCATCTCCCCAGCCTGGCCCTGACTATACTATACCAACCTGCAACTCCCCTCACACCCGCCAACATCAAACGAACCTGCTCGCCTGCTCGCCTGCCGCACGCAAGCGCACGCAATAATTAACTCTCCTGGCCTCGGATCCTCGTCGCATCGGTACCCGTCCCAGCACATCCCTGTCGCGCCGAGCTAGAGAGACAGCAAGGAAACTTAGGAACCAAGAAAACTATCTTCCCACGCTCACCCCTTGGAATGCGCCTGCTCTTGCTCTTGCGCCCTTCTACCTCGCTCCACGCTCACCAAACTCTCCCTTGAGCTCCTTCTTGTCGACTGCCCATCTGCAGATATCTATTCACTCCTTCTCCTCTTCTGCTTTGTTGTCAACGCGTCTGCGACCGTCGCCCTGTTTCTCGCCGTCCTTGATTTAATTTTCGTCATTTTCGCGTCACCCACGTCCGCCGGCTTGGACAATCAACCTTCTCTGGCGACGACCCCCCCCGTCGAACCTCTCGAAAATTCCTTAACTGGCCAGGTGCATCTGCCTACTGCTACGATCAAATGCACCATTGATCCAAAACACCTCTGTTCGACACCACATGACCTGAATAGCAGGACGCAAGAGAAGGAGTATTCAATTCTGGGCGCATCACTGTTCCTTCCTTCTCCGGTATCCCGCTCCCGCTCTGCCTTGTTCACCACCTTCCCGCAGGTAGTTTAAGAAGCTATGCGTTCGACCATGGAATGCTGGTGTTCCTCATAAACTCCCACCCTCGTCATCTACCAGCCGACGCGCAAGGCTGTGCCATTGGGCAATTCCTCTCTCGACAAAGCACAATGCCGGGTCACACCTCCAGTCCTCCCCTATTGGCAACAACAACAGCCCTCGAAAATCCCTCCACCACTATGACCTCACATACAACGCAACCTCGAGCGACAAGACAGACAAAGCCGAGCCATGTTCAAACAAACTTTCCACTGTCCCTCTCCTACGCAAACTCCGTCCCTGCCTCTGCGCTCAGCGCCTCGACAGTTACTACCGCGAGTTCTCGGCAGGCTTCGCCCATCATGTCCCCCGAAACTACTCAACTTACCACGAATAACTCCTCCATTCAAGGCTCGCCCGACAGCGTGCGCGGGCGTGACTCTGAATATCCTCCACCCCCTTTTGAGCTTCCGGAATCGACAGTGTCACGGAAGTCGAGTCAGAGTGCAATGAGCGAGGCTCTGGTGATGAACAAGTCCCCGGGACTGATCAGAAGATTATCAAACAGAGCCACGAAGTTTGCGGGCCGGCGCCGGCAGTCATCGACTACAGCCATGAGTCGAGATCACAGCACTGGACCTGTCACTATGCGACGGAGAAGTGACAGTACCAATACAGCACCGGAAGGCGGCAAAGGAGCCCTATTCTCGGACTCAGATGACGAGTTTGTTGTGGACATGCGAGAAGAGTATTATTATCCGTTGGCACTCGACGGTAAAGGAGACTACCCAAGCACAACCGCTTCCATCGGCTCTTCGACAGTACCCTCAGCGACCCCTCCCCCTGGCCCTGTCATTCCCAAGGTCCTGCTTCAAGGCACCACCATGATGAAGGTAACCAAGAAGAAGAAGAAGCTTCTGACTTTCGTTCTTGAGAGCGAAGCTGCAAAAGTATGCTGGGACAAAAACCGGCCTTCCAAGTCTTTCTATATCGACGACATCAAAGACATCCGAGCTGGAGCAGACGCCCGAAACTACCGTCAAGAATTTGGAGTTGCAGCCGCCGATGAACCACGATTCTTCTCGATCTTGTACGCAGTCCCAGACAGGTCGAAGGGGAAGTCTCAACAGAAGATCATGCACTTAATCGCCAACGATGACCAGACTTTCGACCTTTGGACAACAACACTCGATGCCATATCGAAGCATCGTCAGGATTTGATGGCATCCCTATCATCGTTTAACGATAAGGCCGTGAGGGCTTATTGGCGGACCGAAATGAACAAGCAATTCCAGGACAAGCCTCACCTTGAAGATGAAGAAGAGATCGACATTGTGGGGGTCGAACGTTTATGTCGATCTCTCCACATCCATGGATCTTCAAGTTACCTTCGTACTAGGTTCGACCAGGCAGATGTTTCAAGATCGGGTCGCCTGAACTTCGTCGAGTTTCAAACATTCGTAAAGCTGATGAAGAGACGAGAAGACGTGCGAGCGATTTACCGAGAACTTGCATCCGATTCGGAGAAGGGCATTACAAGCGAAGAATTCTTTCGCTTTCTTACGGATATTCAGTTTGAGAACGTCGAAGCTGATGTTGCTCACTGGGAGGATGTTTTCGCCAAGTTTGCACGCCGGTCGAAGCCGAAAGACGCTGTCGAAGGGGAGGCTTCACGGATGAACGAGGCAGCCTTGAGCAGTTATCTCATTTCCACGTTCAATCTTCCCTTGGAAAACATTGCTGCGACTCACACCTTGAATCGCCCAATGAACGAGTACTTCATCTCGAGTTCCCACAATACATATCTCTTAGGTCGACAAGTTGTTGGCCAATCGAGCGTTGAGGCATATATTTCAGCTCTGAATCGCGGATGCAGATGCGTCGAAGTCGACTGCTGGAATGGGAGCGATGGTCAGCCTACCGTTATGCACGGCCATAGCCTCACCACTGCGGTCTCTTTTGCCGACGTGATGTCTACCATCAGCAAATATGCTTTCGTCAAGTCACCTTACCCACTCTGGATATCTCTGGAAGTTCATTGCAATTCACAGCAACAAGCCATAATGGCTGAGATCATCAAGGAGACTTGCGGCTCGAAGCTTGTCACACAACCAATTGATCCATCGGTTGAGCAACTACCGACGCCGTCTGAGTTGATGCACCGAATCTTGATCAAGGTCAAGAAGCCTAGGTCGTTCGAAGATTCAGCGGTAATGGAACAGACAAATGGAAGAACTCGTGGGAGCAGTCTGAGCTCGCCATATGTTCGCCCCACCCAGCTTGACAACTCTACCATTTCAGCCGGTCTTCTACCACCGACCCCGTATTCGCGAACGTACAGGACCATCAGCCGTGGGCAGCCCAAATACTCCGGAAGTGAAGGTCAAGATAGCCTGAGCAGTAGCACAAGTGACAGCGAGAGTCTCACGGAAGACGTTGTTCGTGCCAAAGAAAATAAAGCAAAGAACAAGACCAGCAACATCATCAAGGTTCTTGGTGAACTTGGTGTTTACTGTGCTGGGATCAAATTCCAAGGCTTCGATGCTCCAGAGGCCAAGTCATACAATCATATTCTCTCCTTCGCGGAGAACACTTTCGACAGGAACACGAAGGATCCAGAAGACAAACGTGCCGTGGCTCGGCATAACATGCGGTACATGATGCGTGTGTATCCAAGTTACAAACGCATATACTCGAACAACTTCGATCCACTCAAGTATTGGCGTCGAGGAGTACAAATGGTTGCTTTGAACTGGCAAACTTACGATCTCGGGATGCAAATGAACGACGCAATGTTTGCGGCCGGCAAAGATCAATCAGGATATGTTCTCAAACCAATTGAACTCCGAGAGATCAAGATGATCCCAACTGTTCCTGAAGAGGCTGGTGTCGGCTATGTCAGACGGGAGCGCAAGAACGTCACCTTCTCAATCGACCTCATCTCAGCACAGCAACTCATGCGACCCAAAGGGCTTGCTCCGAATCAAAGTGTCAATCCTTACGTTGAGGTGGAGGTCTACCACGCCGACGATAAATCTAAGGATAGTAAGGGTGTTGTGGGAGAAGGCGGACTTGATGCTTCTGCAAAGGATGGATTTTCTGGTCTTGGTACACCTCACCGAAGACGAACCCAGATCATCCAAGACAACGGCTTTAATCCTATCTTTGACAAGAAGTTCAACTTCGCTCTCACCACCAAGTATCCGGAGCTTGTGTTCGTCCGATGGACAGTAAGATGTTCCAATGATGGTTCAGGTTACAGCGAGAAGGGCTCACCACTTGCGACCTACACGGCCAAACTCAGCAGCCTCAAACAGGGTTATCGCACACTACCTCTCCACGACAACAGTGGAGACCAGTTCCTGTTCTCGACGCTGTTCTGTCGCATCAAGATTGATCCAGCGACTAGCATCTACGTCAACGGACCAGAGTCTGCTGCAAATGATAGTGTCGGCGTCCTCAAAAACATTAGTCGCACAGTCTGGAATCGCACGCCTATGTCGCCAAAAACATCTGTCGACAGCGGCAACTCATAAACTCGCCATCATACTACCACCAATTTCGAATCTACTTTACAAACACAAACCCATGTATTTCCCTGACCAGATCAGCGAATTGCGACCTGTACAAAAGTTTTCCTTGGATCCATATTTCAAATCAGGAAGCGTCGTACGGATCTCTCAATTTCGAATTTTCATATTTTTCTCAGGCGCGTTAATCAGAAGGAAACGGACATGGGCATTTCATTAGCATACATATAAACGGAAGGAAACAAAAGTGGCTCGCGCTGCGCTCTGCATTTGGGATTATTTGGGCAGCATATTTTCTGCATCAGTCGCACGGTCATCGAGCTGCACAAATTCACCAATCCACTCATTAGATTTTCTTTGTCATATCGTCTCAGGCCTCGTTTTAATTCGCGGACGGGTTCCTGGCTTCATTTCCTTGAGGATTCTCGGCGTCAGCTGTGCTGCTTCTTCGTCGGTCAAGGCGGGACTGAACTGGTTTCTGTTTTCGCACGATCGATCGAACGATTTGAATTTCATCCGACTCTCAAGCTCCGGCTTCTTTTTCTTCTCTTCTTCTGGTCTAGCACGGAGTTACTTCGGGCAGGACTTTTTCAAACTCGGGGGTTAGCGATCTTCTTCACGCTTGATGAATGGCGTACTGCGTTTTGGATGGGACGGGACAATACAGGACTTGCATGGAGGTTGGCTCCTTTTCTTTTCGACTTCGGATTTTACTGCATGGGAATTGGGAGATAAAGAGATACGGCGGCGTCTCTGTGTACGAGAATACGAGGGAGCGATCGCTTCATAGCTTGATCGATATGAACGTTGCGTTGCTCTTTTGCAGGGAGGGAGGAACAACAAATCTGATTACGCCGCGCTCACAAGAGCTTGCGAGCGATTGGGTTGCGATGAGGCTGGGTTGCATTGCTGGTGGATGTTGCTGAATCATGTTGTGGTGATGTGGACGCGATGAGGACGTAGGAGATAGCAATGACAATATCCAGTTTCTCGAAATACTTTCATCCCATGCTCGTCTTATGTGACCGCGACTTTTCCTCGTCCCATGATTTGATCAAGTGATCTGTTGTTCTACCTTCTTGCATACCTCCTTCTCATTTGAGAGTCAGAGGAGTTTGAGGCAAACGAAAGCTGTCTCGCCCACTATTAGTTGCGGCGGTTGTGATACATTAAGAGAGGGGGGATTGTCTTACCTGCAAATCAAAGAGCGTGGCCGCAGTGACCAGGCCCGGACAAAAGCTTGCAGGCGACGTAGACGACCTGAGTGGGTGGGGGAAAAGAAAAAAACTGCCCAAATCAACCACCAGCCGAGCTGGACCGTCCACAGTGTTAAGCGCATCTGTAAGCCTATCTATCTATCCACTCTATCAATTTTTCCAATTTTTTCCAATTTTTCTTTTTTCAGTCAGTTCGTAATACGCCTTAACTCGATCGTCCTTCGACCTCTTCCTTTTATTCCCCCGGTTCCACGTCCCGTCAAGGGTTCCCGGAAGTGATCCACGACCATTGATTGCACTGAGCTCGACAACAATCCACACCCCGGAACTCGAGGGGCTTCTCTCGGATCCTTGGTGCTGACGGTGCCGTCCAGACGCTCTGGCTGAGCGTGTCGAGTGGATGGTGGATGCCGCGGGCAGAGGAGTGGCTTGTTTTGATCCAATCGCGGGTCTGCTGTTCGGATCTTGTTTATGGCCTTGGAGACAGGGAGGTGTGGCTTTTTTTAGTGCAGTGCGGTGCGGTGTGTGCGACATCTGCTTTGTTGTGTTTTGGGGTTGGATGGAAGAGTCGGGATGTCGAGGGTGTGTTGGAGAAAGGAAGAATCGGTGGATATTTGGAGGTTGGATATTTTTCTAGTGCGTTTTGGAGGCCGGCTGGGGGTATGTGGGTTGGAGGTCGTTGTTCTTTTGCTGCGGATCTGTGGTGACTTTAGGAATTGGATTCACTTGTTTGTGAATCAGAACTTATATTAGGTTCGCTAAAGGGGAGGTTGGTTTTATCTGACGGTTGGACTTTGATATCCTAGCTACTACAAGATGTTTAGCTTTTGGTTAGTCTAAAATAGAGACCTTACGAAGAAACCAAGCGGATTTCATAGTGTCAAGGAGGCATGGTTTACCAGGGCAACTTTTGTTACAGGTTGTCAATCGTCTGTTAAACTGTATTCACATTTACATGAGCTCGGGACATTTAGTATACACGACTTCATTTAATAAAACTAAGGAATGCCGCAAGGGAAGAGAACCATCTACTGTATATAATATTAAGACAGAAGTAAGAAAAAAGGGGCTCGGGCCTAAAGTGAAAAGGGGCGATTGGTCACGTGATCCAATCCAAAAGCTCCTTAAAATTGCCCTCTTTTAATAACACCTCCTGGTCTGAACATAAATTTAATTTCTACCGTCGCTGTAAACTCAAAATACAATTCTTCCAAGGTATCGCTCTAGAAGACAAATTAGTTGTCTTCAAGTACTCCAGGTAAGCGCCCGTTACATAAGCACGCATCCTTCTCCTCCTCAGCTCTTGTCTCAGCTTTGCATCCTCTCATCTTCAGCTAGTCTTGGCTTTGTATACACCTCAACTCAGCCTCTCTCCAGCTTTACTATCACTCCGTGCTTAAAGCTTAAGATCTCCCCTCTCGCGTAGTGACATCTACCTCGACTTTTCCCCCTCACCGCCTCCCCCCGACCTTTTTCTTCTAACCTGCCATCCTACCATCCCCTCAAAAATGTCTAATTCTCGTCCCGCCACCAACACGGCCGCCGACTCTCCATCTTCCAAGCTTATACCGGAAGCAAGCGTTGCAAAGAAGAATAAGTGGCAAACGCAATTCGACGTGCAAGCCCCGCCGAAATGCGAAATGTGCGATGCTGAGGTGAAGGATATGGAGGCCCGGAGAACGCAGTAAGTCCTATTCTCTTACTCACACGACCTTCCTCTCTCTGAGAGCGAAAACTCTCGAGGCCGGTCTCAGGAGGAATCATATCACAGACCCGTGTCATTAGTCTCGTGAGCCAAGACGGCTTGCTTGGAAGATGTAGAATGGTGTCTGGACGTGCTGATGTTAACGAGCAAGCAGCATGGCTGAAACGAAACACTGCCATTGTTTTGAATGTGACGCGTATGTCCCGCCGGGCATGCTGTACTCGCACTGGAGCGACGCGCATGAGGACTTGACGTGGAACGACCATGCCGTTGCTCACACAGATTCGGTGAACGTGAGGGACGCGATGCCGTGGGTGAGGGAAGCGATCGAGAAGAGGAGAGCGGCATTATAGTGACAGGGCATGTGTCGAGAGTGAGCTTTTGGAGAGTGGCAATTTGTAAACTGCTAAAGAAGAAGGCAGGAGTGTTGAGAATACGTGAGAGATGACACCTATTGCTTGAATAATGTCTTTTTGTGTATTACCGCCAGATTTCATGCAGCAGAGCCCTTACTAACTTCCAAATATTTCAAGAACATTCTCTTGTTCAGAATATATAAGACGATATGAGGTAGAGCAGGTTCGAGGCAACAAGAGCTTTCTTGCCGTTGCTGCTTTGCGGCAAAGTGTTTGTGATAAATCATAAGAATGGATTGTATATATCTCCTCATGTGGTGCTTCAGAGGTATCAAAGCCCCTCGTATTGTTGTATCCCGGTCCACTGGTTCTGATGTTGTCTGAGCTAGTCCTCTCCAAATTCTAATTTCCGAGTTGCATGAAGATGAAGACCACAAATTAGAGCGTATTTGGCAATTCCACAAAGTCACCTCCCTCCGACTCAGACTCCGTTTCTGACCCCACCGCGCTTCGTCTACTTTTCACGCTTCTCTGGACACCGTTGAGTCGTCTGTAGCTGCCCCATTCGAACCTTGGCTGGGATTGATCATCATAGACTCCAACTTCTCGAGAATCAATGCATGCCTGTCTTTCGATCTCAAGGCCCAGGATTCCCTGCGTTCGCATTTAACTTCGAGGGATGATTGGAGGGCTTCTCCGGAGAGCTATTTGCTCGAGATGTTGTGTAGCATATCGTCCCTGCCGCACTTCACCACAGCCCGTAGAGCATAATGTCGAGAAAGTGTCGGTTGATAGTTCATGAGGAACAAGAGTGTAACATCTTTGTGGGTCCTGGCCGCAAGGTCATAATGTAAGAGCTCGCGCCAAGCACATCAAGTCTCATTCGCGTTGGACCTGCACCATTCGTGTGAAGCCAAGCCAACATATCTGGATCATCATTCTGAACAGCAGCGAAAGTGCACTCTCAATTTACCACCAGATGAATCGATGTTAGCTCCTTGCTCAAGTAACATTCCCACGAATCCCTTGCTGGTGGGTTTTTCAACTCATACAATGGGAAACCCGGCCCTCTGTCGATAGCGATCCCTACTATTGGGATTGACGTCTACTACATGCCAAAGTAGAACTTTTAAAGCTCAATCATTGCACATCAATGCCGTTTGCAGAGCAGTGCCATACACTCCACCATCGGCACTGATGTTAATAGCTTCATGGCTCAATAGCGAGCGAGTGTCTTCTTGGTATGTCGTTGAACACTGTTTCGTGTCATAATGTGCCTTCGGGTCCCTTGTGATTAAGGTCGGCTCCGAAATTAAAACAAAAGTTTGGTGTAATTTTCAATGTTGTTTACCATGTAGAAGAGAAGAGGGCGCTGCGGCCATCAAGATCAACAGCATTGGCATTTGTGCCAGCTTTGAGGAGTAATTCCATGACCTCGGTGTCGCCCGAACTTGTGGCAAACAGAAAAGGTGTCTTCCTTGACGGGGTTGGCCTGTCCACCATGCCTGCTCTTCGTTGTCTTTTGGGGACTACCCGCATTGAAAACCAGGCAGGGAAGTGTCTCGAATTTGAGTCACAAAGATACAAAACTGCGTCAGCCGTATTGTTGTTTGAAGTATGTTTTTTGTAGTGGGTGGGTCAAGAAATCGCCGTGTAAGAAGAGAAAGGTAGAGAGATGGTGTGGGAGTCTGGTGCGATCGTGTACTCGTTTCTCTTGGCGTATTGTTGCGAGTTAATTCAGCCAGTTGGCTATAGTCTCCTGCAATGACAGTTGATACTGCTGGATCATGTTCCAACCTAGGTCCCGTGGTCTCCGTATCTTCTAGAATTAGTATCCGCTTGTAATCTTTGGCTAGGCTGGGATTATCCTCGGTCAACGATTGAAAAGCCTTGTCCCAGAGGTTTTCATTCCTAGTAGCTGAGGTACTACTAGTGGCTTTCAATCCAGGATCCTCTGGTTGGGAATTTGGAGTGACTCTCGCGAGGGTCCGGTCCACGATCCTCGCCTCATTTGGGGCGCCTCTAGTCGTCGCTGGCCCGAGCTGCTCTTCTATAGCAGCTGGGGCATCTGTGGCGGGGTCTGATTCACGATCACATCCTCCAGCCTGGGAGCGCCTCTTGCCACATCTAGTCTGTGGTCCTCTTCAGCAACAGCTGGAGGACTTGTCGTCAGATCTGACCCAGAATGCCTTTCACTAACTGGAGTGCTTCTGGTAGGGTCCGGTCCGTGAACCTCTGGAAGATTGCAGTTCAACGTCTCTCTGGTTCTTGATGAATTGCCATTCGGTCCATCGGTACTGCTTGGCTCTTCAGACTCAGCGAGCGTGTCCTCCCGGTTTCGTAAGGACTGGGCTGGTGATTGAGACCTTTCTGCATGTAATGGCACCGAGTGCTTGAGCTGTTGAAGGAAATTTAGTTTTCTCGAAGCCATGATCGTCAGAAACTACTCAGCTCGATGGCTCGCCGAGCTGCTTTGGCCCACCACTGCCATGACCCTCGAGTCTCGACGGACAGCCCTCACCGTCTCCGATAAGATGCAACTTCGGGGAGTGAGGTTTTGGTTGCTGATGCGATGAAAGGAAAGATAGAAAGTCAGGCAAGGCCAGGAGACAATGGCGATGTCGTCTCCGCTCCCTCTCGGCCCCCATGTCATGCTGCTGCGAGGCTGAGGATCTTCTCCACCTGTGTGGACACAATCCCTGTAGCTGCAGCTGCCGAAGTTCCCACCCCAGACCATGACTAAAAACGAGGCTAGCCAAGACCAGAACCAAGGCAAGATCCCCAACTCCCTCTCCTCGAAGCAACAACAACAACGGATGCACCACAGCTCCGATTCCTCCCATCGCTCATTCCCAAGGTCACATCACCATAAAGAACCAACCATGTCAGCCTCATCCTACCCAATGACCCATATAGGTGCCAAACGTGCGTGTCCTCCGCTCAGCCGCCAAGCGCGCCAACCTCCCAGAAAAAAAAGCTAATTTCCTTCGCAATCCAGCTTTTAATCATTCTCAGAGCGGAGATGCAGAGGCGGAATACGATCGATTGCGAGATCTTGCGCGACAGGAAGCTGGAAAGCGATCGTCGTGTTTTGACAAGGTCGAGATCCTCTCATGTCTCACTTGCTGGCACACTCGAGCTAATGTCGAGCCCAGGCACATCAAGCATACGAGCGTGGAGATGGTGCTGCGGCGCATCAGTTGTCGGAAGAGGGGAAGCAGCACGCGGCGAAGATGGATCAGTACAATAAGCAGGCGTCTGATTATATCTTCCGGGAGAACAATTCGCAAGGACGAGTCCCGGACGATACGATTGATTTGCATGGGCAGTTCGTAGAGGAGGCGGAGCAAATTCTGGAGCAGAGGATCAGATACGCGCAGCAGAATGGGCAGACGCATCTGCATGTGTAAGTGCCTATCCTCCTTGGTTGGATTTGGGGGTTAACATTGGGATTCTCAGCATTGTGGGCAAAGGCAATCACTCCGTGAACCATATCCAAAAGATCAAGCCCCGAGTCGAGCAAGTATGTCAAGAACTGGGGCTCCAATACTCGACCGAGGACAATGCGGGACGCGTGTATATCAATCTCCAAGGTGGACCAGCAACCATGCCTCCTGCGCATAGTTACCAGCAAGGAGGGCAACAGGGATATCAGGGACCCCAAAGTGGCCAACATCAGCAACAAGGTGGATATCCTGGCCAGCAGCAAGGAGGCAATTACCAAGGTGGTAATCAACAAAATAATGGCCAGAATGATGAACTGGAGAAGTTGGCTATGAAGATGTTGCCCAGGATATTGAAGAAATTGGATGGGTGTTGCACGGTCATGTAATTGGATATGTTGGACTTATGGGTAATGTGTTATGATGGATGGTTGGAAATAGATGTTGTCAGGTTTTTAGACCTTGGATGAACTGTATATTTTTGTACAGTACAGTCATGACAGCTTGAAGGAATGAGAGATCTGGGAGCCAGGTCAAGTGTTGTGTCTTGGCTCTGGTGCAGCTCAATCAATATTCGAGGGGATGCTGCCACATCGGGCGAAGTGTTGGAACAAAATGCTGAGATTAACTTTGTGCTCGAGGTCTCAACGTCTCATTGTACCAGGAAGTTTTGGTACATTGATGCGATATGCAACAAAGAGTTGGTTTCTAATTCACTCCTTGCCCCTTTTTCATCTGAGTTTTTTTTAGACGAAACCAAGCAGTTGATGTAGTCATCTTTCGTCTGCAGCACTTGTGGGTCCTGCACAAATCTAGAAGCATAGGTGGAAATCACAAAACTGATCACGTGTCAAGTTCGAAACTTGTTTCCTGTTTGCTCGGTCTGTATTCAATTCTGCGAATGAAAAGAGAACTGGTTTGTAAAAATATGATTTACTTCTTGTGCGAATAAAAAAGACATCCAATAGCTCATGGCTGCATCAAAAACTCGTCAAAAGCCAGCTCCTCCGCAACGGGCCTCTCCTCTGGCATCCAGCATAACATTCTGCGCAAGAACTGTACGAAAAGAGCCCGGTCTTCCCCATGTAGCAAATGCTCACGGATTTCGAAAGATTGATCAGGAATGGGAACGGAACCTTTCCAATTTCCTATAGTGACATCAGCAAATTATTAAAGCTTTTCCGAGTTGGAAGAACAGGGATTTGGCGTAGTACCTTGACTGTCCCAGTATTGATAGCACTTTTCACTCCGTTTCAAGAATTCTAGAGGTGGAGGCTCCAAAAGTGAAACCATTTCTGCAAGGTGCTGTTCATCATCTAGTATTCTATTTCTCTTTGCGAAGAATAAATGGCCGCCTTCAAGAAGACCCCACATCTAAGTAGATTAGATAAAAGTAAGCTCGGTTCTAGCTTGTTCACGGCCTAGTTATGGAGGGCATCCGATTTTTGACCTCGAAATGTCTTCGTTGCTTTAGCCAAGCAGCGTGACCCAACTTTTGTGGGATATTCCAAACACTCTCGGCAGGACAGGTGTCACGTGCTGCGCACAGGCGCATATATAGCTTCTTCACCGCCCTTAGGGCACCATCATTTATTACAAACATACCAAAACACACCACATTCCACTTCCACAGCTTGTCCAGGCCGTGACAACAGGTCAAGCAACAATGTGCCAGTATCATCAACTCTTTCGTCATTGATTTGTACTCACCATAACACCAATCGCCCAGATATCCAGTTTAGAATCCCAATCCATTCCCAAAATAATCTCTGGGGCGCGATAAATTCCAGGCATAATGTCGCCTCTGTGTTTTTGGGTACCAGCTCTAGCCTCACCAAGATCACAGAGGACTGGTTGGCCTGCACTGAACGGCATCGGTCGCGAGTTGTAGATAATGCGATCGCTAAGAATCTTCCGGGCGATGGGCCGTTCCAGTTCGCCTTGCTCCATCTGGGAAAGGATCGACTCATCCTCAATCCTTTGGAGCACGTTATTTGGTGACAGATCTGACAACAATTAGCTTTCTAATCACTATAAGCTAGTTTTATATAATTGAGAGCTCACCAGTGTGGACGACATGGCACCGATGTAAATAATCTAGGACTATAAGGAGGAGTTGAACGCTCTTTTGGGTAAGATCTTTTGGAAACCTATTCTGAGGAAGAAGTTGCAGAAACTCGGTGAAACTCATCCCAAGTGGTTGACAGTGTGTCAAATGAATAGAATAGAATAGAGTAGTGGCCACTACTCTATTCTATTTATCGAAATTTACCCACTACTCATATTCTATTCATATTTTAATCAAGGTATTCATGAGTATTCGTGAATACTTTGAGTAGTACGCACGTGATTTTGCAGGTAAGCAGCTAGCTATATTAGGTAAAGCTCCCGCCCGCTCCCGCGCTACAGTCGGTCCGATCCAAAAGCGACAAAACGGTCGCCCTTCTGTGTCCATAATAACTTTTTAACCACGACCCTGATTAATTAACACTAAGTAATGCAATTATAGAGAAGAACCAGGCGAATAAAAGCTATTAATCAGATTTTTAATGCGATTTGTGGTTAGTTAGTAATCGAGTTTTAAAGTGCACGGACCTCTTTCACTTTTTTGATTTTTGACCATACAAAACGCGAAAATATTTCACGAAAGTCACGTGTACCTAAGTAAATAGTAAATTAAACTTAGACTTATAAGGCCTTATAAGGCCCCTTAAGCTTCTATAAGCTTAGTATATATAGTAAGAGCTTAAATTTTAAGAGTTACTACTAAAGAGAGTATAAAGTATAAAAAGTCTATAGTTTTAATCACGTGCAATCTCGTATACTATACGAGATGTAATTTTTTACTCATACAAAACGCGAAAATTTCTATGCGAACTCGTATAAAATGATCACGTGCTTTGTAACTCCTGCAATATTAAAGGTATTAAAAATCAGAGAGCAGGGAATTAATTACTATAAGATATATGATAATTCCGATTAATACGATTTATATCAATTAGTATTGTGGTGGTTTTTATTTTTTTTTGTTGCTTTTGGATCGGACCGACTGTAGCGCCACCTCACTACCCAATTAGGCGATGGCGAGGCTTGGTAAGTGAACTAAAGCACAAGATTCCGAGGAGAATAATTAGTTTATTATTATAGAAAATTAGTACTTAGCTAGTAATATATAAGTCTTGGCTTAGTTTAGCCAGAGCTACTAATAGGCGCCTTAGTTATTTAATAATTATTAAGCAAACCTTGATTTTCTATGGTCACATGACCAGAGATCACAAGTATTCATGAATATTCATGAATATATATTCTACTCTACTCTAATTTTTTGAGAATTACGCTACTCATATTCTATTCAAGATATTCATGAATATTCATGAATACCTTGAATACCTTGAATACTTTTTTGACACACTGGTGGTTGATAGAGCATGCATTTGTGATTTCCATTAGGACCGGTGATGTCAAATGAATCAAGGACGCTTCGGACCATTTTTTCCCCAGGATGTTCGATGGGGTTACTTTTTAAGCACTCGTTGATTGTGATTTCGTGATCATCATGCGAGTCCACATGATTATGCTCTTTTGGTTCGAATACGCAATTTGAGGGTTAGATATCGGTGGTCCCTATTGATATATTAGAAAGAATCTTGACCAGTTGAATAGATGCAGTTCGAATCCTTGCCTAAGATCTCTGCACAGCCACACCGTGGAATTCACCCCGAATCCTAGTTTTGTCACAACCTGGTATCTAGACCCGAACACTTCACCGATATAAACTGGATAATAATCTTCTGGGACGTAAGAGGGGACATTTTCTTCCTCGATCTTCTTTGTCGCGTCTAGTACCACAAACCCGGAAGTGGGAAACTTGCGTGGAGGAGAGTGGGGAGCGGCGGCCGTGGTTCTACCAAATGATTGAGGCAAATATGAGAGAAGCCGATAGGGGAAGGGCGATTGAGAGATGAAGGAATGTAGTGGCCTCTTCAGGCCTGAGCAATGTCTGGTCATCTCAATTTGAAGGGAAGAATGTCAGAAGATCATTTGGTCAGCTACCAAATGGGAAAAAGTAAAACGATACCCCCCAGGTGTCGATTGGGTGGCCAAGCCGACCTACTAACCTAAAGTAGAGGCGCTCAGACAGGACCACCAAAAATCTGGCTTTCTCTTTAAATTTAATTAATATACAAGGAATTAATAGAATTTAATACGTTCTTCATTTTATCGTAGACCTAATTAATGGCTATTTAGAGATTTTTTTTTATACAAAATATTAATTAGTAATAATTCTTTAAATTAAAAAGGTTGAAAAATTAATATTTTATAATTTAAAGGCAGTTCTAAGTAAGCCTAGAAATTTAGTAATTGAGTCCCTAAATCTAGATAAAAGATCCCTATAAGCCTCTAATTATAAAATCTTATAGGACCTTAAAATAAAAACTTAATTAATTAGAATATAAACTCCTTTAAATTAAAATTATATTTTAAGGAATCTTTTTATTATAAGTTAAGAAGCACGTGATTAAATTATAAGCCTTATAGTATACTATGTTTATTTAAACAAAAATCCAACTTAAGGTATCTAAAGGGCGGAGTAGCCAATTACAAGTCGTTAATACTCTGGCCCCTAATCGATACCTGGGGGGTGTCGTTGTACTTTTTTCCTGAAGAAGCTAGGTGTATTCCAGCATTGAGACAACCAGGCAATCTTTCTTTTCAGTCTTCCTTCCAAACTGTAATTCCAGTCTTCGCCTCCAGAATATCAGCCAAAAGATAAGCCTGCTTAATACCCATAGTCGTACCTACAGAGTCGAGGTTTCTCTTCACGAACTGTCGGACCTCCTCCGTGGCAACATCTAAAATACCTGCTAGCCAAAGCGGCCAAATCAAGAACGAACCTCCCGACATCTTAATAGTCGGGAGCTGCGATTGATCGACTTCAGCGAGCGTTTGAAAGTGCGTTCCTCCCTTTGGGAAATAGCCGACGTGCTGCGGCACTATGCAGAGAATATCTGCTTGCATTTCATATATTGCGTCCGTGGAGATCTGAAATTGCGCGCTGTGCTCAGCGGACCTGAAGACGGGAGGGCTGGTAGAGAAACCTGCGAGCAGGGTGTTGCGGATCACTTCGTTGAGAAGGATGCGGCCTGTCCGGAGCGTGTTCCACATCTGTGACATCCAATAATCTTTGTACACATGGTAGCGGCCGTTGAAGACGTGCTCGGATTTCTCTTCTGTGAAGACGGTTTTGTATTCCCATCCTGGCTGGACGTTGGCGACGATTTCTACGAGCTTGGCATCAAGCTCCAGAGCTCGAGATAAAATTGTTTCTCGGTCTGTGAGAATCTTTTGCTGCATTTCTGCATGCAGAATTGAGAAACGCATCAAGGTGTCTTGGATGATGAAGGCAGGGTCTGGTGTCTTGACCAGTTCGATGGCGGCTGTCATGTAGTCGATCATATGCTTCGGTAGTGCGATCCCCTTGTTCATACAGGCTATCATGAGATGGGCCGTCACCTGGACCAATAGTCGTCTTCCTGCGGGTGTCTTGATTTGATCCGGGCCTCGGAGTTTGATGACTGCGGCAGCGCCTTTGATGTGCTCAGACCAGTCTTTGAGTGACTCTTGACGGCAACCGGTGATGGTCTCAAAGATTCCGAGAATCATAATTGACATCAAGGTGCTATCTTTCTTGACTTGAACGGGATCTCGAAGTGCAACGTTTGTTGATTGAAGGGCTTGGACGTATTGGTAGCGAGCGTTCTTCAATAAATTGGGTGCGTGTGCCGCATGGGCGAAGCCTGCTAGGCCAACAGCTTTCATACTTGAAAGCAAACCCTCATCCAGTTGACCAGTCCTAGTCATATCTTGAATTGGGTCCAAATGCCCTCGATTTGACGCCCTACATTCGATAACATAATTCGAAATAAAGAAACCGGTTGCGAGATCTTCGATTGTAGGTGCCAATTGGAGAGCTGATAAATAAGGGTCCTTCTGCTGCACCAGCTCGAGGGATACTTCCTCTTCCGGCTGCGGGGAGATAGACAGGGATAACTCCAGGGCTTGCTTCTTTGCTTCCTTAGCCTTGAATTTTCGGACGACGTTGGTGCTTTCATCCCGGAAGATTAGATCTCCCTGTGATCGATATCCGGGACACTCTCGTTTGGCTCTGAAACATTGAGTACAGCCTTCGGGAATTTTATCACACTTCGTTTTCCTCGCTCGGCAGGCATGGCAGCCACCCGACGGCTTCCCGCAGTAGACCATGCTCTCTGCTCCGAGTCCCAGGTGGGGTGAGTGGTGTTTTTCCGTGAGCAAATTCGTCTCACCTCCAGCCATGTGAGTTTAAAAATGGCTGGAGATCAACCTGGTGTGATGGAATGAGCTGTACGGCTTTTGGCATTTCGCAGAGGTGGTCTCAAGAGGAGAAGAGGAGGAGTTGGCATCTTATCTGGGTTGATCTGATAAAGCATCCAGCTTGACGCGCAGGCTGAGCGCCTCAGTCACCACAAGCTAGCCAAATGAGGAAGAAATGGGAGTTGAGCTTAACTGCATTGAGCCGAGACTTGTGGCACACACAGACATCGCGTCACAAGTCCGCCAATCAAAAAGATCACCCCACTCCATCCTCTTTCCTGTTCCCATCCGTCTTATGGATGCAATAGAAACCGCCCGAAGAGATGACGAAGAGATCGGAATCTCTTCCTCTGACTAACCAACAACGGCCCGTGACACGGGCCCCGTGTTGGGGCTGGGCAGTTCGGCGGCGAATGAGCTTAAGTTGACGTGTCCGAGTCCCTTAACTCCCCTGCAGATTTAACATTTCTGCTTTCCTAGTTACGAATCGTTCACCCATTTGGCCTTGTGTGACAGTCAATGATGGATCTCTGACGTGGGTCTGTAAGGCTGAGGATGTGCGGGGTTTTTCCTGTTCTGGTGTTCTCTGGAGTAGGTTGCGTCCCACGATTAGCCGACCGTTGTTGATCTCTTCTCCCTTGTCGCTCCAGTGCGTGGAAAGGACGATATAAGGAGATGGAAGATGTCTCCCAAGTGTTTATCTCCACTGATATATTGCCTTACTTCTGCTCTACCTATCAATGGCTTCGCCTCGGGGTGATCTCTGCCTTCCCTTTGTTTTCACAGCCACCTTGTCAAGAAGTAGCTTGACCTCTAACAAACATTTCCACCAAGACCTAGAATTAGCTCTCTATCTTTACAGAAAATTCATCGAGGATAACAATAACCCCAAAGCGCCAACTCGACATGAACCATGCATTCATCAAAGAAACTTAAGTCTGGCTCCAGAGGCTGGACTGATGTCTGAGGGCAACGGGCTGGACGACTTCACCCCAAAGGAAGTCGAAAAGGACCACCAACTCATTCATGATAAAACAACCGAATGGGATATCTGCAAAGATGAAAGAGGCAAATTAATCACTACCGAAGGCGGCTGATGCTTGGGCTTTTCTTCCCTTTTTTGGTTTAATTACTTGACGTTGCTATTATTGCTGGAGCATTACCCTTTATTGCATTAGACTTCCGTAAGTCTCATCAAAGTCAAGTGTTTCACCTACTGAAATCTGAATAGACCAGCTATCCCAATTCAATTGGATCGTCTCAGCCTTCATCCTCGCCTCAGCAGCATTCATCCCCTTCTGGGGCCAATTCGCCGACGTCTTCGGTCGCTACTCCGCCCTCCAAGGCTCCATGCTTCGCACGCTTCGTTCTTCCACCCGTGCTCCTTGGCCCTCAAAAGACCATAAGAACAGACGACAGGAAAGAATGAGTATCACAAACCTTCTCCGCACGCCTCAACGCCATCGATTTCGGTGGGCAGATACTCTTTATCTTCGGCATGGGCCTGTTCGTGCTAGCTTCGACATGGGCACGCGCCTACTGTCCCAGAGCGACGCCAAAGTCGTCGCGCATCTAGCCGTCGGCTCGATACTCATCTTCATTTTTCTGGGCTGGGAATACTTGATGCTGCCAGGACATTTCCTGGCCACTCGCTCACCGACAAGGAGACCGATGATCCCATTAACCTCTTTACACGCAATGCAGAACTACTGGTGTATATAAACTTGATTACAGGCATGGCGGCGTATGCAGTGTGCTACTCCGTAGACCTGTACTTCGCGCTTGTTAGAGACTACTCTGCAGGGAAAGCAGATGTCACTTTGGCGTATTACATGCCTGGCTTAGGAGGTGCTTTCCCCCTCCCCCCCTCCCGTTGCTCTCCCCTTCCCTAGAATTTATCACTGACGCTTGACTTGAACAGCCGGCGCCTACCTCGCCATCTTCGCCTGTAACGTCCAGCCCCTACAACCTTCTTCCCCCTCGTCCTAGGCTGCGTCATCGAGGCACGCGGCATCGCCATCCTCGCTGCCGCCATAAACTCCACCAAGCTGAACCTCATCTACGGCAGGCTAGCCCTTACCGGCGTCGGCACAGGTTTGCGGATGATGCCTGGCACACTGCATGGTATTGCCTGCCACCCTGATGCAATCGCAAGCATCGTGAGTCTGACGAGTCTGGCTATAACCCTTGGTGGTACGCTTGCTACCACGGTTATGTTGAACATCTTCAACAATGTGCTATCCCAGGCGGGGATTAGGCTGAATGGAGTGTCGAGTTCGGGTTTCAGTGAGATTTCAAGCTTGCCGGCTGATGAGCTGGCTTTCTTTAGAGGCAAAGCACAGAGGGGTATCGTCGTGTCTTTGGGACTGGGGAGTGTGAGGATCGGAAAGGGAGACGAAGGGGATCAGATCACGGGGAAGGGAAGTTCTGTTGGCAGTCTGTTTTTGGAGGAGAGCGGGGAAGGAGGTAGCTGGGAAAGGGCTTGAGTGCGAGAGGCGAGAGAATAGCTGAAGAGGAGTCTTTCGTGACTTTGTTCGTGTCTTAGGGTTTTTTTTCCCTGTCAGTCGTTGGAATTGGTGGAGTTTGGTTCGGTATGCATATCTAGAGCCTAGAAGTTGGTCTGCTGTATTGTCGGATGAGATACGCGCACTTAGTTGGAGAGCAAGTAAGAAGACGAGAGTGAAGTGAAGCAAAATCTTGCAAGGGGAGTGAATCATGTAGAAGTGAGTAGTCAAGCTTGCCGAGAGCCGAGGAGGAGGGAAAAAGGGGTAAATCACGTGACGCCACAATCGTGCGATCCAACATCTACTCTATGCTCTTTCAAGTTGGTCAATCCACGGTACACATCCTCTCTACTTTCTTGAATCCTGGGAAGGGAGTTCTGTTGGGATCATAGAGTGGACAGAAACCAGGAAAGTTGATGACATTGTGATGTGGAGTGCAACATAGTGTGTTTCAAACTTGCTTGATCTTTCGTTGAGGATTTTTCGGTCCTATTCAAAGTCACCAGTTTGGTTTCGTATCAGAACCAGGTTCAGGGAAATTTCTAGAAGCAAAGTGGGGTCTGGTACCGGCATGGATGGTACTCCCCCCCCAAATAAATGTAATAGTGGGTCCCCGCAAAACCAGCCTGGCACGGTCCATTTGCCATACCAAAAAACCCCTGCACTTTGACCCACTGTTACATTTAATTAGGGGGGGGGGGGGGGGGGGGGGGGGGGGGGGGGGGGGGGGAGTAGTCACTGGGTTTTTCCTGGTTCGTGTAAGCTTACATCACCTTGGTGTTGGGTGAAGGGACTCGCATCACTTTACCTGCAATATGAATTCTCGGATAATCTTTCTCTGATACCACATCTGCTGTGTGGCATTTTTGCGTGAAATACCTTTGCAACGTTACAGTTGCGGCTGTCACAGCCGTTTTCGTTTTATAACCGTCCCCTTCCGGTCTCATGCTTTCGCGAAATATTATATTGATTATGGAAACGAATGATATGGTGTCGCTCATAAAGGAAGTAAGCTTTTCTTGGCAATAGCTGGTAAGATAATTAATATTCCGGATTTTTGGATTTGGACTTTTGGAAGGGTGTGTTGGCAGGGGTTGGTGTCTCCCCTATCAAGGCTCCCCCTCCTCGTTAGGGACGATGATGAAGGGCTTGAAAATTGAAGCAATATTCCTCATCTTTATTACAGGAGCCCTCGGAAGCGTCTCTGGTAGGTCCGGAAGTGGGCCCCGAAAATCCAGGAGACAGGCACGTCAATAAGCAGCCACAGTGTGAAAACCGAAAGCCATACCGCTTCTCAGAAGTGGACATGTGGAGCGGAGCACCGTTTGTTATTCGTTGAACCGAGACTCCCACAGGGCTTTGATCGATCACAACAACACATCCGCGAGGAGGAAATGTATCTTCCAACCGAGGGGTACGATAGTGGCGGCCGAAACATGATCGTGAAAACTTCCAATCTTCCCCCACCGGAGGCTCAAAAAAGGGTAGCGGCGCACGAGATAGCTACCTACCCTCGGAAAATACATGCTGAGAAGTTGAAACTCGAATCGATAATTCTTCCATCTTCACCCACAACAGATTCGGAAACTCTCGCAAGAGTTCTCCCGGCCTGAATCATGTTCTGCGGTAAGCATAAATTTTATTGTGAACCTTGATGATTGAGCGTAAAAAAGGGGTACATACAGCAGCGGGGCAAGATTCAAGAGATAAGAGCATTGTTTTGTGGGTCTAGAGGGGCAGTTATCTGTCAGACCCGGTAGGACGGTACATACGGTCCGCAGGGTGGTGAAGGCTGGGTAAATGGCGGAAGAGGTGGAAGAGGTCTGAGCTCAGGGGAACCGTTCAGGTGGCGGTACCTGCTTATGGGAGCGAGAGCTAAATTGAATGTGAGTGGAAAAGCTTCGGGGGATTCGGGATCGAGGTTTGGGCACGGTTTGAGGAAGTCTCTTGGAGTTCTTAGGAGTTTGTTCCCAGAAATTGAGGAAGACTGCCAAGAGGTGTGATTGGATCTGACGTGGGAACTTGAGGTCTTGGGAGCGAGAGCGAGAAATTTCGACTTGCCAAGAATTAGACGTTGGGACTTGGGGACTCGGGGTCTTGAGGAGGGTCGGGGTCGTAGACTCGTAGTGGCGCGCGGGTACCTGCTTACATGGGAACTTATAGATACAGTAAGCTTTGGGTGACAATTCCAAGCTTTAAAGTATTGATTGAAAAATCTCCTATCTCGCTTGGTGGCGGCACCGAAGTATACATTATTGATTTAATTCTAAGATTTCCTAGAAAGGATAATAGGTTGAAATTCAGGGGTACTAGGGTCGGTTGCTGCATGCTCGAGTAGGGTTACAACTTGCCACACGTATGCGAGTATGCGAGTATGCGAGAATACGAGTTGTGAATTTATTGGGAGAGATTGGGAAGACAAGACTGAGATCAAATTGCACATGCGAAAGGTGATGGAAATAAAGTGATGAGGTGAGGTGAGGCGAGCCAATTCCGGGTATTGGGGTGGGCCTTGGGCGATGCGGGACACAGACAATGTCAAAGCGAGGGGTTCAGTGGAAGAGAGTGGATCTTGTGATACTTGGGAATTAAACCTCGGTACGGTAGCTCGACAGATCAGGAAGAGACAGCCGGAATGGGAAGGGTTGAGGCGGTGACGATGGAAAGAAGGAGTTGGAGAAATTTTGCAAGGGAGGAGAAGGAAATAGTTGGTATCAAATGTCTATCTACTCATCTCAATTCCGTCTAGAAAGGACCGCGAAGTCAAGCATGCCCAATGCGCAGTTTGCAATCCATTTCTAAGACAATACCCCAACAAATCTAAACTTCACCATCTTCGACTCTGATATTCCACGTCGTTGCCACCCGAATCGCCTTCAACTTCGCCTTCCCCGGCACCCCAGGCAACGCCCCATTCTTGCTCCCCTCCATACTCCTCTCGCCCCCCACACTCCCACCCCTTTTCAAATCCCCCATCCCAATACTCTCCACAGTAACGATTGTCCCATCCTCCTTCTTCCTTAAACCCCCCCCATCATCACTTTCGCTTCTCATAAGATCCTCATCACTACCCCACCTATCATGCCTAACTCTGCCCACCCCCTCTGCTACCCCGCCTTTAACAGTGGTCTTGACGTGGAAACCGCCGCGTTCAGTACCGTGCTTATATTTCGTCTTCTTGTATCCACGATCCTGGAGCAATGAGACGAGAACAGTGGCGTTAGAGATAAATGTCGCGAGTAGAATGTCCATGGATGCGAGGAGCGAGCGTGCGGGCTGGGCAAAGCGCCGGTCGATGACGACGGGCATTGCATAGGCTGTGAAGCCTATGCTGAGGAATGGGAGCGCGAGGCGGCCGATGATGGATGCTTGGCTGTTTTCTCTCTGTCAACCCTGTATTTCTTTCTATGGGTGGGAGGGGAATCAAGGAAAGGGACACACCTTTTAATCGGGAGTCGCGATTTCAGGATCATAGGGATGGGAAAGATAATTAAAACGAGGTTTGTAGCAATGTTTAGAATCCCCATTGTGAGGAGGTGGGCGGAGCCTTGGCGGCATTGAGGTCCTGGATCTGGAACTACTTGCCAGTAGTGGGAGAAGGGTTGGCAAGCTCCTAAATCAGCAACGATGGTTGTTACGAAAGTTACGGCGAGGAAGATGTGTAGGTAGCGAAGATAGTGTTGGTGGGAGCGTTGCCAGACGGATTCTGTGAGGGTCCGGAGGAACATCGATACACTGAATTTGATTGCCCAGAGACTGCTTCTCGTCGGTTTCTTGTTGGAGGTGCTGGAGACTCGTGACTTACTATGCTGCGTACATGACTCTTGAAGCCAGAACCATTTGGCTTCCGATCTGTCTGTTGTGGATAGCCAGTGGCGACAGCGTGTCGGCCACAGTATTGTTGGTCCCGTAGAGGAGTACGACGTGTGTGAAAGCCATGCGAATCAGGAGGGGGATGATAGCCAACAACATGATCCCATCTTCCGCGAACAACTTCTCAGCGCGGACATATCGCCCGATGACACGAATAAAAATAATGGCAATGGCATACAATGTCGACCACCAGCAAGTGAGAAGAGTGGGCTTGACGTCTCTGAACGACTGGAAGTCCGGGGGCTCATCAACAAATCGTCGAAGAAGATCCATTGCTGCTAGGCGTGGACTTCACGAGGAAGTTCGAAGATGGTGAAGAGGAAACGGGAAGGGAGTTTGCGACAAATTGAAGGTGGTATCTTGGCATCTGTACAGTACGCACTGGAGTGAGAGCTCGATTCACTTCAAGTGGCGAGGAGGGTGAAGACTTGCAACGCCAACACCATTGTTCAGTTGAAGCTGGGACAATTGGCCCAACGGTACGAATCTGGACTTGCTGCTGGACAGACGGCCGACTCAATGGAGTGACACAGCATGCATAATGAAACTTGAAGAAGTTGGGGATATGAACAGAAATAGGGAGAAGCAAGGATTTTCATCCCTACAAGGCTCACTGTGGGCAGGTCCAAGCCCACTTGAGGCAGATCAATGCTGGCCTAGCCAGGTACACGCAATAGTGCGAACCCGGATGCTACTCGATGCCGTCCCAAGAAATGAGCCTTTCGCATCTCCAACCACAGGCAAGGGCCTGCCCGGTGTCGAGTGAGGTCCTGGGTGACGTGAGGTTGTATGGCCCGGCTTTACTGCAACAAAGCCACCCCGGGAAGCGAAGAAGCGGCAAATCACAGCCCCCTGTCGATGAGGGCCTGCAGCCTGCAGGTCCAGATTCCAGAAGTGGTAGATAACCAGCCGCCGGGTCACCGCACCGCAACGGAACGGGTCGGCGAAGGGGACGTTCGAAGACTTGCTGGGCTACTACTAAAGTACTGTCACGTTTAGTGTTTCTAAACATGTGAGCTAGCGACCCCTTTCCCTATCCAGGTCGGCCGTCCATACAATACTCCGTAGTCCATACGGAAGCGCAATTGCAAAGAGCTGGGACCTTCCTATTTGAGCGTGGTGAAGCCTTCCCCACGCGTCGCGGCATGCCGAGGGCGATGGCGTGCCGAATCTGCATCGACCACCCAACCTTGGCAAGCCATCGAGTCGATGAGGAAGGCCGGCAACAGAGCAACACAAGGTGATCGTGGGCGCTGTTGGGGGCTTTTCTGAGATGAGCGCAGGAGCGGCAGCCATACAACATCGTAGGTCACGACTTGCTTTGGTCGGCCGGTGCACACCCTGGGACCCCACGGCGCTTGGTCTGCCAGTCGGCTCGTGATGGTGGATGTTGCTCAAGTATCCTCGTGCTGACCGGGGGCTGGCAGGGCTCTGGCAGGGCTCTGGCGACATTGCAAGGGTGGCGCCGCCACAGGAAACGTCTTTGCCCCCAGCCCCTGCACGTCAACTGTGGCCTGTCAAACTCGATTCGGTGATGGGGATGGGGGGCGGATGGGGGAGCACGGCATGAGGTGCTCGCCGCTCGCATGTGGCTGCACAGTGCACCGAGAATTGCTGCACGCGATGTCATGCCATGGCACGCCTCACCCTCAGGTTACCCTGGATTCCTGGGACCTCCCAGGCCGCCCACGGTCCCGCCCGTTGTGTTTTGGTGTCTCTCGTTCCCTCCCCTCCTCTCCCACCAGCTCCCCGCCATCATCCATGCCTTCGTCGTCCGTTTGCGGCGGGAACGCGAGTGCGGCCTCCCTTGGCGCTCTCAAACGGCTTAACGTGCCTTTTCTGTTTCGTTATCTCAGGGCACATGCCTGGCGGCATGGGCCCACGCCACCTTTGATTGAACTAGCGGAAATAGATCAGCTTATGGTTGGCATCAAAATTCCAACCTCCCCCACCACACACACTTCACCTCTTCCACAATCTATATGATGTTATAGACGCTACGGCTTTCACTCCACGCAGCAATGGAGATGGACGACTTCACCATGCAGAAACCGAAGCCCTATCCAGGGTCGACGTCGACCAATGCCCCGCTGCTCACGCGACCAAAAGGCACCAAGAGCTTTTTGGCCCCCAAAGCCTTCGACAGCTTCCGATCTGGCCCAGATCGATCGTTTGCTCCAGCGTTGGGAGAGAATGGCCGGATGTACAATGCTAAGGCTGCGGCTTGGAACACCGCGCATACGCCTCTGGTCAGGAGGCTGAAGGGACGCCATCTCCAGATGATTGCCATCGGAGGCTCAATTGGTACGTGTGGACCGCCGATCTCACGTGAGAGGTACGTCTAACAAAACTGGCTCAGGTACGGGGTTATTCATCGGCTCTGGAGCAGCTCTGGCGACTGGAGGCCCGGCTTCACTCTTGATCTCCTTCATCGTGATCGGAGCCATCCTCTTCTGCACAGTTCAGGCTCTCGGCGAGATGGCCGTGACCTTCCCGGTGGCGGGCTCCTTCTCTGCTTTTGCTACGCGCTTTATCGACCCCGCCTGGGGCTTTGCCAGTGGTTGGAATTATGCCATGCAATGGGCTATCACGATGCCTTTGGAAGTCATGGCTGCAACGATCACGCTGGAATATTGGAACTCGTCGATTCCCAGTTGGGCCTCGATCACCCTTTTCCTGGCGATTATTATCTCCATCAACTTTTTCAGCGTCAGAGTGTATGGCGAAGCAGAATACGTTTTTTCAATATTGAAAGTCACTGCCGTCATTGGATTCATGTACGACTCTCCCCATTCTCCTTCGAGCGAGTTCTGACATTCCCAGAATTCTCGGCGTAGTCATCAACTGCGGTGGCACGCAAGACAGTGGATACATAGGAGGCATGTACTGGGCAAACCCAGGCGCCTTCCACAACGGCTTCAAAGGCTTCTGTAACATCCTCGTCACGGCCGCCTTCTCATTCTCCGGCACCGAGCTCGTGGGCCTGGCTGCAGCTGAGACGCATAACCCTAGCAAAGCTCTCCCCACGGCCATTAAGCAAGTGTTTTGGCGCATAGCCATCTTCTACGTGGTCTCCATCGCGATCGTAGGCCTCCTAGTACCCTACACAGAACCCAAACTCATCAACCCCAACAACATCTCCGCCAAAGCCTCCCCATTTATCATCGCCATCGAATCCGCTGGAATTCAAGGTCTCGACTCCGTCATGAACGCAGTAGTCTTGATCGCCGTCCTCTCCGTAGCCAACTCCTCCATGTACGGCGCGACACGCACGCTCCAAGCCCTTGCCGAGCAAGGCCAAGCACCCCGCCTCCTGGCATATGTAGACCGCAAAGGCCGCCCCCTTGTCTCCATTGCCTGCAGCGCTGCTATTGGCCTCCTCGCCTACCTTTATACATCTTCCGTTCAGGGTCCAGCATTTACCTGGCTCCTCGCGCTCTCCGGCCTGTCATCAATCTTCACCTGGACCAGCATCTGCTGGGCGCACATCCAATTCCGGAAAGCTTGGATTCTACAAGGAAACCAACTCTCCGATCTGGTCTACCAGTCTCCTATTGGGGCTGTCGGATCGTGGATCGGCTTCTTCGCGCTCCTGCTCATCCTAGTCGCGCAATTCTGGGTCGCGATCTCCCCAGCCGGCAGCTCCGCAACCACACCCGGCGCACAAGCGACGAATTTCTTCGCAGCGTACTTGGCGATGCCCGTCGTGTTGCTATTTTACGGGTTCTATAAGATCTGGTATAGGACAAAATGGGTTAGAGTGAAGGATATAGATTTGCAGACGGGGAGGAATGAGTTTGAGACAGCAGGAGAGAGGAGGCAGTGGAAGGAGGATATGGGGGAGTGGCCTAGATGGAAGGTCCTGTATAAGACACTTTGTTGATTGGATTGATGCCGCTTATTCTCTTTCTATATACTAGGTTTTCTCAGAATAGAGAAATTCTCGATCCTGCTTCTTCTTTCAGATTTGCTGCTGACGCCGTGCGTGATGTAAGGGGAAAATGTAAAACGACCCCCGTCCTCCCAACCCCGGGTGTCGATTGGGGCAGAGGTGTTAACGACTTGTAATTGGCTACCAAAGCTCTTTAAAAACCTTAAGTTAGATTTTTTAATATAAGTATAAGCTAGTATATTATAGCCCTTGTATTATAATTACATGCCTACTAACCTAAAATAAAAAGATTCTTTAAAATAGTATTTTAATTTAAGGGAATTTATTACTAATTAATTAGGTTCTAATTTTTGAGCCTTATAAGGCCCTATAAATTATAGGCTTATAGGGCTCTTATATCTAGGTTTAGGGACTTATTCGCTAAATTTCTAGACTTCCTTAAGCTTACTTTTAGGTTAAATTATAAAATGTTACGTAGCACCAATCACGTGGTGCCACTACACGTGACTCAGTGTGTAGCCAGTGCTTTTAGCCTGGCAGGCAGCCTTCAGCTCAATTCAAGCTCTTTACCACCACTGCAGTATCACCTTATCGTGACATAAAATAAGAAATTTTTTAACTTCTTTAATTTAAGAGCTATTACTAATTCAAATTTTATAAAAAGTTTATATTTAAATAGCTTTTAATTAGTACTATAAGGAAATGAAACAAGTATTAAATTAAATTAAAGAAAAAGCTAGAGTTTAGGTATTCCTGTCCGAGCGCCTCTACTTTGGGTAAGTGGCTAGTCTGGCCCCTAGTCGACATCACTAACCCTGGTAATCGACACCCCTAATCGACACCCGGGGGGGCGGTCGTTTTACATTTTCCCGATGTAAGAGGGCAAAATCTCCAAGAAGTGACTTGGAATGCCGTGCTCCAAATTCAAGTGCCATTTTCCAGCATTCTAAACGCGTGAAAACCTTGAGTCATTTAATTAAGGTTATCGTTAGAGGTTCGTTTTCTTTACTGGGACCAAGTTCCGGGGGGGTTTTACCTTCGCGGCTGGAAGAACGATTCACCGAGACTTGCCCCAGAATAGAATCCCTGCGACAACCGTTTACGTTGTCTTACCTCCCCCGTGCACCTTCGACCTAACAATTCGCATGTGAATTCAAACGATGATCTCTCCACATGACAACTTACAAAATCTTCACACAGTCGACATCCTGTTATCCCCAATCCCCCCTTTCCGATGATTCCATAACTGCGCCTTCAGATTCACGCCTCGGCGCATAGAAATGGTTAATCCAGAGCTCTTCAGCTTCAACCATCCCTCGGCAGAGCCGCAATGCCTGAGAAGCTAAAGGCTCCATCTCTCCAGCAATCGCATGCCCAAAACCTTCGAGATGGCGCGCTCCGAAGGCTCTCGAGATCACCGCATCCCTACTTCCGACAGAAATTCGAGTTAGCACATCTCTCCGAGGGGTTCCCCTTGACCACCCCGCCAACACAGTCCCAGTCGCGCTCAACACGCCCGGAAGACGGGGATGAGCAGGATGGCTCAAGAACGCAGTCCCGGAACTACCGGGAGTCTACGAACAGCGAGAGTGGGACAGAGGCAGACGATGAACATTTTTTGAAGGGTCTCCCTGCACCGAAGCTACGTCCGCACAAAGGTCTTAGGGGGCTAGAGGGGAGTCTGTCCAGCTCGCCGAGCCCGCTAATGTCACCCGCCATACTTGATGAAGATCCTGCGAAGATACGGAATTATCTGCGGAGGTCATCGGCTACGGTTTTGGATGAAGGAGATGTGCGGAGAGCGGCGGAGAAGCTACGGCAGAAACGGAAGGTGGAAGTCTTGAGACGAGCTACGGAGGGTGCAATATTGTTCTTGGTGGGCTCGATATTGTGTTGCGACTTGGACGTGCGGAAACTCCTACGCTTGTGGAGGAGAGGTGAGTTTCAGAGCATTGGAGAGGAGTTGTGCTAATGGCCGCAGAATTTGTTTGTCAAGCTTTGATCATATCATCCCTTGTTGCCATATACCCTCTACGATTATTAAGACATCTCAACCCGTCACGGCCATGGAAAAGGCCTTTTCCACTGGCCCTCCCGGCTTCCTTCGATGCTGCGCCTTTGCTTTATCCACCAAGTCTGACAATGCTCGTTTCGATGGTCCTCTCCAAAATAACTCCCATTGGACTTTTACCAAGCATTATTCTGGGCATATCCACTCTTCCGAGACATTTGATCCCTTCTACTGGAGGAATAGGAGGCTCCAACACCACGCATTGGTTTCTCTCCTGTATCCCACTTCTAGTACCCAAAACTTTGGCCACATCAAAGGTCATTCACGACACACAAGAGCAAAATATTGCATTGGCTCCTGAGAGCTTAGTTCTCCTTCAACCATTACATCAGGCACTATGCGTGACTTTGAACTATCTGACTACGACCAGTCTTCTTCCAGCAGAGTTACAACTTCTCTCAGTGTCTTTGATTGAATTGCTACTTCTAGCTTCATCTCCACAAAATACCATTTTGAAAGCACTCCTTTGGGGTGGTGGAATCGGTGTTCTAATCAGCTGTGGCCATGTGCTCAGATGGGGAATTGCACTGGCCAGGGTACCGAAATGGCGCTTCAGGCGAGCCGGAGAAGTTTCGAAGGGGAAGGGGATAATATTTACGCTGAAGCCGCTTTCGTTAATGCTTGGGGCCTCGGTATACGTCAAAGATCCTATTGTGGCGGATACAAGTAGCGATGAGGAGGATGTTACGGAATTGCTTGCAGCATCGCCAAAGCTCAAGCTCAATACCTCGATGCCTTCCCCACAGACTGCAGAGCCGGAATCTGTGTCGGCCATTGAGCCCAAAACGAAGACGAACTCCCTTTTTATGAACGGCTCGGCCAGAATGGGTGGGGATCGAAGCTTTTCAGCCAGCCGGAGACATACACTACCTACTCTAAATTTCCTTCCTACAAGGTCGAGCAAGAGGACTCCGTCGGGACGCAGGAAAAGAGCTAGTTCATCGAGCGTTCGGGCTTTCTCTTCTCTCACCCAAAAACAAGCCACGATACGAAAATGGCTTTACGCAATATATGTATACATCTGTGTAGTGGCTATCATTCTAGTCGCTATCAGAGAATACGTGGGAAATATAGCATTGAATGGAAATGAACCGGTTGGGTGGGCTCTGGGATATCTATTCGGAGATCTGCCATGGTTCAGAATGGAAGTCGTTAGTTACAGTCTCCAACGATGGATTTGTCTGCCACCAAGGAGTGGCTTGGAGTATGAAGAATCATGCTACCTTGGATGGGTGGAGCACTTACGACACGCATCTTTTGGAGAAGCGAACACTCGATTGATATTATGTGCCTACTGGCTGGCAATCATTATCGTCGGTCTGGCGATCGTCTTCCAGCTATCCGCTGTCTACGAAGTCGACACGAGACGAAAAGTCTTCCATTTCATGATGGTAGCAATGTTACTTCCGGCAACCTACGTGGACCCCACCTTCGCAGCCCTAGCATTGAGCCTGATGCTCGCAATCTTCCTCCTGCTCGATCTATTCCGAGCCTCTCAGCTTCCACCACTGTCCAAATCCTTGGCATATTTCTTAACCCCTTATGTGGACGGGAGAGATCTCAAGGGACCGGTAGTAATATCCCACATTTTCCTCCTTATTGGTTGCGCGATTCCGCTCTGGCTTTCTCTCGGCTCGCTCCCCAGAAGTGGCAAAGGGTACCTTGAAGGCTGGGAAGTCCCAACGAGGGAAGTCAGCATGGTGTCCGGCGTCATCTGCGTCGGTATGGGCGACGCAGCAGCATCGTTAATCGGCCGTCGCTACGGCCGCCACAAATGGATCTGGGGAGGCGGGAAAAGCATTGAAGGCAGCTTGGCGTTTGCTACTGCCGTGGCACTGGCGTTACTTATGGCAAAGGCGTGGCTTAGAATCGGTGGGTGGCCCGCTAATAACGAGGATTCTTGGGGAAGAACGATGGGGAAGGCGGGCTTTGCGGCAGGAGTCGCGAGCTTGACGGAGGCAGTGTTGACGGGTGGGAATGATAATGTGGTTGTTCCTGTCATACTGTGGCTTTGTGTTAAAGGGTTAGATATTTAGAACAGGATATTGATGGGATATAGAATCATATCTCGAGAAGTTACAACGTTTCGAGAGAGAGAGAGAGGTGGTCGTTTTGGCCGACTTGGCTTGCTACTACCCGCGAAGTCTCTCGGGTAGATAATCGCAGTGGAAGATCCAGGATATCACGAAGGTTTTACTCTTTGTCCTGAATAGTATTAGGACATTTTACGGACGCAGTATGAAATAGCTTTGCCTCATCCTTTCGACTTTGTTCTGAGAAGATCGGATGAAAAGAATCTCGCTTCGCTATACCTTTACTCTACATCTGAACTGACGGTTTTGGAGTGTTGGTTTTCAACGGATACGGTCTTCGGTAGCAATGCCAGAAGTTTGCAAATCCCAAGGCGTGTATCACTGGCTCTCAAAATATTCGAAAATCTTGCAAAGGCAGCGTTGTGAGAACATCGCGCTGCTCAGCTGCGGACCCTCTCATGCTTTCAACTGCACCGGTTCCGATAATGAGCCAGTCGTTGCCATATCTTCGAAGGATTAATGACTGGTTGAGACGAATCCAGCAAATAGCATCCCCTTCGCGAGAGTTCTTAGGGCATCTACCCTCCAAAACAAGGTTCATGCCGGAGCAAGAACGACCAAATCCGGTGAGCTTTGTTCTGCGGTTATAAAATTCCTGGATTTCATCCAGCAGTACTCCTTGGATGGTCAAAACTTTGCGGGTTTTATCCAGGAAAGGTCTGGCGGCCGCATGCATCGCGGAGAATACCTCCGGAGAAAGGGCTAGGCAGTTATGGATTCTGATCCCAGCCCTTGGGTGATCCCATAGTGGAACCCAGGTTGGGACATGTATATTTGAGGGTTGGAGGAAGCATGCCTTACATCCAGCTCCATCGTCGCCGAGGAAATCGCGGAATTCCTCGCTGTCTTCGTCACCTGATCCACAGTGACTGAGAAATTCGAGTGCCGGGGTCGTTGAATTCTCATTCGCCAAATTCGCAACTATAATATCTGTTGAGACGTCGTGAAGCGTTCTTCCATAGTCTGGCACAATCCAATCGGTATCTGAAGCGATTCCGAGCAGAGCATACACATAGTCGACTTTCATTGTAGCCTCATAGATTCCTCTGCATTCGGCCAATGCAGTGACCAACGTCAAAGGCTTTGTGGCTCTCGAGTGGATGTCCTCTGACATGGAGCGCAATTTAGACAATGGACGGCCTCGACGCTCATACAGGATGCCGAGCCTCGGAGCGCTTATCGGTTCCTCCTTCCAGAAGGAATGAAAATGATCCCACGGAATAATGTACGAATACCACAGGAAGGTCAGCCTTTTCGCGAGAACAGCTTCCTGTATGATCCACCGTCTAGTCCACCATTCCAGCTTCATTATACAGTGCAACTGAACACCGTTGCGATTGCGTAGGACCTGCGTTCCAGTCCTATCTGCTGCTGCCGTCGTGCCGGCAATCTTGTCCAATTTCTGGCTGCTCACTTCAACTCCGAGCCAAGCGAGGACCTCGTCGGCATTCCGATAGATATCGCCCATAATGTGAACTTGATGGCCCTTTTCTGCGATATCGTCTTGGTTTATACATATTGCGTCAATCCACCATGGTTTGTCTATATAGCCGATGGCTCTCACATGACGGAGCGCAGCGGCGAGATTTGTGGTAACATTCATTTGGACACCACTGACCATGATTGGAATGGTGACCTTTGGATCACCCCAGACGTACGATAAAGCACGGTATGGCTGGTCCCCGTCCAAAGAGTCGAGTGAGGCGTTTTCGAGTGAGCATTGTATTGTAGCCTCGCTGGATATTGAAGGGAGAACAGTGAGGAGTCGGATATCAGTCTTGTTGCTTTCCAGAGGAACATAAGGAAGCTTCGAAGTGCTCGACATGTTGCTCATAGAAATTAGGGGCTTATTGCATGTGTGTAGGAGAGTGGCCTTCTGGATGTTTGTGTTGCCGTGATCGCAGTTTAATGTCCTTTGGCGTTGAGGCCCCCCCTAATTCGACAGGTTTTAGCGACACGACCCCTAGACCTTCGACTAAAACAACGCTAAATTCGCGGGAAAATGTAAACGATCCCCCCCCCCTCCGGGTGTCGATTGGGGGCCGGACTAACCTAAAGTAGAGAGGAACACCAAAAAATCTAGTTTTCCTTTAAGTTTGATTTACTGTATAAAGAATTATTATAATTTAATTATTTTTTTATATTATAGAAAGCCAGATTATAAGCTAATAGAATATAGAGTTTTTATTATATAATAATTAGTAGATTTAAGAAAATTTAAAGAAGGTAAGGAAAGTCGGAATTTTTAAGGCACTATGAGAGCCTGAAAATTTAGCGATCAAGCGCCTGGAACTAATTTACCTCGTGCGCAATTATCGCCTCGCCTGTTCCACGCCCCAAATTAGAGCTCTTATATATAAATTTCCTTATACCTATATTAGGAAATCTGATTCGAGAGAAAGACTTAAGTAAGTACAAGCAACTAATTAGGCATTATTAAAACTCTAAAATCCACTGATTCATATAATCGACACCCGGGGGGGGTGTCGTTTTACATTTTCCCAAATTCGCCTTATAATTCGCTTCAGACATCATCATTCACATCATCTCATCTTCATGTCAAATGAATGCCCTCACTTCTACACCCTCTCATAACAAAGCTTGATTGTACCATTAATCGGGGGCTGATTACTTGAGGCATATATCTTGCATACATTTTGATCTTGAGCGAGTTCCCCTTCGAGCCTAACTTCTCGGCCTGCTCGTCGCTATTTCCCAGCCTCCATGCAGGGAAGGTTGCAGAGCGCCTTGCGCCCGATTTCGGCTTCGTGAGGCTGAAGCAGCACAGCGTTGTAATACGACTTGAAGAATGGTACATTCCGATATCTGCTTCCAGGCTTCACATCGACTTCACTCGCAGAGGTAGCAGCCAACCCAAGGAACAGCAGCTGATATCTGCCTACTTTTGTTCGCTTCACTCATCCCACGATGCCCTTCTCTTCCCTTTCTTGCTTTGTCTTTGCTGTCTCAATTCTCATCGTCCAACTTCCTTTTGCAAGTGCCGGTTGCGCAAATTTCAGATACATTTACTACGCAGTGGGTGTTCCGTTTGAATTCTACACAAGATTTAACCAAAAGCCGGACTTTGTTTCTTGCCCTTCATCTTCAAACCGCTCCCGCCAAATTCTCCCCTGGGGTTACAATATTACCGTCCCACCCCAACTCAACGTCTCTTCGCACCAGTCCTTCAACGATTTCAACGCATCTAGCGTAGATCACGAAGAAGACACCTTATATATCTTCAATCAAGCGAGCGATGTCTCAGATAGCGAGAGTATCTTCAAGTTCATAGCCGATTCCTTTGCCGGAGGCTTCCAGGTCATTCAAAAATTGCTTTCGACTATAGTCAGCACTCTTAATATCTCGGTGGCTCAATTAACGTTGAATCTCGCGGTTGAGATGGGATACAACTTAACGCTCTTTTTCAAACCGTTTATGACCTACACGTGAGCTGCGTTTGACGGTTGCGCTAATAAGACATTGGATGGGTTCCCGATAGAAGTTACTTCGCCCTACTTTACGAAGTTTGGTCTCAATCATTCATATGAGATTACGGTGCTTGCTGGTCAGTTCTTGGTAGAGAGAGAGTGTCTGAATGACTACGTTCCCGCAAGTTCCACCAAGAAGAATTCGGGGATGGCCCTGAAGATAGAGGCAGCTTCGGCGGGGGCGTTGATGACTTTGGGAGTTCTGGACACGATGGTGTTATGAGGTATTGACAAGGACTTTCAAAGAGGCCTCTGCTGTGCTAGGCTTCCGCAGCGACGTCTCTAGCACGGATCTGAGAATCGTTGGATGTTATTATCTAAAATTGATTCTAAGCACTTATGTTAGGAATTACGCCGTTGAACCAACCAACCCAAACCGCTCCAGAACGCATCTGCGGTAAACTTGTAAAACTTTGCTCGTTAAAACCATAAAATAGACCATCGATTGGATAGCAATGCTTTCATTATTTAGGAACCCGTCGCACTACGACACTAACAGTATATTCGACAGGGCCACCCGTGGCATTTCCAACCTCCCCAGCCATTTTGAGGAAGAAACACTAGAAAATTGCAAAAGCAATGCGAGCTGAGATAGAAAATGCTGCACAATTACAAGGGCAAGAAAAGGGACATGTTGTTATCGTGACCGGTGCCATCTTGGAGCCTCAAGGCTGCGTTTGCCGCTGAGGCGAGCCTAGCCCAGTGATCACATTTTCTTATTCATTCAAATTAGCACCGTTTTGTACAGCCACGCCAGAGGCCACGCGATTTGAAGGCATCTTCAGGCTTGCATCCAAACCTTTCAGAGTCGTTTGGAGGCTGAGTTGGTGAGTACGGTCATGACGAGAGAAGGGGAAAGAAAAGGAAAGGAGAGATTGTGGAAGTCAATTTTTGAGGCCCGAGTGTATGCACTAGAAGGGTTCGCCGGCCAAACGCGCAAACCGCTCAACCGCCCACTTCTACCCCTGTCGGAACACCAAAAGTTTTTCTTTTCTTTTTTTTCAAAATGCTTAGAAAATTTCGAAAACTTCGAGAATGACTAAAGTGAGGTTGTAAACTACGAATTTCGACTTGTTTTCTTTGTTTTGTGGTGTGGTTGTGGTGTAATAGAATTTTTGGGCGGTTGAGTGGTTTGGGCGTTTGGCCGGCGAACCCTCCTACTCCAAAAGCGGCATAGCCTCAAAAATATCTGTGGCCTCGTTGGGAATCCTGGGTTTCCAACATCTTCTCACAATCCAGTCTGTATTCCCAGCTTGCAATCTTACGCAGCAATGAGGTACCACGAGACATTTTGGCATGACTCAAGACGTCCCTACACCAAAAGCCGTGATTGGTAGGGCCACGACAGCTTTAACGCCAAGAGACCAAGCAAGGCAAGCCCCTGCATCTTACCCTCAACGTGCCTGGAGTCCTCAAAGATGGGATTTCTCCACTTTCTGGATCTAGTCCGGGTCTGGAACCCCCCACAAATGTATCCCTATGCGATGAGCTAGATCTTGTTTCGCATTTACTTTTCTTTTTCTATTTCTATATCTCGAATTCCCCTTTCCCGAAGCACCACGGCATATATTGGAGTTGGTGATCGACGGTCTGAGGTGCCCGTTGCACGAGCCCAACAGAACAGAATACGAATCCGTTGACGAATACCCCACCTTTGGTTTTCTCTTCGTGAAGGACTCGTCAGGCATGCGGACAACCACCGGAACTCAGGTCAATGTCGGCCGGAAATACAAATCGAGGAAGGAAAGACCGTAAGTGATCATACACGGGGAGACTGGACAAGAAATTGACATTTCCAAGATGTGATGCGTGCCGAAAAAGGAAGATATGTTGCACAAGAGACGCATTTGAAAAGGACTGTTCACTCTGCAGAACCAGAGGGGAGACTTGCAAATATATTTTGCCACCTAATGTCAGGAGGAATCGACCGCCAACTGCGAGGCCAAGGGAATCGATGAGCAGCCCTTCGTCGACGAGCTCGATTCCTCCCCGTCCTATTCAGTCATGTGCTGTTGGCACAGGATCAGTACCCAGGAAGACTGCTCCGAGTGAGTGGATTTGCCAATTTGTGGGATTGAGTGGTGACCAGGATCCTTTCGTATTGAGACATTGCTCCTTCAATCACTTGAACTGTTACAAGGCGCCTGAATGGGCGATTTTGAGAGTAAAAGGGGAGAATGAAATACCCTTACACTTCACGGTTTGTCTTCCCTGTTTTCTGGGGATGCTTTACTAAATCGAGCAGGTCGTTCCAGACAGTCATCTCGATGCCCACCCGGATTATTATCCCAAGACAGACACTGAATCCGTTGTCGCGCCTCATGCAGACGAACTTCTTCAGACCTACTTCGATGTCATTCACGTGTCGTACCCCCTTTTAGATCCCGCTCGCTTCAACTCGAAGCCACAAACGGGAGATCCTCTTCTAGCTATCATGTACAACCTCGCCAGTCCCTTTTGTCGAGATGGCCCGCCGTTCTTCCAAGAGCTCTCTGACTTTGCTCACCAAGTGTAAGTAGTCTTACCCTCTCCATCATATGATATCAATACTGAGCTACTTCTAGTCTGCCCATCGAGAGACGGCACCCACGTCTCGAGACCATCGAAGCCTCGCTCCTCCATCTCCAATGCCACAGCACTATCCATCAAGCACCCATGCTTCCAAGCCTCTGGAGTGACATCGGCTCTTTAGTCGGCATGGCCCACGACCTCGGGCTCAATTTGGACCCCACAGCCTGGTCACTCACCCCTTCAGACTCGAATCGCCGCATTCGGATATGGTGGGCCCTCTACATCCAAGACAAATGGAGTGCTCTCGGTCTTGGCCGCCCTTCTTACCTCAATGAGGAACATTGCAACGTGCCTCTGCCGACTGTTGAGAATTTCTCGCACACCTCCCTTCATAACCAACCTCTCTCACTTACACCTGCAATTCAATTCGTTGCCATGGCCCACCTTACTGCCATTCTCTCGGATATATTGAATACTTTCTATACCTTGAAAGCGATGGAGCGATTCAAGCTCCTCCCGCTCGAAGTGATATTTTCCATTCTCGACGATTTCCAGAGGAGATTAGCGGAATGGAATGAAGAGCATCTTTGTCAGTTGTTCAATGTAAACACCTTGCTGGACAGCAGCGGGAGCGTGGTACTCGCGTTCCATACTTGTGAGATTGTGCTTTTCAGAGCTGTGTTGAGGTGTTTGCCTATGGGCAGTCCCGGATACGATGGCGTGAGGGAACAGAGTAAGGCAAGCTTGATGCATATCGTGGAGTTCGTTGAGAAGTTGAATGTGAGCAGATTAAGGGCGTTTTGGTGGAGTCGTATGTTAACTCTTTCCTCTCCTACTTGCTTCACCCCTTTTAAACAACCCGAGCTAATAAAATAAAAGCCATGACACGCATCAACTTCGCCCTCGCAGGAACATTCATGTTCTTCCAGCTCCTCACATCGATCACCACGCACGACATCGAATTTTGGTCCAGCACTATCTCGCATTATCGCTCGTTGTTGAGGCTTCAGAGCCATTCGTTCGATATGACGAGGTTGGCGTGCACGAGGATGGATTTGCTCGCTGCGAGCATGGGTGTGGACCCTCCCGCTAGAGAAGGTGAAGGGATGGGCGAAATTGGAGCTGACGGAAGGACGGTGGTACTCATGCCGGGCAGTGCGGAAGAGTGGATTGCGAGGCAGGGGCATGAGGGGATGTTGCTTTGCTGAGGTTGTAGAGTTTCGTGGAGTTTCGTGGGCAAGATGAGTTAGTGGAAAAGTTTTATGAAATACCGTCGTCGAGGTTTGAGATGCGAGTTTTGCACGTTCGACCACAACACGCTGGTTTAACGGCGAATTTAAAACGACTTCTTGCCAGAAAACACGTCGTGAGGTAAGAGAAAGAGCAAGACGATTGTGGACGATCGCGGCTGGGAAGCTGTATGACTATGCATCAAAACGATCTCCTAGTTCAAATTTCGAGAGCTCGACGCGGTTTGACACATCTGGCACTCACAAGTTCGTGGAGTAGTGGATGCCTCTCATTGTCAAATCCAAAATTTGTCGTCATTTTGGCATCACAAAAGGACTAGAGAAAAGCCAAGGTGACAGGATAAAACTGATGTGCTTTCAAAGAGTTATATGCAGGGAGAACAAGCGTTGTACCAATAGTTTGGTCACCTCACAGTTGCTAGTTTTGCTTTCTTCTGCTCCAGATATTTTTGGCGTTCTGGTGGTTGTTCATTACGGATAGCCACAGCCTGCCTTAGAGTTTTATGAAACTTTACATATGAGTGCTATACATCCACCTTTAGCTTTCTTGGACTTTGATTTCCCGTTATTCTATCCTTTGATACGATGCTGTCTCTTTGGGGTATCATCGCACGTGATCTGGGTTCCAACATTTTGGTACCTACTTTAGCTAGGCTTTCCCAGCTTCACAACCATCATCCCTTCACCACGAGGTCCGAAGAAATAGTCCTTCACACTTCCTCTGCGCTGCCGTGCCGCTTCATACAACGGCCCAAGCATCAGCATGGGTGCAAATACATCAGCCCCCGAAGTCCACACAACGACAAATCTAGTCATGGTCCCAACTCCTCTACCTCCTGTGGCCTATCGCGACGACCCCTCTCTCTCTCTAAGCGCCAGAAACGGAGGAGGTTTGAAAAAGGGGGTCGTGCAAAGAAGTTTCGAAGGCAGAATCATCCTCGACTCAAATCCGGTCGAAGCTACTAAATACGCACAGCTTGAATACATCAGCGAATCACACTGGGGAGACAAGGATAGTCGCATGGTATTTTGGGCCAAAGGTTGCAAGATCGAAGGAGCCTTAGGCCTCGGAATGGTCAGTCAAACAAGCCCAGATCCCGAGCAGTGGGTATGGAGCGCGTACCGTGTCATGGACGTGAGGGTCGATGTTCAGATGGCGCTGAGGATCGCGAAAGAGACATTCGAGAGGTTGTGAGACAGAGAGAGGTCGTCGAAGGTGGTGGTCTATTCGAGCTCGAGGGAAGCCCTCATGAGGATTCAGTGGGGGGACTTTTGTCATGTTGGAGGGAAGGAAGATTCCAAATGCAGGTGTGAGCGTGGTTTTACGAGGCTTGGTTGCTGTGAATATCTTAAAGAGACTTGGAATCGAGGGGGAATTGAGATCGATTCCTGAGGGATGCGAGATTGAGGGTGTGCTGGAAGCGGATTGTGCTGCTGGTGAAGAGGCCAAGTACATACCTCCTGCTCGGGGGCCTGATGCTTTCATCAACGATGTCCAAGGGGATTACAAGCGGAAGAATAACGGAAAAGCTCAGATGCAGGAAAGGAAACAGAGGTAGCAGGTGGAAAAAGAGGCTGACAAGCGTGCAAGAGCTGAAAAGCGTCCCAGAAGGGCTCTCATATGATTCGATCGACGACGAAGGAAAGAATGCAATGAATGACCGCGCTTTCGACCCGGCAAAGAACACAGTGTAGAATAATTCTTTTCACAGTGATTCTGCACTTGCTCACCACGTGTTCCTTCGCCATTAAACATAATTCACCGGAATCTCGGGCTCCGGCTACAGCTCCAGGAGACTTAACACAGCCAACTTTCTTAATTGGCACACCAGACAGCTCTGCCTGGCCCCAATGCCCCTCAAACACTACCCAGCACCGTCACAAATCCGTAGCCTCCAACTACAAGAAACACCTCAATGGGCGACTAGCACCTCGAGTCCTCGGGCTTTATTTTCCATCTCTCGCTTAGGTAGTACATGTTCACTTGCTCAAAGAACTCTCAAGAAGATTTTAATACTAACTCAACTCCCAGGAACCCCTCCTTCTTGAAACTGGGACGAGGACAAAAGGCGTTATAACTCCCAGCACTGTTTCCAGAGCTTGTCTTCGTCTTAAGCTATATTTAATATGACATAACACCACCTAAAAGGCTGCCAATGCAGGACAACGAGGATACTCAATTCAGGTACGGAGGACGATGTACTGGCATGTGTCCGTCCAATTACGCTTTCTTAGCGGGACATGACCGAAATCAACTTACCATGAGTCAACACCGTATTCGGTCTATGATAGTGTGAGAAGTGGATAGATTAGATTAGATTAACGGCCATTAATCTAATCTATTCACGAAAAATACTCATTAATCATATTCGAATCACGCATTAATCAGATTAATGCGCACGTGATTGGCTAACCCAATCGGGTAGCGCTCCGGGCACTCCCGCCCTAGCGCTACCTCGCCACCCAATCAGAGGGTGGCGAGGCTTAGTAAGCGAGCTAAAGCTTAACTGGTGTAACGATACTTCTATAAATTAATTAATTAATCTGATTAAATTTTTTGCACACTGGTCTATGAGAAGACAAGGTGACAAGGAGTCACTTCTTGCTAACATTTGACTGTAAGATTACCTCTAATATTCCCACACTATCCTTAATAACGAAAGCAGAGTATTCAACGAGCACCATGCACCTCTCTACTGCCCTACTCCCACTCATTGTCACCACTTCCACTGCCTACACATTACCCGTCGATTGCGCCCCAAATGGCGGTATAATGACAACGCCAACCTACGGTACGACAGGCGCAATCTTCACAGTCTGTGCCCAAACCACCATCCACAGCTCCCCATCCCCAATCTACACCGTTCTAATCGACTTCCATCGCTACACCGCCTGGAACACGTTTGTCTACTCTGTTGACGTGCCCGCCAACGTCTCATCTGCTGAGGACGTGTACGTTGGGATGCCGATGACATTGCACACCTTCGGTCTCGTACCCGTGGTAAACAGCACCTCGGATGAGCGGATTACATATCTGGAGCCAGATTCTGTGCCGTCTTTCATAGGATGGCGTTTCGATCCGGGCGTGCTGGGCGGATTGCTGATGCAGGCTGAGCACGTGAGTCTGCTCCTGGATTTGGGTGATGGAACGACGAAGCATATTAGCTGGGAGACTTATTACGGGGCTGGAGCCCTGACGGTGCTGGCGTTGAAGGGGAGTTTGCAAAAGGAGTTTGTGGATCAGGCGAGGGATTTGAAGGCCAGGGTAGAGGGATTATTGTCTTGAATGGCAGCACGTGTTTTACCCCTTTTGAAACGAGGTGGAAGTTCGGGGTAGAACACGTGATTCCCGCCAGGAAGCTAATGCGAAAGATCTCAAAGAAACGAGGAAGAACATCCCACACCTCACTTGAAGCGCCCAGAAAGGTAAAGGATAGGGTTCGTATCGTATCATCATTCATATCCTCCACTCTTCCCGGTATCTCAAAAATATATACAACCAAACCTCCTCCAAATCCCCTTCCCAGTGCCATGCTCGCTCCGAATAATGATACACGATCATCCTCCAAATACGCTGAAATGCTAATAAATGCCGGACCCAACGCCAATGAATGCCCCATATCTCCTTACATATATATATACCCATTATATACACTGGTCTAGAACCGTTCTACCCATAATTAGATTCCCAAGGGAGAGAGGTCACTGCATGACACTCTGCCTCCACCTCTCCACCATATCAATCTGCCCCTGATTCAGCGGCTGCATCATGCCCATGTTCATGCCATTCATCGCCATACCCGGCATATAGCTCATCTGCATCCCCGGATACGCCACCGCATACGGATTCGCAAACATCTGATTTCCCCACATCGCCCCATTCACATTTCCCACGCCCAAACTAGGCTGCGGGAACATCGCCTGGTTGCCATATCCAAAACCCCCATTCCGCATCTGCATCTGCTGCTGAGGGGGCACAATACCACCCTGCCCATCATTATAAGTCCCACTCTTAAATCCACCACTGCTCGCACGCTGGTGATGCCCAAGACCAGCGCCCGCGATGTTGAAATCAAACATCGTGCTCGACCTCTGCACGCTAGCTTTTTCATGCAAACCCAGCAATCCACCAACTGGTTTCTCGTAAGATGCGTTGCGGCTTGCTCCCGCTGACGGATGGGCTTGCAGAATATTGGCCATGCTGCGCCTTTTGCTAATCTCGGGCCGTTGTAAGGGAGGGGTATCGCCAGCTGCTGCTCCGGCACCGACTTCCTTCTCGCGTGCCGCGCGCTCGGCTTGTAAGCGTTTGCGGCGCTGGCCGAGGGTTTCTTCTTCCTCTGGTCCAGCGAAGGTGGAGATTTCTTTCCCTTTTCCTTTCGGATCTTTTACATCGAGCAGGTCCCCACCGAATTGGGACATCAGCTCGGAAGTGAAATCCCCGGATACCGGTCGGGCTGAGGGCAGGCCATTATCGACTGCTGCTTCGTCTTTCAACTGGCGGACTCGCTCGGCGAGCGTCTCGCCTTCTTCTTCAGGCGGCTGGGGTGAGGAGATGTGCATCTTGGTCGAGGCGCGGGGTATTGAAGGTCGGCCTTGGAGTCGGTCTCGTCGGCGGCTCAGGGGCTCATTGTCTTCCATATCGCGACGCTCCATGAGGCCCATGGGTCGATTTGGATCCCGGACTTCCTTTTTGGCGTAGAGCATGGCTAGCGGGATATCTTCGTCGTTGTTCATGCCGTCTTCTGGTTGCTGAACAGAGGAATCTTCCCAGGCAAGAGCAACGCGCTTGTGTTTCCGAGACTTCTGTTCGACTTGTGCAACTGCATCCATTTCGAGAAGAGTTGAATGCATGCCATTGGGGAATGACGAGAGTAAGGGGCGGGTTCTCTGCTTTTGCTGTTGTTTGCGTAATTGGAGTTCAGCGAGGAGAGTGGTTGGAGCACCGTAATAAACCTCGTTATGGCTTTGTCCCTCATCAGATTCTGCGTCATTATCTCCTTCTCCATTTTCCTGCAGTGGACTTGTGTCCTGTTCATCTTCCTCGCCATCTTCGATTGGTAATCTGACCTTGCTTTCTACAACTCCCGACATCGTAGCCCGGCTTTTCTCCTGATCTGAATTGAGCAAATCAGTGCTGCTTCCCCGCCTTCCACGAAGAAGAATACTAAATGTGCTTGTACGTTTCTTCGATGGTTCAGCCAATGTAGTGCTTGTCCGACTGTGCTTCATAGGTTCTCGCCCATACACTTCAGCTCCAAGGTGTCCTGCGAAGGTGTGGTCTGTGAATGCTGTCACAGGTGCATATGCTGAAGCGTCAAGAATACTGTCCAGTGTAGCCACAGCAGATTGCTCCTTTAATTCGACAGTTTGATTCGCTGCTGGCAGTTCAAAATAGGTGCTTGCCCTCAGCTGCGGTGGCATATGTGATAGATCCTGCGTAAGCCGCCTTCCTCCCATGCTTGCTCTCTGATGTTGTGGAATATATTCCTGCTGTAATACCGGATCATCTTCTACCAATTCCGTCGCCTTCTCGTCCTCGAGCACATCCGGAAGCCACACTGCGGATTGTCGAGCTGCGGGAGGTATACTGCTCAGAACTTGTGATCTTCTCTTGTCCTTTGCCATTGAGGAGGGATTTTTCGATAACTTTTGTGGGAGATTCAGCATCATTGGGACTGGTGCCGGATAATAAACCATCTCCTGGCCGGTACTCGGATCTGCATATGATTGTGGTCTCGCCATCGATCGATTCCCTAAAAGGACCTTCCTCTGCGTATCATTCGAATTGTTCGACTCGTCTCCGGACACTGTCCTCTGCTGAAGAGGAGCCGAGTGTATGCCATCAAAGTCTGCGAATATCTTGTCATGCTCAAATGTGTTGGTCGATGTAGATATTGTGGGCCAATCCTGCACTTCGTTCGCCATCGGAACTTTTCCCTCCACTGCAGGGGTTTCAAGAAGGTTGGAGCTTGGTTTCGCAAAGGTTGAAGATTCTTCGTTCATCCCGGCGATTGATGCTGATTGAGGCATTGTTGGCGAGGTGGGTGGTATCGAGGAGTCCTTGTTGACAAAGGAGTCGAGAGGCCGTCCTTCAAGCTCGGGCTCAGGACGGGACCCGAATCTTGACCCTTTCGACATTGAGTGTCCGCGGCCGCTGCCTGTCGTAAAAGAACCGCCTGGCGACATTATGTACCCTGCAGGGGAGAATCCGCCGGATCGTGCTGCAGAATTGACTTCGACAATCGAGGAAGCGTTGGAAACCTGTCTTACCACCACTGGTATGCTCTGGGAAGACAACAATGAGGATCTGCGGCTGTCAGAGCGCTTCTGTTGGTCGTGTAATTCTTTTATAGCATCTTCAATGGAAGAGGTCATGCTCAGTCGTTCTGCTGTCTTCTCGAGATGCTCAATGTTGCTGGTGTAAGCCCCTTGAAGAGTCTGCAGATCTGGCGTCGGATGCCGTAGTGCTATACTCCGTCCCGAGGCCGTTCGCAAAATTGACTTCGAAGAAGTTGGTTGTGATGGGAATGTTGATTGGGCTGTGGCTGAATATGCTGGGCTGCCGGGTCTGCGAGTCCGTGGTTGTGGAAACCGGAGCTCAATTGGAAAGGTTTCACTGGTCGGTAGAGTGTGTTTTCGCTCCGTCGACGGGGCTACTGGCATGTCCTTTTCTTCGAAATCACCCTCTTCTACCAAAGAATAGCTTGCCGTTGTCGCATTTCTATTCCTGATTCCGTTGCTGGGTCCACGGCTCCTCCTGTACCTTGAATACGAGGCTCGATGGGGCGGAGGTAGTGGCGGTATTGAAGCGAGCCCAGTTGGCGACGCAGCACCAGTCGAATCGTCGTCGCCATCGCCGTCGAGATCATCCTGCTCAACAGCATCGTAAATACCCATCGTGGGTAGGCCAAAGGTCATGAAGCTGGCAAGCGACGCGTTTTGGCGGTGGTAGCCAGTGTCGAGTTCCAGCTTCCCAGTGTTGGGGGCCTGCCCGAACTTTATTCCCTCCTCCCTTCCTTTCCTCGCCCGATCCTGCGCGCGGCGGATTTGGTGTGGATGGCTGCGCACTCAGCAACAGAAGCAGGGCAAGGATAATTGATTGCGCTGTTGCGGTTGCCCAGAGGTTAATCTCACGTATCTTCTCCAGTGGCCCACTTTGTCCCTCTCTCCCACCCAAAAATGCCAATCAGCGGGTGATATGCAGACCCTCGATAGCTGCAAATCTCGCTGGTGATTCGACCCTGCAGCCGAACCCGATTCAGTCATTCAAGTCATGCCTATCTCGACGTAATACGAAGTACGGTAACCGACATCCCTGCGAGGCGAGAATCCCTATCATTTTCAACACTTGCCACCTAAATCACAAATATCTCAGTTCAAAATAACATAATTCTATTTACAACGCTCTAGTCTCATTCTTAACTATCTCTTATTCCTACTTATGTATTTTCCTCCAAATAATTTATATAGAGCTTGATTGATTATACTTTGATTATCCATTATTGTTACGTGGCACCAGTCACGTGGTGCCACTGCACGTAATTTAGCGTGTAGCCAGTGCATTTAGCCAGGCAAACAGCCTTCAGCTCAATTCAAGCTCTTTACCACCACTGCAACAACCACCTTATCGTGACAATTATGCTTTATGTTGTGATCTTAAGATATGCTTTTTCTATGCTTTAATAATATTCTCGTGGCTTAAAACTCAAGGAAGATTTAGGGAAAATGAGTCTAATTATTGTAGAATAATTCTTTTGGACTTATATTAAAAAGGAGGAAAGTTTCCTGCAAGAGAGTCGGGCGATCTGTGAAGGTGCGAAATACAGCTCGGCTATATTTGCTATTTTCTAATTTTAGAGCCTCAGGCATTAAAATCAACGGTAGCTGGGGTGGAGAAAAATGGCCGTTCTGCCTCAGGCCTCGAACCCAGCTTCCCCACTCAGACATAAAAGTTTTGCTGCGCCTCAGTGGGCCGGTTCAAGTCGCCAGCCACATTGATGCCCGCATGTGGTCCGTGCCAAGGACAAGCATCCACTCTGATCTACACCTTTTGATACTCTTTCTACTCCGTCTATGGCGACCAGCGTACATCGTCAACGACCTAAAACATTGTGCGACTCAATACACAGACTCCAGAAAGATGGCAGAATCAAATACACATATAAATAGTAGATGCTTTACCTATCAATCTCTCGGCAGCAGGCGAGCGATCAGGCTGATCAAATTTCTGCCTGGCACAACCCCGGTATGCCAGATGTTCAGCGTTGAAGTTGAGAAAGCCCCACCGTACATCGCCCTTTCATACACCTGGGGATCTAAATGCCTGGAAAGAAAACTCAAAGTCGATGATTGTGATCTCCCGATCACTAAAAACTTAGCTGAGGCGATCGACGAAATTTTTGTCTTCGTAAGAGAAGCAAGGTTATCGTTCTGGGCCGACTCGGTATGCATCAATCAGACAGATGTTCACGAGCGAGGCAGACAGGTGCAACTTATGAGTACGATATATCGGTCAGCGGAGTTAGTCTTAATCTGGCTAGGACCGGCTCAGGATGACAGCGACATGGTGTTCGATAAAATTAAGGAATGGAAATCAAGATTTGATGAACTGAAGCTGCAGCATGGTGGCTCCGATGAACTAGCAGTTACAAGCATCACTAGCGAAGATTCGTTTTTCTTCGGTCCCCACGGATCACATGCGCATCGAGTACAAGAGGCGTTCCGAATGATATGCCGTCGAAGCTGGTGGAAAAGAGCATGGATAGTTCCGGAGGGAACTGTGGCAAGTCCTGCGAGAACAGTATTGTTCTGTGGGAGTCGCATGATAAATTGGGAATGCCTGCGAGCAGCGTTACAGATTACTCATCATGTCAGCCATTATCAAGAAGAGGGAACGGGCTTGAATCTCGAAGACGGAATGGCGATTCGACTTGATTCATTCCGGAAAGAGAGAGAAACCGGCGGAATGGTTCGACTATTACAAGTCCTTCGAACTATGCGGCCATATGAGTGCGAGGATCCTCGGGACAAGGTATATGCATCTCTCGGCATGGCGATGGACACCGTCGAAGACGACATTGTTCCAGATTACACCAAAACGTGCGCAGAGGTTTACTGTGAAGTTGTACGCTTTTCAATATCATCATCACGCACCCACTCTTTGGATTTTCTCGGCCATGTTATGAGATCGTGTCCGGGATCTGTTTTTGAATATGAGGCTGACAACACGTTGCCATCCTGGGTTCCGGACTGGAGATTTCAAGCTTCGTTTTTCCCATTGGAGAAGTTTCTAGATATGGATAGTTTTGTGACCGAAGGGGTCTATAATGCAAGTGGATCCCTCTCTGGCGAATGCAACACTATTGAATCTGCTCAGTTACTCCTGCAAGGATCCATACTTGACTACATTACCGAGGTATGGAGAGTGTGCGAATGGAACCTATCATTTGGGGGCTTGACATGCGAGCAATCATGGATGCCGACAGAACGAGACTCGAAGTATGCTACTGGAGGAACCCTCATGGAAGCATATAACCACACTCTACTCGCAGATGTCGGGAGACAGAATTATGACAGGGATGGTGAACTATCACGCGGTTGTGCCGTCGACTGGGAACTTCTTGATATGGATAAAAGTAAGATGACTGCTCTAGAGCGTCAGAGGCAGAGCTGGATGCTCATAGATGTGAAGGCAATGACTTTTGGGCGAAGATTATTCCAAACAAGTCGCGGATTCATTGGACTGGGGCCTGCAGCATGCAATTTAAATGACAATGTCTGTGTCCTACTCGGAGGGCAAGTACTCTATGTGCTGAGGGAGTATTGCAATATCGGCTACGAGTTTATTGGGGAGTGCTATGTTCATGGTATGATGGACGGTCAAGCACTGGAAGATGAATCATTCTCTAAGAAGAAGTTTGTCATTGTGTAACTAGGCGTTGAAATGTTAGAAAAGCAGGTAGTTCTAGGCAGAAGTACCATTTAGCAATACCTAATAGGCAGTAAATTAGGGGCCTGGCAGGCAGCGGGATCGTTGGGTTATATATTGGTCTCTTATGTCCGGTGGTTTTATGTCTAATTCGTTGTCTAGTTAATCCTAAGATTATATGTCCACCCAGCTAATATACCTGATTTCGCAACAGTGCATTCGGCTTTTTGTTATTCCGTTTTTCGGGCGCTAGGAAGAAAGGTTAATCCGTGTTTGTTTACTAATACCTTTCGTAAGTTCACTTATCTTTATCCCGTGTGTTATGCGGCTTTCTTTTTATCAAGGGGTGTTTTTGCTTCGTGCTTCGTAACAGCAGCGTTTAAGCACTTTCCTGGCGTTTTGCTTTTTGATCTACAGCCTACACGTTACCTTAAAAAGGTATGATTTATCTTAATTCCAAAGCCTTGGCCAATTTTGAAGGTTTCGTGTGAGCCGCAGGCTGGCACCCATGTACGAAGTATCCGTGCACGAATGCATGATTGAGCATGCATTCAAAAAGTTGACTAATTGCTTAGTAATGTGCTTAGCTTTCAATTCAATGCCTGAGGCTTACAAGATTATTTTAGCCACAGTGAGGCCGGGGTGGCGGCGCAGCGCCTTCACAAGAGGCAACTAGAGCCGAGAATATTTCCGACTTTCACAGACCAGGAGATTGTCTCCCATGAAATTGCTCCACCGTTTAATTCGCAGCATCTAAAAAATATTTACAAACTATATAAATCAACTATTGTTGACTTTATTTGAGTTTCAAGGAACGAGAATATCGTTAATGGATAGAAAGTGTATCCCTTCGTCTGGCGAGACATAGTCCACGCTAGCAAGGGGGCCTGGCTCAGACTGGAAAGTCGTAGCTTCGGTTAGTCATCCATTGCCTTTTCGCCCTGTGCCAGGCCCCCTTGCTAGCGTGGACTATGTCTCGCCAGACGAAGGGATAGTAGAATAAAGTTAGGTTAGAAAGTTAGATTATTAACGCATGTTAGATAAATCTTTACAAAGGTTCTCTTAAAGAGATTTTACAGTCAAGAAACAGAAACGTTTAAATAAGAGATTCATGTGTTTGGAATAAGGCGATATATGATTTTGTGTTGAGATTTTCGCGGTCAAGGTGAAGTAGTCGGGTGTACTGCGGGCTATCGGTGGATTCGACTGTACTCACTGGATGTGTGCAGGCCACAAGAGGGCAGGTTTGATCCAGGCATTCAGGCTGCGTATCCGCCTCGGGTAATGAGATTAAGGTGATGGAGCTTGCTGATCCTGTTGCTGCCCCTGATGTGGTTACTAACTCATTAGTAGAGACAGCAAGATCTGCTTTTTCGTCAGTTGGGAACGGCTCCGGAGCTGGCGAGACATGCTGCAGATTCTCCTCAACGATAGAGGCTGAGCTCTCAACTGGCAGATGGCTGTCAACCAGAGCCATGTCATTATTCGGTGGCGGGGAGTGCTCTTCGAGCATGACAGACTGGGGGGGGGACGGAATTTCCCCTGGACTGGTGGATGTGGTAGCACTGTGGTTGAGATCATCTGAGACTCTGAGCGAGTCGATCTTCTCTTGCGAGGAATTCTGACGAGATCCGCCTCGACGTCTCGGTAAAGAGACCTTCTTTGTTCTGCCCGAGCCCCGTGTCGTTATTCCCGTGTAACTGTCTGGCCGAGGACGTTTCTCGGGTCGTTGAGGAGGGCTCTGAGGCGGCGTATTGGCATTAGCCGCGACCTTGATGGGGCGGAGGGGGTGTCTTCGAGTATAATGATGGGATTGGAAGGTGTATCTCCCTCGCGGCGTATCTTGACTCGATGGTGGCGGACAAGAGACAAGTAAGTAGTCTGTTTATCCGGATTTCATAGGAGACTTACACGCCTGGAAGATACTGTCGATCTGCTGGTCGGATAGTCCAGAGACTTCTTCGACAATAGAACTGTCCAGGGAGACCTCGCAGAGTCGGTCCTGCTCATCTAACGACACCCAACAGCCCAGAAACACACGTTTGTAGCCTGTCATCTTGAAGCACTGCTGAACAGATCACTAGCGCTGCCGCGGATGTTATGGCGAGTTGAAATTGGATATGCGCGCGTGGGGAACGAAAGTTCACCCAAACAAGTTTGGGAAATGCTGAGTCAGCGGAAGCGACCAAGTCCCAAGCACTGTTTGGGAATTCACGACTCACTCACAGCCGTCCTAGCAATACACCGTTTGACTATTGTTGATAACAACGCTCTCTTCGATATCTGCTGCCGGAACCAGAAATATCCAACGACCGTCTTCGGGCACCTCAAACCCATTTGGGAAATAATCAAAAGACGCAGAGCTTATGGGCCACTGTGTCCCTGGGGACAATTTTCATGGGATTGCACTAGAAATTATTTCTTTGTCCTTTATCTAAAGCCAGAATTACTACCTCAAACGTTATACAATGTCCATTCCTACTACGCACGATGTTGAAGGGCAAATGGTAGTGCAACACAACCGAGCAAGAAGACCACGGTGCTTTTCAGATTGCAGGCAATCACATGCTTCGGCTCTGTCTGAAGTCGCCCTTCTATTGCGCTCTGAAAACTGTGCGAGCCTTTCAGATCGAGCAGGACAGTGCTGCTTCCTTTGTCTCCAGGGGAGGAAAATTGGCCAGTATACCGTTCAGGTTCCCTGTACGCGACCGAGGCGCCGTACCAGGGGCCATAAGCTATCAACTGAAGTGTCTAAGGATGGAAGTCAGCACCTTGTGAAGGTTCTAGGGGGAGAAATCTACAAAGAGCTCAGCCCCAGGGAGAAAGCCTGTGAAAGCGATGCCGCGATTTACCAGAGACTAGAAGAGGCGTGTTTCCAAGATCAGGGCAAGTGGAAAAGGTGGCTTCCTTTCTATGGAATCACCAACGTGAGAGAGGTCAACGTGAGATGATGAAACCACAACGAATTGTGCGTTTTACTGACTGCGAAAATTGCAGTTCCAGTTTGTCGGAGTAGTGGAGCGAGATGGCAGATTCCCTATCCACATGACGTCTGTTGACATTGACAAAGTTCGGGAAGAACAAGATCGCATAATTGCACTGGGACCCGGCCGCATCGATTACGAGTTGGATGAGGTGTGCCTAGGTGAATATTGGCATAGCACCAGATGTCAAAATATGATGGACTTTCTGTCAGAGCCATGTATGCAGGTGCAAATCGAAGCGGCGCGGCAGCGCAAGAAAAAGCTCACCATGATCCATCTACTAAGAGACTGCGCACGAGACCCATATAATGCTAACGGATTGAATACTTTGGAAGGCATGGCGCAAGAGAGCTGCATTCTCGATATAGAGTAAGGACGCCATCTTCTTTGCGTGGCAATCGTGATAACTTGACAGGGGACCTAATCGAACTGCCGTACCAGAGTGTCACCACCAGTACAATGGGACTGACGAAGTACGTGGGTTAGAGTTCGTTTTGGGATGGCAGCTTGATCGTATGGCTTGCATTCTGCCATTCAACATCGCCTGGACCTGGCTTGGCCTGGCTGTAATCTGGCTTTGTGTAGCTGCCTGGGCAGGCCCAACAAGAGACTGGGCCACTGCAATGGCTTTCGGACAGCTCCTTGCGGCTTCTGTATCCCTTCTATTTCTTTATACGATGGACTAGAACATTAGAAGTCCCTATACTGCGGAGGGAGTGCGTGGTATGCTATATACAGATGGATTTCCGAGCCCAGCTCTGGATTAAATAAGACACGAACTCCTGTGCTAAGATCGCCCAAAAAAATACCTTTTCCTGAAATAGAAGTTTCCTCCGCCTATTCTTTTCCCTTCTGGTCTCCTCCCTTCTTTGTTCCTGGTTTTGCATTTGATGATTTAACTATGGGCTCTTCAAGCTTGGAATAATACCTCAGGGTAGATGGGCAGATGGATGGGTTTCGGGACCTGATGGGACTTCGACTGAATTAGATAACGGTCTAAGTAAAAAGAGGAGTAGATGGGGATGGTGTAGTTGGATGTCTTCTATTTTCTTGCTTGTAACAGATTATGAATTTATGCCAAATTATAACCTCGCGCCAATAGGTATCCTTATACTAGAATATGAACTCATACCTATTGTCATCCGCATTGCGCTGTCACCTCTCCATGTATTCGAAAAGTGCCGCCCATGCTTCGCACATGCGGAGGAACACTTCGCAGGAGGGTTCGGAGGAGGGTTCACAGCCTCAGCGCCTCAGATGAAAGCCCCATCCTAAAACTCCCACTCATCTGCGTATCTACAACTAGATCCTGGGTGGTTCCCATCCCGCCACCTCCCTCTCCTCCCTGTCTTATCTTGCCTATTATGCGGAACTCCTCTAGCCTCGATTAATAACTGTTATGATGAGCTATTACCACCGACAATGATGTCTCCTGGGCATTGGGTTGGGGACCAGAAAGCGCCTCGGTTTAATGATCGTCATCATCTTCAGGTTCTGGTTCCGAGTCAGAGATGAGTACAAGCTCGAGAGGCTGGGCAGAAATCGACAGAGATGACTTTCCAGCCGATGCTCGAACTAGCTTTCTAGGACGTTAGCTCTGCACTCCACCTCCCATGTCTTGTGCCCGTGTTCTCTTCAAGACGTTACAAGATCTCGGAACATGAGCTGCGGATCCGGTCCTTGAGCACTTCCTTTGTCCCTGTTTCCCGGTAGTCCCAGTAGCTATTGATACCTTATCTTGCATATCCGCAATACCCTGTATACTCCGAATACTATAGCCACCTTCCTTCCCGGAAGGAGTAGCCCTTTGGGTATCGGGGGCATTGAGATACGCGTCTACCGAGAGAGGTTCGTCTCGCAGGACTTGGGCTGTATTCGTATGATTTGAGGCTCGAGATTTTTCGAGGGAGAGTAGTTGAGACAGAGCTATAGAGCGAGGGCAATACTGGCCAGTAATTATAGCCGGTGGCTTTGGGGTTCCGATTACGTCGGGCTTCGATCGTGAATTTGCATTGCCTCCCTGGACAGGACGGGAACTATTTTCGTTATCGATAATGTCCATCTCCTGATACCCAAGCCTGTTCGCCTTGGCAAGGAGCTTCACTAATTTACTTGCGCTAATTATTTGGAGTTGCACCTCGACGGCAAGATCAAGAAACTGCTTGCTTGCAGACTCGAGTATCTCCTTGCCATAAGACTCGAGGATTATACGTACGAGAGGTAAGCCGGTCATAGCCTTCCCGATTGAGGGAGTAGTAATAGTATTGCAAGTTATATGGGTGCTCGAGTGGGGGGCCATAGAGCTCGGTACGGAAGATATTATAATACTTATTAGGGTAAAGTAGGATTACTCATATGAAAGTATTATCCGCAGTATAGAAGAGCTCGGGGAATATATATACGAAGATGAGCAGAATGGCCATATTTGCTTACTTTAAAGCGTCAAATGATATACGTATGGACTACGTTTACTTCGTGAATAATCCTTCTTGAAAGGTGCGACGGAGATAGCCATCTCTGTTCCAGGCTAAGCAAGGTACAAGAATTATTATATATCTAGAGCTCTTAATAATTATATAATAAGTAATACTTTATTTCAAATAGGTTCAAACGGACTATCTCTCATACTGCGACATATATAAGTGGCGTTGGGCTGGGATTAGCTATTGTCAAGTCCATCACGATGATTTTGCGAAATGGGCTTTTCAGGTACCCCACAACCCAAGCCCACTTAATCGGCTATCACGGATTCACGCAGGAGTTTACCTATCCGCCAAGGGAAATCACCATGGGGAGGAAGATCGCCCCACCCTCCGCCATTGAAAGATACAGCTGACGATATCCAGACTAACCCGAATGTATATTGGCTGGATGAACCCAGATCATATGTTTGGCGATACATGCACGACAAGAGCGTGTACTCCTTGGCTCCAGAATTCGATGAAATGCAAGATCTCGCTGACCACTTCATTCGCCACCTCCGAATCACCTGCAACCCGGGACAATTCTCAGCTCCTTGCGCTTCCCAGCCTCAAGAGATTCTCAGATAATCTTAAGTCGACTACAGAGAAGGATAGTTTCCGGCGGCATATATGAGAAGATACCTCAGTCTCTACTTGCCAGACTGTGCCTTCGAGATTTTGGGTACGAATCGATATACAATTACTATATACGAGGCGATGGTCGTTTCACGAAAACTAATTAGGAAAGGCGAAGAGATCAAATATCTTTGCGGGATCCGGGTCATCTTAACAGGCGAGGAAGAGGACGACCTTAAAGAAAAGGGGCTTGACTTCAGCATTATAAAGACGACTCGAAACAATGCCACGTCTTTGTTATCTGGGCCAGTACGTTTTTCTAATCACAATTGCGAAGCGGATGCTCGACTTGTTACGACTGGGTCCACTGGGATGAAGGTTGTCGCTACTAGGGATATTAGGATCGGTGAAGAAATTACGGTTACCTATAGTGGTGACTACTTTGGAGAGGAGAATTGCGAATGTCTTTGTCAGACGTGCGAATACCACTGTCGAAACGGCTGGATGCCAGAGGATCAGACTGATTCTAACCGCTCTCCAAAAGGCGTGCCCGAATTTGAGAAGGAGGAGAGCTTAGATGACTTGTTAGCGACACAACCTACAAGCAGCGGTCGATCCACGTCGCAGCGTACGAGTGGACGTTCCAGATCCTTGAGAGCTTCTCGAGTCAAGAATGCTTCGGACCCGAAGGCGCCATATCAACCTGAGTATGAAAAGAGAAACGAAAGGCCTCCGAAAATGATAACTTTAACGGAAAGAGCCGAACTCTCGAAGTCTCACAAATCTCGCGCACCCAGCATAAGTCTCTTGAGAAATCGTTGAGTCTTTGAACAGTACTTCCTGTACAACGAGCCGCCCCTACATCAATGCCGAACTCGCAACAATGAGGTAGCTAGCCGCCCCAACCTGCTCTACAGCCCCGTCTGTTATTGCAGAACTCTTGCGGATCTTCAGGAGCAAAAGAAGTCATTCCACTAGTGTCAATTCAACGACTTCAAGCCAGATCTTCAACAATTCAAACAATACCAGCATGGATATTCCAATATTTACTCACCCCGGCCATCTTCATGATGCTCCTGAACAGCATCCTCCACTACGGCAAAAGGGGCTTGCTGCGCCTCCCCTCTGAGCGCAGGACCTTGATGATCAGAGACCCAGCTGCCTAAGTCAAATAGCAAACTACTATTCATTTGCAAGTTTTTCAATTTTAGCTTCCCTTCCACCATATAAAAGAGAAAATCAGACAACATTAGTTCCATGCTCTCAATACTCGAATGTCTTCTTGCTATCCTTCCCTCGTTATCCCCTTTTTTCCCTTGAGTTCGCCCTCCACCCAGCCCTCCACCTCATCCAGGGCCTTCCTCGGCTCCTTCTTCCGCTTCAACAAAAACCCCTGGATCTCGGCGGGAGAGAACACACCACCCGGAACTTTCTTTGCGAATTCTCCTGCGATACGACTTAACTCCTCCGCACCCAACTTCTCTTCGCCAGGTTTAGCAACACTGCTGGCAGGGATGCCAGTAGCAGTTCCGTTTGAATTGAGGTTGGGGACCGCCTTCGTGGAGCTGGTATACATCCTTTCAAACAGCTCTTCGATTTGTTTCTGGGTTGCGTTCTCGAATTTCACCTTGTGGTCTACGTGACCTGGGCGGATCAGCACAGGGTCAAGTTTTTCGTCGTGGTTAGTTGTCATTACTAGAACCCGACCTTCGTGTGATGCGACACCTGAGGGTATTAGTCTCTCGGTCATTCTCAGTAGGTAATGAAAAATACCATCAATAACATTGAGAAGACCAGAAAGCGAAATCCTGTTTATTATCTCCTCCGAAGGCAGGTTGGCCCTTTGGAGCGCCTCGGCCTATTTCAAACAATAATGTCAACTCACGACACATTGGGTAGCTGGGATTTCGGGTTGAGCATCTCTTACCAGCTAAAAACTCTCCATATTGTCTCTCCGCGACGGCGGGACCGCATTGACGTTGTCAAGAGACGTATAGCCCTGTCCATCCTCGAGGATCCCGTACTTTTGAAATGCCTTGAATATCTTCCAGCCCCATTCCCGGTAGATTGGGTCGTTCGTGATGCGGTACATCATGAAAAGGCTTTCCACAGTCTCCGGGCGTTGCAAGTTGTGTGCATCCAGAGGCTTGACGATGTAGTCTTTCTTCCAGGCAGTCTTGGAGTTGCTGCTAGAAGGAAATGGTCCCGCGCTGGTCATGGGTTATAGAGCGGCGTCATCAGCTTCGAACCAGGCGCGAGCCCAGTTTCTGTGACCGCATACATACCCCAACACGTCTTCATGAGCTCTCTTGCAAGCTGCATCTGCTGGTCTTTCTCGGCACTCCAATAGAGGATATTGATGGTGTGCTACACTACTTGGTGGAGTGGTCCGCGACACTGGTGCCGGAACACCTGCCAGGGCACCTGCTGGGGCACGCAAAGGAGCTAGTGGATGAGTTCGAGGCCCGACTTCGAGCACAGCGCGGGGTCAAGAATGGGCGAGGGGGACCAGATATGAAGCGACGCGAGCAGGCGGATGTGGCGGACATTCAACAGCAGAAGAGACCGCGAGGCCGGCCCCGGAGGCAACAGTGAAGACACCCCTTGGTTTGTCTCGCTTCCAAGATGAAAGATATCGAATCCAATAAAATCTGCCCATTCTGCATACTCGGGAATGGTTTTGATCGAAATTTGAGGTCGGATTTCTTTTGATGGGGTCGCACGGGCCTTGGACGGTCACGTTACTGTAGATTTTCTGACGAATGAGAGCGGTTTCAGGGGAATCTAAAACGCCACGTGACTGTGGAAATGGGACACATTTGTTGAAATTAGGGGCCTGAGGCCCCTAATAGGCTTAGTAAGCCCTGGAACCGAACGCCATGGGGCTGTGCACTAGCTTAATACCCTGTCCAGCTGGAATACCCTGTATAGCTGGAATACCCTGTACGGCTGGAATACCCTGTACGGCTGGAATACCCTGTATAGCTGGAATACCCTGTACGGCTGGAATACCCTGTATAGCTGGAATACCATGTACGGCTGGAATACCCTGTATAGCTGTAATCGGTTCAGCTGGCATAGGGATTTAGTACATGTGACTTAGGGGGTTCAGGGCTATATATACGGGCTACTTACCACTGTAGAACAGCAGTCAATTCAGTACCGTTTACTTGGTTTACATTGCAAGCACGTGACCCTAGCTATATTGCTTTAGCTAGTTCAACATGCTGCTCCCTCCGCGGTACACTCCCCCATCAAGATACAGCCATGAAGTCACAGCGGATCAAGCGATAATTCTGCCGTTTAATTTCTTGGGGAGTGGTTTCTGTGCTTTTATGGCGGAAGAGCCAGTCACCTATCAGATCAATCCTTTCTTTCAATTCTCGTGTGTCCTCGAAAAGGCAGTCCTAGCCTTGATCTCCGAGACTGCCGGGACGTACCGACGTATCCATGACGACGATCTTCCTGCACCCGCGCCTGCACCTGCAATGGAACGCAAGTTGTTCTTGAAAGAAGAAACTCCAGCATCTCCCGCCTTCCCTTCATGTCTGCTAAATAACTTTTCTGTCTATAAGCAGCATCCTCGAATTTTTGATCTTACTCCGACGGCCTCTGTCGCTTCCTCCATCGAGGCACCAAAATCGCCGGCTTGGTCCAGCTCTCGGGGGTTAAACCGTTCGAGGCAATCCGTCCGAGGCTGTAAGCTGATTATTATCAATAAAAATGCCGACTGAAAACTGGCACAAGCGGAAGCACACCCCGCTCAACAGACAGATGTCGCCATGCCCACTTTAGTTGAGTTCTGTGGTCTCGGATGTCAGGACAAGCTTTGTAAGGGCGCTGACAGGGGAGAAGGTGTGGAGAAGATCGGTCCTTCCATGAAGGCCATTTGCTGCTTGCGGGTTGTGGGGCAATTTTCAATGAGTCTCCCAAACCTCAGAACGTTTGGCTCCGCCGCTGATCGAAGTGGCGGCCCTCTATGTGGAAACAACCATCCGAGCTAGAAACACCACGAGGAACACCCTCGGATCTGCCTCACTCCTCGGCGTCGAATATCCAATCAGTGCGGGGATTTTTATCGTTATCCCTCCAAGATGCAGCGAATTTTTTACTTGAGTCCTGGACGAAGTGTGGCAAGGCTCACACCACCAATAAGGGTGTCCCTAGACTTCTTTCCCTTGCCATTTAACCCCTCAGCCATTCCCTTCTGTTCTGGGTTTGAGATCGTTGTTGTGTTGTGACTTTCAAATTTTTCATGACAACTGCCACTAGTAAGCTGAACTCAAACTCAAGCCCCAAACATGAAGTAAGTGGTCTTGATTCTCTCCTCTCTTCGTTCTAAACTCCTCTATAGCAACGCCGGATTAGCCCTTGAGGGCAACGATCCCCGTGATCCAACCCACGCCGCATTTGGAGACAATGAGCCTGTTGAGAAACAGCTCGCGCATAACATCCATGACCGGAGCGTTTCTTTTGAAGAATACGTGTACTATGCAACAATTACTCGTGCCGATGAGAAGATCGCCAATGAGAGATTTGTCGCTGCTGCAGGACCCAAGAGCTTCAAGAGCGTCATCAAGAGCAGATTTTCCAAGGGCCACAAGGAATCTACTGCGCTTGACTCTCCAACAGCCGATAATAACTCGAATGGAGAGAAGACCGCGTACGATGAAAATGGTATTATCCCCGCCCGTCGCAACCTTGGCGGGATTACAGATTCTGAATGGAAAAATGCTTCCCGAGCTATTCGGACTGCTGGGTGGAGTAGTGTTTTCTACTTGATCACCACTGATATCTTGGGTCCCTTCTCTGTCCCGTAAGATCTTCGATTGCACTGTTTGTGAAGGTTTCTGAGTTCTCTCAGGTGGGCATTTGCTCAGATGGGCTGCGGACCAGGTGTGGCCTTGTACACTGTTTTCGGTGGCTTCGCTATGTAGTAAGTACCGCCTTTGCTTTCAGAAAAGCTATTACTGACCAGTACAGCTTCGGATTCCAGCTCTGGAAAGTCTTCATGGCATTGGACTCCGACCGATATCCTATGAAGAGTTATGCAGATTGCTTCTTCCGAGTTTACGGCAGATGGGCACGACACGGCGTGAATATCCTGCAGGCAATCCAACTCTTGTTTACGGTTTCCATCCTCATTCTCTCCAACGGTCAAGCCATCTCTCAAGTGTCGAAGGCCAGCATCTGCTTCATTGTGTGCCTGGTCATCTTCATGGCCGCTGGCATGGTCGTCGGCCAAATCCGAACACTTCAGCGATTCGGCTGGCTGGCAAATTTCGCCGTATGGATCAACTTGCTCATTCTGTTTATTGCGTAAGCTACTCCGATCCCTCTCCGAGTATTGTTCTGACAGATGGTTAGCATGGGCGTTGCAGCCAATTCTCCTCCCAATTATGCCACGGCTGAGGCATCTTTCGGACCGAACTTCGGACCAGGACCCGTCCACACCTACGCCGGCACGCCTCCTGACGGAATGGCCTCCGGCGGTTCCGGCTTCGTCGGCGTAACCAACCCTATTTCTTTGTCCCATACCCTGGGCTCCCCATTTCATTGGTTGGGAGAATGAGACATGGTCCCGGCTCTCTCCGAGCTCTCTTCACCCCCAAAGAAACATCTTGCTAATTCGTTGCAGTCCTTGAACGGTCTCAACCAAGCCGTCTATTCCTACGGAGGAGCCATGCTCTTCATCTCCTTCCTCGCTGAGATGCGACACCCCTGGGACTTCTGGAAAGGGATCCTCTGCGCCGACATTTTCATCTATGTCGTGTACCTCTTCTTCGGCGTTTTCGTCTACAGCTATCAAGGCCAATACGCCTTCAATCCCGTCATGCAAGGTCTCTCCCCGTACAACTGGCAAACAGCAACCAACATCATGAACATCGTCACCGGCCTCATCGCAGCTTGCCTCTACGGCAACATCGGTATAAAAGTCGCCTACGTCGAAGTCTTCCAAGAACTCCTCCACGCCCCACCCCTCACCACTAAAACCGGAAAATTCCTCTGGGTCGCTCTCGTTCCCGCCTACTGGGCTTTAGCCTGGGTAGTCTGTGCCGCCATTCCGCAATTCTCCTACATCTCGGGGCTCGTGGGTGCGGTCTGTATCCTGCAATTCACGTACACTTTCCCCGCGATCCTCGCCTTCGGTTTCCAGATCCAGAAAGACGCCATGGTGCCCGAGGAATCCTTCGACCCGGCTACCAGGACTTATAATCGGATCGACACGGGTGTTAAGAGGTGGGTGAGAGGTTTTAAGGTTAAGTGGCATTTGAATGCGTTTAATTTCTTTTAATTTTCTTGGGGCGCTGTGTACGGCGGCTCTCGGCATTTATTCGAGTTGTTTGGGATTGATTAGTGCATTCAATGGTGCGAGTGTAGCGACGAGTTTTGGGTGTGCTACACCTGTTTAGATGGTGAAAGGAGAGATGTGTGGAAGAGAGATGTGTAGAAGGGAGATGTGTAGAAGGGAGATGTGTAGGATACGATCATACTATCATCTTTCACGGAGATAGAGGGCATTGAAAAATGGAAGGGAAAGGGGAGGCAAGTCAGGTGGGAGGAGTTGGGCTTCCAACTTCGTCGATGATTTAAACCAAGCATTTAAAACTTGAATCTCAAAACATATTTGCTCATACTCATCCATGCCCACCACCCAACCCAAAATTCTCCCAGTACCGTTTCAGTGGCTGGGATTCGTTTTCTTTCCGGAGCAGTCAACTTCGGCTACCTCTTCTCACGTGGGCATAGGGGCTCGCTTAACGAGCAAACCCCTGAACGTGTCATGCAAAGAGGGAGTTTGTTTTCGTTACACAACGGACCTTCAGCGAGGAGCGCTGTAGTGCACTGGCACGAACTTTTCCTCATTCGTTGCATGTCGAGATTTAAGCGAGGTGTGTGTTCTTTTCTTTTTGGGTAGGTGGTGGTCGTAGTTCATTAAGGGGTTGGGCGGGCATTGAGGAAGGAGCAACCACATCCTCCTCATCCTCAGCTCCCTCCTTCTGCAAACATCTCTAACACCACTTTGCTCACTGTGAGGCTTTCGGAGGGTTTACTCCGAGTATATAGCCTAGACGGGATCAGAAGTTGATAATTACCACGACACCAAATTCCAATTGGAGAGAATGCTGATTGGAGGAAGCCGCTCCATCTATATTTTTCTCTATTGGCCTCTGCACCTTCTGTAAATATAAAGTACGAATTGCGTTTTTGCTTAGCTCTCAAACGAAGTTCTTGAGCATGGAGTTTGCGTTGGCTGAAAGTCGGAGCAAGTGACAGTAGTACGATAATTAATAACAAACCGAGAAACTTTTCTGATTTAGCATACTTTCGCTCAGCATATCACTTGCCAGTTAAAAGTTTTTGCCTTTCTCGTTTGGCGCGAAGGGAGCACCTGGCACGTAAGGTTGATACACTCGATCCTTGCAATCTACTGCCCATTTAGTGTCCTCATGTGTCATCTTTATACTTCCTTGGGCTTTCTCAATGAGTAAACGCTGCGTCCATCAGCGGACTTCTGAGATCAGTAGATGGTTTTGTGGAGTGAAATCCTCCGCTGTCAGCAACCACGTCTACGGGGCCTCAACTCAGGTTGACCTATAAATGCAAAGTATTCTTGGAGTCCTTGCGGCGCCCAACGCTTCAAGGAATGCTTCCCAAGTAAGATCTTACTTCCCTTTCCTAATCTCGTCGCCCAACTCGAGGAGACACCCACATGTAGCTAACAAGATCTTTCATAAATCATCCTTCCCACCTTTAGCTCTCCTGCTCTACTTCAGCAATAAGGCTATTGTCAACTGTTTTCTTGCTGTCAAGTATCTACTGCTTGCAGGCAGCCAAGAACTCACGTTTGAAGTGCAAGTATCAGGCATGTCATCAACCTTATGTCGAAACCCTAATCCCTCAGATATGTTCCTCGGACCTTGGATCTAGCCAGTAGATGGGGTCAGGCACACCAGGACATGGCTTCCATGCGATAGGACTTCGAACTTGAAGATGACGCTTGGTGCAATCCTCGGCACAGCGTTCTCCACGCATGCGAAGGATTTTGCTACCGTTGTGTGGCGCATAGTAGATCGTGCAAATTCTGGACACCCTTAATTGTTTGAGGGTGCTCTGGAGATTCGATTTGGCGCAAGGTATGTAGGAATCCCAAATTGTTAACTTTCTAGAAACGTTTTGCGCGACCGAAGCGTACGAAGTAGTGCACAGCCTGAAAGCATTCGGAGGCGTTGAAGCCTAACTGCGCCGGGATGTTTACAACCTCTTGACTTGCAAGCAAGAGATCAGACGCCTTTGTTTCCGAGCGACAACGATGACTCAGTTGCTCTGCTCGATCAGCTCTGCTCAGCTCCAATAGACTCCGTCCCACCTCCGCTGAGGGGCAGTCGTTGCGCCCTACTTCCTTCGTGCATCAGCATTCCATCTGGCGATATATCTCATCGGACTCATTTCTTCCCTCGCCGCGCGCCTTCACTCTGTCTCATTCCATCTATCGCACTTAGCATATTCTATCGTATTCTATCAAAGGCGCAGAGAGTGCCGCTGACTTTCGAAGACTCGAACTTCACCTTCGGCTTTTGCGCAAATAGGCAACCTCACTCTACCTCTCCCAGCTGGCACAACCACCCTTCCCGATCAAGGTTAGTACAGGATAAGCTTCCTTCATCCGCCATGCAGCCTATATAGCTACTAATATTATATAGACGACGGTCACGTTCCTCATACTTGCATTCTTCCTCATCTTGCGATGAGCATCCACAAGCAGGCAGGCTCTTGGGCACACTTCGTTGTGATCATGGCGGCTAGGTCTTTTTAACTTCAATTTTATTTATTCCCTTAAACGTACTTATGGCTAACACGTGTGTATCCACGCAGACAGGCGACAACGCTCTTGCTGGAGAATATGAATTCGACATCACTTGTCGTTTCCCTCCAGATGATACCAACGACAGGGCGATATGGTTCAAAGGCTATTATATCGAGATCGTCAAAGAGGAAACAGGCGAGCACAAAATACACGAAGTCAATAAAACCCCCACGACTCAATAGGTGAAATATGATGTTCCTGCCCGGTATACTTGTTACGTCAGAGGCGCTACCGTTAAATTGGACCGCTAGGAGGAGATTTCAAACTGTGTCCCGAAGAAATCGGTTAGATAGTATCCGTCGTTGTGACTACACCAGATGGTAAAGGAGACATCTTGTGTGTGATCCTTCGGGAACAAAATTGGCCAGCATCCTGTCCTCTCCATATTTTGACTTCTTTCCCATTTCCACAGCCGGCTATTCTGAATGGCTGTTCTGAATGGCTCTGGCATTTTCGATATGTTGCTAGCGAGCGCATTTGTGTACATATCCTTCATTTCTGTTGATAGATTATTAGCATTGCCCCCTTGTATATATCCAAAGCTTCTCCTCACCTCTGTTTTCCTTGTATAGATGTAGCGGCGGATGCCGCTGTCTATTAACGTCGAAAGTGCCATCATACCCACTACCGGTGGTTAATTCTTCCCGATCCTGTGTTTGGTCTGTCGCTAATCAGTCGTGTCCGAATGCAAAGGGGTATTATTATATACCGTGATTCAAGGATGATGGAACAAGAGCCATCTGTCGTAGGCCTGGCAATTGAACTATATAGAGTCAGCGTTGCTAACAGTTAAAACCCGATCGAGTGACATACCCCTCCCGGAGGTATACTGGGCGGCTGGAGGCCGAGTAGCCAAATCACTAGTCTGCACTGCCGACGATGGTTCACCCTCCGGTGTAGGTCCATCTACAACACACCTCCGTTTTCTTGGCTGGTTCGAACTCTGCGAATTTTTCTTTTCGTCCTCAGCAGCTAGTAATTCATCAGTTACCTGCTAACTTATCTCCCTAGAGCAGAACTTACCTTTGAGAAACCTATGGTATTTGTGAGATCCTTGCAATGGCTCTTCAGCTCCTAAACCACTTAAGATATGGTATATGTCGGGTGGCCACACTGGGGAGGAGTCTGGCTCAATATGCTCGAATACGTAATCAAAGGTATCCTTTGACATCAAATTTGCTGTCCACATAGTAGGCATGAAGGCCACTGCCCAGGTAATTAATCCATCGGGACTTAAGGTACAAATGCGCTCACATCTTTCCCGGGTTAATTGTTTCCTCGCCTTGGTTGCGTCTGAATCGACGACCGAATCCCTCTGGCAATCAAAGAAATAGGTTATGTTCCTCGCGAATGTTACTCGGTTCTTCAATTGGGCGGTAGTTATGAAATCTCTCTTCTCTGACTGTGCCTGGGCTATGAGGTTTTGCCTTCTTCAACAGACGGTTCTGCTAGTCTGTTTTTGAGAGCTTCGATCTCTATCGGAAGATTGGTCGCACACGCGGTAAGCCTCACGCCCAATCCCTGGAAGGCCTGATATTGATCTTTTGAGGGATGAAAACTCGAGCACCGAAGGCTCTGAACCGACGACTCGAGTTTCTTGATTAAAGCCTCGAGTTGCGAAATAAACTTGCCCGTCGTCATATTGAATGGATGATTCTGTTCATGGGAGCGAGAAATGAGTGGACTTGTCACGTGCTGCGCACAGGTGTATATATAGCTTCTTCACCGCCATTAGGGCACCATCATTCATACATATATTTACCAAAACACACACATTTCCACTTCCACAGCTTGTCCAGGCCGTGACAGGACTACTTAAAGGCTTGCATATTTTTGCACTAGGTGACTAATCGTGCGGTACAGCAATACGGTCGAAAATTAGCAATATGGTCGTTTCCCCCCCCCCCCCCCCATTTATCGTCTTTAATTAATTAAATATCAATACCATGGCCAAATTCGACCCAGAAGAAGAGAAAAGGATAACCTAGGCCTCCGATGTTTATGCCAAAAGCCCACACGTCAAAAAGTGTGTAATTGCGCGAAATTTAGAGTAAAATATCGACTCTGGAAAGCGCGTTTAGCAAGACAAAAACCACAAAACACCAAAGGGGGCTATAACAAAACACTTAATCTTAACCTGGAGGAGGGCCTCAAGCAGTTTATCGATTTCTTGGTCTATTTAAGCCATAAAGCTAATCTCAAATCGGTTCGGGCGATAGCTAATAAGATTCTTGTGGAGAGCGCGTTTACCCACTATGTCTGGGCACAATAAATGTTGGCTAGATCGCTTGGTTTTATCACGTCACCCCCCCCTCGCCCTTTATTTTATAATAATGGCTTTGGTAATATGGTTAGATTAGATGCTAATAGGAAGGAGACAATTATTAGGTATACGAATTAGGACATAGTAGTTGTGAAATTAATTAATTTCTTAGAATCGTAGCATTTTTGGGGGGTTTTTGGTGGGGGGTCGCTGATAAGGTAAAGTATGTAATATTTCTACCATTTTTTACTGTACGCATATGCAATGTGAAAGTAAGAGAATTTTATTTATTAATTATAGTGTGAACTCCATATAAACTGTAAAATATTTTTCTGCGATTTGCACTAAATTTCTAAAAATTGGTGTTCCAAAAAAACCATCATATTACTGATTTTTGACCGTATTGCTGATACGCACTAAACCCGCAGGCACGCAGGGGCTTTAGTGCAAGTCCTGACGCACGATAAGGATAATCAGCGCATAGCACCCAGTTTCTAAGCGCCGTCGAGATCCAATAAAATACAATTATTTGGCCCGGACGCACTCTGAATGTGTGCCACGTCATCGAGCAGGGGCAATCGGCTCTGATTCATTGGCTATACGAATATTCCCCAGAGTTGTAGTCCTGCAACTTCAAACTTACCGTCTCTCCGCGCGTTGTCTGTTGTATTTTACACGGGGTGACTAGGGTAATGACGGGCCATGCACCCAGTTTCTAACCGAATTCCCGCTCAAAAGCACGACTTTACAACTTTTCACTTTCTTAATAACTAAATAAATACTAATCCATTAACTTTACTTTCCAAATATAGCACTTAGGAATATAATTAAGTTAATATATAAAATAATAATAAATTTATATAAGAAGGATAACTATTTTAAAAAGTATAAATTATATTTAATATATTACTTTTTTATATAACTTTTAAATATATTTATATAGATTACGCACTCTTAAGTATTAAAAATATGAAAAGTATTCTTATTACTATTATAAATTATTATATCTTAGAGAATTTAAGTTTAAATTTAAAATTAAAATAATTTAAAAATTAAAATTGTAATAGTGGGGTCAAGGCAATAGTCAAGGCTCAAAGATCCGAGAATCCCATGTATTGAGAATACTAAGCTAAAGAGAAGAAAGAGAGAGAGAGAGAGAGGGAAGGAGGAGGAGATAAAAGGAGGGAAATACTAGCTAAAACCACTGAAACGCCGGCTAGCTTGTTCAAACTAGTCATGTGACAGCCACCCCCCTTTAACCCCAGCCAGCACTGTCACAAAAATAAAATAAAATATTTACAATTAAATTAATTAGCTCAAATTATAATAATATATTTGCTCCATTAACACCACAGACAGGTTATTTTCCCGCCCTATCTTCTAATATTCTATATATCTAAGCAGAATGCTGCCCAGATACAGTGAAACCTCGCTATAAGGATACTCAATATAAGGATACATCTGCTGGCCCCGCAGGGATTAATTTTGCTGTGTGCCACACCTCGTTATAAGGACACCTCGGTATATCCTTAGTTTTTGGGGACAATTTCGGTATCCTTATATCGAGGTTTCACTGTACCCCTGAGCATGCCCCAGCTGTGGCGCACTAAGCGAACTGTGGCACCTGACGAGCGCGTAGCGTCGCGTCCACCTCGCGAAGCGCCGAGCCGTCCTCTAACACCAACTTCAACATCGACTCTCACAACGAATCTATGTCATATCAACGCGCTTCACTATGAATAATCCACCTCCAGCTCCGCAGTTACTGCTGCCCTTCGGGCTCTCGAACGCCCCCGATGCCTCCGACTCCGACTCCACTGGCACCTGGGACGACGAAGGCACCTCAGCCTCAGAAGACAGTGATGAGGAGGCATGTTCGCTCCCAGACGAGGGATGCGCAGACGAGGGGTATTGGGAAGACGAGACTGCTGCAGATGCATGGCTGGCCAGATTCCCGGGCGGGATTTCTGCACTCTATCCACAACTCTTCCTTGTCAAGCCTCGAGGAGGAAAGGTCGTAACACTAACCCGCTATCCGGATAGAACCGACTCTCTCCTTCACCTGCCCCCCGAAATCCGAAACCGCATATACATACATTATTTTGATAGAGATGAGGAGGTGAGGCGCCCCAAGGAAAGCTATGCTCCGTTCCAAAATCGTGATGGCATAGCAATGCAAAGAATCCTCCTCGGCAGTGAGAATGTGGAGCTCAAGTTCTGGTTGTCGACGGCGTTGTTGCAAACCTCGCGACAGTTGCGTCACGAGGCAATGTTCATCCTCTTCAGCAACCGTGTCATCACGATAGAGTGGCTTCCCGCCCTCCCACGCCTGGTTAAGTTCCTGGGCAAGGAAGGTTGTGCGATGGTGCGGTACCTGGACATATGGGACACGCTAAATGTCCAAGGCGAAGACATTGCCGGCTACCGAGAGATCATCACCAGCATCATGCAGTTCCCTGGTCTGCTGCACCTTCGTATCGTTGTCTCCTGGGGCATACGCCATATGGGGCTGTGGAGCGATCGCACTTTCTCATGGCTCGACGCAACTGAATGGAACGCAAACGGTACTCCCAAGGAAGACGCGATTCCCAAAATGCGGGCTGAGGACATTGACTTACATTGGCCAGAGTGCGACGTTCTCAAGAAACTGAAGGCGCAGAAGTTCACTCTTGCTGTGATAACCTTCTCGGCCGACAGATACCTCGAGTTCGATAGAAGCTATGGGCCTCTACCCGATATTATCAAGTCGATTCAGTCTGATCCTGCCCCCATACAGTCAATAGCCCTAGCAGCGACTCTCACTAGCTCTACTTTACCCCAAGTCCTCGACCCTTTCGAAGCCGTCGAAATCCAACCGCGTAGCAGTGCCTTGACACCCAACTCGGAATTCGATGATGAGGGCCCCGACAGCCCTGCTTGGCAAGACACCGACCTTCTCACCAACAAGACCATTCCATTCTATAACTTCTTCCGCGAGTTCTTCTACAATAACCCCCCTTACGGGCCTCGGCTGTCATATGTACACACTTCTTTTCAAAAATTCGTCACCTTTCCAACGGCGCGGAAGTCCACAGGAGCTATCATGCGGGACTGCGTATTTTGCTACATCAGTGAACGGCACTGCGAGTATCACGCCATGCCAGACCAACCTCCATTTGAGCCCAAGATTCAAGAGGACAGGGAGGAGGGCGACGACGACGACGAGGACGAGGGTGAAGGCGAGCGCTTTGAGGTGGAGAAGGATGTGAAAATATTACAGGCGCAATTTCAAGATCTCTCCTATGTAGATATGCAGATGGTGTGTCAGGAGTTGGTTCAATGGATGGAGGACCACGGCAAAACTGGCGACATCTATTATCATAAGATTTTCGAATTCTCAAAGATTTCCGCATTTCTCGACTATCAAGGTTGGCCCGATACGCCACTCAGCGAACGCTTAGTCCGGCTTGACCGTGCGGTTGATGCTGGGTGGATTGGGAAGAGAGTGGATAAGGAGGAAATACCGCCCTGGGATATGCTGTATCGTGAATTTCGTTCTTGTTACAGCCATCGCCTCAAGTTCCGAGAGGAACCAAGAGTCTTCTTGTAACAAGAAGTATACATGGCACAGTTGTGGAATACGCATCATTGGCATGAGCATCTTTTCCCATTCCAGAATCAAAACAAATTTGTATCCTGCAACTGTCAACTTGTACAAGCAACCTATCACTCTCAGCTCACCCTCGGCTCAGCCAAAAGACTCGCCTGAGCCAACTTGAGCAGATATTTTCTTTAATATCCTGCCTTATCCACTCGAACACGTAAGGTATTCGACTTCCGGACTTCCAGTACATGGGCGATCTTAAACGCCCCCGCGATACTGAAGCCCAAAGCAGCCCACATAAAGCCCGCAGCCAACCACGTCGAGACATAGAAAGCCCACCCCATCCATGCGTGGGTCATTACCCTAGCACTAATGTCTTTAGGCCCTGTTATCTTGTCGGCTAGCGCTGTAATCTTCGCCGAGGAGATCGTAAGGAGAATGACCGTGGGTACGCTAGCCAGGTAGCCGACGCGGAAGACGAGTACCGGTGGTGTGCTCGTAACTAATAGAACGACAACGCCGTATAATAAAGAGAGCAAAGAGACACTAGCTAAGGCAATACCGATTGTAAGCAGGACTAGCGGCGTCTTGGTGTCAAGTGTGCCGTATAACGAATCTAATGGCGGCAGGTGTGCGGCATTGCTACTCTGCGCTAGCGAGAAAGTATAGCCGGCTTTCTGACAGACACATATACTTGTGCTTTGGTTCTTATTGGCATTAGTGGCATTTGTATTCCACATACTAGAGCATATAGATAAGTAGTTGACTTCGTACTAGTCTAGGCTGCTTGCAGGAGAGAGCGCTAGTATTAAACTATATAAGATATGAGCTATAGTTAGTCTTGTAGATTGGGCTACTAGGGACTACGGTACAGTTATAATTGCAGATTGTCTGAGTAAACCTGTCGAGGTGCTAGCGAATAAGGTGAGAATGGAGAGGACAAAGGTGACGATTATAAGGACCTCAATGCCGATTAGTAGCGGGAGCTGCGAGGTAAAAGGTCCTGTTATCCGCAATGTGAATAATGAAGCTATCTTATTGATTTCTACCGCCGAAGTGGAGGAGTTAGGAAGTTTCGAGACAAGAGAGCGATTATATAATCGCGTGCTAGAATAAAAATCGCGCAGGTGGCGCTTCTTGTGTAGAAGAGTTCACTGGCCAACCGCCCAAACTACTCAACCGCCCAACCTAAAAATCTTAATATTTAATCAACGCCTTAATAAAATTATGATTCCTATTAAATACTAATACTTTATAGTATTCTCAATCCCCTAATAGCTATATATTACTTTAAAACTATACGGTGTTACTAAAATTATTTATTTAGTAGCATTTTCGGCATTTTCCTACTAATTTTTACCCCACCTGCACCATTCCCATCCTTTACTAATTCCGATATAATTAATTAAATATCTTATATAACGTCCTCAATCTTTATTTATATATGGCTTAATATAAGAGAGTATATTAGAAGGTTTTTTGCATTATTATAATAACACTTCTTATTAAATTTTCTTTAGGGTAAGAATTAGTAACTTGCATTTAATGGGGTAACAAGCCTAAATTTGGGTACCTAATTCTTGGGGCAAAGAATCGCTCACACCATATAAATATTCAATTATAATTTAGGTACTATTCGAATTTTCAATTATAAAAACTCGTATATTAATCGAATTCGCTATTATATAGTAAACTTTATGCCTCCTTTTAATTAGCTAGCTACTTCTTGCCTTACTAATAAACGCTATCTTGCCTTTGCATCTTATACCTTTGGTTTTGCTCCATTAATTCGATCTCAAAGGGTTTCGTATGCAATTCCATACTCTCGTACATTTCCCAATGGATTTAGTCTTCTTGTAATCGAGATATCATCGTGAGCCGTCTATAATCGCACGCTCCCTGAGAGCTCGTTGGGATTGTCCGCGAATTCGGTATGGTGATATTTCTTTACAGACATGTTGAGGGGCTAAAAAAGCTTTAGAAAACAGTTGATTTGATAGTAAAATATTATGTAGGTGTTGAATTATGATTTTTGGAAAACAGCGATTTTGGGCGGTTGGGTGGTCTGGGCGGTTGGCCAGTGAAACCTTCTAACCTCAGAGGGGCGTAATTCCACCGTGTTTCCTCACCCCTGCGTTACTCCTTTCACGAGGATGCGAAGAATTTCCGATGCTTGGAGAACAGGTTTGCCCACCCTCGGCTCAGATACTTCGTAAAAGTGGCAGCTGCTCGCGTTCAAAGAGTAAAACAGAACAGGCAGGAGGAATAATTAATACAGAGGCCACGAGTATTTTGCTAGCGCTCGGGATAAGCTGTATTTTGAATAGAGGATAGCTGATAAAATTGATCATTGGCAACGATAAACAGATAGCATACCCAAGCATTACCTTGATGGAGACCATCCAAATAAGATGATCTGGCCTGCCTATTCCAGTTGGTGAGTACACACCATTCAGTTTGTACGCACCACTTGTTTGTACAGTCGCTTGCAGAATCGGTTTCTGGTTTTGGACTTCGATTATGTTCTCCGCACACGGCCCTCACGCTTGTTGCCAGATATCTTAGGGGGGCCTATGGTGAGGCCGGGTGTTGTGCTAGGAGGCTTTCTCGTATTTGCAGCGTTCCCGCATCACTTGATAAGAGACACCCCCCCTCTTGGTTTCATTAGAGTACCAGTTCTGACGCGACTTTACTGTTTGCTAGTGCGATTTAGATTCACCTCTGAAACGAGCCAAATCTCTCAGGATGCCTCCAGTCTCAAAACTATTCGCCCACAATTATGCACTCGCCCCTGCATTGATAATACTCTTGGACGAGCTATTGAACTGGGATCGATTTATCGGTGGAAAATCGATATGTTGGAGATTGACAATCTGTAGAATGACTAGTTTTGACTAGATACAGGAGAGTGATTCCATAAAAAACAGAGGGAATGGGTTCCCTAGCTATATTCCTGATTTCCACCCCACCATGTGATTTACCCCGCACTTACTTGGTGGTGGGAACGATTTACCAATCTGATTCCTGAACGTACGTTTAAGGAACGTAATCGAATGGCGATACTAATAAACGATTGGTGTGTTCGTACGTAAGTAATACCCAATAATCGGACGAACTGAATTAGTGGTAGAACCTGGAGTGGAAGGAATGAATACTAGCCAAGCTAGCTAATTCAACACGAGCAATCTCCGTCATACACAAGAAGACAGCCTGATACGGCCGCCACTTCAGGCCCAAGGGGCATCATAACGCTCGAAAGACTGAATGCGCCGGCATCAAAGACCGTATATACGCCAATTAATGATGACGAAATACGCTTGGTTACTATTCACTGCCGCAGCGATGAAGCTCCCATCTCATGCTCTCTCTCCATCGTTTCAGGCGACAATTTACCCGATTATGAAGCATTACCCTATGTTTGTAAGTCTTAATCCTTCTTTATGGTATGTAGGGCGCTAAGTCTCGTTCTTAGGGGGTTGCCAAGATGACTACCAAATGATAGAACTCAACGGAATGGCGTGGCACGTCACTAGGAACTTGTTTTTCGCCTTGTCGCGTCTTCGCTCTCCCGATAAAGACCGCACAGTATGGATTGATGCCTTGTCTATCAATCAAGTAAATATCCCGGAAATAAACGTCCAAGTTATGCGATTGTGCACCATCTACTCGAGGGCATCCTGTGCGCTCATCTGCTTAAGCCTAGAAGATCGGATGAAAGACGACATAGACGAAAGTTTGAGCCTATTATTCAACTTTGCGCAAGACTGTGTTCCCAAAATTCAGGGCGAGGCCATCGACAATAAGCGGATTTGCGAGAAGTTCTCAGGAATCGACTTGGATGCACGCCTTAAGATCGGTCTTGGTCTCTTCTTTGTCTTTCTCCTGCCGTATTGGATGCGAGTATGGGTAAGTTGTACGGTCCGATCGACCTTGGAGCTCGAAAAGGCGAGAACCACCCCAGAAGGGTTAACCTATACCCAATCGTATAGTACCCATCTTCGAGTAGTTTCAGCCTAACCCCTCACCGTTTCATGGCAACAGTCAAGTATTCGCATCGACCAGAAGCTGACTTAAGTAGGTTCTCCAAGAGATAATGTACTCTCGCAATGCGGTTTTACTATATCAATCCTATTGTGTTTCCTATTCAGGCTTCATTCGATTTTTACCGACAATGATTGACATCGTAAATGACAATTTCCAGACTAATTGGGAGCACTTGGCTGTAAGGCTAGACTCCGTGCGTCTTAAACTTCTTAGGAGCTTACCAAACCTGAAGAACGACGTCGAAACTCTACTCGTCCCATGCGGATCAGCGCACCGTGGAGAGTATCTCACTCTGACCGACTGGATGAGTTTCGCCCACCAGAGGACGGCAACGGATCCAAGAGACCTAATATTTGGATTGTACAACTGCTTTTCTCCGGAGGTTAGGAGGCTCATAACCGTGGACTATTATAAAGAGCTGCCAGATATCCTTACACAGATAATGCCTTTGTTGTTCATGGAAGCTAAAACACTCGATATTATGTTTAAGCGAAAAAGCATATTCGGTGCGAGTATTGATGTACCCTCTTGGGTATGGATTCCAGAAAATTTCTGTGTTCAGGCAAATACACAAAGCCCCAACCGAGGATCGAGATACCCCTGATTGAAAGAAGGGTATGGAGGGCTTCAGCATCTCTACCCTTGACTTTTAGTCTTCTTGACCATAGCAGGACACTACAGGTACACGGGAGAACCGTTTTCATTGTCAAGTTCGTAGCTCCTCCGGTGGTACCAGAACCGATAAGAGGAGAAGACAAAGTAAAAGAGCTTTTCGCGGATCCAGGGGGACGGCATATCTCCGAATTCATGAATCACTTCCGGGGACTATGGCAACTTCTCAAACCGCAGAGTCCGGTGAAGCGAATCGCGTTTATCAAAGCATTCAACCTAGGAACCCCAAACGACCTTGGCGTCCTATGCTTGCTTCTTTGGCTGATGGACATCATACCCTTTCATCAACTTTCCCTTCCTCCGGCCACAAAGCTTATTTTCGAGCATTGTGGTCGAAGCATGTTTTCATGCTTTCATATAAATGGTCGAAACTCTGCTAATGAAGAAGACGACGTGACATATGGATTGGGTCCGAGCAATCTCGTCCCGGGAGACAAAGTCTGTGTTCTCCAGGGTTGCTCTGTTCCCGTTATCCTTCGTCAAATCGAAGACCATCACATCCTCATTGGCGAAGCCAAGGTTCCAGAAATCATGTATGGGGAAGCAGTGAAAGGAATAGAGCAAGGGGACGAGCAGGCCGAAGACTTTTTCATCAAGTGACTGCATTCTGGCAAAACGGAATCCAAATACGAGCCCACATCAAGCCGAGCGCCGTCAAGGTGTTGACCGGCTTCAACCATCGCTTGGTCTTGGTCCTCTTGAGACGACATGTTGGTTGTGTACGAGGCCGAGCGGAATTGTGAGTCTACCTTTCGGAAGCCAGGTAGACTCCCTTTTATCTCCTTTCCATGAGGTCCCCGGACCGATCGATTAAGGAGCTTACGAGATTTGCCAAGGCCTGAGACACTATTTTCTTTATACGCAAGGAGAGGTCCCCTACAGCTCTGATCCCTAACGTATGCGGATACGGGCATTCATTTCTGGAAGCGCATACGATATGGGAACCTGATGTGAAGGGCTCAGCTTCCCACCAACGCATTATACTGTACAATTTCGGCGGGTTGAAGTTCCTGGTGCGCTCTGAAAGTGATGGTTATCTAAAGCAGGCAGTGAACCTTGACGCTCAGCACGACGATGCCGAGATGGCGAACACTTCTAAGGACGTTCCAAGATCGAAGGAAAACCTGGAGAAGGCACAAGAGAATAGCGGAACAGATAACTGTACCTTGCTTGAGGCCCTGAGAGTCACCAGGGGACTCTCATCTACTGTCGGGCCACTTCACATCGAGATGGGAGGCCGGCGAATTTCACAAAATGCCATCTTCTACTTGAAGACACGCGCTAAGGAGACACGTCAACCGATAGACATGGACGAGGTATATCGGAGACTCTGGGTAAATCAAACGTCGTACTTCATATTTGCTGAGCATTTGAGGGGCTCTTTTGAACCACGAAATATACAAGAAGTGTCTATCTCTGACGGGATATCGAAGTGGGAGAAGGATAGTGAGGCGTTATTGAAGCATTATCAAGCTACTGTGATGGAAATTATTGCGGCAACAAGGAGCTCGGCCACTGGGAAGCTCCAAGTCATTCAGCGAGGGCCGCGGGGCAGTGGGTCATTGAAAGGTCAAGAAAGGTTTGCCGGAGATAATACTGATGTCCTTTCCCGCGATCTTCGCAGCAAGTGGTAAAACCGGTTTACATTTCATTGGGAGGATAGAATTTTTTAGGAAGAGAATATACTGCAAGGTTTTATTGCTAGAAGTGTGTTCAATTGACTAGTTCATTGTTCACAATGGGGCCTAGAAGTATTCGTCTCCACCCCTCTCGTGCACCCTGATTCCCAAGCTCTACCATGTTGAGTATTGCTTTGAGGGCGGGACGCCGTCCTGAAAGTGGAGTTGCCTATTTGAACGAGGGTGGCAGGCAGTAGGCGCGGTGACGTTCGTCGAATAGCGCACTGCAAGCCTTTACTCCGATGAGGGAGCGTAGCATGGACCTCGTCCCATGAACGGCCCGCCTTTGCGTCCACGGGTGGCGCGGTGACTGACACATCCCAGGATCTGGAGCGACTGATCGAGGTTATCCGAGGTCGGTGGTAGTACCCAGGACACGGTAGCACTTCTTAAGAAAATGTGAGGCAGTAGACGACTTTTCAACTCGCTAGAACTAGAGGCAGTCCTCGGTTGACCAACGAAGGAGCTAGGGAGGAGTAAGGCTGCGACAAACAGCTCTAAGAAATGTGTTTCCGCCTAGATCAAACACGCCACTGTGAGGGAACTACAAATCAACATTGCAATAGTTAGTCATTCCTCCTTGTTCGCCGCTGTAGATTGCGATTTTATGAGTACGATCCTATGGGTAATTAGGTCGGGACCACGAGTACGAACCGATGTGCAGCTTCTCAAGGGGTAACCATCAACACTCAACGCCCCTCAATATATGAGTGTTTCCATCGCCTCGAATGTACCATACCAAGATCATGTACAGTACCGTACCAATTACGATACCGTGCTCCTTGCTATGCCGTAACACCTACGGTACCGTGAATTTGATACAAATTCGGCATTTGGAGGCTGGAAAGGCAAGAAGGTGGCCATTACGGATTGAAGGAATTTTTGCATGCGAAGACCATCAAGATTGGCATGACCTAGGAAACACTCGCTTTGGAAGAAGTATCTATTGCCAATTTGTATGGATTAGATGTTAGCTTCTCTGAATTTAGAAATTCATTTAAAACCCTCCATTTTTAACAAAGGAAAACTCTATTCAAGGCGCCACATGGCAATACATAATACCAAAATCCCATTTACAACAGCTACAATCCACCCAGCAAACCCAAACGCACCTTGAAAATCATGCATAAAATACTTCCAAAGAAATGCTACAAGTCCACTAACAACCATCATAAGAAGATTAATAACTCCAATTGCAATATAATTTGGACCTTCAGTAATATGTATTCCCCAACCGTAGTTTACGGCGCCAGTAAAGCGCATGATACTAGGATCGAGCTTCTTCGGCAAACGAGGCATCCACGCGGATTTCGGGTTGGAAGTAGTGCATGAGAGATAGTGGAGGAATGTGTCTTGTGGTATGGGAGGGTCTTGTAGGGGACATGGGGAGTAGGAGTAGTGCTTTGCGTCGACTTCGCATTGTGGGGGGATGGAAAGTGGCTTTTGTAAGATGCCGACACGGAGTGGGTCCTCGACTGCGAACTATGGGGAAGAAAAATCAATAATTGCACGTGGTCATTTGTGAGACATATACTTACTCGAACAAAATGCACGCCGGAAGGCCTGAGAAGCCAAAAACTCGATTTGAAATTCCGCGCCCTGGAATATTCATTTCTGATCTCCTTGAATAGCTCGCCATCACAACCAACATTTCTCAAGTCAATCTCGCGCAAGGTCTTTGTATACTCCCCAGTATTGATGCAAAGCTCCAGGTATGACTGCCTCGGGAAAGTGGAGCTGAGATTACTGCTCATGGATGACGTTGATCCTAAGAGCGTTGATAAAGAAGCTCCAGAACTAGAATCCGTCGAATCAAATGATGTTCGTGAAGGAGCGTGTGCTGGTATGGGTACTTGGACGCCATGAAGCTCGCTCATATGGTAAGACTCATTCGTGCACGATGAGGAAGAGATCGGGAGTTGAAGGATTGCCGCCAATTCGTTCACGGTCTCGTTGAAAACATTGAAGTCTGCATATAGCTCGTGTCCACATCCCTGCATGAGGAAAGTAAGTAGTGCTTTCAAAAATTGTCAATATAGCAGAGAGTTTACTTACACACGTCCATTCAATCCTCTGTGAATCACTCCCAACCTTCGGCCTCCAAAGTCTTCGGAATCTATTCCCTATACTACATGACATCTTAAGGAGACTTAACCTACCGTTCAGAGAAGAATTTGGGGGCCGCTGAGGTTCGGTCGAAGCGGCCAGGATCTCGTACTCTGAGTCATCGTTAGGCGTGGAACTTTTGGCCTCTTTAATAGATAAATTCGATAGATCATCAAATCCATCTATACTCTCCAGGCGTCCATATCTCGACCTAAGTTGGAGCGAGTGATCAGAAGATGCAACCTCAAATACCATGGAATCGTTGTGACTTCTTTGGCTAAGGTTATCAGCCAAAGGACGGGCAAACTTAGCAGATGCCGGCTCGGTGGCTGTATAGTCGGGTATGTCCCTGAGAAAAGCTTTTGTGGTAACTTCAGGATCATCACATTTCGGTTTCTTGGGTGGAGGGGCGATTATTTCATCGCCCGGCAGAATATTCGTAGAAAAATGTGGTTCTGGTTGCTGTCTTCTGGCCGAAGATGATCCAACGAGAGGGATCTCCTTTCGAGCTTGGAAATTCCTCGGACTTCGACCTCTGACCACGATAGGGGTTGTTGACGTCTCGCACACATTTGTTTTCGTCCTGTTAGCGAGAGTTGCGACCACGCTTAAATGAAGAGTAAAGTATTGCTGTAGCTCTCGCCTTCGTCCGTTGTTAGCGGTTGCTATTCGAAACTGTAGCCTTCGGTAGGCGATCGGGTACACGGTGAGGTCACTGTGTGCATCAGGTCCCTCGTCAAATGGTACGAGTGGTATGGGTGATGGCTCATGCTCCTGTCCGGAAGGAATTTCCGGGGAGTTTGGCGGGGGTGTCTTCCAAGGAATTACGATTAGTTTGACGACGTTTCCATCAATTGATTCCGTCGCTGAGATAGCCACTTCCATCGAGACAATGTGAACTCTTCCTCCTCCTTCACTGATCAGTGAGATAGACCCTCGAGGAGTGGTAACGCTTCCAGTAATCTGGAAGAGGTTTCGGCGATAGCAGGTTAGTTCCGGCTGGACCAGGAGGCCCTCTCCTGATGGTGTTGCGAGTTCTGAGAGAAAGAACATCCCATGGATCTCTGCTCCAAGCTCAATATGTTGAACTCTTCCCTGATTATCGATAAGAGTATGTTTCTCTGGCAGCTTGCCAAAGGAGAGCAGTCGATGATCTTGATTAATGGCGGGTTTGGGAGCTTCTGCTGCCTCTTCCCTAAACTCTTGTGAATTTTCTCCAAAAGAGAGGCCCTCTGAGTGGTGAAAACCTCTCTTCAGTGACGGATAACTGTTATGGGTATGAAGTGGTGGTGGCGAAGCTGTCAAAGGGCCATTTCCTTCTCGATATGGTGGTGGTGTCTGGATTAGCGGTATATCCAACGACCGATAACTACCTTTCTGAGCTCGACCATGGTAAGGTATTGCTAATGCAGGGGACTGATAATTCGAATCATATGCCAGGGGTTGAGGAGCGGCAGAGGTGGTGGGTGTGCTGTAGCCTTGCCAGATGGAAGATTCGCCTGCGCTTTCGATATTCGGCTTCTCCATCTCTAGTGAGTCCCAAGTCGTTGAGACAATGCACTGGATTATCTAGTAGCAAATTATATAGATTGATAGAAGAAGGCGTATTGCAATCGAAAGAAATTGAGGTTGTGTCCTAAACCAACAGACTCACTTATGCACAGCCCGCGCTAGTCTAATGCAGGACTTCATCAGCTTCGCCAATGATTAATGTTACAACGAGATCCTGCATCGTGAGGCAGACTCGTTTTGTGAAAACACAAAAGGGTAAATAAATTCCACAGGTGCAAAACAGAGAGCTTGATGAGATCGGTTGAACTGCCCAGGGGCATTCAGAAGGTGCATACCTATAGTGTTTATACAACATTGCTGAGTCTATGTCAATTGTTAAACTCAACACCCCAGTCCGGAAGAAGCAAGATATCATCCACAGATATCTACTTATCTCCTTTGAACCGCCTCCATTTAATATCCAACAAAGGTCACCAAAACCAAATTATCGGATCCGTATCAGCCACGGGAAAGGCTCTTGCATTCGCAGTTTTCTGTGCCGTTTCGACTTCCCCGGGTTTGCAGAAATTATTATCGCAGTGCGGACTTCTCTATGTTCAAGATCAGCAAGATTATTACGGAACGTAAATGTAGCATAAACGCAAAGGCAAATATCTCCATGGGAGAATTATTGTCGCATTGTATTAAGGGGTGGACGCGAGGAATAAGAAAATGAGCTTGAAGCAGTATCTGCCAGAAGCAATTGGCAAGCTGGGCGGCTATTACTCTGCTACCTTCGAGCTTATTTGTGTTCAACTTTTGAAGGAGATAAAGGCTTTATAATGACTCGATGTTATATGCTTTATGGAATTAAATCTTCTGCTCCCTGCTGATACTCCCTGAATGTCTCTGCAACTCCTCCTCATTCGTCTCACGTATAAGCTTCTCAACACTTAATTCCTCATCGTTCAGACCCCCCTCCTTCAACTCACGCTCCTCACGACAATGGCCACATATAGCTCGCACCTGCACACCCATTCTCTCCTCCAAGTATGCTGGCCAATTTTTCGCATAATACCCTTCAATGACCGATTTCTCCAGCCAAAGCCGGCTTCCAATAGGCTGGATGGAGTCAACAACGAATCTCGGAACGAAGGCCAAAAAAGGATCCTGGCTCGCAAGACCTCTAAAATAGAGCAAAACCTAATCAAATAAGAGGCTAAGACAAAAAATGGGAGCCTAGGTAGGCACTTCGTTCCGAAGCCTTCACATGATGATCTCCTACTTTCAGCCCTGAGGCGTAAAATGGCTGCACGCCCCCTTTTTGCCCTTGCGCAGCGAGTAAGAGAACCAAGAAACGGCTGTTCTGCTGATTCGTGAGAGTTCGAGATCTCACTTCGTCCCTTTTGCTGTCAACTTGTCGACCTTGGTGTTAGTGATTTGCACATGGCTCGAAGATTGGGGCAATATGTTCCAGTCTAACAGCAAATCAGTTGGGTCCTCTGGCGAACGGGGCTTGGGCAAAATTCTCAAAACGAGATCCGGGCAGCAGCGATAGAAATAGCCTTTCAATGTTCTCTTTGGAGGTGCAACCTGTCGGCGGCCAGCGCAGATTCGCTTTTTATCGTTTGTAAGCGAAAGGTCAAAGGAAATACTATTAGTCGTTATTTCCTCAAGGAGTTGAACAACGTGCGACTCATTTTCCAATGGCTCCTTCCCTTTGCTTTCTGTCTGAGGTGCAGCGAGGACTCGCTGAGGCGAAGTGAAGTCGTGCTACCACTGCTTTGGTATTATTCTTCAAAATGAACTCTTCTTGTTTGCAACTAAGCAATCAAACGTAGCTGTAGGGAATAGTAGAAGAAAGTAATAAAAGGGGATGTATTCGGCTCTGCTAGGGAACAAATAATAACCTCTCCATACAAGCACCTCACTTCGTTAGGACCCACTCCGTTAGAGCAGCTCTGCCACTAGAGGCCATCACGCGTCCTCCACCGCCACACACAAGTCTAGCTTGCCCTAATCAACGAATGTTATGATAACCTGCAATAAACAAACCCAGGTTCTGCCACATCGGACGCCCAAGGTGACTTCCGGACAACAATCATCGGATCTATACCCCGGACGACCTTCCGGCCGGTAGAGAATGACAACCATTTCAGAATGTAAGATCGTTCGAACCGTTCTGTCGCTTTCTGAATTTTCGATTTCTTTAACGCAAAGAAAACAAAATAGTTGGCCCCTGCCTTCAAATCCCAGTCATGGGTCTCCTTACCGATATAAGGAACATTCACAACTTACCAGTAACATTGGTAAGGGGTCAAAGACCCGATCATCTTGATATGAGAGAACTTCAGGAGTTCCATTTTTTGGTGGAAGAAACTTCGACAGCCGCTGGGCGGGAATTGGAAAGCTTACAAAGTACTATCTCGAGAGATAGAAGCTTCGATCAACGACATTACCCCAGATGCATTGCGTAGATATAACATACTCAAATTACTAAGGAGACAATGTTTGAAGTCAAGCACTTGTAGCCTCCACTGTCAGTGCCAAAACTCCCAGCGTGGGGTAGAGTGGGGAGCTACCCACGTGCTACCTACCTAAACTCGGTGTTCCGGGTTTTGTTGCACGTCTGCCGGAAATCAACTCCAACGTTTCCGCAGGAAGGTCCGGAAAAGGCTCCGTTCGGTTTCTGGCAAGCGCCAGTGGGGTCATGAAATGCGCCGCGACAAACTGGTACAGCGGATTCGAGAATCCCCTCCTTCGGTCAGTGTGAGAAGGCAACGAGTGATGCGAATATTTCATGAGTTCCATAATCAGTAAACAACAGCCGCCCGAAATTCTGGGTGGAATTTGTTACAAGATCACGAATCCATTGGTCTCGTGCAGCAAAATTGCGAGCAGGATGAGAGAGGTACTGTTTGTGATACCCACGTACGAATCACTCTAGGTCTGGTGATCTAATGCAAGAAGAAACAAGAAATTGAAAGAGTTGTTGTATCTTCTCGCAAGCTGCGATATCCAGAATCTTGAGACTCTTAAAAACTCCATCGGTATTTGACTTGCGTAAGAATTGACTCGATCACCCTTGAGTAATGATATGACAAGTCACAGAGAACCAAAAAGGCAAACGCGGAATATAGAGTCAGTAATCCCGCTTGAGTATCGCCAGAAAGTCTGTTCACGGGACGGCTTACGGAAAAACACAATTGAGTTGCATTCGGTTCTAAGAAAATGGGAGAAATCCAAAACGAAACTGGGACGGCATAGCTTTGTTGCAAATAGCAGGGAGAGAGTATAGTTTATTCGCCTAGGGACCGAGTCCAGCGGAATTTTATCCGGCGAAAGAGAGTGAAGGACATCGTGAGATGTTGCGGAACGGGAGAGGGCATGTTATTTACACCGACGAGCCGGAGACGGAAAACGTCAAGGAACACGACTCTCAGGGTTGGTATGAAAAACATTGCCCCCTCTACTGATTGGAAGGATTCTCAAGCTCATGCTTGCCTTCCCGAGGTCGAGAAACTTCTCTCGATGCTTCGCCACACGTGATGACGGCTTCACATGACACAGCCCCTTCACCGAGAGCCGATTGTCTTAGTCAGCCCCACGTGTAGAAGCATTATCTGAAACATCAGCGAACACACTGTGCGTATCCTATCCGGCAACGTGCAGAAAAGGAGAAAGGGGGGCGATTTGACCGCACCATCCGTGCAATGCAATCAATCAAAAATCAACACTTTGGCAAACGGAATAATACCAAGATTGGTGGAAACATCTCAAGTTCTCAACAGATCAAACACGACACGAAGAGCATGACACGTCAAACAGCAACCCCAGCCTCATGCAGCAACCCAGTTCTAAATGTAGGATGCTTGACAGCTCGTTCATGCGAGAAAAGAGGGACAAGACCCAAGAGAAAAAATCTTCCGTAGATCGTCAGCTTTCAAAAACGGGGTTGATCCCGTCTGGTCGGTACGAATTGCGGAGATTACGTCGCCCGCAATGCCTAGGGGCCCAAACTCTCGGATCCAGCAACCGTTGAGATTTGTGGAAAGAGAGGTTGGTTGGGAACTTGGGATGACCCTGACCTGACCCGAAAAATCACGAGTTTTGACTTGGGGCGGGCGGTGGAAAGGTTTGAGATTTGCACTAGAAAGCTTCCAGAAGGCTTCTGGTCTTAATTTCATGCAAGGTGTGCGGGCCCGAGAGGAGCTCACCCGCTAGTACAGTAAGTTAACTTAAGTAATGTGTGGAACGAAGGGGAGCGACAGGGATCCAAAGTTGAGATGAACCAACCAGGGGGGGCACCGGGGGGGGGGACCAGGCCAGGTTCGGTTTCTGACTGTTCAACTCAACCCTTGTCTTGCGAACCCAAACGGCTGCGCTTGAGGTGGTTCGCTTCAAGCTCGCATGTTCGTGCGGCTTCAGAATGTCGGACTTGTCTTTCCACGCGAGCTGTCAGGGATGAGCGACGCAGAGAAGGGCCGTCCCGGCTGGCAACATCGTCGTCAGCGGTCGGGTTGCCGAGGTGTGGGTGGTTGCCGTGTTGTGAGAAACAGCTTTCTACCAGTACTTTGCCGGCAAAATGTGCCTGGTCGCATGTAACGAACGACCAACGAAGTTGCGAAAGACGCGAGCGAGTTGGGGAGGCCGGTCGGCGAGGGGGCATGTTCGATGCCGCTGCCGTGTAGACGGCAATGCCCATGCCGGAAGGACGTCGTCGATCTGTGGCAGAGGCAAGGCACAAAGCACAGTGAGACCGCACGATAGGACCGATTGGAGAGACGAGTCTATTGTGCATGCTGATATCTTTAAAAAGAAGACATCGCAGGCGTTACGCAGGTACACGAGGGCTGAAGGAGGCCACCTCAGTGAGCCAGTTCCACGGCGAGAGGATACGAGCCCGTGTTAAGTTCGGCAGCATGCGAACAAACAAATTCCGACTCCCGGGAGAGAGCGAACTTGTCAGAGCAAACAAAGGAAGCATGCTGACCTATCTCCTGATCGATGCGGACTCGTTTCATACTTTACGATTTGATTGAGACCACGTTTTCGTTATGCACGTTGTTGGATCTGTGTTCTGGGCAGTGTAAGGTTCGACAGGCCCGAAAAACTTGGAGAGGAAGGCAAAGTAACGCATCCGTATTGCTTCCACAGTGCCATGCGTGGTGCTGGTCACACGCAAGTTGGCGATGCAAGTTGGCGACGCAAGTTGTAACTTTCGAGAAAGGGGAATAAAAATTGTAAAAAAAGAATATGTTCCTCAGAAGCAGGAACAGCTGTAGCTCGGAGGGCTGCTGTCAGGGACATCGCATACGATCGCCGAGCGCATGCGCTAATACTGTCAGGTCGACGAACTCCTGCACCTGCGATGGGTCGAAGTGCCGACCGGCTTCGTTTTGAGGAGCCGCGGTGTGGACACTCTCTCGGACGGCCAGGGCAGGACCAGAAAGGTTGGATCAATTTTGGACTCTCGGGACTCCGGGACGCATGCAGGCTGCAGGATGCCACGACAGCCCCTTGTCAAGACTCAAGAACAACTGAAAGCCAGCTTCCATCACCCATGGACATGGTGAGGGAACGTGACCTTTGCTCCTGTCTTCTCTGACCCCTTTCAAACACCCTCCCGAAGCCTCCAAGGCCGATCTGTGATTCCGTCAATCAATCTGGGTGCAGATCAGTCACTTCGCTCACCCGAATGACACGGCGCCTGAAAGCGACCTCTCGTTAGTACCGAATCTGATACTGGTCATCGCCTCCAAGTATGACTGTGTTTTGCGACTCGGGAGTGGCTAATGGGATGGACGCTTCGAGCCACTGAGAGCTCAAACGCCGAGTGAGGCGTCGCCCCGCGGGCACTGGGACTTGTACTGGTCGATGTATTGCGAGAGTGCACGTATCGCAGAGTCACAGTTCAGCACAGCCGGACAGGCAGAAGCAGCGCGAGCAGTAGGAGTTTGTTGCTTGTTCTGCTTGAATCACGGCGCCAGGCCGAGGGCGGGATTGGAGTGACGAAGCGTGTGAAGGTGCGGAGCGTGTCCGAGATATCGCTCTGCGCCGAAGCGCTGTTTCTCGAGATGTTGGTTTGAAGCAATCTTGAAAGGTCTCCCCTCCCGGCGTGCTGAAACCTCATCACTGCGTCTACAGTGCCGTACACCATCTCGCCAGCGGCCAGCGTTGGCCCTGGAGTTGGACTACTGTTGGAGGCTGGAGCCATCGAGAGTGGAGCGTAGCAAAAAGCCCAAATCCCAAGAAGTCGTTTCCACCCCTGCTCCCGGGAAGCGGCCCCTTGGCTTCCATGCTCCGAAGCTTCCCAACAGCGCCTGATCCTGGGATCCATGTCGACGAGCTTGCCTCGTTTTCCCCCTTTTCAGGCATGGTGCAGCCCGGGGCGGTTGGGCTGCAGCTTAGGCGTTTAATTTCCAGCTGATGCAGGGGATTCGGGGCTCGGCCGTGGAAACACGCTCGCACACCAAACTTTTTCCAGAATGTTTGGAGGACCGCAGCTAGTTCCTCCATACAGTAGTAGTTCATCTCAGAGTTAGGCAACAAGACGTTTCCCTGAGTCGTGCAAAGCGAGCATGCCGATGTTCAGGCCGCGAAACGCTGGAAGGAATACGGGCCAACTCTGTGCAGGATGGGGTCCAAGAGTAGTTAGTGACGGTTACCGAAAACACGCAGCCCAGGCAAATTGGAGATGCGCATGCTGCTCTCATCTCCAGCCCAAGGATGAACCCTCTCTCTTGCCACGTTCGAAAGGGGGGCCAACGGGCACCCAGGAACACCTCACGCTGCGTCATGCCATGGCCAGTTGAGCATCTGTCGAGGGTGCTGCTCCAGCGTGCCCCCGTTTCGTGTGGCTGCCCCCTTTCCCTTCACGGCCATTTCGCGGATTTCAGCCCCTTTTTCCTCCAACCACAGTTACTTTTTCGCGTCGTCCGGCCCGTGCCCAGCAACGCGATGAGTCCCAGTGTGCTCCCAAGGGCAGGATTTGGGATTAATTATAGCAATACTAACAAGTTCCACTGATATTTATTGCCCACGGCCACTACTGCCCAAAGCCAGCCCTGCAAGTCCTCGTCTGGGCTGCTCATTTCGATTTGTCTTTTTCCTTCCGTGTTCCCCTAGTCCCGCGCAGCCGTCAAGCATCATCATCCCTCCTCCTGGACTTTGGCTCAAGTTCCCCTGGACCTTTTTTTTTTTGATCTGCTCCCTGGTCTGGCATGCAATATAAGACAAGCCGAGCCCCCCCCCTTTGCACACAAAATATTCTTTGACTCTTCTTTTGTAAACCATCGTCACCTTCCCTTACGACGTTGCTGCTGTTGGCCATCCTCCTGCTGCCATCCTGCCTGCATATTCTGTTACTCACTCGCACATCGAAGACTCACACACACACTTCACTCCCACCCCACGCCTATCACAGCATTCTGCACCACAGGCACCAGCCTTTATAAGAACCTGTCAATCATCCACTTTTGCCGGCTGCAGTTCACGCAGGTTCCCTGAGATTCGCGATCCACATCGGCTAGACACCTTTCCACACCAGCGCCGGCATTAAGGTCACAGCTCCCGCCCCCAGCACACTCGCGCCGTCGCAGACACTGTCGCAAAGTCTAAGATTGTCAAAGCAGCCCAAATCTTAACAGACTCAATATAAGTGCCGCCCCGGCCGATAATTTCGAGAATTTATTCCATAGACATTCTTTTGGGAACTTCAGCGACGCTCCTCCACAGCACAGAAAAAGAAGTTGTTGCCCCATACCAACGCAGGCGCAGCACTTGCAGCAACATACAGGTACTTTTTTAGAAGTTCCTCGGAATCACCGTTCCCCTATTTCAGGAGGCAGCTAGCCTTGCGCAACCGAAGCAACGAAGCAACGTGAGTCACCCTGCGAGTAAGCACATATGAATATTCCAGACCGTGGCAACCGCTGCAGCTTGCGAATCTCCCCGCCAGACAACATATAACCAGCGCTGACCAAGATGTTCCTCTCCACAGACTCCACACATCTTCAAGATGATCACCAGAGAAGTGCACTCATGCAACATGGGCCGCGGCGCCTACGATACAACAGGCCTGCCAAAACCTCCTCCACCGAAGCCTAGGTAACGATGGGCGATATCCTCGGTCTCCCATCGACTCCTCCGAGCGATACAAACAGCAAGACCTCACCGAGACAAAGTCCGCGACTCGTCGCAAACGCAGGATTCATCCCTTGCATCGACTTCAGCCCCGTCTCGACCGTCTCGATCCTGCTTTCAACATGCATCCTCTCGACTTCCATTCTCAAGATTACAAATTTGGCATAAACAAGATCTTTAATATCGCATCTGCCTCGAGTTTTTCGGCCTTCCTGTACAATATCATCATACCCACGACTTGCGACGATTCTCCTTCATTCCCATCGGCATTCCTGCTTTCATCAATCGCCCACTGTCTCGAATTCCGGCCGCATACCCCAAAAGTTCATCGTACGATACACCATCTCCTTGCTTCGTACCCGCGAGTCTCGATCTACAGTACAGAGCGCAGCGTCCACGCCCTCGCTACTTTCGCCTTCCCTCTCGGTCTGGAATATACACAAATGTTGGGCGAGGGGCGTTGCATCTAGAACGGGGATCTGTACTTTTCCTGAATTTCCTTGATTTCCATGTCTCATTTGTTTGAGGTGTCTGAATACTCTTGTATCACCACCTTGTTATTGTTTTCTGGCTACACAAAATGGGAATCTTGGGAGCGAAAAATTTGGGAGGCTTGGCAAAACTGTTTTCGATCGCGCATATAGACATGTTGGTTTACACCTTTTTACATCTTGTTTGATGGTTGGAGCTTGCTCGTGTGCCCTCGCGGGCACCGACTAGCACTGTATAGGATAGGAAATTTTGGCAGCTGGGCTCTTGTTTCTCAACTGCTGCGATATCGTCTCATGTTTTCAACACCATTTTTGCTGTATTATTTTATGTTGTCATTACTTCCTGTGTTTGTGGACCCGGCTTCTGGTATGGTTTGCAATGGCTGCCCCGATACTTCACGGGGCTGGATCCTGATCGATTTGTTGGGACAGGGATGGCTTGGACTTGGCTGTGGAGACGATCATATACCCATCATAGACTGTATGAAGATCTTCTGCAGAGAAGGACAGGAAGAAAGAAGACTGGAAGAAAGAATGCCTTTTGGGATTACAGCTCAGTCAGCGATAACAGCGTTCTGGGCATCGAAATTAGATAATAAGAAACTACTTAATCTTCGCTATCTCTGAGCCTCAAACTTGAAGTGTCCATTTCTCCAAGGCCAGACCTTGGGATCATCAAAAGCATCAAAACGAACTCGTTTCATCAGGCTGCCACTTTTAGAATTCCACAATGCCACAGCAGAAAGAAGCAGAAGGGCCAAGGCGACCGAGATGATCAAGATGACAACTCACATCTTGCATTTCGACAGATCCCAAGCACCGAGGACTCGCCCACACGCCACCTCATCCCGTCCCTCCGGATTCCCGCCCCAAAAAGCAAAGTACTGGCTGGTACTGGGTTATGGATAGCGCGACTATCAAACACGCATCTTATTGCAAAAACCCTGGCCGCTGGAAAAAACAACGAAACAGCGCGCCACGTATAAAACTTGATACCACCTTGAACGTTGAGAATGGCTGACATGTTTGTGGTACGAAGGGCATGGGGCCTCGTTTCATCCCGTCGTATTGGAAGGATGTGGATGCTATTCCAAGGAATTGGAGGCAGTGCTAGAATATGATAGAGTGGACTGGGGATCGACACGTGGATGCAAGCTGGTGCAGGAGGGCTCTTCTGGAATATGCACAGAAGACCCGTTGTCCAGACAGTCGGAATCCCGCGCACAGCCACTCATGCTTCGAACGTGAGGGACGGGTTGGATGCAGAGGGCCGCTTTGGGAAGGTGGATTTGGGGGGGCGTTTGGGGGGGGGGGGGGGGGGGGGGGGGGGGGGGGGGGGGGGGGGGGGGGGGGGGTGGGAATTGGCGTGGGGGGCGTTGTGAAGGCGGTATGGAGGAGGTTTTGCGACGTTGGTGTGGAAGGGGCGACGGAGTGGGTTGAGGCCAAGCGAGTTCTGATGATGCGGCAGCACGGCGCAGCACACCACAAGCAACACGACAGGATCGACAACAGCAAAAGCAACGCGTGCAGCACAAGACGGAGGAAAGAGAAGACTGCACCCAACTCAGCTGCAGTGCACAAGACCATCGGCAACTGCGATTCGGCTCGATTCATTCTCAGCGCCCGAAACAGACAGCGCAGCCATCACCGCCTCACGGCGACCCCACCAACCATTTCACCCCTCCTCCGCACGACCACGACCACGATACACCTTCTGCACCCCTCGCTCTATCAACTTATCGCCACGTTACTTCTCTAGAACACCAAAGCAAAGATGTCAATCATCCAGCAGGTGACGTCCGCCTCCCTCTCGGACAACTGGCGCACAATCAACATCGACGCCCTCGATCCGGACTCCTCCGCCAACTTCGACACCTCCACGCTCCACCCGACTCTTGCCCCAGTCTCAGAGTCAGAGATTCGGTCGATTGGGCAGCAAGTTAGGCAGCTGTTAAGAGGAGGCGATGCAGAGGGCGCGTTAAGAGGCGCGCTGGAGAGTGCACCATATGGTGGAGATGCTAATGTGAAGGAGATTCATTTGGGGACTGTGGTTGAGGTGTTGCAGGGGATTAGAGCGAGTGAAATTTCGGGTATGCTGGGCAGGATTTGGGGAAGTGAAGGGGGCAGTGAGGTGGTTGACTGCTTGATGAAATACTTGTGCGTTGCCCTCCTTTGTCCACCCTCTCTGGTCCGGTTCTACATTCAATGCTCTGGCTGGCCGAGTATTACGGCAGATGTTAAGGCAGAATCTAGGCGGAGGTTTCCACTACAGATCTGTTCCCGGAGGTTTCATAGTGTCTCAGGGTCAACGTGGAATTTCTAGAGTCGGAGGGAGATTTTGATTTCGCCAGTGCCAACATCGACGTTGAGGCATGATGCTCCAAGGCCTTCTGACTTGACAGATGATAACTATCAAAGTTGGGCAAGATGCTGACTTCTCTCTGCGCGCAGATACAAAGGCATGGCTGCCTCTGCTACATTTGGCAAGACTCCCTCTCGCGGCTCAACACTCACGCCTCAGAGCACCGGCGCTGGCTTCTCACAAATGGGCGGTAGACCAGGGGCTCAGAATGAAAGCAGTGGTGCCGCCATGAGTGTGTTACTTTCATGGCATGAGAAGGTTGTGGACGTTGCGGGTTTGGGATGCGTGAACCGCTCCATGACAGATTGGAGGAAAGTCTAGATGTGCGGGGAACATATCAGGGCATGGACAGTCGCCATGATGGAGATAGGAATTGCTGCATGGCGGAAATTGCGGCATGAGCGTCATTGGAAGCGTTCGCAGTGTGTCCAGAGCGGCCAACACTGTGCAACAAAAATGAGGGGTAAATGAGGGGTAAAATATGACAAAATATCATGCTGAATTGCTGTATAGCAAATAGCATATTCCAACGATACAAATGCACGGCATCTGGCGGCAATTGGTCCAAGTGAACAGCACGACAGCTGACTCCTTTCAATACCCGAAGTCTGCTACAAATACCTTCTGACAGCCACTTATTCTCCTCACAGCAAGTGCTGCTCCGATTTGCTGCTCCGATTTCGCTTCTCAATTACGAGCTTTATCACGGAATCAGAGAAATTAACCGCTACTGGACCGCATTTGTATCATTTGTACCTTTAGTTCGGTACACCTGCCGTGTTCAAAATCGTTAGTATTCTCTTGAATCCTTACCCGCGGGGCAACCAATTAAAAGCCTCATGACTCCCTTCCACTTTTCAATAATCTGTCCCCACAATTATGTACCTCGAGACTTCCTCTCATTGAAAACTTCGATGCCTTGCAGATCACTTCTTCAAAACTCCGTTGTCGGTCTGTTCTTAGCCAATTCAGTCTGGACTCGAGTCACGATCACTGCCCCGCTTTTCAATCCTCTCTCTATTTGAACGACCAAGCCCCCTCGTGCAAATATTGCTCAGTGTAGTACATTGCCATTGAAAACTGTACATTGGAAAGACCAATTGTCTTCCCGTTTGCCCACACAATTATACCTGCTATACTCATCATTTGTTCCGATTAACATAGCATTCAGTCATCCTTTCAATGAAAACACACTTAACCACTCCTCTCGAGATCTTACGCCATTGTTCAAATTTACCACCGGACGATAGTCATCTTTCATTATGGCGGCCACGACTCTCGGTCGTATCTCTTCTCTTAGACCTCGGTCACCACATAATCCCCGGATTTACTACCTGACCTTCCTCTCCTGTCTTGGATCTTGGATGTTCGGCTACAACAACGGCGTTATAGCTGGTGTCTTGGTCCTCCCATCTTTCTACCGAGATTTCAACCTTCCCACTGTTGGCACCAAAGAATATAACAATGTCACGGGTAATATCGTCTCACTGCTACAGATTGGCGGATTGGTCGGGAGCCTAGGGACTTTCGGTGTCATGAAATACTGGGGAAGGAGAGGGGCGATGATTGCGTCCGGAGCTGTGTACCTAGTTGGCGCGGTGATGCAGGTTTGTACTCTCTTATTGTCTTGAATCGAAGGCGGTGGACTGGCGTCTGTGTGTGCTGATGACGATAGACGTTCTGTCATGGTGGGCTGCCCTTGATGTTTGCAGGCCGATTCTTCAGTGGTATCGGAACCGGGGGTGCCACTGTTGTCGTCCCATTGGTGATTCTCCTTCTCAGCACCCCTCTTCCCTCAATCAACTCATCCATTTCCAGTACATAGCCGAGCTCGCGCCCCCATCAATCCGCGGCTCCCTCGTCGGCATCTACGAAATCAACAACCAGCTCTCCTCCCTCATGGGCTACTGGTGCAACTACATCGTAAACGAATACATCCCCTCCACCTCCTCCCGACAATGGCAGATCCCCCTTGCCGTGCAGATCGTGCCATCTGCCCTGCTAATCCTAGCCGCTATCTTCATCCTCCCCGAGTCACCCCGCCTCCTCGTCAAAAGAGGCAACAAACTCCAAGCTCGCAAGAACCTAGCTTGGGTTAGAAAACTTGATCCGGATCATGAACTCGTGAATCGCGAGATGGAGGAGATTGGGGATGCGATTCGCATGCAAGATACGCCGCCACCGAGGGTGCTGCATAGACATAGTGGCGGAAAGTTGGGCTTGTTTAAGGAGCTTTGTTGGAAGGGGAATAGGGAAAGGGTTCTGATTGCGCTGGGGCTTATGTTTGGACAGAATTTGACCGGGATTCAGGGGGGTATGGTTACTTCTGCCCTGCTTCTTTGCTTGTTTTGACCCCCTAACAGTTAATTTTTATACGCCGACTGTGTTTAAGAGTATTGGGTTTGATGGGACGAGGGTTGTGTTGTTGGCTTCTGGTATGTCCCTCCCCCTGTAGGCGTTTGCAATTTTCGGGGGGAAGGGCTGAAGTGTGGGTGTGGGCTGTGTGTGCTGATTGAATGGAATAGGCATGTACGCAGCGGTCAAGACAATTGCCACTATCCTCTCCCTCTCTTTCTTTATCGATCGTTTAGGCCGCCGCAAGCTACTGCTTACCAGCTCTGTCGGTACGAGTTTGGCTCTGTGGTACATCGGTGCTTTCGTCACCGCCAAACATATCGACCTCTCGAAGCCCCAGGAGAAGAGTGTCGCTGGTTGGATTGCTATTGTCTGCGTTTACATCTATGCCGTACGTTCTATCCACCATCCCAAAATGGGGGAAGGAGGGTGTCCATCTTACTGATAGTATACAGGCATTCTTCTCCTTCGCCTGGAACGGCGTAGTCTGGGTCTACTGTGCCGAAATATTCCCCATCCGCATCAAAGAGCTCGCAGCCTGCATCTGCACCGCAACGCAATGGCTCTCCCAATTCGCCATCGCTCGGGCTTCCCCAACCATGCTCACGGAGTGGAAAGGCGGCTTTTTCTTCTTCTTCGCGAGCTGTTTGGTGGTAATGGGGAGCTTAGTTTTCTGGTTGGTACCCGAGACGAAGGGAAAGACGCTCGAGAGAATGGATGATGTGTTTGGGAGTGCGTATGGGGATGTTGTGGAGGTGGAGTTGGGGAACTACAGGAGGGAGGGGAGGGAGAAGGGGATTTTTGAGAGGGGCAAGGTGAAGCCTGTCGATGAGGAGGGGGGTGTTACAGAAGTGGTTGAGAATTGAATTCTTTCGAGGTAATGGGACTTAATAATTGTCAAAAGGGGGATTTCGAGTCGGGTAATGTTTGGAGGTTCTGGGGAGCATAATAATGAGGAGGGGAAAGAGCCTCGGATCTAAAAGGAGTTCTTGGATTTTGGAGAAATTGGGATACAAATTGACACAAACACTCTACAAGCACTTCTCAAAAAAACATGAAAATCCGTCAAAACTCTTTTCTCCAATACCGCCAAGCTCTTTCAAACACCAATCAAATGCAAATCTAGCCAAGATGCAAGCCATCCAAAGAGGAAGGCTATTTGTACCACGCCGATCATCGGCAGCACCCGCATCTGCCCCACCACCCCGCCCCAAGTCTCCATCGATAACCACGCACATCACCAAGAATTCCAACGATCCAGCTCATGTCGATCTTACCTCACACAGACGAGGTCCAAACCCTCGGGTTCCCATCACCTCAACCATGAAGTTGCTCTCCTCCATCCATGAAGCATTAACCTGCGAACCGTTTCCAATACTAATCTTCCCCACCTTACTCGTGAGTCCGCCAACTCCACTTCTTCCACGACATGGCCATGCAATGAATCCCTAATCATGAGCTGACATTCGAAGATTGTGTATTATGTATACCAAACTGCATTCCACCCTCTTGGCTTTATCCCTGGCCCCTTTAGCTCGAAACTCAGTTCCTTGCCACTGGTCTACCAATGCCGAATGACTAGGAAGTCAAAATGGGTTCTTGCTCAACACGTCAAGTTCGGCCCTATTGTTCGAATCGCACCAAATTACGTCTCGATCACTGATCCAGCTGCCCTTGCTCAAGTATACGGAGGGAAGAATGGGTTCCCTAAAGGGCCGTTCTATGAAGATAAGCTATTTTCACTTCTTTTTGGGTAAAGAGAGGGACAGAATAATGTGACTGATATCTCTATACCATTCCACCAAGTCGAACCAGTCCTGTTCAATACCATGGATGCAGATGTCCATAACCGGAAATGGAAGCTGATGAACGCCGCGTTCTCGCCGCGGAACCTGATGGATTTTGAGGGCTACATGGATCCGCACATCGCTTTGCTCGTGAAGAGGTTCCAAAATTATGCTCTTAAGTCTGAAGCTTTTGATTTCCAGCCGTGGGGTAAGACTTCACCTCTTTAGTTCAAGATGGAGAATGGTTGACAGCGATAGCGAATTTCTTAGCCTTCGATCTCATGGGCGAGTGGTCATTTGGTGCTGCATTCGGTTTCGTGGCTGCGGGAAAGGACATCCATAACCTGATCACCACCCTAGAGGTCCGCACCGACGTCTTAAACGCTATGGGCCATCTCCCTATCCCCAGTCGTCCGTACATGAAATATTTCCCTGACCCTTTCTTCTACAACGGTCTCCGAGTTCTCACGAACCTTGGTCAAGTGGGAACATTCGCTTTTAAGAAGAGATTGGAGAAGAAGGAGAAGGGCGAAGATGAGGGAAGGAAAGACGTCATGGGGTTCCTGCTTGATGCTAAAGATCCTGATACCGGTGGGCCGCTGAGACAGCAGGAGATCGTTGCGGAAGCGATTAGTCTGATTGGGGGCGGGAGTCATACTACCAGTGTGACGATGACGCATGTTATGGATTTCGTGAGTAGAGACAAAGTCTTGCAGGATGAGATGTGGAAGGAGTTGCGAGATGCATTTCCTGGGGAGAGAGGCGAGGACTGGGTTGCGAGCGAGGGGGTGGTGGGTCGATTGCCACTGTTGAATGCGGTCTTGAAAGAGGTGATGAGGATCCGCCCGACGAGTTCCACTGGCTTGGAGAGAGTGGTCCCTGAGGGTGGGAGAATGGTTGCGGGTATATCCTTGCCGGCTGGAACTTTGGTCAGTGTGCCGATTGTGGCAATTCATCATGATAGCACTATATATGAGGCAAGCGCTCCTCCCAGTTCTGGTCCATACTGATTCCAAGAGCAGCGGCCGGAAACCTTCGACCCTCATCGCTGGCTAAGGCCGGAGGCAAAAGCACTCACTGATCACTACATTCCGTTCTCGCTTGGGTCGAGGGGTTGCGTTGGAAAAGGGTCAGTTTCACTTCCCTTCATAGAAGGGAGTTAAAGTTAATTGTGGGTAGATTTGCGACAATGGAGATGCTTAAAACTCTTGCCACCCTTTTCCGGCGATTCAAGTTCGAGCGCGTCATTCCACAGGAGTCGGAGAAGAGGGAAGGGTTCGTCGTTAAGATCACAGAATGCGAGGTAAAGATATCGATGAGAGAAGAATAAGCTTCGCAATTACTAGTCTTGCTGGGAATAGGAGTGAAGCTGAGTGGGCAGATCAGCCTTGTGTGGGGCGAACAGAGGATAGCAAGGACGAAAGAGCCTTTTTGATGAAGGAATAGCGCGCGGGCGCACGAGAATTTGACGGGCTTCATGATATATTACGAGAAAATATTGGACATAGCGGAAGGCGTTCAACAGCAGCTAGTCGAGCATCGTTGATAATTATCAACCATAATATGCGCTCAAGGAAACTCCTTTTGAAAATGCAGCCATGTAAGACATTATACAACTCAAACTCAAACATTATGACCGGAAGAATTACTTTCCCCGCTCGCTATGTTACGGGACGAGAACGTTCCCAAATGCATCCGAAATGTCCCGGAAGGTAGGAGCCTCAGTGGTTTCTGGCGCCGTAGATACACCAATCGCAAGTCGCTCCTCCATGAGCTTGATCAGGATCGGAGAGACACTCTCATCCGTGGCTCGGATCGTAAGGCGAACCTTCTGGAGATAAACGTCAGTATTGGAAGAAGAGCTAATGTGAGTAGGAGCATACCTGAGTCCCATAATTGGGCTCCAGTCTCAACAAACACCCGAATTTTCCGCCGTCACCAGTGTGCAACACACTCGCACCAACAAAGTTCTTCTTGTTCGGATCAACGCCATCCAGAACTCCCCATCGGAAACCCTCGACCGTCTCTCGAATGAACGAGTCATTGAATTCACGACCGCCATCCTTTCCACCTTTGACCCCAAATATACGTTGAGCCTCTCGTGGAGCACCACCAATCTGCTTCCACCGCTTGAAGAAATCATCAGCAGTAAGTTCAGCCGGGTCCATAAACTTGTGTATCACCACTGGCAGCTTGAGAGTAAGCGCCTGCAGTGCTCCAGCCAAATAGCTGATTCTGATTGTTGGGCTCTTGTCGAAGACCTTCTTGGCCTCGAACATAATCATTTGCTGACTCTGAGCTCCTTCGTGGATGGTGCTTTCTGGTAAGCCTTTAACCTCCCAACTCAGATTCTCCTTCTCAGCTGGCTCCAGATCCAAGGTTGTGGTGAAAGAGGTAACTGCAGTAGGAGCCTTGTTAGAGAAGTAGAGAATGACGCATGCCATTTGACTTCGGTATTCAGACCTCACTCCAATTTGAATTTGGCCATCTTCGTAAAGAACGCCCTCCCCTTTCAATAGCAGCTTGTTGTAACCAATCTCCCAGTCTGGTGATAGATGAGCAGCACTGGCCAAATTGGGAACTTTGAGGGTCTTTGGTTCTGAAGGGCCTGCATCATTCATGTTCAGGCCAGCGAGGTCATTTGTAACCCCCGAATAGCCATTCATTCCGTTCGTTCCATTTGCGGCTCCATTGGATTGTGGCATACGGCCATTCGCGCTGCTGAAGGCCCGCTTGAGACCAGGATTCTTTGAAAGGGTGAAGTCCCTTTCGTTGGCATTCGCATCTTTTCCTCCCACAACCCAAGTTCGCTTGTCGCTTGTATTTGCATGCTTCTGATGAAGCCGCGATAGAAGGGCAGATTGCCGTTCGGGGAAAGGTGGCATTTCGTCGCAGACAGTTCGAAGGAGATCATCAGTCGGTAGACGGGCTAATGCAAGATATTCGCATGCTCGTTGTTGAAGCTCTGAGTCCAGAGTATAGCTGTATGTTTCGAAAACATACATGATTCGAGGCTTGATTTCGGGAAAGAGATTGACGAATTTAATGAAACATGAGAGGATAATCGCTCTCGTGCCTGACGAACAGCCTTGAAGCTTCCCATAGAGGGCAAGAAACTGCTCGATTGGGCTGCCGCCCTTGTCATCCGCGATCAGATGGCCGAATTCGCCAAGAATGTAACCTCCAATTTTAACGAGTGTTTCATGACAGTGGTCCGCTTTGACATACTGCAAGATGTTTTGTGCAGCATATACTTGGAGTTCTTCATTGTTGGTGACGATCTGGATGACTCGCTGCCATACTTCGTCACTGACATGATCTCCTGCCATTGCAATCAATCGCAGCGATATATCCACGTACCACTGAATGTCTGTGGCATATTTCTCCGTCAGAATAGCAATTTTGAGCACCATCTCTTCCCGAATAGCAAAATCGGCATTCTGCAGATATTGAAGAAGCTCTCCAACAATTGGCTGAGCATTCGTCTGATCACACATGCTGTACAGTAAGTCGAGGCCCTTCCGTCGAACGCTGATATCTCTGTCTTTCAAGGATCCAATGATGATTGCTTGATGCTGCTTAATGGGATCCAGGGTCTCGGCTCTTGCGGCCAAGTGTGTCATGGCTTCCAATCCAAGATATCGGACATTGGTCTCCCTTGACTGGATGAATTTTCCCAATCTCGTGGATATCTGCTTCATTAGAGCTTGTTCGGTGTCAAGGTGGATTATCAGGTTAATGGCCTCAAAAAGAACGGCATTTTGGGCATTGTTCTGTTGCACGTTCTTTGGCATTTCCAAGGCCAGATTCAAGATTTTTTGTAGTGATTCTCGAATCAGGTCCCGAACATGTGTGTCCTCTGGAGTAGAATTAGTCAATATTGGATTATTTGATGCCAAACGTCATACCTGAAGGTGGATAATACTGCAATAATCTCAGCAGTTTGACTTGAATCCAGGGACAAGGCACCTTGTAATAGAGGTAATCTGCAGCATATTCACCATCTACCAATATTCGCTTCATTCTCGCGGCAGCCTTGACATAGCTTCCCTTGTACTGTTCCGGCTGGTCTTGAGCAAGGGCCATAACGAGGGAGGTAACGGACAGCGCCACGCCCATATCAGCATCGTCCATTAGAGAAATGATCCGTTCAGCCCATTGGGGCTGGACGATATCTGGGTGCTTGCGGTAAAGTCGGAGAAGAGTCAGAGCAGCCTTCTTCTTGACGAATGCTTTGGAAGTCCTACTGAGAATTAGTAATTGTCAAATAGAGCTTTCTGCTGATACACACGGAGATATCAGAAGTCTGTGAACCTCGCCACTGAGTGCCTCTCCCATTTCTCTACCACCAACATTTGCAATAGCATGCAATGCCAAGCAATTGAATAGTTCATTATGGTCCATCAGATCCTTTCGTATGCTATTTACCACCAGATGCAGTAATTCGTGCTGTTCGTGAAGGAAGAGGGTCATTGCAAGGTAGCCGATTTGCTTCTCCGAGTATTTGTTCGCAGAAATAAGATTGACCGCTTCGAGATGTCCAAAGTCGACATTCCAACCGAGGATGTATATATAGAGAAGCTGATGATCGTCAGGGCGATGCCTCTCGGTTACTTCAAGGGTAACTGACCTTGCACACGTATTTCTTCTTGTGATAACCACTGAGGTTTCCGTCTGCATTTCCCAATCAGTAAGACAAAGCTAGCAAAGGAACATGTTCGCATACCTTTGAATTTTTGCCTGTGGTAGAAATGATCTGTTAGCCACAACGTTATTCCTCTCGGGTTTCAGGAGTGTACAGACCTAATGTTCGCTAACTCCTTATTTATCCTCTTCTCCTCCAATTCTCTTGCTCGTGCATTCCGCAGATCTGCGATAAACTGCACCAGACCACGCATATTGGAGCCATTCCCTGAATTCCCACGGCTCAGGAAGCCCGCTGCAGCCGAAGAAGCCATAGTGCGCGGTTGGTCGCGTCCCTCTTTCCACTTCTTGCTTCAACAATGCTATCAGTAATAGAGCCAACCCAGATGCAGACAATGCCACCAAGATCCAGCCTGCAGGATGCCAGATGTGCTTCCCACGATAGTGCTTGGTCATGCGTCGAGCCGCGTGATAGCGTCAGACAGCGCAGATGCTCAGGGACACAGGTAGATCGCACAGCCTTCTAAGAATCAGCCCTGCTCGTGGAACTCCATCCGATGAATGATTGTGGCGCGAAAGCCAGCTGTCGTCAGGTCTGCTGTGGGATTTTGTCGGTGTTGGAGCTTGATGATTGAAGATCGGAGTTGCGGTGTTGCTCCCCTCCGTTCACTAGCGGCTTTTCAAGCTTTTGCAGGGGCCAGCCGCCTTCAGCCGTTCCAGAGTTATCCTGGACGTCATCTTCTTCCTTGTCTTGTTATCTAAACAGAACATTGTTTATGTAATTCTCAGACATGAAGCCTGCGACATTACGGCCTTTCTTGCCACGACCAGCAATTCGACGGAGAATATTGATACGTCGAAACTATGCAGTCCAAGCTCCGGGGAATCCAACTTTACAGGTCTTTGATAGGCATGCAAAGTATTTGCAGAAAGAAAGAGCAGCTGCCAGCGTAGAAAGAAGTAGGCAGGTCGATTATTTGAAGGACGAAGTAGCTATTAGATTAACAGAGAGGTTGTTGGTAAGATTTTCACCTCAATTTAGGTTTAGAGACTGAAGTTGGCAGGACATAAATCGGACTTTCAACCATGTTCTCGACCTCGGGGCAAACTCCTGCAATATAGCACGAGCTATTACTCTCCCAGACCCCGATCCTGATCCTTCGAAGACTACCTCCCCTCCACTATCCTCCCGCATCGCCCATCTCACAGCTGCGGATTCTTCCCGGGCGATGCTGTACCGTGATGCGGACCTTCCCTTCAATCAGGAGATCAACCTCACACGCGAAGTGCTCGACGATGAGGAACGGCTCCCTTTTGAAGGAAACACATTCGATGCTGTGTTGAGCTCATTAAGCATGCATTGGATCAACGACCTCCCCTCTGTGCTAGCGCAAATAAACCACGTCTTGAAACCCGATGCCCCTTTTATGGCAGCTATGTTTGGAGGGGATACCCTTTTCGAGCTGCGGACATCTCTGCAATTGGCAGATCAAGAACGGAGAGGTGGTGTTTCGCCCCATGTTTCTCCATTGGCGGATGTGAGGGATATGGGAGGACTGTTACAGAAAGCCGGGTTCAAGATGTTGACTGTAGATGTGGATGACATTATTGTTGATTTCCCGGATACCTTTGCTCTGATGCAAGATTTACAGGCGATGGGAGAGAGTAATGCCATCCTCGGGAGGGAAGCGGGACCTATCAAGAAGGACGTTCTGCTCGCGAATGAGGGCATATACCGAGAGCTGCATGGAAATGAGGATGGGACAATACCTGCTACATTCAGGATGATTTATATGATCGGTTGGAAAGAGGGGCCAAATCAGTCTCAACCGTTGCCAAGGGGAAGCGGCCAAATTAATATCAAGGATATACTTGGTGGCGGAGAAGTTAAATAAAAAAAACTGTAAGATTATAAACCGATTTCCTGCACCGAGGTATGAAACATCCCGTTCATGTCATTATAATTGGACCACCCTAAGCCTTTACAATCAAATTGCCAATGCTCTCGTACTTTTTGAAGTATTTGAGACTTTGAAATCACCAGAAACTGGTTTCCTGAGGTGATATATGTCTCTCCTAATTTGGCCTTTCCGATTGTCCCACCCAGACTCTATACATTGAAATGGCCACGGGAATAGAACACCAACCCCAGAATTGGGTTCAATTCAAGAATGAGGATCACCATGTGGGCATAAAGATGAACAGAGCCTGCCACGACGGCTGAATCTTAAGGGAATAGAGCCCACACGGCTTCACTCGTCCACAAGACCACTTTCAACGTCGTGAACCCGCCTTCTCCGCACAAACAGACGTCTCAGAGGTTCTGGCAGCGAGGCCCCCAATCCCATGGAGGTAGCTTCCTGCCTATCCGACCCAGAAGCAGCGCCAATTTCTCTGTCAGTCGATCGAGTTTCCTCCGCATAAGCTGCTTCCTGGTCTCGATCTCGTTTTCGGAACAGTTGTTCAACTGGTCCGAATACTCGACTCGCTCGGAATCGGGAGTGGTCAGAATCCTCCTCAATTACCTCTACAATTTCATCGCTATCCGAATTCTCCTCTTGGTCCTGGGCCCGCCTTCGGAATCGGGGGTGGTCAGAATCCTCCTCAGACACCTCTACGATGTCATCGCTGTCTGAACTCTCCTCTTCGTCCTGGCCCCGCCTTCGAAACAGCCGTTCAACGGGTCGGAATACTCGACTGACTCGGGATCGAGGAAGGTCTGACTCTTCCTCAATAACCTCAACAATTTCATCGCTGTCTGAGCGCCTCCTCCGAAATAACCTAGAGCCAAAGCTACCGCGCCTTCTATGCTCTTCTGCTACAACTTGTCGCCGCCTTGAAGGCTCGAGCATCCAACTCGGAATTGATGAATCGTCGTCAGAATCAACCTCTTTGCGCTGGAATAATGAAATAAATTTCCGCAGTGAGAATTTGGAGAGTAAATGATGCAAGGGATAGTCCATCTCAATGCCCTCGTCAAAGAGGTAGTCACTGTCGTCATCGCGGGTGTTGAGATAGACCTGCCGCCGCCAAAGCTTTCGAACTATCGGGATCCTGGTATGAAATTTCCATCTCCCAAAGATCGGGGCATACGTGGCCCACGAGGAATCTTCGGAGGTGACTTCGACGATATCGTCGTCATTATCATCGGCTTTTGTGCTGTCATCGTCCTCGTCCTCGTCCTTGTCCTTGACGCTCTCTTCATCCAGTTCATCCTCAATCTCATTGTCCTCAGAGTCGTCGGTAGGTTGCTTGTCTCTGAGGACGAAGGACTTGAAAGTTTCCTTAGTGAAAGACGTGATTTGATTGACGTAAAGAGCAATGACTACGAGTGGGACGAAAACCAATGTCGAAATTCCGACTGTTGAATTGAATTAGAGCCGTATCTGAAGTAATTAGGGCACAGTACTTACACAGCAAAAGGGAAAGCGTGTGCAAGGGCCAGGACGTGTTCCCAGACTGGGCATCCTTAGGGAACTTATTGACTGAGAGTGCAAAGAAACTAGACATGAATGATAATGGAAGCTTGTTGGATTGTTAGCTGGCAGCCTAAAGGTGGGTTATATCCACTTACAAAGACGATAGTAACAAGCGTGAAAACGAGCATGATCTAGAAGCATCTGTATTAGCCACAATAAAAGCCCAATGAGCATTCAGTTCTCGGCGCTTACATTGCCTTGCCGCTGGCTTTGTTGCGATCCCTCTCTTGCAAATCGAGCTTCCCACGCATTTGCTTGGCGCTGTTTGAGATCCAGGAGGTTGTTGATCTAGGTAGTGTTAGTACAATGAGGTATGTGTTCAAGTTGCTTCGAATACCGAAGTATGCACTGTTGCTGCATATTGTTGCATATCCTCTATAATCCGGATATTGCCCACCACAATGGCAAGATTGTCATCCACAAGATTGCGATTTTTGAGGATTGGGGTCTCCTTCTCGGTATCTTTGGAGTCTTCGTCGGGGACCCCGAAGCGAACTTTTTTCTCTTTTTTCTTCTCTTGTGGATGTGCCTCTTCTTTCTCGTCGTCATGATGCAATATACCCTTATGTTTCGGCTTGTCTGCCGAGTCTGGTCGCTCATCCGATTTGGTTAGGATCAAGTCAATTCCGCGAACTCCCTTTTGCTTCGACTTCTCTAGCGATGACGAATCCTCTTCGGTGACTTTGTCCGGTGAACACAATTTATGTAGTCTCTTAAGCACATCTCTTTGCTGCCCAAGAATCGACGAGATGATATTCAATTCGTCCTGAATATCTTTTATCTCGACCAACAAGTGGGTCTCGATGTTCAGCTGAAATAGTTTCTCAATGTTTTTGGTCCTCTGAGCCTCAGTAAGAGTTTTTATATTGAGCTTTTTCGTAAGGGCTTTGAAGCGTTTGAATTGTTCTGCCTCACGCTCGGCCTAGCAAGTTGTCAGCGGATCATTGTTTACTTAATGTTCGTCAAGGTTCACGTAAGAGCTGCTGCCATTACTCTGCCGACAATGCGGATTCAGATAATGTCAATATGGAAGGGTTCAGGCACATCTGTCGAGGCTCTACTATTGAGAATGTGCCTCGAAATGTTGTACAGTCAAGTTATCAGCCTTGGGCTAGAGATGTCGCAATGTACGGGCTTTTGCGGGACATTCTGGCGATATAGGAGGTGTACGCAAAGTTTACGGGGTGCTCTTACTATATTGTTGATGGATGACTGAAATGCTTCTTGAAGCTTGATGTCACCGGGCGCATCCCTTCGAAGAAAGTCGACAGAGAGCTTGATGACCAGATGGACGAGGTGGTCGACTGATCTAATGGGATCCCGCTGCTTATTTGTCTTGATCTCTTCGTCGAGCTTCTTTTTGAGCCCATGGGGTTCCTGGTGGTCCCAGGCACTGGGAAAGCTTGTGATCACAGTGCCTAGTAGCATTGTCAGCCACAGCTCTTATCAGACTCGGACTTTAGATTGGGAGAGTGGGGACTGGGCCGTAGTGAACGGGTGCTTCTGAGGAACGACGCAACGTTCATGATACCGTGAATCATTCGTACTTTGAAGAGGGAATATCAATACTCATTTCAGGCTCGACTCACCATCATGCAATACCCACTAGGTAACGGGAGAGTTAGCAATTGCTTCATTGGGATTGTTTCAGGAGAGGACAATGTTTTAGGAAAATCTCATGAAGCAGTCCAAATAGGAAAGGGTTTCTCCCCCAACACCTACAAGCCAAAGCTGATCCACCATAAGTACGGGAACATCATCAACCTTGCCAGTCTTCTCTAGCTTCTTGCGTCCCCACCGATAGAGAACCTGGTCTCTGTCTCTAGACTCTGTTGTGTCTAACATGTGATAGGAAAACTGGTCCAGTGTTCGACGGCAATGCAGAGCCTTAGTTTCTGTGTCACCAAGATATGCTGTGATCAGGAGTAAATCATTGTTCTCTTCTTCGATTTCCTTCCTGCGTAGGACCCTCCGGATAGCCTTCGACATTTTCTTACGTAGTACACTCGGCTCATATGCTAGAATAGGCATCTATTATTGTATCAGTTATAACCAGGACTCCCATGGATTTGACAATCCTCGTATTTGTACACTTACAAAAAGGACGATTGCATCTCTATCCATCGTCACAGTGTTCGTAACCAATGTGTCCGTTGACATTGACATAATCGAGCTTCCGGAGATGTCGGTGTTATTGGATGCCAGAGAAGCTTTGCGATCATCCTGCCCAGTCTCCCAATAATGCGGTTCACAAACCTAAACATCACATTAGACTTTGCTATCAAAGCTAAATGAGTCGCTTACTTGTTTGTATTTGGTTGCCTGTGCTATCATATGGAGAGTATGTCGGCTTGAGCCTTGGGATCGATTTGTCAGAATAAAGACAGTTCATTTGGAATCGAGTGGACAATAGATATTATATACCTTCATGTTGACCGGCAATCGAACTGTCCTTGATTCTCAGTGCGAGGAAAAGGTCCTGCGGTTGGTCAGTTACAGAGAGGAGGAGAAACGTAGTACGAGCCGACTCACATGTACCCATTGCTCCTGGAACAGTCGAACATTAGCAGGACGTCTACTACTGGACCGGACTCGTGGTGTCAGACTTACGTTATTTGCAGGAACGTGCAACCAACGGCAATGAAGGGCCTCCTCTGTGAGTCTCGGCCTGGAGCGCTCGAGAATTGTTCGAGGCTCTAGATTATAGATCATGTCTACCACGTACGACCTTTCAGAGTTGCGCTTTTCTTGGGTTTTCTGCGCTTTGGTGATTGTATAGAACTCCACAAGATCTCCTCGAATTTTCTCGCAGGCTTTGAGTTGTACTGTTCCTGGCTTGGTCAATAGCTCCAAGGAATGCACTCCATCCGATGTTGATGGACCCGAGAACATATCCCGGTTGTCTTTCAGTTCTTCGATCCATTTCAGCTCATTTGAATAGCCCCATGGAGTTTTCATCTCATTGTCCACTTGAAAGATATCTTCAGAGCTTTCCATCAATCGCTCAATGACATCTTTGAATGGTTTTTGAACCTCTTTCTCGGTAGGATTCAACTCCGCCGCTGTCCGTATAGCTGCGTGGAGTGCTGTTTGGCCCGCAGTGTCTTGGTGTAGAACATCAGCTTCCCCTTTCCTAATGAGTACTGTGACGGCTGCATGATTTGAAGATGAAGCAGCACGGTGAAGTGCAGACCGCCCTTGCTCGTCTTCGACATCTACTGTCACATCTGGCAAGGAAACGAGTTCCCTCAGAAGGTCTTCCAGCTCTTTTCTTTCAGATGCTTTGAACAACAAGCAGCGGCGCAATTGTTCCACAAGTCTGAGGTAGATTGGGTCCTTCGGACTGGAGAACCTGGATAGCCCTCTCCTGTTTGAATCTGAGGCCATAGCCATACAGAATATAGAATGCTCTGCGAGACATCGCAATGGTCGCTTTGGTTGTATCTATACTTTGTCAGCTTGGTCTTCTTTTGAATTGAGGCACCGATGTTTACCTTGGACGCCGAAGATGGGTCTTTCGCAAGAAACGTATGCAACCAAATCATCGGAAGCTTTTGACCATCAATCACCCTCTTCTGGTCAAACTTCTCCCAAAGAGCTCCAATATCAACCTTGCTCCCACTTTCTTTGAGCCTCCGCATGATGTGTTCCTGTCGGGCATTGGAGCTAGAAGGGAAAGAAAGCGTTCCAGTTTGGTTTTCTTGTTGGGTTGCCGGAAATGGTGTGTCTAAGAGGACAAGTCCTGCAATCATGCTCAGAAGTTGAGCTGAATCCTTGTTCCTCTCATCAGGTGCGTCGACTGCTAAAACAAGAAGCTTTTGAAGCACAAGACCGCCAAATCCATATCCAACGAAGATTATGGGCACCCTATTGTGAGGCAGCTTCGCTCTCGCTTGTATTAAACTTTCCAAGAGCTTCTGAGCCGCCTTGTCGAGGTACTCATCTGCTGTCGTAGCAGACATTTTAGGATATGTATAGGACAGAATACGTGCCCCTGGGAAAGCTCCAGGGATCATGGTAGGCTCTCGAAACAGATGGACAAGTCTCCTTCGCTCCGATCCGTCAACTTCAGTAGATTGGCGACCAGAACGTTGATCTCTTTCGGAGGCTCGACCCTCATCCATTTCTTTGCTTTCTCTGCGGTCGTCAACCGCCGTATCTATCCGTTCAGGCTTTGGCGGAATTGCTTCGGGTGCTTGAGGAACTAGTGGGAGAAGTCCGCCAGTCGGTAAAGTGTTGGAAGAGGCCGTTTTGCCCTTTCTCTTCTTGCTACTTTTTGACCTCTTTGGTTCAGATGGTGCGTTTTCTTTCGTTTCTTGTGCGGACGAAATTGCCTTGGTCTCGAGTTCATTTGTAGAGGGTCCGGCCCCGCTGGTCTCCCCTGTCCGAAGCTCATCCTGTTGAGGTGGTCCGTTTGATGGTCCCGCTTGTGAAGGCAATGCTCCGGGTCTAGCAGGGTCATTTCCATCAGTGGCGGCTGGAATGTCCCATTCCTTGACCTTTTGTTTTCTACCTTCCTGTGTTATTTTCCCATCTTTGAAACTTAGTGTGGCATCATCCTTTGTTGAGCCTCTCCTTTTCTTGGAGGCATCAGGCATTGTTTGCTGTGTTTGAGGCTGCTGCCGAATGCGCTCCTCGATGGATTGTCTACTTCGCTTGGACTCTGTATCATTGTAAAATGCATTTTTGCGGCTCTTTTGGGTTGGAGCTTCGGGAACGTAAATCCAAGCTGTGTCTGGGCTTTCGTCTAGGTCATGAATAGTGACTATGTCGACGGCCAGGCCTTTCGACAAAGTTGTTGGTATGATATCAAGCTTGCAGCTCTCCCAAGGCTCCTAGAGTCAGTTAGAACTAGTCAATTATCGATACTGTTTTGATTGTACTTACGCTCGCGGGTGCTTTTTCCGTCTCCTTCAACTCAGTTCCACCAAGAGCCTTCTGACTCACTTCTGGCTCTTTCAGATCATCATTCCTCTGATTTTTCTTCGGGTCATCTTTATTCTGCTCCTTTTGAATGTCTTTCTTCTGGTCATCTGTTTTAGGATCCCGCTTCTGATCATCCTTCTTCAGGACAGTCTTGTTCAGATCGTTTGTCTTCTTTCCAGAAGCATCCCCAAAAGGCCATTGTCGTATTCCTGCTGGTAACCTCTCAATGAGTTTTTTCTTTGGTGCAGGTGTCACGAGAGGGGTTATATTTTCAGCTGAATTTCCTCCAATGGGGGCATGGACAGGACTTGGCACCCGAGGCTCAACGGGGCTAGATAAATTTTCCGTTTCCTCTGTTCGACTCTCCGGACCAACTGGAAGGACGAATTTTTCGGCATCTTTTCCCTTTGAGGCGGGCGGTAACTCATCTGGCGGAATTTCATCGCCAAGATTCAATCTTGCCTCCCTAATCTCTGATATCTCCAGAGTCTGATGTAGTTCTTTGGAGGTAGGCTGAGTACTTCGATCTTGCTGCCCAGGAGTCGTGCCTTCCTGGGTGTCAATTGGTACAATTTGATCATCAGAGGATTGAGCTTCCCATTTGTTTTCTGGTGCTTCCAAAGTCACATGTGAGTCGGCTAGAAGAGGCTGAACAACCTCTGCTTTTGGCCCAGGAGGAAATTGGGCAGTATGAACATTTTGAGGTTGAGACACCTCGCTGGATGATGTGGCGAAGTCAACAACCTGAGTAGCCGACCCTATGTCTCTGTTGACTGGTTGGTCATTATCGTCCATCGCTCTGTCCACCATAGGCCTATGACTCTTTCCCCTCCTTGGGCAAGTTGTCTGAAAAGCGCCTAGGAAGGAGTGCTTGACGAGGAGGTAGTGGGACCAAAATGTCCGTAAAGTGAGACCAGTTTCACCACGAGGGAGAAGGCTCATATTTAGAACAGACTTAACGCCGGCTTGGTGCTCTGGAATGCGGAGTGGAGGCAGCCTCATCAGTTTCGAGAGCCAATAGAAAAGCCAATGGCGGAAACTGCTGGGTCCATTATGTTGTGTAACTGCGGGACGCACGCGAATGTACTATTGTTCGGCATGAAGCAATTGTCGAGGTGCAGCCTATCAGAATCTTGCCACAAATGAAGTTGAAGATAACAGGCCTTGCTTGCTCGGCAAGCATCGGTGTGCTGGCACTGTTTTCACTTGTGGAGTTTCGATTGGACAGAAGACGTCGCTCTCCGCCAGCCATTGGATGAACAGAAAGCTTGGCGTTTGGAGCTGAAAGACGCAGCTTTGTCAGGTGGCTTTTGGCGCTGTCGAGGTTGGCTGGGTGCTTCTGTGAGGGCGTCGAGTTCATGATGGGAGGAATCGGAGAATACGGGTGTAGGATAAAAACCCCCACCCTGAGGTGCGTTTCTACTGGTAGCACGTTCGCCTCCATAAAATCTTGAATTCGAGCTGTCTTATTCGTTAGTACTCTATCTTGCGGCGTCTATGGATCCAGACAGGGCATGAGTTTATTTACCCAAGTCACCAATTAGGACCGGATCAGCGGTCTTGGGAGCGCCATTCCCGAATTCAGACCGTATGTGGAAGATGGAGCCCAAATTGGTCATTTGAAGCGAAAAAAAGAAAATATGCTGGACCAGTCAGGCTCAACCACTTCTGGTGGCCTTTTGGTTCTTTGAACATTATTTCAGAAAGAAGGATCTGGTTTCTACAATGGCCAGGGCTATGAAAGCTGTCACAAAAGGCGTCAAGGCGAGTCCGGAATGTGCTGACACAGGAGTCAAGCGAATGTTGAAGGAATTCCAAGACGATGAGATACTGTGTCCTCGTCTGGCGACTCATCTCAGCAGTGAAAGTGCTAAACTTTTCTGCACCTGCGACATCAAGAATAGCACGCTGAACATATATTCGCCGTACGGTCTTCCCCTTATATGGAAGAACTCGAGAACTTCCAAATACCCGGCACTAAGCTCGTTTGAACGAGCAAAAGGGCATCCATGAGCGAGGAGTCTACTTGCTTTGGTTCCACGGAGCTCTCACGGATCACGGCTCTGAGCACGGCACTCGGAATCGCAGGAGCACAGGAGCTTTTGAAATGTATTGATTGGCGGGAACCAGGCTCCCGATGCTTAGTCAGCGCGTTCCAGCAGCTGATTGAGCAAGAGAAGAACCTCCACCGGGCAAGGAGCATCTTAAGGGTGTCCTGTGAAGTAGGAAACTAAGAGAGCCTGGGACTCGCCCTAGGACCCCACTGTGTGGGTGACCAGGTCGGGCAGTATCTAACCAACTAACAGAAAACAGCTATATACAGGAACAGGTATGTACAGGAAGTAGTGCAGGGCGCCAGGGACGGGTGGATGGGTCGAAAAGTGCCCTGAAGAGAGTGCAAAAGTGCTTGAGCAAGTGAGGAGAGCAGAGAAGGGGCCAGAGGCCCCTTATATGCTCTTCCTCGCTGGCGCTCAGACCCCCTCCGATCTTCATATGGGTGCTTTATTGGAAGTGAACGCAGTGCACAAGGAGGCATGATCCTCCGTGCGCTTCAACATGCAGATGCCAAACACATGGCAAAGAATCCTCCGACTCATCTGTACAAGCATCCCGGCCAACCAGGCACAACTCATCGCGTCTACCGCCCCGCTCGCTGGCCCGCAATCAATGAAGTCCCGAGCAAAGAAGAGACTTCCGTCGAAATCCTTCTCGGCGAAATGTTGTGGTAGATCAGGCCCCGCTACAGGATCTCCCACGAAAATGTCGCCTTTTTTCAAGGATGTGCAGGATTACTTCGACGGAGAACTTCCCAGGACGACCGTCTACAAAGGTTTGAATGTGGATTCAGCTGTCGAAAAGCCACGCTAGTATTCAGGAGGGGCAAATCGTTCATTTTCATAACCTATCGTGCCTGCCGTTCCCTTGAGCGGAAATCGAACCGAAACCGAACAGAGATCAACCGATAATCCCCAGGCTGAATCAGTCCCCAACAGGTATTCAATTCAATCCCCAAAAGGTGCCAGAATCTCGTGGACATCCAAGATATGACACGATTGGCAGTTGACCGCAGCTCACCATCCAGTGATATAGAACCGCGAATGTCAAGGCCATCTTATCTAAGAACATCTTATCGATCCATGTCAGCTGGAAAATCAACCGTGGTATCTAGCTCATGAACTCGACAAGGTGGAGGAGCGAAGACAATGTTCATCTCATTGTCTGTATCCATGACGGAATTTCAGATGAATTTTTATCACCGATACAATGAGAACTATCAGGGTGGGTGTAATCGTCAGGGAGCACTTGAAACAGCGGAACCACGGCATGGCTAAACCGACTCCATTTAGATCAGCATTCATATTTCAAAGTTGATGGTAAAGCATGTTTGTGGTATATATGCTGGTGGCATCTTTTGGAAGGGTTTTTGCAATAACAATGTATCGTCAACTCATGGGTGGCTCTGGAAGTATTCTTACACCAGGTAATACATCAGTCCATTGCCTCAAGTCTTCACTAGGGCTTTATACAATGTACCGCGAACCTTGCTCATTTGTCCACACCCTTACCCAGCCCCAGCTATCCCATTCCCAACAGCAGGTGACCTTCCCATAACAACAATAAATATTACCCTTTCGTCCCAATATACAATCCCCTGTCTTCAATTCAACCACGCCCAACTCCCCACAACCCTCCCCTGGCTCTCCTCCGCCAAACTCGTAAACATACTCAAGCTCAAATCCAAATCCGTCGCCTTGCACCCCACACAGCGATCTACGACCTCCACGTCCACGCTCCTATTCCCGCCCACCGTTGCATCGTACCTCGTAATTCGTATCATTTTCCCGCACAACGGGTTATTATTCGAGTTCGAGCTCGTAGAGGCGGCATCAAAGATCAGATGCGAGACAGCACATATGGATTCCGTGGACGTGTTTTGGTAGCCGCAGGACCCATAGCCCGGGCCGGGACTGTAGAATGTGAGGTCTCCTGTGAAGATGCCCCGGTTCGTCGGTAGAGGGAGGTTCTGCGCTTTTTTTCTGCGGGGAGGAGGGGGATTAGTCGATTCTTTTATCAATACTTGCTGAATAGCTGCGAAGGAGAATTGAGGAGTTCGAAAGGAGAGTTGAGAAGGTTTGAAAAAGGAGAGGTCGACCGAGACGGCCGAGACGAGAAGTTCAAATTGCGGTTCCGGGGTGGAATGTATTGAGATTAACCCACGACTTGTGCGAGAGGCCGAGGCCGAGTCCTAGGCCGAGGATGAGTATGAGAAGGAGGATGAAGGCGAGGAGGCTGAGGAGAATTTGCTTGCGGCTGCGGCCAAAGCACGCTGCAAAACCATGGGGGAGATGATCAGAGAATGTGCGCTTGACAGTTGTTGCATCTTCGCCGGGCTCTTCTTTGCTGAGTGAGAACGATTGGAGTGCGACTGGTTTGCGGAAGATGCTTTTCTTGGGCGGGGAGGTCGGCGTCTCCCATTCGGGGACTTCGGGTTGTGTTGTCGCCATTGAGAGTTGTAGGTGTTATTGTATGCTGTACATTGCGGAACGGAGGTGTCCAAACGAGTGTAATGCAATGCTTGCGAAGTGGGAAGAGAGAGGACGAGGTTGGTCATGGAGTGGCGGATTTCGTGAAGTTGGTTGTGACCCCTGTCAGGAACGCTCTGGGGTTTGGCGCCGCCAAGAAACCTTAAATTTGATTCAGGGGGACACGCCTATCTTCGACTTCACCTCACGACATCTCACCATCAAAATATCCCAAACTGAAGTACACAAGTCGTTAACGGGTTTGCAACGACGAAAGTGCATCTCGATTCATGCTCCTTGATGAAGAATGCCGGGGAGTAACTTCGCGGAGCATGTCCCTGAATGATTATTGATTCTTGCCCATTCTGATCCTATGCATCCAAGTCCTCCATCATCTTGATAAGTCCCTCTTACTCTGTCTTTACTTTCTTAAATATACCTGCCTCAGAAATATCTACCCTAAACTCATCATCATCGTCATTGCCTTCCAATTCCATTTTCCCCATTTGCTTGGACCGCTTCTCCAACTCAGCATTCGTGATTTTGTCCGTGTGCTCCTTCAACATCCCAAGAACCCAAGCTGTGAGCTCATCGGAGTGATCGCTCTCATCGCCAAGTGGAGTCTGTGAAGCAATAAAGTTTTGAATAGTTATATGACATAAAGGAACTTACGAAGGTAACCAGACCTGGATACTCGGCACCCTTATCCATCCAGTACATCAAAACGCTTCGGAATGATGCTATAATTTCTGTTAATATGTGCTATCAGACCGAACATAATGATAAACGTACCTGCCGCAAACAATCACTCAAACAGGCCAGATTCGCCACGAATTGCCTTCCTTCTCTCTGCAGCTTTTCCACATCCATCATCTTGTAGGCTTTGTTGATGGTTTTGCACCCAGCAACTTCTGCGAGAGCTCTTCTAACAACAAGCCTAGACCCGCCTTCTGATTTATCTAATCTATTTCCTTACAGAATGGAGCGAAGAGTTGGGCATTTGAAGTGGTAAATGTCTTTCAGCTGCCCTTTCTTCGTCTTCTTGGAATAGCGGGGGATTGCCGATGAAGCTTGTATCAACAGCTAGGAGCGCTCGATGGCTGCTGGATCAATCGATTCTCTGCTTATTGTGTTGGGTTTGAAGTGGCACGAAAGCTGAGGTGAAACATTGATGGACCTTCAGAGTGTTTAGAAATCTCTGGTACACTCAGAGCTTTAACATCGTAATTGGAATGGTAGGGCCAATGGACTTTTTCATGGGCGCGAATCTGTCGAGGTCGATCAGGACGCGCTTGCCGAAATTCGGAAATATTTCGAGCCTTGATCAACGTCAGCCTCGAACTCCTCAACACTCCTTCCACTTCCATTCCTGTACCAACACGAAAGCACAAGAAAAGCAATCATGGGCTACCATCGTAGTACTCGGCGCCGTTCCCAGCGCCGCCCCCGATACGCCATCATCGACGACCGTTCTTTCCTCCCATTTGGACTCCCAGACAAGTGACCGACGAAGCCCAAGAGTGCTCCCTACCCGAGAGATGTGATCAAGGCAGTGAGGAACTTCAACTTCACCAACGTCAACCACAAGGCCGTGACCGACCTGATGAAGCTCTTCGTAAACTACCGCAAGAAAGACCATCCTCCCCTTCGCGTTGGCAAATTCGGTGTCATCAACTACGGCTTGGGTAGGCATTGGAAGAAAAGTCCATTGTCTCTATTGCTTCTTAGAGTCTTCTCCAGAGGCAGTGTCACAATCGCCAGAACCATTTGACTGACTCTCTCGTCACCCTAGGCCCTGAGGCCTTGGCTCCTAGCTCTCTCAATCCCGAAAATGTTGCCGTAGCCCGAGGTGAATCATCACGCGACCTCCTCAAGAATCTCCGCTTCGTCAACGCCAAAGACAAAGACCCTGGTGCTCCCCGACTTACCTTGACGCTCGGTTGGCTCACTGCATAGCACTTCGACCCTGATCGCGTCTCTCAGTCACACTCGGTTGTCTTCCCCCATCAGACGAGATTGGTCTGGGCTTTCTACGCATATGGCATCGATAATGACGATATCAACCTGGACGAGAAATGCAACCCGGTAGGTCTAAATGTCGCCAATCTTGTGGTACAATCGCCGTCGTTCTAACGCCCCCTTCAGGGCCCATTTTACGCTGCTTGTGACAGTCCTTTTGGAAGGGATAGAACACATGGTTAAAGGTTGTATTCATCGGTACTTTGGACGAACTTCTGCATAAGGGGGAGTTTGCGCTGAAGGCCAAGGTCCACGGGCTGGATTGGTCTACGACTTCGCTTTCGGAGCAAAAACTGGAGATTGGCAAGGCTGGTGTTAAGATTAAGGACTCGGATATGAAGGAGGTTGCAAAGACGGACGAGCCTCGTATCAAAGGAGAAAATAAAGAGATGAAGGAGTTTGGTACAAGGGAACCTGATCTCATGATCAAAGGCGAGGATACCAAGAAGGGTGACGGGGGTTGGACACTCAGAGCTTTACATGTAGAATGGCAACACGGGAACACATATCAAAAGGAAGTTCCACAGTTCGGAAATCATAAAGTGAATCTCCTGATACATTTGGGGCACTGAAACTCCGAACACCTTTTCATCCAAACGTGTTCGGACAATAATGTGATGTGCTACGAATCCTCGATAGTCAAAGCCCGTTTCTCATCTGATCTGTCATTTAAATGTCCCTAAGCTTTTGGAACATTACGTCCGATTTGCAAAAGCTTGATCTCGAACCAGAAACTCGCCTTCCATCCCTAGGACAATCTCAATGTACCAGATCCGTTGGGAACATTGAAGCGAGGTGCAACAAAACTTGACTTTCAAATCAGAGATTCACTCTCCACTTTCTAGATAATCTTAATGTATCAAAACTTTTGGAACATTGAGCCGATCTGCAACAAACCACCCTGGCCAGAATTCGCTCGGAAACGATCTGATCTGATGCGATATATGTACAGCCTCACTCGAGGAACACGCCAATTCTCAATAGTTCCTCCAAACCATCCGAATTTCTCCACGGATACTTCAGTCACTCTCCCCAACGTAGTAGCATTCACCCAAGATGACGTAAACGTCCTTAGGACTTCTCATTCCCATCATCTATAAAACCCACGCTGTGTATACCAGCCTGAACGCCATTCCATATGCTCCACTGTGCTGTGCTGCAACATGTCAAATCCTCCCACCACTCACCACCTCCCGACCCAAGAATTCCACCTCCCCACTCTCCCCCGTGCGCCTCCTTTCCAGAATCCATCTCTCACCAGAAACAGGATCATCCTCCTTCAGATAGCTAATGCTCTCCGCACTCCCCGTATATCTATGTTTCCTGATCCCCTTCTCTTTCTCCTTTTCCTTATCCCTCTCCCCATCCTGTCCATTCCCTTTATCCTTCTCATCTTTAGTAACGGTGTCCTCGTCCTTGTGATCTTCATGCTCCTTCACAATATCAAGATGGCTCATACTCATCGCCATAGTTGGACTCCCAGGTACACTCGAGCTCTCACTCTGCACACCCGTCCCCACACCACTAGGCGCCTCGCTCACGAGACTAAAGCCGCTATTTTTCCTCCAGTGCCCTCCGCTCCCAAGGGTAGTTGGGTTGGCGATCGCGCCGCCCTGGGCCCAAGGAGGAAGTTGTCCCACTGGACTGGTCTCTTCCTGACCGCCGGTCGAGCGGGGACTGCCATTACTGCTATGCAGACTCGCTTGACTTCCGCCCCAGGCACCTCTCCTGAGCTTTAGAAGCGCATCAAGACTCATGTCCCCTTCATAATCGATTGGACTCCGTAACATTCCCGCCAATTGCGCAAGGCCAGGAGACTGAATAGCGCCAGGACCATTCATCGAGAAACTCATAAACGAGTTGCGGTTCGAGTATTCGCTACGCTCGGTAATAGGCGTTAAATTCGGTTCGCGCGAGACGACTCGTCCGCTCTGGGAGCGATTGATGCCTTCTACACCGCGGGGACCAAAATAACCGCCATTAACGTATTCTGCTTCGCTGGCGGCGGGAGCTGAATAGAAGCCGAATTCTTGCCCGTAGAAGCCATCGCAGTCGTTGGCCAGTGCTTCGGCGTTTGCAGCGGCAATGATGGCGTCGTCTTCGAGGGCATCGTCGTAGTCGAAGTCATCTTCTATTTCGTAAGTTGGAGAGAAGGGTTCATAGTGTGAAGTGTGGCTCGAGTCTGTGACCAGTCCTGGGTGCGGGTCTTCTTGTTCGGAGGGGGTTGCGTTTGTGCTGTCGCGACGAAATTTCCCGTTGGCTGCAGCAGAACATGCTGCTTCTGCGAGTGCTGATTGATATGCTGCTAAGGTGTCTTGCGTTAGACTGGGTGCTATGGAGGAATTCGGTGGGTGGAACCCTGATATGGAAGGTTGTGGAACTAGTAGAGGTAGAGTGCCTGGTGTGAGGGGATCCTGTCCTTCAACGGAATTTTCCACAGCTTTGTTCAAGGCTGGTGATGGATCGGCTGTAAACATTGGTGGAGAGTATAATGTCGGCAAGGAAGATAGTGATCTCAGCGGTCTTCCATACTCATCAGTGTCAATTTGGTCAAACACTGACTCATCGAACTCGACAGAATCATCAAAGTCTTCTGGTCCACCAACACCAATGAGGCCGTCATCAAAGTAAAGGTCATCGTCATCCAGGGCTGCTGGTTCAGGAAACTCTTTAGCCTCAGTATCCAAGCGTTGAGGTTTTGGTGAAAGCTTGAGTCCTTCCACTTCCAAGCCTAAACCTTGGGCTTCTGAAGAATGGTCTTCAGGTCGGAAACTGGATGAAGGTGGCTTCATCGTCGGTTCTCGACTTGCTCCATCAGGAATATGAGGAGAATTCTTCGTCATTGCGAAACCAATAACCTCGCCATTGGCGTCTCGTGGGGTGCTCACCATCCCAGGAGTAGACGGGCTCATCGGGCTAGCCAGAGAAGATTGCTGAAACGTAAATCCGGCAAGGTTCCTATCGTCTTCTCCGAAAATATAAGGATCTTCGTCATCCGACTCGGCATTGACACCTGAGATCAATTCCTCCAAATCGTCCTCCAATTCGGTGTTGACGCCCGGTATCCTTTCTTCAAAGTCGTCCTCGTCCAGATCGGCGTTGATACCAGGTATCCTCTCCTCCAGCCCATCGTCGTCGTCCATGTCAAAGTCATAATTATCCTCAAACTCATCCTCCAACCGATCATCCTCATCCTGCTCTGCTCTCTTCTCGAGTGCCCTCTTGCGATGTCTATCCTCCAGCAATCGTTCCTGCTCAGCAGCACCAATCATATCGAAACTGAACCGCGAGGACGTGCTCTTCATTTGTTTCGGAATAGCGGCGTCCTTAGTCGACACCTCTGAGACATTACGAGGACGTCCTTTCTTCAATGAAGTAGTTTTCGGTGGCGTCGACGAAGGGTCTATGCTCACCCGTTTTGGCTCTCCTTCCTTGGGTGGCACCGGCGGAGGAACGTCCCGGGCGGGTCTCCTCGCACTTATCCTCCTCGCCGCCTGGATTTGCTTCTGTGTTGCCTCATTGCTTTTTGATGACGAATTAGACTCGACTGATTTCTGGACGCCTTTGGCGTAAGGAGGCTTCGGTAGCGGCAGATCAGTCAAATCACTTGCTTTCCGCACATGGGGACCCGCTGCTGGATATTGCTCCTCCTCGAAATTCTCCGTGAAGACTGGGGTGTGATTTCCACCGCTCCATGGACTGGTCACGGTACTCTCATCTGTAGCGTTGAGGTCGCCATTAGGACTTCGCTGAAATTGTCTCGAATTGCTGATGTTCACGTCTAATGTTCGAACATCGTTGTACGACACGTTTCTCCTCGTTCGTGGGGCACTGAAATCGTGGACTACTGTCCCTTTGATTCGGGGATCAAAGACCTTCTCATTTCCTGCTCGATTTGATACCAGAGCCTCTGGAGAGAGCTGCGCGACCGTCTGCGCAGTCCTCCGTCGAGCAAGAAGTGACATGGGGTTTAGGAGATTGAGTCTCGTCTTCCCCGATCGTTGTTGTGCCGGCTCGAGATAAGTAGAGTAATTACTCGCAGGAGCAGGTGGTGGGCTAGGTAGCCTCGCTCCATTTGGTCTCCTCCCACTCTGTCCCGCCCTCTTTTCTAGATCTGAGGCCGTGACAAATCCATGGGCTGTTTCGCCAGGCTTTGGTCTAGAGAGCGGTTCTTGATTCATGCCAGTCTGCGGCCGTGTGAACTGTGGACTCGTATAATTCGTTGGGATAGGATTTCCGGCCGACTCCGGCCGCTGCGTTTCGACATAAGGTATTTTCTGGTGATTACCGAAGCCATATGTATCTCGCGGTCGCGTCGTATTCCTTGAAGAATCTAGGTTTTGAGTCCTCGTATCTCCCTCGTATTTCCCCACCCTTGAGCTGCCTAGACTTGACTCGACTGACGACACACGCGCAATTGGAGGTAACGATGGAGGCGGTGAGGTCGCTGATGCATCTCGTGGGCCCGCATCTGGGTATCGTTGAGGGTGGGCGTGATGTAAGGGTGGCTCGAAGGAATGCGACTGTTCTGCAGGGGACGTTGGATTCGACGGCGTCCGCTTGTGATGAGGTCGCAGATAGGAAAACATCTTTCTTTATCAATCGACAAGAGGCAGATGCCTCTATCGCTCGAAGGCAGCGGATCCTAGATACGTGTCGTATGTTGGCTTATTGCGGCTCAGTCGAATCGTTGGTCTCTCATCTCGCAGACGTACTCGAGGCGTCGTGCTTCGAGATCGCAGATAGCCAGAGATGGTTCGAATTATTCAGGAACAGGGCTCGTTATTCCCTCGAGGCGAAAGGTGGAGGAGGTCGTGGACATGTGAAGGTGACAGTTCGAACAAAAGCTTCTGGACGTCAGCTTCCCTGTAAGGCAGGCCTCCACCAACCAAGCAAGCATCAGCCCGTCAATTGTCTGTCGCTGCAACTTCCCGACGAGTCCCAAAGAATTCGCGACACTGGTTGCACTGGTTACACTGCTTGAACAATTCTCCGACAGCTTCACAACAGAAGAATCAATTGTTCTCGAGATCCCCCTGCGAGGACAGCCCCTCGGAAAGTCGCGAAAACGCGGGCGTCATTGGCTCATGACTGGCTGGGATCATGAGCCAAAAATACATCCGACATCCCACGCCTGTCAAACGTTTGCGGGACCGCATGATTCAGCGTCTTCAAAGCGACACCTTCGGATTTTCTTTCATGCGCAAGGCTGTGATCTGTATCACATTTTTCTAGAAGATGTTACTAGTCAAGGGTTTAATGAGAGGAACATTCGATTCAGTGTTGAAGCTCCCTGCCAAAACATTTTTTAAAACTCCATGGTGGAAGAGGAGTTCCTTCGATCCCGTAGTCGAGTTAGGGTCCGTACAAAATCGTGTAAAAAGTTGATTTTTATCATTAATTTCTCACGCTTTATGTCTCATGTTGAACGAGTCACGTTCAAGCCAGTTGGTATCCCCAAAAAAATTCGAACATCTGGGCCGTTATCTGTTCACTCCGAAATCAAACTCCCACCTCCTTAAGAGCTTCTCTTTCCGTACGGCTCGAATGGGAAAGACGCAGAAACAATTGCCATCACGAGGAATAGCGCAGCACAGACGTAAATCGGAACCGCAGTATCCGTGTTGGCGTATGTAGCAATAATTGCTGAAATGATGCCCATAACTCGATTGCAAGCAACCGCAACACCATTGCCGGTTGCACGATGAGCGGACGGCAAGACCTCAGGCGTGTAGGCATACAAGCATCCATAGTAAACATCAGTGAAGAAGGCGATTGCGCAACTAAATCCAAGATTTTGCGATTCGTTTCGTACTTGCGTGTAGGCGAAAAAGAAAGCCATTGAGCACAAAGCCCCGATAACCATGGTGTATTTTCGACCCAGGATCTTCGTATTACACATCCAGCCAGCTAGCATAGGGCCCTTGAAATCGTTAGCTGGATATTCAGAACATAGCACTTGATTTCAAAGGAACTTACGGGTATCGAACTGATGTTAACCAACGCATAGTTTCTCCAAGTGATGGACGGCGATGGAGAGCCAAAGTCAGCGCCACGAGACGCAAGGTAAGAGCCCAAAAAGACGTAGAACAGCGGGTAAGCAAGACCAATGAGCGTCCAGGAGAACCAGACCAAAGACGTGGAGAACCCCATCTTCTTCGTAGCGAACAAGCCTCGGAAATGGATCGTCAGCTCTCCAAGTGAGAGTTTCGACTTCCCGTGCGCGGATCGAATCACACCACAAGCTTCCAGCTGCTCAACAGTCAATGAGCACGTACGACCATACTTCTTCGCCATGTCTTGGAAACCCTGGACAAGCTGCTCCTCCTTGCCCTCTCCCAGAAGGAACTTCGGTGTCTCCTTTAGACGGATGATAGTTATTCTTGCAATGCTCATGAAAAACACCAAGGCTCCACTGGTGTACATCAGGTATCTCCATCCCTTATTACTGCTATACGGGCATACTCCCACGAGGGCTCCGTTTTTGTCGAATGGATCCGGGCAATTCCACCTTGCTTGTGCTGGGCGAAGTCAATCAGGTTTGTCTTGGGGATAGGAAATCTTGACTTACTCAGATAGCCCCAAGCAAGGAATCCTGCAATCGATTGTCCCAATCCCCACCAGGCAGCAAGCCAAGCTGTTCAAGGTCAGTGAAAGTTCCTGAATATCACCATACTTTGCGTCAGGTTGCGTACTTAGGACCCATTGCTTCTTTGAGGGCAAATACTCAATAAACACGGTTGTATCTAGAATCAAATTTCCTCCACCCCCGAAGCCTAAAAGAGCTATGAAGACAGCCAAAGATACCCAATTCGGCGCAGCCCCGGCGACAATTGTGAAAGCTGAGCAGAGGAAGAGTGATACGTTGAAAGCGAATCGTCGGCCAATAATATCACCGCTCACCCCCCAGAATAAAGCACCGATGAGCATGCCAACATATACCGCGATGGTGAGCGCATGGGGGTAGGATGGATTGAATTCGTACCTAGCGGGTATGGCGATTATTGATTGGAGAAGGAGGAGTAAGGAATCGACGCAGTATCTAGTCGGAGATTATGTTAGTGGACATATTGTACAGTGTGGAGATTTTTGGGAAGCTACGAACCCGAACCCATTGAGTACAAAAAGCTTCCTAAGATACAATGTCAGTACTTCTGGCGGCTGGGCAGACGCAGAGTAGGCAGGCAAAGGCAGAAGAGATTTGTAGGAGGCGCGGCTACGAACCAATGGTAATTAGTCCATCCTATTTCATCAATAGCCTTGCGTACTCATTAGTTATTCCTTTCAAATGCGCGATCGGCTTGACCATGTCGGTGCGTGTTGGAGTCTTCTCACATTGTTCACGAGAAACATTTTGGCATTGAGCGCGGGGTCGGTGTCCTGCAATGCAAGAATATCTTCCCCTTCTCCAACTGAATATCCATTCTGAACTGAATCGGGTTCTCCAATTGCAGTCTTCTCGTTCTTGGGATAATTCATCTCGTCGTCGCTGGCGGGTTTCATTGCTGAGACCATGGTAACTTCACGGCAAGGTGTGCGCAGAAACTTGGATACTTCAAGGCTCCTATCTTCTATTGAAGTTAAGAGAGACCGAAGGGGAAGCTGACAACAATTGTGCCAGAAAGGCAAACAGACTTGAAGGAAAGAGAAAGATTAAAGGTTGAGGGCCTCGGACATCCCGATAGCTTCCTGCCGGGGATAGCTCAAGGCTATGATAAAGCACGCTATCACAATTGACCCGATTGCCAGGATTCCCAGTCTAAGGTCATGGTCGAAGAAGGTGATAGGCTCCCACTTGGTAGCCGTGACAGGAAATCGGGTCTGCAGGCCTTAAACGTCGACACATGATGATCTCTGCTGCGGAGGCAGAGACCAGCATGATAAGGTCGCACAATGATTGAACACATAATTTTGCAGCTCTGCATACGTAAGAATCTTGATGTTGCGGTGTCGAGGATTTCTGGCTGTCAACCCCACCTCTAACCAAACGCCAAACTCAATTCCAGGGTCCAGGTGGGCCGGGCAGAACCAACGTTCAACGTCCCGTTGGCTTCTCTTCAAGCCGTTGCCGCAGCCGTAGCCGTAGCCGCACACGTCAGTGAAAAAGCAAATGCCGACTGAAGCTCCAAGGAAAGGCTGCCGTCTGCTTGTTCAATGCGCCACCTCCGCATTATGTCGCTGGCCTCACTGGCAGACCGTTGGGCACGGTGCGCGTTCTCGTGTTACTGCACTGTGTTACTGTATTGTATCGGTGTACCGCGTGGTCCCTTCCGGCATCTTTGTCGGTCGTGCGACACGCGCCTTGCGCTTGGTTGGCATGTTACGTCTCCTAGCGATGATGATCGTCGGCATTGTACAGTAAACCCATCCCACGTGGGTACGATGATTGGTAAAAGGTAGATCTGACGATAGTCGGCCGTCACAAGCTAATGGGCCTTTTTCAAACCTTGGAGCTGGATCGGTACTGTAGATAAGAGCAGCTTTGCCTTTGTAAAGATTTTTTGCTCAAGACGCGGTGTGCAGGTGACGCAGCCTGGACTGGATCGTGAGGGTGGCTAGGACGCGTATTGTGGCCAGATACGGAAGGTGGATAGCTCAGGACTGAACGCTACAAGAAGGCGACAAGCGGAGATGGAAAGTCTGCAGCTCTGAGCCTCTGAGGTTGGTGTTGAAGTTGCAATGAGGTGGTTGGGTGAGGGAGGGGAGGCACGTGGGAGGAGAGACGGCTGGGAGTCCACTTTAGAATAAAGTGGACTGGGCTGACTTTACATAAGCGGCCAGGCTAATTTTCGACCTCAACCGCAGACCTCGAGCTTCCTCCAGCCTTCTGCCTTCTAGGGCATCTCCACATCTCTTGGAATCCGCCTCCTCCGCATTGGTTATGCAGAAGCTCATGCTGAAGCATCGTGTATGTCAATAAATCCACCTTTACCTCCGACGTCCGACAGCTATCTATCAACCACACCCATGACGATCCTCACCTGAAAACCCGCGCGTGAGCCTCGAGCTCTTGCTAGCCATGCTACCACGATGAAGAAGATTACCCTCCATGCGATATTAAAAATTCTCTATTCTTCATTCTATATCTTGCTGGGTCTCTGTCTCGTGGGACTTCTAGTCATCAGTCCCGCAGACGGTATTCGACAATCCCTGAGGCGCGACCAACTCGCGTTCCTTTTCGTAATCGGAGGATGCTATTGCGCCACGGCTGTTGTGGCCCTCTTTCTATATTCCAACAGAATATACAGCAAGAGGAAAGCCATAGCAGAGATACCAAAGTCCTACATACCTATCGAGAAGGGGGATGTGAACAAAAAGGTCAGGCGGATGATTGTGGCCAGCCTCAGCCGCAGTGCTGCAATCGCGTGGGATTCTCGACCGCGGATACCCACCGAACCGCCTACGATTGTCTCTGAGCCGGGGAATCGCGATGCTATTGCGAGACCTGCGGAAGGAGAGTCGGAGAAGATAGAGGGTTCGAGTGGGACTGCGGGGCTGCAGGAAGGGACGGTTACAATTCCACCAACTCGTCCGGTCTGGGGAGGTATTGCACACAATGGATGGTCAACACCCACGTCACCAGATCTTCCAAATTTGCAATACATCACAGTTATCCTTGAATTACCTCACCTGATCGAAGCCCGGGCCGTCTCCTTGGCGCCTCCGGATCCCGAATCCGCTTCCGAACCACCCCTACCGGATATCCGGGCAGTAGACTTGCTTCAAAGACCAGCTGCAATGGGTCTCCGTGACTACATTGGTCACCTCACAAGCGTCGGTGTCATCAGCTCTTCAATCGCAACCGACTTCCTCGCCTCCTACGAATATGCACGATTCTCCGCACGACCGCTCAGCGAAACCCAATTCCGCGACCTGATGAAGCAATTCGCGGAAGTTCTACGGAGCATGAATCCATTGACCCCTGCAATCCTAGCCAGTCTCGACATCGACCCCCCGGAAAGCGACATCGACGACGACGAGGTATCCTCGACTTCTACACCAACGACCGCACGTAGCAGATCTTTGGCCTCCTCACGGAGCGCTGCCAGCCGCGATAGCAGTGAAGGCACCATCCGCACTGCCCCCTCGCAAAATCCAGGCCCAAATGGGTCCCCAAAGAAGAAACGGGAAGGATTCAGCACAGCACCTGCTACGCCCAAAAGCAAGAAACGCGTTATTTCCAGGACTCCGAGCGCGAATAGCTTCGCGCAGAGCAGGCAGCCGTATAATGGGAGTAGTGGCGATTCGAGCGAGAATTTGCGCTCGGCGAGTCAGAGTAGTGTGATTAGGTTGAGCAAGACTAATGAGGACGGGGAGTTGCCTTATGTGCTGAAGATTCCTAGAGCACGATGATAGTGCCGACAGGAGCGTTGTGCTCGACCTCATTAGCGACGTAGTTTGGGAAATGAGATGACTTCGGTTAGAGGAATTATTGGGTAGTATAATGTTTCAATGATAATGTTTTAATCCAGGTGTGGGTGTTCTCCTGTTTCTTCCGATCGCGTTTTCAGTCACTGCTCATTTGTGCATTTTGGAGTTTCTTCGCATTCTCTGCTATCAACACTTTCAATTTTGTCGTTCCATTCATAACGTTCTGAAGCATGCTTTAGGGAGTTTCCTGCAATTCCTCCTCTTTCTTTGCCTCGATCACTCGGGACTCCACTCTTTTCTCTATCACGTGATACCCCTAATTGGCCCAAATTACCCGAGACCCGATGCGAAGCCGCCTTGGACGAAAGGATACTCTTCCTTGAGACAAGACAGGCATCGGACGAGAAGGAAGTCTTTCGACGCGAAGCTCTTGAATCTCAGCCATGTCTTTTGGGGGTGCTCCGAGGCAACTGCTCCGTGTTGTTTAAACACCAACCTAGCGTGCCGTGTTGGCGGGTCTCGGGCAAGGGTACAAGCGTCCTCTATACCAGCTCACACTTCACCGAAATCAAGTTGCGGTCGATCATATTCGCGACGACTTGCCGTGCTGTCGACGTTCTCCTGTGGCCGTTGCGACACAGGTCATTCCTTAACTTAGTGTTAACCCAACTCTCATACGGCGCGAGAAAACCTTCTTACCTCTCCTTGTTTATCCTTGCACGTGTTCCTGTTGTTCTTGGTTGTTGACTTTTCCCTAATCAGGGAAGTCACTTCTCATGCTTGGCCATCGTAGCGTCGAAGTCGTCGAGGTATGCTTTCATGTCGGTAGCGTGGGAGGATGTAGCGTGCTGGGCAGACCTGTGGCGGTGTTGCACATGTGAGTGAGCTTGGTTGGCAATATAGGCTGCTGTGCGAGAGGCGGAGAGGCGTTGTTGGTCTGCAGCTGCAGCGGCGGCGGTCGAGGAGGAGTTAGAGGAAGAGGAGGAAGGAGAGTCTTGGATTGACCTGTGATGGTAGGCTGTTAGTTCGTGGTATATAGTTGATAGGATTCGAAAAGGGGGGAGAGCGGCGCCAACGAAATTAGAGGAAGTAAGAGATGGCATCGACAGGAGGAGGGGAACTTACCCGTTGACTGAGCCGTCAGTGGCATGGTTTGAGGATGGGTAGGAAGAAGACATCTCCTAATAGGTGAGGCTGAGATGGAGCAGGGCCGGGGAGATGTGGCTGAGCGTCTATTCGCACGTGATGTGAGGCAAGGCGAATGGCAATGAGTGGCAGCGGGAAATGGATTTTTGTGTGAACAAATTGTTCCGGGAGCTAGGGAACAAAGCCCATCTTATGTATAGGACGGTCGGTATAGAGTGGGTGGCCTGAAACTACTTTCGCTTTCGAGTCCTCGAGTTCATTGCACTTTTCATTTCAAGCCCTCACCTAATGGGTTCATAAAGGGCACACCACACGTGCGGAAGCGATGCCAATCACTTTCGCTCCCAAGGCGCCCCTCCTACTTGGACCTTGGTTGCCCGGCTGGACTGAAACAACAAGCAAAATTTTGGAGATGATGGATTATCTTTTGCCTAGGAGAGTCTCAGCCCACTGTCCCCTAGATGGGTTTGGAGTAGCCCGGCTACCACCTCTCCCGCCTCACTCCTCGGTCACCGCTTCATCTTGCGAGTATTGGTCGCCGCTGCCATCGCTGCCGGCTGGATGTCGGACAACGGCGAAATGGACCAATTACATGCAGTTTTCACCCCACCCCACCCCCAAGTGCTGCAAGTCCACGTCCAAGTGCTGCAAGCCCACGTCCAAGTGCTGCAGCCCACGTCGGGGTGTCTTGGGGCCCCGACCTCCGGTTGATCCTTAGCTTTTGCAGGGAGGCAGCGACCGTTTACCGGAGGGGGGTGGAAATGGACGCAACAAATGCAGCCTCAAATTCAGGCATTGCATTTCGAGCTGTACGCTGCACGATACCCCCCGCAGCCGCCAACGGATACGATGCCGATTTTACAGATCGCTCCGCCCGCTGCAGGACGTCTGCTTTCCCAGCGCACCACATTAGTCCCTTCCCTCGCCTCGCCAACGTGCAGAATTTCCTGCTCCAGGCCTGCACGATACCCCCTTCCACCACCGCCCGTCTCTCCTGTCGCGGGCTGAGACCACACTCAAGGTGGGTGCAATTTATGTACAGTCAACAAGAGCAGGTCTCTCCATACGAACAGTTCATACCTCGCCTCCACAGAATCTCCCTCTGGTGCAACCAACCGCAGAGTAGGTGCAGGACTCGATGGTATTCTTTGCATATCCTGTTCTTTCACGCCTGCTTCACTTCATTTTGCTGTTCGATTCTCGTGCCTCTACCTGCATATGATTCTCCCACGAGCTCTTGGACATTCCACGAATTGTGGTTCTTTCATTGATTTCCTCTGTTGAGACTTTCATGGAGCCTAACTATTCCCCTCCATCCAATGCAACATCTCCTTTGCACCTTCGCATTAACCCCCAGCCTTTCCATGTCGCACAAACACCACGTGACCGATATTCACTTTGGGCCGATTCTTGGCTCCAAACCACGACCCTGCCATGATTGACATGGCACTGACCCATGCTCGTGTCCCCTGTCCTTCCCTGCACATGCCCCTCCGAACCGTTGCCTGCAGGTCGGACAGCAAGCCATGGTGCTGGGGGCCGACACTGGACGGCTATTCAAGGAAATCAAGTTTATGCCCCCAAGTGGGCTAGCGTGTGAGTAGCTTTGCGTACAAGCTTGGAAAGGCTCAGGACAAGGGGTCTCATCGGCAGTCCTCCTTCGACATCGCCGTCTTCGAAGTAGCTGAGAGTTTTTCCGCCATTCCGAAAGTTCGGGACCAATACACAAGCGTGCAACCTTCACACAAAATCTTGAGCCTGGTGTTCTCAGAAGTCACATCTAGGAATACGTCTTGTTGAACACTACAGATCCCTAAGCGGAGATCTAGATCTTGACTTTTTCTTTATTAAGTCAAGATCTTCAGTGATCAACATGATTCGCTGGGATATGCTTGGAATTTCAGAGCATCTGATTGTTGCGAAAACTCAAGCTGAGTCTTTCAATGTATTAAGGGGAAGTGATCACAATGGGAGATTCAAAGAATGGGATGATAGATATGTAAGGAAGTAGATTGGGCTTAGTAAGAAGCAAGTCTCATTATGGGTGAGGCCAACTGCGGGTCTCGTGTATCCACTTTCCAATTGCTGGGTTCATCACGTGATACCCCTGAACGGCTCGGTTACCCCTCGGGTTGTCGAGTAATAGCTCAGGACACTTCAACTAAGGCTACGCTGAGATATGGGCTCGCCTTTGAACAAAACCCAACCTCTTGAAGAAAAATACGCGTGTCTCGACGGACACGTTCGGTACGGTATTCTCTACTGAGATGTCTCCCTGCATTGACACGCGTGTTACAGTTGGGAGGCGTGTATGTGATAAAGACTGCCAAGCAGCTGATTATCTGAGAGGAGACGTCGTGCAGTTGCTGTGAGGAAGTGTCTTGGTGTTGTGGCATCGAGGCGACGAAGAGTTAAGAGCTGGTTCTTCAGGAGACGCCGCGAAGTTGTGATGATGGAACTGCACCGGCGTTGTGAAGGAGGGAAGGCCGAGGAGGTGAAGAGTGATGAGGTGAAGGGCGACTTGGTGAAGGCAACAAGATAATGGATGAAGAGCTGACATTATATATTGATCGAATTGTTGAGAGTAGGCCGGTCGGGGGAAACGGGGCAATTTTGATGACTTAAGGTGGAAAGGTGGTGAAGATTCTGATGACTTGTAGGTGGTGGGCGAAGTGGAGTACTCAGGGCGGAGGTATAAGCAACGCTTCATGTGAGGGGCTGTTTTGCCTCAGCTGTTCGTGCCGCCACGAGAGGTTCGCGACGGCAACAACTGGTGTTGACGCTCTTGTTGTGTTGCTTCCTGCGCGGCAGCTTCATGTTACCACTCGCAGCGCGGGTTGATTCCTGTATAGTTTCGTTAGCAAGAGTCATTCCTTGGGGCGAGAAAACCACTCCACCTTTCACTGTTTATCCTTTGATTTCTTTCTGCCTTTATTATATATTTCATCTTTCCAGCTGAGAAGGATCACTGCCCATATTGTGCCATGGTAGCATCGAAGGCATCTAGGTATGCTTTCATTTCGGCTGCGTGGGAGGTAATGGCGTCCCGAGTAGATTTATGACGGTGTTGAACGTGAGAAGGTGTTGGGTTGCTGACGTAGGCTTGGGTGCGGGAGTTGGAGAGGGCTTGTTGTTCGGTGGTAGAGGAGGAGGGGGACTCTTGGGCGGACCTGCAAGTGAGGGCTGTTAGTCAAAGTTTCTCGATTGACGAAGTTTGGAAGGAGAAAGGGAGCAGATGACATCGCGACGAGTAGGACAACGAAGGAGAACCTACCTGTTGACTGAACCGTGGGTAGCCTGGCTGGAGGATGGGTAGGAGGTAGACATATCCCTTGAGACTTCGTAGGTATGCTGAGTGGGAAGGTAAAGCCACGTGATACGAGAAAGCACTTAGATGGCGAGGCTGTATCTTGTCTGAATGTGGAAGCTGGCTACGAGTTCTCTGATATTGGGGTTATGATGGGCATCGCGCCATTCTTATGTGTACGAGTGTCGAGATGAGTGAGCAGGCAGGAACTCCCCTTTCCAGCTTCAACAACCATGTGCCCGCGCATCAACGTACCTACTTTTTGCTGGAATGGACGTTGTTTCGACCCCTGCCAGGGTAAGACGCACAATAACGACGTTGGCGGTCAACCCCTCCAACCCTAAGCTCCTGACTGGCCGACATTTTGAAAATCCGTCACAGGGATATGGTTCCGCTGCATGACGCCGACTGCACCTCGTTGTTGCTTCTTCTCAAATTCGACCTGAGCAGCAATCGGGAGCAATGACGATGGGGACTGTGGCCATAGAACCCCCCTGCTGCCATCCTACCCACACAATGCTACTTTTGAAGTCACAGTCATTTGGACAGGCAGTGACCTCGGGAGCAGCTCTCGAGACTTGGTAGTGTTGGCTAGATATCTTGTCGTGAGTACGCCCGGCAGTCTGCATCTGTCTTTCAAGGCCGTTGAACACCTGCATCCTCTTTCCGCGCCGAGGGCAGCCGGGGTTTCTTCAGCATGGTATCCTTGTTCGCTACCGAGCGCGATTCGTGATACACAGGCCAGTCCCTGCCATTTCTTGATCTCAGTTGGAATTGAGATCAAAGACTCCCGATGCATCAGTGCTCCACGCCCGCAGCGTTGGGGTCGGGATATGGTGGAGTCAGCCGTCAACCCGCGTGGGGAGCGGCTCAGCGTGCTTTCTGCAGGGGAGAACCTTGCCCATATTACCAAATTCTGCAATCGTTTTCCCCTGGCTGTGCGAGTTCCCACTCGATAAGCTTCTGATTAACCTGTTAATAGCGCACACCCCTCTTCTGGAAAGGATATCCTTGCTCGGTTGAAGTAAGACGCAGGCAAATCCCTGTCTCCTGTCAGCTTGTCGATCTCCGCTTTCCGGGTTGAGACACACAATCCATCAATGGACTCGGCAATTGACACGCATGCCAAGTTGCCAACAGGGGGGGAGCCGCCGCGGGAATCCGGCCAGAACGGCATCCCTGTTCTCTCTCAGCTGAGATTGCAGGCAAGTCCTAGTTGGGTTTTCCGATATTCTATTTTGCCAGCTGAGACCACGTCGTGAATGCGACAGCTGGGCTCATCAATCTGCCCAAGTTGTAAGCCCAGCATGAACCTTCTTGGAAGAGACCTCTAATATCGCCCCACTGAATGATTGCAGTGGGCCCTTGGGTAACGCCACCCTAAAACCTCGTTTGTACCCCGGAGTTAGGGAATATCAGGTGCTTATGAGTGCTAGGGTATTCGTTGGAGACCCTTGAGATTGCAAGTGCTTGGGTGGTGTTATCCTTGGGCCCACTGTGATGATTCGGGGGGCGGGGGAGGGGGGTAGTAAGCAAACTGCGAACAACTTGAAGCTAAACGGCTTCCAGAAGCATTTTCGCCATGCTGCAGACTGTGTTCTGGGCTCCTGGAACCCCGCTCGGCATGGACGCCGAGTTCGTCCTGTGAGCTAAATTGATGAGAGCTCCCCTGACAGCATGTCCTGAGCCACTTCTCGCGCAAAATTCCCAGCCTCGTGATGAATTTGGTTCCAATTTGTGGATCTCACTGCTCTCCCTCCCCACCCTAATTACTGCCCCCCCCTGAATACTTACAGTGGGCCCTGGGATAACACCACTCCTGCACTGACCAACTCAAGGGTGTATGGCCAATAGCGATTCTGGAGAGCACCTGATATTTCCTAGTTGGGGGTTATAAACGAGGTTTCAGGGTGGCGTTACTAAAGAACCCACTCGTAATTATTCCACGGGGGGATACTGCGGTTGAACGTTGTTTTTGTATTTTTTAGAAGGAGAGTTACACGCCCGGGTAGTTACAACTGACAAAAGCTCCGCAGTCTACCCTAAACCAAGGCCATAGAGGTGTTCCCCAGCCACCGTACTCAAGAGTGCCCGCAGTCCACACCCTAATATCGCTCTGCCCTTCATATAGTTATCGGAGGATATGAGGTATCTCAATTAATGCAGGTTTAGGTACGCCGACCCCATGGCTAGCAATACACCAGCCTCCACAGTATCTAGTATATATAGAGAAAGTAGAAGCGTAGCGTACACCTCGTGCTCCCTCTTTTTAGCCCGTGGGACTTTGTATAGTGTCCCAAAACTACCTATCCGTCCGTTGTGTATGCCATAGCAAAAGCCAAAACTGGGGGGAGTGACAAGAAGATGACTGCTCTCAATTTTTTCTGGGTATCTGCATGTTCGCCAGCGCCGTGGGCAACAGCCATCGATTGAGCTGTAGAGAACTGCCGCTTTGTTGGACCTTGAGCCTTCTTCTTGCCCAGCAAATATATGTATTGACTGCGAGGGGGGGTGTCGTTGTCGATTCGAATTCGGAATGGCGGTAAAGGAGTCGACGGCGAGGGGGAGGTATTCGACGTCGTATAGTGGTAGTATGGAGTTCCTCTACCTCTAAAGAGGTCCGCAGACCTCTATCAGCGGCCACGAGCTCCTGTAAGCTCTCCTCAGATCGTTCCCAGGTGCCCAGAGTGATTCTCCATACCTTTTCCTCCAAGGAGGACCCCCGAAGGGCCACCTCCAGCAACCACCCGCTCAATCTCGGCTTCGCAGACTCTCCTCTGTCCCCTGGAGGCAGTGTAATACCAGGGACGCAGGGCATGAGCTGCGGGTTCGTAGGGGACACCACGAACAGGTGCTGAGCAAGTCCCCCCACGGGGGGATACAGTAGTAAGCAGCGGCACTGTCTGAACGCGCATTCAGGATCCCCTCCTGGCCCGTGTTCACCAGCCCGACTTGGTAGCCCACCTTCTCGTGTTCACCTCTTTACACCTGACCTGGGGTCAATTGAGAGCTTCGGCCCAGACCCCATCAAAATTTCCTCACCCCCACCCGGGACCGAGGCAGCCTTGCCCAAGATACTGAGGAGGGCCAGAGATGGGCTGAAGCGGCCTTGCTAAAAATTCTTGGGGATAGGGGATCATTTTGACTTCCATGAAACGAACAAATAATAAGCTACTTCCTGCCTCGAATTAATTAGAGGAGATTTCGCACATTAGAGCTTAAGTTATCTATATATTTTCCATTCCCTCACTTTCTACGTCCTCGCTACACTTAATACGAAGTAGCGGTCTCTTTTAGGAGTGCTTTATATAAACATATTTGATAACCAATATTATTTATCTAAATTTAAGGGGTTTAGACTAATAATACATAAATTTGCAGCTTACCTCATGCCTTGGCTACTATCCCCCCCTTGAATACTTACAGTGGGTCCTGGGATAACACCACCCAAGCACTGGCCATCTCAAGGGTGTATAGCCAATAGCGATTCTGGAGAGCACCTGATATTTCCTAGTTGGGGGTTATAAACGAGGTTTCAGGGTGGCGTTACTAAAGGACCCACTGTAAGTATTCAAGGGGGGGGATAGTATTAAGCTAGCATATCCCTGTAGCCAATAGAATCACTAGAAAAGTATCACGTGCAGACAGAATTTTGCACAATCGTTGTGAGGCGCACAATAGCAGGGTGCTGCACAAGTAGTCGAGGTAAGGTAAAGTGTAGAGTGACGCTTGCAAGTATAACTAATTCCAAGAAGTGGACTCCAACAAGAGACTAATCGATGCCCCCTTCTAAAGCTGTGTGTCTCTCAATATACTCCCTACCGCTTAGCTAGGTATACGCAAGCTCTTTACCTAATCAGGAAATATAATCCGGTTCGGTCCGTGCAATCCGGTGTACCTCTGTAAGCAATGACCCAAATGGGAAACCCAATCCATGACACCTGACGTCCGCTCGTGTTCCGTCACGTGTGCCTATCACAAATCGTTTAACCTTCTTTTCCTTAATATCTTCAATTCTCTCCCTCTCTTCCGCTCTTATTTCCTGTCTTTTTACATTGATATTGCATAAAAACCATGAATTTAAGAATATAATTATGCAAATATATATGGCTAGACCAATATTATTTACATGAATCAAATAGATTTCTGCACCCCTAGAGCTGGGACACTTGGTTTCCCCGAGTGTAAGCGAAGCGAACAGAGAAGGGAGACCGACTATTAAATAATAATAAGCATACGGTGCGTACTCCACCCGCACGTCGGTCGTATCTTCGTCTTCTGATCACGTGGAAGGTACACCTGCCCTCCTACAATACCCGCAAGATAACCTGCCTCGCCATCAAATATCCATCTGCTCATTTTCATTTCAAGCTGCTTTCGCGACAACAGTCTTCGGGTCGCAATTGCGTGCAAGAAAAACAGCACTTGCCAGGAGCTTAATATAATGTATTATAGATCAAGGTACACAAATATGTGGCGATCAGCAATGCGCGTCTCTCGCCGAATCCGGAAATCCCAGCCTTGTCCCTCCCTCTAGAGCGCTCAGAGACCCTAGAGAGACAACATGAGAGGGGTTATCAGTTGCTGCAGCTCGCAACTGGACCTCCCATTCCTTACATTAATATCCATCCTCTTCGGACTCCTTCTCGAGCTGCTTCACTCCTCGAGCTTAGGAACAATCATGACCGAGTCTGGAGGAATCGCCGTTGTAGTAAGTATAGAATACGCAATCTAGAAACAGAGAATAGAAGGTCTCCCATAATGGAATGTTCTTCCTTTGTGTCTATTTTAATATATCTTCTCAAGGCCCTACTTATTAAATATCCTTTACTTATACGTTCATTATATCTTTAACCTTGTTATTATAAAGGAATTATACTTAGCTTCTTCTAACACTAGTTCTCTTCATTTTATCCCATTACTAGTTAATTCAATTTTGTCAAGATAATGGCTAAATAACATAAACGACGCCGTATCCCCTTTGAACCAACTTTCCTTTTTTGATCTTTGCTCTTTAATTTTATTAGTAACCTCACGAAAATTAGCTACATCCTCCTCTCTCATCTATCAATCATTTCACCCAATTCCTCTCGAGAAGATCCAGTTCAAGGTTCTACTCATCTTCATCCTCGTCCTCGTCCTCGTCCTCGTCGCCAGAATCCCACTGGGGATCGGTAACCACGATGCAGAACTCATTCATATCAGGCGCGAACTCCTTCGCCCGATCAAACTTCCTCTTGATATCATGGACCATCAAATCGAAGTGGTCCTCGTTGCCTGCCGCGACGACGCTGGACTTGGCGGGCAGCGCATCCTTGAAGTCGAACCGCAACGTACCAGCGGGCGCGTGGCCCGTCTCTTGCGCGAACCATGCGAAGAATCGCGCGTTGGTGGTGCGGGTGTTCAATGCGGACTTGTCGTAGCTGCGACTGAGCCGGCCGTGGCCGTCGATCTGGATGCGGACGACGATTTTTGCGGTGGAAGGGGGGCTGGCGTCGGTTCTGGGGCGGGCGCTGCGCGTGGGAGCAGGATTCTGGGCTGGAAGGTGTTGTGGCTGGCGTCGTGGATCCGCATCCGGTGGAGCATGGGCATCCATCATGTTATTGTTGGAATTAGGGATGTTTCCTTCTTGTGGGGTTTTGACGTGGGGAGTTGGCACTCGGCTGGGTTCCGTTTTTGAGGGCCCTCCGCGGGAGTTGATGGTATCAGGTGCCGGCGATATGGGAAAACTATTGTGAGATTGTGGTGGTGGGCGAAAAGGAGGTGGACCTCCAGGTTCAGTGGTAGACCGCCGACGAACAGAGTCAGGTGGGAAGCTAGAATTGTTTTGATTCGGTCCAGGTAAATAGGATGATGGTTGATCAGACAGGATGTTCGAAGTTGCGTTAGCAGAGTGCGTTTGTTGTAATTGCTGTTGCATGCCTTCGCTAGTGCTTCCAAAGGCTGCCGACCCAAAAGGTAAGATCAGAATCTCGGCACTGGTTAACGCTGGGTCCAGATCCGCTATTTCTCTAAAGCGCTCCCACGCTGTATCTTTGATGGCTTCAAATACAATTGAATCGCCCTTATTGAGAAGTACTTTCCTCCTCTCCAACTTGGAGTGAACGCGCAGAAAATCAAAGACCAGCTGTGTAGGTGGTGCAATCTTCAAAAAAAGAGAAATCCATTCAAAAAGCTCTGTAACCGTGAGCTTAAACACGTCTCCCGCAAGGAACCTGCATGTGCTCTCCGTCGTGGGTTCACTATTGCTCAGAATCCGGAAAGAATCCATGGTGGTTGGCGGCAGGTGAATAGAGACCATCTCATTGTACTTCTTCCAAGATTGTTGATCGTCGACGAGGAGTGTAGAATTAGATAATTTTATTCCAGATCCCAAGCCTTGCTGAGCCAACGGTGGACCCACCGACTGGTTCTGCATTGGAGCGGGAGGTGGCTGGCGTATATGTTGTGATGAATTCCAAGGAGATGAGGATGGTTTTTGCTGATCTGAAGTCAGAAATTGTAGGGACGATGGCCCTGCAACCGGATCCGAAGCACCCGTGGGGCACGGACTTTGATGTTGCATTGATACAGCTGAAATTGATGGCGAATCTTGGGCAAGGGATGGAGGAGGGTTTAAAGCTTGAGCTGGAGGAGGTGGGCCAGGCGGCCTTTGATTTTGAGGAATTATCGACGGGGGAGGTAGTGGGGGGCCGCGAGATGGACTCTCAGGTTGATTGGCGATGGGAGGAGATGGCTGAGGGGCAGAAGAGTTTCGATTTTGAGTAGATACGGGGTGAAGAGGTGGAGGTGGAGGTGGTGGTGGACCATGACTGTGATATAGAGTACGAGGGGGTGGCGGAGGGCCATTTGGCCATGCATTTTGGGGTGACATAGGTGGTGGACCTGGCGAAGCCTGGTTCTGATTGGAAGTGCGCAGAGGGGGCGGCGGAGGGCCATTTGGCCATGCATTTTGAGAGACGGGGGGAAGTGGTGGACCCTGGCTGTGAGATAATGCCCGTGGAGGTGGCGGAGGGCCATTTGGCCATGCATTTTGGGGTGACATAGGTGGTGGTGGACCTGGTGAAGCCTGACTGGAAGTGCACAGAGGGGGCGGCGGAAGGCCATTTGGCCATGCATTCTGAGAGGTAGGGGGAGGTGGTGGACGTTGAGGGGGTGGAGGAGGGCCATTTGGCCATAGATTCTGAGAGACAGGAGGAGGGGGTGGACCTTGGCTTTGAGGTAATGCCCGTGGAGGTGGTGGAGGGGGTGGCGGAGGGCCATTTGGCCATGCATTCTGAGAGACAGGGGGAGGACGTTGAGGGGGCGGAGGAGGGCCATTTGGCCATAGATTCTGAGAGATAGGGAGAGATGGTAGAACCTGACTTTGAGTTAGAGCCCGCGGAGGGGCCGGAGGGGGCGGCGGAGGACCATTTGGCCATGCATTTTGAGATGGCGGCCCAGGAGGTACCGGTCTTGTTGATTCGGCGTCTCGAGATTGGTCGGTTCTTCTAGGGACCGGCACTGGAGGATGCCCTGCGACGGTCTGGGCCATGTTAAAGAACTGGCTGAACCGTCTTTCAAAGGGAAGTTGACTATCCCCGCCGTTTTGGGACGAATTTTGAGGATACTCCATTCCTTGGGGTGCGTTCGCAACTCTGTCTAAGAAGTTGGACGAGTCAGAGTTCTCTGAAGATGTTGGTGAATAGCTTCCCTCCGAGATACCAGAGTCGTCAGGACTAGTTATTCCACCACCAGTCTGGTCCAAAGGACTGGCTTGGACCCTATCTGCAAATGGTTGCTGGTGGTTCGGTGGGCTCAAAGTTTGAGATACCTGTGCCGCAATTTGAGCTGTCAAGGAATGATATGTCCTTTCAGCCTGGCTGGTTTCTGGCGCATTGTCCAGTGAGGAATTTACCAGTCGAGAGATTGAATTCGAATTGTGAAGGCTGTTCTCTCGTTCTTGGGGCTTGGAGGATGAAATCACTTGTCCATGATTGCCGATAGGATTGAGGGTCGTATTTGTGATGTCCATGGTGATTGTTTGACCAGTTGAGGAGGGGCTTTCCATGAAGGGACTGCCAGTTTGATTCATATTCCGGCCAGCTAAGGGCTTAAGTGATGCTGCCTGATCGAGACCTTCGACCGCGGGTGCATGTCGATCAGAAGATATTGTTTTAGAATGACTCGGACTCCAGCTTGTGGCGTTAGTCGGATATCCCCCATGGGTAGAGCGCCCAGCAGGCGCTGGACATCCGTGGGGTTCGGTGGCAAAGCCAGGGTCCCGGTTATTTTGCGTGAGCTGCATCCCTTCCTGGGAGGCTCCTCTGACTTCTTCCGCTGGACCCAGCGCAGAGAGTGCGTCTCGGGCTGTCATAACCTGAGACTTGAATTTATTCATATATCCCGCGGGAATATTGCGGCTCGTAGGTTGTCGGCCACCTGAGGGAGTAGAAGCTGAAACTACGGTCGTGTGTCTTGTATTTTCATCTGCCGAATCTCTTTCAGGACTCGTCACATAGAGAATTTCGCAGTCGACTTCAATCGAATCGCCTCCATCATCCTCTCCTAGATCTGATTCCGCCACGCGTACTCGTTTAGGAGAATTTGATGACCGAGCTTCTTGCATGCTTGCAGCACTTCTCTGGAAATGAATCAGTACGATCTCATACTTATAGGAGGATAAATCAAAACCTTTCGAGAACCCAAACCACCCAAGCTGGCAGTGTCCCCTTGTCCAAATCCAGAGTAGATTGGTTCAAAAACCTGTGCTTCGGCTGCTGCCAAACGTCTCACGCGAGCTGCGTGGATTGCGCGGTCCCAAAGATATTGGAAAACTTCGGTCTTCCTCGTCACATTGTTGCGAGCAACTAGCAACCCATCGCGCTTCCAGATCTTCGTTGATGTAGCTATCAAGCCTCTGCACTTGTCAGGGACTTTTTGTTCCCAGTTCCTAGTAATGGGCACACCGGCCTGGGATTTTACCAAATCCACCAAATCGACGAAAACGGGGTCGTCCGAGGTGCTGACTTGATACAAATTCTTCTCGTGCATATATCGGTGGACTTGGCGTTGTACATCTGGCGGGCATGGAGCTTCCTATGTTCTTACTTAGCACAATCCAAACTCGTCGATTCAAAGGGAAATGGCCGCTTCTACCTCTTTGAGCCAATCGACGCCATTGAAGCTTTCATCATCAGACAGGTCCTCTTCGGCTGAGAGCCGAAGGGACATGATGTGGTCTTTACATCTTTGCTGGAGTTCTGGGTCGTGTTGCTTGTTGGCTACAGAATCCCCGGTGGCAGGGTGCTTATTGCTGCTGGAATCGTGGGATTTCAGACTTCGTTTCTGAGACCCGGGGCTAAAACGGAATAAGTAACAGCAAAGACAACGTCGCAAATCTCAGATTTTCAAAGATGCCATTTATGGTGCACATGATGTCAAGAGGCAATGCTTATTGATCTGAGATGCACTTATGGCACTGCTTCACGTGGAGGATTAACTTACGGCATTGTCTTGGAGAGACACCCGTACTCGTGTCGACCGGGCTGCGGTGGTTGGGAAAGCCTCGGGATAGCCTTGGACAGTCGTGAGCCGGGGGAGAAGATATCCCGGCTCAATACTGGGGTGTCTTTTGCGGACTGAGCTACAGGTATCTCTCGTGATTGTTTTGGACAAAGGGGGGGAGCTTGGTTGTCGTGGGCGTGGGCGTGGTCTTCTCGGAAAGCGGAGAAGAGAGTGCTGCCCGACAAGAGTCCCAGCCAGAGCGGAGATAATCTACAGTAGACGCGATTGACGAGGCGCAGCCCCCACGCAGCCATCGGCGATGAAGGAGGCTCTGCCATGGTCCGAGTCACTCACAGGCCAGGCCCCCCCGGTGACAATGCTGGCCGCCCTGCAGGCGACTGGCTCCTGCTGCAGCCTGGCACCTATGGCAAGAGCGAACCTAACTTTGCTACAGTGCTATCTCGGCATCCCGGGGGTCGTCGGCATCGGGGTGCCGCTGATCGGGACGCCCCAAAATTACAGTGGACAGGGGCCGGCCAAGCTCTGACTCGGGAGGCACGAGAATAGAGCAGCATCTACCGGGCAGGCTCGAGGCACAACGAGTGCCGCCCATCAAAAGGCCGAACTGAATCGTTATTCGCCGTTTCGACCTTTTGGCGTTCTGATGGAATGCCCCTAAAATCACGTCCTAATAGCGGACTCACGTGTCAGATGAGGTGCAGGTGGCCAGTTAAGGAGTGGCCGTCGACAGTGATTGCTCCGAGAGAATAATGTCCAAAGCTCACTGATCAGTTCGATGCTACTGTCGAGGAGCAATCTTTTAAATGTCTCAGAAGCTTCTGAGCAGCTCGAATCCCACTGTCAGTAATAGCCTCAATCTTTGTTGAACTAGCTAAGTAATAAAGCTAGGGTCACGTGCTTGCAATGTAAACCAAGTAAAACGTACTGAATTGACTGCTGTTCTACAGTGGTAAGTAGCCCGTATATATAGCCCTGAACCCCCTAAGTCACATGCACTAAACCCCTAAACCAGAGAGCCTTATACTGAACCATTCAACCTCAGCTGAACTGATTTAGCCTCACAGGGCATAATCTACTCAGTAATAAGCCTATGGCTTAAGCCCCATTAGTACACAGCCCCTAAGGCTCTGTTCCAGGGCTTACTAAGCCTATTAGGGGCCTCAGGCCCCTAATTTCAACAATCTTCTCTCTCTCTTAGTTGAGACTTCAGAATCAAGCTGTCTTAAGTGCACAATCTGTCATCACGCGTCACCCGAAGCTCCGATGCACTCGACTCGAGTCAGCTTCAACATTGGTGCCTGGCCTGTTGGCCTTGGAAAAAGTTCCGCAAGAGAATCCCATCACCGTCATTGAATCGAATTTAAAATGTGTTGTTCTATACCTGTCTAGTCAGAGGGAAAGGGGTTTCAATTTAGAGATCTATATATCTACGTACTCTCATTGTCTTAGGATCATCTTCTCTCCTGTGCCTTAAACATCCTCCACCTGCACATCCGTCGTATCTTCCGCCTTCGTATCACGAGGAAAGTACACCTGTCCTCCTGTAATACCCGCAAGATGAGCCTCCTCATAGGCCTTGCGCTTCGCAATAGCGAACCTCGGCGTGTTAGGTCCAAACAACAACTCCATGTCCTCCAACACAACTCCCTTCGTCTCAGGCACGAGGAAGTACGCAAACAGAAGTGCACATACCGTGCAAGCAGCAAAGAAGAAGAAAATTCCCTGTTTAATGCTCTTCACCATGTACGGAAGCGAGTACACGATCATGAATTGCGCGAGCCATTGCATGCAGACAGTGCACATCATTCCCAGACCACGGACCCGCGTTGGGAGCACCTCGGAAGCAAAGATCCACGGGATGCCGTTCCATGAGAAGCCGTAGAAGATGGCGTATAGGTATATCATGGCGACAGCGGCGTTGGCTCCTGCACCTTTGGGAGGTGCCACGACGAAGGAATTGGTGACCGTGGAGAAAATGCCCAGATAGAGCATACAGCCAAAAGAACCGACGGCACCGATGAGAAGAGCAGGTCTGCGTCCAAAGCGATCGACGAAGAAGAGCATGAAGATGACAGTAGTCATCATCTTGATGAGGCCGTACACGCCAGTAGCGAGGAGAGAAGTTGATGTCCCAGTGAAGCCGATACCCTTGAAGATCGTGGGACTGTAATAGTTGATGGCGTTGATGCCTGTTAGGTTTTGGAGTAGATGAAGAGCGACACAAATCAGGATACGGTTCCTGATGCTTGCTTCCTTGAGCTCTCCAAAGGTTTGAAAAACAGATGTCTTGCCGTTTGTGAGATCAAGCTCGTGTTGGACTTGGTCCTGCATTTCCTTGATTTCCCATTGGATGTACTCATGCTCTGGTGATAGATTCCGAACCCAGCTCAGGGCTTTGAGAGCTTCAGCTTCGCGACCTTTGGAGACGAGCCATCTTGGGGATTCGATGAGGAAAGGTAGGGACAGTACCAGCAACCCGGATGGAATGAACTGAATAGCGACAGGAATGTGCCATTGAAGTGGATTCGTTCCAGCGATATCTTTGTTCACGCCATAGTTGACCCAGAAGCCAAATACAAGCGCAATCTGCAACATAATCTCGAAGATTCCGACGAGACGGCCACGGATTGGTGCTGGTGCGCACTCGGAGATATAAATGGGCAGAAGAACGGAGGAGCCGCCGACACCTAGACCGGTGAGGGCACGGCCAGCATAGAGCAATCCGATCTTTCCAATCATCTGGAGGATAACACCGATCATGAAGACGATGCCTGAGCCGCCGATGGTCCAACGACGACCGAAGCGCTCGGAGAAGAAGGTCCCGATGATGACGCCGAAAAACGCTCCACCCTGGAAGGTCGACACGATATTGGATGAGAGGCTGGCACTGGCTGCTGCGTTGAGACCAAATGCTGTTTTGAATGATGGCAAGGCGAGAGTGCCACCGATGAAGGCGGAATCATAGCCATACATGGCGGACGCCTGGAGGAGGTTAGCAAAGGATACGTTGAGATGGCGCACAGTAGGAGTACCCATGTAGCACCGAACGCGACGGCATAAATGCGCCATCCGAATGCTTCTCTTGGGACTGGATTCTGAGGGTCCTCCTCGATGGCGAAAGGGTTCCTCATGGCTGCGATTCTATGTATATCGTTCGAACGAAGCACGAATGGCTAAGTAACTGTACTTCTGGCAGGAAGCGGACAGAGATTGGGGATGGGAGGATGGGCGATACTTCAAGAAAATTTTAACGAGAGGAGGCCTATGGGGAAGTAGAGTGGGATGTGGAGAGGCGGAGTTGTCCTGACTAGGACATCTCTTGGCTGGGGATAAAAAAGCATCCGAAGCAAGTCGTTAGGCCGCTTGAACACGTTGCTGAGAGTGCTGAAATGAGCGGGCACACTGGCACAGTTCTCACGCGTTGGCAATTCTGGGTCTGCGGAGATTGACTGCATTTCCGTGTGTGGATAAAACTTGACCCATCGTCTCTACTCCACTCTGGGCCCTGTCCTAAGTACGGTTATTAGGCTCGCTTAGGAATAGGGGGCGGGGTCTGGGGTAAGCGAGGTTGCGAACTCACGCTAATGGAGAACTACCGGTAATTCAACGCTTCACCCTTCTCTCCTTCTCAGAATTTTGTTATGTTCTTTTTGTCTATACCATTGTTCAAAAAGAATTCCGATATAAGGAGAGCGACACAGTTCCGAAGTGATTATATTGTAAGTAAATGTAAACCCGACTACTTACCTCTCATAATATTGACCTTCCGCAGTTTGCCCAGCATCATGGTTCTTCCGACGGCACCATTCATCCGTCAATGTTTTGGCGGATCCAATTTTCTGGTCCGATGGTCCGCTTTAAAAATCTGCAGAGCCGCTTGCCCCAACTCGTGACTCTTGGCGTTCGGCCTATTGGAATTTTTGGGTCCTTGGCTCTCCCACTCTTGAACCCCTTGGGACCCCCATCCTCGCGGAGACTCGGTACAGCCATCGCACATTTCAAATGACTTGCTTAGAATTTCCTTGGCTCCGGGTAAAGAAGATTCCGCGACAACATGCCAATGATGCATTCAAAGGCATGGTATTTCACCACCAAGCAAAATCCAAAACTATAATCATGTCCACTCCTATCATCCAAACACCTATCGCCGACCGGCTTTCTGGCCAAGTCGCACTCATAACCGGCGCCGCTGGGAATATCGGTCTTGCAACTGCCTCGCGTTTCCTCCAAGAAGGCGCGAAAGTCGCGTTGGTAGACATCAGTCCCGCTGGTTTGGAACAAGCGCTGTCGACACTTACGAAATTGGATCTTCCAAAAGATGTGACGCCTGAATCGCATATTCTGTGTATCCAAGCCGATGTCACGAGTGCGGACGGTGTGCAGAAGTATGTTAACGAAACGGTAAAAGCTTGGGGTAGACTCGATACAGCATTTCTCTGTGCTGGGTTCTCGTATAGTTCGACAAGTATTTTCGATACAACTGAAGAGACTTGGGACAAGGTAATGAAGATAAACACCAGATCTGGTATGTCCCCTTTCTTGCTTTTACAAGACCAATCTGACGTGTGTCCCAGCATTTCTAGGTATCAAATATGTCGCGACGGCCATGCGTGAACTGAAGACTGGCGGAAGCATAATTCTCGCCTCTTCCATTGCTGGATTAAGGGCAACACCAGGTTTATCTGCATACAGCTCAGCAAAATACGCACTTCGTGGACTTTGTCAGACGACAGCTGCGGAGCTGGGTCAGTATGGCATTCGCGTGAATACTATCCACCCGTGTGGAGTGAACACGCCCATGTTCCAGGCGACATGGAGCCCTGAAAAGATGGCTGATCTGCTGTCACGAGTGCCGTTGGGGAGATGGGCGAATGTCGAGGACGTGGCGGCTGTGGTTGCTTTCTTAGCGAGTAAAGACGCATGCTTTCTGAGCGGTGTCGCGTTGAAGATTGATGGAGGGGCTGTCACTTTCTAAAAAAGGATAGAAAATAGGTGTTATTTACTGCTCTAGATGTCATAATGCCCCATCCAGGGTCCCCAAAAAAGAGAAAAAATCCACCCAAAAGTAACCCGTTGTGCACACTGTTGTTTTCGTGAATCTAACTGTACTTTCTCGGATCGTTCTCCGAAAATCTATGAATAACAATCCCCTTCAACACCATGACTAATTTTCATTCAATAACACGTGCTCCAGCTTCCTTTAATAACACTAGCCTGGTATGCCACTATCCACTCGGGTATACGTTCTCCCCCATTTTCTCCCGCCAAGGCTCCACTTAAAATCCAGTGAGTGACCTTGGCTTTCCTTCAAACCTCAGCCTTCGACTGGCGCCTCGTGTGCAACGACACAAAGCAAATGCTACCCAACAGCAAGTTTACAGAGTGCGTTGCTTGACTTAATCACACTCCTCTACAAGTCGCCCGACCGGCCAAACACATCGATTCCAGGACGCACCCCAACTTCCAGGAAAATGGCAAACCTCTCTTACAAGAACAAGCTAGCCATAGCCTCGGTATCTCTAGGCATGCACGCCACCCACAGCCTCTCAGAAAAAATCTTAGCCGCATCCCGCAACCACTTCTCAGGCATCGAAATTGTGTACTCTGATCTCGAGGCCTGGTGCACAATCCAATCACTTCCCCTCATCGCAGGCGCCCACTCCATCAGAGACCTTTGCAAATCTCACAATCTCACCATCCTCTCCCTCGCACCATTCAAGAACTTCGAAGCCCACACCTCACCCCTCTCCACTCGTCTGGACACCGCAAAACACTGGCTAGAAATCGCACAAGCGCTAGGTGCCACTTATCTCCAAGTTCCTTCTCAATTCGATACCGAGAATTGCATCGATGATGAAGAACTCGCTGTCAAGGAACTTCAAGCGCTGGCTGACCTTGCCTCCGAGTTTGGCGTGAGTATTGCATATGAAGCCGTTGCGTGGGGCGAGTACATTGCCACATGGCAAGACTCACTCCGGATCATTAAGAAAGTCAACCGCGCGAATTTTGGCATGTGTTGGGATGCGTTTCATGTCCTGGCTCGGGTATGGGGAGATTGTACTGTTCCGTCTGGGAAGATTGAGGGTGGCGATGCAGCCTTGAAGAAGAGTTTGGGGGAATTAGTGGAGGTGCTGAAGGGAGAGGATGCGGAGAAGATTTTCTATGTACAGCTTTCTGATGGGGAGTTTTATCGCCCTCCTTTGGAGAGAGGGCATAGGTTTTGGGTGGAAGGGATGGATTCGAGATTAGTGTGGTCTCGCAATACGAGGCCGTTTCCGTTAGAAAGACAGCTTGGGGGTTATCTTCCGATTGCTGAAGCTTTACGGGCTATTTTAGTAGAAGGAGGGTTCAAGGGGTGGGTTTCTTTTGAGGTTTTTGATTGGAGGATGAGAGAGGAACAGTTTATGCCCGAGGATGCCGCTCAAAGGGGCTGGAAGAGTTGGATAGAGCTAAATAAATATTAAAGGGTGAAAAGCAGCCAAGAGAGATGATACTTTTATGATCTCAATGCTCATCTTTTCCTCCTCTTACAAATGAGTAAAAGGGCGTTCGTCGTAAGAAGCTGACAAAATGATGTTACTTAATATCACAAGCAGAGTTTGTTCGCAATCACATTTTCATTTTGTTCACTAGAATATTTCATTGTTCCTAATCAAGTAGCAGCAAAGCGGCCTAGCCCGTCGAGTTTCCGAGCGTAATGATCCGAAGAACTACATAATAGAGTATCAAAAAGTGCATCTCTGTATCAGTGTGGATAGGGATCGAATCTCTCATGTGGCTCGGGGCACAATCAAATAGCAGGCTTAGGGTCGAAGTCGCAGTCCTGAGTGTCTGACGGACCGCCAGCATCGATGATGCCCTGTTTAATACACTGTAGACCCTTCGGAAGCTCGATCTCCATCACATAGAACTCGAAGACCTCGTCTGATGTCCACTCTGTGCCATGAGGTCGGATCATCCAAGTCTTGTCAAGAGCACTGGTTTTCCAATTTACGATGTCTACCTGCCCCTGGCAGCGCAAGTCCAAGGCAGTCTCCAGGGCTAAGACATTGCGGTTTGTAGTTATGTAGTTTGTCCAAATACTGACGTTAACTCCTCCTCCAGCAAATGCTAAGGCTGAACAAGTTGCGTGCGGAACTGAGTCTTGGGTTGGTGATGAAGTTGGTCTGAGTGGCGGTGTACCAGTAGCTGTCTCACTTTGTGGCACCGAGATAGTCTTGACCGGAGTGATCGTTGCTGAAAATCCAACTGTCGTGCTCGTTGACGTACTTAACGTCGCCGAATGAATGTAGGTGGAGGCGGGCCGCTCTGTCACCGTCAATGTGATTGTGATTGTGCTATTGTGTGGCTTAGGTACCGTGTTCAGTTTGTGACCAAGTATTCCGGCGACAGCAGCCAAACCGACAATGACCAACGTCAGAATGATCACCAGAACAAAGAGGTATCGTCTCGCGTTCTTCTGCGGTGCGAAGAATTGGAAGTCAAAAGCTTCCTCTTGTGCCGCCCCAGGGGCTCCAGGGGCTCCAGGGGCTCCAGGGACTCCAGGGACTCCAACTGCTTCTCGATTATGGTTTGCTCCTGGCTCTTGAGGTGGAAGATTGTCCATCTCGTATGATCCGGTGCCGGGGTAGTTCGGAGGAGGTGTGAAGTACTCCGTAATACGTCGGTTAGATGTATCTGCTCCTGTAAAGGGGAGGTCTCCTTCTTGGTGGGCTTTGGCGTCCGACATTCTGATACTCGTCTCTGTGGTGCGGAGATCGCTTCAAAAGCATTACTCCTGGGTGATTTAATCTATGCACGGGACATTCACCACTGAAAATCCGCGAGAAGTTGAATATTACGCAAATTAAGATCGAAAAAGTGTCGGGAATGAATATGAGATGTGTTTCACTGTTTTATTTAAGAATACGAAGTGTGATTGTTTCCAGTGAATCAAGAACAATGTGGGTTCTTTGTCACACACAAGTCTATTGTGTGAACCAACAAAACAAAACGGAGCCGAGCCACCATTAGCTGCAAAAGCCTTTATTTGGTGATTAATCTATAAACAATGATTTATATTTTCACAGTTCGATAAAAGTTCAGCAACCTGCTCGTTTCAAAGAACTCGACGATCCAGGGGCTTCCAGATTGGCAGATAATTTCGCGGCTCAGACAGAGGTTGTGAAATATCTTTTTGAGGTTGATGCTCAGGATATCGGTGCTGTCGATACCCATGGAAACTCGGCGCTGCATTACCTTGCAAGTCACAGATGTGTGAAGACTGACTTGGCTGAGTGGATACGTGGTTTCCCTAAGGCTGAAGACACTTGGAAGAATGTCAGAATATTTTACGGGCACACAGCTGAACGGTATGTTGATGCTGTGGCGTTGTGGCCCAGAGAATAGGGATTAGAAAAGAGAGCAGTGCAGGACATACCAACCTTTTGCAGAAAGGTGGACTATGCTCTGGAATGGGCAATCAAAAAATTGGAGTGGTGGGGAGTTAAGCTTTTCCATGAACGAAAGATTGATGAAAGAGGAAGGTGTAACGAGTAAATGACCGGCGCTTGATTTGCGGATCTTATTGCACTGCCGGTCTACAGAAATGTCGGAACAGCTACTCTCGATTAATGAGTGACAAGATTTGTGTTTCTCTAGTTTGCAAGGGCTTTCATTTTGTTACTTTTCTTGCCATTTTTACCCGTCTTGCGCCATCCCAGAAAATAGCGCGCATTCTCATTCAGATTGATTCCTGTATCAAATTTCAAAAATCCTTTCGTGCCTCAAATTGTGCCCCGATTCCAGCCAAATCTCTGCGAAAATGTTCTTTCCTGCAAGTATACCCGTAATCCAACGAAGCCTTTGTACAAGACCAGTCTGGAGTGCTAGCTTCTATAAAGAGGCATTGCAAATCGAGCACATACTGCGGTTGTACCACAGCCGTTGAGTATGAGTAGTGTCTGAATGTCGAGCAGCCGTGCTGATCGACGAGAGCTTGGTGCATGGCTGTTGACACCTCGAGACCAAGGCTGGTGCATCCAGAGATCACATCCGTCGAATATTGTCGATTGTATAAAGTTTGTTGACTGGTGGTGGTAGTCGAGCTAAAGGATTCGATATTGTGGTTAAATTGCACCAAATGGTACTTGAGGGAGTTTGCGGTGGAGGATTGCCCGCAGGAGAGTCCTTTCTCGTTGGTGGCCAGTGATTTGCATGCTGAAGAACCCTGAGACTTGGAACATTTCGAAGGTTGTTTAAATGGGCTTGAACCTGAATGAGTCCTATTGTATGTTGGCGATCTGCCTCAATGTCAGTCGCACATATATAAAGAGGAGACCACCTCAAAACATTGTGATTATACCTGCGAGCTGAAGACATTCTGGAACCTTGTGACGGCATCATGAACTTCAGTCGACTCGATTGCGCGTGTTGAATAATGAAATAGAGACGAAGTAAAATAATTTTGAGATAATACGTCTACCTATACTTATACACCTTGAACCAGGAGACTTTGAGCTTGGCGACTTACCAGTTGGGGGCCTTAACTCAAGCCTGATGGGTGGCCTCCCAAATAAATTCAGTGAGCCTTGAACTATTCACAATGGCCAATTATAGCAAACGTGAATTTATTGTATCAAAGGAACGATTGTGATGGCGATAGCCTGGATTGGAGGCCTCCGAAAGGGTGGCCTCCCAGCCATTGAAAAGAAAAACTGTGTGCCCTGCAAATCCCTGCAACACCCCTGTTCTGCTCGAGTAGTATTCCTAGAACATGGGTATACGCCCAAAGCGGTAATGACAGGAGACCAATTCTGATTAAAATGCATAAGCACCTTCTCTGGGCAAACCCTAGAACGGGTGCTTATGCATTTGAGAATTTGATTCCCTTCTAAGCCCCTTGCCCCGCAATTAGCAAGCTAATTTTTGTAATTTTATCGTAAAGTAAGGCTTTATTTTTCGGCTATTCTTTAGCCCCCGGCACGTGCACTAAAGACGGGCAAGAAGCACGTCCCTCTCTTACCCTCAAGAATCGCTTAAAAAGTATATCCTCAACGCACGCGCATGCTCAAGGTATACGCATACGCTCCGTACGCTGTCGCGCGCCGGAGGCGCATGACGGGGTGCCCCTAGCCTATTAAGGTCCTGGTATTGATAGAGATAACCCTTAGAGTCTCCCAGAATTAGCACGATGGCTAGTTGCTAACTTGTATTTGAGATACAGGAAAATATACTCGGAAAAATCCATTTCAAGGATCGAAAAGCCAGTATAAGTTGATAGCAATGAGCATTCCTCCTAATTGATTATTTTAGTATTGTGCTATCGAAGAGAAATTTGTTGTTGATCCGATGCGCCTGAGCGCCGCTCTTGACGAGGATGGTCATGTGACGCAGAGCGATGTTTTAAATCAGTCAACTTTGGAAATAGAATCTGAATCGTTTTCTGTACTCTTGGGTAGGGTAATCAGCAATGCTTGAACAGCACTAGTCTTAAAAACCGTAGAAAGATCATCTTCGCTGTAACGCCTTTCCCTGTTGAGCGAGGCTTTGTTTCAGGGGATTGAAAACAATAATGGAGGCCTCCCCCCTCACTCAGCAAACTTCTCCAACTCCACCAATAAGAAGTAGCTGCTCGCGATGGGCCAATAATGTTGTGCGCAGCGAAGACGCAGTACATCAATCAAAAGGCGGTCGAATTTTCTAGACGGAGGCCACCCATATTTTTGTGCCCAATCACGAAAATTTGTAACCGATGTGCCGTCTAGCAGCCTCATCTACCAAAGTTGGTAATGACTTGTTTGCTGACTTCACCAATCCTGGCCTGTTCCTTCATTATCTCTTCCGTCGCAAAGCAAGGATCATTCTAGCGAATATCCGGTAGAACATCGGAGCTTCTCCCTCCGGCGGCCAGCCTCGCAGGTTCACCTCGTTTTCAGCGGGGATAAGACTGCACTTATCCCATCACAATGCAGCCAGGTCTTCGGCACGCCTGTTCACATAAACCTCCAGGCAGTCTTGGGGAACTTCGGGGACCAAAGCTTAGAAAGCCTTCCACAACAATATCTCACTTCATAAGTCTGCCCCGCAAACCAAGAAAGGTACATAGATAACGACTCCCATGTCACACTTTCAGGCTTATTCGAAACACATTAGGATCCGAGCTGCATAGATCCTCTTCCCTCCGAGTCCGGATATTCGATTCTTTGGGAAGTAACGCCAACCTAGGTCCAGGAACTCACCTGAAGCTGGGGCCACCGATGACAACCCAAGGTCAAGAGGCTGGCATCATTGCCAATCACTATGAACTTATGGGGCCGAATAGCATGCGAAGTAGTCGGGGCTGCAAACTTGATGGAGCCGATGATATGCCTTTGTTTGAAAACTACGAAATGCGACTCACGAATTTAGAAGAGAAGACTCAGAGAATATATACGACAGCGCAACAGGACGACGACGGGATGACGATCCCTCGAGGGCCAAATCTGGATCTGCTTCCCGGCCCTGCTTGCTTGGAAAACCCCCTACCATCCGTCCAATACCTCGACGGCCACCCCGTCACTCCACAAAACTATCCACTGCCAATGGAAACCTTTGAGCGAACCAAGCACGGATTCACTGCCCCTTATCACTCATATTTCCCCCAGATATCATCTTGCTTTTCAAGAACTAAAGGCAGTGTCTCTTTCCAAGAGAGTAGTGAATCAGAGGGTGATATATCAAGCCTGCAGAATTGCTTGACACTCTCCTGGCCTCAAGCTCATGCTGGACTTCAATTCCAGGCCCGACATCCAAGTCCCCTGAGGATTTCTCAAGCCGGGGGTCGTCAAGGTAGTGCTTCCCAAAGCCCTCAGAAGCTTGCTCTAGCCAGAAAACGCCCTCGAAAGAAGCAGCAACTTAACTGTCCTTCCTGCGCTAAAGTCTTCTCACGTCCTTGCGATCTCAAGTAATTACTCTGCCCCGCAAGCCTCTGAAAGGAATTGTCACTGATTGCTATAACAGGAAGCACGGCAGGACACACGAGCGTACTTTCATGTGCAGCATCAACGGCTGCACTAATACTCAAGGCTTTGGTCTGCGCAAAGATCTCCGGAGACACATCGACACCGTCCACCTCAGAGCCACCTTCACTTGCCATTTTACTTCTTGTGGAGAGACATTTTCGAGATCTGATAATTGCCTCCGACATTTCGAGGAGCAGCACGTCTAGGACCCCGGACGTTGAGGCCGTCGTCTATGACTACAACTCTGCAGGAATATTCAGACAGCCTGCACAAACAAGTTTGCAGACCATATGTGCGAATTCATGTGTCCTGGAACCCCGATGTCTTCCACATCCTCCACATCTGTTGCTGCGCTCACCGATACGAATGCGCTCAGCCAACTTACCGATACAGTTAAGGACTCAGAAGAGAAGAAGGGACGAGCCCAATATTATCTAGTTGAGGGACTAAAGCTAATATCCTTCAGCTCTTTGGGACCGAGATGGACACCATTTGTGCCCTTTTCTCGAAGATACTGAATAACAAGGCGCAGAGGAGCACAATGAGTGGACCTGTTCTGGTAAGCTCCCTTGCGATCGTGGAAGGGGCGTGAGAATAATGCTTTCAGTGCCTAGTGGAGCATCATGATCTTGGTTCTCTTGAATGGTTCGCCCTTCTTCTGTTGGCCTGGACGGCAGCCATTTTTAGGAATGCAGCTTTCAGAAATTACCAACCCCTTGTATATTCGAGCATAGTGGAGATACTTGACCCTTATATATCGAAATAGCAGATTCTTGGAAAACCTCTTAGCCCACTCTCCAACGGCTCGCCCTCGAACAGGATGTCCCTCCTGGGCGCTGCTCTTCAGCCCTTGTCCGACCACCTTGTCAAGGAATTCACATAAGTTTCCAATGAATATTCGCACTCCAAAAACTTATTGCCAACCAATGCTGAATATATGGTGAGCCTCAACCACGGAGAGTCAAAGGTAATTTGGAATTCTTCAACGTCCAAACTTTCGCATGAAAAAATATTCTCACCACGAGCATGTGCTTAAGCTCAACATTGATATCCTGATCATGGATTTGAGTTCATCTGCGACGTACTACTTCATAGAGCAAGGGACAGAACGGTGAACGGGGACATCTCAGACCCTCAAATTTCCACAGAACACAAAACTAGCAAGTTGCTTGATCGAGAGAATGATCGCGTTCTGGTCCATCCATGGGTTCCTTCGAGAACTTGGCTTTATAGGATAAGCACGCCGAGCTCGAAAACAAAAGTCTGACCAAGGTTGGGGATGGCTTCGAGACCGCGCTTCGCAAAGGTGGGTTGAAAGCTATAAGTGCAAAAGCGCACTGAAGCAGTTACTTACCTACCTACCGCCTTTGAACGTATTCGAGGTAAATTGCGGCTGCAGTCTTGCAATGGCCTGACGCATATAAGAAATCGATAGTTGCCATCACGGCTTGACAACCTAGTACATTTCTTTCTAGATATTTAATTATTTCGTTACTGATAGAAAAATTGTTCATTTGTGTGCGCAAATACCCTTCATTAGACAGGCTCAGGATGTCCACAAGAGTTCATTCCACGCATTGATTGATTTTGCTTGTTTGCACAATGAGGAAATATTTATTCTTCGGGGAAGTACCAAGGCCTGAATCATATGAAAAATATGTATTCTTTTAAGACCTCTCCGTAGGATAATGGGTGTAAGGTTCATCTAGATGGAGATTGTTTTGATTTGTTTCAATTTTGTGCTACTTCTTCTTATGTCTTGCACCATCCATTGACCTCCACCTCTTCTCCCGAGCCTAGCAGCTTCCCTTCACTCCCTACCCAGATCGTGTACACCAGCAGGGTCATTGTAGTGGACTGGGATACCCAGGTTCAACACTCTGGACATCATGGCTATGCCATTTTGCGGTTGGGGATGTCCTGCTTCTCTTCTTGTTCCAAATGGATCAGGTACACTGTCATTTATCAATCTCCAGATCTCAACATGTTCGTCAAGGAAGAGAACGTACAGTACTTACTTGGGGTTTCAATTTCCCTCCTTTCTGTCCCCATGTTGTGTGTGATTGTTACTGCGCCTAGCAACGCCTTTAGGTCTCGTTATTTGTCGTAGCAGCATCGAATGCGTCAAGTAGTGACTGCACTGAAGCGATATGGGCCTTGATACTCTCTTTGGCAGAAATACGGCGGTGAAGCGTTTGGGTTTCGGAAGTGTCATTGAGCCACGATAATACCCTTAGCATAAATAATTCGTGCGTTTTGATAGATACAGAGTTCGAAGAAGATGTTGACGGATAGCTGGGATCTGCGGGGTCTTCATTGGAAGCTGGAGCATCCCGAATGGAGCTGAGGCTCTTGATTAGCATTGCATGAAAACCATCGGGTGTATGTGGAAGCTGGACCCAAAGTGCCGCAGCGTGGAAGAGACATACTCTGTGACTGATCCATTGACCCCAAGTGTGGATGAAGCATAGGAAACCATGGCTGGGTGAACTAAAGAGAAGGGGTGCTTCTTATTGAAAGGAGTGAAACGAGTAATGAAGGAATGCTGGAGCGAGCATGAAGTAGTATGCAAAGTTGACTACTGCCGAAGATATTCGAAGAGCTATATACGAAATAAATAGATAAGGGGGGAGACTGAGTTATACTCTGTACAAGTAAGCGCTCGGTAAAGATAACGAACACATCAAAAACTCAATCGTTCAGGCCCAAACTCTCCCTCCCCCTTCAAGGCGCATACTTTCCCATACAAGAGCCGTACCCCGTACCTTGGAAGAGCCAATCATACGCATTTTCGCCGGTTGAGGCTGAGGCACGGGGATCTGCATCGGAGGAGCAAGACTTTTTTTTTTCGCGATTAACCCGCTCCCACACAATTTGACTAGTCAATCGGGTACAATTCCGTAACTCAACGCTGTGTCGGGGGTGCAGCGCGACGGTGAGAACTATTTTCGACAAGCGTTCGAATCTGCCGTTCACGACGCAATCTTGGCGGTAGCGCATGGAGTTGATCCAAGAAAGGGGAAGAGGGGCTGCAGGGGATGGATCTTAAAGGCACCCTCAGCCGAAGAATGATAACGAAGCGTATATCTGCTAAACGACGCGATAACTGGCCTTCTACTGCAAGGTTTGGATGAATTGAGGAATTTCGCCTCTTTGAGCTTGAACCCCAGATTGAACTAGCCTTTAACGACCATTGGGATGACGAAGGATGAACGTAGGCAGGCGTTCTGTTACTTGTTTGCAGCCGTTGCACGGTAGTGTGCAGTTGAAGGATCCATTGACGCCTGTGGCGTCTATTTGGAATAAACTGAAGCCAAAAGGAAAGCCCGGGAATGCAACTAAGCTGTGGCTGAGTCAAAACCTTCTAGAAGAAACACAGCACTGTCGCGCTTTACCGTTCTCGGCTTTTGAAACAGATAGCTAGGCTTGGCTTGAGGTTCCCCCTAACCCCACGGGCGCAAACTTCAGGGGACCGCCTCCAGCCAACCTATCTCAACCTCACCACTCACGACCTAGCTGCACCGGTCCTGGAAAACTGTATGCACCACCCATGTCGAGGCCGCACTTGGAGTGAGCTTGCTCGTCATCATCCTCACTGGTACGAGTACACTAGACGACTCAAAGTCGCCAGGACTGCATCGAGCCCCAATCGGAAGGTGCGAATCCCACGTAAAAGAACACTTGGAAGATTAGAACTGCAGAATTTGCACTGCAAAGGGTTCTGAACTCCGTAAAACCACAAATTTAGGTAAAAGATCCATGGTGGTACTTTAGGGAGCACTTGTTGACTTTCGTGCTTCTGAGGTAGAATGTTCATCCCATTTCCATCGCTCGTTGCGCTTGATGGGGAAAGTCTCCGCCTTTGCTGTACATCTAGCTCTCCAGAGCAGGATCAATCAAATCGCGGGAGCAAAGGACTAGTGAGGAGTCCTGATGAATTTAATCAAGCAGCTCCTGGGCGGCTCTGGCGGCTTCAAAATAAAAAATCAAAAAAAAAATCGAGGCGCTCTGCAATGATTGATGTGTCGACGTCGCGCTATTCACAGGCATTGGGTGACCTGCCACATCCTTGCTCGGTTCACGATTCCGGTGAAGCGCTACAATGACGTGCCGTTCTTGAAACGCCCAGGAACAAACAGACAGTTTAATTTTAGCTACCTCCAGCAACCACCCGTCCAAGCCCCATGAGGCGGACCAACCGGGTTCCAGCCGATCCTCGGCTTTTTATTCCAAACACATTCGGCTCAACCAGGCGGAGGCCAGGTTCCACTCCGTGCCCGAAAGTGCCGAAATCTTCTGCGACTCCGAATGTTCACCGCCTTTCAATACCCTGAGTCGGCCCGCCCCAAGAAACCGCGCCTTGAACAACTTCATTGTTTCCTCGTTTTGGGAGATGGCCGCAAGTACATTAAGCTCCAAGACAAGTCACAGTTGATTGGCTTCGTTTCCTTGAAATTTTAGAACGCCGGAGTGATGGGTTTTCGAATTTGAAGTAGGTTTGTAGATTTTGTTGATAGCAGCTGAAATATCGTACTATAGGCTCTACGCACTGCCAGTGTAAATAGTGGACGTTCCAGCTTTTGTTGGTATTCAACTTCCTAATTGTCCTTCTTGATACTTAAAAAGTTCTACCTCCACCTCTCGTAACCGTCTCACTGAAAAGTTTTGCAGATCTCCCGCCTCATGTGTACAACTCCGGCCTCGACTCTGAGTGTGCCTCGAGCAGGCGGGTGTCGAGAAAGATCTGTAGCACGTACATGTCTTCTCTAGAACTTAGCAAACTCCAAGTGAAATGAAAGCAGCTCAATGTAGTAGGACTTGCCTTTTCGAGTGGTTTGCCGTGACTACATGAACTCACATATCATGCAGAGACGCCCGTTCAGAGCGTCAAATGGCAATGAGATTTTCCAGCAACGGTCCTCTCTTGGGTGCAAGAACTCAACTCATTCTCATTGTATTGTACCAGTGCAGGCGAACACCATCCTGCACATACGGTGCATGTTTCAGACTTTGTCGGAGCAAATGGCAACGTCCTTGTGGGATCAACTGCAGTTGCAGTCAATCCAGACTACACGCTACGTCAGGATGTCTAAGTAAACTCCAGCAGAAGGTATCATGGAGAAGTTTCTTACATCTTGGTCTACTCGACTTCACTTATTTTGTCATATACAGAGTACTTTACCACGGTTCTCACTGGCTCAGTTCTCTGCCTGTTTCATTGTCTTGTCGAAATCCTCAAGGTAAGACTCAATGGCATTGGTGTGGGCTCTTACTGCCTGTAGATCGGAAGCATGGCGATGCTGGACGTGGGAATGCTCTGAATTTGTAATGAAGTCTTCGATACGCTGCTTGGAGAATGTGTCCTGTTCTAAAGGAGTAGAGGTTGATGGCTTGCGCGAAGGAGAGCTGCTTGAAGTATTTGTCAGTCAAGAAGTGAGATGAAAGCAAAGATGGCTTCCCCAGGGTTTGGTGAGGGAAAATAGAAGAGAAAGTACCCTCTGACAGAGCCAATGCCATCCGTGGCACAAGTCGACGATGGATTAGGAGGCATTTATGTTAAAGTGGTAGAGACCAAGCCTGGAGTGAACTTCGGGGCAGGTACGTATCTTGATCTACACGTGACGCAAAGTTATAGTGACAGACAAAAGTAAGTATCGTGACGCCAGAAAATGGAAGGGGAACGACACCAATATATACGAGGAGGTGGTGACTGTCTTTGAGCGGCAGGGAACCATTATGAACTCTCAACCCGGCTCCCTTAGGAGGCACCAAAACCTGCCACCCGTCTTGGTGAACCACGACTTAGTCTGTCCTCGGGATGGGGCGACGCGCGAAGGCTCTTGCGCGCTCTACAAGCCC